TCGCCCGCACTCTTGCTTCACCGGCGTTCGACTTCACCAACATCAACCTCCAAGACCAGAGAGGTTGCTGTTCCATTTGCTTGGTTGCTGGGGCGATGTGACAGCGAACTTCTTCCGTTCTTCGCTGTTGATGATGGAGATAGGTAGATTGTGGAAGCACTGCACGAGACCCCAAGTCTTACTACTACTGTCCGTTCATCCGAGCTGCGAGCATCGGGTCGATGGGCTGATGAACTTTCTCGAAGGGTTTCTCTGTTTGACGATTGTGGTAACTAGGGTACGGAAGCATTTCACGAGACCTGGCCTTCGATTGGAAAAGGTAGAAGTTGACGACACAAATGGATACAGTGTGCGATGTCGATCATACGCCATTGTGCATTCTTGCAACTCATGAATTCTATTGTTCGACATAAGTAGAAGGAGATGAATGAGGTGTCGATGGCCACGAGGAGAGGCGGCACCGGGTCAAACAGAGTCAAGCAGAGCGATCCATTTCTATAAGAACATCTGATGTTTTCCAAAGAGGACTTTGTGTCTTTTGTCAAAGGTTTGGAAACATGCTTGCAGGGGACTGCGCTAGGAAGTCTAGAACTGCAAGGAAAGTATACACGTCTTTTTGACCTTGGACACGAAAAGCACATGACAGACAAAGCGTGTTCGATCAAGTTCCATACTCGACTCGATTGAAGAAGCTATGATACAATGATTTTCCTCCGCGATCATCAAAGCTCAGATGTGAATCATCTGCCTATTCTTGTCCTCCCATATCTCTTCTTTATTGTTCATTAAAAGAAGAAAAGGACCCTCCGTACCCAGAAAACTAAAACGCCCCCGCTCATGTTTGAAGATGCCATGCAGAAGGTTGGTATGCTTAGTCTACAGCTTCTGGTACTCGAGCTTGCCTTCAAGCTTCTTCGATTCGGCAACCTTGCGGACAGCCTTGTTGAAATCGTCTTGGTTGATGGCGTCACGGTAGTCTTTGATGGCGAAGAGACCGCTAGAAGAGTATAATGTCAGTATGTTTTGTTGCTGGAGCGCACGTGGGAAAGGGGAACAGAACTCACGCTTCAGTGACGACGTTTCTCAAATCAGCACCGTTGAGCTGATCGCTCATCTTGACAACACTCTCGTAGTCGATCTCGCCCTCCTTCTGCACACCCTCGGCGTGAATCTTGAGAATCTCCATACGGCCAACCTCATTGGGCAGAGGAATCTCAATCTTTCTGTCCAGACGACCGGCACGCAGCAAGGCAGGGTCGAGGGTGTCGGGTCTGTTTGTAGCCATGATGATCTTTGTCTTTCCCAGGTAATCGAAACCGTCGAGTTGGTTGAGCAGTTCCATCAGTGTTCTCTGGATTTCTCTGTCGGCAGAGGTACCTTCTGAGAATCTGCGGCCGCCGATGGCGTCGATTTCGTCCATGAAGATGATGCAGGGTTCGTGTTCTTTTGCGTAGCCGAACATTTCGCGGATGAGGCGGGCGGATTCACCAATGTACTTGTCGACGATGGCGGATGAGACGACTGTAGGGTGTTAGTGGCAGAAGGGGCACTTGATGACCGCAAGACATACCCTTGAGGAAGTTTGTTTCCAGACTGCTGGCAACAGCTCTGGCCAGAAGAGTCTTTCCAGTACCGGGAGGGCCGTATAGCAAGACACCCTTTGGCGGCTTGATGCCGACTCTGAGGAAGAGCTCAGGGTTCTTCAGCGGCAACTCGATAACCTCGCGCAACTCTCTGATTTGCTCGTTCAAACCACCAATACCAGCAAAGTTGACTTGACCAGGGTCCTCGAGAGACATGTTGTAGACGAGCGGGTCGACCTCTCGCGGGAGCATGCGCATGATTGTGAGGGTGGTCATGTCGAGGGCGACGCGGGTTCCTTGCTTGAGCTTGAGCTTGTCGACTTTTGATCTGCATCCGACGACATAGCGCGGGCCTGACGATGCCTTGACGATGACTAGACTGGTGTTAGTTGTGCGCTTGTAGGTGGTGATTGGTGAATAACGCACATCTCTCCTCGTCCAGCTGCTTCAAGACCTCTCCGATAATCTGACCGACACTCTGCAGAGCCTTGATGTTGTCCTCGGAAACGTCAAAGTCGTGTTGCAGGCTCTTGATCTCTAACCGCAGCGCCTTGAGCTTTGCCTCCCATTCTCTTGACTCTAGCAGCTTGCTCTTGTATCCGTCCAGCGCGTGTTCTCTCTCGGGGTCGGCGGCCATGATGACTGATGTGGAATGCGTGTGTTTGGATGGACTCGTGTGATGTGAAGGCGGCGGCGACAAGGTGATGATGGATGGTGTTTGGAGCGATTACCAGTGATCCGGAGTTGAGAGCTCTCCAATGCCGTCACGCCAAGACTTCACATCTTTTGTGCACGCTGTTGCACAACTCGTCCTTTCCTCCACAACTCGTCGCTGCCTTCACCGTGGTCCGTCTCACTCTTTCACCCTCATATCCTGCCTGAAACACTCCTTACCAATATCGCGCCGACCTTGTCCCTCTGGTCGACACCATGACTTGTTACTCGCATCGCTTCTTTGTTCACCGCTTCGTGAACGCTATGCCGCAACAAAGCATCTGACTTGCCTTGGTACAGGCACTCTATTTCGTGGCTGTGATGCCTAATTGCACCGACACCGCCCGTCGGGGTTGCCTATATCTACTTTACAAGAGTCAGTTCGTAGGCGCCCACGGACTCGCCAAGCTATAAACCGTGCCACACAGCCTCCTGCATTTGATCCTTCGCTCTTTGTCAATGGATTTTTTCACCAACGACTATGGCTGATACAGCGTCAATGCTGTAAACTTAGGCTTTTTATCTTGCTCTGGTAGGTCTGACTTTTTGGTATATATAATCTCTTTTCCTCAATTTCTTTCGCCTTTATCGTTCCATACCTTGCACACTACATTCACACATTGTCTATCCACACCTTTTCGAAACATGAGCATGAATACCGGCACTGCATACCAACCCGCTGCCCGATCCTCGATCGAGGAGCAGCGACCTTCGAGGAACATCCAACGATCCTTCAACGGCAAACCACTCTGGAGCAAAGCCTTCCTCATCACTTTCTGGGTATTGCAAATCATCATCTGCATCGTCGGATGGTGTTTCGGAGCTTTCGGTCTCGTCGTCAAATCATATGCGGATGACGAAGATGCAGACACTGCTCTTAGGTATGCACATTCGCATTTCTTTTTGCATTGGGAGCCATGACTCAGATATTTCGCAGTATTTCTGCTGGAATCTACATTTCATGGGCCAGCGTATGCTTCGTCCTCATCGTCACGGAGATTGTCATGTTCTCACGTAAAAACCTCAAGCCGTGGTTCGAGGTCGCTTCTTCCTCCATCAAGACCACGCTGTGGTTGATTTTGTTCTTGATCGCTATTCATGACACTGCGGTGGTGCAGAGTTTCCTCGGGTTTTCTCTCATCATGTATGGAGTCTTCACGTAAGTTATGGATACGACATCTGACGATACCGTCATCAAGCCTGACTGTATTGTAGTATCCTATTCGCCATTCCCCTGATTTACTCGGCCATTGTGTTGCATCGTCAACGCAAACACACTCGTACCCCTGTGCAGTCAAGCGTAGTCTAGATCGCAACGAGGACGTGATAGCCGTCAGAACTGGCTGGACTACCACTGTCATCCTGTATCTGTTTACACCGAGTAGACAGATATGTAACGATTGCCACGAGTGAAGAGCAATAATTCATGCTTAAAATGATAATCAATCTCGGATTCTGGGTTCCGCTCTTGGACCTTCCTTGATTGTCTTACGACCTCTAGTAAAAGCAATCGACCATCTCCCTGAATATGTACGAGCAATATTTTGGCATCGATAGAACGATGGTTTATCGAAAAACATCTCTTTCCATCTCGACGAAACTTTTGCGGCCCTTCTTCGACCATACTCCACCATCTCATTTCCACAACACAACCATCTTGCTTGACATGCAAAAACAAAAATGTGATGCTTTGCCCAGGGTGCTTTCGCTGTAGATAGGTAATGACGATCCATTGTTGTGGATCGATTATAAGGAGTGGCCTTGATGTTCAAAAGGTTTTCATCCACTCGAGGCGAAGCTGTCGATCAAATTAGGTTCTATGTGCTGTGGTTATAGCCATTGTGAGAAAATCAGACTTCTGGTTTCCCCCGGTGTGGAATCATCTTCAAGAAGCGCTCTAATAGAAAAGGGACAACATGGAGTTCAAAGATAGAAGAAAATATATTACATGGACAAAGAGGTGACCACTATCATCTATGGAATGCTTCGCTTATTCGTCATCAACCATGTCCTCATCCTCAATCTCAAACTCTTCAGGAACTTCTGCCTCCTCGCCTCCTTCCACGTCCTCATCAACTGCATTGAGTACACCAGCTGCGGCAGCTGCACCAACTCCTGATGCGGCACCAAAGCCCAGTGCGGCAAGAGCGTCATCGCCCGTCTGGCGGGCAGGTGTAAATGGTGTCTCCTGCTGTTGTGATGACCCACCGACCACAGGTGCTGCAGCGGCGTTGTTGGTCTTCTTCTTAGCCTTGAGCTCGAGCAGAGACTTGTCGTCAGATGATTGTGTGTCGTGCAGAAGGATGACACCACCAGTAGGCTTCTTTACTGGCTGGTAGCGACCATCTTGCGAGAACGAGATGTACTTGATCTGCGCAGGAAGGACACGGCTCATGTTCTCGAGGTCGTAGCCGACCTTCTCACGCTCAACCTTCTTCTTGAGGCTTTCTGCGGGAGCGGCCTCGCCCTTCTCCTCGGCAAGCTTGGCTGTATCAATGACGTTATCATCCATATCCATCTTGTCGCCGGATTCGACCTTGGGAGTTGTCGGTGTCATGTCAATATCCATGCTCTCACGTCTAGCCTGTCTCTTCTTTGCCTGTTCTCTGCGCTTGGCATGTGCTGTTGTTGACAAGACGGCGGCCTTGACCTTCTCGGGAGCCTCTTCGGCCTTGACCTCAGCCTCGGGCGGATAGTCGAATACGCTGGGACGAGTGTTGCTGTGGAACTTGAATGAGGGGATCTCGAGGTCTGAGTCGACACCGATGATGGCGGTAGGTGTGAAGGAGAGAGTGAGGAAGTGAGTAAGAGGAAACCAGTACCAGTACTGGGTGAAGACGGCCATACCGACAATTGCGGACATGTTGAGGTTGCCGGTAGGAGTTTGCAGGCCAATGGTGCAGTTGCGGCCACCAGCATCAATGATACCAAGAGCCAGAGCGCAACCGAACTTGCACATGGCGTCTTCGTGTCTATCACTGATGATCTTCTGCAGAGTCTTGCGAATGGTACCAACCTTGGGGTTCATAGCCTCGTTCTGCTGGACCATAATCATTGACAATGAGATGAGAGCACCTTGACGGACAAAGTCGACAGAGTCCTTCATCATGGGCTCAAGAAGATCGATAGCCTCATCCAAACCAGTTCCAGCACAGGCGATACCAAGGGCCATGGTGGCACCATATCTGACGTGAGGGTTGTATGACTCGGAGAGAAGTTCGACCATGCGAGGAACAGCACCAGGCTTGCGGAAGAGAACAAAGCCCAACGACATGACTGCGGCACGGCGGACATCATCACTGACATCGCTGACAGCAACATGGAGCAGCTTTCTGACGGCCTTGTTGCTGCTGGTACCGCAGTAGGCCAAAGCGACAGTGAAGATACCACCGTATCTCAAAGCCGGGTCCGCGTCGTCGAGTAGACCATTGATGAGTTCGTCGGCACCTTCTTGGCGGTTGTACATGATCAAAGCCATACCCATGGCAAGACCTCGTACAATCTTCTCGTGCTGTGTATCGTGGGCGTATGTGATCATGTCTTCAAGAGCTCTAGTGTTGCCAGTGCCGAGCATGACAAGACCCATGGCCAGACCGACGGCTTCACCATTAATGGCCGAATCGCTGTAGAGAACACCCTTGAGAGCTTCGTAGATGTCTTCAGAGCCAGTGGCCATACCAGCAACACCTAGACCAAGAGCGCCACCATGTTGAACGACCTCTTCCTGAGTGTCCTTGAACTGCTCGAGAAGGTAGTCAAGCACGTTGGTGCCGTGGTTAGAATATATAAGACCAAGGGCGTAAAGCGAACCACCCTGGCTGTAGGGCGAGCCGGAGCCGGGAACAGCGTTGCGCTTAGGGAGATATGGCTCAAGAAGCTTGCGGCCGTTCGCCAAGTTTCCTCTGTGAATGACACCAAGAGCGGCGGTGGCAGTGAACTTTGACCAGTTGACAGCCTTGCCCAACCACTCAAGGTTGTCGCGGAAGAAAGTGTCGACAGTGGTACCAGAGTTCATGAAAGCATTGGAGAAGGTGACTGCAGTGTGGAAGATGGAGTTACGGGCCTCGAGGCTGTCGCGGACCTTGTTGAGAATGTGCTTGTCTGTGTGACTGTTGCGGAAGAGGAATTCAAGGTTCAGCTCAATACTGGTGGTGCCACGTAGGATGTCGCGTATTGAGTTGAAAGCCTTCTTCTCCTCTTTCGTGCTAGCCTTTGCACCGGAAGGTCCTGTGCTTCTGCGCAACTCAGACAAAAGCTGGGTAGATTCGTCAGCATCGTCCGCACCTTCGGATGTCGGCTCGGGCGACTTGTCGTCGCTCGAGGGCAACTCCTCCATGACACGGATGAGGAACTCCTGGGTGCCGTTCTCGTACAGGTCGAAGGACAACTGGTAGGCGATGGCAAGCGACTTTGCGTCGGCCTTTTGGACCAGCTGGCGCAGCATGTTGCTGGCCATCGAGTACTGGCCAAGATGTACAACGCATCGTGCAATGGCGAAGTAGTCGGGGTCGGGAATGTCGTTGAGTAGCTCGAGAATGAGCTGCAGGATCTCGTCTCTCAATCCACGCTCTTGTACCACATTCATGCAGATGTTGAGCACGTACTCCATCAGCTCGTCGGTGCTTTGCTTGTCCTTGCCACAGCGCAGAATGGCATCCTTCAAGACTTGGCGGTTACGTGCCTCGATGGCAATGCCTACGACATGGCGGTATGCGCCTGACTGATAACACGACTCAAAAATGCGCTGGATGACACCGTGAAGGCTCTTTTGTGTGGCGGGCGAAAGCGAGTTGGGCGAAGGGTGTGAGCCAGAGTCTCCGGTAACGGCTCCATCGACTTGGACGCCATCGGCTTCGCGAGATAGAAGGGACTTTGGCGGGGCGGAGGATTGCGAGAAAGGAGTTGTGGCGTTGGCACTACCGTTGGCGACTGACGATTCGGTGAGAGAAGCTGAAGGTACAGAACTCGAGGGAGCGGGAGGGTTCTGAAGCGCCGAGAGAGCGACATACGTGTCGATGCACTTGGCTGTTGGATGTTAGCTGCTTGAGCAAAAGACCTGATGGTTCTATTCACGTACCAACAATGGTCTCTTCGAATTCGCCCTGGTGATCAAGGCGGAAGAGCTTGCCAGCGCCGAGAGCGAAGACCATGGACTCGTTATACTCCTGGAGCTGGTAGTAGACCTTGGCCGCGACGAGTGCTGCCAGTTCGCGGTTGGGGAATGATTCGTCTTCGTAGAGAGTCTCACTGTTATTCGGTCAGCTGTGTTTGTGATGGATCGCTCGTGATAGTTCGCACATTTGGCCGATAGAGCCCGAGACCTCAGTCCAGATGTTGTCCATGTCATTGTTCAACTCTTCCAGAGCGAAGACCTGCAGCGCTGTGTCGGGCTCGGAAAGAAAGCCGACCAAACTGGCGGCAGCAGAAGGAGCGCCGACCATGATGAGTGTGATGCTAGTGTGTGAGTTGTGGTCGTGATGATGCGAGAGTAAGAGAGGCGTGTGTCGAGAAGTGGCGCCGCAGCTCGGAGGTCGAAGCACGTGAAAAGACCCGGGCTCGCAGTATGACCAGATACGGAAGCGACGACGAAGGAAAGGAGGTCGTTGTTAGGAGATGGTGCGAGATAAGTGGTGATGGATGAGTGGAGACAGGCAAGAAGTGTGTAGAGCTCGCCGCTTGATTGTCCGATGGAAGCTCAGCGACAACAGCGTCATGCTCCGTAAACCACAAGCCTCTTGGCACTTCTGCATTGCCGTGCATATATCATTTCACAAAATCCACCACAACCATTCCAACACCGAAAGGTCATCACAGGTCGGACATCTCAACACGCACACCTCGATCTAAAGACGCGACAAGAAGCCTGATAGTCGTCACATCATACAATAATATCTAGAAGGTATGAGAGGCGGGAACAACAAAGATAGTCCTTCCAAAGTATGCCTCACGAGATAACAAAGCTAAAGTCCTCGACAAACTCACAAATGCTATGATGCATGACGATGATGGCTTCCTACCAGACCTTTGAATTTTGAGAGAGCTATCGAAGGGATACCCAACACGACGCACCGGATACAAGTGTCCAACCCTTATAAACCATTGTGCCGGCTGCGTATGGACCGTACCTAGGAACCCATATAACTCGAGTTTCTGCTGTAGGTCAATGGTAGTAGTGTCGACATGCCGCGACTTCCTCAGCCATTGCACTATCCATCTCTATGGATGTAATGCCCTGAAGTCATGTGCTTCTGCCTGCCGTCGGCCTTTCCTTCCTCGATCACTGCTCCTTCTGCAACTTCACGATCCGAAGTCATGGACTTTTGCCTGCCATACATCCTCTTCCCTCTTCCACATCACTCAAGTCATCGGTCTCTTTCGCATGCCACTCCAGAGACCGGACTCCTTCACATGCGCTGAGCTCCAATCATGACGCGCTATCGTTACAAAGCCGGTGCTAACAGGCAGACTTTACATAGTACGTTCTTCCAATGCAAGCTTCACTTTCTTGCACTGATGATCATTGAGACGACATCTTCCATCATCTGTTGCGCACCATGGCGGCTCCGCCATCTGGACAAACTCACCCCGAAATAATCGACTACGCCATAGCCTCCATCAGCATGTCACTCCCAGATGTCCAAGCACACTTCACGCAGACTTGGAGACCCCAGCCAAAAACCATCAAGAACATGGCTCGTCGCCTGGCCAATAGATGGAACAAGGCCACGTCTCAACAGATACCAGCTCAGCACAATACTACAGCCCATCACGATGCTTCCATTCAGCAAGACGCTTCCAACCACGACGATGCCTCAATCAGCCATACAACCCAGCAACATACACCTGTCCAGCTGTCATTCCCAGTTGTACAGGCCAGCGCGATACCTATACACAGCAAGATGCCTGTGCCTATCAAGACTTGCTCACCAGCTCCAACAAGTCTGAAACAAGAAGGAGTGCCAGCAACCTTGAAGCAAGAAGAAGAGTCAAAGTGACCACGGCCATATTCATGCCGCACCGTACCAGCACTTCCCCCAAGCCTGTTTTCGACCAGAGTGCTTCATCCTGTCACATGAATCCGGTCACACGTTGCCTAGAGACTTGTGGTTTATCTGTCACATGAATCGACGGGAAAAGGAAGAGCAAGCATTCTTAGTTCTCATGTTACGAAGTCCAGTATCAACCTAAATGCAGAACCACCTCTTTACTTGTTTCTCTTGAGAAGAGTGAGCTTGTCACCGACAGATCCATCAGCACCCTTGGTGAAGGACCAAGTCGCAGAAGTAGAGGTGATCTTCAGCTTGCTGAAACCATAATCTCTCTGGTTCAAGACTGCAGTAATGTTGAGAACAGGCTGGTCTGCATCCAGAGTGCTGTGAGACTCAATGTTGCCAGCCATACCGTTGATAACATGAACCATTGACTTGCCCTCATTAGTGTAGTAAGTGTTGTTATCCTTGATGGAAGCAGTATCGATGGTACCATTGCGACCAAGAGGGAAGAGGCGTTCGTACCAGTGGATGTGGCCTGCAAAGTAAGCATCCACACCATACTCGAGCATCAATGCCTCGAATGCATTGCGAACATTGCCCTGGTAGGAAGCGGTCTGACTGCTGTACATGGGTCTGTGGCCATTGATGAAGATCCACGGAGTCTTGGTGCGGTCGACCTTGGCGAGATCCTTGGCCAACCACTGGTATTGCTCATAAGCCTTGTTGTCTTTCCAGTTGTTCCCGTCAATACGACCGAAGGGACCACTGTCGGTGATGAAGGTCTGGGACTCAGTGGGAAGAGTCTCGTTACCCTTGATGTCACGCACAAAGGGCCATTCGGGGCTGTATGCGAAGTCTGTCTCGGTGTCGATGCTGACAAAATGGGCAAGACCGTAATCGAAAGAGTACCAGAAGTTGCCGACGCCACCGCTCTCGACTCCAGGCATACGGAATCTGTGTTGGAAGGTGGTGAAGTTTCTACGAAAAAAAACTGTCAGTACTACCAAATAGACCATGATGTGATGACATACCTCTGAGATTCGGGACAGCTGTAGTAGTTCAATGCCGACTTGGGTGCAGAAGAGTTGGCCTTGTCGTTGTTGAGATAGGCAGTGAGTGTGTTATTGCCTCCGTCGAACTCGGCGCATGCAGCCTCGTGGTTACCGGGCAAAACCATGTATGGAACCTTGGTAGTGATGTCTGACATCCATTGCTGCCAAAGATCCCAGTTGGACTCGTACAACACAGACATATCACCGCCCTGAGGTCCACCCTGGTTGGGAACCTCGCCGGCGGGCAAGGGTGCGTTGAGGTACTCAGCGGGGTAGGGAGGACCACCTGGAAGCCTGGTCGAGCTGCCGTTGTAACAGACAGGCCAAGAGTCTTCGCAAGGCAAAATACCGCTGTACCAGTCATCTGCGTAAGAGATATCTCCTCCGTGCCAGGCGAAAGCAAGACCATCGTCAGCAGCGTTGCCGAGGTATTTGTGAGTACCATGAGCGTTGGTGTAGCCCATATCGTTCAAGACAGCAACAGTGAACTCGGAACGGTCACCAGGAGCGTGTGCAGTTCTGAAACTCAGTGTCTGGGACTCGGTGGTACCATTGGCCGCAGGGATCCTGTACCAGTACTTGGTGTTTGGCTTCAAGCCAGTGATCTGCACCTCATGGAAATGCTCACTGCACTGAGTAACAGGTGCAAGGGAGCAAGGAGGGGTACGAGCATAGGTGTTGGACTGTCCAACAGCAATGTTGTTGAGGTTATCCTGATGGGTGCCCCACTGGACTTGAGGTGCAGCTCCAAGACCGAAGGGAGTTTGGTAGTGGATGTGCATGCCGCCGGGAACATAGGCCAGGGAGATGACATTGACGTTGTTGGTAGGGTTGGAGGTCTTGGGCTTCACAGCCGGAGCTTCGACCAGACGAGGAAAGCCTTTTCCATTGCCGTTGACGGTAGGGTCAACCCAGTCACCGACTGGAATGGCAGGTCCGGTGTAAGGAAAGCGAGTGTCGACATCACGACGGGAAGCAGATGGTGCTGCTGCCACGAGAGCAGTGCCAAAGAGTACGGCTCCAATGGTGTTCTTCATGCTGTCGGATACAAAGCGAATGGAGATATCCAGTGTACGATTCTCAATGACTTACCTTCTTATATACTAATGGCGGTCTGATCTTGTTCCGACCTAGCCATTGGCACGGATGCCACACATTGTCCCGTCTCGAGTTTTTGGCGTACAGATGTGGATCCAGTTACTATGCCACGGAACAATTGTGCAGCCATATAGATGCAGGAGGCGGTTTCCGAAGAGCGAGCAATAGGTGAGATAGCCACACGTGCTTATCTCTACCAATGTCTGATTGGCGTGTGTCGTTTGCACGTGCTCGGTACCGACGGCATCGATCAACACTTCCATGCCGCCGCCTTCATCAGTCCCTGAAGGCACGCCAACCGACCTGCCGGATTGCGACAAGCTTCAAGGGAAAGCATCGAGAAAAGCTTTGCGTTGCTTCAATGGCTTGGGATGCAGTGGGCTCGTCTGAGTGGTCGACGCGTCGTGCCGTGGCGACATGGAAATACAAGCCGTGCTGAGATATATCCTTGCGGCCCGAGAAATATGATATGCAAATATCATCTGTGGACGGCTCAAGCTTTTGCAGTCAACCAACCATTCGAACATGAGCGAACACTTTTCTGAAGATAAGGGGCAGCCAGCCGCCAGCCGAAAGCGATGGATATTGAGATGCATAGAAAAGAAAAAATCAAGTTCTATCTGACGGCTGCATGACTAAACACAATAGCCAGTTGCGTGGTCCCATCCCAGCTCATGCCTCGAATGTCTAGATTGAGAGGGCAACTATTCTTTCAGACATTCCTCGGCCTGGGCCTAGAAAAGTCAGCCTTGTCGTTGTTCAGGTAAGCAGTGAACGTATTGTTGCCTCCGTTAAACTTTGTTCAGATGGCCTCGTAGTTTTCGGGCAGGCCATGTATGGAACCTTAGCGACAATTGCATCGGTCCACCGTCATATATCCCACCTCTACTCGTATAACACATATCCATCAACATCTCCCTGTAGGTCTGGCACTCGCAACAAGATTGTCCCTATAGGTATGCAGGTACTACACTGTCGATCACGCAATCTGCCGTGATATCTTGGCGGTTCGGATGAACAGGTGCGGAGTCGCTATGCTTCCACGCCTTTGTGAACACTTCATCTACATACGTCTGATTTGTTGTACATGGAGTGAATTATAGCAAGATGTCATTCACAGCTGTGCCAGTCTTGGATCTTGCAAAAGCTAATGACCCAGCTACAAAACCTCAACTACTCGAGGAGCTGCGTCATGCCTTGATGGAAGTCGGCTTTCTGTATATCAAGAATACCGATATCTCAAATGATCTTCTGGAAAAAGTCAAAGCTACCGGGAAGGCAGTCTTCGACATTCCTGGGGAGGAAAAGTAAATTCTAACGACAATTCGGATGACTTCATCTTCCAGCATCATATCTAACAGGAGACCAGGCTGAAGATCGAGATGAAGAATGCACCTTCTTTCCTTGGTTACTCTCGTTTAGCAGCAGAGATCACTGCCGGAAAGATAGACCAACGCGAACAGTTCGACTTCTCGACAGAGCATCCTATTCCGGAAGCAGGAGCTCCGCGCTATGAGAATCTTCGAGCTCCGAATCAATGGCCATCTGAGAACGCACTACCAGACTTTCGGGCGACCTTTACCGAATACATGAGCCGGATGGGCGAGATGTCTATCGCTTTCACTTCTCTGATTGCCGAAGCCATCCACCTGCCTAGGAATGCTTTCGATAAATACTTTGACAAAGACCAACAGCACAAACTGAAGATCGTCAAATATCCAGACGTGTCAACTCTTGGTCAGGATGGTAGTGTCGACGTGCAAGGTGTTGGTCCTCACAAAGATTCGATGCTCACGAGCTACCTGTTGCAAGTCACAGATCATCGTGGTCTCCAGGTGCAGAATGTGCAAGGCAAATGGATTGATTGTCCACCAATTCCTGGCACGCTCGTTGTAGCCATAGGCCAGGGACTCGAAGCCTTGACCCAAGGTGTTTGCGTATCGACAACTCATCGCGTGTTGTCGCCTTCTGCTGGTTCAGGCGCCAGACTTTCCATACCATTCTTCCAGGGAGTGAGATATGACGCAGAATTTGACGAACTGGACGCGGTTGGCGTTGGTAGTGTCCCAGAAGAGATCAAGGAACAACGCCGACGTGTGGTGGACAGAAGTGGTGGTCGCATTGATGATGTTGAATTCACGTTCAAGAAGGGTAACAAAGCGAAGACGCTTGGCGAGGCTACTCTGCGAAATCGAGTCAAGAGTCATCAGGATGTCGGCCAACGTTGGTATCCTGATATACTCCAAGAACTCCGTGAGGAGTGGGGGACAGCGACGTAGCTATGTCAGGGTGTAGGACCTGATTACGAGCTGACAAGTCATTCTCTCGTTTCAATTCATCATCGCACACCTTTCTAAGAAAAGACGATACAGTACTTGGTATGTTGTCATTTGTTTGAGCGATGACATGCTCGAGTTGTTCCATATACAAACGTGATTCGAAGTCCGATGATGCAGCCACTGATTCTCATGATGGATTTGATGAGAATAGAAATTGAGAAATACGTATTGAATCAACTTTCATTGGTATGTGGCTATTAAACTCATCTTCTGTCTTGTGTAACATGTCTTGATGATTGTTGTTGGAGGTCGATAGAGTACCAAGAATCGTGCCCCGCAGTCGGTTGGCCGAGCTTCCATGTCGCCTTCCTATTTCGGGAGGTGCCTTGATAGATCCGCCGTAACCAGCCACCCTCGCTCGATAACGTGATTCATCCCATTTAACAAGATCACTCCCAATAGTTTCTCTGTTCCAGTCATCAACAACTATGGACAAGGAAGGACTACCACAATACTCCGAGGTCGTCAGACCATGGGCAGACCGTCGTCGTAAACGCCGCGTCTTTCGACTTGTGGCAGCTACAGCTCTTTCCTACTTTGCATATTCAGCATACAAGATCTCTGCAAACACCGAGAAGCCAGTCAGTCTGCTTTCTGCAACTCGCTTACAAGAGGACTTTGCTACATGCGCTGCTCTCCAAAGAGTCCCGGAAGCTCTATCTAGCGGACGTGAATACAACAAGCGTTATGTGAACGGCACCAAGCCCGTGCTGATTCACAATGCTACCGTTTGGACCGGAGAACCTGCACATGGGACAAGTGAAGAAGACGCTCGGCAAGGCAAAGGCTATGCTTGGGTCCAATCAGATGTCTTCATCGAACACGGTCTCATCAAGAAAGTCGCGTCATCCATCTCGCTTGCAGACCTTCCTTCGGATGTTGAGACTTTCAATGCCCATGGACGTCAAGTGACAGCTGGCATAGTTGACATGCACAGTCATGCCGGTCTCGGCAGTCTTGGAGGCCTCCAGGGAGATGAGAACGAGCTTTCGAGCGATATCACTCCTTACGTCAAGTCATTAGACTCTCTTGACCCGCTTCATCCGGAGATACAGTGGATCAAGTCCGGTGGTGTCACAACTTCGCTGCTCCTTCCTGGCTCTGGAAATAACATCGGTGGAGAGGCATTCCTTGTCAAGCTTGCTGTTGGCAAGGAAGGTGGCCGTGCTGAGCTCAGTCAGCAAGACATGCTGGCGGACCCTGATCACACCTGGAGATATATGAAGAATGCCTGTGGCGAGAACCCCAAGAGAGTCTATGGCAAAGTCGGCGAGAGAGGTCCTTTCAGCCGCATGGGCGAAGGTTGGGAGTTCAGACATGCATACGAGCAAGCAAGAGATTATGTCAAGTCTCAAGACGACTGGTGTGCTGCTGCCAAATCAGTCGGCGCTGAGAACATGCACAGTTATCTCCCTCAGCAACTCGAATGGGAGAACTTGGGAGCCGTTCTTCGTGGTCAAGTTCGAGTAAACACCCACTGCTACACCATTCCCGATCTCGAAATGTACGTGCGTCTCACCAACGAGTTCAAGTTCAGGGTCTACGCCTTCCATCACGCTCACCAGACCTATCTTGTGCCTAATGTCCTGAAGAGAGCTTACGGTGGCACACCTGCAGCTGCTCTCTTTGGAGACAACATGTACTACAAGGTTGAAAGTTACACAGCATCTGAGCAGTCCGGCAAAATCCTTTACGATTCCGGAATTACACCGGTTTACGTGAGCGATAATCCCGTCATCAACTCCCAGCACGTCAAACAGGAAGCTGCCAAAGCTTATGGCTATGGTTTGCCGTATCATGTTGCACTGGCTGGCTTGACATCTGCTCCTGCTGAGCTCCTCGGGATGGGAGAAAGACTTGGAAAGCTCAAGGCTGGCTTTGATGCTGATGTCGTTGTCTGGGACTCTGATCCGCTATCTCTCGGTGCCGCACCAATTCAGGTCTGGATTGATGGTGCGCCTCAGTTCAAGGATCCTGTGGAGCTGAAGAAGCCTCTGACTTCGCCCATCAAACCTGATCTTGCACTTGCAGAGGATCACAGCGAGGCTGAAACCGGCGAGGATGTCGTCTTCACGGGTGTCACCAACATCCGTATCCCTGGACTGGCCTCCTCGTCTGAAATCAAAGGCCCGGCCACCGTGGTCGTCTCTCGTGGCAAGATCATTTGTGCCGGCTCTTGTGACAACGAGGTACGCACTGCGGCCAAGAACAATGCTCGTACTGTGACTCTGAACAATGGATACCTCACTCGCCCGCTCACCGCGTTCGGCTCTGGTTTGGGCCTACAGGAAATCATGCAGCAGCCACAGACTTACGATGGTCGTGTCAACTCGAAGACCTGGGCAAGAGCAGTTGACGGTCTCCTTCTTGACGGCAAGAACCTCTTTGCAGCTTATCGTCACGGTGTTACCAAGGCCATATCGGCCCCAATTGCTCATGGCGGGGGTATCTCCCTTCGTGGCATCTCTGCTGGATTCTTGACTGGTGCAAAGACACCGTTGAGCAAGGGAGCTGTATTTGCCGAGGAAGCAGCAGTCCACTATGACTTCACCCTGAAGGCGAAAGATGATACCAACCCATCGATCTCAAGTCTGGTAGCCAACTTGCGCCACTTGCTTCTCGAAGCAGTCCGCAACAACGAGACCATCACCGACACCTTCTCGGAAGCTGCATACCTGAAGAAAGTCGTAGAAGGCAAATCTGCTCTTGTACTGAGCGTGCACAGCGCAGACACCATCTCTGCTCTTCTCCGTCTGAAGTCTACCGTGGAATCTGAAAGCAAGACCACTCTCCGCCTTGTTGTTCTCGGAGCCGCAGAGTCCTACCTCGTAGCCAAGGAGTTGGCAGACGCCGACGTCGCAGTCGTGCTAGCTCCACTACTTCCGTGGGCACAGTCTTGGGACCAGCGCCGCTCTCTCATGGGAGCACCCCTCCATAACGGCACCGCCATTGACGTCCTCCTAGACGCTGGTGTCCGTGTTGCCATCGGCGTTGATGAAATCTGGGAAACCAGGGATCTGGGTCTTACAGCTGGTATTGCGTACAAGAACAGCGAAGGCAGATTGACCGAGCAGCAAGCTCTGGATCTTGTCAGCAGTAACTTCTACGAGTTCTTGGGTTTGGAGGAGCCGGAGGTGGGGAGTGAATTTGTTGTTCATGAGGGCAGCCCGTTGGAGATTGGGGGTAGGGTTGTTGCTATTGCCGATGGCTCGGGTAAGACTGAGGTTTGGGTTTGAGATGAGTTGGGGTGGAAGGGAAATCCAATTCTATGAGTAGGTAGCTAGTAGGAGTCTACACGATCAATTGCTCCAATCCCTGGGTGATCTTCATGCTGTCTTCATATACTCGCACAACTGTGCGCTCACCATCGATTACATAAGCATTTGCGATCTAGGTCTCGTGGTCTAGCGGTATGATACTCGCTTAGGGAGATTTGGCATGCTTGTCATTCTTGAAAACTCTAAGTCTATGTTGCGAGTGGTCCCGGGTTCGATTCCCGGCGAGACCCCTTCCTTTTGTTGGTCGTTGCACTGTTTTTGGGCATGAGGATGATAGGGTGGATGTAATGGAGTTGGTAGAAGAACGATCATCGTAGGTTTAAGAGGTAGGTAGATATCAGGTGTTTCAGTTGACACAACCAGTATGCACACTGTTTCGTTCGCTTGTGTTCTCTTTTTGTTGAAAGATATGGTCGACGTGCTCGCACAAGGCCTCACTTGACCTATGGGTTGTTGACTCTCAGCGCATGCTCACAAAAATCTGTTTTCTTGCCTTGCCTTGCCAAGATTTGTCGCGTTCGCCGCACGTGCCTTTCGCGCTTCACGCACTTCCCCACGAAATTTCGCGGATTTCCCACGTGCCGTCCCGTGCTTCCGAAGCTTGTCAGAATCTTGGCAAAAAAAGAAACAAAAAAAACTTCTTCATTTTCGGTCCTATACCACAACGACATCGTGCAAAAAGAGGATGACAACGAATGTATAGGAATAGCCGAAGGCGGGGCTCGAACCCGCGACCTTGAGGTGTCTGTGATATATCGTTGATACGATAAGAGCCACACGCTCTACCGATTGAGCTACCCCGGCAGGTCTGATTTGATCAAGTTGTGTGACACAACTGGCTGCTGTCATGGAGGACCGGAAATCGATTGAGTATATGATGTCTGAAACCAACCAGTTGATGCAGATAGAGAAGCCGGTCCGAAGGGTATGTGTATCAATAGTGATGTCTTATGTGAATATGTTAGCAGTAGTGAGGAGACTGACTGTGTATGAGTTCACTAGTGATCTCGAGGAAAGTAATCAGTATCTGGACTTGTCGTGACATGAAAGTCCGACATAGCTACCGATGATACACTGCTTGGTATTGACATGTCAACTCTTGCAAATCAGTCAAATGACAGACTTTGATGCTTACGAAGCATACTCAATAGAAGTAGCACAGTTCGAGAAGTAGTATGAGAAGGATAAAATAAAGAAAAGTTCATACGTGCAGGTGATATCGTGATATTGTCATCGACAGGATAATCTGCTTGTACGCAGTATGACCCTGTCATGAAAGTGTATCCTGAACCCGAAGCCTACTATTTGCAGTCGTATTCTCAGATGGCCATACTCGTAATAGGCATCAGACAAAGTCCCACGGCACGTTGAGGCGATTGACAAACCAAGGCTTGTCTCGTCAAGAAGAGAAATGGAGAGTAACAAGTCTGTGTATCATTCAATGTCTTCCAATAAAGTGACTATTCTGTACCAAGTAAGATGCTCTGCTAAGGAGCGAGAACGGTTCGTTCATCTAAGATGTAATGGTGCTCGAGCACTTTCCTTCCTTTCTCAAGTCCGAGTGACTTTGCAATGTTTCAACCCCAATTGAAGAGAACCTGCTTCTTTCCTTGTTTTCCTTTTCTGATGGTTCTCTGCTCCGGTGACTCTTCCACAGCAGGAGGACTATGCATACCACCTGATCCCGAAGCCCATGCCACAGTTGAGGGACCAGCAGCATTGACTCGTCGTACACCCGCTCCAGTATAACCAGGACTGAAGACTGTGCTAGTGGGCTTCTGTGCCTTTGGTAAAGATGGGAAGGCATCACCTCCACGGCCTGGCGGCTTGCTGTTACTGGGAGTGGCGGAGCGTGATGGCTGAGGCGTTGGGCGTGCAGATGCAGGTGCCGAGTTGAGCCATGATGCTTGCGTGGGATTTACGCGAACAGGTGGGGCGGCAGGAGTTGATGATCTCGAGGAAGCCGATAGAGGAGGAAAAGAGAGACCTCCGGCACTTGAAGGATTTCCACCCGAGTGTGGAGCAACAGCAGAACCATAAGAACGAGTGTTGTTAGAACGCGAACTTTGTGCCGTGCTCGACTTGAGGTTCAGAATACGCTTGGAGCCAACGCCATTGCCAAGAACAGATGCTGCGCTGGTGCTTGGTCCAGACTGACCGCCAGCAGCATGAGGAAGTGAGGGATAGTCCTCGTTGATGGATCGCCAATTATTCCAGGCTTTCAGTAATTGATCTCTCTTTGTGGCAATCTCGAAGATGTCGGCAAGTTCCTTGATCAGCTTGCCCAACTCGGCCGAAGACGTGTCGAAGAGCGCAAAGAAGGCATCGATGAGACGATCAGCAGTCAATGCTCCTTGACGGTAGATGGAGACCTTGTTGCGGAACTCGGCCAGCTTTGTCTGATCGTTGCGCAAGAGGTTGGCAGCACGCTCGTTGACCGCGTTGTGACGAAGGCGGCGAGCCTGTTCTTGTGGGGTCAAACCTGTCATGGAACGGTCGGGAGAAGCTGTGCGAGGAGTACCTGACGATGGTTGAAGGCTCAGAGAACCAAGTGACGGGAATGAATCGACAGGGCGAGAGGCGGTGACAGTGGCGGGTTCAGGAGCGTTGGTAGGAGCTCTGGCAGCATACGTCTCGGTCTGCTGGGTGAGCTGACCGCCGAAGCTGCGAGTCGAGACTGACTGAGCACTCTGAATGGCCATTTGGCGTTGGTAGGCCATCTCTGCTCTACCCATGGGTTGCGCAGATGAGACGGGCAAGGGGTCAGCATTTGGGTCGCGTCCACGACCACCTCCACGACGCTCTCTGTTGTTGTTATCCCTGTTGTTATTGCGCTGGGGACGGTCTTGGTGATGAGGAGCACGGTAATCGAAGCCGGAGATGTCGACTCTGCGGGCATCACGACGAGCGTCCTTGGTCAAGCCGTTGGGGTGAGCTTCAAGCTGATGAGCCTTCAGATCCATTTCAGAGTCAAAGACGACAAACTTCTTGTCCAAGCACTCCTGATCAGGGCAGACGAAATGGTCCTTTCGGAAGTGGACCTCGAGGGCATTGTAATCGACGTAGTACTGAGGGTGTCTGCCACCGTCACGACGGTCGCACAAGTGACAGCGTTCGTGGCGGTCACGGCAATGAGAGAACAACTCGTCGTCGCCGTAGAAGCGTTGACGACAGAAACCACATTCGGGGTGACCCTTGAAGCCAGACTGATTCTCTGCACCAGGGATGTCGTCTCCATGCTTCTCGTGTCTACGCAGATCTTGGACGGTGAATAGATCGTGTTCGTGGGTGAAGACCTTCTTGTTACGGGTGCAGAGATCGCACATCTGCTTGTGGTGGACACTCTTGACGTGACGGTGCAGGTCTGGCCAGCCTAGACAGGCAGCATCGCATGACGGGTCGGGACAGTTGTAGCGTAGTAGGAGGATGGTGTCTTCGAAGATGTCCTGGCTCTCGTAGTGGATGCCCAGGTTGTCGTCGTTGTGGGTGAACTCTTGGGTTTTGTAGTCTTCGAAACGCTTGTTGGCATCGTCGGTGAAGATGACTTCTTCGGCACTTGTCTAGAGCGTGGTCAGTGGATGCATGAGATTAATCGTGTAAGGACATACTCGACAGTGAGCGCAAGTCTTTGTCTTGTAGAGGGCACGCAGTCTCAGGGAGCAGATGTGGCAGGTGCGGTGGTTGCAAGGAGCGACACTCTGGTGGACGACTGGTGAGGCGCAGATGAAGCAGACCTCGGCCTCGACATCGTCACCGTCTTCTGTTTGCGGTACTAGGGCCAGAGCCTTTCCCTTTGCTTGGATCTGTTGTTCCGTGGTGGGCTGGGGTTTGGCATCGTTGTCGTGGTGTGTGCCGGGGTCCCCTCCTGCTGCCCCTCCTCTGGCGCGTCCACCGCGACCTCTGCTTCTGCCAGCATTTCTGTTGCCGGCCTGGGGTTGTTCCGAGTCCTGGCCTTCGCGCGGTGCTCTGTTCCCTCCTCTGCCTCCTCTAGGGCGGTTGTTCCTGCCGCGATTGGCTGACTGATCCGTGTGTCCAGAAGTGGGGGCTGATGTGTCGGCCATGGTGTCTGTAGTTGCAAGAGTGTGTCGTCTGCAGGAATGAGAGTGTTGGAACCAAGCAAAAAGCGCAAGAAACGACAGCGACAGTCTCGCAACACGGCCAGAAATGTACAACAAGGTAGTGACTTTGTGGGTGGACGAGAATATTGGGCGGCCCTCGAGAACCATGACGGCATTCCGAGTCGAGCTCTGTGATTGGTCGAGCTGTTTGGGCCTTTCCGCCAGAGGGAAATGGCAGCCCCCCCGTAATCTCTCGACCGACACCAGCAATCATGACCTCCCTACTCGTACCGCTCCGCCTCTCACCTCTGCCACTTGCATCCAAGACTCGCTCTTTCTCCACATCCTTCCGCCGTCTCGCTCAGGAACCCTCCCCGGTCGACGCCCAAGCAGCGAGAGCCACAAAAGTCTCGGCCAACTACAGCAACCCGCAGATCCGCAAGCACCGCAGAGGCCCTTACGCAGACTCGCCCTTGCCCGTCCTCCCTCTGCTCGCCATCTTCTTCACCGGCTCCTTCCTCTTCTACAAGATCGCAAAGTCAAGAGAAGGCCAAGGCAAATCCCACTACGTCTTGCCCCCTAGAGACAAGAAGCCCCCACCCGCCAAAGACTTCAACTCCAACATCCACTCCGAACACTAAGCAACAATGCCTCCCGCAAACCTCCCCACCATCCCCGCCATGAACCGCGACAAGCCCCTCTTCCCCACCGGCACCGCTGACGGCGAGGCCACCGTCATCTTCGTCCTCGGCGGTCCCGGCGCTGGCAAGGGCACCCAATGCAGCAACATTGTCCGCGACTACAAGTTCAAGCACCTCTCCGCCGGCGACCTTTTGCGCGAAGAGCAAGACCGCAAGGGCAGCGACTTTGGCGATCTGATCAAGGAGTACATCCGCGACGGCAAGATTGTCCCCATGGAAGTCACCATCCAGCTGCTCGAAAACGCCATGCAGGCCACCATCAAGAACGACCACATCAACAAATTCCTCATCGACGGTTTCCCACGCAAGATGGACCAGGCTGTCCAATTCGAAAAGTCCGTCTGCAAGAGCAACTTTACTCTGTTCTTCGAGTGCACCGAGAAGGTCATGGAGGAGCGTCTGATCAACCGCGGCAAGACCAGTGGCAGAGCTGATGACAATGAGGAGAGTATCCGCAAGCGTTTCAGAACTTTTGTCGAGACCAGCATGCCTGTTGTCGACTACTTTGACAAGGACGGCCGTGTTGTCAAGATCCAGGCTGTCCAGACTCCTGACGAGGTCTACGAGCACGTCAAGCTCGGCTTCACTGAGCGCGGTATCAAGCTCGTTTAATCGGTTCTCACATAGACTATTTTCAACACAACATATCATGACTCCCTCTCCTCTTCTCAACATCCTCCACTAAATCATACCTCATCTTCTGATGATATCGTCCATCTTTACCATCCCTTTTCGTGAGTGAGAGCACAAGGCAGAATTTGTCATGATGTCTTGAAGAAAAATTTCAGTTGTCACAGGTGTTTTTGTCGTCACTAGGTTCTGCTACCAAATACCTCCCTCGTGCTCAATTAATGAGCTCCAAAATGGACCGCTACCAGATTTCCTCTCGAGTCGAGGAGGCGACCTCGGCCACTCTCAGGAGTGTAAGCTTCACTGCTCTCGAGCTCTGCCATATCTCGCCTCAAATCCCGATGGCTCTCCGTTGATGACAATGTACATCTCTAGAGCCATCTCCCTGAGCCTCCTTACCAAAGCCGCACGATCCTTCCTTTCCATGAGCCTGCCAACATTGATCAACTGATCGACAACTTGAGGAGCCGACATTCCATTGTTTCCAGTGAACTCGGCATCGTCTTCTGTCATGTCCAACGTGTAACCGTGAGCTGCAATCACCGCAAGAGCGTGCCCGAGTGCCTTGTCTGTATCACTGCGTGCATATGCATATGCGCAGTATCGGTTCAGCGTGATCAATCCAAGCCGTGGGAGCCCATGGTAAAATTCCCCAGGGTAGGTCTTCTCGATCTGGGCCAGGAGATCTTCGAACATCATGATGATTGCACGTGGCTCCAGGGTAGCGTTCAAGATCGGAAGCCTTCCAAGTACTTCCCTGACTTGCTGTAGCAGATGCTTGCGTTGCGTGGTTGCAGGGCAGTGCCTGTCTGCTTCGCAAAGCTTACAATCACAACTGAAGCCCCAGGTGCGAAGTGCGGCATCTCGAATCTCGTAATCCGCGTTCACCTCCTTGTACAGTGTGGTAATCTCCTCATCTTTTGCAATATCGCGAGTCGCTCTGAAGATGATCATGTCGCCGATGAAGCTGTGCTCGGCATTGTAGAGACAAGAATGATTGATCGCAGATGCATGTGACCAGAGGCCCATAGATCCATCCATCGAATCCGCACTTGGAGTTGCCAGAGCAGCATTGCCAAAACTTGTGAGATCAGCATCATGAGCATATCCGAAAGAGTTGTACTCGATGATGTTCTCGACACGGAAAATGTCAATGACAGGTCGACCATCCAGCATAGGAATGTCGAGACTCTCCAGTGGAGGGTAATTCGGACCGGCATAAAGACTCAGCAGTCTAGGACCGATACTGGGGTTAGCAAGTACCTTTTGAATGACTGCAGTCCACATGTTACCCTGTGTGCCAAAAGTCCCCCTGGTGGCTGATGGTGGAATGACCAGATGAAAGCTCTTCGGTGTGGCTGGTGATGGCACAAATGCCAATGCTTTCTCAGAGAGGATAATATCACCACATGCAATGCTTTCGATGGCAAACAGCCCACGTCCATGAGTCTGCGTACGGCGAGCTTCGGTTCTGCGTAGGAAATCGGCGTGGTCTACCCTGGTCCCGTGTGCTGCAGGGCCAGTGGCTGCCCAAAAGTTGACGCCTGTTGCTTGTTCGGCCATTCGGGCCTCTGTACGCTTCAGTTCTCGCAAACCGTCAACGTCGTTGGGCGCAATTCCGGTGACTGATGTGTATGCTGAATGTGCACGGTCATATACACCGAGCTCGTAAGCTGCACGGCCTGCTCGATAAAAGGCCCTCATCTTTTGGAGGTTTGCAACACCGTCTTCTTCTTGGGGTACAAGTCGCATGCCAGTCATCGCGTCGCTGTAGGCTCCGTCCCAATGCTCCAGGGAGATGCGAGCTTGTGCTCGATTGCGGTGAATCATACCTCCAAGGATGTCGTCTGCTTGACTTGCCGTCATGGCAGCGAGTGCTCTGTTGTAGCTGTTATACAGAGGTCAGTAGGGCTTGTCAGTCGGCGAGGAAGGCGGCACGAACCATCTTTCAGCTTCTATTGGATCCTGACTTCTCAGAGCTAGATTGCCAGCGTGCTTCCATTGGACAGCTGATCTTTCGATCCCACTGGTTCTCCAAGCACGAGGTAACACGGGGTTGTCGGTGTCCAAGAAGAGGATGTCAGACGGATGATCGACGCACAGGACACAGGCTTCATCCAAGACAGTCCGGAAGAATGGTTCCTTGATCACAAATAAGGAACCTTGCTGTATCATCTGAGATGAGTGGCTCGTGACTGCAAAGTCATGGATAGTGAGCAGTTCATGGTCACCGTTCTCGTCTTCGACAGCAATACAAGTCTGCATCGAGGAGTGTATAGCTGAGCTGCTGATTGCGCGGAGTAAGAGCATTGTACCGTAGTGATGATTCTCCATCAGAAGGTCACGAAGCATGATCTGTGGCTGAATTTAGCAATGGGCGTATTCTAACTATGAACTCGACAGACACATACCTTGGAAAGGGATGCCACTGAAGAAGTGCTTGGAGTGTGTGGCTCACTTAGAATCATGTTCCAGGCGATTCGGCGGTGGTCCAAGCTGGGACTATCCAACTCAAGTGCTTGATCGAAGGTTCGCACGAGCGAAGGTCTAGGTGCTTGTCTGATGACCTGTGATGCCGAGGTTAGTCGATATTTCGAGTGTACATTGATTCGAGATATACCTTAGGCGCAAGTCTCTGGAGTACAGCTGCTCGAGAAGGGGCAACTCTTTCCAAACCTCGACGCTCTCTCGCCTGTTGTCGAAGTCGAAGTTTGGCAACCTCGAGCTCTGCCTGCACCATGTCAATCTTCTGAGCAGAAGTGAGGGTATCTGGAGCCACAGTGGCTGCAGACTGGGCCATGGCAGTACTTGGATGAGTGGTGTAAGGTGGTGGTGGTGTTAGAGAATCCATGTTGACAAGGCAGAGATGAAGCAATGAATGAATAGTTGAGAACGTGTACGATTGTTGAGTGAAAGCTGTACTGTAGGTGGCGATCTGGTGATGAAGATAGAGGCGACGAGAAAGAACGTCGTGAATTTGGAGTGTTGGGTGTAGCCACAGGAGGGAGTTGATGGAAGAGACGGCAAACGGATTGCTAGTGAATAACCACGCGTCAAAGGGAAGCTTCGCAACGTGGTGAAGTTGTTCGTCGCTAGGCAATATGCATATGCCGCAAAGGGAAGTTGCATGTGAAGAAGCAGCGACCCGGCCACGAATGAAGACTCCAGAGCCAAAACACTCCAGTATCAACATGTATCCCTCATTATGACTTTCGTATCCCGAGCTGCAGCCCACTCGAGATAGGAAGCAGAGTGATCATTCTCGTGCTCACAAGTTTTGCATGGAGCGCAGACAGTGTTATGGAAATGCGAACATGCTTTGCTATTACTCAAGATTCTTTGAGGAGTCGATCAAGTCGATTGGCATTGATGCTACGAGGCCTGATGATACCCAGTGCATCTTGATGTGTAGATTCTCATCGTTTTGTGCCGCTAGGCGTCATACAACAAGCCATACGGTTCCGCAGGATTTAAGCTTGTGTCTTCCAGGCCACTGGTCGAGCTTGAATCCGTATCAGACTTCCGCAGGACGGACTCGAGTATATAGAAAGATTGTGCAGACCAATAGGTATCCAGTCCTGTTCTGAGCACATGAGGATTTTGTCAACAAAGGCCCACATTCAAAACCTGTCAAGATTCACGAATGAGATAAAAAGTAAGACGTGGCCACGGTGAGGATGGCAAGGCGGACAGCGGCACTACCTACCCCTAGCTCACCGAGATGCTAATGATCTTTATATCCTCCATCGGCTTCTCCTTCCACACCTTAGCATTTTCAATTCTGTGGACCACGTCCATGCCTCTGACCACGCGCCCGAAAATCGTGTGCTTGTCATCCAACCACGGCGTTTTTTCTGTTGTGATGAAGAATTGACTGGCATTGGTGTTCTTACCAGCATTTGCCATGCTGACTGTGTAGGGCTTGTCGTGACGCAAAGCAGGAGTGAATTCATCTTCAAAGTTGCTGCCCCATATACTGTCACCTCCAGTACCGTCACCTAGAGGGTCACCAGTTTGAATCATAAACTTGCGGATAATGCGGTGGAAGATGATGCCGTTGTAGTAGTCGTTTTTGCTGTGAACAGTAAAGTTCTCGACTGCTTTCGGGGCATGCTCTGGGTACAGACGTATCTGAATGTCGCCCATAGATGTGTGGATAGTAGCGGAGGAGCCTGTCTGGGCCTTTGCTGCCTCTGCTTGTTGTTTCGTCGCGATGGTACGCGGTTTTTCGTTATGGACGTCGCGGTCAGATTTGTTGACGTCGGTATCGTTTGTGAACATGTAGAAGCGCACTTTTCCTGATCCTGTTGCGACAAGCATCGAGTCACGAGCCTCAGCTTGTTGCAACAAAGGGTTATCACTGGCAGCCATCTGTACAGTGACAACACCCTTCTTCTCAGGCTGACCTTGGTAGAGGGCCAAGTTCAGAGCCCTAAAGGGCTCCTCCTTACCGTAGACTTTGACAACGCGGTTCGTTAGAGTGTTGATGACCTTTGTACCCAAGATTGAACCATAAAGGATGAAGTTGCCGGTCTCGTCAAAGATAACATTGATACGAGCGCGAACGGCAGGATGCTCAATTTCACGCTCAACACCCAGTCTTCGACCGAACTCGACATCGTCTAACCTGTCGATAGCAGTCCCGGCCTGCTGCATTTCGGTAATGGTAGCAAGTGATTCGTCATAGGTTCTGTACAGTTTGCCAGTAGGGAAGTCAAAGATGCGGACTTTGCGATCGGGAAAGGACATGGTTGCGAACTGCTGGCCAGTAGGAGACATGGTGATGGATGAGGGAACGGATTTGGCCTTCTTGAAGTCAAACAAGTTGGTTGAGCTCTTGATAGCAAAGACGTTGTCTGGCTTTTCGTAGTTGCTGGTAGGACTCCAGTATTCGACCATGCCGCCTTCGTCGACAGATACAACACAGTCGTGATGGTGGTTGTACGACATGAGCGACACCGAAACTTTGTGTAACTTCTCCAGCTCGTACAAGGGCGTCGTGTTCTCGCCTCTCCCGTCGTAGATGGTGATTTGAGGACTTTGTTCGTGAGAAACGGCCAATAGTGGCAGAGAAGCACCGCGGCCGTGTACAAAGCACACAGATCTGGGCGCGCGTTCGGGAGTGAGCATAGCCAGGAGATCGAAGGTGATGACATCGAAGATTTTGACAGAGCCGTCGACACCAGCAGTCGCGAAACTACGACCATCAGCGCTCACACTGACGCTCCTAACCTCTCCCTCGTGTGCCTTGAACTCCTTGACGAACTCTATCCCATCTGCAACCTTTTTCCAGAACTTGACTACGCCGTCGATTGAGGTGGTAATGAGAAAGTCGGTATGAGGTGTAAAGGTATTGAAGCATAGTTGGTCTTGGTGCATCATGGACTTCGAGTAGCGAGGCGAGGCAGGCAGAGCGGCGACGTAGAGTTTCTCATATGGCAGTTTCCTACGCTTCTTAGTCTTGGGAGCCGCTGCTGAAGGCAGTGCTGGACCAATGTCGTCGTCGTCATCCGAAGATGTGGCTGCAACAAGTCAGGAATCTGATCTAGACAAACTGAGAGTGTCGGATGCTTACAATCGGCGTCTTCATTGGTCGCATTGTCAATCTGCCGAGTCGCGTCCTCGGCCTCGACTTGATCTCTGGTGCGCTTGGTGCCTTGAGGCGATGCGACAACCGTTGGCTCTGCCATTGCTGTAGTTGGTCGATGGTCCAGTTGACAAAAGAGTGGTCGGTATCGGAACATTGCTTGCCGACGGCCGTCTCGCGCGAGAAGACGGACCGAGCCGCGCGTGAGTCACGTAGCTTCCGAGTCGATGTCATTGGCGGGGCGCAGAGAGTCTTGGTTTCCTTGTGACAATTCCTCTGTTTGCCTTGCCACTTTCTACATTCAAATAGAAACACACTCGACACTCCTCGCGCCTTCTACTTTCACGCGTTTGTTTGTCTTTTCTCGTTCTATCAGGCCGCTATTTATTGAGCCTGCCATTTCCTTTTTGCTAAAAGTTGCCACGACCTTTGCATCACTGCTCAGTCGATTCTCTAACCACGTCCACAATTACACCACTTCTCGACACAACTCTGAGCGCCACACTAATCATGTCTACCGCCGAATCTGCTTCCATCCCTCAATCCGAGCCTCAGTCCGGTCGCTCGTCTAACCGCCCTCGCAATCGTAGACCACGCGGTGAGAGGACTCCAAACACAAATCCACCAACTCAACAAGACGAACCGCAGTCAGACGCCTCAAATCCTGGTCGTAGGCGAAGAGGTGGTGGAGGAAGAGGGCGTGGTGCTCGCGACCCTCTCCTCGCGCTGAGACCATCTTCAGTCGCACCATCGACCCAACCCTCATCTGTCGACCCCTCGAGTGCCGACGTTTCAGGCACAGAGGCAACTAATCCACGCAATCAAGACGCGCGACGAGGAAGAGGTGGCGCAAGAGGGGGAAGAGGAGGTGCTCGAGGCGGCAGGGTGCGCGAAAACAGGACCGTCAACGGCAGAGCTTTTGGCGGCCAGCTCACCTCGGATGGCGAACTGCAGCCCGATGCTACTACCTTCGTCCCCGGACACCCCATTCTTGCTCAAGGTGCTACCTCACAGCAGACACAACCTCGTTCGCAAAGACGCCGTCTGTCCAAATCTACAGCTCCCGATATCGCCACACGCACTCATCACGATATCGACAACGGCCACTACGAATGTCCCATCTGCACGAGTGAGGTTCTTCGCAACTCAAAAGTCTGGTCATGTCACACTTGCTGGACTGTATTCCACATGTCCTGTGTCAAGAAGTGGTCCCAAAATCAAGGATCCGCCGCTGCTCAGCAACAAGGTCGAGAGAACGGCGAGATTCCTCCCCCTCGCCAATGGAGATGTCCAGGCTGCAATCTTCCGAAGGACACCCTGCCCAAAACATACACGTGTTGGTGTGAGAAAGAAGTCGAACCACGTGCCGTCACTGGTCTACCGCCACACTCCTGCGGAAACACTTGTGGCAGAGAAAGAGTCCGCAAGTGCCCTCATCCTTGTCAGTTGACCTGTCACGCTGGCCCTTGTCCGCCGTGTACCCACATGGGTCCCACCCAGACCTGCTTCTGTGGCAAGCACGAGTCGACCCGTCGTTGTACCGACACCGACTACGAAAATGGCTGGAGCTGTGGTGAAGTCTGTGGTGATCTCATGCCCTGTGGGGAGCACGAATGTCCGAGACCTTGCCATGAGGGTCTATGTGGAGCTTGTGAAGTGCGCATCGATGCTCGTTGCTACTGTGGTCAGGTTGAGAAGGCCTTGCTTTGCGCCGACCGTGGCGACGAAGTCGCAAGCCATAAAAAGCATACCGCCGAGCACGGCCAGGACATCGTCGAGGAATGGACTGGCATGTTTGCTTGCGCCAATTCCTGTGATCGTGCCTTCGATTGCGGTATTCACCACTGCCAGAAGTCTTGTCACTCGCAAGAGACTGACCCCGGCCACTGTCCTCGGTCTCCTGACGTTGTGACACACTGTCCATGTGGCAAGACCAAGCTCTCGGAAATTTCTCCTGATGCTCGCACTTCTTGCTCAGATCTCATCACGAATTGTAAGAAAGCATGCATGAAGAAGCTCTCCTGTGGACATCAATGCGAACAGTTGTGTCACTCTGGTGCTTGTATGCCCTGTCTCAAGGCTGTTCCCATCAACTGCCGCTGTGGCAGAACAACTTCGACTACCATCTGTCACCAAGGCAGGATTGAGTCTCCTCAGTGTATGAGAGTCTGCAGAGCTACCCTCAACTGTGGCCGTCACGCCTGCGACGAGCGCTGTTGCGAAGGGGAGCGCAAGGCTGCCGAGCGTCAAGCCATCAAGCGGAAGGGCCGCAAGCTTGAGGAAGCTCACATTCGGCCTATCGATGACGGCTTTGAGGCTGAGCATATTTGTACTCGCCCCTGTGGTAGACTTCTCAAATGTGGCAACCACTTTTGCGAAGATCTCTGCCACAAGGGGCCCTGTGGATCTTGCCGGGAGGCCATCTTCGACGAAATCAATTGCAACTGTGGCCGCACCATCCTGACACCACCTCTGCCTTGTGGCACTCAGCCTCCACCATGTCGCTTCCAGTGCAATCGTCCCAAGACATGCGGTCATCCTCAGGTCCAGCACAATTGCCATATGGACAATGAGAGCTGTCCCAGATGCCCTTTCCTTGTCGAAAAGAGCTGTATGTGTGGCAAGAAGAGTCTCAAGAACCAACAGTGCTGGCTGAAGGACGTCAGTTGTGGACAAATCTGTGGCCGAAAGCTCAAGTGCGGCTCTCACTTCTGCACTAAGCCCTGTCATCGCGATGGCGAGTGTGAAGATGCTGGGGGTCGACCTTGCCAACAGTCCTGTGGAAAGGCTAAAAAGGCTTGTGATCACCCAGACGAAGCCATTTGTCACGCTCCTACTGCTTGCAAAGAGGACAAGCCATGCACCCACAAGATCTTCATCACTTGTGAGTGCCAGGCTCAGAAGCAGGAGATGAGATGTAACGCATCTAAGACCAGCGAGGGTAACCTCACAAAGTCTCTGCCTTGCAACGAAGAGTGCGCCAGACTAGAGCGCAATCGCAAGTTGGCACTCGCGCTCAACATCGATCAAGAGGCACATGTTGAAGGTGGTGACCATGTTCCCTTTTCCAATGAGACTCTCAATCTTTATGCAGCTCACCCAACCTGGTCAACTAACCAAGAGCGCGAGTTCCGTGTGTTTGCAGCTGCGGATGACGAGAAGAGATTGAGATTCAAGCCCATGACATCCACCCAGCGAGCCTTTATCCACCACCTGGCCGAAGACTTTGGCATGGATTCAGAAAGCATGGATCCCGAACCTCATCGTCACGTCGCCATTTTCAAGACACCTCGCTTCGTCCGTTCGCCGCCAAAGACATTGAAGGAGAGCGCGCGTATCCGAAACGCTCAGCGTTTGGCTTCTGGAAAAGCAGTTGCTAGCAGTGAAGCGCCAGCCAATCAAGTTCGTGCAAACGAAGTTGGAGAGCCTTTCAACAGCTACGTTATCATGCGACCGCGCTTTGGTCTTATGATTGAAGAGGTCAGAACAGAGCTGGCATCTTTCGCTCTTCCTGTGCAATTCGACGTTGAATTTCTGCCCAACGAAGAAGTAATTATCAAGGCCATTAGTCGTACTCTTGATGATCAGACACTGGACCAGACACTCAAGAACGCCAAAGCTCCGATTGCTACTGCCATTGCGGCAAAGAGCCTCGGTACGCTTCAGCTTTGTCGCACAGACTCTTCGCTCAACATCATACGCCGTGAGACAGAGAATGGCGTCAGTGATGGTTGGTCTCGTGTTGCTGCGAAAAGCGCAGCATCTCGCCGACCTCTTGTCCAGACAGCATCGTCGAACAGCAACTTGTTCTCCGCCCTTGCTGGTGGAAGCAAAGTCACTTTTGCCAAGAAGAAGAAGGAGAAAAAGCCTGTTGTTCCTGTAGAACCTGTTGTTGACGACTGGGAAGCGGCCGAGATGGCCGAGGAAGAAAAGGAGAAGTCGGCTAGTGGTCACAATAGTGGCGCCGAGGACGAGGCAATGGTGACTGAACCTAGCAATGCCGCCGGTATCGAGACGCCCGAGGCTGTGGGAGGTAGTGATGCTATCGATGCTCCCGCGGTCGAGGAGATGGTTGGGGCAGGTGCGGTTGTCGAGGGTACACAGACCGAGACAGGTGCGACAGGACCACAGGTGAGCGCATCGACCGAGCCTGAGCAGATTCAAGAAGTGGAAACAGCATAGTTGCCATTCTCTTCATTGTAAAAGACCGAGATAGATCAATTCACTCCCTTGACCATCAATGTATTTCTTGGCAACGAATGTTCATGTGACTTGATGAGACATAACCAAATGAGAAAGACAACAACAGCCAGGGCTTATAAGGAGTGTAGCATCCTATCTTTCGGCACATCACACTGGAGCAAGTAGTGGAATTGATATGCAATGTCGTAGAGATGCACAGTCTCCTTATAAACAACAGTGTGACCATGGAAATACCCCGAATAAGCCTCTCCCTTGTAGAGGTCACTCGGACGGATCACAGAAAGTAAGTCTCATGCATCTTTGCAATTACACTTTGAGACCATTTGATACAGAAGAAGAAGCACAAAAGTAGAACGTTGAAGGGCAAAGTGAAGCGTTTCGTGCATCAGCGACAGACGAGCGAGCGAAGGCACATTCACTCTCAGTCAAGAGCCAACGCTGTCACCCTTTTTCTCTTCTCCGATGCTTGCAACACTCTCGCATACTCACATTCGATATTAAATACCGTGCTTCATGCCTCTACTAAGCAACCCACCTCTTTGCATACTCAACCCACATCCAAACCCTCCGCAGCAATGTGTCAACTCTGCAGCCTCAACACCATCTCCACATCCTCGCGCTGGCCCAAAGCACTCGAACCACTCATCTCTGACCTGAGTCTGCTGGTCACCACAGCACACACCGAGCTCAACTGCCCCCCAAAAAACTCTGCTGCCTCCAGCGCCGAAGAAAAGAACCCCTCATCCCTCTCAACCACAACCAAAATCACAATCACCACCACCGCACAACAAAAACCATCCCTCCTGATCCCTACCCTCCGCGACATCTCCACCCTCCTCGAAGTCCTCGAAGACGAAAGAGCTCAATGGTGGCAAGCCAAAGCACCCGAAAGAAAGTTCTGGAGGGAGACTTGTCAAGAAGAAAAACTTACAAAGATCAATGTGGTCAACAACAAGACTGTTGAGATGATCGAGGAATTCAAGGCCAAATTGGGCATTTTTTGTCGTTGGAGTTTGGGGTTGGTGGACGGAGTTGAGGGATTGGGTGGGGGAGAGAAGGACGGGGATGTTAAGATGGAGGGATAGAGGGATTAGAGGAGAGTGGGCATGGGAGATGTAACATGGGAAGGATTGGTATGGGGGAATCAGCACTTCCTTGATGTGGAAAGAAGGGGCTCGTGCAGCCGATAGACTGCTCGCTACTTTCAAGGAATGGCATGGTCTCCATCGAGATGGGTCACGCACTCACACTCTGGACGTACCTCTGGCCTGGAAAATGTTGTGTCTCTCCATAGTGAGAATATTACTCTAGACTTTGGCGGGAAGAGAATGAGGTTCACAGACGATGACACAATGGGAAGCTAAGACAAATTGTTCCACTCCAGCCAGGCTAGAAGCAACGTAAAATAGTGAGAAGGAGTACTCTGCTAACCTTTTTCCATGTCATCCGTTATTGCATGTCGGGTATAATGATGCTATCAACACTTTCTTCGTCGCTCGTCGTCACACATAGTGCCTCTTTTTACCGACTTTTGTGAATCAAATTGTCCGAAGCTCGCACTCGTTGGGCCCACTCGGTCCAACTGCCATCGTAGACTTTTCTGTTGGTCTCGGGGAAGCCGGCCTCGGTCAAGGCAGCATCGATCACGCTTGCCGTGACTCCTGTGCCGCAAGAGCTGATGATGGGCTTGAGAGGGTCGACTCCTTTAGTTCTGAAGATATCGAGCAGTTCTTCTCTAGAAAGCAACGTCTTGGTCTTTGGATCCAGTAGTTCGGGAAGAGCAACGCTGATGGATCCGGGGATGTGTCCAGAAGAGAGTCCAGGTCTCGGCTCAGGATCAACGCCGCTCCAGCGACCAAGAGACCTGGCGTCCAAGATCTGCACACCTTCTCTACCTTCCTTGTTGTAATCCCTAGCAATCTCCTTGACTTCTTCAAAAGCCGCAACCTTGGAAGGATCGATCTGCGGCTCAGGGTACTGCGACTCGGGGAATTCTGTTTGTTCGCCTTTCTCGGTAGGAAGACCTTCTTCGACCCATAGCTTGTAGTTGTTTAGGATGTGAATGCTGGGGTGACCGAAGACACGCAGAGTCCAGGCAACGCGGGGTGCACTGAAAATGCCGAGCTCGGCACTGTCGTAGACGACGATGTTGTCGTCACGACGGATGCCTAGCTTACGCATGGCTTGGGTGAAGACCTGAGGGCTGGGCAGCATGTGGGGGTATGGAGAAGTGGTGTCCGAGACGAGGTCTAGGTCGAAGAAGCTGCTGGAAGTCAGTTCTTAAACGTCTGGGTGGGAAGAAGGAGAACGGTACCGAGCACTGGGGACGTGGCCCTGCTTGAAGACTTCATATCCTGACCTCTTCTCGGGATCATTGGGCATGAACCAACTGGCACACAGGGGAATGACTCGAGGAGAAGTGGCCAAGCGAGTAGGAGCATTGCCTTTCAGAGCAGCGCTGAGTTCGGCGGGCTTGACGAGATACGACGAGAGAGACATTGCTCGTTGCGCCGACATGCTGTGAGAGTGTTTGAAGGAGCTTCGGAGAGGTGGGAAGGTTGAGGACGCAGCCGATCGGAGCAACGAAGCCATTGCTGCCCCACTCGAGCTTGATGGGATCGTGAGCTGTGGAGCTGTGGTCTTGATGATGTGATTGGGAGCGAGAAACGCGTGCGACTTCGAGCAGTATGCTTCTCCAGGATCCAATCTAAGTGTCTGTCGCAGTGTGGAGAAAGCAACAGAAAGGCTTCGCACGCCGAAACACCCCAAGTCGACTCTTCAAGGTGGAGCCTTCGAGCACGCCTTCCCCATGTGACACGGCCGATCACCTCGCGATAAGTCGAGCTTATCCTTATCGCATACGTCAATGGCCCGAGCTTCTACCTTCAAACGAAAACAACAAAGAGACCCTGGTGCTATGTATACCTACACCTGCCCAAACGAACTCGTGTGTTATACCACGCTTCTGTCAGAAACATGAAGGTCAAGATTCTCTCATATCATGCTGTCGCCGCCTGGCGTTGGGATATGCCAGAAGACGATGATTGCGGCATCTGTCGCGTACAGTTTGATGGTACCTGTCCGAAATGCAAGTTTCCAGGAGACGACTGTCCTATCAGTATGTGCCCATCTCGGTTGTGCTAGCTGCACTGTGCTGACTCACTTCCAGTCATGGGACAGTGCACACATTCGTTCCATATGGTATATGGTCCTTGTTGAACCTTCTCGACCAACGACACTAACACCAGTCAAGCATTGTCTCGATACCTGGATCAACCAAGAGTCAAGTCAAGGCAGATGTCCCATGTGCAGACAAGGTACGTCCAGTTGACCTAGTCTTGGTCGCTCATTCAGGAATCGTGGTGCTAATGAACTCAGTCTTCCGCATCAAAGGAACCGCTGATCAGAGTGAGGTTCAGCCTGAGCAGACTGCCCAATCTTGAGTTCTGCACTCTCGAGATATAAGCAACGGTGGCACCCTCTCTCTTGCGTTGTTCTTTCGACAAAGACGCCATTCTCACATGCATCTTGCCAAGCAACGCTTAGTCAGGGTCCACGGCCATAAACTCACAACAACCCGTGTGGTCTTGCTCTTGTCGATCGCGAGCAGAGGATCATGTCGGCAGTAAACAAACGGTACTCTCACAGCTTTGCCCAAACCACTGACGACTCGAGTACCCCTCCGCAACAACGCGACGATGATGATGATGCCGCCTCCTCCGTTCGCGCGGATCAGGCGGTAACCACCTCCGACGGTATGCCCGTTCACAACAATGTAATCACTGACCGTGCTGATTGATTCTTTTCAGGACTATTCGATGACCCTACATACCCTATCGCTGCACCTGACGAACTTCTCCCACCTCCCGATTTCCGTCCATTCTTTACCTTGATCGAGAACCCAGACACCAGCGAGCATCATCATCCATCGGTACACTACATATTTTCAGACGACAATCCCGACTTCTTAACTTCCGCCGTTGTGGATGGTATGAATCAAGAGCTCGTTGGTACATCTCTGCAGGTCGCCAACAATCGCGAGCGCATGATACTGGTCGACATAGCGCCAGATGGAAAGACGGTGAATGAAGCTCAAAGCTTAAGTCAACATTGGCAGATTCTCAGGACTACTGTCAGTCAAGCCCCATCATGGGCAGATGAGGTGTCCAGGAAGGACATACCAGGGCTGATGCTCAACATCCAAGGCATGGAAAGTGGAAAGCTGAGATCACAAGCCCACCGTCGCAAGAACTCCCAAGAGGACACTATGGCTCGCGTCGAAGCTATGGTTGGCAGCTATGGAGCCTGCCTATCTACCTTGGAGGGTCTAGTTAAGAAAGACGTTCTAGATGACGAGCAAGATGAACCTGCAGGCGTGGCAAAGGCAGCCGCGACGCAAGAGGATGAACAAGGAACGGCTCATGATTGATGACAATGCTCGAGGTCAATGGCGCTTGTTGTAGTGCGATCTTCTATTCCCTTCTAACTGCTTCGCGTTCCACGGTGTTATGTAGACAAAGGCTTAGCAGCTACCACACGATAGGTTGCCCAAATCTGTCGTAAAAGTGGCCACTGTCGTCCTTGTTCCAGCTTTCTACAAGTGGGAGCAATCCAGAAACACTTTCTTGTGCACTGATAGCACCATCTTCCTTGTACTTGACTAGTCTTGATTCTACGCGACCTGGGTGACAGAGTACGAATACAACTTCGGGTACATCTATACTGAAGCTCTTGACCATAGCGTTGAGAGCGGCCTTGCTCGCGCGGTATGCATAGGCAGAGCCCGTGGTGTTGTGACCAACACTTCCCATTCGCGAAGACATGATGATCACCTTTGCGGCGTTTGCCCGTCTGAGGCTTGGGAGGAGAGCTCGAATGAGCAGAAAAGTGCCAGCAGCATTTACTTGGAAGGTGTGCATCAAGGTCGACAAGTCCATGACCTCCAGGGTTTCGGCGGCAGCTACAGATTCAGGCTGAACATCTTCGATAGCAGGGACTAAGCCACGGACACCCACGCTGTGGATGAACAGATCAATTGGTGTGTCGCTCAGCATAGCGGTAAGGTGGTTGATGGATCTCTCGTCTGTCACGTCGACAATATGTGACTGTATGGTCGCTGCATGATTTTGGTAGACTGAGAGCTCGATGGGTTGCCTGTCGATGGCTATAACATTGTTTGATCCATCATTCGAGTATGAGTCCAGAAATGCGCGTCCCAGACCAGAGGCTGCACCAGAAATCAAGATGGTAGGCATCTCAATTGGAGGATGTCAAGGATGTACAAGCGATTGCGGAAGAGCCTTGACTGTGCGTTGGACTGGCTTCGCTTCAAACTTCCTGTGTGGTCAGGTCTGTAACTCCCAATCCACTCTCATGATCAACTGCACATACGTAGAAATGAAGCTGTCAAGATGCACGGTTTGGCCTATTTGGTAGCTGAATACGGAGAGAGCCCTCGATACCACAACTCTCAGCGAATGCTCATCATTTGCAGGTGTATTTATTCCTATAGCAATCCGCGTGGCACGGCTTCGCATAAGTTATGGAGAGGAAGGATGCGGCTTTCGGCAAGTCGGTGGGCCGCGCTCGCGCATTCCTCGACGCAACCTTGTCGTCGCTCACCCAGACTTGACTTTCGGTCGAGTCGCCTTCTGTCAGACTTTCATGTGCCCCGGTCGAGTTGATATCAATACATCTCGAGTTCACATGGTTTGGTGCCAAGCACAGTAATACGGCCCTTGTTCCAGCCTCGCGCACACACTCGCACATACCATAGGATCAGTCCCTCGATGACGGCGGCCTCGTAGCAACACGACACGGATTATGCTCGTCTTGGTTGTTCCACTCTCTTCTCACAAGCCGCTGCTTGACAACACAAGCCCTTAAAGCAAGACAGCACAACCGCCTACCATGCGCCTGTAGCTGCTTGCATCACACGATCCTCGAATGCCACACACCTGTCGCACAGTTACACTACCGTCAGCACGTAAGCCTTTCTCTCCGAGGCATATGATTGCTGGCACCGAGGCTGTCACTGCTCGTGTCTTTCACTGCCACAGCTGCTTGCTTGTCTTCCGTTCTCAGTCGCTCACAGTATAGTCAGCACCATCCCGCCACTCAGGCTTCACCCACCATGCGCCGCACTCCACAACGCCCTCGCCCAGCTGAGCCTGCTGTCGCAACCCCTCGTACCATCGAACCGCCTACCAAGAAGATCTTCAACTGTATCGCCGACGACTCGGCACTGCTCGCAGGCGCAAAGAAAAGCACCCGCGACGGTATCCGGAAATGGATTGCCAACGGCCAGATTAGACTCTTTGTGCCCCTCTACAGTACGTCGCCATGCAGACGATCCCAGCACGACAACGACTGACCGTCGCAGCCCTCGCTCAAACCACTCGCCTGAAGGACGGAAATGGTCGCATCAGCAGCGACGCCGAAGACGCCCTGGTCTGGCTCGACGATGCCACCAGCACTTACCCCCACCTCGTCACACTCCAAGGCGGCTTCGAAAAATTCGAGACATGGACAGAGGTCGAGAAGTTCGCTTTGCCCAGGACTTTGTTCTCCGAAGGCGATGCCGACGACGAAGAAGTACAGCCTTTCTCCGAGGACCTCGCTGGCAACGTCGAAACCAAACTTGCTGTTCGCGACGCAAACCTGTCCATGAGTTCTGTCGACACCGATGGCTCTCGATCAGCAACTCCGACTTCCGTACACACCGCCCGTAGCTCTATCAGCCCAGAGCCTCCCACCGAGTGCCCACCCAAGAACCGCAGTCGCTCTCATGCATTCAAGTCCCCAGCCAAGAAGACCGTCCCTGGCTCTACCTCCACCTCCGGCGTTCCCTCGCACTTGCGTCCTCTGTTCAATTACATTCTCTGGCGTATTCACCAGGAGTTGGATCCTGTCGCTGCTCTGGAATCCTTCATCTTCTTGACTGACGACCCAACCAAGACTAAACTCGCCCAGCGTTTCGGTATCCGCACCAAGAGTCTCGCCGACATCCGTTACGTCGTCGCAAGGGAAGAGCGTGAGTTCAAAAACAGACAGCTTGTTCAGCGCAAGGAGATCGAGAGCAATGCCGTTCTTGCACGCCCTGACACTCGCGTCGCTGCTGCAACGACTGCAGCCGCACCCATCGACGATGAAGACAAGGTGCGTCCAGAGCTGTTGCCTGTCGATGAGAGACCCGCCCCAGTCAGCGAGGATGAAGAAGACGAGGTCCTCCTGAAGCGTCCACCCAAAGCTCCTGCAGCCATGCTTGCCCAGCACAAGTCGCCCAAGCCTGCAAACAAGGTTATGGATTCGAACCAATTCTCGCGCGGAGGCCAAACCCCTGCTCGCGGAAACGCTCGTGGAGGTGCTTTCAGAGGCAACGCTTCTCGTGGTCGTGGCACCCCCTTGGCACCTACTAATGCAGGAAGGGGCGCCACACCAGCAAAGCTGGATCTCACTCCCACCACTAACGGCAGTGGCCCGATTGATCCTAACTCTTTCACCCGCCCTGCTGCCAACACCAACAAGTTCAGAGGCGGTCGCAGACTCTGGGTCCCTACGTAAAAAAGGTCGAGCAAGCGGTATATTCGCACAAGACGCTTACACATGAAAAGTCCTTCCGTCAAAGGGTGTCTAACAACTGGAGTTGATAGGCAATGGTTAAAGCCTGTGCCGGTTCGAATTCGCAGAGCAAAGCATTTCCCTGGTATCGTAAGATATTCCACACTTGCATAGCACAACCTTCCATTGCCCTTTCGAACCTCGGACCAAAACTACGGAGTTGTTGTTTCTTATCGGCCTGAATTCCAGATACAGGAGCACCACCGGAACACAACTAGCTCAAGTATCGACGAAAGTCTCAGTGTGCTTCACGGTACGAGATATCGTCCCAGTATGAACGCGCTTGCAAGAGGCCAGTGGATGAAGTTGGGAGGAGGTCAGTTTGACAGATTTTTAGGGGAGAGATAGCGGGGATGAGGTCGCAGGAGAGTATTTTGCTTGTATTCCTTATTGGTGCTTTTGCGATTCTTGGAGAGGTAGGGTTGTCGTTGGTCTCTCGGATCGCTGAGATGAGCTATGCACAGCCACAAGAGATAAACTGCCTCGCTAAGGACCAATTCTTTGTTTTATCGCGATATTCTTCCTCCCCTGTGCTAAAGTTTGTAATCCACACACTACTACGAAGGAATAGAGCGCACTTGCCACCATAGAAATGCACGATCGCATTGAGAGTAGAACTCTATTCAAGGAGATCAGGCGACATAGTGCTTCTCGATGCGATCTGTTCGTCGAGACTAGGTACTATGCAGTTTTATGAGCTACTCGTGTTAACAAACTTTTGCGCATCGAGAGGTCCCGCTCAGACCATCTTCACATCCTCTTGGCGTCCGTCACTTTGTTTACTTCGTATCAACAGTCTCGTAACAATTATCGACATGATCATACAGCATACCTAGCGGTCATCGATGGAGTGCAATCATGCCTCGAGCAGTGGATCAAGCTGTGATAGCTCCAAGATCAGCATCTCAGCCGACCTTTAAACTACCTCCAAACAGCCATCTCATCATCACAACCTCTGGTGGTATTTTTTCTTGGGACCAAGTTGGGGTCAAGAAGCTTTTCAGCAGTAGTCAAAAAGGCATTCTTGCAGCGAGAGAGGCCAAAGATGGGAGTCAGATTCTTGCAGTGGCGGACGAGCATGTCGTGGTTTTACATGATTGCAAAAGAGGACGCGAAGAGAGCTGGGGCTTGAGCGGCAACGAGGTTCGCTAGATTACATACTTCGAGATCACATGGAAACTGATCAAGAACTTGCCAGGGTATTGTTCGACTCTTGGAGTATGCGCCCGATGCAAAGTCTCTCTTCCTTAGCACTTCCTTGACAGGAGCTATACAGCACTACTCGATTAACGAATCACGCTTGCTCGACTCGCCATCCACACATCCCACTCCACCGACTGTTCTGGCTGTCTCACCAACCTCTCATCTGATATTGTCTGCCTCTGAGAAACCAACATTGGTATACTTACAGAATCTTACTCTCAAGACACCTGCTATTCAGCTGCACCCGTCCGCGAGTAATGCAGCCATCGCTACGGCCTCTTTCCATCCCGAACGGCCCAACGTCTTTCTACTGGCGTTCAAAGATGGAACAATCGCTGCGTATGATGCGACAAGATTAGCACGAAGTGAGGCGGCTCGTACGGGTAGCACCTCTCGCCTAGCCACCAATGGCCATGCCGGCGAAATCTCGCACTTCTCGAACCTTCACCGTATCACCAACATCAGAAACATGTCGGATCCACCAGATGCTTCACCAAACACAACTGTTGGAAGCAAAAGCGTATCAATCACAGGTGCGGAGTTTTTACCTGGTTTTCGCACCCGTGCTATCAGTGTCGGCGCAGATGGAAGGTGCAGGCTGGTCGACTTTGAAGCTGGTGGCAAGATACTACGGACATGGCATGCTCAAGCACCGGTGACGTCCTTGTCAATCTCGGCCTCCAAATCATCTCCGCAGACTGGAAAGGCAGCATCCAAGCAGAAGTTCGGAGCCAATGGAAGTAATCTTGCAGATCGTACTGTCGTTGCTGTGGGAAGAGTTGATGGCCAGGTTCTCCTCTTTGATTCGGTCGGCTTGCGACTCGATCAAGTCCTCATCAACGCGCTCGGAGAAAAGATTATCAGCGTGGAATGGATGAACGGTCCTAGCCCACATGCCACATCGACTCCCGTCAAACCTGTGTCTGCAAAAATCGATGCTACATATGACCTGTTACGGAGCACGTCCGGGACGAAGATGAATGTCCAACCCACTCTGCCCAATGCTCTCAAACTTCCACCGGGCGCTGTATTTGTCCCTGTACAACCAGTGCCTGCGATCGCTCTGTATGAGTCTGATGTCGAAGAGATATCGACAGTGCGGTACACCCCAGCTGCAGATACCGTCATACGCTCGCCAATCGCCCAAACGACCTACATGGACCTTTTCTCGCCAGTCAAAAAAGTATCACCTCCACGTGGGCCGCAGAAGAGCCCAGTTTCATCTCCACATCTACGTCGTAAACGGATCTCGAGCCAGACATTTGTCAAGTCAAGCAGCCCTGAACCCATACTGATCAACAAGGAGGTCACAAAGGGACCACTGACGACACCTAAGAATCTGTCGATTCACCCTTTGAACACAATGATCGAGTCAATCCAGGGGTCCCCTTCACATGTTGCTCCGGCATCTGCTCGAAGAGGACCCAGATCGGGACGTAAGAGAACGCACACGCGGCATCCACTAGGCCCGGACCGTAGCCCAGTCGTTTCTACAGGAGCGGGTAGGAACGGAAAAGTGCTTGCTGACCTACGAAAACTAAATACTGGAATCTCGAGCCAAGCCAAGAAGAATGGAAAAGCCGCCCTGTTTGCGCCATACATGAACCGCACTGGCATCTCTAATCTTCCAAGAGTCGACGCACAGCCGACAGTAAGGGACGATGTCGCTGGACAAATCAAGTCGCTTGAGCATGCACATGATTCTCGCCCTTACAAATCAGCCCAAGCTCCTAAAGTTCACTTTGAATCCGAGAGCCATTCCTCGGACCGAGACATCTGGATGTCGGCTGGGTCTTCCGGAGATGAACGTACCCAGTGGAAAGACAAGCGTACTCATCACCATATTCGACAGAGGCAGATCGCTCAGCCTCACCGGCCGTGTCCGCCCTTTGCGGAGAGACCGAATACACAGTGTGTTCCCAATGTTCCGGTTTTGGGAGGCGAAGTCATCACTATGTCACCAAAGCCTTTCAATGCAGGAAAGGAGGCTGCTGTGCTTTCAATGTCAGAGGAAGCCATGTACAGTGCAGTATCGCACATTTCAAACATTGATGGCGAGTTTGTACCCGCCTCAAGAGACGTACAAACACTCTTCCCACGTGGATCTTCTATTTATTCGACCTCTCCGTCACGACAATCTCCTAAAAGGTCACCACAGCGGAAGGTGCAGGTCTGGAACGATGGAGCTTCGAAGACAAGAACGGTGCCGGACCCAGTCCAGCGTGCAAAGCTGGCAAACGCGAATCCCAATGCTATCGTCAAGGCTACACCAAGAGAAGCAGCAGCGAAGAAAGCCGTAGCGGCGTTACTAGGATCTCAGTATATGCAGAGTACCAAGACTCTTCCGCCACTACCATGCGTACCGTCAGAGACCATACCATTACCACCTCAACCATGTGCTTGTGCGAAGAACAGCTGTCCAGGTTGCGCAGAGCTGGGAGCGAGGGTCCAAGGTCTGGAAGAAGAAGTCGCAAGGCTCAGAGCTGAGGTTCTTGGGCTTAGGAGTGCCCTCAGGAAGACAGGTGTATCGAGCCGCATTGTCGAGAGAAAGATATGATGGAAAGATGCCCGATTGTTCATCCTGTTTTATTGTTAGATACCCTTTCTGCGTCAAGATACCATTCCTATGCTCAAATGCAACCAATGTCGTCGATCATGCCGTGCAGATTCTCTCCTTGTGCAAAGGTGTGTCACGTAGACGGCTAGAGAAATGCGCAGTTCTTTCGGGGAAGAGAGGCCGTTCATTGAGAGTCGGAATCATTTCGGCTCTCTGTGGCCTCTACTGCTGTCTCGAACGAACTGTGCATTTTGATGGCTTTAGTTCCACCTGATTGACTTGAGATGGCAGCTCGGGTCCCTGCCTACATAGCGTCATGTTTTTGTTCCTCCGTCTCTGAGCCCTTCGACAGATTTCAACATCCTTATGAGCGATACAACAAACCTGGACAGATGCACAAAGATGTACTGGGATAGGCATATGTCTGGGAGGAGCATGTCATCCTCGAGACTCCACTACCCCACTTGTATCTTTGAAAGATATCCTATATTTTGGCATTCTTCGTCAGGGTCATACACATACATGGAAAGCTGACAGTGGAGATGCACAAAGACAACGCGGTCTGGCTACAGGACTAAAGGAAGTCTGCGTCGCTGCTTCTCTTTGACGGACTTGATGGTGATTGCCAAATACATCCTGAGTTCGTCACCACTCGCTCTTTCCTTGACTATGTCCTCTTCCACGAAGTCTTCTTGAGATTTCTCAGCTCCTTGATAATCTGCATCAAGCGGAAGCTGACAATTAACCCATCAAAGAATTCTGTTTGCTCCCATGCCTGTCTCACTCGCACACCAGCAGCAAGTTGGCGATTCTTCCACTGTCACAGATGATCAAACGACACAAGAAGCTCCTAGAAAACACCCGCGTATTGAGACAAGGAGATCAATACCGCAGTGCTATCCTCAACTCCCTATACTTTATATGCCACCCTCGCATCAAGTTTTCCTTCCACACACCGTCGCATCAGCACCAGTCGAGATGCCTCCAACTACTCAGCCCTCGGTCTCCGATCAGAGAAGATCTTCCACTCACTCATCGCGAACCACGACTGGTCAGGAAGCGACCCCTGCCTTTCGTACTTCCTCGAACGCTGGCCAAAACTACTTTGCTGCCACCAGTTTTACTCCAAACACTGCACAGACTGGACCTCCGTCATACGCCTCTGATTCCAATGTGTCGCCAACCTTTTCGTTGAACAACAATGGCAGCCATTGCATACCAGCTGCACGTCCTGAGTTCGAGCACATGATTGTTTCGGTGAACCGCCAGAAGCTGTCCAGCGACGACATGCAGTGGACCACTCAATTCCCTTTGAAGGATCTCAGTAACTCAAAAGACAATGCCATCTCGATCAGCACGTTCTTTTTCAGCCGTCTGCTTGGTGAGATCTACGACAATCTGCGCAGCCAGGCTCAGGAAGAAGGTCTTTCTGTTGTCTGGGTCATGTCAGCCATTGGTCAGTTGGGTGTCGTTCGTGACGACGGTTCTCTGAGGGCAGTCGTCTTGGACCACCAAAACTCTGGTCAGCATACAGTTCAGTTGTACGTTGTCAGAGAAAAGGGTAAGTTGCAACGAACGGTCTTCTTCTTTCACCGTCGTCTAACATGGAACAGCTGAGGGCACTGTGCTTCCCGAATCTCAGGTCATCTCCTCAAAGACCTTCATGCTACCCAAGATTCCGTCCGTGTCTAGTGTTCTGAGCCCGGATATGACACAGCAAGACAACACACCCAGACAACCCAAGTTTCCCAATGGTTTCGGCTTCTAAGCACGTCGAGTATCAGACAGTGGGAGGGTATACGTTATGAGATCATGAGAGTGGAAGATAAATGAGGTTGGCTTCAGTCACGGATTGTGCGTAGAAGAGTCAAAAGAGGCAGGATTATGGAACAGGAGATGCTTTCGTCATCGCTGCTCGCATCGAAGGGGAAGAATTATGTACGATGGACTCAAATTTGTGGACTTGGTGATGATTGAGAAGGACCAAAGTATGCTGCACTCTCCTCACTTTCGTCTGTGTGCATCGGTCACTTCTATCGTGCTCAGACCTTGATTCCCTCCTGTCGCTTTCGACCTGTTATGCGTCTTTGCAACCTGATAGCTTTTGTGAAATGCAATCAGAACTCAGATCTCCACAGAGCATCTATCAAGAAGTGTTAGTATGCATAGCTTCATCGCCTTGCGACTTTTACTCACCCTTGCTGCCAATGATGTAGAGTTGTACGATATTCTTGTACCCGCGTCTGTGGTCTTGTACAGCAGACTGGAAAGAGTCACTGTCGTAAACACGACCAAGCTGTCCTGACCCAGACATGCGCCAGACCAGGCACCAAGTGATGCCATCAAATTCTTCGTCATCCTCTTCGAGACCAATCTTGACATCGGTGAGGTCAAGCTCGATGACCTTTTGAAGGCGACTGAAGACGAGAGATGACAATTCAACGTGCTTTGCATCTACGTCTGGCTTCAACAGACAGCGGGAGATGCGGATCTGAGAGTTCCAGTTGGTAGCTGTGTATGGCTTGACACGGCTGACGGAGATGAACATGTTAGCAAGGGAGGGACGCTTCTTTTTGCTATCAACGTCTGATTTGGTGTCGCACTTGGCCGTACGAATGGGCGGCATGATGGTGTCTGAGGGAAAGATGAAGAGTCGACAGTGTCCAAGGAGTAGTCGGAAAGCTTATCAGGACTGATAGATGAGATCCGATGTAACAAGAGAGTCTTAGAGACACTTTCCGGGACCATGATAATGAGACTTGAAGGAGTCGACGAAAAGTGAGTAAGAATAGTGAAGGCGAAGAGAGGTGTGCGATAGAGTCGAGAGATGCTGTGACAACTATGATTCTCTTGTTAGTTCTCGTTGGCGACATCACTTTCTGAGAGGTCCTGTTTCTTTTGATAGTATACTGCCTTGAATTAGCCTGCCACATGGGAGATGTGGTGGTACGACCAGACTCGCACAACAGCCTTCCATGTTCAGATGTCTAGAGAAGTCACACAATACAGTCTTCTCGAGACAGACAGGACGCAACATTAGTAATGATGACTCTGTATCTCTTCGTCATCGTCATCATACCTCTCATGTTCCTCTGGCCAATCCGGGGGTCGTGGATCTTCACTCCCTGTACTCCTTGCACTCCTGGTGCGAGTACCACCACAACAACCATCACAACTCTCGAGACTACTTCCATCGACACGCTCATCATAACAGCCACAACTCATCCTGCAGTGACACTCGCAGTCTCCTCGTGGGGAGAACAGCATCGACTTGCCGACAAAAGACTCTATCGCAAACGAAAAAAAAAAAAACTCCACAAAAGACTCGATCGTGAGATATCAGCTCGTCGACAAGAAGTGGGAAGCCGAAAAAAGCAGCAAGATTGCACCGGTGTAGAATTCCTGGTCTGCGTGATTTATGAAACTGCTGTTTCTACCCTCTTGTACATTCTGTGATAGGGTGTATGGATACAAGTACGGTGATGGCTTTGAAGATTCTTCGAAAGGATCCTGCGAGGCCGAGGGAAGAAGAGATAGAACGTGAACGATTGGAGGATGAACTGAGATGCTTGTGAGTCGTGATTCTGCAGACCTGGTAAGACGGATGTTACTCCAATAGCTTCCGATGAGGGTATGAGCTATTTTGAGAAATGCATAATAGGTTGAAAAGACGGAACGGTATCCATTTTGAGCTACTGCTTTGCTTCGAACATGTCGTGTCTTGACTCGACCATTGCTGTTTTGATACAAATGAGAGGCGGTCCAGTTCAAGCTGGAACAAGCAAGCAGTGATGAGAGACATACCTGCCTATCAACGATCAGCAAAAAGCGACAGACTGACTCAGATATTGCAAAATCTTTTTAGCAGAAACCGAAACCCCCTAGCCGCCGTGTTGCTAGATTGGTCAAGAGAAAACGCGCGAGGTTTTCTTCCTTGTTTTTGTCGTGCGAGGATTACTGGAACCCCCTCATGGCATGGTAGATCGGCCTCGCCGAGGATCGAACCGGTGGTCTTGGGCCAAGCTAAGCGGAAGGAACACTACTTTGACCGCTGTGCCATACCACCGGTTCGATGTTGATGTAGCAGATCTGTGGAACGATGATACTGAGGGTGCTTGTTGGGGGTGGTTGCCCTCACTTCACTTCCGAGGACGCTCAGCGGTAGAGGCACCTCCACTAACCTCATCTTGATTGTTCACTCGATGTAAACAAGGCTGAGTGGTATCGATATGATACTATATCTCTCTCGTCACTTCCATCGAGGGCGTGTCTGTGAAGTGCGTCATGGTACTGAGTGTCAGAAGTGTGCTGGGAGTAAAGAAAACAAAAAATCGCTTTTTCTATACCATCATCTTTTTATTTAAATGGATCTTTGCTTGCTGGACTTGAGCTTTCTCTTGCGAGTCTCGGCGTTGCCGTTGGGTTGAGCTGCCGACTTGAGCGTGGCAGTGGCTGCGTCAACACCCTCGGCTTCCTCGGTACCCTCGAGCAGTTCCTCCATCTCGGCGTCAGAAGTCTTCTTGCCAAGCACGGTACCCAGAGACTTGTTGTAGAGGTAGATGGGCAGACGGACCAAGAAGGTGTCGTTGATGGTAGGTCTTTGGATCTCATCGACCTGGCAACTATGTTAGCAAGTGTCAGAGCTCACATTGTAGTTGATACTTACATCCAGGAGGAACTCGTGGAGCTCACCCTCGGCGGTGCGCTCCTCGAGGTAGACGTTGCCGACGCTATCGACGATGAGGACCTTGCCGTTCTCGGCGATAGTGCGCTTCTTTGCGCCAATGGGACCGCTGGTAAGTTCAGCCTCGACAGGAGTGCTGATACCGGAGTTCTTTGCCTGTTCGGCAAGAGTAGCTTTAGCTGGCTTGGGCTTCTTTGCAGCACGCTTGCTCTCACGCTCGGCAGCACGCTTCTCCTTTCTGTTCCAATTCATGGCCTGAGGTTCTTCCTCGGATGAGGGTTCAGGAACGGGAGCTGGCGTGGTGTCAACACCGGCAATGCCTCTGACCTCGTCACCCCAGGCGATACGTCGGGCCTGGCGAATGTAGCGCTCGACAAAGTCGCGGTGCTTCATCCAGTTCATGTAGAGGGTAACGTAGTGGACACCACCACCGAGGAAGACGAAGAGACCGATCATGACAGAGCCGAGACCAGGGCGGAATCTCTGGTAGTAGTAGCCGGTTCCGCGCCATTTGGGGAAGCCGTTACGGAGGAAGTGATCGTAGCGCTGGCGCTCAGCACCACGAAGAATGTTTGTGACTATGCCGAGACGAGCAAAGCGAGCAGAGGCTTCCTTGGCGAAAGCATTGATCTCCTTTTGCGAAGGCTTCTTGTTCTTCTTGACATGCACGGTGGGCTTGTCTCCCTTCTTGGTGTTCTTGACTGGCGGGGCCGAGTCGTAGGTAGCGATGAAGCGTTGACGGGCCTTGTCAGGGTGCAAGACACGGGCCTTCTTCTTGTAGGCAGCGTTGATGTCATCGAGGTTTGCAAAGTCTTTTACACCGAGGAAGGAGTAGAAGGTGGCATTGCTACCCTCGTGCTGGGCGACTTCATCCTGGAGACGGAAAATTTCGTGGTCTGCCAGCTGTCAGTATGGGTGCAGGTCAAAGCGAAGGGAATCGGGCTCACCCTCGGGAGACCAGGCGCAGACAAGGGCAACCAAGCACAAGAGCAAAAGCAGAACAAAACCCTGGAGTCGGGGCATGGTTGCGTTGGTGATGTGGAAGTGTCGGGCTGCAAAGAAATGTGATGGAGCTGCAAGAGCGGCAGAAGTGCCTCTAGTTTCCCCAGACAAGTCGTGTCACCTCCGAGTCGGTTCAGTATTATGTGATATTGATAAGAAGCCTTGCAGCTTGCGGGTAATTCTGTTTCTTCTATTTCAAGGCTGACTTCCAATAGAGGAGTTAGGTCCTCCTTCTTTCTATATTGCAAATCTACCTTGCTGCTGCTGCTATTGCAGTTGATCTCGAGGTCAGCATCTTGGTCGGCTTCAAAGTTCAGGGGCGTCACTCCGCACATTGGTTGCTCCTGAAGCTTCAGCGAGTGTGGCTGAAGCTGTGGCTCATTCAACGACTGTTGATTCCACGTATGTTGCACGCGTAATCAACATAACTCCCTCAGTCTGCTCTTATTAGATTCTTGTCCTTCACTCACTCACTTTCTGAACGATCGCTCTTTCTGCATCTCAAATCGTGAGTTTCACCGACCCAAGTCATCGAGCCCGCAGCTTCCCGTCGTCGACGCTCGCGGCTGCCTTCACATGCAAACAAAGAAATTCTGTTGACTTACGGCTGACTTCCCCTTTTAGCGACAACTTGAAACACTTCTCAACCTCGTTAACTCGACCAACTTCGACCCTCTTTCGACTCCACGAACTTCATCAAGATGCCTATCAACCTTCCCATCGATGCCATCACCTCGCGACTCAACCTGCAGGGTCGCTTTGACAGTGTCCGCTCGCAGTCCGTCGGTTCCCGCTTCGCCAACCTGAAGCCTATCTCCGAGTTCTTCAACTTCAAGCAAATCTCCAAGCCCCAGAACTTTGGCGAAGTCCAGAACCGCGTCAACTACAACCTTGGCTACTTCTCCAGCAACTATGCCGTCCTCTTCGTCATGCTGAGCATCTACACTCTGCTCACAAACTGGCTCCTGACTTTCGACATCCTCCTCGTTGTCGGTGGTATGTACGGTATCGGCAAACTCGAGGGCCGTGATGTCGAGATTGGCAACTTCCGCGCGACCACTTCGCAGCTCTACACCGCTTTGCTCGTCATCGCCGTTCCCCTTGCCATCATCTCCAACCCCTTCGGTTCCGCTCTTTGGCTTATCGGTGCGTCTGGTGTCAGCATTCTCGGTCACGCATCGTTCATGGAGAAGCCTATCGAGTCAGCTTTTTCAGAGGAGGCGGTCTAAATGGTCGGCCGCGGGCTCCGCACGATATGCCCCACTGGGGAAGACCATCCGGGGCTCTTGCAGGGGGAGGTGGAGAATCATGGAAAGATGAGTTTGAGTTGCGCCGGAGGAGGTTTCTGGACGTGGGCGATGAGAGCGATGATGGGCATCAACGTGTCTATCTCGACCCTGCTGCTTTCAAGTCCAGGTCCGCTGATAGGCTGCCACGGGAAGCTTTTGCTGGAGACGATCTGATCTTCACTGGATACGATCTGGGCTCCGCAAGGGGAGAAAGAGGAGTGGATGATAATGCATATGAAAGAAGATACTACCAGCCGCAGGAAGAAGACTATTACCACGACAGTGCCTTGACACGACTGTCGCGCGAGGATGCGCTGGTTCAATCGGCCAGAGAGAAACTCAGAAAGGCACGGGTCAAGGGTAAGACAAACGTCAGCCTGAGCGTCGAGGAGATGGCAGCGTTGGAAGGGAGCAGCACGCAATCCAGAGACACTTCCGAGCCGAGTACACCGAACAAGCACAAGACCAGAGGCAGTCGGTCTAGTAGTACCACGAGCTTGACAAGCACTCGTCCACGAAGGATGAGCACTGGTCTATTCGGCGGTACATCACCATCGCATTCTCGATCCCGAACACCCAAGAATCCGAGAAAACCCTCGAATGAACAACAGCCAATTTCTCGCACTCCGTCTCAACCAGCATTCATGATCCGCGGCCCGGATGGTGTATCGATGTACGCGCCTGCTGATTTCTATCCTTCTTCGGCATCGTCTAGAAGACCCTCGTCAAACGGCAATCGTACGGTCACCCCGCCCTACGAAGCATACTCGGCTCGCGGATTCGGTCCTGAATTGCGAGCGCCCTCTTCAACTTCTAACCGTGCTCTATACGATGAGAACGCATGGACATCCTCGAGTCGACCACCACCAGGAGCGGCATATCCTGATATGTTCGGACCATCTTCCTCGCTCAATTCACAGTCTTACCAGGGATCCATACCTTCGTCAGATGTGTCGTATGCGAAACTGAGGCGAGCACCTCAAGGGTCGCCGCTCTCGAATGTCGAAGCAGCAGCTGACCGACGGGAAAGGGAACTCGAGACGATGTCGGGGGTAAGACCAGCAAGCAGTGGAAGCAGTAGTGATGATTCTGGTGGGCAAGGGGTTAGGATTGAGGTCGAGCCTGGATTCGGGTTGAGGAGGGTGCCGGTATCAAGCAAAAGTGGTACAGTCAGGCGCAGAAGATAGAGTACCAAAAGCGCAGGGACTTGTATTCTATGATTTGTGGTCATTGCGATGTGCAAAAGTGTGACAGACCAGTAGCTATCAGAAGGCACATCTCTCACAAGCGTCCTCTGAGGGTCGTGATAAGATGAAAGATTATGCTCTGGATTTCGTCAAACTCTCAACTAGACTTGATGTGAAATCTGCTTCGTGCTGGTATCAAACCAGCCACTTTCCCATATTCCGGGAGATGCCCAAAGTAAACGCCGTAAACTCCGATACTGAGATGTAAAAGAAACAGGCGATGTGTTCCGACTCGACGCAAAATGTGCCTGCCTCATCTCTCTGTTCTGTAGGTTTCAAAGGCCCTTGAGTGCCTCCTGCTATACCGTTCTCTTTTGCCAACCGTCCAGTCTCCTCTTTCTACACTCGTGCAGTGTTCTTCAGGGGTGTCTCGAGGGACTCGGGTCCTCGCTCAAAAGTAACCGACGATGATGCGCAATAGCTCGAACACGAGACCGCCGCAGACGACAAACAACAAGGCGACTGCAAAGACTGTATTAGTTCTTTCCTTCGCCGAGTTTGGGATCAGGTGTGTGTGTGTGTTGGGGGGGGTCGCAAAAACGTACACAGCCAGAACTTGCTGACGGGACTCTTTTGCGGGACGGTCTTCTTGACGACGGGTTCGGGCTTTCCGCGCTTGGTTTCTTGTTTCTTTGCAAAGGCCTCGTTGGCACGGCGTTGTTGGGGTGTTTGGACCTTGGTTGCGACTCTTGTTAGCTCGTTGTGCTTTACCCTGCTTCTGTCTGGAGGATTATTCGAATACCATTTTGTGAGATGTGAAGTGTGTGGACTGCCGGCAGCAGAGAACGAAGGTCTTATATGAGAGGAGCGAGTATTGTGAGTAATCGATATACGAAGTGGAGAGAGTAGAAGTCAGAAACAACAGATCATCGCACATGGCCACCACAGCCAGCCCGCCAGCCAGCCCCTTCCCCTTCGAGAACACTTGGTCAACTCCAGCAAAAGGCGGAGAGATCTCCCCCACATTGCTTGGCCTGACGTCTCCACCGCGGTGATTTGTTTCGAGACAATCAATCATCCTGAAGCTCTTTCCTCTAGCATCACACAAATCGAGTCAACAACCATGTTGTCCACGATACTCCGCGCATCAAGGATACAGACCTCGAGGTCTTCAATCGCTGCTTTTTCGACGTGTAGACCGCTACGCCAGCAACCGATCTATCAACCACCCACGCCTTCAGAACCGGATAACCCGCATGTATGACGAGCTCCCCGACCCAGCACCACACACCGATATTCACCCTACGTCGTCTCAGCTCCCCCAAACGATAAAAGGCTAGAGTGCTGACTTGAGTGCTTTCCCGCACAGCGCGCATTCTACAAATCCTTTGGCCGTCCGATTGCAAAAGTCTTCTTCATGGCTCTCTTCACATATCAAGTACTACACTACACCTGGATGAGACTGGAAGCCATGGAAGAAAAAGAGGAAATGACTGCAGAGCTGCAAGGGTTGGAGGGTCAGTTGAGGCATTTGGCAAAGTCGACAAAGAAGGCTTGAGAGAATAAAATAATTTCGACATCACATTCAAGAGGGTGCACCACACTCGGACCACCCTCCGATCGTGGACTTCTGTACAGCCATGGTAGAATGCGGTATAGTCTCCGCAGAGACATGCCGAACAGTATATTTCGACCAGCTCTAACGCGTCACGCCCGGCACAGGAACGTCACCTAAGATGTGGTCGCATGAGAGAGAAAGCCATGTCAGAATATCGGATTTGACTACATACAGGCAAGAGTATTGCTGTCATATACATAATTACACCACCTCCGCTTGTTCATGGCATACTCATATCCTGTCTCACAGACCACCATCGATGTAGTAGCTGATAGGGTACTTGAGGAAAGCGCACTGTTCGACCATTAGCTTGGCTTTTCAGCTGTCCGGCATTGTTCGTAGCTCACCTGAGGCAGGTCCTGGAAGTCGGAAGTCACCGAAGGGAAATCGAGCAACTTCATCGGGCCCTGATCATTGGCAACGGGCAACCAGGGTCCGCTCTGCTTGACTCCCTGGGTGGTGTTGGTATAGCCGCGGACCTGGAGGTAGGCGGCTGGTGGGTTGGGGTCGAGTGTGCGGACGAAAGAAGCAAAGTAGCCACTCTCCAACTGCACGGACTTGAGGTCGTTGGCATCACGCAGAGGTTGGAGGTTTCCCTTCAGTCCCGTTTCAGCAAATCATCTTATCGAATCTGTTTCAGCATCACTTACGAAAACCCAGGGCATGTCAGAACCGTGAAGCTTGAAGTATGGCTTCTCGGGGTTGCCGTAAGGGTATCCCGGCTCGACTGGAGGTCCGCCGAGGTTGTTAGGATCATATCCGCCGCTTGTTCTCTGCATCTGGTAGAAGTACGATGTCTTGAACGCGCCTGACTCGACACCTGAGTATACGGTGGCTTAGTCAATGCAACGGAACTGGTTGTCAGTGGCTACTCTCTGGGAAACATTGAACGAATCTAGAGTCACGTTGCCAGTGTCATAGTAGGGGAAGAGACCCGAGTCGATGATGGACTGTGCCTCTGCCTGCGTGATGCCCAAAGCAACCTCAATACCTTGGAGTTCGCTGGTCACAGGAGTCTTGGGGTAGGTCGAGAAAGATGCACCATCGTTGGCGGTGGTTCCCCAGATAGTGTTGACATTGGCAGCGCTGCCGTTGTGGTTGTACACGTCCAGAGTCTCGGTGTTGACATAGGTTCCGTCTTGGACCACATATCTGGCAACAGTGGCAGCATTGACGATAGTCTGTGCAGGAGTAGCTCTCAAGCACGAGATACGAGCATCGAGAGTGGTCTGGTTGCAACCAATCTCGCCGAAAAGAGCTTCAGAGCGTGCGTACGACTCGGCAGGGGTCAAGAAAGAGCTGTAGGTTGTTGCATAGTCTGGGAAACAGGTCAGCATACACACTGTGAGGTACCAAATCCGCCCAAATGGTACTTACTGCCAGTCAAGCCAAGGTCGACACCGCCGCCCAAGTTGGACATGGCAATCGAACCCCTGAACTTTCCAATAGCCTTGGGAGAGCCCAGAAGAGTACGCACAGAGCCAGCGCCTGCCGATTCACCATTAATAACGATCTTAGAGGCGTCTCCACCGAAGCTGGCGATGTTCTTAATGACCCACTACACAGTGTTAGCTAGTACCGCACACGAAAACTGGAGACAGCACATACATCGAGACCAGTAACCTGATCGGAGATACCGTAGTTTCCGGTGATGTTGGTTCCAGGAATCGCAAGGAAACCAAGGGTGGTCAAGCGGTAGTTGATCTCGACAACAACAATGTCTTCTCTCGATGCCAACTGACCACCATCACTTCCAGCGCTAGCACCGGACCCACCAGTGAAACCTCCACCGTAGATCCAGAAATGGACGGGTCTCAAGTTCTTCTTGGATCCAGCCTTGGGGATGTAAGGAGTCTGGATGTTGACGAACAGGCAGTTCTCACTGCTGGAGCTCTCATACGGCTGCGCGCAGTCAGGTCCGTACTTGGTTGCATCAATAGTCTGACCAGTCTTGGAGTACAGGGTCGAGTAGGCGAAACGAGCTGGTGGGTCTGCGAAGGGTATGCCCTGGAAACGGAAGGACTTCTTGTTTCTGAAGCCTACATAGGTGTTTCCGGAGGACGCAACCTTGATTTCGTTGGACGCAGAAGCAACAGCATTGCTCGGAGTGTTGCTCTGGCTGGACTGGGTGCACAGCACGGGCAGGACATTGCCCGGGCCGGCTTTGGCGAACTGCAACTTGTTGTTGTGGACTTCCACTGTTTGTCCACTCGCGATGTGCCACTTTTGGTCCTGTGTCGAGCGACCAGCATAGAATGCATACGAGAGCTGGTTGACAAAGTCCTGAGAGTGTGCTTGCAGAGCCGATTGTGAGATGAGGGTCTCATTCAAGGCTGCACAGCCAGCGGCTGCATTGGCAACAGTCGATGGGTCCAGCAGGATAGCACTGATATGGTTGACATCGTCGGTGAAGTTGAGATTGTTTTGGTAAAGCAATGTCAAAGAAGATTGCGAGTTGGAAAGACCAGAAGGAGAAGGAGCAATTGCTGCTGCCAAAGCATAAGGCAGGCAGGCAGCGGCTGCCGTCAGAACAGCGAGTTGCTTAACAGATGCCATGATGGAAGTCTTGGCCTTTGGGTTTGCTGTCTCGGTCCCAGACGTGGTCTTATAGGTTTCTTCCATCCCTCAGATTATTGCCTCTCCTTCTTTCATTACCGTGATATTCGATGCATCATGCATACTTTACTTTAGCCTCGATGAAGCATTTACCCCGTCTCCACACGGACTACCTTAACCTCGCTTGGGACGGCATGGTCCCTCTTCATGTGCTAAAGTTTGTAACGCGCGCACCTGTAGAAACGCACAGTGACTTCGGGATCAGGAGGGATCCATTGAGAGTTGTGAGGTAGATGGCTCTCTGTGGACTTCTCCTACCCTCTAGAGATACTTGTGCATTTCTATAGTAATTACCACGCTCTAAGCCTTGGTAGGAGAACCGTGGGAGGGCTGTGGGAGTTACAAACTTTGGCACACGGAAAGGTCGGACATGCGGCAGTTGCTTAGACACCATCTAGATTTTGCATCTGGAAAAGTCTACGTATTCGCGTGCGTAGGGCAAGGCCATCTCCTGCACCCTGACCATATTTCCCCACTATGGACTGCACCGACACATGCGGCTCTGCAATAGTCAGAGGATATACCATTTAGCCGCGAGAAGTGGTGTGTCATTTGATCGGTCGTCCCGCTCTCGGAGATGGAAGCTTTCCCACGGGGTCCCCTCGTTCCGCGAGACGGGCCGTCGTGTGGAGAACACCGCTCGCGTGCAAGCGATCTGTCGACCAAGAATCATGCAGGTACGTTGGAAGCTTGGTTCAGGTATTTAGCCAAAAGGCTTTCGAGAAGGGCAGACAATCAACTCTGTTACACGAGATTGCCGGTGTGATCTCGTCAACATAAGCACCTCGCTCTCGCTTTCGAAAAGCAGCACTGCGTTGCAGATCACAGTGGCGAGACATCAACCTCTACATCCGCAGAGAGAGTATGTATGTATCTACAGAAGACACAAATCACTAGAGACGCTATATTATTAATGATCATCTACTCCATGCCAGCCCAGAAGCCCCAATCTATATCTTGGAACTCAAGTCCGAGAATCACATTGAGGTCCTCATCAGTCATGACTGGTTCCAGGGGCTGCCCGACGACCTGAATCTGCGGGTCTGTCGCGACCGCATGCCTTTGTGCGAGAAGAGGTTCTAGTACAGAAATACACATCGGGGTATAAGCGGAGGGATCAGCTGCCTGGCGAGCCTTCCAAGCGTTGGTTATCAACTCAGCTGCATGTAACTTCCTGCGATCCTCTGGAAGGTCAAGGAGGTTTTTGTTATGTGTGTATAGGTCAGAGAGCAAATCCCAGATACGTTGAGCTTTGGGCGAGCCTTTGAGTTGCATGACTTCGACAATTACGCTGATGACTAGGAGATGTCAGTATCATATACCTAGTTTGATGGGTAATGTTTTGACTCACATGCATGCCACTGGAAGTATCCATTGATGAACCAATGGAAACGTTGTATCTCAGGTCTGGAGTTCAAGGCAATGTTATATTCTAAAGTCTTGAAGGCCATTTCCACCAGCTGGGAGTGTCGCTCTTCTTCGGACATGTCTGCGCTGCCACTAAACGACATGGGATGTAAGGTGAACATGCGCATGGTACATATTAGTGCTCTTGATGTGAGTTGTATCATGATGTCGAGCGGCTTTATCGGATCGCAGTATTGCAGGAACTTCTTGTTTAGGCCGTCCTCCATGATCTGTAGGAGCGTGTTCTTCCTGGTGTGAGACAGAGTCTTGTTAGCTGCCCAGGAGATTCCAAGTTTGCCCTTGTTCTCTGCGAAGAATTCTCTCTGTTGTGACACAATCCAGTATGTCCATAAGCAGTATGATAAGCTCGTCAGACTTTTACGCTCTGCTGGAGGTTGGGTCATATCAGGTTGAAGGTCGTCATCTTCGATATTGAGTGGGATTCGAGCATCCCATGCAGCCATCAGTGTCAGTGGTGTCGTGCCACAACGAACACCCAAAGCAAGATCGAAGTGCTGTAGATGCCACCACAATCGACGGCGGCTTTCAGTCTCGACTGGATCCAACCCAAGTAGAGCACCATCGCGGTGGATGCCTAGTTTCTCGGCGTTGCGTATTGTGAGACCCATCAGTGAGAACAAGCTCTGTATACTCAATCTTTCCATGGAAGCGGCCTAGACATCTATTAGCAGGGCTTGGGATAAAGAGTGAACGCGACTCACTATATATAGAAGTATTGCTCTGATTAGGGTAGTGTTCGTGATGCAGAATATGTTGCTGCGCGATAACGCCTGCTCGCAGATCGCCTGATAATGAGATAGCAGCACTTGCTTAGGCTGGCGCAAGACTCTTGTACATTCTTCTTCAGGTAGACTGACTACACTCATCAGGTAGACACAGAACACAAAAGCATGGTCTTCGTCTTTCAGTTGCATTCGGCCTTCGGGTGTTGTCGAGGTGGATCGCACTTGTTTCAGAACCCAGTCAAAGTCGATTTTAATTAACGGATTTGCATTGCGCTCGAATTTGTCCCAAAGAAAGATGGCGTCCTGGGTAGTAGGGTGCTGTGCTACGAGATCTGTGGCATAGTCAGACCGCAACAGACCTTTCAAAGCATCCGGTTTGGTCCTCGATATGAGAGGTCTACTCATCAACACATCGTGGTTGTGTCCATTCTGTTGGTTGTCTTCTTGGCCAATATGAGAGTGCCAGGCACGCAACTCGACGTAGTAGCTTTCTCCGTTCTGCTCTAGCATAATGGGCTGTCCACGTTCGACTTCGGTGGTGTCGCGAGTATCCTGGGCATTTTGTGTTTCGGTAGGTGGAGGACCTGTCCTCGGCCGTTTCGATGGCCGATCATCTTGACTATCCGGGTCTCCGCCGAGGCTTCTCACAATAGATTCTAGTTTTTTGATGCGGTCGATGGGAGTTGCCTCGGGGTAGATGCACTGGTCCTGCTTCCTTCGCTTACAATTCGAGCATGGCTGTTGTTTGTCGCATCGAACCTTCCGTCTCGAACAAGGTTCGCAAGCTTGACTGCTCATCGCGAAGCTTCGGCGAGTTTTGAGACCGCAATATGCGATTACTGGCTCCACGAGATATTCGGTTGCTAACCTGCGAAGGAGCTTGCGCAAGCGACCGAGCGAACAGACAGTGCTTTCTCCATGTGCTAAAGTTTGTAACTCTTACCCTTCTTCCTTGGAGGTGCACACCGCGGTCTTCCTTATAGAAATGCACAAAGTTTTCCGAAGTACAGACTTGTCCAGAGAGATCTGACGTACTGCTTTGTTTTCGATGATAAGTGTCTGTTTCTGGAAAGTATTGTGCATTTCTACAGCTAAACGTGTTACAAACTTTTGCACAAGGTGGGGAGCAGAAACTTCGGGGAGCTGTCCCCGAGGCTGCAACACCAGATTACTCGGGGGCACTGCGAATCAACCACTTTCCGTCATCACATCATGCTATGCCTCAAAAACTATATAGAAGGCGTCTCTCAGCAGCTATTGCCATGCTCAACTTCACCCTCAGACCCAACAAATCGAACTCTCAACCATGGAGGACAACAGCACGCAAGTTAGCTTGAAGGTCTCCTCCAGCGCTGGCAATGATGGAAAACTCCATGACACAGAGCAGCAAGATGACGAAAAGATATATCCGCCCAAGAAAGTTGTTCTTCCAGCTATGGCTGCTATCTACCTGGCAGTGTTTCTTGTTGCACTTGTATGTCTTTACCACTGTACTATGAACATTAGACTTACCGTCATACAGGACAGAACAATCATTGGCACAGCGGTGCCTTCCATCTCGAACCACTTCAACAGCTTTGGAGACATAGCCTGGTACGAATCAGGTTTCCTTCTTCCACTCTGTGCTCTACAGCTATCGTTTGGCCTTGTGTACACGTACTACCCTTCCAAATGGGTTCTGATCATCCTCGTCTCCATATTTGAGATTGGATCGATAATCTGTGCCTCTGCGCCTTCAAGCAATGCTCTCATTGTTGGAAGGGTAGTACAAGGAGTTGGTGGAGCAGGCATCGGGTCCGGGGCTATCATACTTATCAGCAAGCTTGTGCCTCTCCAAGCTCGACCTCAGTGGACTGAGGCATTGGTGCTGTGTTTGGGCTCGCGAGTATACTTGGGCCGCTCCTGGGAGGCTATTTGACTTCGATTACCTGGAGATGGTGCTTCTGGATCAACGTCCCGATTGGTGGTGTGTCATTAGCATGTCTTGTGTTCTTCACACCAAACAGCCCGTCTGCTATCAAGGCTGCTCCGACCTGGCGTGGGAAGCTCAACCAGCTCGATCCGCTGGGTTTCATCCTTGTAGCACCTTCAGTCATCTGCCTACTGTTCGCTATCGAGTGGGGTGGTTCAAAGTATCCTTGGAACAGCGGTCGTATCATCGCATTGTTCGTCGTCTTCGGCGTCCTCCTCCTCGCCTTCATAGCTTCTCAAGCCTGGCGCGGAGACAAAGCAACCCTGCCTCCAAGAATCTTGCGACAGCGCAGCATAATCTCTGCATCCCTGGCGAATGTAGGGGTTGGATCTCTGCTCGTCCTCTACGCCTTCTACCTCCCAATCTGGTTCCAGGTTATCCAAGGAAAATCGCCGCAAAAGTCTGACCTGTCGCTATTGCCGCTTCTCCTCAGCAATGTGTTTGCAGTTATATCGTGTGGTGTCTCGACGAGTGTTGTGGGATACTACACGCCATTCCTGATTGTCGGGAGCGCGCTATTGATTGTAGGGTCAGCACTGATCACGACATGGTCGGTAAGCATTGGGTCAGGAACATGGATTGGATATCAGGTGAGCTTCTTATACTTCTTTGCTGGTGGAACAAGAAGCTGACTCGGAACAGATCATCACAGGACTGGGACTCGGTGCAGTCTTGCAAGGTCCGAACATAGCAGCACAGACTGTCCTTTCGGATGCCGACGTATCTATTGGCTTGTCTTTCTTGCAATTTATCAGCTTCTTCGCAGGCAGTACCTTTATCATGGTCTCACAGACACTTCTTGAGAACAGCTTGGTCTCCGGGTTGAAGGACATATTACCCAACTTGGATCCTAGCACTATATCAGGTGGGGGAGCAAGCACTGTCCAAAACTTGGTGTCTTCAGACCAACTTCCGATCGTGCTTCGAGTCTACAACGATGCGCTCAGATCGGTCTGGTACCTGGGCCTGGGACTGGCTTGTCTTGTGTTTGTGGCGTCATGGGGTTTTGAGTGGAAAAGCGTCAAGGCAAAAACGCAGGGCGGCGTCAACGACAAAGTGTGAGATTGACGAAGCGAGATGATCAAGGACTAAGTGGAGTAGCTGTATTGACATGATAGTCGTCAGATAATCTAACTGTGACCTTCCACCTCTTTCTTGATACGGACCTGCATCTTCAGACTTGAATCATCAAGGCTGTCCTTGGGCTTCTTCAGCGACTCGGTGTACTCGGTCCAGAGGTCGTCAACGCTTTGTCCGAACAGGTCCTTCCAAAAGGTATCCTCATGGTATTTCTGGTGACACAAAGCTTGGTTGATGACATATACACTGCCCGTACCTCTGGACTTCTCTATCCAGTCGAGGAAGTAACCAGTGTTCTGATAACCAGTATCCCAACTCTTGCCAGCCTCTTTCTTCCAGTGCGGCGGCACGAAACCAGCATTCAGACGTACCCAGTCGGCAATACCTTCGATGAGGCCTCCGTTGCAGGTGTTTTTGGCATTCCACTGGAAACAGTGGACCAGCTCGTGGCAGACGACACCGAGGATCTCGTCACGGGCAGTGTAGCCAGCTCTCGCCGATGCAACGTGGTTGAGGTAAGACAGCGAGAGGTGGACCTCTTTATGATCGTTGTCGATGTCGGAGCCAGTGGTGTAGGCAACGCCATCCATATCGCGTAGGATCAACGTGACGGAGCGCGTGCCAGGGATCTTTGTAGTCGAAGGCGTGGGTAGACTGGTCGTGGGATCGTCATGGTTGGGAAAGGTGTAGAGTCGCTTCAAAACCACGTCGACGAGGTCGGCAAAGTCTTTGGCGCTGTTGAAGTTCTTGAGGAAGAGGTCGGTAGACTCGTGGGAGAGGTCGCGGAGCTCGAGGCGCAATTTGACTTTGGGAAAGTCGGATGGCTTGGTTGACGTCGGCTCGGGTTCGCGCGTTGGTGTTGCCAGTGTGGGAGGTGCCTGCGATGGCGTGGGTTCTGGAGGAACTGCAGACATGGTTTGAAAGTACGGAGTTGCTGACGATGTAGACGACATTGAGTAGATGTTTAGCGATATATATTTGCTGTTGATTGTCTCTGACCTGGGTAAATCCATGTCTCTCCACACAGACGTTGGAATGGTGCAGCCTCAAGATTCAGGGTCCATATAGCATTTCATGCGAGAGGTTTGAGACACCTACCGTAGCGCGAAGGTGCGCAAAGAGATGTTCATGAAGCGCTCCACCACTGAGAGCAGTGCAGCTGTCTTTATTAGCAGTCTAAATCATTGCCAAAGGCTCTGATTCTCGTAGATCACTATGCATGTGCTCGTTATCCTCTGAGCTTGAGCATATCTGTGAGCTACTTAGAAGGATGAGATATACAGAGACGAAGTCGGCTCGAAAGGGAGGAAGATCAAGCGCTTCAGAGTAGTCCTGGTATATGCCAATTCGACATTCGACATGGATGGCTTCTTCACTTGGCGCAGAGCTGGGATCTTCTATGGACTCCGCTTAGTAAGCGAAAAGCCGTGCACAGACCGCACCAAGCCGTATAAAACTGTTCGCTCTCTCGCCCTCTTCTTTCTCTCATTAGTCGACTTTACTGTGAGTTACCACCACCCTTCAGTGACTACCACACCTTTTAAACATCATACTGACCTCTAAAACAGTCATAGAATCATTTTCTTTATGTAACTTCAACATCTGAACTCTTCAAAAGAGCCACAGAACTCCAACCTGGCGGATGAGATACATCCCCGGCGCCTTAGAGTGATACCAAGTGCTTTGGCTCCGGCCTCAGCGGTGATGATCTCGACCCTTTTGAGTGTCTGGCTTCGGTCGGCTTGACTGGGTAGGCGCCGGCGGACTTCTGACAGGCCTTTTATCTTCTTTCATTTTTTCATCAATGTTTTGGCTTTACGCTGAATTTTGGAGAAGAAGTTTTTCGATCGACTGTGCAACACCACCTGCAGCAGTCGCGACGCGCTCGAAAGCGTCGAAACATAAACTCCTGGACGCCTTCGCAAATTTCTGCCAGCAAATTTTTGTATCACCATGTAACAAGCAAATACCACCCATTGCATACCGTCCTTTCTAAATCGATCCACGTATATGGCAATCTATCTTTGGAACGCTGTGCCTTGCAGTCGCGCTTTGTTGACTGAAAGAGGCCCTCCTCGCGCACCTCGACTAGTCCTTCGCTTCCTCTATGAGATCGATCTCCCTCCAGCATCTCGGTTTCGCTGCAGCAACCCTACACGATTCCAAAGCTGATCTCTTTCTCGGCCGGAACCTCACGTCGTGGTTCTGGAGCCCTGGCTCTGACACCTCTTGGGGCAAATCTGCGTCAACTCAGTTCGATTTCTGTCCATGAAATCGATTCACCAGACCGAGATGCAGCTCGGCCGAGCAGTCCGGCGAGTGACATTTCTCATGGCATCTCCTCGCACGTCTGCCATCGCTCTCTGCGAACACAGCCCTGACTGACATGGCCCGCTCGAGCTCGTACTTCCAGCAAGCGAGCAGATCATCGTGATGGCACTGATCTAGCTGAAGGACGCTATGCACTTTAGAGACGCATTCCCCCTGTGAACAGGCCCTCACCACGTAAGACCGACATGGCTGGTATCCGTAATTGGGTCCGACACCGCAATACACACGGAAGCTGCAATATATATAGTAGGCCTACTACTGCCAGAATGCAGATTTGCTATCAATTTCACCTTTGCTCCAACAGCATCTCTCCGCTCAATCAAGACATGCGTGTTTCTACCCTCGCCACTTCGGCCACGGCTGCTGTTGCTCAGGCTACTTCTCTGAACCAAGTCTGCACCGTCTCGCACGTTCGCGACTCGCTTCCTGAGAATGGAACCTACCTATTCTACCCGTCAACCGTCACCGCCAATGCCGTTTACAATACCACTGTCAGCGGCCAAACCTTCTTCCCTGACGCTACCTTTGACTACTGCAACATCACGTTTGCATACGGACATGCAGGAAAAGACGACAGGGTACTCCAAGAGTATTGGCTCCCTTCTCCTAGCAAATTCAAGAACAGATGGATGAGTACTGGAGGTGGTGGTTTCGCTGTAGGTTCCCAGCGACCTTAGACTTGAGCAGTAATGTTGACCCTTCTCTAGATCAACTCCGGGTCCAACTCTCTACCTGGTGGTATCATCTACGGTGCAGCTGCAGGTATTACTGATGGTGGCTTTGGAGACTTCAGTACCAACTACGACGCTGTCTCGCTCTACGCGAACGGCACTCTGAACTACGACGCTCTCTACTCTTTTGGGTACCGTGGCATCAGAGAGCTTACTATAATTGGTCGCGAGTTTACCGCCAGTTTCTTCGGGACCGGAGAGAAGGTGTACACCTATTACCAGGGCTGTTCTGAAGGTGGACGCGACGGCTGGAGCCAAGTGCAACGCTTCTCGGACGCCTTTGACGGTGCCATCATTGGAGCCCCTGCCATTCGCTACGGCCAGCAACAGGTCAACCACTTGTTCGCTAACGTCGTCGAAAAGACCCTTGACTATTACCCACCACCATGCGAACTCCAGAAAATTGTCAACGAGACCATCACCTTCTGTGACCCTCTTGATGGTAAAACTGACGGCGTTATCGCACGCTCCGATCTGTGCCAGATCCACTTCAACCTCAATTCTACAATCGGGAAGTCATACCATTGCGACGCCACAGAGGCCACTAGTCTTGGGTTCGGCTTTGGAAGCAAGCGCAAGCGACAGATGGGTGGCGGCTCAAGTACCGAACCAGAACAAAATGGCACTGTATCTGCTCAAGCTGTTAAGCTCGTCCGCACCATCCTCAACGGTCTCCACGACTCTGAAGGCCGACGTGCCTACATCAACTACCAGATTGGTGCTTCCTTCGAAGATGCCTCAACTACCTACAACATCAACACTAGCCAATGGGGACTGGACATTGCTTCAACTGGTGGAGAGTGGGTCGCTCGTTTCATCAACCTGGTCGAGGCATCCAATCTCGACACACTTACCAACGTCACTTACGATACCTTGAAGGAATGGATGATTGAGGGCTGGTACATGTACGAAGATGTACTTCAAACCACCAACCCTGACCTCTCTGCTTTCCACAGTGGTGGCGGCAAGATCCTGACATTCCATGGCGAACAAGACGACTCCATTCCTACTGGCTCATCCGTCCACTTTTATGAGTCTGTGCGAAACACGATGTACCCTGGGCAAGCCTATAACCACAGCGTCGCTGCCATGAACGATTGGTACCGTCTCTACATCGTCCCAGGTGCTGCCCATTGCTCGATAAACTCTTTGCAGAGCAACGGACCCTGGCCTCAGACCACGATGGCACAAATGATCGACTGGGTTGAGAATGGCAATGCTCCTAGAACCTTGAATGCCACAGCTATCTCTGGTGATATGGCCAACTGGCAATTGTGCAGCTGGCCTCTGCGTCCCATGTACACGAACAACGGTACCAAGCTTGAGTGTGAGTATGACCAGGCCAGCATTGATACTTGGATCTACGACTTCAATGCATACAAGTTGCCTCTGTACTAAGTAACTCGTACATGCTTGACCTTGGGTCGAGAAGGGAATATTGTTGTGACGATCAACACAGGTGGTCGATAAGTAACTCGGTAGATGTTCGGGAGAGACACATTGCGCAATCAGTCCCTTGTGGAGGTGGTTGAGGGGCTTTCCGACTCTCTCTGCAACTATTAATCTATTCGCATGTTCGATCTTCATTTAAACTGCCTGGCTGTGACAGATCTTGACAGTATCGCATGCGATACTCCAGTCTTCGTCATGGACTGAGATCCAGTGGGTGATGCGACACGAAAGGCTGGGTACAACTTGGCACAAACAAAGACACAGCTCGTACAGTAATCCGAGGGCGCCTGAATGCACACCCTCAAAACGCCTAATGTCAAACAACAACACACTGTACAATTTAGCAAGCTATAACATGCTAGTCGCTTAGCTCTTATACATCAAACACGGCGAATTTTCGCCGACACTAGCCATGAGTCGGACGCAGGGTATATAACGTCAGATATTGCTTCTCCACGCTGCCCAAGATTTACCAACTTCCATTCAACTCAACCACCATCAAGAACTATGTCTCTCCAGGACAAGATTGCCGTTGTGACCGGAGCTTCGCGTGGCATTGGTGCTGCAATTGCTAAAGCCTACGCTAAGGAAGGTGCACACGTGGCTATCGTCTATGCCTCACCCTCGAGTACCCAACAGGCAGAGGCTGTCAAGAAAGAGATTGAAGAGCTAGGCCGCAAAGCAATCTTGATTCAGACAGATCTGATCAAGCCAGACTGCGGAGACGTCGTGTTACGAGAGACGTTGAAAGGCTTCAACACTGAGACCATCGACATTCTGGTCTCAAATGCTGGCATATACAAAGAGAACCACACACTAGAGTTCGATGCGGACCTCTTTGACAGGTAAGTTGGCCCTTGAGCTTAGCAGCTACAACATGCTGACTTTTTGGAAAGAACAATGGCGATCAATGTCCGGGCTCCGGCATCACTGGTCAAGTCAATCGCTCCCGCCATGCCCAGAGGCGGCCGCATCGTTGTCATCTCTTCCATGGCAGCCACCTGGGCGGCCCCCAATATGGACATCTACAGTGCGAGCAAGGCAGCTATCAATGCAATGATGAAGTGCTGGGCCATCTCATTGGGCAAATCTCACGGTATCACCGCCAATGCTATCAACCCTGGTTTCTTCCCTACAGACATCAACGCTCACTTTTCGGATGAACTATTGGAGATGTTCAAGAACAAGCAGGCTGTTGATCATCGTCTGGCTGATATGGATGACATGACTGGTTTGGCTGTCTTCTTGGCCAGTGAGCAGTCTAGATGGATCACTGGAGAGACTATCGAATGTTCTGGAGGTTCGGCACTAGGGTAGATACACGGAATGTCTCGATGGGTGATTCGCAGGTTGCGTTCCTTGGATCTTCTTTTGTGCATCAAAGGACCATCGTGGCTTCCAGGTTTGATACGTGAGCTGGATTAGAACGAAGTCCGAAGAAAGTGCAAGAGCATTTCCATCGTCGTACCTCCTTCCAAGGTACATTGAGGTTGTTTATTCATCTCTTGTCGAAACTTTACATCCCCGACACCAGTCCGATATGTCGATTCTTGTCATTCTCCTGTCATGACAGCCTACTCGAGTTCCTGCGTACCCATTGTCTTGAACATCTTCTAGAATCATTATGTCGTTGATGGATGCCATGTCTGTGACATCACCTTCCATTGACATGGCACAGGTCGATTCCCTTGTCTGCAACACGTTCATGAGATATATTATGGTCTTTTGCACCATGGTGTTCCGATCTCCGTCAACCTCCAGACTCTTCCCAGCCTCACAACGGCTACTTCGCAATGACTGGAAGTAGGAGAAGCAGTCGCCATCACCCAACAGCAGAAAAAGACAAGTCCGATCTTACCAAAGTGCAAGATGATCCCAAGAGTCAGCCTAAAGAAGGCAGCACCTACAGCGAAGCAGAAAGCAACGTCAAGAAACCCAAGAAAGAAGTCATCGGAGGTGTAAGAAGAAACTTGCTTGACGATGGTTTGGAGTTCCATTACACACATGCCGATAGTTGGGTTTCCGGGGGCGAAACTCCTCCTGAGCTACTGAAAGTATGGGCAAAAAAGCAGATGCGCCCCTCTTCTCGCCCAAACCAAGACCAACACTCGAATTCCGAGGTCAACGGTGTCAAAAGGGATCTTACTGTCGGACTCTTGGTCAACTACAGAAAGAAGGGCAGGAACAGGGCAGGCAACTCTCTGCCCTTCCAGTGGGTTCCCGTTCGTGCAGCATCTCCCAGAGCGGTATCAGCATGGGCAAAGGCCGAAAAAGAGCGCACCGAGGAAACAATCAAGCACCTACAAGAACATCAAATACCCCCCGACATCGCAAAGCATCTCTCCCAGCTGGAGGATCTACTTGACGGAGAAATCATGTCGCCAACCAAGCCAGATTCGACGGGCGACTCCCCAGTTGAAGATCAGGACACCAGAATTCCACCTCATCCTCCACACTACCCATTGCCTACAGCTTTCAAAGGCAAATGCGACAACGCAACACAGCCATCCTCGACTCTCGCCCACACGAATCTTGTCGTGGCTTGTCAAGCAAGCAAACATCTTTCGAACGGCCCATCATCAGATCTCTCCCACCACCTCGTCTGCACCGCCTGCCACGACAATCCTCCAACCCAGCGCCTCACCCAACACGAAAGTGATCACATCATCAGAGACAAGGGTCTTTTCCCTCTCTGTTCCTTCTGCACAAACACCTGGTCTGAGCGCGATGATGTCGGTCACAAACATACGAGCAGCAACTGCACCTGCGCAATTCAGCTTCCTCAGTGGCTGTGTGCTGACTGCTGGGTCGAGATGGCGAGAGCACGATCTCGCAGAGCCGATGGATGTGATGATTGTGGTCGCGTGAGAAGTGAGAGGGAAAAGAACAACTGCCTGAGATGCGGAGGACGGTGTCAACGAACAAAAGTGCATACTCTTTGTGTGCTGGAGTCTGCAATTGTCACGCTCTCTCCACGAAGTTTTGAAGCGGCGTCCACGCTATGAAAACACACAACAATCCCTAGACTAAAGAAGTATCAAAACACTGCCTGAACTTTGCCAGATCTCCATGGGTACAATTGACTTTTCTGGGACCATCGTGCGTCTCTATAGCCTCTTTCATTACATGCTGTTGTACATAGGAGAGACGAGGAACCTCATGTTGATAGAATCTATCATGTTGTGTTCCAAACGAATTGTCTTTTCTCATATACAAGCAAAGAATGTAGCTCTCAACAACCAAGTCTCAGAACTCTGCCCATTCAAGCCAACTCTCAGCGACGCCCAGAAGGACACCTCTCCTATCGCTGCGGATAATCTCCTCGAACTCTGCCAGATTCAGCATCCCAGGTCCTCCACGCTTGAGTATTTCCTTTTCTGCTTCGTCTAAAAGAACCAATCCTCTGAGTCTCTCTCGGGAGGGCGTATCGAATTGCTCTGCTTTTCCAGGTCGGAATGGTGCAAATACCGATGCTGACGAGTCCATATCTGGAGTGGAGAAGGGAGCTTGTAGATGCCGTGTCGAGGGCGAGTTATGGGGTAGATCGTGACTTTCGTCGACAGGAATGTCTTCCAGTGCCGGCATGTCTAGAAACGTTGACTCTTCAAGTGTGCTTGGAGGATGCTCGTCTGTGTCAGAGCTTGTACCGTCGTGCTGAGTCATAGGCGTCGGGCCGTCGATGATGTATCCCGATTGCGCTAACAAATCATCAAGCGATTGTTCTCGAATGTTTGATTCCAGGTCCTCGAGGTCGGTGTCAAGCGTTTGGCTTTGCTGGACGATATGCTCTTGTAAATCCATGGCAATCTCTCGTGGTGTAGGCAATGTCGCGCTTGCACCGGTAGATGTAACCTGCAGTAATGTGTCTCCGAGTGTGGTTGGGTCGTGCTGTCGCTGGAGGCCGTACTGTTCCGGGTGATTGGCCGCATTTGCAATAGCCATCAAGGGATCCACTTTGGAGCCAGCAACGAGTTCTTCGTGCCGAGCCTTCTCTTCTCGGACATGTTCATCGATTTCCTTGCGGAAGTGACGTCTCTCCTCTCGACTGAGTCGCACCTGCTCGGCCAATTCTTCCTTCTGTGCGAAGATGGGATCGATAAGCTCATTCAGACCCTCCTGTACGACCTGGAAGATCACTTCGGTGCCAAAGTCTTTCTCGGCTGCAGGAACCTCATAAGCACGGCCTCTCTCAAGTATATCAGCAGGCAATGGGACCATCAGATCTTCATCTTCTGTACGTGTCGCTGGAGTTGTTCTTCCATTTGCATCTAGAAGGTCTTGATGCCACCTTTGTTCAGGTCCATCAGGTGAAGTACGACGCCGGACTTGACGAAAGTCTGTATCAACCATGAACCTTGGCTCTTCCCCAACCTCTGTGCCGTCTATAGTCACGACATCTGATCTGTTCAGACTGTTGGTGAATGCTGTGAGCTGCTCCACCGACAGCGTATCACTCTGAGCCCCGTTATCCGGCAAGGCATCGACGCCGTAGCGATGAGCTATCGCGCCAAGGAGACTCGAGTCTGGGAGTTCTAGGCCATCCGGCAGCGCAGTGGTTGCAAAAGGCCCAGCATCTGCTCTGATCTGACTCTCACCAAATCGATCGTTGACTTTCATGGTAGGTAGTCTTGTTTGCCCGGGCGGGACATCTTCTTGTGCGAAGGCTGCGCTGATGGGTTGACTTGATTGGACGATGTTAGCTGTGTAGGTGACCATATCAGACTCTGCGGTGCGAATCGAGTCTTCGACCAGCCTCTTTTGTATGGCGTACTTGGCGCTGAGCATACGGATGAAGTCTCGACGACTGACGTATCCGTCACCATCAAGATCGTAGCCAAGGAAGACTCGTCCTAACGAGCTCTGCTTATCGGGTCGACGAAGGTAAGCTATACCGAGCACGTACTCTCTGAAACCGATCAGTCCATTACTGTCAGTGTCGTAAAAATTAAACATTCGGTCGTAGAGAAGATTCGGTTCCACGGGCCGGGTCCATGTAGGGGATATCATGAGTTTGTTGAAGGCACGGCGATCCGCAGCGAAACCGATTTGCATGGGATCCTAACAATGGTGAGCGAGGTGGACATGATCGCATAGGCAAGATATCACATACCTCTGGGTAGTTAGAGTTGACTTTGCATGTAAATTGATCGTAGAAGACCTGAATCTGCAGATCTTCAAAGCCCGAATCGACAGCTAATTGTCTCTTGAGCGAACTCCTGAGAGCTGGCCAATGCGTCATTGATTCACCAGGGTAGGAAACGTCTTGAACCTGGTAATTTTGCCCCAGGAAGGAGATAGGAATCCTGATCTTCGTGAAAACGTGGGTCCTTGGGTGCAAGGGTTGCGATTCACAGGCTGAGCACAAGTCATAATCCGGGCAGTTGTTGCAGTGCCAGCGTACCCCAAGGATAGGACACTGGCCACACTGTTCGCACCTGATGCCATTGTGGACATAAAGCTGGCGCAAGGTTCGCTCCTCCGCGATATGGTATACAACAGCTTTGATTCTGTCAAAGTCAGTCACTGTAGAACCCAACTAACATGCCGGATGTCACATACCCCTGAGCAGGTTCGCCTTCGTCCTCGCGATCTGTGTCAGCGGTGGTTTCAGTCAAGCCAAGGTCTGCAGCTTCGGAAAGGATGGGCAGACGATCCAAGCCACACCAGTCAGCAAAGGACCTGGCGGCAGCGACTTGATGGAACTTCCAGAATCCTGAACAAAGTACGTGGACTCTAGCCAGTAATTCATCGATGTTTCGTTGTTGCAGATGAGGAACCAAATCCTGGAGGTCTCTAACCTCGTCTAATTGGTCGGGAGATAGGTCCCTCAAAGGTTGAACCAGTATAGAGAAGATGTATTTGAGAGCAGCCATCTGGATATTGATGGTAACATCATAGGCAGTGTAAGATGTAAGATTCAGGGCTTCAGAGACTTCCTCAACCGTGGGTGGTTCAGGTCCATTGGGAAATCTAACAACGATGCCTTCAAAGTCGACATGGATCAGACCAAAAGGAAGTGAGGGTTCGGAAGATTCTGAGGTCCAAATCCTGGCACGGGCACGCGTATTGTTACGGCTCCGGACAGCGCCACGTCGTCGCAAGCTGGGATGTGCTTCCTCTGAGGGCCAGTTTGACCAGATTAGGTAAGAAGTGTATGCTGCGATGAAACCCGTAGTGACCAGTACCCAGGGGCGCGAAATCAATGTAGAAGCCTTAGAGGCCATGCCGGAAGCGCGCAAAGGAGTCAACGAATCAGATGGTCTTCCAACGATCAATCATGCTTGATGCCGATTACCGGGCCGAGAAGGAATAAATGTATGTGCGGTCGCAGACAATGTTGTTCTTGCACATAAAGATGTTCGGCGTCACGATTCACAAGCGGCAGTCACCGCCAGGTCGTCCGCCTTCTGGTTACTCGCAGATTTCTAGCGTTGTTTACAAGCTACAGATGTGAGAGTACAAAAGAGGGCAACTACGATGGATATTCAGAACACTGGATTCTTGAGCATTTGCTTGGCGCCCTAGAAAACATGCAGGCACGCGACAAGGACAAATAAATTGCTTTGCTGAAGATAAAATACAGAGTGGTATATGTACAGTTTTGAAGAGTGGACAGTCCTAGGTGCCTAATGCCGACCTAACGCTAAGCTCCGAACACCGTATAATGAATTGGAAAGAAGATGCAATCATGACGATTTAGCTTGCCACAGCTTCATGGCAGCGTTCAGAAGGGGAGAGTCGCGTCTGCCCTCGCCAGGTTCCAAGACACTACGGACGATGCCTGTGGTATCAGACTGAATCTTGGTCTCGACGGCTCTGGCGTCTGCTTCGGACAGACGTTTCTTCTCAGCACTCCTGGCCTCAGCCAAGCGCTTGTTCATGGCAGCAAAAGCCTTGTCTTCGTCATCTCTAGCCTCAAGCTCTCTGATCCAAGCATCGCGCTTGTCCTTCTTCTTCTTTTCTTCAAGCAAGTCGTTGTATTCGGTGCGCTTCTTGCGATCTTTCTCCCAGTAAGCCGAGCCGGCGACCATGGCGAGCAGAGTGAAGCCTTGGGCGTAGATACGACGGCGGAACATGCGGTTTGTTTTTGCGTGATCACCAGACTTCATTGATTTGGTGGCTTCGTACAAAGCCCATACAGTTAGACCGCAACCAAGTGGAATAAGAGGTTCCTCGACGATTCTTCGGCGCAGCTTCTGCCATCGACTCTCCTCGTAGAAGTCGCTAGTACGAGTCAGATGCCGAAGCTGGGTAGGAACATGGTGTCTCGGAGAACTTACGCATCGTTGTCAAAGGACGAAGGTGGCGGCGCACTGTTCATGGTGGGCAGGCCAGATTGTTGAGGACTACTGTGGCACAATGGTATGTTCGTCGAGCTCTTCGTGGCTCAAGACTCGAATCGGTCGAAGAAGGGCTGGTTTTGCTAGTCGAAAGTAACCCGGTGTTCGGTATAGCTTGCTGCTTGGCTCGATGGGCGGGCACAAAATCGATGATGATGATGATGCTGGCTGGACCGAGCGTTGTGGGAGCCTCCGAGACCGCGGACCTTCAGCCCTACCTATGCAGCTATCGGTCGCTGTTTCCCGAAGAGTCACCCATTTTCAAATTCACCCATCCTTCAGTCGCTGTTCCCCCGTCTCCCTCGCACCTTCCCAATTCTCGAGCCTCGGTGCAGCAAACATGGCCCAGAATGGAACGTCAGGCCAGGACGCACAAGAGCCCGTCACACCCAAGCTCAACTCTCTCTCGCTGACCGAATATGCCGCCAACCCCTCCCCACCTTCGCAAGATCCTCGACAAAAGGCAATCGATGCTGGAGTGCCCGAGGATTTCCTCCTGCCCAATGGTTATCCTGACTACCTGCGTCTCATCCTCACCTCGCGTGTCTACGATGTCATTGAACAAACTCCGCTCACACACGCCGTCAACCTCAGCAACCGTCTCGAGAGTCAGGTCTTTCTCAAGCGCGAAGATCTTCTACCCGTCTTCAGTTTCAAGCTGCGTGGCGCATACAACAAGATGGCTCATCTGAGCCCGCAAGAGAAGTGGAAGGGCGTCGTTGCTTGCTCCGCTGGCAACCACGCCCAGGGTGTCGCATACTCGGCCCGCAAGCTCAGGATGCCCGCAACCATCACTATGCCTCTTGGAACTCCTGCCATCAAGCACACCAACGTCTCGCGTCTCGGTGGAGCCGTCGTTCTTCATGGCAATGACTTTGACGAGGCCAAGGCCGAGTGCGCCCGTCTTGCTGAATCCCACGGCCTTACCAACATTCCCCCGTTCGATGATCCTTATGTTATCGCTGGTCAGGGTACTATTGGCATGGAGATTGTGCGTCAGACAGACCTGTCCAAGCTCGAGGCCGTCTTCTGTTGTGTTGGCGGAGGTGGTCTGATCTCCGGTATCGGAGTCTACATCAAGAGAATTGCTCCCCATGTCAAGATTATCGGTGTTGAGACTTACGATGCAAACGCCATGGTGCAGTCTCTCAAGCTGGGTAAGCGTGTCACTCTCAAGGAGGTTGGTCTGTTTGCAGATGGCGCTGCTGTCAAGACGGTCGGAGAGGAGACTTTCCGTCTAGCTAGCGAAGTCGTCGACGACGTCATCATGGTCACCACCGACGAGACGTGCGCTGCTATCAAGGATGTGTTCATGGATACTCGTTCCATTCTCGAGCCTGCTGGTGCTCTTGCTCTTGCTGGTTTGAAAAAGTACGTTGCTCAGAACCCCAGCTCGGATCCAAAGCGTCAATTGGTCGCCACTGCTTCTGGTGCCAATATGGACTTTGACCGTCTACGATTCGTTGCTGAACGTGCTGCCATTGGTGAGAAGAAGGAGGCTCTGCTCATGGTTACCATTCCTGAGAGACCTGGTGCCTTTGCCGCTTTGGTCAAGGCCGTGTACCCTATGGCTGTTACTGAATTTTGCTACCGTTACGCTTCGGCAAGTGCTGCCAATGTTCTTATCGGTGTCAGCTTGAGCGCAAACACTCGCGAGCACGATCTCGCCGATCTCCTCCACCGTTTGTCCAACGAAGGCATGACAGCCCTTGACGTTTCGGAGAACGAGGCTGCCAAATCTCACATTCGTTACCTCGTTGGTGGCCGCAGTAGCGCCTCAAACGAGCGTGTCTTCGCTTTCGAGTTCCCTGAACGCCAAGGTGCTTTGTACAAGTTCTTGACCACTTTGCAACCTGGCTTTAATATCTCGCTATTCCACTACAGAAACCATGGCGGCGACATCGGCAAGGTTTTGGCCGGTATCCAATGCCCGCAAGGTCAGGAGGACAATCTGAACTCGTTCTTGACCGAGTTGGGATATGGATATGCTGAGGAGACAAACAATCCAGTCTTCAAGATGTTCATGACAGAGCCCTGATACACTCTTGATAATTGACGACTGGCTACCTCATCACGCCCTGTTGCAACGACATCTGTACACTTTGCTGTAGCGAACAGCTCGCTTCTTCGATACCCCATCTCTTTTCTAGCCTGGCTTTACGACACGACGTTCCGATTTTCCCACGCTCTCCGTAGATCTGGAGTGCTCCACGAGTACAGAATCTGCGTACGAATTGGTTATACAAAAGCTTAGAAGTTCTTTGGTCATTTGATTCCCGCTTGTGGCTTGCTCACTCTTCCCAAGCACGTACAACTGCAACGTGGCTATTGCGTTTGACGTCTTATAGAGGTGTATCACTTGTCAATCTATAATAGACGCCAATTGTTTTCATGTTCGACCTGGTGCTACTCTGTGCTGCTTGCAGCGCTCGTTCTTGCGTTCGATGACGCTTCCTGTGGAATGCTGAGAGAGCTCGGCGAGTCCTCTGTGAAACCAATAATGACTATGAGTCTGTCGCTTGTGTACCTTCAAAGCCGATGTGGACAACGCCGGAACTATGTATAGAAGGACCACTCTTGGTGTTCCTGCATCGAAGCGGGGAAGAACTGCGAGTCTGTCCGTAGACAGGAAGGATCTTGACGCAACCAGCTCCTCACGGTTTATTTGTCCCCCTCGGTTGCCTTTCCTACCTCATCTGACCTCAGTAAAAAGGCGGAGACGAAAAGATGGATGTCAATCCACCACTATTTGAGACGGGCGACGTGATCGTGTTGCATATTTGCATCCAGTGGTCAGACCAGGTAGAATCCTACGATGCAATAATGTTACAGTAGCATAAAAGCGCAAGCTAGAAGTATCTTGGGATTTCTACATGAGTAGTTCCTTCTTCTATTCTGACCGAGCGGCAAGATTCTGTCAACAAACACCCATTGCCACAACCAAACCTAATAATCCTTGCTTCTTCTCTACACGTGTGATCAACCCCGGGAGACATCTGACATATCAACGCAGCCGTCATGCACGCATCCTTGACTCTTCTTACCAGTGCCGCGACACTATACACTCGTGTCATGGCTTTCCCTCACTAGAAGCGTCTGGCCGAGAGCGAACCCTGGCACCTTTCTGGTCTGTCTGTCTTCACAAGTGCCGATGGCTCCAGAAATAATTCTATCTCTTTCGACTTGGTTGACAATAACGTTGACCTGCAGGCAGGCACGACCTGCTCGCGCTCTGTGCTGGGTCCTGTTGAAGACGCGGACAACTTCTATCCGTGTGACAACAGCAGCTTCAACTTCAGATGGGACGGTACAACGTTGCGCATCCAGAGGTTCTACACTGATACTGCGTGAGCCAACATATATGGTCAACTAGAGTAAGTGGCTGATACTGGTTCGATGCTATAGTGTCGGACCATGTCCTCTGTACTGTTCTGTCACAGTCTATGGCAATGGAACACCCAGTCTCGCTCTCGACTACCATTCAGGAGCCGGCACGGGTAAGTACAAGATCCTAATCCTATCTTCACAGCGACACGACATACTAACAGCTTGCCCTAGGCACCTATCAAGATTCTCTCGATATCTTCGTAACCGAGATGGTCGCCTGAGCATTCCTCACAAAATTCAGCAAACTTATCTATACTACTCATGTGGAATTGAGCATCCGCATGACCGCCAAGGTCACTACAGGGTTGGCCATGATCACATCATGCAGTCCGTACTTTAGTATCTCTTCTCTGATAATACCATGATCGGTTTTCCACTCTATAACGCTACCCGCAGGACCATGATCAACTCTGGCTTTGGCCTTGAGCTGCTCAAGCTCTTCGAAGCTAATACCCGTTGGTGTTGTTGCGTTGATTGCATGCCAGAATAGTTGAGGAGTGTGTGTCCATGGAATGTCCTAGTCATCCTCGGCATGGATCATGGTGATGCGATAGTTGATCCCGTTAGCCTCGTTAGTTTTGACATATGAGGCAATTCGATCCTTGGTCGACCATGTATCTTTGATGTATCTTCGCAGATAGTTGAACAGTATGGTAACTTTTGCTACAGGCCCGAGAAGGGGAAAGGTTCCAGCTACCCTGTACGTGGAGACCAAAGTGACTACATCCACAAACGGCGCCGTCAATACATGTCCAGCAAAGACGATCGGACTTTCTTGCAGTGCAAAGTGCTCGGCCACAGCCATGTTCACGGCGGTTCCCAAAGATTGACTGTAAATGATAATCCGACTTGGAGGAATTTTCGCCACGTTCAAAGCCCATTCGACAACAGACAGAGCATCGAAAATGAGTCCACTCTCACTAGGCGTTCCGGAGCTGCGTCCAAAGCCACGATAGTCGAATGTCAGAACATGAATCTTGTCAGGTCGCCCAGCTGATAGTGCTCGGTAGTTTGGACATCGGTATCCTGATCCTACAGTGCCTCCAGCACCGTGGAAGTGGACGACAAGTATAGCCTCAGGATCGTCGCGAAGCAGTTGAAAGCCCAGGCGGGAGGTGATATCTGACGAAAAGCCAGATGGTTGTGACAGAAGCTTCTGTTCGTGTTGTCGATACAGTTCTAAAGGCAAGACGTGCCAGGCGTACAGGTCGCCACCGCTAGCAGACTTGATGTTGAAAGGGGTGACTTGGTTGTGAAGGAATCCAAAGATCTCGGGAACATTGAGATCTTTGCCCCAGGTCATTTGTATGGCGTGTAGATAGACCACGTGTGCCTGGAACCATGGTATGGTGAGCAGACCGAGGAGTGCTGAATATAGGCCGAGGATTGATCCAGTAGCAATCAAGATGTCCTCCAGCAATTGCAGAGATATATTATGAGGCTCTTTTTCTCAGAGCTGAGGTTGAGAGCGATCTGAAATCAAGCAGGCAGAAATCAATCGAGTGTTTGAAAGGTTAGTAGTTAATGAGTCAGGCAACTCGTCGAGCTGAAATCTCCCAACAAGTATACGCATTTAGCGTTGGGTGTATACATTATATAGTGCAGTATGTCTGGTTTGCAAGGACGAGAAACCATATTGATCGGCGCGGCACGGTCTCAGGATTGGGAAGCTCCCTTCCAATCAATCCAGCCTCATGAAGTCAAGCACACAACAATTTCTACTTGAGATCCACGTTCTGGCGCCCTTCGACCACAAACCACTCGGTCAGATTGGCATAGCCGCGAGGTTCATCAATCTCGGATCCCGAGAGCCAGAGTGCATATTCACTATCAAAACAACATTAGTACCTGAGCTCAAGACGTAGGTACAACGAACATAATAAACTCACCGATTGGGCTCAACACGAGGAACAATGACAGTGATATTGCCTTCACCAGCCTCGGCGACACGTTCGTCGAAAAAGCTTCGCGCAACGGACCAGCCATAGGTTTCCTTCTTGACAAGGTTGAATTCGAGGCTCTGTTTTGCGTATGTCAGTAATGCCACATTTAGTATTGAGAGTGGTAAAGCGGCGCTTGGACGAACGTAAGTCATGTCAGTGGCCCATTCGACTAGTACATGGTCGCCAAAGCGAACGTCGTCCACAGAAGACAGAATGGTGAGGTTGACCATTGCCTGTGCGAGGGACGCGAAGGTGGCGGCCAGGAGGCCCGCGTAGGCTGCTGCGTTTCTCATAGTGTTTGATCGAATTTCGTGTTATTGCAATTGAGCTGGGGTAATATCTCCAATGATGTCTCCTCAAAACGTGACTTTATGTCAAAGGCTTCTAAGCTGTTGCCTACCAATGTCCAAGGAAACGTGACGATGGATGGCGCTCGAATTCCGCTGCGACAGCGCTGTTTTGAATCCTTCCCGGGGCAGGCAGGCACGACCTATTAATAATTCATGTCTCGATCTTGATTCGCGAAGCAACGGAGAAACCAACTACATGATGAATACTACCACTGCTGAAAGACATATTCAAGCACCATGACCGACGCGAACGCTGGCTTCTACATGCGCCTCGCAAGCTCTGATGGCGACGATGTGAAATTCATCCTGGCGGCTTGGGACTCTACGCTTCCGTTCCTCGCCTTGATCGGAGCCGGTGAGATGTGGGGTGACGAACCATTTTCACAGCGAGCGGGTCAAAAACAAGAGGTCATTGATGTTATCAATGGAACGACGAAGGAAATAGATGGTGGTCGTCAATTCTGGATTGCCGAGACACGTCGTGCAGGAGATATCGTCAAGGTTGGGGCTGCCATGACGCGTGAAGTCTTGCCTGTATATCTCACTGAGCATGTCGATATGGGGAGTCATCGAGATGCCAGCAGTTCCCTCTTATACCTGGAACTATTGATTGCCGACCATTGATCCGACAAGCGATCCAGAGGAGCCGGAAGAGCACTCATTGAGGCCCTTGGGCAAAGTGCTCAGTCGAGTGGTAGGGAGGTCCTTTACGTTGACGTGTGGGCTGGCAATGACAGAAAGCTCAACAGGCAAGTATGGCCTCGAGTAGAAGAAGACGCACGACTGATTCTCGAATGAAGGTATTACGAAGACATTGGCTTTACGAAAGTTGATGACTTTCACCTGAAGAGACAAGACAAGAGTGCTTGGCTTGGAACACTGTATCGTCTCGATTCGAGTACCAACTACGGATGATATGGGAGAATGAGAGATCTGTTCTTGAACACAGCTTGAGTGTAGGTCTTCCTGCTGTGGTGCTGTAGCAAGCTATCGCACAACAAAACAAAACTATATATTCCAACTAAATCTGTCAACAAGCACATACGGCCACAGTCAGCTGAAAACTGGGCATCCCGTCCGCTCTGCCATACATAAGCAGTTGAACGGCAGATTAGTACTACGGTGGGTGACCACGTGGGAATCCCTGCTGCTGTATGTTTTGCATTTTGCTCCATCCATCGTCAACATAGATCACAATCGCACAGTTCATTTGTATTTTCTATACTTTACATCTTGGATGGTCTCCTCAGACCAGTAGACGAGATTGACGGTGCAACACATGGCAGGAATTATTGTAATGATCGGTCATGTCTGTGTTGATTGTAGCTTAGGGGTAGCTTGACACGAGCATGTGTTCTGTTTTGCATGGCGACTCCTAACAAGAACAGCATCACATCAACATGTTTCATACGAGACAAGGACAGCATTTGAAGTTTGTAAAAAAAGGTGTATTTCCCTCGGATATCTATTTTTCGTCCCCCATTCACAACATCCGCCGAATATGACAATCGTAAAAACCCGGACCAACAAAGAACAAAAAGAACATGGATATTTGGTCAACAAAAAATCTGCGCCGTAGCAATAACACTAACCGTCAGCTCTCTAAGCCTCGAGGTCAAGGCCAAGGTCTTCGGGCTCGGCGGGAACAATGCGGAGGGTGTTGGTGTGACCCATACCGCCTCTCCAGCCCTGAACGGTGACGACGGGGTCGCCCTTGGTAAGGATACCGAGATCGATGGCGTTCTTGATACCCCATCTGAGACGCTTGTCGACATCCTCTTGCCATGAGACCTGCTTGAAGTCGGGCTTCTCCTCGGGGTAGTGGAATGGCCAGACACCACGGTACAGGTGCGAGTAGCGAGATGCGCGGGCGTTGCGCGAAACCATGATGATGGGGCAGACGGGTCTGTACTTGGAGATGAGGCGGGCGGTCTTACCACTGGTGGAGAGGACGAGGATGGCACCGGCATTCTGCTCGAGCGAGGCGGAGACGGCGGCCATGGCGCAGGACTCGGTGGTAGGGACGGGGATGGGAGCGAGTCTGCGGAGCTCATCGAAAGCGTTGACGTAGGGGATGGCGACCTCGGCGAGCAGGCAAGTCTCGTGCATGATGGTAACGGACTCCTTAGGGTAGTTACCCTTGGCAGTCTCGCCCGAAAGCATGACACAGTCGGCACCGTCGAGAATGGCGTTACCGACATCAGAAACCTCAGCACGGGTGGGGCGGGGGTTGTAGGTCATGGACTCGAGCATCTGGGTGGCGCAGATGACGGGCTTGCCGGCAATGTTGCACTTGGTGATCATCATCTTCTGGGCGATGAAGACCTGAGCAGGGGGGATCTCGATACCCAAGTCACCACGGGCAACCATGACACCGTCGGTCTCGCGGAGAATGTCGTCGAAGTTGTTGACACCCTGCTGGTTCTCGACCTTGGAGATGATCTGGATGTCCTTGCCATCCTCACCAAGAACCTCACGGATGGCCTTGACGTCGTCACCGGAGCGGATGAAGGAAGCGAAGACCATGTCGACGCCGTTCTTGACACCGAAACGGAGATCGGCCTTGTCCTTCTCGGAGAGAGCGGGAAGATCGACGTCGGTCTTGGGAAGGTTGACACCCTTCTTGGACGAGATCTTGCCGTTGTTGACGGCTCTGGCGCGGATGTTCTTGTCGTCAACAACCTCGAGGACCTCGAAAGCGAGGACACCGTCATCGACGTAGATGATACGGCCGGCCTCGATCACCTTGGTGATGTTCTTGTAGTCGAGGTACCTTGAGAGGTGATTAGCACATGTTTTGGAGGAAGAGCCAATGAATCGAGTCTTACATGTTCTTGTCGTCGCAAGCAGTGGCGTACTTGTCGTCGGTGGTGATGTTGATCTCGGTACCGGCGCTGATGGGGAAGTCCTGGTCGCCGACAGTGTTGCCGGTTCTGATCTCAGGTCCTTTCTGAGCGCTTGTTAGCGCAGCTCTTCCGTCACGATTATGCGGCTTCAGCTTACGGTGTCAAGAGCAATGGCAACGGGACGGCCAGCCTGGGTCTTCTCGGCCTCACGGGCGTTATCAATGACGGACTGGTGGTACTCGTATGAGCCGTGCGAGAAGTTCATGCGAACAACGTTGAGACCGGCTTTGGTGGTGTTAGCTTGGATGCTAGACGCTGAGCAGAAGTGAGAGTAGCATACCAGTTCTAAGCATGTTGATGGCCTCGGGGGAGTTGGTCTTGGGACCTGTGTCTTGTCAGCGCGCGCTCTTTCTGTGGTTGCAGTACAGGCAGCTTCGATCTTACCAATGGTGCAGATGATGGAACTGCGGCGGAACTGGCGCTTGGGAGCATACTCAGTGTTGAGCTGCGAGAGCCACTCAATTCTGGTGCGGCCAGCCTGGAGGTGTGCGATTGCGTCGGCCATCTTGTCTGTATCTTGGGGATTGGAGAGGTGGTGAGAGGAAGAGAAGAAGGGAAAGGCAAGGGAGACGTCAATGAAAGAAGACGCGGCGCTTGTTGAGAGGATTGAAGCTGTGAATATTTTAGCTCGCGGGGTAAATATCCAGCCCGCAGCACATACCCCCGTGTATCAGCTTTCTTTTGTTTTTTTTGTTGCGTCGTGATTATCTAGACAGCGGTATGCTATCTCTGGCAGATCGTGAGATCAGAAGACAACACGAGATTCCACAATGTCTACTCTCTGAAGTTGTATATCCGCCAGCGTGCCGACAGCGACGAAGAAGAGCTCATGTCAGTCGAACGTGTGCACCAGCACGCTGTTGCAAAGCAACCACCGGCCCCTCAATTCAACATTTAACAATTCGGTCCGTGGATTCCGTGATAAGCATCCATCGCCAATTACTAAAATTGTGCCCATCTCCGACCCTGATTTATCTATCCTGCTCGCCTGCATGCAAGCCTCTTATGCTCTTGCCAAATCAGACCATCATCGACATCAGCGGATTGCGAGGCTCCTCTTGCGCCGCATCACGCTCTTCTCCTCAACCCCGTTGATCAAGAAAGCTACTCCGTAGAAGCCGAAATCTGATAATTACTGGCCGCTTCTGATCTCACCGGTTCCGTCGTTCTCATCCAAAAGGTGATTTCTCAACCACCTCTGCTAGCTTGCGTCGCATCTCTGGGCGTTCTAGAGGGCTTCGGCCATGAACATACCACACGTGGAGGAAACGTTGCAGTGACATGTTTCTTTTGCAATCGCGACTTCGGACAACGAATGCTCTACCATATTTACTGCGATTAGGCGGTGAACGCCGAGAAGCGATCAATCGTCTATGAGACTGTACACTATTGCTTCCCAGCTCGGGTGTACTCATGGAAATCTGCGACACAACAAGCGTGAGGGCTCTCTGCCATGAGTTGGTTCGACTTTCGCAGAGACCATCTGCCTACTGACAGATGTCATGATTTCTGGTCAGCATATTGGAAGAACGGCACGATATCCGCCCGAATTAGGGCGGCTCCGAAGCCGAAGCAAGCGACCTTACGGGCCGAACGTACCTAAGTCTTTTGGCCTTCCGGGCCAACTGTAAAGACCAAAGTGTTGGACCCTGGTGACGGACTCTCCGCCAGCTTCGCGAGTCGTGGACAGCCAGAGGCCGCAGCCATCCGTCTGCCTCTGGTATACCAACAACCACCAACCACAACATCAAAAATCTTCCCTAAGAGACGCGCCTACCAGTACCTTATAGCTTCCGATAGAATCTCCGCATAAAAGCCGCATCTGCCATCCCCCAATCTTCAAACACACACGCGACCTTGACCATGGTGGTACGTGAAAGCACATGTCCACCAACTCGAGTCCAACTCATACCAAACCCCTTCCTCTCCACAGCTCGGCCGCCTCACTCACTACGCCTTCGATGCCGTCCTCTTCTCCGCCTTCCTCGCCGGTGTCAAGCGATCCACAGGCCTTACGTGAGCTACTCCTCCGCTGTCAACCCCGCCTACCCACCAACCTCTGCCATCCATTCGAAACCTCTACTCCATTCCTCAAACAACGCAATACGAAAGACAGAAGAACAAATACAGAAAAAAAAGAAAACTAACCACAACCCAGCCCCAGTGTCAACGAAGACAAAATCACAGACAACGAGACCGCAAAGTCGTGGATCACTTCCTACCTGGCCGTCGGCGAAATGGTCATGGATCAGAGTGTCGCCGTCATGAGTTCCATAGCTTGGTTCGAGCGCAAGAGGTAGAAAGAACACAACTGTATTACCCTACTTCCTCCCTCCCGGTTTGTCATCATCCGGCAGATCTTCGTGGGGGATGACTCAAGAAGATGACAGTTTGGTGAGAATACCAAGGACTGTACAAAGGCAAGGGGCTACGGGAGAGACATGGCGGAACGAGATGGTCAAGAGCGCGCGGGAATCAGTGACATCGCATCGGGGTTGTGCTTTGAGACATACGAGCGTTTTGTGGCACAACGGTTTGCGCTCTGGCATCGAAAGATGCGCATGTCATGTTTACAGTCGAGAAGACCCGTTGCTGGTACGATGAGTGAGAGGATATCAGCGCCTGGCGTAATCGAGGGTTCAATTCAAATCAGGTCAAACGTGTCACGTTGCTCTCTGCAGATGGTTGTACCGATTATGTCATGGTATGGGTAAGTCAGGGTCATACCGTCAACAACCATTTTTGAGCCGTCGACGACGATATTGCAGCCACGCTGGGGTCTATGTCGCTATCTACCATCTTGATGAAGTCTTTGGGGTTTAATACCACGTGTATCGGGGCCATCTAGCGTTCGGCCTGGGCAGAGACGAGTTATATCAATTCAAAGGTTCTGAGATATCGAAGTCCAGAAGATGACCAACATACCATCCGACTCTTCGCGAATCTCTCTTGCGAGAGCCATGTGAATGTCAAAAAAGTCTGTGCGTCCCGATTGAATACAGACATGATTTTTCTACATAAAATACAAGTATAAAGGCTGTACAGAGAATCGTACATCAGAGGACCTTGAAAACCCTACTCATCCTCATCGACCCACTCCCATTCATCCTCCTCTCCATCAGGGTACCCAAGCACGCCCTTGACACCCCTCACAACACCATCCCAAAGGCCCTTCTTGTGCGCCATGGCCAAAACAAGCACTATAGGCAAATGCCACACTGACGCCCAGAACAGCGCTCTAGCCGTCAAGACCGCAGTTTTTGTTTCTCCACCCCCACTGCGCCAGAAGCGAAAAGCTTCATAGGCCATCCAGCCGTTGATTGCGGACGATGTAACCACGAAATAGCGGTCTGTGACATTGACGTAGCTGAGGCCGATACAGATGGGGAACATGAGTAGCGAATAGCGTAATGCGACGCGGGTGTTCATGCGAGGGTTGAGGGAAACCAGCATGCGGTATCCAGCAGCGAGGTATTCATGGCGGATAGGGTGGGAGAGGGCGTTGAAGTGGGGAAACTGCCAGGCAAAGAGTAGAGCAGCGAGTAACCAACCACCTGCAGATGCTGGGCTGAAGAGCAGAGCCGAAGCTTCATCAGCGAGAGATTGTGGTGATGAGGAGGTGATGTAGTGGCCTCCAGCTGCGCACCAGCCCATCAGTGGTGGAATACCGCCGACGATGGCACCAATCCAGGTGTTGACGGGGTGTATGCGTTTGAGCGGAGTGTATATGCAGGCGTACAGCACGGCGTTGGCGGCACCCAGCATGGCAGTGGTGGGATTGACGCCGTACCACAGGATAGCAGTGCCGGTAGCACCGGCAGCCAGAGCGAACAGAACAGCAGCACGAGGGCTGACCAGTTTCCTCACCAGAGGTCTGTTGCGGGTGCGGCTCATCTTAGCATCGTGGTTGGTCTCGAATAGCATATTCAGTGTGTTGGCGCATGCGATTGTGCTGAATGTACCGGTGGTAAGGAACAGCAGGGTCAAGCTGCTCAGCGAGGGAGTATGGGTGGCTGCGGTGGAGAGTAGAGAGGGTACGGGGTATAGCGAATATGAGGCGGTGGTGGTGAGAACGACGAGGAAGGCCAGGCGCGGCTTGGTGAGGGAGAGGTAGGTGGCCATACGACGGCGTAGAGAGGTAGGCGCGGCCTGAGCTGCGATACTGGACAGGGCACTCGAGGCATCGGGAGGTAGCTCGGGCAAGAGGCCGTCCGGACCTGTTGTCGGTCGTCGCCGCCGCCGCGGGCGTGGAGACGGTGTGTCGATTGCAGCGTTCTCTGCTTGCGGTACGCTTGTCTTCTGCACCTCTGTCTTGGTCGCCTCTGTCCAGTTGGAGCGCATACCGGCCATCCTCGAGTCTGCGCCATTTGCTAGGAAGTAGCGTCCATCCAACTCTTGGGCCGTCTGTCTAACAATCCGTGAAGCCGATATGTGTCGCCTCGGTGTGGTGGTCGCCGACGTGGCCAGTCGTTGTGTGAATGTCTGCTTCTGTCCCAGTGTCCTGGCGCATCGTGTGCATATCGATGCCTGCTCGCTGAGTCCTGCTGTGAGCAGCGGCCACCCGACCAGCCGTAGTCGTGTCATGGTCGTGTCGATGTGGACTTCTGCTTCTTAGCTGGCCTTCTAGTCTGCGGTGTTGAATGCGAATATCCGAAGAATCATCAGTCCATCTCAATTGCTTTGCTGCTCGTCAAGTCTACTGGCACACGGTCGTCGTTGTGAGGTCTAGATCAAGATAATAATTTGTATCCTCCCCGCCAACATCATCGGAAGCCCTTCGACCCGTTCTCCGATCTTCCTACAAGCTACTCACATCGAGTACATGACCGACCAATCCACCTATCAACCATAACCACCGACCCTCGCATGACAAGTACTTGTTAATGTAGATACGACATGATTAAGTTGGTAGGATAATGATACGGTTAAGGATACTCCCAGACCAGTCCTTCTCTTTTCAAAATTAGCCATCTCCACGTCGTGACCCAAATGCTCGTCATCACATCGTCCTCGTCTCCGTCTTGTTGTGCTCGACCATCTGTCTCAGTTCAGTCGCACACTCATCAGCGTGAAGATGTTGTTGACCAATCCTTGGACCATGTCCCCAAATCCACTAGGCTGTCCTGCTCTTTCCCGCTCCGCCTGCTCTCGAAGCCTGAGAGCATCCACCTCAATCTCAAGCTCGTGAATCTTGCGCCCATCCGCCCCCTTGACTTGGGTTAGATCCACGCTGTACACAGAGTGCGTGTAGCTGAGTCTGTCCTTTTTGCGCTCCCCAAACTTTGTATCTGTTCCTTCCACAATCGCTCTGGGATCCAGGCCAGGTCGGTGCATGTCCACTTCTATGTTGATACTGATTCGACAATCGAACGGTGAATTGGGACAGAATATGTCGAGATCCGCAAGTCGAATCTTGACTATGCGCGCAATCACTGGGTCAGTGCCCGGTGGAGCTCGCTCGTTGATCGAAGTCCGGAGTCGCGGCTGTCTGTTTGGATCGAGGTATCTCGACGCCGACTCTGGCAACGCATCCAGTCCCGCAGCACTGAGTTGTGCAAACGAGTCAATCTCGTAACGATGTTTGTAGTCCAGTCTGTGTCTCCCCGGAATCGCCGCAGACTCTTGCACGGCCTGATTCAAGAATTCGTTCAACCGTTTGTGATGTGCTTCGGTCATGTGGCTCTCGAAACGTAGCTGCGAAGACATGTTGCGATCAAGCACCACCGGATTCTGCGCTGGCAAATGCACTCGCTGGTCGGTACTTTTGGCGACCAAGGTGCCGAGCTTGGCCTCGATCTCGAGTGCGCCATTGTGTGCGTTGCCCACACCGATTTCAGGTCTACCGAGCATTTCGTCAAACAAGTATTTTCCGACCTGCAGCGTAAACTGATCAGACTGGGCCATGCTGCCTTTGATACACGGCTCCCATGGCCCGAGAAAAGGATGCATCGGTGCACTGGGTGGAGCGTGACCATTCGTAGATGGTTGCGGAGCGTGGCCATTGGCCTGAACCATTCCAGGAGGCTGTTGCTGTGGTTGAGGTGTTGTCTGAGCCTGTTGTTGTGGCGTAACGGCGTGCAGATTTGGACGAGGCGATGGCCGTCTTGCTTGAGTAGGATCTGGCGGGGGTCCGAGCCGACGGTCGACGTCAGGGTTGTAGTGAGGATTCGATGGCATATACCTGGCCCAGATTGGAGGCTCGGCATATCTTTTCTTGGTCTTCTTGAGAGGAACAGATGGCTCGGGTTCGCTTTCAGCAGGCCGCTTGAGGGTGGGTTGCGATACGCTTTGCGGCTGCGATAAAGGAAGCGGAGGTTGCGACATGGCCTGTGGCGGTGCAATAGGCTGCTGCAGTAGCGACTCTGAAGTAAGAGCTGTCTGCGACTCGTGCTTGATGTGGGCTCGGGGCTCGAAAGTTCGGACGGGGCTGCCGTTGGAAAGCGAGGACTGCGAATGGTGCAAGTGAGGATGTTGCGGGTGAGGAGGAGGTATGGATTGGCCCCGGGCGACGGCGGGTGAAGAAACCATCAGAGGTGAATGATGTCTGGAATCGTCGTTCAGGATGCTTCGGAAACCTCCGGGCGTCTGGCTGCCGATGCGAGGCTGAGAGGGACTAATTTTGGCAGACTGTTTGGTAGTGGTGAGAGGCGAAATGGCCTGGTCGGTCGAACTGCGATGGGGCGCGCGAGGTTCGTGTGACGGATATCTCTCTCTAGCGGTCCAGGACGAGTCGGTGCTGTTCTGGCGCGTCGGGAGCACAACCTTTGTCTTGGGACTAACACTGAGGCTTCTGTCACGCTCCGAGAGATTTGTAGGATAGTCAACTGATGGTCTCTTTGCATAGGTCTGCGGCGACTCGGACGGGTATGCAGATTGCGGCGGCAGGGAGTGGGCAGGGGACTGCGAGGGCATGCCAATCTGGTGCTGCAGGGCGTATGAAGCACCGGATGTGGCGCGTTGATGCTGAGCTTGGGCGAGCGAAGGTTGGCGAGTGTAGGGCTGCATGGGTGGACCGAGAGGAGTGCTGGGCTGCGAATGCTGCGGCGGATAGGGGTGTGAACTGCGGTGGGCGCCGGGAGGAGTCGGTGACATGGAATGGGGGTAGTGTGGATGGCTCTGCTGGCGGGGGGTAAGCTGTGGGTAGGCCTGCGACGGACTGTACTGTTGCTGCTGCTGCTGTTGTTGCTGGTGATGGTGCTGTGGTTGTGCCTGAGGGGGGAAGGGATATTGGCTGCTAGGATATTGTTGTTGCGGCGTGTGCAGCCCCATCGGAGTCGAGGGCAGCGACGGATTCGAGTGGCGGGCTTCATGCTGCTGCGGAGGGTGAGGCCTCTGCTGATAGAAGGGCTGTGGTGGAGGTGGTTGATGGGGATGTTGGTGCTGTTGCGGCGGCAATGGAGCAGCATACGGGCCCGACGACGACCTTTGCTGTAGCAGCGGAGGCGGGAAGCTGCCTCGCTGACTGCCCTCGTGTTGACTCGACGAGCGACCCGGCCCGGCGTCGTTATTGAGCATGTCGCGCAGGTCCATGATGGCTGCGCAAGTCGATCAAAGAATGCCTTGGACGTGTCGTGTGTTCTCCTGGCAGGTGCTTCTGGCCTCTGCGCCGGCGGCGCTACTACTCGTACACGTTGGAAGATCTAATTACACATCCAGGAAATGGAAACGCCAGGAGCGCATGCGACAGCAGAAAAACTGGCAATTCGTCGATGGTATACTGATGGACAGAAAGCCTGAGTCCTGACATGTTGGAAGCTTCTGCCCGACCGACTTTGAAGCCTGCACAGCCCAATCCATGCGAAACATCCTTCTTCGACCACCAGCACACTCCACCTACCTACAGCGAGCTCGCCTCGGCGGACCAGCGAAAGCATTCTTGACTATACCAGCATCTCGCTGGGTGCACTCTCATCCTTTGCACATGCTCATCGCTCATGGCTCCGAGGTTCAACAAATCGTCGTGATTGCAAACTTGTGAATCGCGATTCGCGATTGCTCTTCTTGGCAAAAGGTGACCAGCGGCCGTGCGCCATACCCAGCTCTCCGTTCACCATGGAAGGCATCAAAAGGTCCGGTCACGAGCATAACACTTTCGCCCAAAACACACCATCTATCTCAGTTCAATTCTATGAATTCGATATGTATACCGAAAACATATTGTATTGATGACAGGTAGATCGTGAGGTCCGATCGGTATCCTCGTTTCTTGGAAAGAGTTGACTTTCTCCTCTTTGCTTCAATTATGTCTCATGCATGCTACAGCTTCCTGCATCTTGGCACTAAATGGCTCTTCTTTCTTTATACTACACATCAATGTTCGACCTCTGCATCCAATATATCGATTAGATGCTTCTCAGAATACGTCATGCTCTAGCACTTTTTCACCACCCCTGAACGCGTGTGTTCCTACACACCTACTCTAGCGTCCACCACTTCCACTCAACATCAAAGGCGAAGCTTTCAAGGCGTTGGAAGCGTCTTTTGCTGTCCTCACAAAGAGCCCGAGCGCTGTCAGCTCTTCTTCTCTGGTTCATGTCGGGAGATCACCCAAGTAGCGCAACTGATTGACATCCTAATCTAGCGTGCTAGGACCAAAGCGAACGGAGTCAGTCAAGGAAACAAGGTCGATGCTTGCTCTTCAGCTGCCAGACGGAGATTTGCGTTTTTCAGCTGAACAGATTGTTGTCTATGTCAAGTCTCGGCGCGGTCCTCCTCTAGGGCTTCGTAATCTCTCATCGCCCACTCTCTGTGCCACAAGGAAGCCTCCTTATTTTCACCACGAGCCTCATGCAGCCATGCCAGCATGCGTCGACGACGCCTACCGAGCTGCTGTCACAAGGCTTAAGCCTTGTCTTTCTTCAGGTCGTTTCCGTTTCGCGTCCGACCGGCTTTGCCGACGGGAGACTGCGCTAGTAGCGACCACTTACTCAAAACGCATCATCTATAACTCCAAAGCGCGTGCTCGTGTGTTCAGAAGCGCATTATACCTTTTCATGTCTTCGATCGAAGGCTTCCATTTCTTCGATTGCTCCGTACAGGTCTCACTCCTGTTCACCCACCGACCGTTTACGGCAAACGTCACACGTTGCTGCCATCTGCCGAGGAGGTTGAGCTTTTCTCAACGACTTTCTAACGGCATGAATCATCGCAGAGTGCGAACAGTCCAGAATCTGCTCTCACAAATATCTTTGAACGGGCAACGAGCCGCAGTGCATCTGGACGGACATTTTACACTTTTCTATGCAGGAACAGAAAACAAGAGTGCTTCCACGCTCGCATGCGGAAGCCCGACCGGTCGAGGCGTACGCTAACGCAGGTCACCGCGATTCGCTAGCTCAGCCAAGGTGCATATGGCTAGCTGATGCATAGCGAGCTCGCGAGCACGGTCCAAAGTTTCCTCTCTAGGTAGCATTTACACTTTCGAGGCATCAATTTTAGCACGCTTGAACACGCTTTTAGCTTCTTCATAGTAGTTGCCCCTAATGTTCAGCCGCTCGTGGTTTGCTTGGGTCCGATAACTCGACGGCCACCCCGCCCGGGACGTGCTAACATGCAAGAGCTGAAGAATCAGAACACATAAGAATCTGCTGTTTTCCCACCGTTACCGTTGCTGTCTAAATCGTCGCTCGCTTCTATCACCTCCTCATTCACCAAGGGTCTCGTACCCACCTCTCTCGTTCATCATGCTGACTTCCTTCTGGAAGACGCTCGTCTGCCTTTCAGCTCTCCTCCTCCAAAATGTCTCTGCCCAACAGTACCTTGGAGATGTTATCCCTAATGCCACATACCCCGGTGTTCCTGGCTCTGAAATCGTCTACTTCAGAGTCAAGGATCCTGCCGGAGTAAACAACAACCTCACTCTCGTTAACTACCAATCTCTGGGATCCAATGGCAAGCGTATCAACGCAGCCAAGGTCCAGCGTGCTGTTATCATTATCCATGGCCTCAACCGTGATGCAGGTACCTACATGAGCAACGTAAGTCGATCGTGATTGCCATTGTGGACAAAAGACTGATCAACGTTGCAGATGTTGAGTGCTCTTTCTCAAGTTACCACCGACTCCAACATCAACTTCGATTCCGTTGTCATCAATGCACCCAGTTTCCCCAACGGAGACGACAAGAACGTCTCATACCCGTACTGGGACTACCCTCCCGGTGCTAAGAAGAAGGCAGCTGGTGGTAACCAATCTTGGACGAACCTACTGGTTTGGAAGGCTTCGCAATGGGCTGGCGGCGGTACCAACCAATATCCCAACAAGGCACAATCCGTGTCCTCTTACGAGGTTCTTGATCAGCTTATTGCGTGGTACGCTAACCCGGCCAACTTCCCTAACATGAAGCAAATTGTTATCGCCGGTCACTCTCTTGGCGCGCAGACTGTCCAGCGCTATGCGACTGTTGGAAAGCCTCTTAGCTCTGTCGGAGTCAACGTCCCTGTGACTTACTGGATTGCCAACCCCAACAGTCTTGTCTGGTTGAACTCGTCGCGTCCTCTTTCCACCGCCAGCTGCGCGGACTACGATGAGTGGCGTGATGGTCTCTCCGCTTACGCTGCCTACCCTAGCGTCTACAACACTGGTCTCGTTGCTTCAGGCACCTCAGCAGTGCTTGCCAACTACCAATCCAAGAACAAGGCCTACGCCCGCGGTACTCTTGACATGGGCGATGACTCGTCTGGCTGTGCCCCTCTCACCACTGGAAGCAACCGCCACGAACGTTTCTACTACTTCATCAACTGGTGGACGCCTACTTGTGAAGCTCCCAACTCAACCTCAGGCCACTGCGACACTGTCGATCTGATCCCTATGGGACACGATGGTGGTGGTATGATGGCCTCCCTTGCTGGACAAGCTCGTCTCTTCAAGGACAACTTCTATGGTGACGGTGCGAAAGCATACGATTTCGGTTATCCTCGCATTCAAGCCAACGTCGACGACCCTTACCCCGATCCTGCTTACAACTCGACTTCGGACGCAGCAAACAAGACTGTCTACGCTGGCAACATGACCTATGCAGGCTGTTACACTGATTCGAGCTCCCGTACTCTTGCCACTCTGATCTACGACTCTCCTTCCAACACCATTGAGCAATGTACCACGGCTTGCGCCAACGCTGGTTTCTCGATCGCAGGTATGGAGTACGGCAGCCAGTGTTGGTGTGATAACAAAATCGGTCCCTACACCCAGAAAGCTCTGGATCTCGGTTGCTCCCAGCCTTGCCCCGGTAACACCACCGAGGTTTGTGGCCAATCAGGCCGTCTGTCGCTCTACTCGAACGGTCCGCCTGTTCAAAGTGCGGCTCCCTCAAATCCCGAGGTCGTAGGCAACTACTACTATTCTGGGTGCCACAACGAATCGACTAGCGGCCGTGCTCTCTCGGGCCCTTCGTACTCCGACGGCAAGAACATGACCTTGGAGAGCTGTGCAGCTTTCTGCAACGGCTACAAGTACTTCGGTGTCGAGTACGCCTCTGAGTGCTACTGTGGCTCATACTTTGGTGCCGGCAGTGCCATCGTCTCTGACAACACTTGCTCTATGCTGTGTACCGGTAACTCGCTTGAACTTTGCGGTAACGGCGGCGCTCTCTCTGTCTACACACTCAACTCTGATGCACCTGTTTCGACCATTGTCCAGGGCTCCACTACCGCTGGTGCTGCACCAACAAACACAGGCTCAGGCTCAGCGTCCAGTCTTCCTTCTAGCAGTCTTTGCCCTGCCACCAATGGACAGACCATCGCAGACTCGAACAACATCACCTACACTGTGGCATGTTCTTCGGACACCAACATTGGCTCATACTCCAGCGCCCAAGCAAGCGCTTCTTACTTCGACTGCATGGTTGCCTGCGACAATGCCGCTTCGTCTGGATGTGTTGCTTTCACCTATGTCGGAGGGGCACTAGGCAGCGGGTCAGGAACTTGCTACCTGAAGAACAGCCAGGGCGGCTTCACGGCAGCTGGCAACAACCTTGTATCTGGATTCAGAACCTCGTCTGGTTCCACTGGAGGAGTCACTACTACAACCTCATCCGCCGCAGCTGCAGCCACTACCTATGCTAACGGCTCGACCCCTACTGTGGCTGGTGTTACCTACGCCATTGAGGTCAACGTGACTTACTCTGGTACCACTCTGGCTCTTTCCAAGAAGCGTGCTGCTGCCGTTGTTGGAGACTGCTTGAACACCTGCGCACAGAGCACCTCCTGCGTCGGAACTGCATTCGACGGATCCGTTTGCACATTCTTCGGCTCAATTGACAAGAGCACAAAGTCGTCTGCTCCTGGTACCATCTTTGCTACTGTTCAAGCTCGTGCCGCTGCTACCTCGACCACCTCGAGCGCCACAGGAGTCCCCTCCGCCTCGCTCTGCCCTAGCGCTAATGGTCAGACCGTCAATGGCTACGTCGTCAGCTGCCAATCTGACACCAACATCGGCTCATACTCGAGTGCAAATGCCGTTACCTCTTACCTGGATTGTATGTCTGCCTGTAACGCGTCAGCCTCAACCGGCTGTGTCGCATTCACCTACGTTGGTGGTGCTCAAGGCAGTGGATCCGGCGCCTGTTACCTCAAGAACAGCTTGGGTAGCTTCACCGTTGCTGGTGGCAACAACTATGTCTCCGGTATGATCGCTTCCCAGGGATCATCATCGTCGTCATCGTCATCGACTGGCAGCTCAACTCAGAGCGGATCAACTAGCTCCTCAGGAGCTACCTCGTCGGGCTCGACAACAACCTCCTCGTCAGCCACAGCCTCGGCCTCGAGCAACTTGTGCCCTTCTGTTGATTCGCAGGATCTGACCGACGCCAACGGAAACGTCTACACCATCAAGTGCCAGTCAGACACAAACGTTGGTTCCTTCGCGAATGCTCAGGCTGCCAACACATACGCCGACTGCATGACCGCTTGTGATTCTACTGCAGGATGTGTTGCTTTCACCTACGTCGGCGGAGCTAATGGACTTGGTGCCGGAACCTGTTGGATGAAAAACAGTTTGGGAAGCGCAACTTCAGCAGGCGGCAACAACTACATTGCCGGATTTTTGAAGCAATCTGCCTCGAGCTCTTCTGCCTCGAGCTCTGGTTCGGCCACTTCGAGCACCGTCTCGTCTACTACAGTCTCCTCGTCAGCAACAGCATCGAGCAGCGCCTCGGCCTCTCTTTGCCCACAAGCAAACGGACAGATCATCACTGATTCGAACGGCAACCTGTACAATGTGACCTGCTCCGCCGACAACCAAGTCGGATCTTACACCAACACTCAGGCTGCCACCTCATACCTCGACTGCATGACAGCCTGTGATGCCGCTGCCTCTTCTGGCTGCCAAGGTTTCACTTATGTTGGTGGTGCCCAAGGCTCTGGATCTGGTACCTGTTGGTTGAAGCAGAGCATGGGTGCTTCCCTTCCTAGAGACAGCACTATCATCTCGGCTGTCAAGGTCGCCAACTCCAATGTCGTCTCTGGTAGCAGCTCCAGCAGCTCCAGCAGCTCAGTCTCATCGTCGACAGTCTCGTCCTCGAGCGTTTCGTCGTCGATTGCCTCCTCCTCGACTGTCTCTTCTTCCATTGCCTCGTCTTCAGTTGTCTCACCGAGCACTGTCTCATCGAGCACTGCCTCGTCTTCAGTTGCCTCTTCGTCGACTGCCTCTTCGTCGACTGCCTCGTCGTCGACTGCCTCTTCGACTACCTCGTCATCGACCGCATCCTCGTCAAGCAGCAGCGCCGTATCTTCCACTTCAAGCAGTGTCTCTTCGTCGAGCACCGCTGCCCCCTCGTCAAGCAGCTCTACTTCTTCCTCGTCGAGCATCGTTTCTTCTACTCTGAGCAGCAGCACTGCTTCTTCAAGCACTTCTTCTTCTTCCAGCAGTGTAGCAACGACACTGTCGACATCTACCGCATCCGCCTCGACAACTTCGTCCAGCGCACTCTCGCTTCCCACTGGCTTCTCCTCATACGGTTGCTTTATTGATGGAAGCCCTCGTGCTTTGGCCTACTCTGCTGGTTCCAAGAGCGACAACACCCCCTACAAGTGTGCATCCACCTGCCAGAGCTTGGGATACAAGTACGCAGGTACCGAGTACGGAAGCGAGTGTTGGTGCGCCAACGCTGCACCCACATCCAGCACAAAGGCCACCGACTGCAACATGGCTTGCAGCGGCGACAACACCCAAACCTGCGGTGCCGGAAATCGTCTTTCCGTCTACGTTGACAACACCTGGACAAACAAGTTCAGTGCTCGCCCCAGCTATGGCTCGTGGAACTTGATGGCTTGTTACACCGATGGTACTAACGGACGTGTCTTGCCCAACACCATGAGCATGACTGGTGGTGCCAACAACGCTACCATCGCCAACTGCCTTGACGCCTGTGCAAGAAGCGGCTTGAGCGTCTGCGGTGCCGAGTACTACCAAGAGTGCTACGGAGGCTCCGTTGCCCCCAACAGCAACTTGATCGCCGGTTCCGACCCCTTGACCGCTGGTTGCAACTACCCTTGCAACGGCAACAAGACCGAGGCATGTGGTGGTTCCAACAGAATCCTGGTGTATATCAACAACGGCACCATGGCTTCCAGTCGCCACCGCCGTTAAGCCCGATGCCTTCTCTTCTTCTTTCCCATTCTCTTTTGCTTTATAGCGAGCGATGATTGAGATGTTTTCTTTCTTCTCCTTCTTTCTGCTCTTTCTTTTTTTTTCTTTTTTTCACGATTTACAAAGATTATTTTGATGCCCCTGATGTTTTATACCGGGACAACACACTACCTCATAGACTGTTTGTGTTATATACCAAAATATATATACAACTTAGTAATTTCTTCACCTACAGCTCCATTGTTCCTCCTCTTAGTTGTTGTGCTTGTGTAGAGTCTTCAGTCGCTTGAAGTAGGCATGTGTGATGTCCAACAATCCTTCCTTGGCGCAGAGAAACAGAAAGGCATTGGGCTGTTGTTTTGCCTCTTCGGTGATGCAGGCTCTGCACGTGTGTTCGGAGATTCAAGTTCTACGATCGGCGTGCCCTCCGCGTGGTTAGCTATGGCATGATCTAAAGGCCACACAGTCACGAGAGCTGCTCGGTCTTTTTCAAGTCGAACAGTGAGATGGATATTTGCAGAGATCTGCCGATTCTCCATCTTGACAAGTTTGAGAGGGCTGTGAGAAGCAAGTCATTCAGCTCTCCACCGATGCCCCTGCTCTACTTTGACAATATCATCGAAGCAATGCTACCTACTGAGGAAGAAGCAGAAGAAAAACACAAGAGGAGGGTATCGTGGAAAGGTGAGGGCGACCGGCCTGGATGACAATACAGACTCCTTCCACGTCCGACGGTTAGCGTGGGAATCCACTTTCTTGCATAACAAAGATGTTTCAACCAATGACGACGCTTACCAGGCTCTATAAGCAGTGTTCAAAGCTCACACTGTTCGTCGGCAGGTAGGTATAACATGTGCGAGCTCCCACAGGACAAGGAGCCCAGGAGCTTGTGAATGAAATCGCAGTAAGATCCTTAGGGTAAGCTAGAAGAGAATGTTTGACCAAAACTCATCAGATCCGTGAGCCACACGACCTCGCAGGTGATGTTGGAACCTCACCTTGCTGCTCAACCCAAGTGGATCTCGTATGCAGTGCACATGGCAAGAGCGATACCGGGTTGCTGGAACTAAACGGCACGCGTAGTTGCAGCAATAGTAGCACTGAACGAATAGTTTCGCTGCACTCTGTGCCTTCCCACCCGAAGCGCTCGTTGGGAAAAACCCAACGAACTGTCGAGGGACTGAGCTACCGCCAACCCGCAGGTTTTTCAGTTGCTTCCGTACGTATCCAACCTGCACCGTGGACCCGCAGTTGATAGCTGCATAGCCATGAAGCTGCATGGTCGTCATTGGTGCTCGTCGGTCGTGCTGCGCTGTAAGTTGATCCCTCGCGGGTCCGCTGCTAGCTTTCGATCCCGACAGCTTGGAGAGCCATTGGAAGACAAGACCCACGGCAAAAAATACCTTCTGACAATTCAACCCCTGACGGGTTGTGCTCTGCTATGGTAAAACTGATCATGCTCTGATCATCTGCGCTTCTCATGTGCTTAGACAAGCCCTGCACGATAGCCCTAACCCTAGTCCAGCTGACGACGACAAGTTGACCACTTGTAGTCAGCCGGGCGAGGGTAATGGTGCAAGGGAGGATGGACACAAGCGAGATATTGACGTGTGATTTGCGATATTCTGATACGTAGTTGTTATACCATGATCCTTGAGGCTTCAAACAAGGCTGTTGCAGTCAGTGGTCACAGAGTGATGGAGGTCTGCGAGGAATTGACACGTAGATACGACGATCTACCCGAGACAAGAAAAGCCGTGAATCAGATATCCACCCTGGCTGCACAATGGTGATCATAAGTTCCAGACGATGTTGAGTGGAGCTGGTCGAGCTGTAGAGCGAAAGAAAGGAACGGACAGGTTCTCAGTACAATTTTGCCCTGTGCGGCACAGGCTGATTGCACATTCACTCTGTTGAATTGGTCTTACTATTGTTCCGCCACAGCTCCTGCGACTCATGACAGCAACCGTGAGCGACTCGTCCGTGGTCGCCCAGTCGGTTATATTCCATTAAAAAGGGTGATCAAACATGCGCTTCTAAATCCTGGTTCGACGGACTGAGTTGCGGTTTCTCGCACATGGGTTGATCGCTCGAGCATGGCATCGGTACCGAAGTCTGGGATTTGGAACGCATAACGGTTATCTGCAGCCCAAATTGTGCTGGTCGCTTTCAAGTCGTGTATCAAAGTTGAGTAATGTTGAGTATTTGTAGAAGTTTGACCCGTGTGGTCGACTGTGATGTGTGGAAGTCGACGATGCTGTTGGATGCAAGACCCGAAGTTGTTCAACCAAATCTTCAAGGAAGGCGCCAAGGGTGCTGGTCCCCACATGGCCCTCACTTTATATAAGACAGCAATATATTTTCAACAGATCGATATGACTTGTCGGCTCGGCAATCGGACCAGATGTTTTGCACTATACAGTCTGATACTTCTGATCCTTGTTGATCGTTGCACATCCAGCCCAATTGTAGCATTGCAATGAAACATACTGCAGAAGAACAGAAATTCGCGATTGAAACATTATATTACCATGCTGCGAGCAAGAAAGTCTTCGGAAAATATATATGGACGAAGTGAAACAGTAAACGTGTTGGTTGCATGCAGGGCCGGGGTCGATGTAAGCATCATGGGCTGCACATCATCCATGCGATCCTTGCCGGAGGGGAGATTGTCGGCTTGAAGCGAACAATCGCTCGTGTCCAGTGGTTCTGGCCAAGTTGAAATCAATCGCAACCAACATCCTTTCTAGAAATCCGTCTAGACCCAATGCCGCAAGTCCACCACGCATCTCGACGAATTGCCGTAGACCGCTCATGTGCGTCGCGAATGCATCCCGATCTCTCCAAAAGGCTTCGTACTGAGCCATGGTTGCCATGGTTGCAATCATAGAATCCTTGGTCGAAAGGTTTCCGTTCATGGCTTGGATGGCCATGTCTTTGAGCTGGTATAGATCCACAACTTGGGCATGTGCAGCCATAGAGGATCGAAACAGCGATGCTGCGAACAGCAGGACAGCATGAAGCAGTGCCACATCGGTCATGACAAATGGCATCCAGGTAGATCTCAAGAGAGCCATTGTAGGCGCGTCATCCGATTGCAGCACTTCCTTGGCCGTGAAAGCAAGATCTGTGATGTATCCGTCTTAGAAACCAATCAGAGATCAAGGCGCGTGGTGATATACTTACAGTTCTCTAGAATCTGGTTGAGATACGGGAGCCACTGAGCCGGGTAGACCTGCGATACGTCTATCATCGGGTGTTTGGGTGTCGATGAGAATGAAGATACGTCAGAGCTGCTAGCCGGAGATACCGGGCTCTGCTGACCCGATGTAGTAGGTCTCGACAATGGATAAGATGCGGCATGTGCGCGACCTTGCGATATCTGTGCCGACGAGGTGCCCAATAACTGCGGGTCACTGTTGGACCTCCGAGCTGCCGCCAGTTGCTCTGCCTTCTGATGCTGTTGTTTCGTGACATGGCTTCGAATGGCCCTTCGAACCTTCTGGTCCTTGGTATCGCTGGGGTCCGTGAGATTGACGAATTGAAAGGACATTGCTGGCTCGGAAGGTCCCGGAGAAACAGGCGATGGGGTTCCAGGCATTATGTTGTAGATCTAGTTGACGACAAACGAGGTGACAGAGCGAAGAAACGTAGACTAGAACGACAAGTTGAACGAATGTGACGAGCCGAGATCTATACCGAGTAGCTGAAAGATTAGGTGCGAGTGCAGTCTGCGAGATCAGGTACTTCAGATAGCCGGATCAGCCTTCGAGATATATAGAAGATGAGTTACCAGGTTGGAAATGCATAGGCACAAGCAATGGCCACCATCGTCCCGACGGCTATTCATGGTACTGCAACAATCCAGATTTGGCTGCAGGAGTTCGTTGGCAGACTGTCTGGGCGAATATCCAAAAAGGGTAAACATGTGCACGTACTTGGAGCAGCTCGATAGTCGCGCCGAGAAAGTCTCAATGGTCCTCGAGTGGTGGCTAAGACCACTGACAAAGATCAGAAAACAAATACGGAACACTGTGCCTTCGGATGCATGTACGTTGTTGCATGCAAAACCGAGGGTCGAGTTAGGTATTACATATGAACGATGGGGCGGGGATAAGATCGAGCGGCAGCCTTGTCTGTCTGTCATGATCAACTAGCTAGCTGAACGCCTCTCTCGGGGCCGCATGAGTTGCGCTCATCGATGGCGCCATGCTGGCTACATTAGGCGAAGTGGAAACGCATTCGCATGGGCTGCTTTGGTTTGTCGCTCTCTATCCTAGGGAGCCGCTAATATCTCACGAGTGGGCTTTCTGCAGCGTGTGGTTCTCAGGTCCCTCCTATCCTCCAGGCTCAAGGACCAGAAGAGATAGGCTAAGGCTCTCGTGAGTTACCGGTACCTGGGTAGGTTGTGTTTGACAGACCACTGGAGAAAGCCACACCCGGCCGCCATCTATTCTTGCGACCCGGCGAGGCACGGTCTCGGTCTAGAAGGGCAGCTGCATGAAGCCGTATTGATCGACCGTAGAGCATGTGGAAGCGGCGCATCAGAGAGGAGTAGGCGACCACTGGGATTTGAGTACCTCTGTCTGTCTTGAACACTTGCCGACCATTTTCCGCGAATGGCATGCAGCCTTTATCCGAGAAGAAGATGCACTGAGGAACTGTGGATGAGATCCTGCCAGGTACAGCCGTGAAGGAGAAATATTCACCGAGCGGGGTTCTCTCCACCTGCTCTGTGGTTCCTCGTGGCAGTCAGTGTACAACCATGAAAGATCTGGTGCTAGGAACCTTGAGATTCATGCTTAGGTGAGCAGCACCCTCTTGGCCACACCTCCAAACTCAAATCATATTTGTGTGCTTTGACAGCGAGATTTGGTATACGCGCTGTATCAGAGAAGACGATAAGTCGTGTAAGAAAGCCCTCGGAGCTCTATAGCATTCCTCACAGCCGCACAGACAAATGCTGAGCGGGTCCTGACAGAGACAAAATTCCGAGATCAAGGTCTCTGGGGATTCGTCAAGACCCAGTGGCCAGGCTCCGGGCCTGATGTTCGAAGGAGTAAGCAAGGGACATGCGCAACGGATATAGTAATCATGCACGTGGTCGTCGTTGTCTCACACAGACATCTAAAAATTCAAGGGACTCGAACATGCCGAACCCGAGCGGCCGGATTACAGGAGATCCCGTCGTGCTTGGGAACTGCAAGCATACCTACCGGCGGATGGTCGTGGGGACTAACTACGTCACACCCTCGAAATACATACAGACGACCAACGGTCGTCAGAAAAGAACAAGCTGCATATCCTTCGTCCCCCTCCAAGACACTATTGAAAGACGACATCAATTCCCGACGAGACGGCCATGCATTAGCAGCGCCACGCAGAGTGACCTTCGCCCTCCCCGAAACTCGATCAGCCTCACACACGCACACACACATACACCTCTGCGCGCGCAGATATGGAGACGCCGCAGCATTCCAAGAGGCACAGGAAGAGAGATTCAGACCTGCTCGCAGAAGTGCCCGACCCTGTCATCCAGCTTGATTCTAAGCAGCCATCTTCAGCAGCAGGTTCCGATAACTTGCTTTCAAGGGTATGCTGACTTGGCGTGTTGCACATCTCATCAGCACGCGACTTACAAACCTATCTAGATCGTGCTGGGGCCCCTAACAATGATCTCCTTTTTGTTTTCGCTTTGTGTCGTTGACAGCCAGCAACGTGCATGGCGTCTTGCGCAACGAGCCGATAGCGAGCCATGGCCGTTATGGAAAAGACTCTCGCCCTGGACGTGGTGGAACGCAGAACCTTATCAATCTTCTCATGACTCCACCTGGCAACATGCTGTACCAGCTACCAGCTTGTCGGATGGTGCAGATGGGACCGTTCCCGCTGCTGCGGTGGATACAGACCACTGGTTCACACGAAAGAAGCACAGGAAGATGGCCAAACTTACCGTCTCGGACGCAATTGACATGAGGGAAGGCATGGCTATGGTGCTTGTCACAGCAGCCTTAATAGGCCTAGTTGTCGTTTTATGGCTTGCAAAACGCATGCTGTCATCAATTGCATGAGGCGGCGCAACACGATCTCACCGAGTACATGTGTCGGGTATCTCGACCACAAGTTCTTTGATCTGGTCTGTGGCGAAGAATTTGCTAAGAGATGATTTCAAATTCAAACACTTGTAGAGCGAGCTTACAGCGGTCATGGACCTCGACATGTTGTATACGATGTCGATGATCTTGATGCAGGGTCCTGGATGAATTACATGATTGTCTTCACGCGAGGCTAGGTATGTTCGCTAAATTTTTGCATACTAGTCTGACGATTTCCGTTCAGAACAACAGGATCTGTAGTATACCATCTACTCATGTAAAATAGGGTGTTGTATCCTATTTGTTCTTCTATCATATGAGCAGAATGACATGTAAACGACATGGGTGTCGGATTGACCCTGACTTTTCAGGTACGATCTCCCAATGTATGTGACGCATAGTCTGCAGAAATGCACAATACGTTCGAAAGGTAAGACAGGGTCTATTGAGAAACAATGCGCCTCAGACTCTCTTTGGACAGATTTCTGATCTGGCAACCTTTGTGTTTTTTTATAGTGAGGTCGTCGTTTTGAACCTGTCGTCGTTCTGAGAGACGCTAAAGGAAGCAGAAGCTTCAATCTCACCCCACTTTCTGACGTGGTGAGACCCTTCAGGCGCGCTGTCACTCTCCAAGTCCTTGTAGAATCCAGCACTCGAGTAAACACCAACACGCATACATCCACAATAACATCATGTCTGCAATCAAAGGAATCGGCGAGAGCAAGCAGTACGACGGTAGGCAAGCTCATCAGAACAGCACATGTGACCGGGGTGCTAACAAGTAGCAGGCTCGAAGCTGCGCATCGGCATCGTTCACGCTCGTTGGAACACAACAATCATCGATGCTCTCCTGGAGGGTGCAAAGAAGAAGCTCGCCGAAGCGGGAGTGCCTGGTACTCCTGGACCAGCTCAAACAGGCGACCAGAAGAACTAATTAAGGACAGAGAGCAACATTGAAATCCAGACAGTGCCTGGCAGCTACGAACTTCCCTACGCAGTGCAGCAAATGTACGCATGCTCGCAAGCTCAAGCATCATCCGCCAACTCGACATTGCTGAGCTCTGCTACCGACCTCCTCTCGTCGTCGACGACCGATCTCTCGCTCAAGGACAAGGAGGGCAGCACCAACGCAGCATCAACCAAGCCCTTTGATGCTATCATCGCAATTGGCGTGCTGATCAAGGGCTCGACAATGCACTTCGAATACATCTCGGACGCCGTCAGCCACGCGCTCATGAAGCTCCAGTTGGACATTGGCATTCCTGTCGTCTTCGGCCTGCTCACCCTGCTGACCGAGGAGCAAGGCCTCGAACGTGCCGGCCTTGTATCAGGCTCAAAATACCACAACCACGGCGAGGACTGGGGTGCAGCAGCGGTCGAGCTGGGCACTAAGAGAAGGGGCTGGCAGGAGGAGAAGACGTTCATCCAGTAAAGGACGTCGGGACAAGAGTCTGCTAGGAAAATAGAAGCTACAAAATAAAACTCGCTCCATGTCAGGCACGACCGGCACGAGCTTGAGAAGAATACAAGCCATCTTGGACGCTTGTCGTGTGTGCCGGTACCGTCGTTTGTCGCTGCTCCGAACGACCTGTTTCTGTGACCTCGTCGTGCCGTGCGTCAACGGAAAGTCAACCAAGACCAGCGAGCTCGCACAAAGACAGATGGAATCAGTCAAGCAGTCACGATGGCACATGTCAGCTCGTCGTCTAGATTGTGGATGGCCTTCACTGCGCGCTGCGCGTCATCGTCAACGGGCACGGACCATGGGCGTGGAACGGGCGTGGAGTTTCTTGTCTTGCGCTACTGGCGACTCTTGCTTGTCGACTGAGGAATGGAAGCTCATTCATCATCCCTCAACCATTCCTTTCTTCGCCTTGTCCCTCTGGCCACTTGTTGTTGCGGTCCCTGACTCTGGCGCATGAGATATCGCGAGCTTGCTAACCGCGCACGCCTGCTACCTGCGCCCTGATCCCGCTCTCGGTCTCCAGCCTCGAGGCCCCTGTCGTTGCCAAACTCCCAACATCTGCTTGCTGTCCATCCCATTGTCACCACTCCTAGCTCTCACCACTCGCAACCTTTCTGCTGCCTTTGTGCAGTTGCGCCCGCCCTGTCAATCCTCAGATCGTCTGGCCCGGAGAAGCTCAGCCCACCATCAACAAAGTTCCACTGCTGATCTCGCCTCGGCTTTGGCTATCCGATGCCTGCCTGTTGAACCAGGTGCCACTTTCGCCTGTCGCTGTTGGCTCTGCATGGCCCATCCACAAGCTCGGCCTGCTGATGCTTCAGCCAACATGTCTTCGTCCGACTCGGAAGCACGCGACTCGGGCGACTTGTTGAATGCTGTTGGCTCCACCAGTTCCCTCGCAAGCACGGTCTCTTCTGTCTTCAGTGCTAACACCCTCCTCCCAAAGACCAATGGTCACTCTTCGACTACCCTCGCCGCCCTGACTCCAATGACACATCATGCTTCGTCTCCAGTCAAAGCGCCTTCCCCGCTTGCTTCCTCCAATCCACAATCCAAACCATCCCGACCAGAGCCATCACCTCTCGGTCGTTCTGTCGCAAACAGCACCCGAGGTCCTCGCGAAAATGCCACTCTTCGACCATCTCCCTCGGGAGAACGCCCGCAGATCATGCCACCCGCTGGCAAAACAAAAGGGTACAGGACGGTTTATGATCCAGGAATGGAACGCGGGCTCAGCGATGAAGAGAAGAAGACACGCAAAACAAAGTTAAGGTCTTTCGGGACTGAGGTACGTCTGGACAATTTTACACGATTGCTGAGCTTGTTGACACCCTGCCACAAAATAAACCGTCCTGTACCCTGAAGCTGATGGATTGAAAACAACAGGCACAATCTCCACCCCCTGATCCTAGACTGGCTATCGCGAACTATACGTCCGGCGGAGCTGTATCTGACAAAGAGGAGAACTGCAAACGGCTATTACGAATCGCACCTGAAACGCTGAAACCATATGCATACGACAAGGCTTTGACCATTGGACCTGGTCCACCAAGGCAAATTGTCATTCACGGTTTTGATCCGTTTACTCCCGAATCACAACTAAAGTTCTTCTTCGCAAGTTTCGGCGACATTGCCGAGTTCCGCAACCAGACCGATCCGAATACCGGAAGTCTGTTGGGAATTTGCTCTATCAAATACAAGGATGGCAAGCCCGTCAAGGGTGTCTCGATTTCGGCCGCCAGTGCCGCGAAACGCGCCGAGAAAGAGGGGCACAGACATCGTATTGGTTTGACTCAAGTCAAGGTCGAGCTTGATCGCGAGGGGCGCAAATGCAGGAAATACATCGAATTCACTCTCAAGAAGGCGCGACGCGAGATGGAGAAAGAAGCTGCACGACACGCCCCTCGCACCGTTTCGGTAGCAGCAGAGTCGCGCGGCTCCTCGACACCTGTGCCACCACCTCCACCACCACCACCTGCAGCCGCTCAAGAAACACCCCCTATCCTAGTGAATGCGCCCAAGGCGCCGAAAGGACCAGCGCCCAAACGAGAACGTGAGCGAGAGTTGGCTGGCGCATCGGAACAGCCTGCAACGACCAAAGAACGCGACACCGGCCGCTCGGTCGTCGAATCAGAGCCGATACTGGCCAAGATCAAACGAAAACCATACATTTTTATCTCGCGTGATAGCGTGCCTGTGTTAGGGTCCACTGTGCCACATCTTAAGAAGAGGTTCAAGACTTTTGACTGGCGAGAAATTCGCGTTGACAAGACAGGATATTTTGTCATTTTCGACGACTCCAAGCGCGGTGAAGACGAGACAGTCAGATGTTTCAAGGAATGTAACAACGGTCCTATGTTCACATACAACATGGCTATGGAGTGCCAGCAGTACGGCAACCCCGACTACGTTCGCAGCCCAAGTCCCGAAACGCAGGCCGTCCAGAGCCGGCAGAAGGAGGAGACAGATCGATTGGAAAGGTGGGCTGCGGAAGATCTGGAAGAAGAGAAGAAAGAAAAAGCTGCGGACCTGGACCCTGTCACGGGCGCGCTCGAACAATTGCAACTCGAATTGCGCAACAAGATCATGGACGACATCAAGAAACGAATCGTCATTCCTGAACTCTACGACCGCCTCGATCCTGCCAGACATGCCGCGAAGCGTCGCAAGCTCGACATTCCAGACCCGACTGACAATGAAAACAAGCCGCCAACTCTGCTTCTGAACAAAGCCATTGACACTTTGTCAACGGCAACTCGCACCAGAAACGGACGTCCTTTGTCCCACAGCAAGCCACTTCGCCCTCACGATCCCAACCGTGGACGACAGATTCCAACAAATGTCTATGCCGACCCACGCCGAGTTAAGAAGCGACCAGCCGTGCGTCCTGTGCACGCCCGTCCTTTACATTACCGTTTGCAGCATATGGAAGACGACGAGGACGAAGACGAATCCGACGACGACCACAGAACACCAATGACGCGCGATACCGATGACCTGGAGAGCAGGCCTCTCAGTCGGGCCAGTCGTACTTCAACACCTTTCAGCGTGTCCGAGTCCATTGACCTGCCAACACCTGCTCCGAAAAAGAGAAAGCTGGTTCACAAAGAAAGAGAGATCATTCCAGAGGAAGACCAGGAGATCTTTGCGCCGCATCACAAAGAACTCCTTGGTGACCTTATCCACAAGATTCCAGAACGTATGGCCACACGCGAACTCGAGCTAGTTGTTAGCACCCTTCCTCGAGATTCCAAGTTCGAGATACGTGCACGCAATGAACTTCACCTCAGGCAGCGCGCTAAATACGACCACGAAGAGTCGCCTGCTTCAATTGTAGATGTCTCGAAAACAAACAGCACGACCAACGGCGACAAGCATGCAGCCCAACCTGGAGATCTTACCGCCAAACCCGTCAAGAAGGACGTTAAACGTAAGCGACCAAAGTCGAAGAAGCAGATCTTCGAGGAGCGTGAAGCAGAACGGGCTGCCGCAAAGGCTACCGAAGACACTCAAATCATGGAACCTGGCAGCCAGGCCGACGACAGAGACATCGATGGCGATATTGACATTGATGCTGACATCGACAATGCCAATGAGAACCTTGAAGAGGAGGAAGAGGAAGAGAGACCACAGGTCGAGTGGGCTGTGTCCACTGGTGAACCACTCAAAACCGTCCTCGATGATGACGAAGTCTTTTTGGATATTGATGGATGGAAACACATTGTTAAGGATGAGGAAGACATGCGTTACCTTCTTCAAGCTCTGGAAGATGAGCCTGCTGCAGACATTGGCGACGTTACTCTATGGGCATGGAAGCAGAAGGAGATCAAGGCACTCAACGCTGGTGGCTCAACTGCCGAAGCCAGGATTCAAGGATACTATGTGCCAAACCTCTCGGGATGTGCTCGCACAGAGGGCGTCAAGAAGATCCTGGAGTCGGAAAAGTCCAAGTACTTGCCCCACCGCATTCGCGTCCAAAAACAACGTGAGGCTCGCGAAGCCCAAGCCTTGGAGAATCCCAATGCTTTCGCTGCTGCTGAAGCGGCCGCCGAAGCTGCAAAGGTTGCCGCAGCTGCCAAGATCGCATCCGTGGCCACATCTCGTAGCAACCGCGCTAACAACCGACGTCTGGTCAATGACATCAACTTGCAAAAGCAGAACCTCATTACTACTGGTGGTGAGGCGGACGCTATCAAGTTCAACGCCCTCAAGAAGAGAAAGAAGCATGTCAAGTTCGATAGATCAGCCATTCACGGTTGGGGTCTGTATGCCATGGAAAACATTGCCTCGAACGACCTCATTATCGAATATGTCGGCGAAAAAGTACGTCAAAAGGTGGCGGATCTTCGTGAGATCAAATACGACAAGCAAGGTATCGGAAGCAGTTACCTGTTCCGCATGGTTGACGACGAAATCATCGACGCCACGAAGAAGGGTGGAATTGCTCGCTTCATCAACCACAGCTGCACGCCCAATTGCACGGCCAAGATCATCAAAGTCGATGGCACCAGGAGAATCGTCATCTATGCGCTCAAGGATATCGCCAAGAGTGAGTTTTAACAAATTGTTGACCGAGAAATACGTTCCTAACACAAACGCAGACGACGAGCTCACGTACGACTACAAATTCGAGCGCGAATACGGCAGTGACGATCGCATTCCCTGTCTCTGCGGCTCAGTGGGGTGCAAGGGATTCCTGAATTAAGGGGTCGGAGAGGACTTGTTGTATATTATGTGGAGGAAAGCATGCATATTAATGGCGTACTCGGAAAGAACAAAAAAAGACCGGAAGGAGGATATGCTTTCTTCAGGCCAGCATGGAATGCGGGCTTCGTCTTTGAGTGTACGATACTAAACAAAGAGATGTGTGTCCTGCCGGATTGATGCGGGACAAGGAACCAATCTTGGACCGCACCGCAGCGCCCAATGAGGATCGAACAAGTTTTCACAACCTTGATGGAGTCATGCTCGACAATTTTTGATGTGACGTATCGGCAGCAAAATATAATCCAAATGAAGAGTACTTGGCAGACTGGATAAACGGCAAGACTGTGGATGCAACAAGTCAGTTGTACGCGCAACACTATTGCGGGAGCATGGAGCTAGAGATTGACTAGATGAAGTTGTTCGTATCTGCCAAATCGTGTGCCTGGTTCTAGAGAAGCCGGGCAAGGGACCGGATGGGCGCCGCCAACTGACAAGGCACGTGGAGAACAGGGAACAACGCCGACTTTGGATCTTGGCGTTGCGGGCCGGCAGTGATCGAAACACGTATTCGATAGCAGAGAAACTTCTGGACTTTTTGGTTAAAGGTACAATAAGATTAGGGAGGGACGTGGAAGTACCATCTTCCTTTACTCGACCAACGTCGCATTGCTCCCGGACCGCCAACATGGACAACGCCTACGTGCAATCGCCCTCTGCGGTGCTAAAGCACTTTGATGTACAAGAAGCCTCTGGTCTCGACAAGTCGTCGGTGATTGCGTCAAGACAGCAGCATGGTCCAAATGGTATGTCTCTTGGAAGCCTCCTACGACTGTATAAACACGTACTGACTCTGTCGTCAGCTATCCCCGAGGAACCTCCTACCCCGCTATGGGAACTCATCCTGGAACAATTCAAGGACCAGCTTGTCCTCATCCTGCTTGGCTCGGCCGCGGTATCTTTTGTGCTCGCTCTCTTCGAAGATAGCGACGACTGGACTGTTTTTGTTGACCCCATTGTCGTATGTTCCGTGTCGCGACCCCTCTTGACAGCAGTTTCTAACCTATACCCCTAGATTCTCACCATCCTCATCCTCAACGCCGTCGTAGGTGTGTCGCAAGAGTCGTCGGCTGAAAAAGCAATCGCTGCACTTCAAGAGTACTCAGCCAATGTGGCCAAGGTCATCCGCGATGGCAAGGTCCAGCGCGTCAAGGCAGACGAGTTGGTTCCAGGAGACATCATCAAGGTGGCCGTGGGTGATCGCGTTCCTGCCGACTGCAGGATCCTGTCCATCCACAGCAACAGCTTCCGCATCGACCAGAGTATTTTGACCGGAGAGAGCGAGAGCGTCGGCAAGGAAACCGACGCTATTGACGACGCAAAGGCTGTCAAGCAGGACCAGATCAACATGCTCTTCTCAGGTACCACGGTTGTCACTGGAAGTGCCACCGCTGTCGTTGTCCTCACTGGCTCCAACACGGCCATTGGCGACATCCACGAGAACATCACTTCGCAGATCTCGCAGCCTACACCTCTCAAGGAGAAGCTAAACGACTTTGGAGACACTCTCGCAAAGGTCATTACCGTCATCTGTATCCTTGTCTGGCTCATCAACATTCCCCACTTCAACGATCCCGCCCACGGCTCCTTCACCAAGGGTGCCATCTACTACTTGAAGGTAAGCTGCTATGAACTGCAACCTCTTGAACACGCAGCTAACCATCAATCCAGATTGCTGTCTCGCTCGGTGTCGCCGCCATTCCCGAAGGTCTCGCCGTTGTTATTACCACCTGTCTCGCCTTAGGAACCCGCAAAATGGCTGCCAAGAACGCTGTGGTCCGCAGTCTGCCCTCGGTCGAGACTCTGGGTAGTTGCAGTGTCATCTGCTCGGACAAGACTGGAACCCTCACCACCAACCAGATGAGTGTCAGCAAGGTCGTTTTCGTCAATGAGCGTGGCTCTGGACTCGACGAACTTACTGTTGAAGGAACCACCTTTGCTCCCGAAGGTGCCATTACTACTTCAAGCGGACAAACTCTCGACAACGCAGCCGTTTCCTCGTCTACCATTGCTCAAGTCGCCGAGGTCGCTGCTCTTTGTAACGACGCACGTCTCGCCTATGACAGCGAGAAGGGTGCCTACACCAACCTGGGCGATGCTACCGAAGGTGCCCTGAGAGTCCTCGCCGAGAAGATCGGCACCCGGGATGCATCAGTCAACTCTGCAAGATCCACCCTTGCCCCCGAAGACAAAGTTCACCACGCCAGCAAGCACTGGGAGACCAGTACTCCTCGTCTGGCTACGTATGAGTTTTCCCGCGATAGAAAGAGTATGTCCGTTTTGGTCCAAGACGGCTCATCTCAGCGTCTCCTCGTCAAGGGTGCCCCCGAGTCCATCATCGCCAGATGTAGATACGTCTTGGTTGGAACAAAGGGCACAAGGATGGCTCTCACCGATAACATCTCTTCTCTGCTCTCCAAGGGTATTGAGGAATACGGCAACCGTGGACTTCGCATCATGGCTCTTGCCAGCGTCGACAACGTCACTTCTCCTCTGTCGAAGCAGGCTAAAACCACCTCCGAGTACGCTCAACTTGAACAAAACATGACACTGATTGGTTTCATTGGCGCGCTCGATCCTCCCCGTCCCGAAGTGGCTGACAGCATCCGCAAGTGCCGTGAGGCTGGCATCCGTGTTGTTGTCATCACTGGTGACAGCCAGAACACTGCTGAGACCATCTGCCGCCAGATTGGTGTCTTTGGCACCGACGAAGATCTGACCGGCAAGAGTTTCACTGGCCGCCAGTTCGATGACCTTAGCGAGGTCGAAAAGCTCGAGGCTGCCATGAACGCTTCTCTCTTCTGTCGTACTGAACCTACCCACAAGTCCAAGTTGGTTGACCTTCTTCAGTCTGCTGGCGAGGTTGTCGCCATGACTGGTGACGGTGTCAACGATGCCCCTGCCCTGAAGAAGGCCGACATTGGTGTTGCCATGGGTAGCGGTACTGATGTTGCCAAGCTCGCCGCAGACATGGTCCTCGCAGACGACAACTTTGCAACCATCGAGGCCGCTGTCGAGGAAGGCAGAAGCATCTACAACAACACTCAGCAATTCATTCGTTACTTGATCTCGTCCAACATTGGCGAGGTTGTGTCCATCTTCTTGACTGCCGCCATGGGCATGCCCGAGGCTTTGATTCCTGTTCAGCTCCTTTGGGTCAACCTGGTCACCGATGGTCTTCCGGCTACTGCGCTCTCATTCAACCCCGCCGACCATGATATCATGAAGCGTCTTCCTCGCAAGCGTGACGAAGCTCTTATTGGTGGCTGGCTCTTCTTTAGATATATGGTCATCGGTACCTACGTCGGTATCGCAACTGTCGGAGGATATGCATGGTACTTCATGTTTAGTGAGGCTGGACCTAAGGTCAGCTTCCACGCACTGGTAAGTTTTGAGACGTTCCCCCCCAAGAAAATCCCTGAACACTAACCCTTTGGCAGACGCACTTCCACTCTTGCAGCATTTTCGAGCACCCGATTGACTGCTTCATGTTCAGTGACTACAGAGCCAAGACAGCATCGACCATCTCTTTGTCGATTCTGGTTGTGATTGAGATGCTCAACGCCATGAACGCTCTGTCTTCGTCGGAGAGTTTGTTGACTCTTCCCCTGTGGAAGAACATGATGCTCGTGTACGCCATCTGTTTGAGCATGGCCTTGCACTTTGCACTGCTTTACATTCCCTTCTTGCAGGGCATCTTTGGCATCGTGCCTCTTGGCATGGAGGAGTGGAAGTTGGTGCTTGGATGGAGTGCGCCTATCATTCTGATCGACGAGGGACTCAAGTTCCTCGAGCGCGCATTTGTCATGGAGAAGCCGGGTAAGCACATCAAGCCCAAGGCAGAGTAGAAGCAGCGAGTCTCGGGACTAGCATTAGAAGAGTCGTCTCTTTGGACATTAGAGGGCGTGTGTATAGATAGAAAAATCAAACGCGCTTGACCGATGTTCTGGAAGTTGCAAGGAGTGAGGTGTGCAGTCGGGGTTGTGAACAGATGTGATTTGGGGGAATTGTGCACGGACAAGGACAATCGATAAGGGCTGCACAATTGTGCCAAGCGACGAATTTCAACGCGAGCGGATTGACAATACAGAGCATTTGCGCGCGCCGACGACAGGACGTCAAACTACAGACACACACCATGGCCAACACACTTTTGATCGAAGGCTCGTTCGAAGAGCTGAGCGAGGAGCTCGCCGTCTACATTGATGGACTCGGCCAGTCGTCTGTGCAGTCAGAGATTGCGCCGCTGTTGAAGGACGGCAACAAGGTCGATGCGCTCAAGAAGATTGTCACTGCCAGCAGTGCCTTGAACAGCGCACCTGAGAGAGGTGAGCTGCGCCTTCCTCCTCCTCCAGCCGTTTCTCTGCCTCGATACTGACCTTGCTCCTTCCCAGAATTCGTGGCCGCATACAACCTCCTCGTGCACCTGGTACACCAATCCGGAAGCCCCGACATTTTCCTGCCCAAACTCTGCCAGAACGTCTCTGCCCCCATCACCTCCTCGCCGCACAACGGAACCGGTCTTGCCCTCAATGTCCTCTCCACAATCTTCAACACCCTCGACTCCGACCAGGAGAGCCGGTACCATGTCTTGCTCGCCATCCTCAAGATTGTGCGCAACAACAGCACTTTCGATCAGTTGACCCCTCAGCTCGCTCAGTTGGAGTCATGGCTGCAGGCCTGGGAGATGGACGCCGCCGACCAGCGCAAGTTGTACTTGGCCGTCAGCGACGTGGCCACCGAGGCGTCAGAGGACGAACAAGCATACCAATACCTGCTCAAGGCTCTACGCACCATCCAGTCCTCCCAAGACGCCTCCTCGGACGACGCAAAGACCCTCTCCGTGCGCGCACTCAAGCAAGCCCTCGTCTCTCCAACCCACTTCGACTTCCACGACTTGACCCAACTCGACTCGATCCAGGCCCTGCGCAACTCTGAGCCCGTCTGGTTCGAACTCCTCGAAATCTTCAACGCCCAGCAACTCGACGACTTTTCAGACTTCAACGAGGCAAACCCTGATTTCTTGACCAAAGCAGACCTCGACACCTCGGCTCTGGAACGCAAGATGCGTCTGCTGACTCTGGCCTCCATCGCAGCCTCCGCCTCCCAATCCCGCACCCTGCCCTACTCAGCCATCACAAAGGCCCTCCAGATCCCTTCAGAGGACGTCGAAATGTGGGCCATCGATGCCGTCCGCGTGGGTCTCGTCGAGGGAAAGCTCTCCCAGCAAGACCAGACTTTCCTCATCCACCGCACCACCTACCGCGTCTTTGGCGAGAACCAGTGGCGCGAAGTCGCTTCCCGTCTCGACATGTGGCGCTCGTCTCTGCAGGGCGTTCTCCGCGTCGTCCGCCAGGAAAAGGAAAACTACATTCGTGATCGCGAGGCCGAGCTCCGCGATGCCGATAACCGTGACAAGGGCAATGGTTACAGGCCCAACAAGCAGTACAGAAACGCCGTCGAGGTCGAGTAGAGCAAATGCAATAAAAAGCGATCGGGTCTAGCTTCTTACTGTTTTATATCATGAAGGTCACTAAAAAATGGATTCTTTTATTGTTCTTTTGATCTCTCAGACTGTCCCTTGTGAAGTGTGCCTGAATTGAGGGTAGATAGCCTGAGTAGATGATGATGACTTCGTTTCTGCTGTCTGCATGAACGGGTTGTGCTGCAACACGATTGTATTGTTTGTCATGCGTTATCAATGTAACAACGTGGGAAGGTGCAACAATGTGATTCAAAGTGGAAAGAGGGACAGACTCTTGTATTTGTACCAGGAAGGGAATGGAAGGCAAGTTGTATACAGCAGAAAGGGCAGGCACGCTCCACAAAGTTCATCATTGGTTCATTCCGTCTCAGCAATGCAAGCCATACTCCATGTAAACCCCAGCAAGAAATCATCGAGCAACCTTCTGCTCAGACGACATACACGTCACATCTACAATGCAGCAATGGTTCTTCTCAAAACCTCGAGACCGCGCTCACCAAAACTCTCTTCACCTTCAGGAACATCATCATCAGCCGTCTTGAGCATCCATGCAATATCGCTGAGCAAGCCAAGAGGCAACTCTCCTTCCTTGCGCTCTTCAGCACGCACTTGCAGACGTCCAGTGTACTCCCACTCCTTTGCTGCATCTTCTGCACGTTGGATGACCGCGTCTGGGATGCCGCACATGGCTGCACAGTGCATACCGAAACTGCCTTCCGCCACACCAGCCTCGAGCTTGTACAAAAAGGTGATGCGACGTTCGGTATCGTCCACCATGATGGCCATGCGCTTGGGTGAAATCTCAGGATGTGAGCTGAACTCTGCTGCGAGGGAATGGTAGTGGGTGGCGAAGAAGCCAATACATCCAGTGTGAGTAGCGACGTGGTGAAGCACTGCTTGTGCAACAGCGACACCATCATGACTGCTCGTACCTCGACCGAGCTCGTCCAGAATGACAAGGGAACGAGGTGTGGCTTCGGACAAAATCTTCTTCGTCTCGCTCAACTCCACCATGAATGTGCTCTGGCCAGCCAGAATGTTGTCATGGGCACCCAAACGAGACATGATACGGTCAACAGGAGTCATACGTGCTGCAACGCAGGGCACGAAACAACCGACTTGAGCCAAGATGACAGCAATGCAGGCCATGCGCAAGACAGTACTCTTACCAGCTGCGTTGGCACCAGTCAAGAGATCAATACTTGGATTGTCGCCACCAAGGGCAATGTCGTTGGGAATGAAGTCTGAGACTGTGTTGAGCATGCATGGGTGACGAAGGTCTGAGAACTCGAGCACACTACGCTCGGAGTCGACGAACTCAGGTCTGCAGTTCGGTTCTCCGAGGGAAGCAGATGCCTTGGATAGAGAAATCAAACAGTCCAGGTGAGCGATGATTTTCACTGCAGCGAGCCAGACGGCGTAGTCCTGGTCGAAGCGAGCGTAGAATCTACCGGCAACTTGCTTGACAATCTGTCCATGTGTTTCTTGCGCTTCTTTCAAGTCCTGAATGAGACCCTCCAGCTCGGGGAAGTAGTAACGCTTTGCTTTGGCGGTGGAAGACATCTGCTTCCAGTTCTTTGGAATGTTCTTGGTTTTGATTGGGACCTCGATCTGGTAAATTTCTTTGCCGTTGTCAGTGTACTTTGCAGCAGAAGTGCCTAGCTCATCGCGACAACGCTTGAGTAAAGACTGTAGTTTGCCTTCGATGTCCTCAATCGTGTTCTGACTCTCGTCAAAGTCTTCTTCAACTCCTGGCTTAGGCACAAGCAGATTCTGGTCTTTTGCATGTTCACGGTCGAAAGCATCAGTCCAGTGAGCCAGAGCTCCAGCAAGGTCAGGCATTGACGATATGAGTTGTCCGAGAACACCCTCACCCTCACCGAAGCTTGAAAGCAGGCTCATAGTATACTCAATCTGCTCAAAGCCTTCCAGGACTTTGAGGAAATCTGTAGCCTTGCATCTGCCTGCGTGAATACGGGAGATGAGACGTTCGAGATCGGGAATCTTGGACAAAGATGCCGTGAAGCGGTCGGTGATCGTTAGATCGGCGTTAAGTGCTTCTACGGCATCAAGTCTTGCATTGATCTTCAAAGCATCTGCCAAAGGGTGGCAGACCCATTGGCGTAGCATGCGCTTGCCAAAAGGCGTGATGCAGCGATTGAGCATAGCGAATAGCGTGCCTTCGGTACCGCCATCGTAGCTGTTTGCAAAGATCTAGTCGAAAGGTCAATTAAGCCACGTTACAAGCTTATTCCGGCTTACCTCAAGGTTGATCAGACTCTGTCCATCGAGTACAAGACTTGATGCTTTTCTAATCGGATCGTACCAGTTAAAGTTGCCAAGCGATATAAGATCACGCTCAATCTTGAGCGTCTGGAGATACCAGATCAAAGCGCCAAGGGCAGAGAAACACAACTCTTTCTCTCTGGCCTCTCGAAGCAAAGCCGGCCAGGCGTCATCGCCTTCGCTGTCTTCGGCATTGAAGTAGTGCTCTCCAGTGATTTTAAGTGCAGTTTTGTCGGCAGTCAAGAATTCCTTGTCCGGTTTGAGGTAATTCCAAAGACACGTGGGACTGGTGTTGTTCTTCAGGATACGTACGGCTCTTGACGAGATGCAAGATTTTTCAAGAAGCAGTTCGCCGGGTCTCGTCTGAGCAACGAATGTTTCAAACTTGGTCATGTCAACATCATCGACAAAATCACACAACTGGAACTGGGCCGTTGCAGTATCGACAAAGGCTATACCGAAGGCGGGTAGCCCATCAACCTCACGCTCTGTGATAGCAGCACAGTAAGTTGACATGTCGTCCTGCAACATGCCACCATCGACGAGGGTACCAGAAGTCAAGACGGAGGCCAGCTCGCGGCGGATGACTTTCTCTTCCTTCTTGGGCTTGCCACCCTTGCCAGTCTTTTCGTCTCTCTCACGCATGTCTTTGCCGAGGGCAGTTTCCATCTGGTCGACTCTGGCAATTTTGAAACCTTTGGCAACGAACTGGTTGGCCCATTGATCAAGCGAAGCTTCGGGTACACCGACCATGCGCATGTTGACACGGTCAGTCATCTTTAGATCGAACAGCTGATGACCAACGGTAGCGTCGTTCTCGTACAGCTCGTAGAATTTGCCCTTCTTGAAGAAGACGATAGTGTCCCAGAACTTGGACTTGATCTCCCAGTACTGCTTCTCGAAAGGAGAGAACTTGGACCATGCCAAAGGAGGAATATAGAGAGTACGAGGATCGTATTCTGAGCTACCGGGCCTGTTACGGTCTGCATCCATGATGTCTGCCAACCAAGGGTAGCGGGCATCGGGCTCTGACATGTGAGCCTTTTGCTTTTTGGGCGGACCCGTTTGTTGTTTGCGCTGAGGAGTCTTTCTGGATGCATATGGCTGGACGGTGTCTGGATCGAAGTTCCATTGCTGGGCAGTCGAAGTGGAAGGTATCTCAGGACTTTGGCTGGGTTCATCTTCTGCGATGGGTGAAGGCTGTTTGGAGGGCTTCCGCGGCTGGCTGGACTTCTTACGTCTCACAGGAGCGTCGTCTTCCGAGGCATTGTCGTCGGCGACGAAGTCTTGCATGTCGGCATCGTCGGCGGCAGCCATCAAAGCCTCAGTGGCATCGTCCATAGCGAACTCATCGTCAGAGTCGTCGTCCAACTTCCTTCTCTTGATAAAGCGAGCGGTCGTGTTGTTGGAGCGTTGTCGAAGGACGGGCTCGTCGTCGTCATCGGATTCGGCATAATTGACCTTCTTCTTGCCGTTGCGGACAGAACTTGAGGAAGGAATTGACGGTTTTACAAGGGGTACTGCTCGTAGGCGGGATTGTCAGCGACTGGGTAGGCTGGTGAGATGGTGACGCAGCACACCATTTTCTTTACCATTGAAGTTGGCAGGAGCAGGCGAAGACTGCGGCGGAGGACTTGAAGCGGCGGCAGTATCGTTTGGTGCAGCAGGAGATGAAGCAGGCGCCGTCTTGCGCTGGAAAAAGCCCAGGATACTCTTCTGCTGCTTTGCTGATTGTGATGCTGAGGAAGCCGACTTCTGAAGCTTGGGCACACGCGGCGTAGCGATCTCGTTGCCTTCAATGCCTCGAGCCATTCTAGAACCGGTAGAGCTGGTGATGTCTGGACAATGGTGGATGATCGGAAAGTGATACGCTCGCCTTCGGACGCGTGGGAGACGCGTTTCAATTTGGCGCGTTCCGAAACCGAAAGTGGCAGGTGTCAGCACGAGGAGGTGTTATCGATTAGGCTTTCCCCGACCTCGCTCCTTCCCACCACGAACTCCACACCTTTGCAACTTTTCTGCCAGTCTACGCACCTCTGCAGTCCTCTTCAGCTTATCGTGCAGTGGCTAGAAAGAAGAATTCCGGAAAAAGCAGGAGACTATTTACCGAGAGCTAAAGAATTGATCTATGATACTCAAAAAACTCGCTTGCGATCTGATCCGACCCGACCTATAATACATATGTCTATACCTTATTACACAGTATTTCCAAACAACCTGAGCAGCTTCTCAAGTGTTTGTGACCCTGTTGGCTTCTTGTAGTGACCTTTGGTCTGACTTCAATTGAGTCCTCTAACACATTGCTGCACTGTGTTGTATGACGACAAAAGAGTGGTAGTGATAAACCTCTGCTTATCGACACTAATGATAGCGCTAGTCAGGTCCCACACGCGAGGTACCAGGACCCCGGCGATCACCTAGCCTTCGCGGTATACAAAAAGATCTGTGTCCTCCAGATCGATGTAACCATTCTTTACCTTAACCACAATCATCATGCCTTCTCTCTCTTCGTGGGTCCAGCTGGCCCTCGCTCCTGCCGCTGCTGCTCAAGCCTTCAATCTGTATGAGCATCTAGGAAACCTTTCGCCCTACTTCACACCCGCCAACACTCCAGCTTCTTTGCTGTCTGGCATTCCAGAATCGTGTTCTGTCGACCGTGCCTTCTTGGTTCACAGACACGGCTCGCGTCAGCCTATCTCGTCGGAACTCCCGACCATCCAAAACCTATCGTACTACCTTAATAACAACACTGCTCTATTCAAGAACCCCAAAGGTCAACTCCCATCCGAGTTCTCCTTCCTTACCAGTGGCTGGTCTAGCAGTTTTACCCTCAACAACCTGTCTGCTCCTGGCCGTCAACAGTTGTTCGATCATGGTGTTGCCCTTCGTCTGGACTACCCTTCCCTTTACACCGATACAGTACTAGCTGGTGATCAAGATCGTGTAGTTGAAAGTGCTCAATGGTTCATGGATGGCTATTATGGCCGCTACGTCGAAGATGTGGCTGTCCTTAACAAGATTGCCGAGGATAATCTGACCATCTCTTGGATTACATCGACAGATACGTGCAAAACTTGGGAGTACAGTTCTGGCAACGACTTGGTCAGTGAATGGGGCAAAGTCTACCTGCCCAGAGTTGCTGCTCGTATGAACCAAGCTCTTTCGAGTGCATACCCTGGTGCCAACTTCACAGCGCAACACGCCCATGGAGCTCTATGGGCATGCGCCTATGGAACTGCTGTTTACGGCGTAGGCCGCAGCCCATGGTGTGGAGTCTTCAAGCCCTCAGAGATCCTCGACTTCGAGTACGAACTTGACCTTCTCATGAGAGGCGCTTTCGGCTACGGGCTGCCTAACAACCAAGGTCCCGTACTTGGAAGCCTGCTCGTCAGCAACGTAACCACCTTCCTGCAAGGTCCAGCTGGCCACAATCTATCTTTGAACTTTGCCCACGATACAACCATCGATCTCGGTCTCACAGCTCTTGGTCTCGCCTCTGACGAGAGTTATCCTGCCGATGGTCCACCAAACCCTTCCCGAAACTGGCGAACAAGCACTCAAGTGCCCTTTGCCGCACAGATGTTGTTCAAGCGACTGACTTGCTCAGGCAACGAGACCAGAATTCAGCTTGAGCTTAATGGTGCCAACTTTGATCTCGCACCTGTGGGTTGTACTTCGGACTACTACGGCACCTGCAAGCTCGCCGACTTCGTCGCGACAAAGAATGTGCAGACAGCAATGAATATCACGGATGGGGATGCTACCTGGACTTCTGCATGTTCATGAGCTCAAAAAAGATGCCGTAGAGGAGTGTCTGGGCTGGAGGAAGTTGTAGCACACCTGTATATCAAAGTGCGTCGAGTTTTAGCTATATAAATATATGATACTACTACACAGCAGAAAATTGTCCATCGACAGTCTTCATTCTACCTGCACTCATTACCCATATCTTTATTCTAGATGACGACCGTACATCTTCATAGCTCAGGATATTGTCATGCAGTGTCGTGTGAGAGGAAATGCGGGTGTATAAAAGCCACAACCTCTACTTAGTCCAGAGGGTCTGCAGAGGCATTCAGTCTCGTCAACACGATTTCTGCCTCTCAAGTCTCACGACAAAACATAGGCAGAGTTCAAACCCATCAAAAAGCACGGTCGTCCCTGGACGGTGGCATCGGCTCCAGCAATCTTCTTATGAGACTGGGGCATACTCTCCGTAGTCGAGAACTAAACGCGTGTGTTGACGGGCTCGGGGCGGTAAGCGCTTGAAAGTGCAGTTTGCGAAGGGAAACCTTCCATCTATATTTATCGAGTATCAGTTGCTTTTTCCTAGTGTTCGAGTTGTCCACGTTTCGCTTTGTAAACTGGCGTGCTGCATATGGAAGGCATGACGACCAAAAAAAACTTCTGATCACACCTTCCTCCTGCGAACGAAACACTTTATACAACTTTTAAGAACCAATATCACATGCACCCAATTCACCCTCCTCGCAACCACAAAGCTTCATCCTAGCAGACCACCGTCCACAATCCACACATCCATCAAACCACAGCGCTCTCTATTAGCGACAGTTCAACCACGCGACACCCTTACGCCAGACTCCTTACGAGGACTGTAGAGACCCGAGTACCACGCGCTTGGAAGACTTCCCTCTGCTAAAGCTTCGTGCCCATATGCATGGTTACTTCTTGAGCATGTGTGTCAGAGGGACGGTCGTAGAAGCGGGTTGGCTGATCAAAATATGAAGACTTGCGTTCAGGATGGGTGGATTGGGTGTCGGTTTGGTTTTTGTCTGGAAGTGCGTCGAATGAACACGTGAAAAGCATCGGCCACCGCTTTCGCTCTCAGCCTCACGTTGATCTTACCTTCTGACACACTTTATCTTTCTGCCATCAACATCAACAACGCACCATCATCGGACGAGGACAGAGAGGTGTCATCTCCACACCCGCGGTTCTCGATCACCATCAGCTTGACCCAGGTTGTGCAAGACCCCAGGGACGACGAGACTTCCGTCTCGTGCAATGACCACAGAGCTCACTCAATGTTTCGTGCAAATACCGAGTCTCACTCTCGGGCTGACTGTACCCGGGGTGGTAGGTGTGTTTCTCGAGTCGTCCGTGTCGTTGTGAACGGCAACCGTCGCGAAGAGGCTCTGCGGCACATCGCCGGGATCTTTTCCTCGGACGACAGGTCTCGTGTTTCATCAAGACATCTTGTTACCACATACTGTAGGTCACTCATCATTGTAGGTCCAAGACGTCCAGGTTGGCAAACAGAAGCGACTGTTGAGGTAGACTTATGACTTGAGTCGGCGACTTATCACACACGCAAGCGTAGTGGAGAGAATATAACGGAAGCTATACAAGCTAGTGAGAACCTCTAACAGGAACAGGAGCGGAGCAGGGGAGAGGAAAACAAGAACAAAAAGAAGGAAACTCACCATAATACCATAGATTTCGTCATCACGACTTCATCAATCCAAACCACCAAATGAAGCAGAAAGACCCACACGCTCAAAAGGCTTCAGTAATGCCTCTTTCCCCCCTTCTGTATTCGTTACACCTGGCTTCGCACCAAGCTCATTCATGCTCGGCCCATTTATCCAAGACCTCTTTGACACCGTCTACCACGCCTTTCGGCCCCCTCAGATCCTCGAGGATAAGCGCACACTCAGAACTATCAGCGCGCTTCAGCAATTGTAACACGGTTGCATAATCTTCAAGTCGTGTCTTATATGCCGATTGGGAGGAGACTCCTTCTTCAGTCATGTACTCGCAGGTCCTGCTCTTGGTGCGGCAGGTGCTGCAGGCGGGGCGCTTGCCGTCGCACTGGGAGAGAGTTAGGTCTTGTTGACGTGGAGAGAGTGTACAGCAAGCAGGTGAGGATGGCAGGTCTTGTGGAAATGCAGAACAGATGGAAGCGAGAGAGGTAAGTCTGAAGAGGAGATGTGTCGTCGAACCTTTGATTTCCGCTGCCGACATGATGAGCAGGCTGCTTTGGTGAGCTTCCTACGTTCTTTTGCTCGCTGCTGTGATGAACCCGGTGTTGCTGAGAGCCCTTCAAAAGCTTGCTTTGGGTAAGCTGGGCTGATCGGACGGTCCGAGGCCGAATCCGTCTCCCAGCGAGGACGTGTCATGGAAGCGATGATTGCCATGTGCTCTGTTGTCGACATTCCAGTTGTCGATGTCGATTGAGCATCAGGGTCATAGGTGGAGGTGGGCTGCAATGGGACTGATGGCACAGGGGATGCAGTCTCGCATGGCGGTGACGGCAATATGGACACAACCGACTCTTGAGCTCGACGTCGAGGATTGCTTCGGACGGGCTTGTCGAGAAATAGAGCATGCTGCATGGTTGTTTTTGTTCGCCGTCCCAAGAGAGAAGGCCCAAGAAATGTTTCAACTCTGGAGCCTCTCCCATTAACAGAAACAAAAAGAATGAGATCTGGTATGTGTATTGAATCCAGATGTCTTGTCCAGAAAAACGCAAACAAGAAAAGAGATGGGAATGTGAGGTCGCGGATGCACTTCGCACCTGACTCCGAAGGCATCTTCAACCTGGAAGGGCCTAAACGCTTGTGTGAGCCGCTCTCCACACATGGAAGACAAATGGCCCATGACGACAGCTCGCCTATCATGGCTTTACGGTGTCGGTGCAGCCGCCGAAGGAGTACTCCGAGTACGAAATTTTGTTTTGCTAGGCGATCGACCATCGAGATGTAAGTTAACATGGATTCCATTCTCGCACAAAACGTGCATGCGACTATTGGGTTGACACATGTTCCTGGCGCCCGGGCCGAGCATGGCAATTTTTCGATTTGATTGCTAACTCACAAGGCCTCGCCGACGGCGCTGCACAGCTGTTTGGGGTGCCTCAAATGCCGAGGGGATAATTCGGCTACGGAAAGGTGTTTTACAAAGCAAGGGCAATGGTCGGTAGCTGGCCTGGCATATTTGTAAACGCATATTTTCCCGTTGCACAACAAGGGTTTGTAAAGCATATTCGGCTGTGGAAAACTGCACAGTGCTTTCAAGAGACCATGATAGTAACCATCGAGATCACGAAACACCTCAGGATCTCTTCTGGGTGTGTGTCTGGTCCACGCTTGGCATGAGAGGAGTCGTGAGATTCAGACTTCAACACACCGGGGAGAACGCATATGCCTCTCATCCCATGGATCTGTATCGCTCCGTGATGCGGTCGCCTCCCAGATCAGAGTCAATTCCCGATTGACGTAACGACACGGGGTGTTTAAGATGGGTCCAACATTTGGAACATACAAATATGTGGGCAACAAACATACAACCGCATTAATCAAAAGACTATGTACATGTTATACAAAGGAAGGCTAAGCTAGGAGGAGGGGTATCATAGGGCTGAATTATCAAGCGTTGCTGTCATCTCCAGCCGCCATCTGTGTGGGTCTGCTGCTGCGGCTGCGCATGCTATCCGCGATCCATACCTTTTCGAGCGGAGAGATCAGACTGGGGTTGATGAATCGCATGCCGCGTTCTCTCGATTCGTCTACCGTCAATCCATGATTGGACTCTTGCTGATAGCGGTGATGGTTGTCGGAGTCGACTCCGTGTTGTTCTGCCGATGCGTAATCTGCGTGTTCTGCTCTTCTGACACTCTTGAGCGCGATAAACTCCATCAGAGGTTTGTAGGTTCTGCCAAACACGAGGAAGAACCAGACGCTGCCGACTACAAGAGGTACCAGCATGACACTTCTCAGCAAAGCCTTCTTGAGTGCGAGCTGCCCACCGACGGTGATCTGGAACAAAATTATACCAATTTGTACACGATCGCAAATCATGATCCAACTCTTGCCAGTAGAGTGTTGGCGATGGTCCATTGCGTAGAGAAGCTGGTACTTGTACACGAAACTTCCAATGAGAAAATAAACCAGGCCAGACAGAATGACCTTCCAGCTATCTCTCAACACACTGTAGACAACACAGATGATGAAGATGAGAATAGTTTGAGGAAGGTAAAGGCCATAACTGAAACGAGGGGGCTGTATGAGTTCGGCGTAATCTCTGGGCGTCTTGGCTCCCATGAGCCCGATAGGATAGAGAGCCATGGTACCAATTTCCAGAAGCCTAAATGGGAACAGACCGAGACCTTGGAGGATGATGAAGTTTGTATAGAAGGCGAGTAGTTCTTGTAGGGAAGATGCGAGAGTCCATGCAAATCTTGTCGTGTCTCTAAGATTCTTGCCGATATCTTTGTACTGGTCGTAAAAATTCGAAGCTGTACCGAGAATGGTGAAGACGATGAAGAAGTTGAAGAAGGTGAAGAAGAAATTCTTGGAGATGACCGAGAGCTCGACGTCGCCTTGGGATGTCATACCTTGGCAATTCGAGAGCCCTGAGAAAAATCAGTATCTTGGAAAGGTAGCATCGAACAGGAATTAGACCTACAATCGTATAGATAGGGTACGATAGCATTGAGTAGGGTAACAGCGATGGTGGGCAGTTGGTTGATGACAAGAGAACGGACCAAGGCATGCGAGTCAAGAACTTCAGCAAGAGAGGGGAAGAACTCGCGGATGGTGTCGACGTTCAGAAAGGTGGCAATAGGGACGAATGTGACGGACCAGAAGACAGTCAGCAGCAGGATGAAGGCGGTGATGGACCATGAGCGGAACATGCGACTTCTCCTGCTAAGATAGGTGTTTGTCCAGACGATGTCGGCAGGTGCAGGGCTGGGGTTGGCCAACAGTTGCAACGGTGAAGGATCGAGGACAGCTTGACAGGCCATCTGGCAAGCAGCAACACTGTCCATCGTGACAAAGGCTAGGGGTACAGGCTCGAAGGTCTTGGTGCGCAACTCCCTAATCTCGTCGTCGCACACACGGAGTTTCTCTTCGTAGTAGTCGATGGCGTCAACTTGGCGGCTGCGCAGTTTGAAGCGCCCATAGTAGATCTTGGCCTTTGGACGAACTTTGGCGTACGGTGTCTGAGCAGGCATTGCTTCGTTGGAGCGAAGTAGACGGCGGTGTTCGTCATCGTCGTGTTCATCATCTTCTGGGTTGACCGTAGGACCTGGTGGCACGGGCTGTACAATCGGCAAGGCTTCCAGGTTTCGCTCGATAGAACGCTGGCCTTGATAGACAGTATATGCCTCTTCTAGACGACGAAGGAGGTCGTTTCTCTTGATAATATGTTGGTCCAGCTCAAGCCATTGGCGGCACATCAGAACACTCTCGACGTTACCAATGCCCAACTCTTGAATAAAATCCTTGATCTTCTCTTCAGACTGCAACTCTGGCGGGACACCGGACAGACGGATGGTGCGATCGGTGATTGTGGTCTGGGTGCCTAAGTATTCTTGGCGGACTTCTATGATCTTGCGTGTCTCGGAGGTGATGAGGTATAGAGCAATGCCGGTGAACACATAGGCAAAGACGGGATACATCCACAGGTAATCTGTCTCGACCTCAGGCATCCACGGAGCAGAATGGTTCAGGGGCATCAACGATTCGCTTCTCTTCCGCAACTCGTAGTCGAAATCGTAATCGGGCACGAAAGGCAGGGTCGAGTTTCTGTGTTTCTTGTCATCGTCGGGGTAGCTGTCGTGGACGGGTTTGATGACGACCAGCGAGAAGAACAGGGTGATGGACAGAAACTTGATGGCCAGTTTGAAGAAGCGGAGAAAGACGTAGGCATCCAGTCCAGCCGAGGCGAGCACTTGTTGTTCGGTAATACGCCATAGCGGTAGCATCCATCCGAAGAGACTGTTGGGCAGTTCGGGCAGAGCGGAGGCCTGGTCCTTGGACTTCTTCCTCGCTGCATAGAGACCGTCCCACCGCGGCCGCAGCACGCAAAACGACAAAAAGGCAAGTACTCCAAGCGCTACCGACAGCTCGATCTGGAGCGTCGTTGATCGTTGCTTTCCTCTGACATTATTCGGGTCGTCCTTGCCTCCAGACGTGAAGAAATCCATTGCTGCAAGGGCAGTCGTAGGTAAACAATGGAAAGTGCAACTCTACTTCTCCAGAAACAATCAACCTTGAAGGCAACTTCAGGCGTCATCGTGCACAGTCCACATCTCACCGCTCCCGACTTGCTCAAACTTCGAGCATCGATGTTTCGTCTCGGAAACTGTCCGCTTGAATCGAAACACCCTCGTCTCCCTAGGAATAACCCCATGCTAACGAGGCCCATACAGCCTAATCATGTCTTGCCTTATGTAATCTCAACCTGGAAAGAATACCACAACGAACCGCTGCCTGGGCACAACTACCCCTGTCCACCTCCAGAACCCACATCTCCATGAGTGCCACCTGTTCCATTCGTTCCGTTTGTTCCATTCGTCCCACCGTGCTTATCCTGATCTTTCTCCTTCTTCTCCGCGACCTTGTCCAGCAGAGCCTCCCATTCGCAATCGTGACACTTCAGCACTTCCGCAGGTACATAGGGCTGGTCGTTGTGATTCAAAGTTTCCCGTTCGTTTTGCTCATCATCCTAAGAGTCGCAAAGGACGTCGAATGTCTGGGCTGCAGAGCATTTGATGACCTGCTTCCTCGTGTGCCCGCAGAGGATCCAATATACTTTGCGCCATGTGCACATCTCTGTGTTGAAGTGAGATTTGTGTTGCGCTGCTTGTTTGATAAAGTCGTTCTCGAGTCGATGACCGGACGTGCTAGTACACAGCCGTTGCTCATACGAAGTGCTCCTCTCGAAGAATACTGCTTCCGGGCTTGTTTTGTTGGAAGACAGCTAAGTTGAGTGGTTGTTTGCGAACAATTGACTGGATGAACAAACAATTAATAGAAGATTGGCCGATAAGGAACTATGCCGATGGAAAGGAGCTGATTGATAATGTTTGCAGTGGAAGTTCAATTTCGAAGATAGATTGCAGTCCGACAACAGCCCAACAAAGACTGCATCTCCCAAAGCCCTCGATTTGTGGAAAGAACAATGCGACCGTCGTTGCCATGTCCGACAACATCCAAGAACGCCCCGTTACAACAAACATGGTGTACCAGATGGTATAGAACAAGATCTTTTTACCCCCCATCAATCAACAAACGCCCCTAATAACAAACTCCGAGAAACCCAACGGAGAAATACGAGATGTGTATCCCGAAGGACATTTTTACCTCCAGACAGTCTTGGCTGAAGGTACATCCTTCCTCGCAGCCATGCTCTGCGTGCGAATAGGAGCCACACGCATGCTTCCACCGCCAATGGTGCTCTCGCGAGAAACACTGCGGAGACTGGCAATGCTGGGTGCATTTTTCACAACCGGAGCAGAACGTGGACTCAATACATTGTTCGCCTCGCCTTTCTCGCTCTTAACCATTCGGCGGGCATGACTTGCTGTAAAGAGATTGTTCTCGTTGGACGAATTTGGTGAGCCACTTGTTTGGGCTGCGGGGCTGCGTCTGCGATGTCTATTTGAGCCGGTGGACGTGCGCCTTCTCATAGCAGACTGGATCTGTAGAGCCGAATCTTGGAGCGATCTTGTTGGGTCGTCGTTGTCCGATGCACTGCTGCCAGTTTGGTCATCACCAGCAAACTCTGCAGCCTTCTGAAGCCGGATTGGTATCGGTGATCTCTTTGGTTGAAACGTGCTGTTAGCTTCAATCTCGCGCAAAGGAGAGAGGTTCTCGGACGCTGCCGATGCAAGATTGGATAGTGCTGGCATCACAGGTGAACCATCACCCTTCTTCAGGAATCCTGCTTGGAAGCGGCTGTTCCTCGAGCGGAGCTCTGATGATGGCACTGGTGGAGGAGGAATAGGACTCGAGTCGAGGGTGTCAGAATTTTCACCTAGCTGATACTGCGAGGCAGCGGACTGTGACATATCTGGCTCGTTAAACGAAGAGTCCAGTCCTGGTGGCGTTGGTTGAAATTCTTCCAGCTTGCCATCTTCTGTATCATCCCGCCATCGTACGCCACGCCTTGTAGCCTTGGCTGGTGATGATGACTTCTTCTTAGGAGTGCCGCCGCCATTGAAAGCCACGGACTTCCTAGGAGCCACCAACTTCCTTCGCCTCGGTGAAGCTGGAACTGATCCCATGTTAGGAGACTGTCTGAACTGTGGAGGGACTATGCTCGGGCGAATTTTTGCTTTTATAGGAGAAGGCCCAGCGAGATTGATAGCCTTCTTCTTCTTCGGTGTTCCTGACTTGGTCGGTGGTACTGCTTCGATGATTGCAAGACCGCCATCTGGTCGGATGACTTGTGAAGTCGCTTCTGTGCACGCATTTAGCAGCTTGGTGAGGACATTCTTGGCTGCTTTGACTGCTTCTTCCTCGTCCATCTGCATGATTTGACCTAGAATAGCGATGGTCTCGAAGTGTGCTTGTAGCAAGACTTGTACAAGTGCGGCATCGCCAGTCTTTTCTTGATCAAGAACGGCTGATTGCGCTTCTCTCTCTGCTCTGCTACGCAGCACCTCAACCTCTTGCTTCAAGCTCGCAATTGCAGGAGACGTCATAGATGTTGAGCCGTCAACTTCCTGCACCTGACGAATGCCATTTTGCAGGGCGGTATCTAGAGTACGCTCCCAATTTGCCTTGGCGAGGCGCTTGTGATAATGCTGTCTGCTCCCCTCAAGCTCTGCGACTATGCCTAGGGCGGTTTTGCGCATGGCGACCAAGCTAAGCGGTGGTTCCTCATCCTCACGGTTCTCGACTACCTGGTCGAAACTACCAATCCAGGCAGAGATGAGGCCAATTCTACGTTCAATCTGTCGCAGGCGCTTCACATTGTTGATATGCTCTTTGCGTTCATCGCCCGAGTGATCGTATGCGGCACGAATCCTGGCAAGAGCTTCCTTCAGTAGTGCGCTCCTCTTGTCGTCGGTCTTCTTGAATTTGGCAAAGGCGAGCGACTCGAATTCCTTGTGTTGGGCTTGCAGATCCTTGATAAGAGCCATTTGCTCGTCGATTTTCTTTAGATAGTCCTTGACGTGGCGGTCGACATTAAAGACGTTGCGAACAGCTTTGGTTTGAATATTTTTGGCTCTGTTGGCGTAACGCAAGGTGTTTTGTGTTTCGTCGAAGTGAACAGAACTTGGACTGACGCAAACGATCATGACGGTCCTGCAGTTCCCGCCCAGGCTGAACTTGAGCAGACGGGTGAGTTTGCTGTTGCGGTAGGGCACGTGATTCTTCTTCTTTGGATCGCAAAGAGCATTGATACATGATCCCAGAGACAGCAGAGACTTGTTGATATTGGCACCTTCGAGCAAGCGCTCACCACGGTTCTTTGTCGCCGAAGCTCTTTCTGATCCAGCCAAATCGATGATGGAAAGGGTTGCAAATGTGGTGGGCTCCGAGTGGCCAGCATTGCGATCTTTCTGAGCGACGTTGATTTGCAAGACGGCGTGAGATCTGGACGATGTTGCGTTGGCTTCGGTGGGTGACTGGGTGCGGTTCTCGTTTCCTCGAATGAGCATGTCCATGACTTCGTTGACCTAGGCAGGTGTTAGCCAAGAGAGTGAGGTGCGTCGAGGTGGACGGTACACACGTTCTGAGGGCGGTGCGAGGTGAGGCCTGCAACAGACACAGCCTGGTTGGCGTCCTCGCGCAACATCAGGCCCTGGCCTCGTTTAGTCACCTCGCCGACGGGAATGAGTAAGTCGCGAATTGTCTCGTTGTAGATTTCGAGGTATGAAAGGGTGACCTCGGTCTGCTTCTCCTCCTGCATCTCACCAATTCTCTCAAACATCTCTTGCATGGTCAGGAAGATGATACCGGGTTGTTGCGCTGTACCGCTGCTCAATTTATTAGTGTATGCGCCGAGTGCTCTTTCTATGTGGCTACGTACGTGATGGTATGTGTTTTTCCGCAACCGGTGGCACCGTAGGCAAAGACGGTGGCATTGTAGCCGTCGAAGACGCTGTCGAGGAGGTTCTTGGTGGTGGCTTCGTAGACTTCGGCTTGGGTGGTGTTGTCGTCGAAGACTCGATCGAAGGTGAAGGGTTGGTCCTTGGTCCTCTTTCCTCCCATGCCTGGCCGCAAACGTCCTTGGGTACTCGAGTCTTCCGGGTCGAAGATCCTGAGGAGGTTGTTAGTGTTTTGGGCGAAAAAGTGCCAGACTTTGGGCATACAAGCATTTCTCGTCCATGACTTTGATAACGGATCTGATTCCCTTGCCGGCATGGCGTTGGACAGGTGCGGCGGCCAGAGATCCATCGCCGAGAAAGAGCGGGCCATCGTCGACGCGGGTCAGTTGTGCAGCCTCTCGGATAGTAAAAGGTCGGACGCGAACGGCGACAGTGATGGACGAGGCACCGTCAATCGCGCCGGCGGCCATATTTGCGTCGTGGGAAGAGCGACTCGGACAGTCGAATACGGCAGGAAAGCAGCGGTGCGCGAACAAGACGATGACAGGAATAGGTCGACAGCCACCGGGGCGTGTCGTTGTATGAATTGGTTAATTCTGTTTGGGTGTTGTTTTTCAGCTCCCTCGAATCTGGTGCAACGTCAACAAATGCATGTGCTCTTTCTTTGTTTGCTCTTTCCCTAAACTGGAAGTGTGGGGGGGAAACAGCTTTAGCCCAGGCCCCCAATCATCATCTTACAGTCGCCTTTCACACTCTCGACACACCCGCGCCTTGTGGTTACACGACCATTTCATTCTTGCCGGAGTCCCGTCTAACTCTAGCCCGTATAACAGTGTGTGCACGGGATACTCTCTTGTAGACCATTTACGTACCGATATACCGTGGCCCGTGGGATCTACGAGGCGAGCATACCAAGCATTCATCTTCATGCTCGTGCAGAAGACGGTACAAACAGAACTACTGCTGGAGTCTACAGACGAATCGTGGTAACGAGCTAGGGGACAACGGCACGCCTACCTCAGCATGGGATAGAAATCACAGGAGCACTTGATGAAATGATAAAAGTGTAGACTGCTCAGCAGCGACCAAATGGTTGTACGGCAAGTTTGAATCATGTCTTTGCATGTGCCTCCATTGTGTTGTGATCTTGCGCGTTCGAGTCTGAGAGATAGGCCTTGGTGACAAAATTTTGATCTTTTGTTTGTGGGTTTTGTGCATGGATTACATAACACAAGGGCTCTTTTTGCTTGAACCATGTCCCACCTGCCTTGCGCCAGCGACCTTGATAAAGAATCATCTTCATTCAACTTCCCGCTTGCCTCTTTTGGTGTGTGTAGTCGTGAGAAGAAGCGAAAGCATTTATCGGACAATACCCTCGAATCTGTTCTTGAACCACTTGACGGTCTCGGCCTGGTTGATGCGGTGAGAGGCACCAACCTTGGTCTTGCAACGGCGGCGACGAGCGACACGCTCACCGGGACGCTCCCTGAGATGGCTGTCAGTAATTGTGACTGGGGTAGTAGAAGTCGAGTTGTAACTTACATGCAGCAGTAGAAGTCCATACCGTAGATACCGATACCAGGGTCGTACTTGATACCGAGATCGATGTGCTCGTTGATACCGAAACCGAAGTTGCCGGTCTCGGAGAAGTTGCGCTTGCGGAGCTCGTACTCCTTGACCTTAAGACCACGCTCGATGATCTCCTCAGCCTTGGGGCCACGGACGGTGACGTGAACAGCGATCTTCTCGTTACGGCGGATACCGAAGGTACGGACAGTGTAGCGGGCCTTGGAGTAGACGGGGGTCTGACCAGACAGCTGCTCGAGAACCTTGGCGGCACGAGTAAGTCTGTCACCAGACTCACCAACCGAGATGTTCAGGACGAGCTTGGAGATGCGGAGCTCGCGCATGGGGTTGCCCGACTTGTCCTTGCCGGCATTGTCGCCGGAGTTCTGGTCGGCCTGCTGCTTGGAGTTCTGTCCGATAGCCTGCACAGAAGCGTGTTAGGGTATGTGTTCATCCATTTATGTTTGATCCACAGGCTAGGGAGAGGGCAGGCCTGCATCTGTCGACGACAACGACGACGACGATTGGTGATATTGGTTAGCGTGCGGATGCTGAGGTGGACGTGTGGTTATGCGTTCCCATCTTTTCGCTCTTTTTCTTCTTCATCCACATCCGAATCGCGTGAGGGCGGTGCGAGCGTCGAGAGCAAGCAGGGCGAGGCGCAAGTCGTCGTCGTCGTCGTCGTTGATATCGTAGGTGCAGTCTGTGGCTCCCTGCCGTGAAGACAGGAGTGTGCTCACCATTTTGTCGTAGTTGGGCGATGTGTCGAAGAAGTCAAAGTCGCTGGCGGCAAGACGAAATCTCGAGCAAAGCGCCCGGCCTGAATTCGCGAACCGCCTCTCCGTGTGCGACACGTGATCAGGCTTGGCAGATGTGTACTGCACAGACCATGTCTACCAATTAGTCGAGCTCAAGTCAAGAGCATGGCCGACTGCTCGTTCGCCTTGCAAAACTGTTCTGGTCTCGCTACAGAGCGTGCGAATCATGTGTTGCAGCTAATGTCTATCATCAAGTCCTATATCTAGATGGTGGTGTGAGGCTCACGTTGAGGATCGGATACAACCCATGATCGAATGTTGACACGGCTACGCGGACGCATGTATCCATTCTATATAAACGAGTGTATTACCTCAAGACATATCACGATGTTCCTTTACCATGGTCCGGACAGGATGACCAACTCGAGCGATGCATTGATTTGGAAACGGAGTTTGGAGGCTTTGCTCCGCTCGGCCATGCGTAGCCGATAGCGGGCGTTCTCCACCTTCGACGGACAGCGAGCGGCCGTCAGCCGGGACTTGTTCAAGACGCCGTGAAACATCTTCTCTGCTGTTCATACCATACTATCACACGACAAGATGGCCGCAGCAATCAAGGCTCTCAATGCGAAGATTCGCTCAAACCCCTACACCGACTACCTGTGCTCGACCCGTGAGTCTCCACTTGAGGACGAGATGCTGCCATTGCGCCGCGCCTGGACAGACATGCGCTCGACCGTCGCTCACCATAGTAATCGTATACTGACTCGAATACCTCTGTACAGACTTCTGGGGTCCCGCATCCAACTTTGGTATCCCTCTCGCTGCCGTAATGGACACACAAAAGGACCCTGAAATGTAATTCACCCAATGCGATAGCCTGCTACGCCGCGCCAAATATGTTGAAAGAGCTTGGGTCTAATACACACGCGACACAGTATCTCAGGATCCATGACCCTCGCCCTCTGCGGTTACTCGGCCACCTTCATGCGCTACGCCTTCGCCGTCACTCCCATAAACTACCTCCTCTTCGGCTGCCATTTCGTCAACTTCGGTGCACAAGTCACTCAGGGATACAGATACCTCAACTACTGGAAGTACGTCAAACATATCCTATCACTGCATGTTGCTGCATAGATCAATACTGACTCATGCTTTCCAGCTTTGGCGGTAAGGAGTTGAGAGACAAGGCCACACAAGAAGCTTCCCACATCGCCAGCCAGGCCAAGGCTGCCGCTCACAAGGTTGAGGGCAAGGCCAAGGAGGTTGCCAACAAGGTCACCAGCTCATAATGTACCAACATCTTCTTTTTGAACCCAGTCATGTCACGATACGCAGCGGATGTGATGCCTCGCTCTCACTTGACATGTTGTCAACCTCGAAATGGTCTCTGTACTTATCACATACACACTTGGATCCTTTCCATATTCGAGACTGGCTGTGTTCTATATTCCACATCAAGGACGAACGAGCAAAATCACACAAGGTTCTCTTTCTCTGATGTCACGCTTCTTCGAACCAAATTTCTCACCAATTGAGCCTGCCTTCACGAACTTGACTGCCCTTGGGTATCACTAGACTACATGTTCCAAGATTTAAATAAACAGTACGGTGAGAGATCTTCTGAGGATGTGTGTTTCCTGTGTTTGCGTGATCAGCACGCTAGAGCATGCAATGTGACCAAGAGCTGTTGTCAACATAGTCTTGTAGTGAGCACTCTTTCAGAGACTTGATTGTGGTTCAGTTGGCTTTGTTATCTTATACCCCAGTTTGGGTCCGATCTGCTCGGTGACGGTTGAGGAAGGTCGGCCAAGTCACGTGCTATTACTATACTCGCAACCTCTTGAGATCGTCCACGATCCTCATCCTGGTTACAGTCACCATCGCCATGCATCTCTCAGCTCTTGTTGTCGCCTCGTTGGCGTCTGTATGTCTCTCAGCTCCTGGTGCGAATGTGGAGCAGCAACCAATTGGTGCTTCGGAGCCCAACAGGATCGGCTCAACATGGACCAAAGAATTGATGTCGCTCCACCGTCATCTCATCTCGACTGAGTCCATTAGCGGCAACGAGTATGATGTTGGAAAGTGGCTGTCTGATCACCTGAAACATGAAGGATGGACAATTGAGACGCAGAAGGTCAACAACGACAGCTCTCGTCTCAACATTCTTACCTACCCGGGCAAGGTTCGCAATGCCGACCTACTCATCTCAAGCCATATCGATACTGTCCCTCCATTCTACCCTTACAAGATATACTCGAATGATTCCGAGACTATGATCTCGGGACGCGGCAGTGTGGATGCTAAAGCCTCTGTCGCTGCTCAGATCATCGCTACCAAGAAGCTTTTGGCCGAGAAGAAGCTAAAGCCCGACGATGTTGCTCTTCTCTACGTTGTTGGTGAGGAAGTCCACGGCGATGGTATGCGTGCTGCCAATGCACTGAAATTGACACCCAAGGCTATCATCTTTGGTGAGCCCACTGAGGGCAAGCTCGCAACGTGAGTAGAACAAAGCCCTGATCTCCGCCGCCGATACTAATTTTGTTCTGATAGTGGTCACAAGGGAATGCTAGGCTTTACTCTGAATGCTTTTGGAAAGGCAGCACACAGTGGCTACCCATGGCTTGGTCGCAGTGCCAACGAGGTCCTCGTTCAATCGCTTTCTGCACTGATGCAGCTCAGCCTTGAGCTTCCCAAGAGCGACAAGTACGGTTCTACTACCATCAACATTGGCAAGATTGAAGGAGGCGTCGCAGGCAACGTTGTCGCTCAAAACGCCAGCGCTCAAATTGCCATCAGAATCGCAGCCGGAACACCAGACGAGATCGGCAAGCGTGTGCACAAGGCCATCAAGTCTGCCACTGACGAGTTCAAGACGCCCGGTCATGAGGACGAAGACATGTTTGAGATTGTATTCGCAAGCAAAGGATACGCACCCGTTGACATCGATCACGACGTCGATGGGTTCGGCACAATCACGGTCAACTACGGTACTGATATCCCCAACCTCGACAAGCTCGATGGACAGAAGAGATATTTGTACGGGCCTGGGTCGATCCTCGTCGCTCATTCGGACCACGAAGCCATCAGGCTCAGCGATCTGGAGACTGCAGTGCAGGATTACGAAAAGCTAATCCTGCATAGCTTGTCATAGAGTTTTGACGAAACAGTTGAGCGTGAGGGCATGACTAGGGGAATTTGGAAGCGAAGGAAGTTACGATGTATAAGAAAAACAGACGGGGCTGGTATACGCAAACCTAATCTTAGGTGCGATGTAGGGCTGCAAAGAGAACTCCATCTCCCCATGTGCAAATTATGTCACGTAAGGTTTATAGAAATGCACAGTGTCTTTGGCAGATGAGAGGTAGCCATAGGTAACTGGAGGAGGAGTGTCCGGCAGGAAGGATCGAGGACAAGACGAAAAGGACCGGAATAGACGGGTGTCCGGCAACAGCTACTCTAATATGTTGCGCGATGGATGCGGGTGGGACAGAGTGTACGAGAGTGGTATGCAAGGCAACAAGGCATTACCTGTTTTTCACGAGTCGAGCACAGGGGTCGAGACGTAATTTGACCAAGTTTTGATCGAGTTGTCATGGGCCCATCTGGCTTGGAAGGCAGAGCGTTACGATATTAGGTTGTTCTGCTGACGACGCGCGTTCCTGGGCAAAAGCTTGGGTGGTGTTTAGCAGCGCTCGTGCAGCAGCTAGCGCGTGGTCGCAAGGGTTTCGGCGATTTGGTGAACCACTGTTGGACTGATTGGGAAAGCTGGAGGCTGGCAACAAGATAGGCGAGTCGTTTTGCTGCTCGCGTAGCGCCATTTCCACCCTCAGGCCCTACGTAAGCATTTGCGCCCCATGCCCCTTGAGCAGATTGAGCAGTTTGCAGAAACTGATACAGGATGCTCCATGCCCACGCTCAAATAAGGTAGCATAGGTAGCCACATTCTTGGACGTCTTTGCTCGACCCGTCTCCGCAATTTCACATGCAAACATGAGTCGACTGGACAGTGTGCAGGACAAGGGCAACGACAACGACAACCCTGAGCCCATCCGCCTCGACGCCGACCAGCAACCCACCACAGGAGGAAGCCAGGACGACGAGAAGCAGCCCTCGCCCTACGAGAAAGCACATCACGACAACACACACGCCGAACGAGCTCGGGAAAAGGAAGAAGCTCGAGAGAAGAGCCAGGAGAACAGCGACGCGTCCAACAAGGAAGCCTCTACCGACGACCAGCCTGCTGGAGGCTACGATGCAACCCCAGTCCCACGCGCTCCGCCAGGATGGACCGTCAAGATCATCTTCCACCGCGCGACCAATCTGCCCATGGCCGACATCAACTCCATGTCGTCGGATCCCTACGTGCTAGCCCAGATCAATACAGACATGCCGAAACGTCATAAGGAAGACCCCCTTCTGCGCATGCGTACTCCCACCATCCGTCGCAGCACCGACCCTGAATGGAACTTTGAGTGGATCGTCGGCAACATTCCCTCGTCAGGCTTCAAGCTCAAAGCCCGTGTCTACGACGAGGACCCCAATGACCATGATGACCGTCTGGGAAATGTTCACATCCCAATTCACGAGATCAACGACAAGTGGCCGGGCATCCAAGAGCAGCCCTTCAAGATCATGAAGCGCTCGGGCAGCAAGCGCGCCTATGCCGTTCGCGCCGTTGCTGCCTGCATGAGCAAGGCAAAGCATTTGCATGGCGACCTCTACGTTAGCGTCCAGCTGCTCGGCCGCACAGACATTGACAACGGCGGCCATGTCTTTACCGTCGGTCCGCAATGGTGGATTAGGCATCACGCTCCTATGCTTGGGCGTATCGCTGGCCGCAAGGAGCCCGATGATGACAATGGCCAGACCGAAAAGGAAAAGTCAAAGACGGAGCGCTACAACTTCCAGGCCAACCAGATCCAATTCCGTGGTCCTGTGCCGGACGGTCTCTATCACCGCTACGTCGAGTTCCGCCCCTTCGTCAAGCAAATGTTTACGTCTAGCGGTGTGCGAGGATGGGTCTTGTCAAAGGCTTTGCACCATCAACACGCTCGAGTATACAACTTTGACCGCACCACCAAATGGGGCCACTTCCCTCAAGGCCCTTGCAAGGAAATGACACAAGCCTTCCTTGACCTCGTACATTACGATGAGGGCGGGCGCATCTTCACCTACGTCCTGAGTCTCGACGCGCTCTTCCGCTTTACAGAAACAGGCAAGGAATTCGGTATCGACATGTTGAGCAAGCATACCATGCACAGCGACGTGAGCGTATACATAGCCTTTTCCGGTGAATTCTTCATCCGTCGCTTGAAGTACAAGAACAAGCCTCCTCCGCCAGATGCAGCCGATACTGGCAGTGTTAGCAGTGAGAACGACGAACATGATCACCATCACGACGGCGCAAACGAATCACATCCACCAAACGACCTCTCCAACGGCCCACCCAACGACGAACCACCAAAAGATCCCGCGCACTACCAACTCGTCATCGACAACGACTCTGGCACCTACCGACCCAACGCCAAAATGCTACCTCTGCTCAAAAAGTTCCTCGCTGCCAATCTTCCCGGCCTCCACATCCAAACCCTCGACTCACAGAAGGATGCCGAGAAGATGGGTCGTATGAAACAGGCCCAACGCGATCGCAAGAAGAAGGAAGGCGATCATATCGTGTATGCTCAGGCTGATGCTAGCAGCATCAGCAGTTCTGACGAAGAAGAGCTGGATGCTTTGGAACAATCTGCTCAGGATGAGGAGGCCAGTGAGCCTGGGCTTGCGCATCAACTCAAACAGGATGCCGGGTTGAAGGGGAAAGCAAGGTTGGAACAGTGGAAGCAGAATCTCCCTGGCCACACGAGGGAATAGGATTGTGAGACTTTGATGAGGAGGACAAGGAGCGATACTGGTGACGATGTGTTAATGGAGAAAGGGAGCGCGGGATCGCTCTTTTTGGCTATAATGGAAAGTTTAGTTTAATGCCCTTTTTTTCTTTTTCCTTTTGTATCTCCCTCGTTCACGGTCAGATTCCCGCTCTTTTATGGTCTGTTGGGTTTTTGTTAGACGCTTGATACATTATTTGTGTTCATCCTAATGAACCATCTAACTCCTACAACATCTCTTCAAGCCTCTGGAGATCGATGTTTGTATTTGTCGTTGCATCTCTCGTTTTCACTGCCTTGTTTTGCCCTCAGATAGTCAGGGTGATTATTGTCGAGCACAAAGCCTTCCGTAAACGTGCAATGCAGAATCGAATAGAACCTTGACAACACAATGGTCTGTTACCGTCTTACCCTCCTCAACGTTCCAAATGTATGCAGTTTTCAAGCACCATATACACCAATAGAACGATCAAGGAGTTTACTATCACACAAATCAAGAAAAATGCATGAAACGGAAAGATAAATTGTCGAGGCAGGTACGACCCTGTCCATGTAGGTATCCATCAATTGGTCCGATGAATCCGTTGCTCGCTTTCTATCGTGTACCCAAAACAAAGCAGCACCCTGAGACTGTAGATGATAAGCACCGGTAGACACTTACAGGCTGTTGGTTCATCCAAAGGCTAGAAGATCAGATCAAAGTGCCCCAATCGGTACAAAAACAAGGATGAGAAAAGTGGATTTTTCGCTGTTTGGGGGTCGGAGAAAAGAACTACAGTGATACAGGTATAAAGGGAACAAAACCTCCTTGCCATTGAAAACGCCAAAACACACACGATACTAAATTCCGACCACCTCTTTTGTTGGTATCCCCCAAACACGTAGTTGAACACCTACGCTTCATCCTCCATGTCGTCGCCAGCCTCGATGAATACCAGTCTAGTACCTTCAGCAGCAGTTTGCCAAATCTGCGCAAAAATGTTAGCATGATCCTACGACAAACTGTAATGGAAATAAGGGGAAAACTTACGTCGAGATCAGAGTACTCGTCGATACATGACTCGAGTTGCTGCAGAGTAAAGCCCTTGGCAAGAACACGTTCGCGCACTCGGCGGAGATCGAGCTCGCCACGACCTTCGCCAGTAGCAGCGGCACCGCTCTCACGCATACCGCGCACAAGGTTGAAGATGCGACTGCTTACGCTCATGTCACCACGGCGCGAGCGATCATCGTCGTAGAGTGAAGCCTTGCTGACTTCGGTAAGACGCAATGCTTCGTCCACATCGTCCGTGATGACTTCTTCCGCGAAACGGAGACGAGCGAGGGCTTGTGATAGACGCATCACACCGAGAAGTGTACGTGGTGATGTGTGGGTGAATGTCTTGTTGGCAGACTCATCACGCTTCTGCTGTTGGCGTAGACGGACGTAGGCGCCTACGAGGTAGTCGGAAACGGCTTTGGGGATTGTGGGTCGGAACGAACGAGCGCGAGCAACCCATTGGCGGACTTCGTTGGGTGAGAAGATCAGACCGCCGCCTGCAGGCTCGGGGTGAGCGTTGTGGATGTGAACGTGAGTGACGTGGCGAGCTAGATCCTCGTCGGCGTCGCGCGAAGGAGTGTCGAGGATAAGGAAGAGAATATCGAATCTACTCAGTAATGCTGCTGGCAGATTGATGTTCTCCACGGGAGAGATGCGAGGATTGTAACGTCCGTACAGCGGGTTGGCGGCTGCTAGGATCGAAGTGCGTGCGTTGAGAGTTGTGGTGATACCGGCCTTGGAAATGGAAATGGTCTGCTGCTCCATGACTTCGTGGATGGCTGTTCTGTCGCTGTCGTCCATCTTGTCAAATTCGTCGATACAGCACATACCGTTGTCGGCTAGAACAAGAGCGCCTCCTTCGAGAACCATCTCGTCTGTGACAGGATCTCTCATGACCGCAGCAGTGAGACCGACACCACTTGAACCACGACCTGTTGTGTAGACACCACGCGGGGCAACTTTTGTGATGTATTTGAGCAGTTGAGATTTGGCAACACCTGGGTCACCCATCAAGCAGACATTGATGTCACCACGAATGCGCATACCGTCACCCATCTCCTTGGTCACACCACCGATCAGTTGCAAGAGGAGAGCCTTTTTGACATCGAGATGGCCGAAGATTTCGGGTGCGATGGATCTACTCAGGTATTCGTAGAGCTGTCCAGATTGTTCCAGGTCGGCCATGCGGCGCACAGTGCTGGGAGCCAAGACCATCGACTCATATGCCTTCTTGTGCTGGTGAACATATTGAGCCTCGAGATATGTATCCGTCAGAAGACCCGCCTTGATGGCTTTGAAGCCTGTGTAGGGTGTGGGAAGGAAGATACCGGCCACATCGACGACATCACCGGGATTGATCTGACGGGCCAAAGGACCGTGGCAGTAGATGGTCAACTGACGAGGAATGTGGCCGACAGGGACTTGGTCTGACATTTCCTGGATTTTGACTTCTTGGAAAGCCAGGAACTTGGAAGCTCGAGTTGAGTGTAAGAGCTGACCCTTGACGTTGTTCTTCTGGCAGGCGTCCGAGGGGCACTGGACCATGGGGGTGTACTGTTTTGTGGTGACGGGCTGGAAAACCTCTTGACCGCAACGATCACAAGAGTAGGCATTGACCTGAACGGCAGGCTTGACATCCGAGACTCTGATTGCGATACCACGCACTGTGATGAGGTGGCCCAGGTGTTCGCCGCGCACTTGACGGACAGCCATTGCTTTGCTGCTCTTTCCATCGCTCGACTCGGAAGGGGTGACGGGCTTGAAGTTGAGGGTGTATCGGCGGGTCAGGGCAGGCGGGAAGAAGGATTCGGTAGCGTTGTGCTCGCGCTCGTCGTCGAGGGTCTGTTGCATGACACGATTCGCGTTCTGTCGTTGAGTGAGGATGACATCGATAACATCGTCCTTGAAGCTGACGTCGGAGCTGGCTGGCGGCATGAGCTTGTCGACGGCACGCGACAAGATCTCAATGTAGTGGTGTGCGTTGCGCTCAATCGACGACACGAGCTTCAGTGAGGCCCCGCCGTCTTCCAGCGCCTGCTCGTATTCTTTCACATCGTCCAAGTCGATCAAGATCTTGTCAACCTCCCTGTTTGCTATGCGCTGCAGCTGGTCCATGTAGACTGCTTTCGGCGTCCTCGGCTGGGCAGGGCCGTCTGCCGTCTCGTCCATAAAGTCGTATTCATCGTTGTCGTTATCATTAATGTTCAATTCATCGAGACGGTCCTCGGCTGTGATGGATGATGGTTTGAATGAGCGCAGAAAGTCCTCGAAAGCAGCTGTTGTCGTGGGTTCAGTCTTTTGTTTGGCCGAGGGTCTTGGTCAAAACAAACCTTGCTGCTCCTCGTAGTTGATGACTGAAGGGTACGTTAGAAGCGCCATGATAGCTTGTGGTGTCGCCTAATCGCGAATTGTCCGACACACGGCAGCTTGTTCCACGAAAGATTGATGAGTTTGGGGTATGATGGGTCTGGTGGCAGGGAGTGGGACCGAAGTGCGAAAGCAACAACGCGAGCGTAAATTCGCGTCGCTTCCGCGCCCCGAGAAATCACTTTAAAGCACACCCACCACATGCACAACCAGACCCTCGACCCCACCCTGTGCCTCTGCGCCAACCTTGTGCTATCTTTTCGACGCGCCGAGGACGTCTGGTTAGGGTTATGTGCTGATAACAAAGATGCATCCACTGGGTACAACTCACCAGAAGCTTCACATGTCCGTGAGCTAGCGACCGCCCATGTTCTTGACCGCTATCGTCGAGTTCCACCGCGCCGTACTCCGTACATACTGTGTCCAGACTGCAGTCAGACAGCAACGTTTCCGCGAGACAGCATCGGCTGGTAGCTTGATTGACCATTCGACTGCTTCTTCGATAAATCATATAACTGCTGTCTTATGCATAACCACGCCTCTGTGAGGCCGGTCAGGCCAACATGACCTGAAGGTGATCGCAATACCGAATCATCCGAAATCCGTCCGCATCGTGTTAGCAACCTTGTTTTATGCTTCACCTCATCATGCACTGCACGTCTTTTGGCACCGCATCGAGATGCGCACAGCCACTCGATTGCATCAAGATCCTCCCGTGTGCCTCGCAAGTGGCTAGCCGAAGTGGCTGTGCCCTGTCAACTCGCCTTGCTTGCACTGCTCCCCCTTCAAACCTGCTGGAGAGCCACGCACGCCACGGCTTACGATCGAGTAAGGCGTCATCCATGATTCGTGCCAATTTCATGAGCAAAGAGAAAGAAGAGAAGCACCCAACTCTTGCTGGCGTGTGCCCTCGCGTGTCAGGACATGTCAAGAGTCAGGGTTCTCGCTCCCAGCCTTCTTTGACAAGCAGGTCAGGCAACCCGGAGTTCGCTGCCTCTTGCTACTCATGGTCGAGCATGCATGGTGATTTGTCTTGTGTGAAGCGCCCAAAAGCATCGTGCAGGACCCGAAGAAGACGATCTAACGGACGGGCAGGTTGACGGGACTGGGTGTTACAGACTCCAGACAGTTGGCTGATTGGACAATCGCCATGCATGAGATAGACGTAGCTAAACACAAAATCCGGATCTTGAGGCTGAAGTTAGCAGGGCCCGTGAAACGAATCCTTGCCGTTCATCGCTCCTGACAACCCACTCCCAGCCACTCGAGCTCTTGCCTTTAGTCTGCGCTTGGACGCCGGCCATCCATGCGCGACCCAGTACGGGGGACTGCAAAAGACGACATGGTTTCCCTCTTCTTAAACCCTCCGTCTCCTCTTTTGTAATAACCTGCACACTGCCTGCCACCTTGACCCCATTGTCCAACGGCCTCTGTCCGACCTCACATTCGTTAGCACTTTTCATTCGTCGGGACTTTGTCCGCTGTGCTTGTGGCTGTGCCGTTTCCAACAGCACCGTTTCATCCCCCCCTCATCCTCGCACCTCTGCCATCAATCGTAATCTACCCCTCGCCGTTTGTCGAGCATTGCCATGTTCAAGACTCCTTCGTAAGTACCGAGTCCTCCCTACCTGTCCGAGTGCATGATGTTGATGCAATCGTAGCTTCAGGTCCTTCAATAGACCTAGCCGCAGCCGCTCCAAGAGTGTTAAGAGTCCGTCATGTCCGTCCTCAATCTTATCAACAATCAACAATATTAACGGTCCAAACAGACAACGAAGAATCCTTGACACTAGACACAATGTTCCAACCAGCAGAGACACAATCCTCTGGGAATACATTTTCTCAACGTTTGGCCAAACCACGAACAAAGCACAACTCCAATGGTCTCGGCAAAGCTGAAACAAGCTCCACCATGACAACCCCTATCAACACTACACATGATTACGCCGAGAACCCCCGAGGCTCATTCTCCAACGACTCACCTCTCAGCTTGACTGGATCTGCATCTTTTCGGAATTCTGAATCGCCTTCCAGGTCGGCGGCTAATCTCGCCAACGAAGGCATCCGATCGAGAAAACCTTCGAACATGGCGAACACATCTAAACGCCACACTATCGCTGTAGACAATTCCGATGTCGATGTTGCTGCAGCCATTGCTCTTTTGCAAGAACTGAAGAAGCGAGCGTCACCCGAGGATTTGATTCTTCTTCACAAGGCTCTACTGCCCACCAGAAACGTCGAGCGCACAATTACCCTCTCCCAGCCGGAACCCAAGGAGCAAGAAGAACCCATCTCTCCTCTCATTCGAAGGAGTTCGCTGCTTCCCGCGGGTGTCAAGACTCGCCTCTCCCGTGAACTTTTGAGAAATTACTCGGAAAACAATGTCACCGTCCGCTCAGCTTCAGTGTCTAGACAGCATGTCCCTACCGGGTCTCCAAGGCTTGATGTGCCTCTCGACTTTGAAGCTTTGGACCTAGCTGATGGAGGCGCTGAGCTTCAAGGAGGCCGCCCTACCACACCGTCCAACTTCTACCCTCAGATCGGCACCTACAAGATGGGTTCTCTGCGCATTACCAATGGATCTGCTTCCCCTGAGCCAGCCCGTCTTCTCCAACGAGCAGAGAAGGCAGGTGTTCAGCGAAAACCTTCAGTGCCAGAATCGTCATCTGGCGAAGGGTTCACTACTGCTGATGAAGGAGAAGCCGACCCAGAGTCCATCCGCCCAAGTCGTGCTACAGTGGTCTCTCTGCGAGCACCACGAAGAAGTTCAGAGCAACAAGATAGGAAGCCTTCATCCGATGCACGTGCTAGATCCAAGAGCAGGGGCCCTCCCGTTCGCCGCGGTGTCGAGGCCGAGACAAGCAGATCTGCTGCTCAGCCGAGCCGACCCCAAGCTGCTCAACGTGCTTCCGAATACGCCCAGGAGTATACATCTGAGTTCGACACACTCGAGAACCCACACATGAGCAATCCGGCTTTGACTACTACTGTCTCACGTCTGAGCACCGTCCATGACGAGTCCCCGGTCGAAGGTGGCGTTGACGCTCGTGAGGAAGCTCTGAGAAAGCTCACTGGTGATGCACCTACAGCAAGCAGTCGTGGCCAGAAGCCTCAGACGCAGAAACACCTCAATGTTGCCCGTCCTCCTATGACTAAGAGCGACAGTGGATACAGCTCTGAGGCCTCAAGGAGGTCAATCATAAGGGAGAACAATTGCGACGAGGTCCTCAATGCCGCGCTCGGCGCTGCAGATCAAGCTGAGCGTACTCGTTCCAAGGAATCTCTGCCAGCCGTGAGACCTTCCTTGGAGCAGATCAGTGAAGACAATGTCTCGTCGCCTCAGTCTCCATACATGCAACAGCAGATTTCAGCAGTTCAGAAGGCCGAGAGGCATCGAAGCTTGCCGAGTTTCTTCTTCAAGAAGTCATCTTCAAGCACCTCCGTCAACAAAATCGCTACACCCTCAGTCACCCCAGCCAAGCAGACTAAAAAGCTTCAAAAATCTCGTCCACAGTCCCAGATGATCGTACCAGAGCAAGTGCAAGAGCAAGAACCAGTGCTGCCAGAAGTTGAACCGGAATTCATTTCTGGGGATCTGGAAGATCTGTCCGTCAACTTCTCTCGCCCAACTCGTCGCTTGGAACGTGGACCCTCCGCATCTCCTCAAACGCAAGAAGAGAACGACAGAGATGTTCGCGGAAGGGGACGTAGCCGCAGAGAGGATGCCTCGCAGGCCGCTGCCGCCGAAGGCTCGCCTGACGGTACCACCAGAAAGAGGAGCAGAAGCTTCTTCCGCTTCCGTAGCCGCAGCAGAAGCAAGAGTCAACATCGCAGAGAGGAAGATGTAACCGTCCTCTCAGTCGCTGACGAGCCCCTCCCTGCTCATGACTTTTCGGATTTTGGTACAGTAGCACAATCTCTCGGTCAATCGCCTTACGATATTGCTACTCGTAGGGTCAAGCAGATGGGACCCTATGATCCATCCAAGCCTTGGTTCCACCCCCACGAGATCAGTCGCGCCGCTCCCAAGCCCGATATCAGCTCGGAGGTGCAACAAACCCGTGGCAAGTCTGTTGATCGTAGTCGACAGGATAGAGCGCGCAGTCAAAGCCGTCCTCGCGAGTCAATTGACGCTGTTCTGTCAAGGCCACCGACAAGAGGGAAGTCAAGAAGATCCCAAAGTGCCCACAATATTGCCGTCCCAAGAGTTCCTGAGGCAGTGCCTGAACTTCCTAAGCAGACTGAGACAATGTCTGGGACTTTCTCTCGCCCTGCTTCGAAAGACGGCAACGTCAGAGTCGGCACTATCGATTTCGGCACTGGATTTGCCCAAGGCCGTCTGGAACCTATCCTCACCAGCTCCGAGAAGGCAAAGGCGAGACGCCGTACACAGTCCGTTGCTCCACGAGTTCGTCCAAAAAGTGCTGTGATTACCGAGGAGGCAGTGCCCCAGCGTGAGGCACAACAGCCAGCCCAGGCACCTTGCACTGAGGCACCTAAGGCACCGGTGCGCGAACTGCCTCAGGTGCCTACCGAGAAGCCATCGAGGGCTTTGCCTCTTGAGCTACCTCAGCTCCCATCTAGAGCTCCTCCCAAGGTCCCCACCCATGAAAAGCAGCCCAAAAACACGCGCCTCTCGGTGTTCACCAAGTCTACTGGCTCCGAAGAATCATCCTCTGTACCTCGCATGCCTGTCTCGCCAGTGTCCCCCGCAGCTAGATCCTCTTGGGAGAGTCAGGCCTTGGCCTGGCGCGAGCGCAAGCAGAGCCTCAACGACATGCTTTCGTCTCCCACGGTCGAGAGAAAGAGCTTCGCTTCGTCGACACCTACGTCTCCAGCCATTCAGGCGTACTCACCCACGATGCAAGCCCCTCGCCGTGCTCCCACGGTCATTGTGTCTCGATACATCACACCTCAAGGCTCTGAGTTTGCTATGCACTTGGGTGAGGAGGGCCCCTACAGGAAGCTCCACTCCGAAGATCCCTACAGGCACCGCTCAGAGGATCCCTACAGAAAGCTGCACTCAGACAACCCTACCGATTTGCGCCCTGCCCAGGATGATGTCGAGCGCACCGATTCTAGCTCAACGTACCGTACTGCAACCTCGGAGAGATCTCAGGACTCGTTCGCGTCCAGAGACAGCGCAAAGTACCGTACCCACCGTCCTACCGAGAACACCAGCCAGGAGAAGACTTCGACTCCCCCATCCAGAAGCAACATCACACAAAAGAGATCAAGTCGTGTATACGAGCAGCCATCATCCCAATCTCAGTCCATGCCTCGTCCTCAGCGTCGCTCCACTGCACCTCCGGAGGCCCAAGATGTCCCCTACGACAGATTCTCTGGAGGCTTGGGTTATGGTTGGGAGCGTGGCATCGGCTTTGGCGGCAGCGCCGGCACCAGACAGAAGAATGACACCAAGGCTGCCAGAAAGAGTGTGGCTATCAGCCAGAGCTTTGGTGTTGATCTGAGTGACGTGCCTGTGTTTATGGTTAGGAACTAAGAATGGAAGGAAAGATATTCGATGGAGGAAGTTGAAGTGACTGGAGGACAATGCTGATCTGGCTATGATGAATGAATTAGTATACCAACCTTTTAATAATGTCTATAGAACTCTTTTCGATCAACCATTTTACTTTAAAATGCTGCGAATTTTCAGCCCCTTTTGGACCAGGAGAGCTTGTGAGCCATGATGTATTCAAAAATTGAAGTTGTCTTTCGTGATGTAGTGCAAGGGGGATGAGATGGGATCATATAGTGTTTGAGTGTCGAGCGCGCACCTCGTTGTTCTTGATCAAGTGCAGGAGAGAAGCGATGCAATCGAAGAAGTTGGTTGCTGACGCTGTTGCTGCGTAGCCCTTCAGTCTTGCCAGCTGCATCTGGGATCCGCTTTAGGGGTGTCGAGAACTCGCTTTGGGATGCTCGAGATTCGCATTTCGGTCCTGGGACCTCGCTGTTGCTGTGAGTGCTGAGGCGCTGGCGATATGATTTCCCGTCAAGGCGAGCGGTGTGAATTTGAAGACGGACAAGAGGTACGGGCAATGTCATGACCCACCAGAGGAATGGGATGTGATGAATGGATCGGGTGAAACAGATTAGAATAGAAAACAGGTACTCTCCAGCGCAACCCCAGCGGGTATCGAAAACAAAAGCGATGAACAACAAACCACACACACCAAACGCCAGTATTGATCTCTGAAACTGCCTCCTCTTGATTATCGGCTACTGGTTCTTGCCGCTCGCATTGCTCATGACACGCTGCAGCATGTGGCCGACAGCTCCGGTCCTGGTCTCCTTCTTGGGCTTTTGATCCATGGACTCGCCAGAGGCTGGAGGGTTGGCAGCTGCAGCGGCGGCCTCGGCGCGCTGTCTGGAAGCGTTTCTCTCCTGGATGTCGACGATCTGGTCCTTGCTCAAGGAAGCTGTGTTGCCCGCACCGCCTCTGCCCCATTGGAAGTTCTTCTCGGGTTCGCGACCGGCGCGCGGGTGGGCGTCGACGTCTTGTGTCTGGCGGGTGATGTCTGGATGTATGTTGGGTTGCATGTTGCCCTGACCTCCTCTGCCGGTGGTGTATGTCTGAGACTTGATGGTCGGCGTCTTGAGATCTTGTGGCTGGAGGTTAGGCGAGGCAGGTGCCCTATTGCCTGTTTGGGGGAGTCACAGTGAGCCAAAGGCTTCATTTGCCATGTCGTTGAGCCCGCGCAGTCATACCTGCTCCGCCGCGACCGTAGGATAGGTTGGCCATCTGTTCGAGAATTCGAAAGTCGAAACGCGCAAAAGGTTGTTGGTATGTAAGAGTATGCGGGGTCCGAGTCGACAATAAAGTCGTCGCAAAACACGGTCGAAAGATTACAACGTTTTGATGTTACCGTTTTGGTGTCTGGCGATGCGTCGGATAGCAGACGGTGAGTAGATAGGACCGGACAGGAAGGGACGACCGAGAATATGGCAAGAAGAGACCAAGGGAATTTGCATCCTTTGCGTTCCCGCTCACACCAAAGGCACAGCAGATTTGGCCAAGCATCTCACCTTGGACGGCGCTGCTCTCCACGTGCCTGGGCAGGACGAGTTGTGCGTTTCCATAACGTAACTGCTCTGTGGGAGCTGCCACACTTGCCCGGTTGTCACTTGGCAGTCCACGATGCCCATCTTGGCTCGAAGTCTAAAAACAACTGGTCGACGAGAAGAGTAAAGAGTGCGCTCGGCCAAGAACAACAAGAAAGGAAAATGTTCCAAGTCTTTGCAGGAGTTGGCAGTTGATGTTCTTCTGATAGATAGGAAGCAAAAGAAATGTCCTAGTCACCGCTCAGACAGGTTGGAGAATTGTTAACGAGCGTTGCCGGCTGCTTACACGACAGCATCATGTCCTTCCAGTGTTCGATTGAGTCCAGTTCTAGATGGCTTGGAGGGAGACTGCTGATGGTGGACCTTTGTAGATGCTCACCTTAATATGCAAAGCATTACGAGTTTCTTGTAAACGGAATGCGGTGTTTGTTCAGCGAGGTAAAATGGTAGGCGCGTTGCATTGAGAAAACCACCAGACGCTTCGTAGCAGCTTCGCGGCGGCCCGGTAATGATGTGCGAAGAACGACCCCTAATGAGACGTCATCCGGTCTTCCTCAGCAGCGAACATCAACATCGAAACATTGCCGCCATCATGAGACTGTGAGTAGAGCCTCGGATCTCGATCGAATGACGACTCATTGATATGCAGGAACACGTCTCGTGGCGCGCTCCGTAGGGAAGCGTTCGAGAAACTGGCCGTCCTATCCGCGCAGGCTCCAACTTCACATGCAGCCCATCAGGATATACCACGCCTTTGTTCCCTGTACAAGACATCGGCCGAATCCAACGGGAGTGTCAAAGCTCCCATCGGTATTCGTGAACTCGAAGTCTTGATAGCTTTGTGTCGTGCCTCATCCTCAATTGACTCCTCGCAACACGCCGAACGTCTTCTCCAACAGATCACTGCATACCTGGCAGAAGCCCAAACTCAGACCTTCAGACCTTCGCCTTTCCTGCGTCACGTTCACCCTTCGCCATGGGAGGTGCTTGTGCAGGAAGTCACCTCGGCCATGCTCAATATTGGTCTCAGAGTCCCCACCTTGCGCCCCCAGGTCGTCAAGACCATCATTGACACAATCAACGCCTACGTGCATCAGGGTCAAAGTATTGACCGTGCCAGCGCATCCGAAGACTCGCTCTTGGATCTCAATAATGCATCCAAGACGATAACATTCTCCGTATCCTTGCTTGGACTTCTTTCAGCACTTGCTGGAAAGCCTCAAGTTCTCACAGTGCAAGAGCGTGCTGCCATTACTCAGAAGCTTCGCACTCTGTATTCCGAAAAATTCATGGTAGCCATCGAAGGAACCCTGTCATCAGTTCGCAATTCGCACGGCAATCATGTCAAAGATTGGAAACGCCTGCTCAAGGTATACGCCTCGATGGGAAGGCCATTGGGCGCCATGTTGTTGCAGAACGCATTCACCCACTATCTTGCAGCCTCAGCTACTGCCATGATCACTTCGCCTGAGTTTGTCCAGGGTAACCAAGTCTTGGACCATCTCATTCAGCAAACCCCACAGAGTCTCTCTAGCTATGGCAGTGGTGTCGATGGATCATCATTGGAGGGTCTTACCGAATTGCTGGTGGAAGTTGTCGCTCTGCTTGATGCCGACGCCGATTATCTGCAAGTCAGCTCAGCGTGGCAGCAACAATTGGCTTTCTCAACCAAGGCTAGCTGCTTGATCAGTTTCCTCTGCTGTTCATTAGCCAATGAGGATATCGCGGATGCTGATGTTCTTATGAGCTGGTTGGATGGAGTCTTGACAGATCCTGTCCAGCTTGCAGATGAGAGGCTTGCTAGTGTGACTCTCAAATGCATGGCCGTCCTCGCAAAAACATCAAAGGCCTTTGCTTCGAACTTGGCACACTCCCTGCCTAGGTTCATTGTTCAAGGAAGGATGACTAGTGATACTGTTGTAGTTGCAGCGAACTGCCTGGCAGACGTTCTGCAATTGTTGCCTCAAGACCTTGTCATCAGCACGCTGTACAGCCTTGGAAACGTGCTCAGTACTGGACCTTCCACCAACCGAGCAAACACATCACTGTTCATTGACGGAAACGGTACTGCAAACGGTACCATGAACGGGTCTATGGCCTCATATACTCAACAGCCTACTGGGAGTTCCATCTCTTTGATTACCAACGACGATGAAGAGACGGTCTTAGTCCACGCCGCTGTCATCGAAGCGATTGTCGCGATTGCTAGAAAGTGTGAGAACGAGAAGATCACTGCACTTGCCATTTCGATGTTAGTCCAAAAGGTCGGCCGTGTGAATCAGGCTGTCGATGCTAAGATCATCATGGGATCCGCGGCTCTTGGATGTCAAAGCGAGCCTAACGACTTGCGACCTCTGCTAAGATTTTATGCAAAGCATGTAACCGATGCCCTGGCCTCTGACAACACTGCCATGCTTCAAGCAGTCATAGAAGCTCGTATGCTGATGGCAAAGAGCATCCCCCCTTCATCGCCTCTCTATGAGATCTACCTCACTCATTTGTTGGATGGAGTTGTTAGCACAAGCGATGTCACTAACCGTGATACCAAGACTCTGGTGATTGACAAACTAGCGGTCGGCCAGATCTCGCAAGTGTTGCCTCCTTTGGCTGCCCTTGCAGCATTCATGCCCTACGAATATGCTCAATTTGAAGACCCAGAGTTGGTCTCCGCACTCAGCCGAGATGCCTGGTTCAACCTCATCGCACACGACTTCTCCCTTGGCTCTTCATTTGCGAAGCAGCACCAGCAAGAACTTCAAACCCTAGCATGGTACACTCCATCTCTGATTGACAGCAACAAAGCCGACACTCAGGAGAGTGGCATCGACCTCAACACCGTGCTTCGTCGTGGCATGACTCCCCAGCACATTATTCAGTTGAAGTCGCAGTTGATCTCCGCTCTTCCAGCGCATGAAAACGATATCAAAACTCTGAATAACGCCGAGCTCACCTTCTTGAACGCTGCACACCTGGTAGCAGTGCTTCGTGCTCAGTCTGGGGATTCTACGAGGACACTCGAATACTTCTTGGACCCCAAGTTCAAGAGTGGTGCTCTGAGTAATTGTCTGCTTGGTGTGGCATTGAGCGCAGTCGATACTTACTTGGCACTTACCATGACCGGGCGCAGTCAGACCTTTTCAGCCGCCAACCTCGCGAAACAGCTAGCAAGGCTGCTTGAAAGCTGTTGCCATCGTATCGAAAAGGTGCAACAGGTTGCAACGCTCGCTGCTGATCGCATCATCGACCAGGTACCTTCATCACTTTGCCAGAGAACATCGCTCTTCGCACTGCTAGAGCTGCTCAGCCTGATGTGGATCAGTTGTCTGGAGGCAGAGACTGACGAGTACGAGTGCAAGTCGTTCTACAGCTCGGCTAAGGGCAACGTTTCTCTGCAGCTCTCCGATAACTTCGCTTACAGGCAGACTACGTTACGATCATTCCAACAAAAGTGTCGTCGTTGGGTACTCAAGACGCTGGATCGTGCCCCTCTCGATATGAAGGGTCTTCTGCAAACATATCTATCAGACTACGATGACGAGGAAGCATACGGTCGTATCTCTATGGGTAGATCATTCGCTCTCGAACTCGGCTCTCTCATTCCGGGAACCGACCAGAGACTTGGCGCTATCGACCGTAGAATGGACCCAAGCGTCAATACAGCTTCCGATTTTGTTGCGCAATACACAACCCGCCAGGAATACCGCTATCTGGATACCATGTCTAGACAAGATGAAGAGCTTCTGCACGCACAGCAGACCGGTGTCATCGGCTTACCACGCTCTGCTTTAGGTGAACAGGCTCGCGAGATCACTGCTGCGTTGAAGGAGATCAATAATAACCTTCGCAACCACCATCCAGCATCGGTTGAAGACTTGAGAGCTAACCTTAGACGTGCAGCAGCAGTATTGTGCAAGGTCGATGCCGATCGATTTGGACTTGCCCAACAGTTGGTCGGTGTTCCTTTCGCGTCTTTCAGCAAGTCAGCAATCAAACTCGGAGTCTCGCTTTGGATGGGAGTTATCAAAGAAAATCCGCAGATGGAGAGTCGAGTCCTTGTTGAGATTGCCGAAGGTTGGGAGACGACCATTCATCGAAAGCGCGGTATCTTCAGTCAGACTTTCAAGTAAGTTTACATTCCCCTGATCTATGTCTTTATCATGCTTACTTGCAAACAGCCATCTTGATCCGTTCTACATCAAGGAGGAGTTTGCTCCTACTGACAAGAGTGCTATCACAAAACGTCAGCAACAAGTTCATGACCTGATAGCACCGCATTTCAGACTCGTTCAGTTCTTGTCAAGCCACTTCAATGCTACAAGACTGAGCAACCCGCATACTGGGCGCATCTTCCACCGCTTGATGCGAGTCACTCTCGCTGCCTTGAGGCGGAGTGGCAGTCACCCACTTGCCCGTGAGGTTCATTTCCATGTCATCCTACTGGCTTTGCGAGTCATAAGCTACGGTACTGGTTATGACGAGAAGGCTCGTTGGGAGCTCAAAGACCAAATTCTGTCTGCCGCCCTCAGATGGTTCAACTTCCCAGCTCGATGGTCCTATGGCGGAAACAAGTTGCAAGTCAAGGCCGAAGTACAAGTCATGTCAGATGTCATCCTGGCAGTTCAGGCCGTCGCTTCTATGGGCTCCAGAATTGTCGCCCCGATGCAACCATTGCAAGCAAAGCAGGATCTGCTTCTCCATCTGTTGCAAAACGAAATCACAAGGCTGAATGTGTGGTTGTCCCCGCTGGGTCAGGATACTCCGCACACCACTTACGGTCAACAAGGCAAAGCCAATGATGTTAGTATCTCCTCCATTTGACATCAACTCGACTAACTTCCCAGGTCGCAATCGCTGCTTTGGTCATAACAGCTTGGGCAGAAGCGCCATCTCTTGCTGTACAAATGGCTTTCAGATTCCCTTCGTTGTCCATTCAGAACCAGGTTCGATCGTTGCTCCTCACCTATCCTGAAAAGGCACTACATGAGCCTGACGCTCTGCAAATAATGCTTGGTACCGGCATGCCACATGACGTCTCATCCCAACTAAAGGTAAAGTCCAAGCTCACGTGCTCGTGTTTTATTCTAACAATTCTCTAGTATCTACTGTACTGGGCTCCAGTCAATCCGATCACTGCTGTCACATACTTCCTGCCAGCATATGGAAACCATGCCTTCATTGTACAGTACGCGATGCGAGCTCTGGAAAGCCACTCCGTCGATGTGACCTTCTTCTACGTACCTCAAATTGTGCAAACCCTCCGTTATGATTTGCTTGGGTACGTTGAACGTTACATTGTCGAAACTGCTAAATTCTCTGGACTGTTCGCGCATCAGATTATTTGGAACATCAAGGCCAATGCTTTCAAGGACGAAGATTCACAGATTCCCGATCCAGTCAAGCCAACACTTGACAAGGTCATGGATTCACTCATCTCAAGTTTCTCGGACGAGGATCGCGACTTCTATGAGCGCGAGTTTGGATTCTTTAGCGAAGTAACAGCCATCTCTGGAAAGCTCAAGCCTTTCATCAAGCGACCGAAGCCTGAGAAGAAGGCGAAGATTGAAGAAGAGCTGCGCAGGATTCAAGTCGACGTTGGAGTGTACCTTCCCAGTAACCCCGACGGAGTTGTCGTCGGCATCGATCGAAAGTCTGGTAAACCTCTTCAAAGTCACGCCAAGGCCCCCTACATGGCGACTTTCCGCATTCGCAAAGAGAGGAGCCCGGGTCTTGAAGCAGTCGATGAGCAACAGGATCATGTTGCTGAAGAGGGCGGGTCTCACAAGGACACCAGCTATGAGGTGTGGCAGTCGGCGATCTTCAAGGTTGGTGATGATTGTCGTCAAGATGTGCTCGCGCTGCAGATGATTGCAGCGTTCCGTGGAATCTTCAACAACGTCGGGCTGGACGTTTACGTTTTCCCGTATAGAGTCACTGCCACGGCCCCTGGATGCGGTGTCATCGATGTGCTTCCAAACTCCATATCTCGCGACATGCTTGGTCGTGAAGCTGTCAATGGACTCTACGAATACTGGGTCTCTAAGTACGGAACAGAGGACTCGCTTCGCTTCCAACAAGCACGCAGCAACTTTGTCAAGAGTATGGCTGCTTACTCGGTCATCTCTTACCTGCTGCAGTTCAAGGACCGACACAACGGAAACATCATGGTCGACGATGCAGGCCACATCCTGCACATCGACTTTGGTTTCATTTTCGACATCGCACCTGGTGGCGTCAAGTTTGAGCGTGCGCCATTCAAGTTGACTGGCGAGATGATTGCGGTCATGGGTGGCTCGACACAGTCGCAACCCTTCAAGTGGTTTGAGGAACTCTGCGTCAAGGCATTCCTGGCTGCGAGACAGCATGCAGAGAAGCTGAGCCATTTGGTCATCGTCATGTTGGACTCCGGCCTTCCTTGTTTCAAGCCAGAGACCATTCAGCACTTCAAGGAGAGATTTGTTCTCGACAAGAGTGAACGGGAAGCTGCCGATTTTATGCGCTCGCTGGTGCGCTGGAGTGGAAAGAGTCATAGTACGGGTGTGTACGATCAGTTCCAACTTCTCACCAACGGCATCCCCTACTAGGTGGTAGATAGTACAGATCAATGATGAAGTATGTTTCAACCCTACATTCCGTGTGCAAAAGCACATCGCCAGGAAACGATACTTTCTAGAGGCAGTGATATGCACTTCCAAGTTGTTGATTTCGGCGATTCTTTCGGCGGAGTGCACTCCTTTGTACCCATGTCGACAAGGTCTGAAATCCAGCCCGGGCTCCGACGCGGCTAAGTGGTTGTTTGCTCAAACTCCTTTCGCTACGGGGAGTGAGTCCGATGATAATGGCAACAAGGGAAAACTCGGAACAAGCCTAGACCAGGGCATTCATGCCCTTGACTTGGATTCCGATTGTAGATGCTACAGCCTCCAAGATACGGTCGAGACCATCTTGTCACGACCCGTATGTCTGCTAATGTCATAGCTCTCGCTGCAGCGTAAGTTGACCGTCTCGGAAGCGGTCTTGATCTCCGCCATGTTCCCCACTCTTCTTATGATCCTTCCTTCCTCGCTTCTTCAATCACAATTAAATCTTTGCCATAGCGCACGATCATCTATGTACGGAACAAGATGGCAGTGCAACCTTATCACCCAACATGAACGATGACATCGATACGGATACAAACTCACTGTCGTGGATGAGGGCTCGACTCGCGTTCTGTGAGTCGCGACTCGCAGGTAGGTACCATCGCTTTGGCCCGACTCCGCAGTCTGCTTGAGCCGCAAGCTGTCCCTGAGCACCTACAACGACATATGACTATACATACAATTGTCATTCATCCCTGCAACGATATATTGTCATTGCGCATTGTTCAACGGCCGTTTCTGGTCACCAGAGTGCGTTAGGATGGTATAGACTCGGAAAGTTATCGGAGACCTCGGAAAGAGTTTCAATGATTGATGGTTGAAAAGTGGTTCACGCATAACTCTCAGTACCAAGAAGAGAATCGAAAGCCGCAGACTGGACGAGTACAACGTCTCCCGTGGTGCCAAATTTTGTGAGTTGCACGCTTCTTGTAGTGCTTCCAAGAAGGCTCGGGGTAAATGTCTCCCTGTACGAATGCACAATCGCTCTCAGGGCAGAGGCGCACCCAAAGAGATACGACGCAAGATTGCCTTTCGGTGGAAGTTGTTCGCTTCTCGAGATCACTGCGCACATTTACAGCTACACGTGCGTTACAAACTTTTGCACACGGTGAGGTCGCACCTTCCAGGAACGGATGATGCAGCAAAGCCTGCAGACGGGCCGAGATTCACGCTGTCTCGAGACCTTTCGCATTGACGAGGCCAGAACATCGAACCCTCCATCATCCGCTGCTGAAAGACTTGCTGACATGATCTGGATGCACCATGACATTCATTCTGCGTCCCGAACGGGGGGCAGTCCGTCAAACTTTTTTCGGTAGTAACTCCGTCTAGTATCTCGGTCTTTTCGCCTCTCCTCGCCATGGAATTCAGTCTTACACATGTGGAGAAAAAGTACATGCTTTACGAGATCTAGATGCAGATGCTTCTCAATCGCGTTCAGCTTTAGTAAGAGTCCTCTTCGTGTCTAGGAATTGCTACCGAGGGCTAAGCGCTTAATCGCCTCTCCGAACGTGAACGCTTCATGCATGCTCTCGTCCTTGCACATGGCTAATTCATTATTAAGCGACACACGCTTCCAGTCGTAAACCTTACAGAGCCTATTTGCATGCAAAGCCGCTCGGTGGCGTAATCGACGATCCTCAATGACAGGATTTGAGAGCTGAATATAAGATATACCATCCGACCTGAAGTGCTGTATTGTTTCATACTTCGACTCAATGCATCGTTACCCATTCCGATAGCACAGCTGCCACATCGTCACTACTGTTGACAGAGCCGTTTGACGTCAGACTGCACAGATGCGATACTGGCCTCGACACAACACCCTAACCAAGCCATCCGCTTTGCGATTCTAATTTAGCGTGGGCTGTTTAGATTTCGCATATTACGCAAAATCGACTGTTACCATCTCGTAAGTTCCCGGTCTCTTTCCTGTCCGAGTTATCTACCGGCACCCGCACCCACGAGCCCCGATGGTGGCTACTCAGCAGTCCGACAGGCACCTATGGACAAAGATTTGCCGCCATGTGCTCTGATCATATTCCCTGTGGCGGACAGCTCTCCGCTTGGAATTGAACCAGCCCCCGTCACACCAATCGTTTTCCGCGCGCCGCAAGCCTGCTTTCCCTTTCTCCCCTCCCGTTCTCTGCTTCATATGTTCATTAGCATCTTTCCCCTTCGTTTGCAACGTCCCTTAGCCTGGTCGTAACAGACATCTTTGGCATGGAGGAGTAACGTGGTCAGATTCTCACTGTTGGCTTTTTCTCCCTCCTACACGGTACCACATAGTCCCTTCGATCGATTACCTTGAGGCCCTTGTGTAAGCCACCCACCCTTATACCGACTCGTCTTTCTGTTTTCGAGTTATCCCTAGTCCTAGCTGACTCGAATCTGACTAGAGTCGTTTCCAACACTTTGTCGTGTGGTTCATTGCGATAAGCCAAAGGTTGAAGCTCTCTTAGAATGGGTGATACACTACAAGCTCACGATCGGCAACTTACCACGCACTCGGATCAACAGGATTTGACGCAAGTAGATAGTGGGAGGCAATCGTTGGGAAAAAGCTTGCCAGCTTCAGGAGAACATGCGCCTTTCTACTCACAACTCGATCCATTCCCTCAGGCTTCGCACGCGCCATCTTCCCAGCATGGTAACCTGTATCGTAGCTACCAGCAACAACACTCTATGCATGGAATCGACATGAGCTCCATAGGGCATGCACTGCCTGGAGCTCCTACCTCACCCGCACCTCTAGGAGGGTTCGCTCAACAAGCACCGTCTCACCCTGCTGGAGTGTCAGCTCATACGTCAGGCATGCACTTTGGACCACAACTACACCACTATAGTCCTCAAGCTTACCCATCGAACATGGCGATGCACATGCCTGTGCTGCGCACTCAGGTAACTTCTTCTGGGATGCACCCTCAGTACTACTACAGTGGCTACGGCGCTCCTGCTCCTCAGGCTCCCATGCAAAGGCAAGGACAGCCCATGACAGGGTATCCGACGATGCCTGCAATGCCCTACAACAGGTCTGAGTCGAACAACCAACCAAACCACTTTGTGTCATACTTGAGTACGTTCATTCTACTCGATTGCAGTCTTAGCGCACGAAGCCTTTGCAGAGTTTCTCGATCGTCTTTGGACGGTAGCTCTCAAGCACAACTTTACTGACTTGGCATCGCACAGGTCATCCTAGACCCGAGTTGGTTACTCAGCCCACCCCGTCCTACCCCAGAGGTCCTCCAAGGAAGCCTAGACAATCCGGCCATGCGCTCTGGGTTGGAAACCTACCCCCTGCCACAACCATCAGCGATCTGAAGGACCATTTTTCACGTGAAGCGACCAACGACATCGAGAGTTTGTTCCTCATCTCCAAGAGCAACTGCGCTTTTGTCAACTACCGCACAGAGGCTGCGTGTACAGCTGCCATGGGCAGGTTCCACGATTCGCGATTCCACGGTGTGCGTTTGGTGTGTAGACTCCGTCGCGGGACACCCACTGAAGGATCCTCCTCTTCGACGACACCCGATTCGGTGACTCCTGAGTCCAGTAACGAGCTTGTTAAGCCCGGCAGGAAGGAACTTCGGAGAGCGACTTCTGGACCGGTCATCGTGGATAGTTCGTCTAGTCGATCGCCAAAGAAGGAGATCCAGCATGATGGCATCGATGGTGTGGATGGAGTTGATGGACTTCACAAGACTGGTGGCCAAAGCCCAGCACGTGTGCCTGAGAAGTATTTCGTTGTCAAGAGTCTCACGTTGCAGGATCTCGAGGCCAGTGTGCGCAGTGGAGTGTGGGCAACGCAGAGTCACAACGAGGTTGCGCTGAACAACGCTTATGAGGTATGATCGACCTCTTGGACTTCGATTCCTCATTTTCATTGTGCTTCACAAGCAAAAGCTAACTGTGCATACATCTAGACTGCCGATAGCGTCTTCCTCGTCTTTTCTGCCAACAAGTCTGGAGAATACTTTGGCTATGCTCGTATGACCAGCCCCATATCGTCGCGCCCAACAATCGCATCGACGAAACTACAACCCAAGACCAAAGATCTGGACAGCGGACCAAAATCTATACCGACCCCAGCAACACAATGGGCACCAAAGGGACGCATCGTAGACGACTCAGCACGTGGAACCATCTTCTGGGAAGTCGACAACACACCAGAGCAGGCACAAGAGGAAGCAGCCACCGACGGGGCCTCCCCAGTACAGCAACCCGAGCAAGAAGAGAAGGAAACAGGGTCTCAACGACAGAGGCAAGAGTGGGGCAAGTCTTTCCAGGTCGATTGGATCTCGACAAACAGACTTCCCTTCTACCGCACCCGCGGTCTGCGCAACCCTTGGAACGAGAACAGAGAAATCAAAATCGCGCGCGACGGTACAGAGATCGAACCGAGCATCGGACAACGCTTGGTGCAGATGTTCCATCTGCCTGTGCCGCTACCCAGGAGCAATTACCAGGCAAGGAAGGAGTCGTAGTAGATCTCAGGGTGGCTTGTTTGCAACCATGGGACCGGCTACCCATCGGGCATCAATCTTGGCTTGATAGCCGAACGGTCATGTCAAGTGCTCATGATCGGTGGAACCCTACACAGCGAATCAGGAACTCTGGACATGACATCGGAATACAAGATATGTGAAGCATTGAGCGCAATTCTATTGACATGAATCAAGAACATGGTCTTTGAAGCAAGTCTGTGCGAAAACGAATGCGATCAAAAGTCATAGCAAGTGCCACCTATTGCGGCTGAAAATTTTTTGCGCCTCCATCAGCAGCGATGTTGACCGTTCAATCGTTCAGCCTCTGTCGTAATCGTTATGCACGTAACTTGTCTAACGGATGCTTCCTTCTCATTCGATTTCCATCAGAACGTTAGGCATGCTTAACAAAGCAGTTGGCAACGAAGCGAACGTCAGTGCTTCTGCCCATCTCAAGACTTCGGAATGAGGGCGGTTGATGCTGCACTGGCATCCGCAGGCGCATTCGCACTTGAGAGAAGCTGGGAGCGCGAAGCGAGGACGACTTGGAACTCGCGAAAAGTGGTGCCCATGGCCTTTTCCAGACCGTCGATAGTTTGCGCGATACGCTGTTCGATGGCCGTCTTGCGAGCGAGCAAGCTCCGAAGAGTATCGAAGGCAGTCTGGTCAGAACTTGGCGCGTCGGTGTCGCCGCGGGTACCGGATCTAGATAGAAATGAGAGTTTAGCGTGTGAGCCATCGTCTCGTGCTTTGAGGCTCGATGCTTGCGAAAAGGCAGGACGTGCCGAAGCGTGTCATGCAATGTGGCTGAGCCTCTCGCGCAATATCGTATGGGCATTTGTAATTGCCATGGTGGTCGCGATGGGGGTACACATTGGCCATGGAACATATCGACAGGGACAAAGTGTATATGCATGGGGTTTCATGCACACCGATAACTTACTGCTGGACAGGCGCAACGCGCTTCAAGACTTTGATGCGTGCCTGCAATTCTTTGTGCCTACTTTCACGGTTCTTTTCGATCTTTCTCCGGGCATCACTCCGGCGAGCCTTGACCTTTAAAGCACTCGCGAGTCAGATATCTGGCACAGACAGGTTGTTCGAACAGAGAGATAGGGGTGCTCTGGTGTTGCTTACTGCTTTGTGCATCTGTCTCTGCTTTCTGACGAAACCTTGGTTGTCGTCTCCAGTGTCGGCGACCTTGGCGGCTTTTTGTGATTTGGTAGGCGGCATGATTGGAACAGGCCAACAAGGTGGCAACGATGTTTTCAGTGTGGGGGTGCGACGAGCGTCTGGTGCTTGGTCTGTCGGTAACAGACAATTTTGATGTTCACGCCCGGTATAGGTGCAAGAACGACCAAGGTAGGTAAGAGTGGCTGTTTAGAGCGGATTGGCAGATGTGGCCCGAACGGGAAAGAGCTGCTGCGATCGCAAATGCGGGGTAAATTCTGGTTTCTCCCTGTGGAGAAAAATTATTGCTCGCAGCCCAAACAACCACACATCTCTACAAACCAACCTCTTGTTACTCGTCAACATGGGTCTCGCAGGTCCCAAGAGGCGCTCCAAGATCGGCACCGACCCCAACAATAACAACTGGGCCAAAGCGACTGGTTCCTTCGGCCACAAGATCCTTGCCTCGCAAGGCTGGAAACCTGGCGACACGCTCGGCGCCAAAGACGCAAACCACGCCTCGCATTACACCGTCGGCAGCAACTCTCACATCCGCGTTCTCCTCAAAGACGACAATCTCGGTCTGGGCGCCGCCAGAGTTGGAAACAATGCAGAGACTTTCGGTCTGAGTCTGTACTCGGGTCTCCTCGGCAGATTGAATGGCAAATCCGAGGCCGAGGTCGAGAAGCAGCAAACCGCTCAACGAGACGTCGAATTGGCCCTGTACCAAGGAAGAAAGTTCGGCAACATCAACTTCATCAGTGCGGGCTTCCTGGTCGGCGACAAGATGGACCTCAAGTCAACCGTCATGCCCGATCCCAAGCTCGCCTCCAAATCTCCTGCGCTGGACGCAGCGAACAAGAAGCGAAAGAGATCAGATGTCGAACAACAGAGCACAAACGACGCTTCTTCTGACTCAGCCTCCTCGGATTCTGACGATGACGAGGACGTAGAAGAGGCACCCAAGTTGAAGAAGATCAAGGAGTCGAAGAAGGACAAGAAATCCAGAAAGTCATCTTCCAAGGACACAAGCAGCGATAGCACAGACGAATCCAAACTCAAGGACAAACGCAAGAAAGAGAAGAAGGACAAGAAGCGAAAGGCTGCCGATGCATCAAGTTCAGAAGACGAGACGCGAGCCGAGAAGAAGGCACGCAAGGCAGAGCGACGCGCAAAGAAGGAGGCAAAGAAAGAAGACAAGAGAAGGAGAAAGGAGGAGAAGAAGGCAGCCAAGTCAGGCACAGCGACCCCTTCGACTGCTCCAGGAACTCCTGCAGAGCCTACACCAGTAGCCGCTTTGTATGGCAGACAGAACGTCCGCCAACGCTACATCGCCCAGAAGCGTCTTGCGTTCATGGACCCGCAAGCCATGAAAGAGGTTGGTCTAACCATCAGCTATCACGTATGGTCACAACTAACTCTTTCACAGATCTTCATGGTCAAGGCATAGATCATCCATGTCCACTCACTCTTTGTCTCTCGGTTGGCCGCGGAACCTAGTGTGGCCTACCTTATATCCTATTGAAAGTTTTGGTTGGCGCATGGTAGACGGAAGCGTAGAAAATCGTTCTGTCTTCCTTTTTTTCTTCTCTAGCGTAGTGCATAAGGTCTGGGAGTTTGAACATGTGCGTTATTCTTATTACTGATCCAATCCAAGATCCTGCTCGCAAATTCTCTGTGATTTTGTTCATACAGCAAATTCTAAATGTTATTGGCCATCAAACCTCACTTTTATATGATAATAGTGATCTTTACTGCAGAGCACAAGTAGTGACGCGAAATGCTGTATGCATGCATGTCTCGCTTGCAATTCAACATACAAGCAGATCTCTAAGAGGGCGGCTAAATGTTTTCATCCAACCACTATGGCTATGCAAAATGCACCGTCTCTTTACTGGAACAGGAAATGTCTCTCGAGAGCCGTGAGGTCAGCGGCTTTCTATGGAGTCGTCTGACATCAAGAGAGAACTGTGCATTTGTGACAGCTACCGCGATGCTATCAAAAGACACAGTAGTTGGTAGCCTAGAGATATGTCCGGATAGAGCTCAAACAAGTTGTTTCTCGATGGAAATCATTGTGCTTCTCGAGAACCTTGTGCATCTCCACAATTACCGGGGTGACAGTGTCCTATATATCAAGAGAGAGGTGGGAAGGAACGACCTTCACTGAGCATGTGAAGAACAACAATCTAAAATCCGTCTAATCGCCGGTTGATCACCAAAGTGTGTGGGGGCGGCGACTTCCGCACTCGAGGTCGACTTGCCTTCCATCTTTTATTCTATCCAACCAGTATTCAATCTTGCGGTGACAGATTCTTTGAGCATGTCAGAATGGCATCTGTACTGGACACTGGAGTCTCCACGGCTGTTCTGAAATCACACAATTCAAAGCAAGGTTTGATCGCTGAAGGCGCCGAAGCGTTCTCAGCATTCTTCGAAGATTGCCGCAATGCCTTTCATCAAGACTATAGCGGCAGACCGCGCAAACGTACGAGACTCGATCATGACCATCTGGAGCCAGCCCATCGTTCTCTGGAGACTGGAATCACCCTCGCTCGACTTAACGTCAACATGAGACCAAGCCCAGGAACAACCAACCATGGCGACTTATCAACCATCTTGGAAGACGATATTGAGGTTGGAGTCATCGAGTTCCATCATTCAGATCCTTCGAAGCCCTCTCTCACTCTCGTCGGCCATAGTGGTTACAAGAAGAGTCCTTCACTGAGAGTTGAGACGACAAAATCCATCTCGCCGGCCACAGTCAGTCTGCTTTTGCGCATAGTGAGTCTCGAGAAACGTTCCAGGCGCAACGTTAAACCAGGTATCTGCCGTTCCACTTGTCTCCTGCATCGTTCGGTTGGTCCCTCTGGTCTTGTGTATACCTTAGAGTGCAGCATTGTGTGGTTCGACGGCGAGTCAGCTTTTGGACCACTGGCAACCAAGAAAGAGGACTGGGCCACTCTTACTCAATTCTTTCCAGAGCCCACAAATGCTCAGAGCAAGTCTTGGACGCCACAAGAGTTTTACGCCAGCGTACACTCTCCACCAAACGATGCGACTGTTCCTGAATTAGTCGAGCAAAAGGTCCTTGAAACCGATCTGTACCCCTTCCAGAGACGCGCCGTCGCATGGATGCTGCATCGAGAAACTTCTTCTCGTGACCAAAGCCAAAGCCGGTTATCCTACACTTCGGTCAAAGACGCAAATGAACAGGCGTGTTTCGTCAGCCACTTGGAGGGCGTTGTGTGCTCTGCTGCACAGTTTGGTGCCTTCGAAGAACCAAGGGGAGGAATCCTAGCAGAGGAAATGTAAGCAAAGCGAGGGCACAGACAGTACAGATCAAGAGCCATCCGATGGCTCTTGAATCAGCGTCTGTACCTCCATCGTTCTTACTTAAGAAACATGCTAACTGTACTCTTGCTTTTAGGGGTCTTGGTAAAACGTGCGAGCTCATCGCGCTAATGTGCCTGAATAAGCGAAAGATGGATACCGAGAATATAGAAGATCACACGCTCATCAAATCTCGAGCTACACTGATCGTCACACCTCCGACTATCTTGCAACAATGGAAAGACGAATTGGCTCGGCACGCCCCCGGTCTTTCAGTCCTGCACTACAAGGGTGTCTCTGATGTTGAATCGTCCAAGCAAGAAGTGCAGGACATCACAAAAGACTTGGCAGAGCGGGATGTAGTCATCACGACCTACTCTGTCTTATCGAAGGAGGTGCATTTTGCCGTTGACCCTCCTGAGCGTTCAATGCGACATCGAGACCGCAAGCGCACTCGTCCTCGCAGCCCTCTGGTGCAAATGCACTGGTGGAGAGTCTGCCTGGATGAGGCTCAAATGGTCGAGTCGGGAGTCAGTGCAGCAGCTCGGGTGGTCTCACTTCTACCGCGTAAGCACGCCTGGGCAGTGTCTGGCACGCCTCTAAAGAAGGATATCCAAGATCTGTTTGGACTTCTCGTTTTCCTCAGATATCAACCCTTTTGCAACTCTTCAGCAATCTGGACCCGACTGATACATCAATATGGCGACTTGTTCAAAACATTGTTCGGCCGCATCACTCTGCGTCACACCAAGGATCAAGTACGACATGAACTGCGATTGCCTCCTCAGAGGAGGGTCGTTTTGACATTACCATTCACCCAGGTCGAAGATCAAAACTACAAGACGTTGTTCGAGACGATGTGTGATGAGTGCGGGTGTAGATCGGATGGATCTCCTCTGACCGATAATTGGGACCCTGAATCGTCTGCAATACTGCAAAGGATGAGAGCCTGGCTTTGTCAATTACGACAAGCTTGTTTACATCCACAAGTTGGTGGCAGGAACAGAAGAGCGCTTGGGCGTGGTCAAGGTCCTCTGCGTACTGTGGCCGAGGTCCTCGAAGTCATGATAGATCAGAACGAGACATCCATTCGCACGGAGTCTCGTCTTGCCATCAATACCGAGCTTCTGCGAGGTCATATCATCGGTAACGCAAAGGATGACGAACACAGAGCTGAAAAGGCACTAGAGATTTACAAGTCAGCACTCAAGGGGTCTGAAGCGATTGTCGTCGAGTGCAGAGCCGATCTTGCCAGAGCGGCTGCTCATGCAGTTAGTCTCAAAAAGACACCCGACGACTCAGAGCATGAGAAGTCAACAGAAGAAATCGCTGAAGGACGGTGCAAAGTCGCTCTGCATTCTGCATTGCAACTGAAGCATGCATGTGCCTTCTTCGTCGCAACAGCGTTTTTCCGAATCAAGTCCAACACCATCATCACCGAGCCAGACTCGGAGAGATTCCAAGAACTCGAGCAACAGGAGTCGACCTACTACGAATCTGCTAAGCTAACTCGCAAAGAGATCCTGAATGATGATTCATCCAAAGCCGAGAGACTCATGCACACGATAGAACAGGAGAAGGACCTGATTCTCAAGGCATCCAGCCTTGCTACTTTGGAGAGTTTTGGAGGTGTGGAGAACGTCAAGATAGTAAGTCTGATACGAGAACTCATCCACCTTGTATGGGAGGATAATTTTGCAACAGAACGGCTGACGATACAAAGGTCCACAAAGCTCACGACCTTGCCAAAATCATGAACGCGCAGGCAAAGCTTATCGATGAATGGAAACAAAAGGTGACTGAGCTATTGCTCAAACCTTTGGTCGACAAGGACGAGGACAGTGTTCAAACCACCGGTGACGAGTACGAAGATTCGACCAAATCACAGGATGCTCTGAATGCTTATCTGGATGCGCTTCGCGCCATTGTCGCTGATCGCTCGACTTGTATCACAGGACAGAGTGCACCTCTTATTGATCAAGAGGTGACGTCTGTGATCCAGGAGGCCAGAGCGGGCCGATGGCGTCCCCCAGAACCTCTGCTCGAGCTGCTTGCGATTCGCAATCGTCTCAAGCAAAAGCCTGACGGCTTGTTGTCTGTGCGTGGCTTGGTGCACGAGATACGTGGCATTGAAACGGCACTCGACTGGCAAGATGGCACCACACGAGCTGGTGCTGAACTTCAGATCGTTAGGGGTCAAGCAAAGCAGCTCGCTGCTATCGCCAAGGAAGAAACCGAAGTCCTGACACGTCTCGAGGAATTGATCGAACTCTTCTCCACTACGGTCAATTTGCGGCTGGACTTCTACAGACAGCTCCAGGTAATTTCAGACACTGTTGCTCCTTACAAAGAGGACTCTTGGGATGATACTTTGGATGTGGCTGCTCTCGAAACTGCAACCCGTCGACAGGAGGCCCAAAGCAAGGCACTTGCCGCTCTGAAGACAAAGAATCGATTCCTGCTCCACCTGCGCGCTGAGAGCACAAACTCGCAAGAAACACAACGAATCTGTGTCATTTGTCAAAGCTCGTTTGAACAGGGAGTCCTCACCGTTTGTGGCCATCAATACTGCAAGGAGTGTATAAATCACTGGTGGAGTGCTCATCGTACCTGTCCTGTTTGCAAGCGCCATCTCGTGCTTGCAGATTTCCATCAAATCACGTACAAGCCGCAGGAGCTGCAGGCACAGGAGGAGCAGTCTGAACCTTCCTCGCCAAGCCAAGGCTCCAGCCAGAGTGCGACACCTGGAACTACTCTCTATGCCGACATTGGCAACGACACACTTGCCCAGATCAAATCCATTGATCTGAACGGTTCGTTTGGTACGAAGATAGATACCCTCGCACGACACATCCTCTGGATACGCCAGCATGACCCCGGTGCCAAAGCCATTGTTTTCAGTCAATTCAGAGAGTTTCTCGACGTCCTCGGCACCGCGTTTAAGCAGTTCGGTATCGGTTACTCGCGTATGGGGAAGCCAGGCGCAGTCGACCGATTCAAGAACGACGCCGGTATCGAGTGTTTTCTGCTAGACGCAAAGACGGACTCTTCAGGCCTGAATCTCGTCAATGCGCAATACGCGTTCCTCGCAGAGCCGCTCATCAATACGGCAATCGAACTGCAAGCCATCGCTCGCGTACACAGAATCGGCCAACAGCGACCAACCACCGTCTTCATGTATCTCATCGGTGATACGGTGGAAGAAGCCATCTACGAAATCTCGGTGGCCCGACGTCTAGCCCACATGCAGAAAGCCACTAGCACCAAGCAAGAGTCACAGCGATCGAAGTCAGCAACGCCCGCACTGGGGGAAGCAGCCATCGATGCAGCCAACTCGCTCGAATTGCAACAAGCGCCCGTGTCAAAGCTGCTCGTACAGGGCAAAGGCGATGGCGAAGTGGTGCCCAACGACGATCTGTGGAGTTGTTTGTTCAGTCGTTCTGCTAAAAGTCAACGACAACAGCAACAACCGATTGTCGTCTTGGCAGAGCTCGAAACGGAAGTTGCAAGACACTTGCGTGGGGAAGCGGCTGAGAATAGACTTTGCTGACCACGTGTCATGGGGACAACACAAGGGAGTGTGCTCCGGGTGCAAGGTAGAAGAACAGACGGGAACGACAAACGCCTCTTCAGGGCAAGATAGGACAGATGAAGAGCGACCGAAAAGAACGTCACGTAATGATGAAAATAGTTTTGACCGAAACTTCTGACAAGCGTCAATATCAAAAAGCAAAACAGGGAGGACAAATATTCGTCTGTTGCAGGGTGACCTCTATAAAGCAGATGGTCAGAAGATGAAATTGAAATGTGTGACAGACATGCTAAAAACCAACTTCCATCAAAATGCTGCAATGTAACGAAGAGTGTTCAACGTCTAGGAATATGTTCAGCAAAGGGCTCCCAAGCCGTCTTCCTATTCCTTGTGGTCCATAGAGTTGTGGTTGTCCATTGATCTGCTGGCGATGGGACTGCCTGGACTCTGTGCGGCGAGAGAGGGTTGTCTTGTTATCGCAAAGAGGATTAGGCGTGTGAAAAAAAGGTCTTCGGATGCGAGTTGCAGCCATTGTATCTGATGGGATCAGAGGTCCGAGATATTCGATATCCAAAAAAAAAAAAAAAAAAAAAAAAAAAAAACGGGTTTCGGTGAAGCATATCGACTACCTCTTGCGTGTCGAATCGGACGAGCGGGATTTGTCGTCACGTTCGACGTGTTCGGTGGCGCGGAGCAAAGTAGACAGCGAAGCCTTGTTCTTGATATTACCATCAGTTGCATCATGCGTCGACTGCCACGGTGGGGAACGTAGTGACTGTCCTGGTTGAGTGACTTGGTGCATCCGTGGAGACGAGTAAAGCGAATCCGGAGTCGAGCGTTTCGACATGGCTCTCGGATCGAGAAGGGGCAGTGTGGTATGCAAGGGCCAGTTAAGGAGAGGGGTATCCGCGGAGTTGCGCGTAGCTATGGAGGTCAAGGAGTTGATAGGGGGAAGAATTGTGTTTGTGGTTGGAGCAGGTTTGTTTGTCGCACTAGAATGGAGGGCGGAACCTAGAGGAGCGGAGGCAGGAGCGGCACCGTTCGTAGGAGCAGTTGTGGGAGAAGTGGCGGGAGCGGTAGTAGGAGTAGTGGTGGGAGCAGGGTAAGAGGAAGCCAGCGAGCGCGAGTCTTGGTCCGACGAAAGTGTGGACATGGTGGTGTAGCGATGCAGCGAGGGGTGAGGCTGGCTAGGTTGGTTGGACCGCCAGGTCGAGTAGGCCGAGGAAGTAGTCGAGTCTGACGGGCCTCTGGGGATGGGAAAAAGGCGGTAGCGTTCGAGGTTGGTCGGGCTATGGGTGGGTGAAGCTCGGACTTTGTCTAATGGCGACGGCGGCTGGTTGTATGTGCCGTCAATGCCGTCCATACCATCATCGCCATCAACGCCGTCCATAGCATCAGCACCTTCTTCGCCGTCGACAACCGACTCTTCAAAGATGCGCGATTGGCTGCTGGTCTCGGGTCGAAGTTTTGATTTCTTGTAGTCCGGGCCTTGTTGCTGTTGGTTGGCGTCGCCCGAGTGTTTGGCCTTGAACTCGGCCAGATAGTCCTGATACTGCTGATACTGGGGTGTCTTTTTGTATTTCCTGAGTTCCGAATAGTACGTATCCTTGAGAGCTTGAGCCTCGCGTTCGCAGGGTTCCTTTTCGTGTGCCTGCAGCTCCTGCCATCGCTCACCTACCAGCTTGGCAATCTCGGTGAAGGAGAGTTCCTGCCCTTTGAGTTGATCGCGGATTTCTGTTCACCTTGATGTCAGTGACCATCTTGCAACGTTTCTGTCGCAACACGAACGATTTGAAAAGATGACGTATGCCGAAGGGGGGCGCTCTGGTGCATGCTCGTCTGCCTGTTGATACGTTGCTTTAGCATTGGCCTGTATGCGCACCTCTGGCTACATACTTTGGGATGACGCCTGTACTTTCGTTTGCTCCTCTGTGGTGGTGGTCCGCTGGTTCGACTTGCAGTGTCGTGATCCTGAGAGCCATTGGAAGTTTGTTGCTGGAGTTGAGGGGGCTGGCTTTTCTTGAATCCATCGAGGCCAGCAGATTCGTCGCGCGACTCGGACGTCAGGAGCAGCGGCAGAGGAATTCTGTCTTTGGATGCTTCAAGGATGGCTCGCTGGAGTTTCTGTCATGGTACAATCAGTATTGGGTGGGAACGTGTGCCCGTGTTAGACAAAACACACCCGTCGATGGCCAAGTTTCACGCCGAGAGCCTCGCTGTAGATATGATCAGATCGGTGGTGGAAATGCAGCAGGGCACCGTGACAACTTACAGATCCGACTCGGTGATATCCATGAGCGTGTCCCATGTGTCGAAGCCTTCATCAACAAAGGCATCGTGATAGCGCGCGAGATCCAGTCGCTCGAGCAGTGATTTGAGGGTCGTCATATGCGCGCAAAGGGCCAGGGTCCGTCGCATACATGCACAGCGAGAGATGGGCGAGGTTGTCAGAAGGCGGACGTGGTAATATTGTCAAGATGCGCTAACCGCGTCCAAGTCTGGCCGGATTGAGAGAAGGCGTCACGACGACATTCTGGGCCGAATCGCTGCAGCGGTACGGAGACTGTAATGGACAATGGTAAACGGCCGTGGTGAAGGCTCGCGATTTCGATGGTCCTCGACGATGACGGCCAGCCCCGAGCTAATCCTGCTGAGTGATGGCAAAGGTCAAACCGCAGGCGCGCTCGGAGTGGGCCTCCGAGCTGCAAATCCAATACTTTTGCTCAGCGAGTCGGGGACACGTGTGACTTGCCCTACGCGACCTCCTTCTACATGCCGTTCTGTCTGTGGAGCCCATGGTTTCGTTATAGGCCATGCGATTGGGTCCAGTGCCCTCCATCGACTTGTAATCTCCTATTGCAAGATGCAAGCTTGGCGAACCATGCTACATTGCACGAATGCGCTTCCGCTCACGGACCCTTGTCGCATCCTCCTGTCAAGATCAACGATGCCATCGCAGCAATCTTGAACCATCGTCCACCCGACTCGTCACCACATCTTTCACTCGACAATCAAATCTCGTCCCTGTATGCCACCTTCTTTCTTTTTTTTCGCCTCACCTTCTCTGCCTTTTCCATGACGCATTCGCCTGTAGATATCCTAGCCGACCAAGCATGGTCAAAGCCTAAACCGCTTTGACGCCTCTCGGCCTACGGTCAAAACGACCGCCTCCGCGACGCCTGCTGCTGCTGACTACGTATCGTGTCGTTTTAATTGAGTCCGCTTGCTCACCAAAGTTTTGCGGGGGAAGCACAACTGAAAATCACCGCATCCTCCCTACTCCTCGTCTTGGTGCATGATGGAAAAAACATGGCATTTCTCTACCCATCTACTATCGCCGATATTGCGGAAGATGTTCCGATGCTCCTGTTCCTGTCTCGTCGCCTCTCAATACGTACTCGTTCATGTCATTATCTATTATCGATGGCGCTGACGGCCCACACTCTGTCCTGTCCTCCTCATGCCCTGCTGACAATACTCGAGGCGGCTCACTAGCATCAAGTTGTAGTTGACGCCTGCGTAATTCGTCCTTGTCCTCCGTTGGTGTCAGACAAGCGTTGGTAGCGTCCGCTATGTTGTACACAGTCCGAGGTCTAGGCACTTGATCGGACGTTTGTGTTGTGGACAAATCGGCTTGTGCAGAGCCTCCAATAGCCGCTCCGGGATCCCCGTAAGTGTCGTCTGGCGGCAGAGCTGGAGCTGTTGCCTGGTCCGCGCTTGTGGATGCTGAAGCCATGGCAGGTGGTTGACTTGGCATCAATCTGGCCTCCGCCCTGCGTAGACGTTCCTTCTCAGGAAGGGACCCTTCGTCCTCTAGTGGCGGTGGTTCGTGATAAGCTGGATAATAAGACTCATCATATGAGTACCCTTGACTCATATCCCACTGATAGTCCTCCGGCCCATAGTCGTAGCCGGGACCATACTGGTAATCTAAGGGTGTAACAAGGTCATGGTCGTGGTTGTACACACCTGCATGCTGATAAGTTTCAAAATCCCGGCTTGACACTGCCGAATGACCCTGCTGTTGAAACACATTTGGTGACATGTCCGAAGGCGACTCAGAACAATGAGAAGATGAAGGCGGTTCTGTCGCCTTTTGTTTTCCTTTTCTGGCCTTGCGTTCACTGTCGGTCGTACCAACAACTACCTCAAACGTGCAAGTCGCAACCGATTTGTCTCTTCGGATCGGGGCAGTATCGAGGATGCCTGCGCCGTTGAGCATCAGAAAGGGAGTATCGTCAGGTCCATTGCCATTGAAGAGGTTACTCTCTTTGGCATCGACGGGTCGCGGAGCGGCAGAGACTGGCCCACTGCCGTGTTGCGAGAGATATCTGTCGTGCGTGAGCTTGCCCTGTATGTCGAGAACAATCTCAATGTAGTATCGAAAAGAAATCATAGCTCCAGGAACCGAGGTGATTGTGGGAAATGCGCCGTGAGGAACGCCAATCTTGGCGTTGATCTCTGCCGTCAGAGATATGGGATCAACATACAGGGGTACTAGGATCTGGGCAAGATCCTTGCGAAAAGTGTGACTGGATCCGGCACCGGACAGAGACAAGCCGCCGAGACCTGTGATGGACTTGGGATAGTAATCTTCGTACTTGCGCTTCTGGCCATCGCTTACGGGCCCCAGGGGCAAGGCAGGATGCATGTCGACGCGGGCCTGACGGTACAAAGTGATGATGATGCCATTTATGCTTTTGATGTGCTTTGTGTGGTTGATAGAAATGCGGACGGGGAAACTATCGCCTCGCAGACAGGCGCCCTTGAGCAGCTCGACGGTGGCAGTGATGAGCTTGTGTGGGGTGTCGCTGAGACTACTGCTGACGCGGCTGTCTAGACTAAACTCGCTCACCGAAGGGGGCGGCGGTTCTGCTTCGCGCGCAGGGGAATTCGGGGTCTTTGACGGCAGAGAAGCAGAGGTTTTGACGGGTTTGGTCTTTCGGGTAACGGGCTCGAGAGTGATTGTGCGTGGCATCGGGGGCAGCAGGGGCGCAATGTCGACGCGCTCGACGAGATAGATCTTCTGGTCGTGGGTGATGACGGGGGCAATGGTGGTCGGGCGGGTCAGGGTGGCGGTGAGCATGTAGGAGATGGTGCCGCGTTCGAAGTCGATGCTGCTGGGCAGGTCCATGTCGTCGGGGAACTGGACCTCGAAGTCGAAGCGGTACACGCCCTCGTCCAGACGGCCGTCGCCGCAGAGGACCGACTCGTCCTCGAACAGCGAAGCGAAGCCATTGCCAAAGTACTCGCCAGACTTCTTGCCTCGTCCCTGGGCGCGGCCGATGCGATTGGTGTTGCCGCGCAGCTGGTCGGCGGTCGCGCCGGGGGTGCGGTAGACCTGGGCGAAGCCATGCAGGCAGACGGAGACGTGGGTGACGCGGACGGGCTTGACGACCTTGACGACGACGCAGCCCTTGACGCTCTCGCCAGGCGAGTACTGCTTGTGCGGATCGTGGGCCTTGATGTGGAAGTCGGCAATGCTGCGGCCCTTTTGCGAGAACAGCGGAGACGCGAAGCGCGACAGGATGCGGCGACCGGCCGACGCGACGGATGGAGCGGAAGGCGCTGACGGCGACGACGACGAGCTCATGGTGTGGCGGTCACGGAAGGCTGGAGCATCGTCACTGCTGGCCTCAGATATGGGCCTGGCGCATTCGTCCGATTTTAGGTTGTGAGTGACAGCAAGCAACAAGCAGCAAGCACCCTCTCCCCATGGGCCCGCCCCATCGCCCTCTAGTACCAGCAGCTACAGTAAACGACTGCCCGGGTCCGCTTGAGGATTCAGGAACCGTTCATCCATCATCCCTGCCGCATGTGCTTGCACTGCCACGGCTCGCCCGTCTTCTCCTTCATACTTAACCACCCCCATCACTTGGGCGCCATGATCCAGTCTGTGGCCGTTGTCTTCCAGATTGACCTCAGCCAAGCGCTGTGTTGGCGTTTCATGCTCTTGGTGTGCTGTGGAGCACTCGGCCTCCTCCCTGACTGTCCCGACTTCGGCTCAAGCTTCCCTGCATCCCTCCACCTGCTCCCGCGAACACTTACGGTCTGACTCTGACAGTGATTATGCGACAAGCATCTGATCGCCAACACCTCTCCGTTTCGTCCACCAAACAAGCTTCCGTGGGCAACGAGATGCGCATCGCTTTGCAGCCACAAACCATCACGGCTCGTCTCAGCGACACATGGGCTTCAAATGATTAGACGCCGTCATTTGGTCCTAGTACCATCGTCTCGTGTGCAATTTCGATCGTGATATATATATGTCCTTCAACAACAACGCTGGACTCTGTTTGTTCCGACAAAGGAGACAACTAGCCAACTACGAACACAGGATAATGAAACGATAAACCCTCAACCAGAAAGCGACAATGCAGAAAATGAAACACGCCGTGCGCCTTGCTAAACCCGATGAGACATCCTTCGTTCCTCAATCAAACCTTTCCATCCCAGCTCCATACACGGCTCGTGTCCACATTCTTCCACTGTCCGTTGTACACCTTGTCGGCGCCCATCATAACTCCAATGATGCGACAGGCCGCACTGGAGCTGCCGCAGACTGCTGCATCTGCATGCCCCACGACCGCTAGATCCAAGAGGTAGGCACGCCCAACCAGCTCTCTCAGTTTCAGGACTGCCATTTGCATATCCTCGCCCATTCCCTTGTCGGACGCAGAAGGATGGCCCCGGCCGAGAGAGAAGAACAAGGAAGCATAGAATCCTCCTTCCCATCCAGAGTTCTCGTCGACATGTTTGACGTATGCGGATCCCGGCTTGCGGATGGGCTTCGCAGGTTCTAGTGTCTTCTTACTAGCAAGAACGATACGTTCCTGGGGGCGTGACACTGTGAGATGCGAAGGAAGTGTGTTTAATAGATCTTGCGACGAAAGAATGTCTGGATCATCCGAGGCAAGAAGTAAGGCAGTTGGTTCCGGAGAGGATTTGTTTGGTGAGAAAGCAGCAAAAAGCTCGCTGGCTGCAGACGTGTAACGTTCGAATGGGAGGTAATCATGGCTGTACTCGACCTCAAAGGGATGCAGGTCTCCACGACGAATATGCATGCCAACAAGTGGCGTCTGAGAGGCGGAAGCAGCGGCACGCATCACGGTCAACTTGTGCGCCAAGAACGGTGCGTCCTCTCCCTGCAGATGGAACAAGTCTTGATAGCCTTGTCGGACTAGGTCGTAGATCGGGCGATTCCTCTTGAACCCATGCTTAAGTGATTGCTGATACTCGGTTTTGAAGGCAGTTCCGAAAGTCCAAGGCAAGGTGGCTGCAGAGACAACCAAATGGCGAGCGCTATGAGGGCACGGAAGCACTTGGTTGGCTGGCGGAGGTGCACAAGCCGATGGGGGAGGCTGTTTGAAGTATGTGGTGTATCTTCCGTACGACCTCGAGGATTGTCAGCACACAACCAATGCAATCATGTTGGGACTAAATCTTACCACTTTGAATCGTCGATGAAGAAAGTGCGGCCTTCCTTCTTGGCCATGCCGTAACTGAGCCAGAGGGCGAGGAGCGTGTTGCCAAAGCCGGCCTCGGTGGTTTCCATGACGAAGGTCAAGCTGCTCTGGCAGGTAGGAAGATCAGAACTGCTTGTGTTCGGATGGCCAACAACAGAGATGTGCTTTTGTCCTTCATCCATGGCGGGCAACAGGTTGAGGGCTTCAGCTTCGTCGACTGACATGAACGTCGTGTCTGCGGCGTAGTAAGGGCGTTTCCAGAAGTGGGGTCTGCTTTTGCCTTGAATTCTTGACGGCCGGCTAGTCATGGCGTCGACGCTTTTCCTGACCCCCTCGCTGGTCGAACAGATTCGACTGTATTCATGTTGCTCGAGAGGGAAGCCAAAAGATGGAGGAATCGAGACGGTCCATCTTGGCTGGCCGTGCTGGTCCTGGAATATCAAGGGAGTTGGGTGATCGGGAATTGGTGCTCCGTTGATGAGATCGATCTGCTTGTCGGCATTGGCGAAGACAGCATCAAATCGGAAATCGCTGGTCAATAGAGGAGCAAGACTATAGCAGATCAAGACGACAGCCAGAACACAGAGCATGACGACTGTACGCCAGCGGGATGTCTTTTGCCAGCCACCAAAGAAGCCATGATGGTTTTCGCGTGCGTGTTTGAGTAGAGGCGAAGGTAGAGGGTCGCTATCTTCTCTCGCGGGGATCCAAAGAAATTTCCCCTTCTCAGCGCTGTCATGGGCGTGATCGGCAACGACGGGCGATGTATGGGCTGACGCAAAGGACCCCGTCGACGAGATAGACAGATTAGTGTTCCTGCGGTCACGCATTCTGCCTGAGTGGAGGCCGAGTTGCATGAACTGTATTTCACTATGCTCTAGGAGATGCTGAACAAGTTTGGGACAGTCCAGTCAGAGAGGAATATCAAAGACCAGTCGTGCAACCCAATGCTGACATGTGTGAGATGAGGTGCAGGTTGGGTGTGATCTCGGCTGTCAGATTGCTGCCGTACCACAAAAAGTACCAGAGTCGCGCAAAGAATCGCTCAACAGGGGAAAACAAAAAGAACTCGAGCTTAGACGGAAGAGAGAAGCGACCAAAGACAGTTAGAAGAACCCGCTTCTGACTGGATACTGAGAAGAGACGGGCTTCCAGAGCCACGAACGATGCAGATCGCAGAAAGTTGGGGATGCAGAGTGGAAGAAAAGAAAGACCGACGAAAAGAGCACGACTCGCCCATCGGCAGGAGGTGCATATATGCAGCATCGTTATCCACCCAGAATGCCCCTCTTGTCTGTGCGGTGGCCAGCACCTCTGACCAACCATCCCTGTTTGCTTTGACTTTGCTACACGACGCGACAGGATACGAGACGGGCTCATCAAACCTGCGGACGCCAATCCCAATGTCCATGTGTGGCAGCTTCAGATAGCCGTTTGCGCCATAGGGCTTACTCTCAAGTCGAACGAACGACCTGTCAACCCCATCGTCAGATATCTACGTTGTGGCAGACGGGTGTGAGAGAAAGAGTGAAGCCGGCGACATGAAACGAGCCTAGACTGAAAACCGACAGAGTCGCCGCGGGCCCGTCCGCCTTACCGCACCAGCCACCTTCCTGCAAGCATTCGACGTTCCCAGCCTAGATTTCAAGAGTTACTTCCATCCTCCGCGGACACACATCATTCTGACACTAGCTAGCAGCTGCCGTTGATGGCTCTGTACCTACTCACTGCTCATAGAATGCTACCAGTATGATAGTACGTTGTGCTTCTCTTGGGCTCAAAAGCTCACCAAGGTGATTGAGAGACTCGCTACAACCGAGGCAGCATGACTCGGATTTTTATGTTACATGTCGTCAAGGCGCGTCTGCTTCATAGTGGAGTCGCGGAACGAGAGTGTCGTGCGGCTGTGCTTGCGGATCTCAAGGCGAGCCTCAAGGCCCAATCACAGCGCTCTAGACTACGGATATCTTGATGTATCTCGTACTCACGAACGTTGCCCAGCTGGCAAATGTGCCGTGATACATCCGGGTCAGCAGAGAGCCTCGTAGACTTGAACAGCCAGCACTCAAAAGGGAGAGCACGAGAAACTCGTGAGTGTTGTGCTCGCTAACAATGATCAGAGCTTGGGTTGTGTTATACAGTAGATCTCATGGTCGTCCGAGCAGATCTGATCAATCTTAGGGTTACGCATCTGGTTTATTTAAAAGTCTTTGTCGACAGCCCTCTGCAGGTCATCTTAGAGTGGCCGCAGAACCTGGTCATACCAGCTTTGCATAGCAGATCTAAGCGAGATGCAATATCACCTAGAAATCGAGAAAGAATCCATAACTATCACTCGCCGACCGCAGGATTGCAATTCAACCCTTCATCCTCGGCTAAACGTGCAGGTCCACCATTCTGCCTTCGAGTGCAGGAGTGTGACCAGGGTCCCCCTGTCAGACTGATAAAATGATCAAAAGATGCGTGATTTGGAGAAGCAGAGCGATTGAGCTAACTTAGTAGTGATGTTCAAGAGGACCAGCATCACTCTGCAGTACGAATGACTTACCGTAACACAGTCGCTGGTTGGTGGCTGCAGTGTCATTTTTCTGTTTGGGAAGTTGTTCTGTGGGATCTGACACCTGAGTTTGAGACACAGAAACAGGTTGTGATACAACCACTCAGTCAGATGCGTGTAGACTGAAATCAAGCAGAAAGAGTAAGAACAGCATCTGAGCCCTGAATACGCCAGAGAGCAGAGTATTTCTACAACTTGAACATGTTGATGGATCATGGATGAGCATAAGGTGCTAGGGCAAGGCTGGCAGGGCTTCGGTAAGTCGGGCCGTGCGCCGGAGATTAGCCCATTGGTCAAATGGCAGCTCTGCATGTGAAGCAAGCAGACACTTTGAGTGACCAACGCGTAAGCCAACTTGCAAGGCGCAAAGCGTTCATCCCCGTTAGCTACTCGACTTTACCGCATCGCAATCGTTCCTCGCACACAGCCTACTCCAGCGGCCTACGATCGCGCCATCTACACGATCCTGGCAAAGCCGAAGCATCGTACGGCAAAGCACGCTTAGCAATGACCGACTACGGCTACGGCATGGGCGACGAGGAGCTGGCCGAAATCAGAAAGCTCGAAGCCGAAGTGCAAGCCAGTCCAGACGAGTTCGAGAACTGGGAAAAGTTAGTGCGCGCGGTAGAAGGTCTCGAAGGCGGCTTGAACAGAAACTCGAGTCCCCAGGCCATCACGGCGGCCAGAAGCATCCACGACCGCTTTCTTGCAAAGTTCCCGCTGTTCTTTGGATACTGGAAGAAGTATGCCGACCTGGAGTTTGCCATTGCTGGCACCGAGGCGGCCGAGATGGTCAGTCAAGACGCCCTATCACCACGACAATACGCATTACTAACTTCAGCGCCAGGTCTACGAACGCGGTGTGGCCAGTATTGGCATCTCGGTCGACCTATGGGCCAACTACTGCAGTTTCAAGGTCGAGACGACGCACGACGACACCATCATTCGAGAGTAAGTCCGCGCTGCCCCTCATATCTGCATGACCTTCGCACAGACGACGTCTACCCGACTTTGGAACTTCTCGCTTCGTACCACAGACAAGACTTGTCGAAGACGGGTGAGATTCCACCGAGACTCTCCCCATAGCATACTCTTCTCACACACAGCGCTCAGACTCCCATCACATGTCCAAACTCGAGCCTTGTCACATTCTTCTCTCACTGGTGCTTGGTGCATCAGACCTTGTTCACCACGTCCAACGGCCTCAGGAGGTCCACGGGACTATATGCCTTGTTTGGTTTCCCCCTTCCCCCTTCTGCTTCCCTTTCCCTGCCATACACGAGGCATGCATCGGCTAACAAACCTAGGTTGTTTGAAAGAGGTGCTTCATGTGTCGGACTGGACTTCCTAGCCCATCCCTTCTGGGACAAGTACATTGAGTTCGAAGAGCGACTCGAGGCCCAGGACAACGTCTTTGACATTCTCGGTCGCATCATCAACATCCCCATGCACCAGTATGCTCGCTACTTTGAAAAGTACCGCCAACTGGCAGCCTCCCGCCCCTTGACCGAACTCGCTCCCGCAAACCTCCTCAGCCAGTTCACCGCCGAGCTCGAGCCTGAGACCAAGGGCAAGAGCCAGATTGAAGTCGAACGTGCAATGCGCGCTCGTCTAGACACATATCACCTCGAACTCTTCCACAACACTCAAACCGAGACCACCAAGCGCTGGACCTACGAACAAGAAATCAAGCGTCCCTACTTCCACGTTACCGAACTCGACGAAGCGCAGCTCGAGAACTGGTCAAAGTACCTCGACTTCGAAGAGACCGAGGCCGACTATACCCGCACATCTTTCCTTTACGAGCGTTGTGTCGTCACCTGTGCTCACTACGACGAATTCTGGCAGAGATACGCTCGCTGGATGTACAACCAGGACGGCAAAGAGGAGGAAGTTCGCAACATTTTCCAGCGTGCCAGCTGCATCTATACTCCCATCGCCAGACCTGCCGTTCGTCTCCACTGGGCACTCTTTGAAGAAGCCTGCGGTAGACCGTCTGTTGCTGCTGCAATTTACGAAGCCATTCTTGTCACCTTGCCTGGCAACCTTGAGGCCATCACTCGCCTGGCCAATCTTCAACGTCGTCAAGTCGATTACGATGCAGCTGTCCAGATCTATGATCAATACGTCGCCGACGCCGAGTGCTCGATTGATGACAAGGGTGCACTTGTCGTTGAGATGGCCCGCTTGACCTGGAAATCAAAGGGCGATGCTGTCGAAGCACGCGATATTCTGTCACGCCAACAGCACATCTTCCTCGATAGCCCATCCTTCTGGTTAGGCTATCTAAGCTTCGAGATCGACCAGCCAACGACTTTGGACACTGCAGCCGAACAAGCCGAGCGCGTCAAGGCGCTTCATAGCACCATTCGCCACAAGACCCGCCTGAACGTTGATGCCATCAGGGATCTTTCTCAGAGATACATGGTTTACCTGACCGAGAAGCAGAGCAAACTCGCAGCCAGAGAGTACCTCGAGTTGGACATGCAAGTCAATGGCCCTGCATCGATCGCCGCAGCTGTAAACGCTACTGGCGCCAAAGGAGTGGCTGCTTAGAAAGCTCTCAAATTGCCCTTCCTACGGAGATACATGAGTAACAACATTCAAGCACATGCCGAAGTCATGTCGACAATTAACCTGACCTGAAGTGGCTTTCAACCAGCCATCTCAAGCCAATTATTGTGTCGTGTGGTGCTTGGCGTTCTGTACGTGGATCTACCACAGGCAATTCGATTGACCTTTGCTCGCTCAAATATGTAGCAGGGGAATCGACAAAGCGGCGGGAAAACAGAAAGAAGACATGAACCGCATTTCGAACTGGCAACTGATAAAGCCCTCAGAGTTTATAGCATTCAAAAGTAAATAACGAAGAACCCACTACTCTTTCCCTGAATTCCTCCTCACGACCATTTGACAATAGCACTCCTGATTGATGGTTGGAGATTACCTTGTATTGAAGCACACACCATGTGACGCGATAAGAGCTCATGTGGGAAAGTACTGGAAGGTTATCGCCTGTATCTTATCTCGTCGAGCTCGCCGCCTTGCCGATCATATCAACATACTTCAAAAAGGCAGCCGATCCATGCCCTCGTTGATACATATCCAAGAATTCGTTTTAGCCATTGGTGCATGCACTGCAAATCGCGCCCCTCACTGACCCCGCCCGCAGTAGGTAGGGTTATTGTACTCGAGTATAAATGTCCCACGACCGCACGCGAGTGTTTCTCGCATCTTCATTCTCACGTTCTGTGTTGTCCGTTGGGCTGTTGTCTGGTTTAGTCGTCATCTGCGTGGCCATTATGCTGTTTTCTCCCTGGGTTGACACTATTGCTTGTCTGCTAGCATTTGGAGTGTCCGACATTGGTGCCACTGTTCTCAGACAAGGATACGCTCATCATGGCCTTCCCCCACCTTCCGAGGTGCCTTACACTGGACATCATGGCGCCAATACAACAAGGTTGCATGGAGGTGTTGCTTCCGAGAGCACTATCTGCTCAGGAATTGGACGCGATCTGCTGCTGAAAGGTGGTACAGCTGCTGACGCAATGGTTGGAACCACCTTCTGCGTTGGTGTGATTGGCATGTATCATTCTGGGATAGGCGGCGGTGGTTTCATGCTGGTCAGAGGCGCCGACGGAGAGTACGAATTCATTGACTTTCGGGAATCGGCGCCTGCAGCCGCGTTCCAGGACATGTACAAGAACAACACGGATGCGAGTATCTATGGAGGCTTAGCAAGGTATGCCTCGCATGATCGACCGAGGTCAAGCAAACAGCACGTACTGATGTCTGAGTAGTGGTATTCCTGGCGAAGTCCGCGGACTAGCTCATTTGCACCAAAAGTATGGCAAACTGCCGTGGAAAGAGGTTATGCAGGGCGCGATCAAGACCGCTCGCTATGGTTTCCCAGTCACAGCTGACCTAGTCCGCTATATGGCTTCTGCCACGGCAGGCGCGACGTCCAATTTCCTCGTTGACGACCCGAATTGGGCCATCGATTTTGCACCCAATGGCACTCTGCTGCGGCTCAACGATACTATCACCCGTCAGCGCTATGCTTCCACCCTGGAGGCCATCGCAGAGCGCGGACCCGACGCTTTCTACACTGGCCCCATCGCCGAAGCCATGATTGACACGCTGCAAGCAGCCAACGGAACAATGACCATGGAGGACTTGAAGAACTACACAGTTGCAATCCGGGACCCTGTCGAAATTGATTACAGAGGGTACAAACTGAAGAGTGTGAGTGCGCCAGCCTCGGGCGGTGTGGTGCTAGCCATCATGAAAACATTAGAAGGATACAACACAATGGGCGATGAAGCATATCTGAATCTCAGCACCCATCACCTTGATGAAGCAACACGCTTCGGATACGGCTTTCGTGCTTCGATGGGAGATCCGTTGTTCGTTGAAGGCATGGATGAATACCAGGCCGAGATTATCAACGCAACGACCGCGGCAAATATCCGTCACCTCATATCAGACACGCATACTCTCAACGTATCGTCCTACGACCCCAAGAACTTGGAGATCATGGAGACTCCTGGTACCTCTCACGTGGTGACTGCTGACAGCTCCGGCATGGCAATTTCACTCACCACGACAGTCAACCTTCTGTTTGGCAGTCAGCTCATCGTTCCCTCAACAGGAGTAATCATGAACAACGAGATGAACGACTTTTCGATCCCTGGAACCAAAAACGCCTTCGGTCTTGTGCCCTCAGAAAGCAATTTTGTGCGTCCTGGGAAGAGACCGATGTCCTCCATCTCTTGCACGATCGCAGAATACCCCGACGGCTCTCTCTACTTTGTCACAGGATCTGCAGGAGGTAGTAGAATCATCACGGCGACCTTGCAGACACTATGGCATGTTTTGGACCAGAACATGACTTCTGCCGAAGCGTTGGCAGCGCCACGTCTGCATGATCAGCTGTCTCCTAATTATGTGAGCTTTGAGTATGCATACGACAACCAGACGGTAGATTATATGAAGAGCTTGGGTCACAATGTCACCTGGGTAGCTCCAGGACAGAGCACAGCACAATGTCTGCGAGTGCTGAGTAACGGCACTTTTGATGTTGCTAGTGAGCCTCGTCAGTTGAACACGGGTGCATACGCTGTATAATCGTAAAACGCTTGTATATATCTATTCGTTCGTAGTGCAAATAGCGTGAATTTAATCAATGATCTAGAGAAGACTTCTGTGAGCGCCGATTGCTCGATCGTGGTGCATGTGTTGAGGAAGGATTGTCGGTTAAGGGATGCAATCGATTGCTCGGATCTCGTATTAGATATCCCGATCAACGAGCCACAAACCGGATTGTGGCTCAACAAGATGTTCCTGAGGCACCGCCAAGCTCGAGTTAAGGTGCCGAGCAAAGGGGAGCCGTGAGTTCCTGCATGGCGATCTTGGTAGACACGACGTCATGCAGGCTTTTTAGCGCGAGACTCTTGGAGGGAACTTGGTTCGACGCGAATCATTTTGATGAGCATGTACTAGAAAGAAAATGTCGCGCGTCATTCTCTATGTAATGGCACAACCAGGTTTCAGGTGGCTGGTACTGAGGTAGGTGCTCCTAGTGGTATAAGTACCAATGGTCATCTAGACCCTGTTCTCCATCCAGTAGAAGCTTGTTCCTATCGTCCATCTCGAGATCGCCCTTACAGCAAGCAAAATGCATTCCGTCACAGCATCTCTCCTCCTCTCGGCGTCGGCCTTGACGGCTGCAAAGTACACGTTCGACCCCCTGGAGCACATGTCAGGCATCGCGCCCTACTTCGAGCCCCAAGACCCAACAAGCAACTTCGACCCTGCACCACCTCAGGGCTGCAACGTCACCAGGGCCACGTACCTCGTCCGTCACGCTGCCATCTACGCCAACGACTTCGACTACGAATCCTACATCGAGCCTTTTGTCAAGAAGCTCGAAGCAAGCCAAGGCAACAGCTCCATCGACTGGGACCGCTCGCACGCTCTGTCCTTCCTGACCACCTGGACAAGTCCCATCGAGGATGAAGACATTGAGAAGTTGTCCAAGGTCGGCAGCCTGGAAGCCATGAAGCTGGGCGTCGACGTCTACGAGCGCTACCAACACTTCAAGCAGCCCACCAAGGTCTGGACCAGCTCTGCCGAGCGCACTCTGCTCAGTGCCGAGAGCTTCGTCGAGGGCCTTGCCATCAAAGAGAACGAGACGGAGATTGTGCAGATTGGCGAATACAAGAAGACTGGCGCAGACTCGTTGACCCCCTACAAGGCCTGTCCCGCCTACTCGGGCAGCAGAGGAAGTGACCAGGCCATGGTCTTCCAGAACATGTACACTGCTCCCATCATCTCGCGCTTCCGTCATGAGGTCCCCACCTTCAACTGGACCGCCTCAGACATCTACGGCATGCAGCAGCTCTGCGGCTACGAGACTGTGATCCGTGGCGACTCGCCCTTCTGCTCTCTGGACCTGTTCAGCCCCAACGAGTGGCTCCAGTTCGAGTACACCAACGACATCATGTACCACCACAACACTGGCTACGGCAACCCTGCCTCGGGCGCCATTGGCTTCCCTTGGGTCAAGGCCTCTGCCGACCTTTTGACCTCCCAGAACGCTAGCCAGGATCTCTACGTCTCTTTCACCCACAGAGAGCTTCCTCCCACTGTTCTCGTCGCTCTTGGTCTCTTCAACAACACTGCCTACTCTGCTTCTGACGATGTTAATGCCACAATGCCTTCAGACGGCATCAACCCTCAGCGCGTCTGGCAGAGCAGCAACTTCATGTCCTTCTTGACCAACATCGCCATTGAGCGCATGGAGTGCGACAGCTTCGGCTTCCAGGACAACGCAAACCAGACTGGCGAATACTATCGTATTCTGGTCAACAAGAACCCCAAGCTCCTGCAGGAATGTACCGATGGCCCTGGAATGAGCTGTTCCAGAGAGAGCTTCTTGAAGTTTATCGATGAGAAGACTCAGAGATTCTCAAACTTCTCCGAGGAGTGCGGTGTCACCTACAGCAATTCGACTGATGCGCTGACCATTTACAACAACTGATGAGTGCTGAAAAATGTTCTTATATACACATGATGAAATAATGTTTTAATCTCAACTACTCTTTCTCTATCGTGCCTTCCGTAAATATAGAGTTGTTTGTCCATCCCTGGCCTGGTGGCTGGGTTAAATCGATTGTGGCGCACACGCGTCCTTCCTGCAAACTATTCCACCTGTCTTTTTGGTCCTCAACCTGGCGTCTTGGGTTGCGTTACACCAATTCCCATCATGCGCATAACCCTGCGACTCGCTCTCCGCTTTCTTGGAGTCATTGCATTCGTCGCCATTGTCATATTTTCGTTCTCACAATCAAACATTGCATACAAAGCTTTGAGTGATCGTCTTCCAACCTACACAGCTCCCTCGACAATATCAAAAACACCAACCATCAATACTACACAATCAGTCAACTCTGTTCGGGAATTGTGGGCTGTGTGGGCGCAGGTCTACAAGGACGCTCGGCCCGATGCTGCGAAGGTTGAGTTGGTTTTCAATGCAGCCAATCTGCCTGTCTCTCCGGATAACAACTCACCCCGGACTCAGCACAGGGAGCATCTTCAGGCACTCGACTCCATACCTGCACTACAGACCGCTCATGGCAATTTCACATCACTATTGCAATCATGGCCCGAGAATCTCGCTGATAACATCTTCAACGGTACGGGTGTCGTGGTTGTAGGTGGAGGAGAGTACTTTGGTCCAGCAATTATCGGTATACACATGCTGCGACGGAGTGGCAGTGACCTGCCCGTACAAGTCTTTGTGACAGACAAGTCTGAGTACGAGGACAGGTTGTGTAAAGACTATCTACCCAAGCTCGGTGCAGAGTGTCTCATACTCGCTGACTTTATTCAAGACTTCGAAGTGACGCACTATCAGCTCAAATCTTTGGCAATGTTGTTGAGCTCGTTCGAGCATGTCTTGTACCTGGACAGCGATAGCATACCTCTCCTCAACCCTGAAACAGAGCTCTTCGCAAAAGAGCCATACGTTTCCACTGGACTGGTCATATGGCCCGACTTCTGGATCTCTACAGAGTCTCCTTCCTTCTATACTGTCGTGGCTTTCGACGAAATGCCATCTAATCTACCCAGCGCATCCTCTGAAGCAGGCCAACTTCTCATCAACAAGCGGACACATCTCAAGACTCTGTTGCTGGCAGTCTACTACAACATCTATGGACCTCAGTTCTACTACCCGCTACTCAGCCAAGGCGCGCTCGGTCAAGGAGACAAAGAAACATTCATGGCCGCCGCGATGGTGCTAGATGCTCCCTACTACCGCGTCAAAACGGGTGTCAAGGCGATTGGGCGTAAAGACGGCATCGAAAAGAAAGGTAGTGGCATGATACAAGTCGATCCTTTTGTCGACTTTCAGAAGCAGGGTGGAGACAAATCTGATCAACCAAGAGCGGCATTTATCCATGCCAACACCCCAAAGATGAATGCTGGCCACCTAGTCGATGAAGGTGATCTCTTTACTGTCACTGACCACAAGCCGTTGCGGTTGTGGGGCTCTCGAGAAGAGCAGATCAAAGAGTTCGGTCTAGACCTCGAGAAAACAATATGGGAGTTGGTTTTACAAACGGGTTGCGAGCTGGCTGACGTGATCCGAGAGTGGTCGGATCGCAAGGACCTATGTCATCGTTTGAACGAACACTGGGATGCCGTGTTCAAGGGCGTCTGATCTGTTTTCGGTTGGAGCTTTTCTCAGCATATCATATGCGAGAGGTGTTGCCATTCTGACGAGATGGCAGATGGTTGTTTATGAGTGTCTCTGGCTTCGGCAGCTCGCTTGCTGTTCGCGACCAGAGCAGAACTGATCTGGCTGCCATTTGAGACACCAAGCTGTTGGGTTATCCAGTCTCCAATATGGGCAAGCTTGGTCAATTCCACTCCGGTGTTAACACCCATGTTCTCGAAGAGCCACACAACATCCTCCGTCGCGACATTTCCTTTGGCTCCAGGACTGTATGGACAACCTCCTAGACCACCCACACTGCTATCGAATGCTCTTATGCCCATTCGGTATGCTTCCTTGACGTTGACAATCGCTTGGCCGAAAGAGTCATGGAAATGACCGGCGAGCTTGGCGGCTGGTATCTCTCTCAATAAGGTCTCCAGTAGTCGACGGATGTCTGTTGGTGTTGCTGTTCCTGTTGTGTCTCCCAGACTGATCTCGAAGCAACCCATCTCCAGCATTTTCTTTGCCATTCTGAGCACTACCAAAGGCGACGTTCTACCGTCGTATGGACAGTCAATCACGCAAGACAAGTATCTTTGACATGTCAGCAACTGTTCTAGGAGACCATGATTCGACATACCCTCTGACGCGGACGTTCTGTTCCCGGGCTCGATCAACAACGGCTCGTGCTCTCTCAAGCGATTCCTCCACACTGCAGTTGATGTTGTTGCGGCTGAAACCTTCTGTGGCCGAGAGAAAGATACCAATTTCCTGAACATCGAGCGCCAATGCTGCTCCCAGGCCTTTCAGATTTGGTATCAGCACAGGGAATGATATGTCGCCCTTGGCAACGGACAGTTTCATGCTCTCCATCACAGTCTTTGCATCTGATAATTGAGGAACCCATTTTGGTGACACGAACGACGTAGCTTCGATAGTCCGCAAGCCGGTCTGAGCGAGTCTGTTGATCAGCTCGATCTTTGTCGCAGTGGGTACTACATCTTTGATGTTTTGTAGGCCTGTGAGAACCTGTTATCTACAAGTGCTTCGAATATGAGAAGCCGAGCGACTTGCCATCTCGCGGACCGACTTCGACGATGCGAACAGTATCCCCTGGCATATTGAACAGTCGAGATTAATGATTCACGGTGCAGAAAGGAACGCTCTGCTCTCGGAGAGACTGGCTCTCCACCTTATACGGCGGACTCTCAGAAGGCCGAGACATCACGTCAAGCCAACATTACTCATCTCAAGTCGGTATATAGCAACACTTCGGCAATGACGCAGTTTCCGAGGCTTTTCGCTCTCCCCACACCATATCCGAGAACCGCACCCCTCCATCCGGGGGCATCTCAGAGGCTCTTGGCATATCGGCGGACCTCGGCTTTGCCAGCAGTTATGGATTTGGTACTTGTAGCAGATTTCACATGTTCGTCTGACCATAAGCAAAGAAACATACAGTCATGGATTATGCGAGTTGATAGGAATAGCTAGATGTGGTGTTGGATATTCTCATTGGTCGCCTATTGATTGCCGAAGAGGTGGATTTGCAGGACCCGTCATAGTTCATCTTTAATCAACTTGTCGTTTGCATCGGTGATGATGGAGACGATTGGATAGTTGTGAGAGTGCCGGCGATAACGGAGACAATGTAGAAGGTTGAATGGATTTTGAGACGATGAATCAACTCAGCTCAGACCAAAAACAACATGGTAGAATGAGAAGATGCATTAACGTCGTCCCTCTCAGTACCGAATGAACTCTACACGACTGCACAAATCAGCACGAGAGCGGCATGGCCCGTTCGATACAAGAAGTTTTATAGCAGCGTGAAGACACACAGCTACATAGATCAGATCAAGCACTATACAGGCGAAGAGATGGGCTTTCTGTCGGCACAGAGAAATCGCAAGTTCTTGCAAGGTGCTTCAGACTGCCCTTAGGAGACTTTTCCAGTGATGAAAGAAATAGTATGCATTGCCAAGACTCGACAGTAATATCTATCTAGATGGTCGATTGAGTCTCGGCGAGAAGGTCTACCGCGAGGCAGTTTGTAGAGTAGTGGAGTAGGCGCAGTCAATCCAGGATAGGAAGGTCTTGACGGATTGTATGGGGAAAGCTTTCGATAGACGGGACGTAACACGTCGATGGCCCATGCGAACGGCTTGAGCGCCACGAGAGAAGCGGCGGGCCTTGAGGTTCGATTCTCTCTCAGTCGCTACTCGGTCTCTCGGTAAACCAGTCACTCCTTCCTCGTTGTAGCTTCCATCGAAAGAGAGTTGTTGTGGAGAAAGACGGAGCATCTGCGCGGTACCTGCCTCATCTGCACCAAGCCGCTCAAAAGTCATAGCGGCGCGTCTCGACACGGGATCCGCCTCGTTCAGCAACGACCCGCGTGCCACTCGTGCCTGCCTGCTCTTGCAAGGAGAGTCTTTGTGCCTGCTCCTACGATAAGAGTGTTCGCGCCCGCTCCTAGAATGAAGTTGTTCTGGCTGGCCGCCGCTGGCCTGCTGTCTTCAGCAACGGCCTACAAGACCAACCAATACCACTCATCCTTCTCCAACTCGCTATCCTCTTCGACGCCCTTCTCGATATACGGGGACCGACCAGACGACTGCCCGCCATGCTTTAATTGCAACCTGGACGGCTTCCAATGCCACCAATACGCCAACTGCACCCAGTCGAGCGGCAAATGCGCATGTCCCTCAGGCTTCGGTGGTGAGGACTGCTCCCAGCCACTGTGCGGCTCGCTGGCCGACGGGCACAACAGACTGCCGCGCCAGGGCCACGATTGCGAGTGTAAAGAGGGCTGGGAGGGCATAAACTGCAACGTCTGCAAGACAAACGACGCCTGTAATGCCATGATGCCCGAGGGCGAGGGTGGCGTTTGTTATCGCGAGGGCCTGGTCGTCAACGAGAACTACCAAATGTGCGACATCACCAACCGCAAGATCCTCGATCAGCTCAAGGAGAAGAAGCCTCAGGCCACCTTCTCCTGCAACGCCGATCGCAAAGAGTGCAACTTTCAGTGTATGTTTCCCCCCTCTGAAGCCTGTCCGAGCCCGCACTGACCGAATCTAGTCTGGGTCGATCAGAAGGAGTCTTTCTACTGCGCCCTCGATACTTGTACCTGGTCCTCCAAAGCCGAACCCAACCGCAACTCGACGTCGTACCATTGCGAGAACATCAAATGCCGCTGCATCCCCGGTCGCATGCTCTGTGGCGAGGCCGACTCGATTGACATTGGAGACTTTCTGGAAGAAGACATCAAGGGTCCTGCTAGCTTCACATCTGTCTCGACCGAAGGCGGTAGCGCTTCGGATGGCAGCAAGTTCTCGGAACCTGCCATGAACGATCTCATTTCCAATGTTTTCGGAGACGACAGTATCACGCTCAAGTGCCACTCTGGAGAGTGTCTGTACGTCACAGATGTCCCTGGCTATGAAAGACCTGTCAAGAAAATCAACACACCGCTCATTGCCGGCGTCATCGCTGGCTGTGCTCTGTTCGTTGTCGCTGTCATCCTCATTGTCTGGTTCCTCTCGCGCAGAAAGACAAAGTACGGTCCTATCCACCTCTCTGACGACGAGGACGACCTGAACGCTGCTCTCCTCGCCGACCACAAACCCGCCAGTCTCTTTTTCGAAAATGTCTCGTATGCTCTCAAGGGCAAGCAAATCCTCACAGACATTCAAGGTGCCGTTCATCCTGGCCAGCTCATGGCTATTATGGGTGCTTCGGGTGCTGGCAAAACCACCTTCCTCGATATTCTGGCCAGAAAGAACAAGCGCGGTACCGTCATCGGCAACTTCTTGATCAACGGAGAGAAAATTCCAGACAACGAGTTCAGAAGCGTCATTGGCTTTGTCGATCAGGATGATACCATGCTCCCTACTCTGACTGTCCACGAGACCATTCTCGATAGCGCCATGCTCCGTCTGCCCAAGGAGATGAGCTTCGCTTCCAAGCTGCAGAAGGTTGAAGATGTTGAAAGACAACTCGGTATTCACCACATCCGTGACCAGCTCATCGGATCGGAAGAAGGCAACGGCCGCGGTATCTCTGGCGGAGAGAAACGCAGAGTCGGTATCGCTTGCGAGCTTGTCACCAGCCCCAGTATCCTCTTCCTAGACGAGCCCACCAGTGGTCTCGATGCCTTCAACGCTTTCAACGTTGTCGAATGTCTTGTTCACCTCGTCAAGACGTACAACAGAACCGTCGTCTTCACCATCCATCAGCCTCGCTCCAACATTGTTGCACTTTTCGACCAGTTGGTTCTTCTCGCCAAGGGCAGAACCGTCTACTCTGGTCCCTTCGGCAACTGCCAAGCCTACTTCGACAACATCGGCTACTCTTGTCCTCCTGGCTTCAATATTGCCGACTATCTTGTTGACTTGACAATGCACGCCAGCACTGTTCACCCACAGATCCCCGAGGACAGTTCTATTTTCCGCCAGCCCGTCGGACGCAGTACCCGTGCAAGCAGCGCTGTTGCTGTAAAGTCAATCCCAAGTGTTTCCAACTTCAGTGTCGAGCAGGGAGGTTCCATCACATCCGATTCTCCTCTCAGACCCAAGAACAGCCGTACTGCTTCAATCAAGCAGCAGCAAGACAAAGTGCTCTTCACAAGGAAGCAGGCATCACGAGACCCGCCTGCAACTGCAAGCACCATCCGCTCCGACGCTTCCTCTTTGGAGAACAGCTTCGACAACACTCAGCAATGGCTCAAAATGAGAGGAGTAAACCAAGCTCACGACGATCCTAATGGTCTTCCTCCCAATGCCGAAGAGGTGACAAGTACAGATCTCGACAATCTCGTTCAGGCTTTTGCCGAGTCTGACGTTGCTGCTGCTCTCAAGGATGATATCCAAAATGCCGTCTCTGAAGCAGCTCATTCGAATGGTCAAGCTAATGGTGCGGCTAACGGCGGCTCTGCTCAGCCTACTGTCAAGGGTTACCGCAAGACTGGCATTCTTGGCCAATTCGTTATCCTGTCCAAGCGCACATGGCGCAACCTTTACCGCAACCCTCTGTTGATGCTAACCCACTACGCCATTGCCATCTTGCTCGCTGTCTTCCTCGGGTTCCTCTTCTATGGCCTGACTGATGACCTCAAGGGTTTCCAAAATCGTCTTGGCTTCTTCTTCTTCCTGCTTGCCCTGTTCGCTTTCAGTACCCTCACCTCTTTGACTGTGTTCGCTCCTGAACGTCTCTTGTTCGTCAGAGAGCGCGCCAAAGGATACTACTCTCCTCTGGCTTACTACGCATCCAAGGTTGTCTTCGACATCGTCCCTCTTAGGCTCATCCCTCCTGTCATCATGGCCGTTATTGTGTATCCCATGACTGGTCTTTTGCCTACTGCTGCTGAATTCTGGAAGTTTATGCTGTTTGTGGTTCTCTTCAACCTTGCAGCTGCTACAGTATGCTTGTGCATCGGCATTGTCATCAAGAACCAGGGTGTCGCCAATCTTGTCGGTGTTCTTGTCATGCTGTTCAGCTTGCTCTTTGGCGGCTTCTTGCTCAATCACGAGACCATTCCCAAGGGTCTTCGTTGGTTGCAATCAGTGAGTTCTCGCGTCAATCCTGTGCATTGTAACACCACTGACCCCTCACAGATTTCCATCTTCCATTACGGTTTCGAAGGTCTAATCGTCAACGAAGTGCGCTACCTTTCGCTCATTGACCACAAGTATGGTCTTGACATCGAAGTACCTGGATCGGCCATTCTCAGCTCCTTTGGCTTCAATGTTTTGGCGCTCTGGAGTGACGCCGTCGGTCTTGCGGTCTTCTGCGGCGTGTTCCTGGTGTTGGGATATGTGGCAATGCATTTCTTGCTCGTAGAGAGAAGGTAGTGTAATGTCTAGTGTCTTGGTCGTGTACGAGCTTTGGGATAGACTTTTCTTGTTGATTCTTGCGCATCATTCGTTGTTGGTAGGCGGTCTGTTGTGTATCTAGATGTTCCATTCTTCGATGTTCCTACAGCAGGCTTTCATAGCCGTCTCGTCTCTGTCGCACGTAAAGTGGGTTTGAATGTGTTACTGAGTTATCAAAGACAGCTAATCAGTGACTGCCGCCGAGGCGAAGACTTCGCATCCAGTAAGCTACCGACAGTTCAAGTCGAGTCGTTTCCGTAGTCCCTTCCTTTCTTCCAGCGCTCTTGCCCCTTACTTCTTCCTGGTGAGAGATGCAAAATGACGTGTCTTGTGCAGTACCGCTGCCTTGGGTCGTGCTATAGGCAGTAGCGCTTGACAGCACATGCATCAGCTTGCAATATAAGCCACCTTTTGGGCGTCAATTCTTAGCTTCGTCACTATTCTTCATCTCCAGCATTCCTTCTGCTCTCGTCACCATCGTTGGGTGCGTCTTCAATCATATCTATCATCTGCAGTGACCTTACCTCTGTATCGATCTTGCTGATTTCGACATCTTTCACTCCTTGCCAAATTATCCGTGTCACTCGCTGGCATCTACTATCTGCTTCACAAAGACCACGACTTTCAATATTCTCGAGCACTTCATTACCCAAAACACGCGCAAGACAGGCGTATCTATGCTGTGCATGTGATTCATCACAAGCCTTTTCAGCAACATATATCTGCTCCCCTGTGCGCAAAACTTTACACCTCAGACCAGTCTACCATCTCACACGACCAGAAACTCACCAGGGCCTCGAAATCTCACGGTCCGACACTTCGAGGCAACACAGGCCGATTACTGGTTGCCCTAGAGGTTACAAGCATTCGGGTACACGACTTCTGCATCGACACCGATCATCCGATTGTTACCCAGTCACCAGGTACTTGACATTCGACAACTCCAGCAATCTCTGCTTGCGAATTGCATACACTCAAAGACGCCACCAAATCCGCAAGTAGATATCTCTCTCATCACCAATCGCTCAAATCTGATCAACAATGCCGGGCTCCCACGACCTGAGTGTTGAGAATCTGCGCTTACACGAGCACATTGTGGACTCACAGAAGCACACCCAACATGTTGTCAAAACAGTAACAACTGCCCCTACGGCACGTCACGGCGCGAGACCGCCTGCAAAGCCCGAGACCGTGGCCAGATCAAAAGCACCTTCCAAAGCTAGTTCACAAGCTGGATCAAAACGTGGAGAAGCCATCGAGTCATCAAAACACGAGAAGGAGGTCCTGATTATCACAGTCATTGAAGAAGGGGGTGATGAGGACCTTCCCCCAAAGGCGCCCTCCGTAGCCCACGCTTCCAGCAAGCACGAATCAAAGAAAGCACCTTCCGTAGAACCACCCGCGTCGCGCTCCTCTCACCACTCCCACCATAGTCACCGTCAGAGTAAAGACATCTTCCACATTCCCGCCGGTATTCCTCCGCCACCCGGCTTTGCGAGAATGCCTGACTTGCCTGTCATGCCTTCAATGGTGCCCGTGGCCGAGATCCCTGCATTCGACATGGGAGATCACAAAGAGATGGCTCTGATCATGATCCCACCTCCACCCGCCAGATCCGTTGCCTCTGGGGCCTCCAAACTGGTCGCTCAGAGGTATCCCGCATCGCACGTCAGTCATCGTAGCAAGAGCTCTCATGCCAGCAAGAAGAGTAGCAAGTCGAAGGCCCCCGTAAACAGCAGTAACGAGTCTGAACTGGTTGATGTGCTCGTTGAGGAAGTGCATGAGGTCACAAAGCGAAGGTATGTTGTGAAGATGCCTAGAGACAAAGCCAGGGATTTCAAGTTTGCCGATTGAGGGCTATTGAGGCCAGAGACAGAGAGACACGGGGTCAGTTTCTTCTTTGAGCATTCAGTAGCATGGGCATGAGGTTTGAGATTCGAGGCAGGAACCAGGGAGCACGGGAAAGATTCATCAGGGGAAGGACGAGGACGAGGGTTTGATTTTTGCTGCCATTCTGAAGGCATTCGAGTTGCCATCTCTTCCGGAGATCGGACGCTTTGAGCTAAAGCTGTTTTTTTCTCCTCAAAGCATGGACTTGGTATTTGCCACCGACTTTTGCTTACTTCATCGAGAGTAGTCTTTGTCAATAGTCGACAGAGATATGGAAAAGTTCGTTTCTCTCCGTATCAGCCGTGCATTGTGATGAATTGTACCAGAGAACGAACAGCCACTCTGTCACAAATTCTTCGCGCTTGGTATTTTACTCGTTCTCTGTAAGACTGTTTAGATTTGTTCCTCAATATCCTTGATTGTTGATCATCACTTCCTATCGTGTCTTCATCGGCTCTCCGTGGTCTTGACTACCATCTTCAAAGGACTGTGCATTTCGATGGCGTCAACCTCACATAGAGATGCATAATCCCTTTGGTAGATGGCAACCATCCGCAGAGAGTCGTAATGTTCTCAGTTGTCTACGGTCTTGTCTTGGCTACCATCTGGAAAGAACTGTACATTTTGATGGCGTCAACCCCGTCTGCGTGGAGTATCCGCAAAGAGTCACGATAATGTTAGCTCTCCTTGGTTTCGGCTACCATCTGGAAAGAACGTTGCTTTTTGATGGCTCGAGCTCCACCTGCGTGTTACCGTGAGAGCGAAGTGCGAGTGACATAACTTGGTACTGGAGGAGGCTGTGTCTGGTGATAGATGAGTTCAGCATGGCGTGTGGATGGAGAACAAAGTTGCAGAACGTAGAATCTGCGTGCCCTTGTTCATCATGGCAACAATCTCAGCCAGAACGTGGATGTATGACGAGACTTGACGGCTTCAGCTCTCCGAAGCGTCGTGCTCGGCCCATTGATATTTCAACATAGCCGCCGTCCTGTTGGTGCGGTATCCAAAGTGTTCACTGACGTGGTTACAGAATCGAAGCGCATGATCTCGCTGTAGTGGATCTGTGATGTGATGTCCGCCTTCCTCGTATTAGCAACTTTCTTCTACTCGAGAGCTACCGTTCTCTTACATGTGATTAGGATATGGCAAGCGGGAAAGTTTGCATCGTCAACCCAGGCGTTAGAGGAGGCGAGGCCGATGATGGAGCATATCGAGTCGTTCGCAGCTCTATGCCGGTCTTCTTGTGTAGTAGTGGATGTATCCTGTTGCAAGGTGCGGGGTTTGTACAGGTAGAGGTATACTTGGCAGATGTAGTAAAACTCGAGGGCGATGACTTCTCAAACAATCAGCGATGCGAATCTTGTGTGGAAGGGCCGGGAGTCTTCATGCCTTGCGGTGCATTGATCATGCTGATAATTGGAAATGGTTGATCGGGGTCCACATTTGCGTCTTGTTGGAATATAGGCTGAAATCCTTTCTTAGCATACCAATCACTGACAGCATCTTCAAGGCCTTGCCAAGTGGTGGAAAGACCGCTCAGATCTGTCGAATACAAATGTCGTAAGATCTTTGCCCATATCAGGATAATTTTGTAAGCCTTGCCACCAGGGTCTGCGCGCCTTTGGAATACACTCGAATGATCAAAGTCCTCGAGCCTGAATTTCGGAGCTTGCTTGCTCATCATGGCAATGAAAACGTCGTGTCTAAGAGCTATCCAAGCGGCTGCTTCTGCCAACCCTCCATCTTTCAGAAAATCGGGCATCGCGCTTGAGAGGGAAGCAAGTCCATCCAAGTGAAGAGCGCTAAAGGTCTCATGACTAAACAACTCGTAGAGTCTCAAGCAAACGACAGTTATCAGCAGGTTATCGCTGTGGCAGTCCTCTGGATGTGAAAGAGCCTGAATGACTAGTTTCAGGCATTTGCCGAGATAGTCCGAAGCTTCTTGCCAGTTGTTGTTCCCAAGTGACTGGTGCCGAGATGATGCTGCTAGTATCGCATAAAGCAGCATAGGAGACTTGGTGGCTCTTTGGGCCACTTCTTGGGCAAAACGTGGGACGTCTTGTAGTACGTCAAGCTGACACGGACATCAGTCGATTGTTGCTCATCCTCAGTACCATTAATGACTGCCTTACCCAAGGTGAGACCACGGAGATGAAATAATGAATGAGGATTGCTTCACGATGCGTAAGCGGCCGCATCGAAGATGTAGTGATATCTGTAGAACCAGAAGTGTGGGAACGAGAATCCTGATGCTCGAAAGATGTTATACTCGTGCCAGCCGGAGAAGCCTCTGCCTCTAGAGTTGTAGGTAATGATAGGATGGTTGATGATGATGCAGGCGTGGCAGACATGATCTGCTCAGGTGAATCGTGTATTTGCGGGGGTCTATGCTGTTGACGATTTAGAAGCTCTATGGCACTGTGTAGAGGTTCTGCCCAAGTAGATTCTGATGCTGCGTTCACCGACTCTGTGGGTCTGTTTGGGGCAGTATCTCTGTCGCTATGAGGATTCGGGAATTGCTCACTGGTGCATACCTCCTTTTCCGAAGCACCGATCGACTCGTCTTCTGTTGTTTGCACGATATTCTCCAGACCGTCGCCAGTCTCGAAGACAAAAGCTAGCTTCCAGTCTGTTGGAACCCATGGTTGCGATGGGCGATAGATGAAGTCGGTACGTTGTGCGGCTATCGTTGTGGACTTGCATAATTTGAACTGAGTTGTTTCAAAGATGCACTGCGATTTACCCAGAGTGCGGCATCGCGAACAAACTCGTTGGCCCGGGTCAGTCGTACATTTAGCATGCAGCGCTCGACAGGACAAGCATCTGCTTCTGTCGTTTGGCATTTTTCGATGGTTGTGGTGAAGCAAAAGATAGATGTTGAGGAGTTCGAGCAGTTTGTTCTCGAGTAGGGGCGAGCCTACCAGTTACGGAGGCCCGCTCCTTCTCGAGCTTTGCGCCCACCAAAACACATCAACATATCTTTCTCGTCTCTGGCCTTGAGGGTTCCTTCCCTTTCTTGCATCTCTCGCGCAGCCAGGCAAGAGACGGGTGGTTCAGATCAAACACCAAGCTTGAGTCATCCCAGAGTACCAATACAAATTGTTCGAATCTCTCCAGACGTTTCCGAGACATATTTCCACCACCGTTGGAAATGGTTCACAACGTTATGCCGCTCCAGCTATCCCTGCCTATATCACTCGCATCTTCGCTCACAGTGGCTAGCTGAGTCTCATGTAATCTCATATCAACAAGCCAGATCTGGTGTAGACCCGGATGTTTCACGACACAGTCAGATCACTACCTATCATGTACAGCGGAAGACGTTAGATCTCATGGCACATGGCATCACTGCTGAGAGCCGTTGGTGTACTTGAGACTTGTCCAGCACCCAGCACTCTAGGTCGCCTTGTCGTCCCAACAGGCCTGCATATTCTTTCAGCTGGATGTTGGATCAAGGAACGATATGCCGCTTCTCTTGGACATTTTGAAAACAACATAAATGGTAGGTAGGTACAGCGCAAAACTCCAGGGCTGTCCTTTCCATTCCATCGTAGCCAAAATGCTCGCCCATTCGTTCCTGCCTTTCCTCTTTTGCTTCCTTGCGCAACTAGTCAGCGTATCGTCCTCTCCGCTTGTAGTCGAACGCGCAGCTGCAACATGTTCTGCGAAGGATATCGCCACTGTCAAACGTACGACTCCGGACGCCGTCTACTTCTGTCAATGGTGGCAGCAAGAGTAAGATTCACCATCATGAAATTCTCGGAACTCGCAATCTGACAGTCCGAAAAGTGTACGCACTCGGTCGCCCTTCATGGAGTTTAGCGCCACCCAGGTCGACACTCTCTGCAAATGCATCTCGCCAGTAGCGACAGGCCCCAAATGCAGACGCAAGCGCAAGCGATCAAACATTGAGGAAAGAGCAGAAGCTCTTGCACGAACTGCAGCCTCGTGTAGCTCCGAAGTCAGCAAACAATTCACGCAGCCTTATCGCTTCTGTACCTTTTACACCTCCTAGTACGTTTCCCATCATCGGGTTGCTTATGCCGTTCCTAACATTCTATACAGCCCAAGGACCACATCACCATTCAAGCAGTATACCGCATCTGCTCTGACCAGTCTATGCAAGTGTGCCATCACGAAGCCTGCGACCACAACTAGCAAGAAGGCTACTACAACTTCGAAGAAAGTTTCCACGACCACTCAAAAGGCAACTACCACGTCAAAGAAGGTCACGACCGCCCAGAAGCCAGTCACAACCAGCAAGAAAACAACCTCGACAAGCACCAAGAAGCCAACTTCGACAAGTACCAAGAAACCAACAACATCCAGCACAAAGAAGCCAACAACAACTAGCACAAAGAAGCCAACAACAACAACAACCAGCATCAAGAAAGCAGCAACGACTAGTACCAAGAAACCATCAACAACCAGTACTAAGAAAGTCACTTCGACTAGCACGAAGAAACCTACCGTCACGAGCACAAAGAAGCCTGCGACTACATCAACCAAGGCCGTGTCATCAACCACGAAGAAACCAACAACCACTAGTATTCGAAAGACAACATCGAGTACAAAGCCCGCCACCACAAGCTCGAAGAAATAAAGGTGCTGGTCGATAGAAATTTTTATCCAAATTCATTTGTTTCTAGAAGCCTATCTCTCAACTGTCCCGAGATCGAAGTCGAACAGCATTGTATATCTCGACAGGGTTTTCCAATGCGATCGTGTCATGCCAGCTGAACAGTCGCACCTTGCAGTCATAGTCTACTCTTTTGCTTGGACAATCAGAAAGAAATCACAAGTGCTCAAATGACTCCTTACTCGCGGACTAGCTCAAAAGATAAAGAGAACGAGATCACACGCTACCTTTAACTTCCAACGCACCTCTATCTAATTCTATCATTGATTGGAGCAGCACGCACAAGTCTCGCATTAGAACCAGATGGCACTGCACTTGTACAGTCGATGAAGTTGGCCTGGTCTGACTGAGGGATACCGAGGACGCTGAGGTGAGCCATCGCAGGTGCGAATGCTGCATTCCATTTGCCTGTTTCGTGTTGTCAGTCACACGTGACTCTTTTGTAAGCCGTCATGATCGAAACTCACTCTGACTGTTGACGAAACTCTGGAACACCTGTCCCACAGTGGAGTTGGGGTTTGAGAGATTGATGTCGGACTCGAAGCTATAGACGCCTTTGGGATGGGTGTCTGTCTGAGAGTAGTATGCCACATCCCACTGGCCTGGCGTAGAGTCTTGAGGTCCTGTTCAACATGTTCAGTCTGTTGTTGTCTTCTTCTCCGAGACGATCTCGCACTCACCATCGTATGGAATACCATTTGCTTCTTGAGCTGTGGCTTTGGATGCCGTATGGGCACCGATCAGAGCAGCAAGCTCAGGCTGACTGATACCCTTGTCCTCGAAAAGCTGAATCAGCACTTGCTGAGCAGAGCCCGGGCCAAATGCCTTCGGTAAAAGATTATCAGGTGCTGGAGTGCTAGTGTCCTTGCGGCCGACAACCTGCGCGTTTGGTTAGCCCAATCCTCAGTACTCCGGATTTACTCGACGTACAGTCTGAACTTTCGGACCTCCTGGACAGCTGACTATAGCTACGCTAGCAGCAAATTGCACCAAGTCTGCAGCACCGACTTTAGACTTGTACTGATTGTATTTGCCACGCAGAAATGCGTGGTACTGCTGAAGTCCAGCATTCTCATCACGCGAGATCTCCACAGTACTCAGGAGAAGAGATCCATCTGCACCTCCAGTGGCAGGCGCATATGCTGGTGTCTTTGACGAGTACGATCCTACCAATGAGCTTAGTACATGAATTACAAGACCCTGACGATATGCCATACCAGAATCATGGAAAGCGAAACGGATGGCTCCTCGAGCAAGATCGGTGCATCCGTTAGAGCCAATGAACGACTGAGAAAGATCGGAGGCGATTGTAGACCATATCGCGGGACAGTTGCCAGATGCTTGTGCGAGGGCTGTCAAGACCAAGAGACCGAAAGTCTTTCCGACCATGTTGTTATTGATGTTGAGAGTGAGATGGAATGAGAGTCCGACAAAAGTGAAGGATCGAATGAAGGTGATCAGTAAGTATGCAGTTCTTATCAATAATGATGTCCAAGGTAAAAGGCTGGTCCAGTATCGCTTGACATGAGAATGATCTTGCTTCTTATAAAGGTTCTCATGTCGGAGAGTCGGCTCTCTCGGCAAAGTAACTTACTATATAGAAGCAAGTATTGGCAGATGACCAGGTGCTATGCATACGCCATGCGAACGTATGTAGGGATGATTTCGCGACGAAGTGACAGGTACAGGCGTAAAATTAGAAGGCCACGTTCATACTAGTACCGCGGCGCTCAAGGTCTAAAACCAGTTTAGGGACAGATGTCAAGTATAACAAGGTACACTTGTGTAGTCGGAGTGACCTTAGTCAGTCCTCACCGACCAGACATTCAGAATGGAAGTCAGTGTGCGTCCGTTCGGACCTCGAATTTAACCGTCTTGGAAATTTATTTGGTTGGTTGTCAGCTTACAGCGCTGACCATATGTGTAGCCAGGTAATATTTGGGGGTTGCCGAACATTCTATATCCGAGAGAGACCGAGTATTGGTTTAGGCGGGATTGTGATGATTTGTATTCATGCTAGCAATGGGAAGAGCCTCGTGCTTGTCGCCCGAGACTCTGCAAGGCCGCAGCAGACAAGGCAACAAAGTATCGACTGGTTCTCTATTAGCAAGCAGCAAATATGAGGCTCTTCCAGCAGAGCGCGTACGTACATAGATGTTGTGCAACGAAGCTGCAGCCATCCACGAACACTCCGATCGGGTATTAGTCAGATATTGATCGGTGCATTTCTGACATCTCTCACTCCCACTTCAACCCGCGATCGTCGTGAAGACGTATCGTCTCAAGAGTCCGGTACACACTTGTATCCCTGGTAAAGTCTCGTCCTCATAAGTTAGACCTCGGTGTCTGATCTGGCCGTGGAAGCTGGCTATGAAAATAGCTCAATACTGATCGAGCATGTTCGATACTCGGCAAATGCAAGGACGCTTACATGCCACATGCGTCAAGTAACCTGTACAGAATCATGCGGCCCGGGATGTTACTTCTCGAAGCCTAGGAAAGATGGATGTTGTCTCTCCATGTTGTCACAAGTTCTCGAACCATGGAAGTCGGTCTCAGCCGATGGCCTTACATAACATGTCGGCAGCTCATGATTTGTCGTCCGGAATACTGTCATAAGCTAAGATCTTCTCATTAAATCCAATTACTCTGCATGGAGGAAGACCAGCGCTGTCCCAACTGTTGTATTTACAGTCATAGTGCAGCGATGAATACAAGCCAGCAACGAGCCCGCCAGAGTAAAAATCCCGAGTGTCGTAGGCAAAGGCTGAGAAAGCTTATCTTGTTGTGCTTACAATCTTTAGAAAGTTGGAACAAAGGCCTTCTGATACAGGAGCTGTTGAAATTCGACTGGAAGTCCTAGATACGAAAAAGGCAGTTGCGATGCCCCAAAATACACGCGCTGTCATACAAAAACGCCATGTGCCTGTCACCGTCATCCAGAAAGTGCGGTATGTGTTGAAAGGTTGTTCTTGAAGCTGTCCCTTAGGACTTTGGCGTTATCAAGCATTTGGCTTGACAAAGATTAGCAGGAAGGCGTCGCCGAAGCTTGGTTGGCAGACACGCCCCGGGTCACGGCCCATCACCTTTATCGTCATTGTCTAAGCCAGGTTTCGCGTAAAGTGAGGTAGCAGAGTTGATTTCAGATGCTGGTCGACACGGTTGGAGCCGCTCAGCAGTAAATTGCATGCTCGTTTAGGCGTCGTGAGGAGCCGAGTACGACAGCCGAACATGTGATGGCCATTCTCCAAATCCTCGATTCGCCAACTTATTTCCAGAGCACTATACATTAGAGCATCCCAAACAGTAGGCATGCCGGCGTATCCACATGAAGCCGATGAGGTTGGCTTCGTGCTGTTGTGTTAATCAAGAAGACAGTGTTTGCTTATGCAAGTGAAGCTCTTGCACAAGGGAAACAGGAATCAGGATGGGCAACACGGCTCGGAGAGGGCTCCTTACGGAGAAGACTCCAGCCAATGACACTGTGGGGAATACCGCATGGTAATGAGGCTCTCGGTAATAATGCGGTCCACCAAGGTGAACGCAGGACGGCGAACAGCGCAAAGGCGATTGCCGTGCGAACGCGCAGGCTTCACAGCAACCGAGGGAAGGCAATCAACAAAGCAGGCCCACCGACCGACACGCCTGCACACTCTCGAGGAAGCATGGGCTGCATGGCACTCTCTACATGGCAATTTTGTAGCGCATCGACAGATCTGAGGCTCTGCAACCGCTCAGACGAGCTTAGTTGAGCCCCACCCAGGCGATCAGCCAATCTGCGAAAGCTCCGATTGGCCTCTCGACGAAGCTCTATCCACTCCTCCGCCGGTTCATGAGCTGTAGAATCGTCATGACCTTGCACAAATGCGCGCCAATGTCTCTCCTCACCTTGCTGTAACGCATTTGACGTGAGAATGACACGGATCACTCTAGCTCATCTTGGAAAGGATGCAGCCGCCTACTGAATGTCAACGTCACGTTCAATTGAGAAGAGGGAGGGGGTGAGCTTGAGCTGCGAGGCTTTAAGTGACTACCAGCCGCATCCCTAGACATTGCTTTCGAAATGGACATTCCTTCCTCTCTCACCTCCAAACTCCCAATCATGTCTTCCAACAGCAATCAGATGAACCCTCTACAGCACCCGCTGGAAGCCATTGCTACTGGCATCGCGGGAGCTACCTCTGGCGAGGCTCGTGCTCCCCGAATCTCGCATGTCATGTCTACCAACGAGGGTCCTGCCGACATTATCGCCAAAGTGTCTGGTCACACCCAGGGTGGCAAGCGTGAGGACGACGGACGTGAGTAGACGAGCTCCAACTGGGGTCAAAAAGTCGTGCTTGCATTGGTGGTTGGCTTTGCAGAAGCCTTCATCCAAACATCAACCACGACTTTCTGGTTCCACCCCTTCTCAGAACTCGATGCTGACTAGAGACCAGCATACTTCACAAATAACGAAGGCATCCCATTGCCTGATCCTGCACACAGCAAGAACGTTGGTGGCATTCCTCTTGTCAGCGATGTTCACCTTTTGCAGAAGCAGCAGCACTTCAACCGTTCCAAGAACCTCGAGAGTGAGTCAGCTACACATTCAGCAACAGACCATATCTGACGTGCATAGGAATGGTACACCCTTGCGGTAGTGGTGCTTTTGGTCACTTTGAGGTGACCAAGGACGTTTCGGACTTGACCAAGGCCGACTTCTTGTCCACGGTTGGCGAGAAGACTCCGGTCTTCGTGCGTTTCTCCACCGTTACCCTTGGCCGTGAGTTCCCCGATGAGGCCCGCAACCCTCGTGGTTTCGCCATTAAGTTCTACACCAAGGAGGGCAACTACGACATCGTCGGCTTGAACTTCCCCGTCTTCTTCTGCCGCGATCCTATCCAGGGCCCCGATGTCATCCGTTCCCAAGCACGCAACCCCCGCAACTTCCTCCTCGACTACGATGCCACCTTCGATCTTCTCGGCAATACGCCTGAGTCAATTCATGCTGGTGTCATGTTCTTCAGTGACCACGGCACACCTCAGGGTTGGACCAACAACCACGGTTATGGTTGCCACACGTTCAAGTGGGTCAACAAGCAAGGCAAGTTCGTCTACATCAAGTACCACTTCCTCGCCAAGCACGGTCAGAAGCAGTTCACCCAGCCCGAGGCCATCCGTATCTCGGGTGAGAATCCTGATTACTCCAAGCAAGAGCTTTGGGAGGCTATGGAGCGTGGTGAAGAGAAGGAGTGGACCGCACACGTCCAAGTCATGCAGCCCGAGGATGCCGACCCTGCCAAGTTGGGCTTCGACCCCTTCGATGTCACAAAGGTCTGGCCCCGTGACCAGTTCCCCATGCAGGAGTATGGCCGTCTCGTCCTCAACAAGAACCCCGAGAACTTCCACCGCGATGTCGAGCAGGCCGCCTTCTCGCCCGGCTCCATGGTGCCCGGTATCGAGGACTCGCCCGACCCGCTGTTGCAGTTCCGCATGTTTTTCTACCGCGATGCTCAGTACCACCGTATCGGCGTCAATTTGCACCAGGTCCCAACCAACTGCCCCTTCATGGCACGCTCAGTGTCCTCGGTCAACTTTGATGGTGCCATGCGTGTAGATGCCAACCACGCTGGTAACAAGCAGTACAACCCCAACAGCTTTTCGCACAAGTTCCGTCCCGACGTGGCCGAGGCACCATACCACGTCTCAGACAACGTTGTGAGCCGCAAGAGTCACTACTACCACGAGTGCAAGGTCAGCGAGTACGATCAAGTCCGTGAGTTATACAAGCGTGTCATGAACGATGACGCTCGTGCCAACCTCCACTCGAACACCGCCAAAATGATGAGCAATGTCAACTACCCTGTCATCCAGAAGAAGTTCCTCGCTCAGATCTACAACGTCGCTCCCGAGTACGCTCGCGCTGTCTACGACATGACCAACTACAAGCACGGCGAGAAGTTCGAGTTCTCCGAAGTCGAGAAGCTCAGCAAGGACGCTCACATGTGGTACAAGGAGCCCATGCTCAGACCCGACGAGGACAACAGACTTATGGGACTCGCTCCCGTCAACCCCTTCTACCACTAAGCAGTGTGGAGGTCTGTCGTTTCATGGAGTCATGGTATTGTTACGAACATGATCTTTGTTCCTTTTCCTATAGTTTAAGATACCACATAATTAACCAACCTTTTCAGTCTCTATATACCTTATTACTTGCTGCCTACTAGATTGTGATTTAGTCTATTCGGGTTCTCCTGGTAAGCTCGTTGTCAGAGCACAAAGAAAGCACAACGAGGCTTGTAGAACGCGGCGTGGCCAGGGTGGTGCCCTCAGCAACCATCTCAAGTCTCTTTGACGACACATCTGGAACACTATGGGTCTCAGTGAGTTTTCGGTACATGCTATGAAGTATCTGTATAACTTGCTGTATGATTTTGCGTGGTAGAAGTGTGTGAACGCCGCAGGTGCTGCTCACTCAAATTCAACTTCTGGATCTAATACTCTGCATAAATGCACGGATACTGACCTGCCATTGTCCAGTCTCTTCGATGTGCAGCTGGGTGAACGTAGTGGCCCAGATCGCGTTCATCGAATCAGTGTGTTGGCCACTAGCCAATATGCGCAATTGAGCAGAGACAACGACGTGCTTTACCTCTGGGAGTCTCGGATATTGATACCATTAGTCCATTACGGATATATCGGAATTAAGGTCCCAAGTGTCAAAGATGATATTGCGGTCAAGAAATGCCTAGCAAGCGAAGAACAATGCAAAAGACACACAGAATGTCCTAAACAATCAGTGGCCCATTACCGAGTGATAGGAGAAAGGTCGGAAGACTTGGATGGTTGTACTTGATGAGAAATGAGGTTGATTGTTCAGCAGCGGCTGACATAATCCAAGATCGCGTCATGTCCATGTCGGAGGGCGACTCGCTGCCTCTGTTCGATCAGCGTGCCGCTGTAGACGGCCCCGGTATATAAACCAATTGCCCCTCCCAAGCCATAAGTATTATACGCCTTTTTCTCACATCACACATCTATGAGCTTGTCTCGAATCCCACGCACAATTCACACCTTGGGCCCGATCCTATCACACATCACTCGCACTGCTACCAGATCTCAAAGCACAATGACTACAGCCGCTTTCAAGTACATCGACCCGACGTCTTTCGACCCCAATGCGACCGAAGCCTTCAAGAAGCCCTGGGGCAAAGTCGACGGCCCTGGATACTCGTTCAGATTAGTCGACCACCAGCGTCAAGTCGAGAACATTCGCGGACACGAAGCAAACTTCAACACTGACACTTCCGGTTTCGCCGTCTTCAAATCGCCAGCAAAAGAGAAGGAGTTCACAGACGACAGGGCTGTCAGGGAAGGATACTACCAAGAGGTGGAGCAAGCCCTTCGTGAGAAGATTCCCGGTATCAAGAAGGTTGTCATCTTCGACCACACCATCCGTCGCAGAGACAAGACCTCGCCTCGTCAGCCGGTCCAGCAAGTTCACGTTGATCAGACACCACGCGCTGCAGAGACGCGAGTTCGCCGTCATCTGCCTGCCGACGAAGCGGAAGAGCTGCTCAAGGGCAGATATCAGATTATCAACGTCTGGAGACCAATCGGACACAACGCCACCGACTTCCCTTTGGCTGTCATTGACTGGCGCACAACAACCGAAAAGGACTTTGTCAAGGTTGACCTGCTGTACCCGAAGCGCGCAGATGAGGACAACGACGACAGAGGAAAGGAAGTCCTTCCTGATGCCAGCTCCATGACCTCCACACAAGGGTACGAGCCAAAGGGCGAGACGTATGCCGTCGCTCCCTCTGACAAGCACAAGTTCTACTACATGAAGGACATGACGCCCGATGAGCTCATGCTTCTCAAGTGCTTCGACAGCAGAAGCGAATGGTCGCCGAACAGCACTCCTGGTCTAGCCCACGGCACACCCCATACTGCCTTTGTTGATCCCCAAACCCCGGCAGATGCTCCCGGTAGACAGAGCATTGAGGTCAGATGCCTGGTCTTCTACGACTGAGCGTCACACATATAAACCCTAGCGCATATGTGCCAACTCTGAAATCTCGAAGAGTATGACATCGGAACATTAATAAAACGATTGAGTTATGAACATGCTTGTTTAGTTACTTTCCATAGCATCTATACCGTGCCTTGGCAGCTATATATCAATATTTGAATACACAATGTCTCGCCCTACGTCCCGTGTGCTGCGACAGATGCCTACTTTCGTTGCCCATTCGACGCATCAAGGCTCAACAAGATGCCCCACGGTTAATAGCGGTCCAGTTAAGCATGGGAAACTATAAACTCTGACAAGGTATTTGTGTTAAGGTTGCAAGCCTGCGGTGATGTCCAAAACTGGCGTCAAGCTCGACGCGGCAACGTCCTGAGGCATTCTCTTATACAGTTATACTGATTCTCGAAAGTCAACTAAGCACAGCCTTCGGTCGTGCTAGCGACTTATGAGATGCTCCTCGAGTATTCCTTGGAGCGAACCATCATTGCCGAGCCTGCGACACGTGAGCAAAGTCGGCTGAGACCTTGCCATGCTCCGGCCACGTTCTTCACTCCTTCACTTCTGAAGATGTCTCGCTTTTCTCGCATCAAAGTGCCATCAGAGGCTTGCCACCCGCAAAGCCAGTGGCGCGATGGATCTGTCTCATCAGTAAAAAGGCGTTGCTTAAAATATTGGCCTTTGGCTGGGAAACGTGTGGGCGAGACGTTTCCCGTCAAACGCACGCCTCTTTGAGAAAGAGCCGCCCTGGGACGTCGCTGCTATTCAGTCTTCCACCAGTGCTTGTCTGGACTGGACGTTCCTGCTTGTTTGACGTCTGAACGGAAAGTATTCGCAATCGAGTTCCTAGCAGGTCGGATCAACGAGCTCAAGACACCACGGGTCGGTCAAGAATTCTGGGGACGAGGCTTCAATACCCCGACCGTTCGACATTCAAATGCACCCAACGGTCTCGACGAACCGACTGTTGGCGTGGCAGAAAAAAAACCCTTACTGACTCAGTAGCCGAACACCTGCTGGAGCAACCACCCACTACCCAATCTACGTCTTGCTAGGTTCAATCATCACTCGCGATAACAACCGCCTCATGGCGATGGAAGCTCTTTAGATGGAGGAGACAAGAACCTCGACAGATCAATCACTTGTTGTGGTGATCATACAACTGCTAGAGCGAATGGCAATATTGGTCGAGGAACACTCGTTTTAGACGATGGCATGGCCAGATCTCCCCCATGTGAGTTCGTAAGGCTCTGGATCCCGTGTGTTTTTCTCTCTCCTCTGCCAAAGTATCGTCATACCGTCTTCAGCCTTACACCGCTACAAGCCTCATACGGCCGTGCTCGCCAATACTTGACCTTGAGAGACACACTTGGTTCAGAATGACCAACGGCTTTCCAACGCCAGTGCGGTATCTATCACTCCCGCTGCCCAGAACCAATTGAGGATATCTGGGCCTGCCCTAGTGCTCACAAGGTCGCGTGAGATTGCAACATAGCTCTCGCCTATCCCGCAAATCCGTCATCTCTAATCCATCGCGTTCCAGTCCTCAACGCCCGCCGCTTCAGGACAACGGCCCACATCCCGCTAGCCGTACCGAGTGGCTTTCTGGACGTGGCAAATCACCTGTCTGGCCAGCAGACATATACATGCTCTCGAGAGTCAACTTCAGAAATTCTTCTCGAATCCCACCGGAGATGATCGGCCTTTGCTCTTCCTGACTTCGACCTTTGTTCACAATGGTCATGACCCGATGACTGACCAAATCAATACTAATCACAACTACCCGCTCTACTCGGAAGACCATCCTAAGTATGGCAGCACAAAGAATGCGGTACCTACGATACAGGTGCCGGCGGAAGCACACACCAACAACGCACCTCAAGGACTAGGCTTGGACAACTTTGCGTCTAATATTGCAGCAAAGTACCATGGTCAGCGTAATGTACGCAAGGCATCAAGGGCTGGACCCGACTTTAGAGAGTTTCTCAACAAACGAAACCAGCGACAAGACTCACAGGCCACGCTTGTCGACTTTACTCGCCGTCCGTCCAGGACAAACGAGGGAAAATTCCGACTACAAGTCGTATCGGACGATTTGCGTCCCTCGAGTCCCCTGAGACCTGGTTCGTCACGCCGTGGCTCAGCAAACTCGAGACCTGGAAGCTCGAGTGGACCGACCAGCCCTCCCACTAGTCGCCCGACAACACCTCTCAAAGGGAGTCCTAGTGTTGGTGGAGGCGAGTGGGGTGCATTTAACTGGAGACCGGATATCAACCCCATCCAGCCAGTCCACGCAAAACTACAGAGATTGGACTCCGATGCAACGCTCGTGGATACTGGATCATGGAGACGAGGCTCGCGTCAAGGGTCACGTCAAGGTTCTCGCTCAGGATCATTGACCGAAGACCCTTTCCGAAGGAAGTCAGACTTGACTACCCTAGACACACTTGCTCCCACCAGGTTACGGCAAGGATCGTACTTCCAACCGATCATCGAGATTGATCCCCTGACGGAAAAAGGAAAGGGGCTATTGATTGGAGGCGTGAAGCCTCTAGATCCTGACCTTGATCAGGAGAAGGATAACAAGACTACCGAACCCGAGCTGGCAGTTGCGGAACCCCAAGTCATTACAGAAGAGATAAAGAGTACGCATCAAGAACATGTTGTTCCCACTATGCAGGAGACTTTCGTGACTACGACATACCCGGAAATCGCAGACCCTGTCGACCCTTGCCGCAATCTAACTCGAATGGACCTGATCAAACAGCGTGTCGTCTTTAGTAGCAACGTCTTTGCTATCAACCTTGCCATGTTGGTCTTCGCACTCTGGGCTCCCAGGGCTATCTCCGGACGCTGGGTACTGTCATTTATTGTTTTCATCAAGTCCAAGGATTGCATTTCATCCCTCGTCAGTTGCGGGTACCTGATTTACAAGGCAATCAAGGAATACTTCGTGCCGCCTCCACCGGTCGAGTCGAAATGGATTCTGTCACTGATTCCTGCATATTCGGAGTCCGAAGAGATGATCAAGAACTGTGTCTTTTCATTGCGAGACAACGACGCACATCCGCACAAGCAAGTCATGTGCATTGTTCTGGATGGCAAGCCGAGAGACGTCAAGCAGTACATGCGTATCACGACAACTTTCAAGCGCCAATACGTCACGTCGAGATTTAAGCGTAATGAACTGGTTATCACAGCCGGGTTCATGGAAGACGTGCCGGTCATTGTCTTTGAAAAGGTCAAGAACTCGGGCAAGAAGGATTCACTCATCTTGTGTCATGACCTTTTCAACGTCATGCGCGAGAACGCGCCTTTGTACACAAAGTTGCTACGCAAAGAGATTGAGAAGAACGTTCTGCCTTCACTTGTTGGCGAGGACTTTCCTGGTTTCGATATGGTGTTCTGTACCGATGCTGACTCGGTCATCCACAAAGGTGCAGTCGCAGGTCTTGCGAACGCTCTCGTCCGTGACCCCAAGGCTATCGCTTCTTGTGGCTTGGTGTTGGTAGAGCTTGAACCTGGTGCTGAATGGTCCTACTGGAATCTTTACCAGCAATTTCAAGTGAGTCGAGTCGTTTCTCCGCACCAATGATTAACGCTAACCTGTCAACAGTACAACTTTGGGCAGTTCGTGCGCCGACAAGCCGAAAGCGTATGGGGCAAAGTAACTTGTCTTCCTGGGTGCATCACTATGGTTGCAGTGCGACCCGAGATGGCAGGGGCGATGACCAAATACGCGGCACCCATCACTGCATACCCTGTGCTCTTGCACCAAGTTCAGTATCTTGGAACCGACCGAAGACTGACGTACTCGATGCTTTCGCAAAGCAAGGACCTACACACGGTGTTTGTACCGGACGCCGTCAGCGAGACAGTGGCTCCACAGTCACTCAAACACTACCTCAGTCAGCGGAGGCGATGGGGTAGCAACGCATATTTCAACAACTACTTTTACATGGCAGGCGATAACATGATCTGGATCACCCGGCTGTGGGCGTGCATCGAAGTGACCAGACTCAGCCTGGTATATTACCGTGTGGCCAACACGATTCTCTTCATCTATGGACTCATCAGCAGCTTCAATCTCATGTCCATCATCCCACTACTGGTGGTTTCGCAACTGCCGACAATCTGGTTCCTCGTCAACACAGCGACCAACAAGCAGCTCCGGCAGCGAGCACACAAGATCTTGTTGGGATTGGTCATCAACAAATTCATGGCGCCCATCATGTCTGTTGCCGTGTTTACGATTGTGGTCAAGAACCTGGGCTCACAAGCATGGGGACTGACTCATGGTGCAACAAGTGCAACACCAGCGGCAGCGGTCGAAGTGGCATCGGCAGAAAAGGCGCAGACGCAGCAAGGACTTCTGGAGAAACTGGAGCCTCGCAACGGATCGATCATGTCGATCATCACCGAGGAGTCAAGCATTGGGTCAAACACGCCCAAAGCCAACTCGATCATCAGCCAAGATAGAGAGGGCGAGTCGGAGGTCAACGAGATTGACGAGGACGAGGCTCGAGAGAAGATTGTGGGCCATCTCGCAGCAGGCCTGTGAGGATGGCGGCGGAGACAAAAGCGCATTATTTTTTCCCTTTGTCATATTCAACCCTTTAGTTTATGAAGTTACGATGATTACGATGAGATACGAAGACAATACCACAACAGCATTACTATCGATGGTTTCTCTCTTGGTTTCAATTGAAAATGGCTTGGCTCAGCTGTCGAGAGTTGGAGCATTGAGTGAGCAGAGAGGAGATTGTCGACACAGGCTTGACAAGGGCTGACGAGGTCGAGACAAATTGGACGATCATGTCAGGATTAGAGCAGCTGAGGCAATAGCGGGATGATGAGATCCAACGGTTGTGTTCACATCAACGGCGTGTTGAGTTACGAGGCTTGGGGGCGCACAGCAACGCAAGACGCTTTGAGGCCAGTGACTTTTTGCCTAGGGATTGGCATTGACAAGGAAACACAACGGGTTTGAGTACAGAGTTGTGGGAGAGTAGGGCAATGTATATAAGCAGCGTGACACGGCCGTAGAGGATTCGAGCACCTGATAACACGTCAAGATGATAAATGCGGGATTGTTGTTGACAGCGACGGCGTGGATGAGCAGCAGCTTGGCGGTCGCGCTTCCCTCTTCTGGCAGCGCGGCAAGCGCATACAGCAACAACCTGAAGTACTACTTCCCTCGCCAGACAGCGCCGCAGTACCCCTCGTCGTTCGACCCTCTAGGCAACACCGCTCTTGCCGTCTACTATGGCAAGGCTCAATACAACTCGGCGCCATCGCTGTGGGACCTCTGCAGCGTCGACGACATTGACATGATCGTCATGGGCTTCATCCGCAACTTCAATGGCTTCAACAAGCAGCCCACCTTCGACATTGGCTCGTGCAAGACGCCCTATCAGCCTCCGGCCAACTACACTGGCGTCCTCTGTCCGACTCTGGCAGCCAACATTACGCGCTGCCAGCAGCTGGGCAAGAAGGTCTTGATCAGTCTGGGCGGTTCCAGCGCCAACCTCGACTTTGCTAGCGACACGGATGCCCAGCAGGCAGCTACCACCCTCTGGAATGTCTTCGGCGCCGGCACAGACACGCCCCTTGCCAGACCCTTTGGCAATGTCACCTTGGACGGCTTCGACTTTGGTAGCCCTCTCGTCTGACATGTCTTGCACACCAGCTAACACGCCCTGCAGACTACGAGAACTATGCCGACACTACCCATGTCGATGTCCTCGCTGCAACCCTGCAGTCGCTCTTCAAGACAGCCATCCCCGAACGCTACATCAGCGCCTGCCCGCTTTGCGTCAACAACACAGTCTTGCCCTACGACTTTTACAGAAATGCAAACTTCATCTGGCCGCGCTTCTACAATGCAAACGCCTGCAAGGCTGGCGGCAAGGGCTACAACAAGTCTGTCAAAGCCTGGTCTGACTTCCTCGTCGGCGTGGACTCTGCCGTCGGCCCCAACTACCCTCGCTTCTACATTGGCGCCCTCGGCTTCGAAAACTACAACAACGGCGGTGGCTTTGTCGCCCCCGACGTCTTTGGCGATCTGGTCGAGTACACAAAGAACAACGTTGGCAAGCCTAGGTTTGGGGGCGTCAGCATCTGGGAGGGCACCGATGCCTTGCAATCAAAGACGGTCGACGGCATCGACATTTTGAACGTCACCAAGGAGGCCCTGCTCGAACCCTTCACCAGCGATTGTGGTACGTCACTCGACACTCGAGCTCTGTTTGCAATAAAGTTGATTCGTGGCCAGATGATTGATCGTTGGTTTGGAAAAAGCAGCAGTAAACAATCTGTTTTGCAACGACGGAGGAGATAGAGAATTGGGTAATGATTATGATGGACAAAGGGGATAATATTGCCATGATGGATTCCATACTGTGGTCCTAGCTATACAAAATGGATTATGGGGAACGCGAAGCGATGCTTTGGTACGTCTTCATCTTGATGACACTCGGTCTAGAGTGATGAGATTATAGAAGAGTGATACAAAGATCAATTTCCAGCAAATGCTTCTACACGGGCTCCCTCTTTCCTTCCTCTTCTCAAGTCCTGGTGCACTTTCCTCTTACTTACATATTGGTAACCACGACCCTTTGCCGCTACTTCCTTTGCTCAAAAAACCCTTGACAAGAAAGAGACGCGCAATCAATGCCGGAATGACCACTGAAAATGCCGAGTGCGTGACGGCGAACTCATGTTGGGAAAGAAAAAGTGCGTATGGTAGCTCCGTATCCACCTCCCGTATGGTACCGTATACCCCAACTCGCATCCACATCAACCATTCTACATGATGGATTTATCTTTAGAACTGCCCAGTTGCCAAAAAAAATAAGACTGTAAAAGAGGAGGTTCTTTGCCCTTGCTTCTTCAAATCTCGTTTTTCGCGGAAACACACCTAGCTTTTTCAACTTTCATTTCCCTTTCTCGCCAAAAGCGACTCATCTACCAAAGGAATTTCTACCTTCGTATAATACTGCATTTTCTTTCGCATATCTCAAACACTGGATATCGGAGACTGCAATACCTCCCCACCCATTCAAAAGGATTTTGAAACCCACAAAATCAGCCATGGCATCAACACACTTGCATCTCATTCCTCTGATCCTCAGAGCCACTCAAGCCATCTTCTCGCTCACATCACTCATCCTCTACGCCGTCGCTCTACCTGCATCTCCAGACGAAAACTCGGCGTACATCTACGCTTTGGTCTGCTGCACCATCACTCTCCTCACCCTCGCCATCTACTCGATCCCTACCTTTCCAACCCGCAAATTCTTCCTTTGGGATTTTGCAGTTGCGGTCTTGTGGGCGGCGTTGAGTGGATACTTTGGAATGATTTTTCTTGGACATGATGATGATGATGATGATGATGGAAGTGAAGGCACGAACAAGACGGCCATGAAGTCTGCTGTAGGGATCGATTTGGTGGTTATGGTGGCTTGGGTGGTTAGTTGTTTGTTGGGGTGTGTTGGGTATTGTGGAGCCAAGTTGCAGGCAAGGAGACAGAGGAAGGTGGATAAAGGGTTAGGGAAGATGTTGGAGGGACAGGAACAGGGTGTTGTGGAGGTGGAGTGGGATGACGAGGATGACCAGTGTGGGAAGGGGTTGATTGGCGAGAAGAGTGAGAAGAAATTGGCAGGAGAAGGTGTCTAAGATTGGGTTGTCGGAGAAAACGTGTAGAGGTAGCTCGAAGGTTTACCGATGGAGCAAGTAGCGTGGTTGAAAAGTCATATCGCGTTGTCTATCATTAGCAGTAAAGCAGTATTCAGAAACCCATACGTCTGCGCAGTTCCTTCTGCATGACACCGACAGTGCTTTGCATTCTCTGTGCCGCACTTTGGTTCTCGGTGGCTCTTCGCACGAGGTAGTGCATACACTCCCTCACACTGCCCCAGTTCATACACTTGTATACCATTGGAGCTGCAGTCTTCTTTTCGGCTCCATCGTCGCCCATAGCCAGTAACTCGCAACTAATGTCGTCCGCCATGCCCAACAGTTGTCCGAATTTGATGGGAGGGGGTGTCTCGCCTTTCTGCAGTTGACCTTGATATAGGGCATAGGCTTTGCGAATGGAGTCTGAATTGTGGCCGGCGAGGAACAACTCGACGCGAGGGAAATCTTGCTTGTTGAAGCCTGGGAAGGATTTTGTGAGGAGATCTGCTGCTATGCTGTTGTAGCATTCGTCTGTTTGTGTTTTTGTGTCGTGAATCAGGGCTCGAGTCTCGCTGCCGATGTATGCTCCCCTGAAGCTCAGGTAAGCATTGTATAGATTCACTTGAATCTGTATGCCTTACCTGACCAACTTGATTCCAAGTGTCCAGCCCTCGTGGTAAGCTTGATGTAACAGGTTTTCGAGAGTCTTCCTGGCAGACTTGAGATACGCCTGTAAGGTCAGCGATACAAGAGCTTGGTTATTTGTGTTGTGGCGTCGCATCATGTCAACAGTCCAGCGGGCGATTGTGTTTTCAAAGACTTGCTGTTCAGCATCGATCCATACACGGCTACCTTGTGCGGCGGCGCGTTCACAGATGACGGCCATGGCATCTAAGAGTTGCTGTGGAGGATCTCTGCCGAGGGCCAACGCTTGGGCGACTCGAGGCCCTGCACCTGTAAATCTGTGATATGTGTCAATGCCTGCAAGAAAGTACCATCGTTGGTGTCGTTGGACTTACTTTATGCCCACATAGTCACCAGGTTCTACCATGTCTAATGTCTTTACATTACCATCTCGCCAGATATCGATGTCTTCATCTTGAGCCAAAGGCTCTAGTTCGCGAAGCTGTTCTACCGGCATCGCAGGTATCTCCCTCGAGTAGATGAGGATGACACCTTTGAAGCCCATGGTCTTGAGATAACTCAAAGTCTTCTTGATTTCCAGCTTGTTCGTACCAGCACAAAAGTGATCATATATCATCGGCTTGATCAAAGCTCGTAGCAATGCGTTCCTGTCTGGGTCCAGCATTGCTGATCGCGAATTCGCTATCTTCGACAAACATGCCACGCCATGTTTGAACAGGAATGGTGATGTGAAGACCTTGCCGAGGATGATGTTTCGAACGAGATTCACTGTGGAGATGCGATGCAGTTGGGACGGTGATTGCTTTCGTTCTTCCACGGAAGAGGCATTTGGCTGTCTGGACACCAGAGACGATTGATGTCGTGAAGAGTGCCAAACAGTGTATGTTTGGATCGAGAGTGGAGATTTCTTGTAGAGGCATAGATTGTGTTTAGCAATGTTCATGCTTGTGGTATGATGTGAGGGATAAGATGGAAACTGCTGTGAACGATCAGGTCAGGAAAGGGCATCTTGATATCTGCTCCTCGAGTCTGGTCAGTATCAACGGCTACAGGCGGTTGCTATCGGTCCAAAGTGTCCCTATCAAGGGGTCCTCGTGATATCTGGAGGAGGGTAAGGTGCGGGGTTTGGCCTCAGCCGAAGCGGTAGTCACATCACGAACAACCTTGATAAGGCCAAGCTGGATGGTAAACGTAGACATGTTAAGAAGCACAAGTTCTTCGACAGCCGGTGAGTGCGATGGACACGAACCAAAACTTGAGGGAGAAGGAAGCTGCGATGCTGCGTTGGTCGAGTCTCAAGGTGGAGCTCGAGTGGTTCTTGCGAATGCGGGGTCCGAAGATGATGCTGACACTTCCGTTTTGGTTGAGCTGGCCAACCTCGAATGCTGTTGCCCGACGAACATTTCATCTTATAACCTCTGGAAATCAAGGGATACAAGAGACTGCACTCCTTGATCTATACAGTCCATCATGGCAAGCATCGAAGCAGAGGGCCCTGACGTGTCGGGCGAGATTCCTCAGGTGCCGATCAACTTCGTCCCTGCCACCGAGGGCGAGACGTTTGCTTTGGGTCAGTTGACTATCAGAATCATGGAAGATGGTTCGAGGACAGGTAAGCGATATCACACTTGATGACTTGGTTCTGCCTTCAGCTGATGCTCGACACAGACAACCGGATTGGAACTGTCGAGTTGACTGTGCCCGCCAACACCCCTGGTCCACCACCACATTGGCATGAGATGCATGATGAAACCTTCCTGGGTGCGTTCCAACCCGTCCCATATTCAAGATACTCATCATTAACACCCACCAGTGACAGAAGGAACCATCAGATTTACTTGGTACACAAGTACGGCGTCAGAACCGACCAAAACAGTCGACGCGCACGCTGGTGATTATGTTGTTGTGCCCATCAGAGCACCTCACACGTTCTCCAATCCAACGGACAAGCAAGCCAAGTTCGTCAATACCTTTACCCCGGCCTTCTATGTCAACTACTTCAAGCTGTTGGCGAAATATATCGGTGATGGCAAGGTCATGACTCCAGAGGCAAACAAGAAGGCCATGGCATCTTACGCGACCATACCGTTGCCAAAGTAAGCATGGTCAGTTGGAGCCAAGCCGAGTCGAGGAATATGCTTGTGTTTTCTTGAGCGAGGCATCGATAGACTATGACGTATACTCGAAGCAGAATCGAAACCACACCGGGCTAAAATCGATTGTGATGAGCTGGAATTAGCCCAAGAGTTGTGAGGCCGACAAGATTCACGGTCGAGTCACGAGTACACGATTAACAAATCGACGTTCCATCCCAGGACACGAGATCCCCAAAAGCAGCGTCTCTTGTTTTCAGAGCTCGTGTATGCGCAGGCTCACCTGGGTGTTAGATGGAGCAATCTCCTGGATATTGCATGACTCTCGAACATACGAGAATACGGGGAAGAAGATAGTCGTTGAGGCGGAGTTGGTTTTAAGATGAGCGGCTGCGCACGGGCCTGCCGATGGATCGTTTCAGCTTGATTCAATCGGTTCCTGGTCGCAGTCAATTATCACTAAACAGGTGGTGATCAATTCGTGGTTACAACTTGCTTACCGTATCGATGCGTGTTGGTGTGACAGATCAGCAGCTCATGCCAGACACGGCATTGGGACCAGGAGAAGTCGTTTGACAAGCTTTCCCCTGAATCCCTGACGAAGCCACAGCCAAAGACAAAAACCACGACTCGAAAGCTTGCTCAATTTCAGGTCGGAAGGGGCTGCCGCGTGTCCCAGGAAAGCACACCAGGAACACACCGTTTTGGCATGTGTGGATCGAAACGCTTGTTGCAGGGTGATGCAGCCTTATGCCCTCTTGGGCGGATGGCGAACCCTTGGGATCAAAGCTTGCCGTATGGCGCTTGTCAATCACCATCAATCAATGCGCCCACCTAAGTAAGTATAGTAATGTGGTAGCACCGCTACTTCGCCCTGGTTTCTGGTCTGCCTCCTTCTTCGCTCTCTCCCTTCACTTACCCCATACATTCTTTTGCGTGTCACTATGGCACGTTCGACACTGCCGCAACGGCTGTTGCAGACAGTCTTGCTATGCCTCTGCGCAACATACACCAGTGCTCTGACACTGGATCCAACCAGCGCAGGTAAGTGAACAAGACCTGCATGCAGCTCAAGGCTCGAACAAGACTGACCAATGTGTTGCACAGATTCGATCCGACAGGTCTCGTCACAAGTCGCACACGGATTGATGAAGTACTACACGGGAAACAATACAGGAGACGTACCAGGAAACTTGCCCGACCCATATTACTGGTGGGAGGCTGGTGCCATGTTTGGAGAGATGATTGAATACTGGTACTACACTGGAGACACGACATACAACGCCAACGTCAAGCAAGCCATGCTACACCAAGTCGGCGAGAACAATGACTACATGCCCGCGAATCAGACAAAGAGCTTGGTAAGGAGGACACACACATACGGCTTGCGCGCCAGAATGCTGACTTGACCAGGGAAATGACGATCAAGTCTTCTGGGCATTCGCCGCAATGACAGCCGCCGAAGTTGGATTCGAGGATCCTCCGGAAGGTTCTCCCTCGTGGCTAGCGCTAGCACAAGCCGTCTTCAACGAACAAACTGATCGATGGGACACGCAAACCTGTGGCGGTGGTCTCCGTTGGCAGATCTTCTCATTCAACGTCGGCTACAACTACAAGAACTCGGTCTCTAACGGAGGTCTTTTCCAGCTCGCTGCTCGCCTTGGTCGCTACACTGGCAACCAAACATATGTCGATTGGGCCAACAAAGTCTGGGACTGGTATGAAGACTCGGCCTTGTGGGACGCCAAGCAGTTCACCATTCTCGACGGTGCAGGCACGACCGACAACTGTTCTGAAGGTAGCAAGGAGCAGTGGTCTTACACGTATGGCGTCTTTCTGTCTGCTTTCTCCTACATGTATAATCATGTATGTTTTCCTCTGTCTGGTTTCTTGCATACTTGACTGACCTCTCGTCTCACAGACCGAAGACGAAGCCTGGCTGACCCGTATCGACGGCATGCTGAACACAACTGCGACCAACTTCTTCCCTGCGAGTATGGGACCCAACATCATGGTTGAGACGACCTGCGAGCCTCTTGGAAACTGCAACACCGATCAGCGCTCCTTCAAGGCCCATCTTTCACAGTGGATGGCCATCACCGCACAACTTGTCCCCAAATATCACGACCGAATCTTCGATCTCCTAGCACCCTCTGCTAAAGGTGCTGCTGGTCAGTGCGACGGTGGAACCGATTCCGTCACCTGCGGCCGTAGATGGAACAGCACCGTCTGGGACGGCACCTACGGTGTAGGTGAACAAATGAGCGCATTAGGTGTCATCCAGACGAATATGATGAACGTCATATCCCTGAAGCCGCCGTATACCTCAGACTCGGGCGGCACCAGTAAGAGTGACCCCAATGCAGGAACTGGCACCAGTGGCACATCATCTTCGAATGGTCAGGCGATCCATCTTACGCCTATAACCTTAGGTGACAGGGCTGGCGCGGGCGCCATCACTGCTGCCGTTGTTCTTTTCCTCATGGGCGGTACAGCCTGGTTGCTTATTGCTTGAGATACCCTGACTTTTACGATATTTAATTTACATCCCACATGGATACTTTCTTTGAAAAAAATTCATGTCTATACTTCAAGCTGATTTCTCTTGACTCATGTTATGTTCTTCACTTGGTCTTCATCAGTCTTTAACCACCTATAATCATCGATGGCCAGTATTCGGATCGGACAAACAAGCACTAACATCTAACATGTATCTTCTAGTAACTTGCGTTTGCGCGAGTTTGTTGTGACAGCCATCTTATCGGAACAAGAACTAAAGAACTAGACTAACGTTGACCTGTTACTAGCATCTCCTCACCACGGCGACTATCCGTGTTCAACCTCACTTATATCTGTCAATGTACGGTAGTCGCAGTCGCTAATCAGGTCGTCGACGACATGTCACCAGTATTTCTAGTTCTTCAAGGACGCCGTCTGCACTCCTCAATCCATCAACCTCTACTCCTCGTCTGAGAGCACTGCCAGTTCCTGTGAGCGATACTCGCCCGAGGGATCTGCAAGACTGAAAGGCCCTCGAAACCAGGAAGTGATGGAATTGTGGAAGCATTGAGGTCCATGTCAGCAACACCTGCAGTCGGTCTCTCTTGATGTAGCATTGATCGCTGACTTACATCACGATGGCGACGATTCTGCCAGAGAGACGTGCCTGTTGAAGTTGTAGGGGTACCTTCCTTACGTGGAAGGATGTCGAAGGAATACGGGGGCTTCCCCACCCAATAATGATCGGCTCAATCGGCTCATCCGGCTATCCTTGGCCTATCTCCTACCCGCCCTCTGTTCGAAAGTAGAAGGTCGTGCCATTTGTGGGGTGGATGATGATATAAGGTACACAGCCACTGCTGCCTTCCAATACTTGATTGTTCCTTTTTCCCTCTGTTCATCCTGTGAGAACCCAATTGACAAGATGGATGAGAAGCAGCAGCTCATCGGGTCGCTCCCGGTTGTAAATGATCTTTCCGAACAGCGTGCACAAGCAAAGAAGAACTCTCGCTGGAGCACCATCAAACTTGTGCGTGTTGAGATGATAGCTCCAATGTGATCGCGGCAACTAACATACGCTACAGGTCACAGCATGTGCAGCTCTAGTTGCGCTCCTTCACTGGGCCTTTGTTCTTCCTCAGCTGCCTCTGAAGCATCACGGAAAGCATGGCAAGCATCATCACCACCAGAAATCACAATGTCCTCAGGTCGAGCCTCTTGTACCCAGCCAGCAGAGTGACGAGCTGGTCAACATGGATGCCTACCTCAAGTCACCTGCTTTCCAGAACTCATCCATCCAGCGTCTTTCTGGTGCTGTCCAGATCGACACTCAATCATTCGATGATCTGGGCAAGGTCGGCGAAGACAAGAGATGGGAGGTCTTCTTCCCTTTCCACGAGTACCTCGAGAAAACCTTCCCCCTTGTCTACGAGCATCTCAAGGTCGAGAAGGTCAACACTCATGGACTTGTGTACACCTGGCAAGGTTCAGATGCCAAGCTAAAGCCTACTCTGCTCATGGCTCACCAAGACACCGTCCCCGTTCCCGATGCCACTCTCGATGCTTGGACCCACCCTCCATGGTCTGGTTTCTTCGACGGCAAGAACATCTGGGGTCGCGGCTCATCTGACTGCAAGAACCAGCTTATTGCCATCCTTGAGTCCATCGAACTGCTGCTTGATGCTGGCTTCACCCCTGCTAGAACCGTGCTTCTTTCTTTCGGTTTCGATGAGGAGATCAGTGGCGGTCAGGGTGCCGGCAAGCTCGCTCCTTTCATCCTCGAACGCTACGGTCCCGACTCTCTTGCTGTCATTGTAGATGAGGGTGCTGGTATCGATGATGTCTGGGGTGTCACCATGGCCACTCCTGGTGTCGCTGAGAAGGGCTACACTGATGTTGTTATCACTATCCGTATGCCTGGCGGTCACTCCTCAATTCCTCCAGACCACACTGCTATTGGTGTCATGAGTGAGCTTATCACTCTGATCGAGGCAGACAAGTACCCTCTTCGTCTCGATGCAAAGAACCCCTACCTCGGCCAGCTGCACTGTGGAGCCGAGCATGCTCCTGAGTTCCCCAAGAAGCTCGCCAAGGCACTCGACAAGGCTTCAAGTCAATGCAAGGCAAAGCCTGACCTTCTCGCAATCGAGGCTGCCAAGGCAGGTCCTGCCATTCAATACTTGATGCAGACCTCGATCGCCGCCGATGTTATCGGTGGTGGTGTCAAGGTCAACGCTCTCCCTGAACGTGTTCAAGCTATCATCAACCACCGGATCAACGTCGGAGAGCACCCCGCGGATGCCCACAACAAGATTACTAGCCTTGCCAAGGACGTTGCAAAGAAGTACGGTCTTGCTCTTCACGCTTTCGACAACACTACCGAGACACCTTCGTCTATCTCGCTCACTGCATTCGAACGTGTCCTCGAGCCTGCTCCTGTCACCCCCACATCGGTCGACGGGGAGACCGCTTACAGCGTCCTCTCGGGTACCATCCGTGCCCTGTACGGCAGCCACGTCATAACCGCACCTGGTATCATGACTGGCAACACTGACACCAAGTATTACTGGGATCTGTCGCGCAACATCTTCCGTTTTGCTCCCGGTTACGATGGCGAGTCAAGCGGCCTGGGCAACATTCACACTGTTGACGAGAGAGTCTCCATCAAGAACCACGTCAACACCGTCTCATGGTTCTCTCTGTTTATCCGCAACATGGACGAGGCCGAGCTTCAGTAAGTGGATGTTGTACGGAAGCTCGACGGTATGTAGATAGTATGAAATCAACATTGAACTTGGTTCAGATTCGTGTAAGGGACTACACCTTTCCGAGTGCAAAGACTATGACACTTTAGCCGTGGAATATAATGCGGTTGTATCAGGCCTTCCGAGTGATGATAAAAACAAAAGAAAAAATGCAGTCAACAAAAAGCTTACCGCAAAGCTCGGCTTCTTTCGCTTGGCAGGCACGAATGAGCATGTCGGTGCATCTCCTTCAACAGCTAGTAGCCGCGGTGTTTTACAGTCTCCCGTATCTATGACATTTCCAATTTCCTGCATCTCAAGTCTGATCTGAGAAGGTCTCGCGACATCCTGATGTCCTTCGAATTCACAAAATTAAAGATGCATGTCAAGCAACGCAGAATGCACCGAAGCCTCGGCTTGCCCAACTCGGAAACGTCATCGCCGTCAGGGTCCCGTTTTCGAACCTTGATCCGTGCAGAGCACTATTACACATCCCATCGTGAACGAAACGAAATGTGAATTTTGTAGCCTTGTCAACCGGTCCATCCGCCATCTGTGCGCGCAGAAACAACCAGACGAACAAAGGCCTCTGAGTGAATTGGCCTCTTGGGTCTTGCCTCTGACAGCTCTCTGACATCCTCAAGAATCTCAATCTCTGGCATTTTCACTGGTTTTCTCGGATCGCAACGGCAAAGAAATTTTTCTGGACTCAATTGCGTGTGCGTGCACAAAATCTCAGGGAACAATGTCTGGTGTGATGGCGGAACGAGAGAAGGAACGTGGGTCAGCGCCTTCTTCTGCTCACAGTGAACCTCTACACTCTGATGTGGAGGCCCGTAGAGCTTCTGGCACGACGCCTCTGGATGTACTGGAGAAAATCAAGGAGACCGATGAAGCACATCCCATGCATTGGTCGCTATGGAAGAAGTGGTTCGTCATCACCGTCTACTGTTTGCTACAAGTCTATGTCACCATGACTTCGACCATGTATGTCTCGGTCGAGACCTTTATCCAGGAGCGTTTCCCTAGTACCACACAGGTTGTGACGCTCGGTCAATCGATGTTTATCATCGGAACCGCTGTTGGACCTGTTTTCCTAGGTCCCTTGTCGGATCTTGGAGGTCGTAAATGGGTTTATGTTGGATCTATTCTGGTCTACGCGATTTTCAACATTGGTTGTGCTTTGGCGTATAACCTGCCCATGTTGATCGTCTTCTGTTTCCTGGTCGGTGTCGCTGGATCTACTGCTTTGTCCAATGTTGCTGGAACCATCATTGATCTGTTTGGTGTATGTGATCAAAAGTCTGTGCCAGTTGTATACCCATTTGCTTACAATGCATGTGTAGGCCGAAGATGGTGCTGGTCAGCCAATGGCTCTCTTCGTACTGAGTTCCAACTACGGAGCAAGTCTGGGCTCGCCAATCGGTGAATGGATTGGCATCAACTCAAGCATGGGCTGGCGCTGGAGTACGCATCAATCCTCCACCAGACTCTCCTTCCACCTGCTGACATGAAACGTCAGTCTTTTACATGAACATCATCTGGGGCGGTGCCTTTGCACTCGCGATGTGCTTCATGCCTGAAACGCTTCCATCTGTCGTCATCGCAAGAGCAGTCAAAAAGCGCAACACTGATGACCCTAACGCCAAGGTCGTCGCTGCCGAATTGACCAAGGTTAACGTATTCCAAGAGATTCGCTTCGTCCTGACAATGGCGTTGCGTATCATGCTGACCGAGCCCATCGTTATCTTCCTCGGCTTCTACAATGGTTTCGCATATGGGTCAGTAGCTCTGGTTCTTCTGCTTCTCTGAGATTTACTGACACTTTAATAGTCTGCTCTTCCTCTACCTCGACGGCGTCTTTGCCGTCTTCGTCGACAACAACGGTCTCAGCTACGTCGGCGCCAGTCTCTCCTACCTCAACTTTTGCGTCGGCGTGACGTTCATGTTCGCTTTCGTACCTGTCCAAACCTATTTCTTCCGCAAAGATCGCATCAAGCACGGCAAGCACCGCCCCGAAGCCCGTTTCCTCACCTCCCTGGTCACAGTCTGGCTCTTCCCCATTACTCTCTTCTGGTTCGCCTTCACCTCCAACGGCAAAACCTCTTACTGGTCTCCTATCGTTGCCGGTGGCGTCCTCGGATTCTGCGATCCTCTGCTCTGGCTGGGAATGCTGAATTACCTCGGCGACACCTATAGCAATGTCGCCGGATCTGCCGTGGCGGCTTTCTTGATCCCGTCCTTTTTGATTGCGGCGGCCATGTGTCATGCTGGTGTTGCCATGTTTGAGAATATGGGATCCACTTGGGCGTTTGCGACTCTGGCTTTCATTTCTCTGACGCTGGTCGCTCTGGTGTATATCCTCTACTTCTTTGGACCCATTCTCAGGAGACGCAGTAAGCTGGCGAATGTTTACTGAGGCACACGGGGAGCTAGACTTTGACGAGACTATTCTATACTGGCCTCGGTTGCGCAGAAACAGTTTCCAAGAACTTGTCAGTCTGAAATCTCGTCTCCTAGAGCTCGAGGGCTCCTGTGATGAGAACTGCCTCACCTATTACCCACCTACAGGCCATCGAGCCTCTACACCAATCTCTTCTTGTACAAACTTTCACCATCTTCGTGTAACAAAACAACATGGTACGGCGTTCGGAATCTTGCATCTTTCTGCATCCAAGTAAAACGTGACATGTAATTTTAGAGGAGAGGGCACATCACTGGTTGCATAGAGGAAAAAACCATTTAATGCACAGAATATATTGTTTCGTAAACTCCTCAAGCAGGAATGAAAGCCTGGATGCGGCGCACACAAAAACCCAACAATGCTCGTTCTATCAAAACGTCAAAACGCCCGCTTACCAACAGAAAACAAAAAAAAAACGAATCATGCTGGTACCCAGAACAAAATCGTGCCTCGAATGCAAAGGAGGCACGATGGAAACACAGAAAACGTTAGTCGTAACTTCCAAAGTTGGCCTCGAAAAATTCCAAATGAGGCACAACGAAACCAGAGCACTTATTACTCATCCTCTTCATCTTCATCCTCTTGCCCGGGATGCTTTGGCTTTTTCCCGTTCGTCTTCCTTGGATGAATAAGCAAATTGGGAGCGTATAGGTTACCGCCTTCATTCAACAACATATCCGGCAAAATCGGGTTGTCGACCTCGTTGATATACCAAGGATTCGCCAAATCTTCGGGCAAAGTCGTCCACCACTGCCAACTCATACCATTGGTGAAGAAACCCATCGAACTGCCGCGGTATCGTGCAGGACCGTTGGCAATACCATCAGGGAAGGCGTTCAGACCGCCTCCATTAAGAGCAAACTCCATCTCATGGCGGTCACGTCCAGGCCACTGATACACCGGAAGAGGTATACCACTGATCTTAAGGCCGTGCCAGAGAGCAAAGCTGGGTAGTGTGGCTTCTGAAGGGATGGCCATGCCTGAATGTGCTTGAGCGTGATGGACCGCGTTTAACAAATTCCAGCTCGCGCGGCCTTGAGCAACGACTGAGACAAACACAGGTAGCTTTGATCCCATGGAGAAGCCATATTGCCATCCCTTGAACAGCCAGTCCTCGTCGCGAGAAGCATCTTCCAAGGTGTTGAGAAGGATCAGATCAGCCTCTTCACCCACTCCCCACAAGAAGGGCTCTTCGCAAGAATTCTTGACAGGCGGTTTGGGGCCAATAGGATCGAAGTCATGGATATCGACATTGCCCCATACAGAAGAAGTTCCGTTCAGCTTATCGTCGATAGTGCTGAAGAAGTCGTCATATGAGCCATGGTAATCCGACATGTACGCCCAAGATGCTCTTTCGCGAGCTTGCTTGCGCGGTTCATTCCTGGCAAAATCCGAGAACTTGTCAAGCATATCTCCAGTGTGTCCCAAGAAGCGCGAGTCGACTTCTATCTGCCAGTAATGATCAAACTCGGGATAGAACTGAGCAAAAATCTGCAAAGGCTGCATGATTTGCATGATGGCCAGATGCTCGCCGACATCAGGATACCAGCTTTCCAGTAGAGAGTCATCGAAAAGTACAGCAATTTTTTGAAATTCCGGTGGAACTGCTTCGCGGAGGATGCGGTCATATGCTTCTGGGTTTGTGTGAATGCCTGCCTCGTTATCTTTCACATCGACCAGAAGAAAGACGGCATATTCTCCACCGGTTGCAAGGGCAGTCTCTGCGACAAGCGATCTCAAGTTCCACATGTCCTCTGGATGGTAGTTGTACGTAGACCACACACGAACAACGATAGCCGAACGATGGAATGTCTGGGTGGCCGGTCTGGGATTGATGCTCGGAGTGGTGAACACAGAAGGTAGCCACTTCTCTTGCCATGACCTTTTGCGGTATGTGAACCTTGGATGGCCGTCATCGAAAGCGTGGGCATTGGGAAGTCGTTGGTGGTTGGCCTCTGAACAATTGTTCTGCAAGTCTGCCCAATCGATGGTGGACCAGTCTACTCGACTTCTGGTGTAATTTTCCTCGTCTTCTCCCAGACCATATGGACCGTATCTTTCGGCAGCCGTGAGCCAGGACTTGTCGAGATTGAGGGCTCCATACGAGCCACTTAGAGGTGGTGGATATGTGTGGTTTTCGAACTGTGCTGGATGGAGCTGATCGTCGTAACTCTCTGACATGAGTATTCCTCTGGGACCGAGACATGATACGCGTTGGTTACGGAAGTCGATGATCGCATCGTTAGAAGGCGTAGGTCGCACGAATGAGGATCGAGTGCTGGATGGAGCGGAGTCGGGCGATGGTGAAGCCTTGACAGTATACGGAACATGTTCGGGAAGATGATGCTCTGAAGGAAAAGAAAGTGTATACAGTAGAACCGAGATAACAAACAAGACGACAGTAGCAACGATATGCCTATATCGAGTACTGGAACGAGCGACGTTGAGAGGAGCGTACATGATGCCGCCTCAGCCCAATCTGCTTCTGTGCGAGGTCTGAGCGAGGCAGCAAACGACAGAGGAAAGAACAGAGATGGACATCTCGATGCAGAGACAACAGACCGCGCATGGGGACCTGCCTGAGGACCGACTCGGCCACTGACGTGCCAGGGCTGAAGAAGGGCAAGGACTCACCGCAGCGGCCACTGCCTTCCACGACTCGCTTGGATCAGAAACACTTGGATATCGCAGAGCCAAGCATGCGCTTGATAGCAAAGTGTCCTTGTTTCGCCGACAAAGTCGTCGTAACGCATGGCCATGGCGCCGTCTGGGCGCAGATATCTGCTGTCCGCTATTGCCCTAAGGACCGTATGCATCAAGTCAAGGACCCGTGAGACCTCGCTACTGGCCAGAGGCTACACATGTGACCAGAAAGCATACCGGAAACAAGAAATGTCCAAGAGATAGATGTACAGTAGACTTTCTTTGTCCCTGTGTCACTCGTCGGGCCCTGTCCTGCATGCGATCCGAAGCCGAGAAAACGTTGAGAATTTGTCTCTCGCTTGTCAGGCCATGTCAAAAATGACGTCGTTCCTGTCTCCTGTTTCACAACAAAGGTTCAGAAACAGTATCTCAACTCCACATCGTCTTGATCATTCTTGGCATAGAAATGCATAGTACTTACCAGAGAGAGGTCTCGTCCATTGAGAGCCAGGATATTCCTTGATCTCAATGGACAAGGACCAAATTTACAAAGTGCTGTGAATTGTGATAGTCGACCCTACAAGCAATTCGAGAGCACCAGAGTCGTCATGCCATCTCATCTCCACCTTGCCTTGATAATGTTGGTATGCAAATGCACAATGGTCACAAGACAAAGAGGTCGCCTATTGGGAGCGAGGAACATCCTGGCTCTTATTGGACAAGGCCCAGATCTACAAAGTGCTATGCCTTTTGATACCTGGTTCTACAAGCAATTAAACAACACTGGGAGTCGCACGATACAGCACACGTCAGTAGCCCGGGTTCTAAAAGGGGTTGATGTTCGTTGTCATTTCCATAATCCTACAATCGTAACTTTGTCTATCCTGTCCCCACGCAAAAATCTGCCGGTGCCATCTACCTACGACCACCAGGGATATCGGGCCCGGTGCCGTAGGGTACTCCGTGGTAGGAGAAGTAACCGGGCTGCTCCAAGGTGCCCGGAGGAGTGGCGGAAGTGGCGGCGGGAGGGGCGACGAGAGGAGGGTCGAAGAGGGGACCGAAGAGAGGGTCGACGGCACGAAGGCCAGGGGCGGGACCAGGAGGAGGAGGAGGGGCGGCGTGCTGGACAGGAGGCACGATTCGGGTGCTCTCGGCCTCTTCCTTGACCGCGGCCACGATGGCGGCATCAGGTGCCTTCTCGGCAGGGAGAGGGTCACGGCGATGAGCCCTCAGCACATGGGTCTTGAGGGTGTCCCTTCAAGAGATCAGCCTCCGTTCATCAATCATATGCAACTAAAGATACCTTACTTTCTGGCGCAGGTCACGGTGCAGGTGGGCTCGGCGCACTTCCAAGGCTTGACCACAAAGTGCTTGTGCACTATGTGTGACTGCATGTGGGCAAAAACGTCGGTCCCGTAGGAGCATTGCTGGCGCTGGCAAGCGAAGGGGCGGGGGGCGGGGGGCGGGGGCAGCCATGTTGATCGATTTGATGGCAGGCGAGAAGGTTTGTGGATGCGCAACGCTGGTCTTGAGAATTGATGGACTGACTGCGCAGTTGTGGAAGCGCGGTGCCGGAGGTAGCCAAGGCGAAGCTGATTCTGATCCCACTTCCACCTCACTGAACAGCTTAACGCTTGACACGCTGCAATCCAGGACATTACTTCTTCGCATGCTGAAGAGGAGATCGACATCTATCCAGCACTCCAAGCCTGTCATAGGCTCCTCAACGTGGTCCGGAGACACCACATAGCCGTCTCTCTGATTCCAATAGAGGTCTGAGTTGATTGCCTTTTGACTGATAGCATGGATAGATGCCTGCACCAAGGCATCCACCTCGCAAGCTAGACGCCATTTCTCATAGCTAGGCACACTTCCTAGGCTCCATGCCTCTGGCATCAAGCCCGACATCCAAATTTGCCTCTCTCTTTGGATCCAGGATCGTCACCTCTACTCCTCGTGGCACATTTGACGAAGACGATGGCCGCACATGATAGACTCCGCCTGCGAGAGATGGACTCCTCATACCATACTGGCATGGTACATCTTGGTCCGGATTTAGCAGACCATTGACTCTCCTGACAACTTGTCCAGTTTCCTATATGCCGTGTATCTCCGCAAGATATTGAGCGCAATGGATCCGAGCATAGAGCGCCAGTAACAGTCGACAAAACCAGGCGCACTCCAGGATCAGTACCGAGACCAGAACCAGAACAAAGGCATCAACAGCACCAGACTGAAGAGAGTAGCTTCAGCTAGGTACCTACGTTTAGTTGATAAGTCAGACGCGTCGAAAGACATGATGATGTTGTTGTATGGAGGATGAGCAAGGAGAGATCGGCAACACGCAGTCAGTCCGGTCGTCGAGCTACGCACGGACGTTTCCTGGTTGAATTTCGGCATAGCTACATGTCGAGGATGTGACCCGGGTCCAAGCAGTCCGACATCAATATCTCCTCTACTCCATACTCAAAGGGTCTCTAAACCTTTTTGGGGGGACTTCTACAGCGTACTTGTATGTACAGTATCAAAAGCTACATCGTAGGCAACACGCTGACTGTGTTTCTGGCATCACAGAAATAAATCACGCTGGAGTCTAGAATACCACGGAGAAACACGATAATGACAAGCCTATCTTGTCATGTTTAAGACAGGCAAGGGCATTTCCGTTGTACATGCTTCAATACGTCTAAGTTATCGGATTTTGGAACAAATTCAGCAGGAGGAGCTGCAAAAAGAACAGAAGCATTGCTAATGTGACCAGACATGCTAGACGAACATATCGCATCCGCCGTATTCGCCGTATATACCCACATCACCGTATTTCCCGTATCTACACTCTGGACAAACGCCGACAAGCAAAGAGAAAGAACAACCGACAAAAGACTAGCAGAAACGAGAGAACAAGAGCTCCCAGTACCAATCATGCTCATGTATCGGAGACCAAGAAGGTGATCGTGCATGTCACGATGTACAGCCCGATCTTCCAACAGTAGAATCAAAGCAATAGTGTATGCGCACAGCGACCTCGCATTGCGGTCTGTCGCAGACATCCCAGGCTTCTTTCTATTACAATATGGAGCGCCATCGAGAGGCAGAAAGTAGTACCATTCTGGTCGCAGAGGGCCATGCGGCGAAAGCCATTCAGGACCTGACACGACTTTCCAATTTACATGTGTAGCAAGTTTCGTACACGAGACCTACAAGAAAAAAGGGTTCTGTATACAAACTATGTGCTAATCTAACCTCTTCTGCGAGTGCTAGGGCTCTTGCCCTTGGGTTCAGCACTGGTGGTCATAGCAATAGCCTCTTTTCTTCCCGACTCGTTCAACTTGTGCGAAGGTGCGCTGGCCTTGCTGGGAGCGCTGTTCCAGTAGTAGATCATCTGGAGAGCGAGAACGGCGTTGAGGATGAAGCCAGAGACGAAACCGTAGAGGATGAGTTTGTCGTCGACTTCTTGGAGGGTTGTGAAGATGCGCGAGAGGGAGCCGAAGAGGTAGTTAAAGACCTGGAAGCAGCGAGGTTAGTATACACCGAGCAGAAGGTGGTGAGATATGACTTACGGCGAAAGCGCTCAGTTGACCGGTGCCACCCTGTTGCCAGACAGTCATGATCTGGGGCAGCTTGCTGGCAACACCAAGGGCACCAGCGCCAGCTTGGAGGAGACCCATGGTCTTCATATCGATGATGCTGGGGTTGAAGAGCGAGTATCCAGCAGCAGCCAGACCGGCGACGAAAGCAGCGGCAGCAGCACCCTTGCCGCTGTACTGCAGAATCAAGGCTGCAATGGCAATGTTTTGGACAGCAATGAAAGCAGTCTCACCATAGGTGCTGAAGGGGAAGCCCATACGAGCATTGTAGGCGAGCGAGATAAGGTACGAGCTGGTCTCGAGAGCGTAGGCCAGGAAGCTGAGTCCAGCAGCCGACTGCGAGTTGAGGAGCTTGAGCAGCTGAGGAATCTTGACAACAGCAGATGCGCCGATAATGCCTATACCGAGACCCTTGGAGATGGCCAGCTTGAAGCATGGAGCGTTGCTGAGTTGGACATCGTGGATCAGAGTCTTGTAGCACTCGGTTCCAAGCAACGAGATGCCAATGTCGCGGATTGGTCCAGGAAGATTCTGGGTGATGGGCTGTAGCACCGGGCGCAGGGCGGATTCGAGATGCTCCATGGTTGGCTTTCAATCAAGTTCTGGAAGGGTGTCCCAAATTTCTGGAAGTCGCAAACAAAAAAGCTTCTCCTGTTTCGTGTTGATGCCAGCTGTCGATCGAGGGGCGGCGCGTGTTTGGCGTCATTGTGGGGTTGGCTTCCCCTTTCGGTCCAACACTTCGATAAACGTGGCACCTTCGTTCTGGACACACAAGAGACCTTCTACTAACTTACAGTCCATGGTTTGAACCTCACCTGCGGCATTAACACACGGTTTGCCAGTCTCAGTCGTGCACTCAAAGCAAGCTTGAAGCACACGAGCCGACAAATCACATCTTTCTAGCCGAGCTGCTGCTCACCAGTCGTCAATCGAGGTAACGCATGGAGACAAGCTTGCCCCACTACTATCACCATGCCGAACATCACTCGGTCGTCCTTGCTCTTCCTGTACCCGGCCTCATACTCCGCATGTCTCTAACCAAGCTGCTTGCGACCTGGCTTCCTTTTTCTTGCCCAATGTGCTAGAGTCCGGCCGCCTCTGACCCTTTTAACACTTACAACAAGTCTTCGTGTTGAATCTTGTGCCCGAAACCGTTTGTCTCGGGTCTCTGACCATGATGACGCCCTTCTCGCCTCCAAGCTTCTCCTTTTCGCCTTGCCTGTCTGTCAAGTACTGGATACCGTGTCGAGATCCCGGAGCTCAAACTCGACCTTGGTAACCATCGTATAGCGATCCAGTGACTTCTTCACGGACCCTTGGTCCTCTATTGACTTCGTCCTCTTCCTAGAACATGGATATACACAATCGTCTTGGGATGGTAGGTTGTGGTGTGAGAGACGGCACTGATACGTTGAGAGATGCGTATACAATCTCCAGTGCATGGAGAGTTTACGCTGCCCTGGTGTGCATCAATTGTCGTGTGGATCAACCTGAGATGCAAGTATTATGAGACAGTATTGATCTTTCATGCTAAATATGTTACAGCGTTCCAGGTTCTGGTCTTTCCATGGACTCTCCTCAGTCCGAGACTCAGACTTCCAGCCCATCTCCTGGCTTTAACAAGCACACACACACACACACACAGATATCTGGACAATATGGATCTTACTGCCTCACAGCATAGCGAGACTTCATCCACTGCGGAGACCATCGGACTCCTGTCTCTCCAGATCAAATACTATACAATGCTTAACAATCTGGGGATCTCATGGTAGCTGCGGTATTGGCGCACTTCAACTCTCCTTGGCCCAAAAGGTACCTAGTTGACGAGCCGAATTACTCATTGGAAGGGTTCAGCTCTTGAAGCACAATCCAGAGTCCGACAGCTATGTCCAGTCCTTCAATGGCCATAATCTCTGACAGCGGGACTGTCATCCGGCATCTTGGTTCCCGCTGAGTCCATATCGCTCAACGTATTGTCACTCAGTACGCCTTGGCCATCTACATGGTTGTCGGTCACGCTTGGCTATTTGCTTTGCGACCACCGTCCATCGCTGTCGCTCATCGTCCATGAGATGGCAGCAAGTTCACTGCGAAAGTCCTGGAAGCATAACCCTATCACACGCGCTACTGGTTGAGCTATCCCAGCAAGTCTCGTGGTCAAGCTGTACGACACGACGCAGATGCATGTTCATATACCGTTTGGGTAGCACACAGAACATGTCAGCAGCCAGTTGTGTCACACAACTTGATCATCAGACCTGCCGGGGTAGCTCAATCGGTAGAGCGTGTGGCTCTTATCGCTACGATATATCACAACCTCAAGGTCGCGGGTTCGAGCCCCGCCTTCGGCTATTCCTATACATTCGCTGTCATTCTTTTTGACGATCTGATCTGATGCCAGAAAACTCATTTTTGCGGCATTTGAAATTCTCATGAAATTTTCTATCAGCCTGCCAAGATTTTCACGGATCATCGCTCGCGCACGGACGTCGTGCCAAGCCCGACTCAAATTTTTCTCCATGTCGTGTTTTGGAACCTTTGCCGACTGTTTCTTTTGCCGTGTGCATGCCTCGAGTTGGCCATCGAATGGGTTCATGTTACGCTTCAAGACGCGTTCCGCTCAGGTGTTGACGTGATTCGATCCAGAGGCACACTGTTGCCTCTACCGGAATGTGATTGAGGAAATTCTGTCATCCGATGCTCTGCAGTCTTCTTGTGAAGATGGAGATGTACTAGAACTGTCAGTCTTGCAGCAGAACACGACACAAACACCTCGGACATGTTTGACACGTTGTTCACCTCTCTCGGCTCGATCTTCAAAATGAGAAGATTGCATCTTATCTTTTCTACAAAACCTATACGTTCTTCTGTTCCAACTAACCTAGCAGATTGCACCTCACCATTGCAGTCTATTCTGCACACAGTATTGTATGTATGCCTCTTTCGTCAGTTCTCACCTCTTTCCGCTCACGCTCACCCCTCAAAATGATGATTAATATATTTCACTGATGGCAACCGGAGATTGAATCCCTCCATGCCTGAACGATGTTTTTTATTATTAGCTCTATCTGATCTTTTTTCCACTTGCTACCACTGTCAATTCACATTTGTCTTTATCTAAAGCATCATGCTAATTCGAATGTACAGGTACGAAGGACTTTGGCTGAAGGTCAACGATGTTGTCATAGGGGGGTATGTAGTATGTAGTAGATTAATGCATCTTTCTTGCAATGCACTTTTTGTCCAACGTCCTGCTGTCATCGATTCATCTGCGTTCTCATCTTCTAAACAGCCATCGACAAATCACATCAAGCCCAACATGAGAACTTCGCGTCAACGTTTACTGTCCATCTCTCACGTAGAGTCATCCAACAAAACGATTGTTGTCATGATGATCCGACATCGAGAACGGGTGATTCTGAACACACGTCTCACACGACATTCATCTCGCAGTACTTTGTATGCTGGCGGAAGCCTCGAGCCTCTTTCCTCCTTCTGCTCTGCAACGCTTATTCGATCTACCTCGAGACGAATATCACCATACCAGTCTTTTCTGTTCCCTCCCATCTTCTCACTCATCAAAAAGCGCATACGGCTGACAGACGGCAATGCCCGTACGTGCAGGGATGGTAATACTAATCGGAAAGTCGCCATAATCGGGATTCTCACTGGGCATGATAGCGAACTTGCCACTCTGGGTCTCGTCTCCATTCAACAGACGAACCGTCCTCAGTGCTCCAGTCTTGACATCCTCGACTTCCACTTCTTCAAATCTAAGGATACCGTTGAAGTGGGCTTCGGGGCTCTTGTGCTTGAAAGTGACTTGGAAGCCCCATCCGATGAGCAAGAAGTTGTCGTCTCCGGTCCAAATCACCATTCCTGAGCCAGCTGATGGTCGGCCGAAGACGAATGATCGTTCAATCATCAAGTTCCAATTTCCAAATGTGGCAGTGACTTTTTGCGAGGGATCTGAGCCATCCGTAGCCATTTCATCGAAGAAGAAACCCACACTGGCGTCTCCTTTGGCTTGAGCAGTGAGAATGTAATGTTGCACCTTGGCCAACAAGCCGTAGTGTTTTCGGAAAGGGCTCTGCGTAGGATCCACAGTTTCGCAGCCGAAAGGCGACGTCCCCAGACATGCGTGCGAGCCAAATGCATTCCAGATACGCAATGCACCGTACTCGTCTCGTCGCTGCTCTGGAATGAACAAAGGTTGGTTGTTGTGCCGATACTTTCTGCACGACGTTGCATAGTCGTTGAGATAGATATCCGGGGCGATGAACTCGAGCGAGGGTGTGAATGATTGCCAGACGTCTAGCACATCTATCACACCTCCACCGGATGGGTAGTCTCCTGGGTCTGAGCCACCTCCGACGATGGGTGGGAGGTTAGTGTCTGCATCACTGTCGATAATGTTCTGCCAGACATTTGTGTATAGCGGCAGGGGATAGACTGATCTTCCGGCAGCAGCAATTCCGTCCACGTATCGAGCGTAGGCAAATGCCATAAACAGCTCGTCGATCCGCTTGGAGTTCCCAGGTAAGTTCTTCCACGTCATGCCTTTGTGAACCGTAAATTGGCGAAGCTGCCCGAGATTACGCTTAAATGTATCATTGAAGCCAGACCAGTCCCTCGAAAGGAAGTCACAGAATTCCTCGGGCAGTGGTGCTGAGAAGCGTGCTTCGGCAAGCTCACTGCGATCTCTCGAGTCACCCAAACAGCCGACTTCGTTCTCCACCTGTACCATGATGACGGTAGAATGCTCTTCGTCCAGATCTTTCAGGTGCTGCATGAGTGTTTTGAAAGCTTTGGCATCAGCCTTTTGTGCCTCTGTACCAAAGATTGTCAGCACGTCGCCTGTAGTCAGCTTCCCATTTGCACCACGCATCTTCATCCTCGGGAATCGCTTGGGATTCTGCTTGACCCAATGTGGTGTGTAAGTAGAGAGACCTAAACTTTGGTTATAGTCAGAAGTTCCACAGGGTTCGGGACGGCAGACTCACCATTCTTGAAGCTGCCAAACCACAAGAGCACAACATGTAAACCATGGGCCCGAGCATCCAGCAGAACCTGGTCCAGAGACTTGAAGTCGAAGTTTCCTTCTGTAGGCTCGATCTGCTCCCAAGATACAGAACCGAGTACCGTGTTCATGTTCATAGTAGTCAGCTTGTCCCAGACATCTCTCATGTATTCTGGTGAGCTGAACGACGAGTTCTGAAGTTCCCCGGCCAGCATCAGAAAGGGCTCACCCTTGACGACCAACTGCTTCGAGTCGACCGTTTGACGTAGGTAGGGTATATGTGAAAATGCCATTATTTCTGAGTAGACCAGGGTATCCTTGAATGGTAGACGAAAGAGGAGGTATTGAATCGAAGAAGCCACAGAGACATGCTCATCGTCACCTTTTACAACGCCAGGCATCAACGCCGGCTGAATACATGACTCGGCCGGTAGCTCTACCAGGAAACATGCTGTCGCTATTTTGGCAAAGATGGCTGGGTAATATAAAAGTAGAGCGGCATGCGGAGCACCCAGCTTGCCCCTCCTTCGGCAAGCTTCCGACCAATCGTCCCTTTCCGATGAGGCTAAAGTTTGTCACTCGGAGCTGATGGATAACAAACACTTACACATAATGTGGAACGGTTATTCACAAGATGGTGTTTTTTCTCAGAGCGAGCTTCTCACACACTTGTCCGCCAGACGACCGCTGACTACCTTGTCCTTGTGGACTACTGGTGTGGCGACTGATCTCTAGCCTCCTTGAATGCAGCTTCCACATCATGTTCGTGAATCCACTCAGCGTATGGTCTTGTCCTCAACTTCTCTCTGAGCTGCTCATCGGTTTCCTGCTCTTCTCCACGACCCCATAGTCGTTCGTTGTTTGCATCATACATGGCGTGCACCATTCTCAAAACCTTCTCGCAATGTGGCTTTCGTGCACCAACGTACAGGCTCAAGATCTGCTGTAGCTCAGCCGCTCCAAGGTCCAGTCTGCCAGCAGGAGACACCTTCTCGAGGAACGATAGGTAAAGGCAGTAAGCATCGTCAATGCCGAGCGAGGCATTCGCAGCCAATGCTCCGCCGTGAGAATGCGCTGCATCGCCTACAAGCACAACTCGACCGCCAAATTGATACGTGTCAAGGAAGCCGCCGTAGAAGTTCGGATAGGTGCGTACGTTGGGTGCGGCTCCAACGATATCCCTCACGACTGGGTGGAAATCTTTATACATCTCTCGGAGTGTGGCGGTGTCTGTTGTCTCGTCCCAATGGGTCTTTTCGAGCAGGTGTTCGTTCTTGGAAGGATCGACGCCGTGGAAGGCTACGATGCCGTATTTGCCTCTGCCCATTCTTGTTCCTAGGATACCGTCTCGAGAGGACCACTAAATAATGAAGTCAGATGTGAGAGGTCTGCTGCATGAGGGCGCAACATACCCATTGTGTTGTATCCTCCGGTACGTCTTTGACACCATCAAGCAGTTTGACGTCAAAAGCAGAACGATAGGCAATCAAACCCGACCACTTCAGCTCAAACTCCGGAACAAAGAACCCACGAACGGCTGAATGGATACCATCTGCACCAATGAGCAGGTCTGCGTGTATAATCGTAGCATCCGCAAACTCGACATCCACACCTTCGCTCTGGATTTTGACGTCGACGACACGCTTTTTGAGGTGTATGATTTCTCTGGGCAGATACTGTAGTATCGCCTCTTGTAGATAGGGACGATAGTACCTGGCCATCTTATGCTTTTCTTCGACATGTGCTGTGTGTTGTTCTCTTCCCACCGCCTCGTTCGTCTTCCAGTGTCTGTCACCATTAGCATTATCCTATTGCGGGAGGGACTACGAACATACCTCAGTGTCTGTGGTATGCCACTGGGACACTTGTAACCTATCTCATCGGATAGTAGTTTATACAAGCCCAGCTTTTCAAGCGTGCGCAGGCCATTGGGGTTCAGTGCGATGACCTGTCCCAGCTCTCGAAGCTCGGTCGCACGTTCATAGATTTGTACATCAACATTAGGGAGTTTGCGGAGAGCGATGGCTGTTGTGAGACCGGTGATTCCTGGTAAGGGGGTAAGCGAGATAAGATTGTGCGCGACTGATTATGGCATACCGGCGCCGATGATGGCGATTCTCAAAGTCGGCGTATCGGTCATTTGTACGTGCGCGTGTATGAGGAGTTTGACTTTGAGCACGAACTTCTACATGTCCCCAGAGAAGGATCGCTTAATCAGTTGGGGCTGCTCGTATAGTAGGTGGGGTTGTGCAGAGATCATCTCGCCGTTTCACCATCATTTCGAGACAAGTCATGGGTGGTTTATCAGATGCTTCAATATTCGTGGGGTATCAACCTCTACGTGAACCTCCCATCCCAATTCCGGTTCTACGCGTCATGAAAACCAGACGGACGTCGTTAGAACAGAGGGCCACTTGCTCAACCTCCTAGACCGCCCGCCCCTGCATGCTTCCCCTTTGGTATATATGTGTGAGTCCAACAAGAAGAGACAAAGAGAAAAAGTCGTGCCCCATAAATGTCATGCTGTGTAAAAGTGGGACCAAGGCCTTTGTGGTCTCGAAGAAAGGTAAAAACGCCGTGTACGCCTTTTTGTAGGATTGGTCAACCCCAGAGTCCGCTGGAAATGCAAGTTCAACAAGGAGACTGAAAGACTTTTGCGCTTAGACCGAGTACTTGGCCTTAGCACGGGTGGAACCGGCGTTGGCAGAGTCGGAGTGACCCATGAACTCGACGGGCTCCTTGTCTGTGACCTGGAGGACCTCCTTGAAGCGGTTGCCGATCTTCATGAGGATAGCCTGCGACTCCTGAGGGGTGCGCTGGGGCTGGCCCTGCTTGGTGGGGTTGGCCTTTGTGCCGGCGCTGCGAGTCCAGAGGCCGATACGGTAGAAGGCCTTGCGGATGTTGATGACGACACCCATGACCTCGTTGTCGTTGTCATCCTCGAGCTGCTCACCAATGGCAGCGAGCAGGACGTGGAGCCAGATGTCGTCGTTGGCCTGGCGCTGCTTGAAGGTGTAGGACCAGCGGCCACCGTGCTTGTTCTGAGGATCTTCCCACTCAGGGCGGACGCCTTGCTTGAAGAGGTGGTAGTCGGACTTGGGAGCGAGCTCGGACGAGGGGGTGATGTTGTTCTGAGAAGAGTATGGTTAGAAGGAGGGCTGTGGACAAAGGCCGAGACGATGGCTTACGTAGATGCCCCAAAACTCCTCAACACTGTTGAAGCTAATGACCTCCTTCAACAGCTCGTTCCAGTCTTGCTGCAGAGAGAGTCAGAATGCGCCTAGCTATTGAGTGAAGGTGGTCAAGTACCTTTCCACTTGGGGGCTTGGTGAACCAGAGGGTCCAGGTGTGAGCGAGCGGGTGCTTGACATTGAAGTTCTCGGGGTCGTGGAAGACGGTGACGACGTCGCCAGAGCTGGGCGTGGGAGCAGAGTCCGAGGCGGCATCACCACCCTCGGGCGAGACGGGGATGGTGTCGAGAGGGACGGGCGATTGTGCGACGTCGGCCATGATGAGACGAATTGAGGATGAGGCGAGTGTTGAGAGATACGGTGGTTGTGTATGCGACAGGGAGCTTGTCAAGAACGAGAAGGAGCTTTTGTGTTCTGGACTGTGAATCTTTCTGTCAAACTGGAAGGCACGATGCGCGACGCTGCACTTCTTTCTTGCCGCAAACGCGAATGCGACGGAGCTTGCCGCCTGTATTTTCCTCCTCACAGCTGCTGCAACCACTCTCCGCCCGTCACTGGATGATCGTCACTGACAAATGATTGAGAGTCGCTCGGAGTATTCACTTGAGCGGCATATGGTCCTGCACAAAGGTGGGGAATGCTATGATGATTGGGATGGGTATCTTAGGAAGTAATCATCACAGGCTAGTGGGTGAGGAGAGAAAATAAAATGCCTTGCAGTTGACCCATCATGTCCTCATAGCACCTGCTCGTTGATGTATCGCTTCATGCCATCGAACTGTGTGCGCCCAGTCGAGATGAGGTAGCGTATGTGTCCAATGTCCTGCACATCTCTATGTCTCTCGAACTCGGTGCGCGCATAGTCTCGCATCTCTCTCTTTGTCGGCGAACCTGGAATTTCTTCGACCTGTCAGTACCTGACGAATGTGATTTTGAGCGCGACAGACGTACTGATGATGGCGCGCATGATTTCGCGCCAGAGGCTCAGCGCCTTCTTCTTTTGCATGAACTTTTTCTCCCCGTCAGCCATTGCCAATCACACAGTCCAGGTCAAGCGCCTACATGTTCCAGCGTCAAGACATTCTTTCCTCGAAGAAGCGACTTTTGCGTTGCTATCCTCGCCCATAAAATTGCTGTTGGTCGCATCATATTGAAAACGAGTTCATTCTTGTTGATGTCGTCGTCTACATTTCACGGAGCATAAATCAAAAAGTCCAGCCCCCGGGGCCGTTCGGCTGACGTACCTGATGAAACACGAACAAAACACCGTCGCGTCTCCTGTCCAGCAAACTTCTTCTCACCCCAATAGCAGAACACAACAATCCTCCCTTTCAAGCATGACGAGTGCAGCGGCAGAAATGGAGATCAACAAATGGCAACTTTGGGGCATCAACAAATTCCTTGAGGTGAACGCTCCACTGTCCCTGACGCAAGAACGAGATGGCAACCCGCCGACCCTCGATCTGGTCAAATCACTATATCACGGAGACGAACAAGAGGCGAGAAAGCTCTTGAAAGAAGCCCAGTCTTCACTCAAGAGTATGGACTTACGATGGGTTGTCTATGGGGCTTGTGAGTTCCTCAGCAACTTCCCATTGCGAACATCTAAACAACATGGCCATGTGCTTCTCAATGACAGCGATGTCTTTCGCACCTTTGGCAGGAAGGTGTCTCAAGGTACAAAACTTTACATTGAAGCAGGTGAGGCTTACTCGCGTTTCCGTAAAATTAGAGACCTCAATCGCCTGTCAACGCTCCAATTCATCAAGGACTATGTGCCAGCCGATATGATGGAGTACAAACGCCATGCACAGAGGACCGAGCAAGTGTCGGAGTCAGCACCAATATTCAAGATTGAGTTGTTGGCAAGTTCCAAACTTTTCGAGCAGGTCAACGCAGAAGTCACGGAAGCGCCCAGGACTCCACAGACCCTATTCGAATTGATCAAGCATACAAGCTATGAAGACTACAATGCAAGTAGCCAGGGCTGGGACGATGAAAACAAGCTGGGGGAGATGAAGGATGAAGACATGCGCTACCTGATAGTAAGACTTAAGGATAGCCACCAACCCAACTTGGAAAAGCAATGGAGCAAGGACCAAAAGCTGGATTCATTAATCACTGGCTTTTTGTCGTTCATGATTACTCAGGAAGAAGAAGAGAACGTCGTCTACATCTACGAAATCCACATCTCCGAGCACTTTCGGGACTGTGGTCTGGGACGCCATCTTTTCAGCATGGTTGAGCACATCGGCGATGTGACTGAAATGGACAAAGCAATGCTTACCGTCTTCAAACGCAATACTTACGCACGACGGTGGTACGACTCTCGCGGTTACAGTGTGGACGAAATCAGTCCCAGACCTAGGAAACTAAGAGGAGGAAGATCCATCGAGCCTGACTATGAGATCCTAAGCAAGCGCCTACAGGAACAAACAAACAAGAAGCTCAAGTCTGGTTGACGTTGTTAGTTTGCTGCAGTCTGTCGGCTAGCTTGTCTCATGCCACGACCGAGGGACTGCACGCACGCTCCGACAGTAGAGGACACCACTCTGCCTACAGTTCACCCGCGATTCGTCCATAGCATTTGATCCACACATCAACGGGCAAGCCATTTTCGGTGAGCAGATATGAGCTACGAGCTGCGGTCTGCCAGAATAGTATATGCATCGCTGAATCCTTCGGCCCACTGCGTAGCTGCATCGGCTCTTCCAATGACCTACGTGGGAAAATTATGACAGCCTCCCTCGTAACGAGGATGAGTATGATCACGCAGGATCAAGTCCTTGAGCATATGGGTTCTGGCATATGTCGAACCCAGGTCCACACGGCCCTAATCTCCGCCTCAGCCATAGTCCACAGCGGCGTTGTTCCCCGTGTCCGTATACACACGACCTCGAAAGCTCTTACCATGCGCTTTTGTTTTCCGACACGAAATTCAACACACCCATGACCATATGTGGCGATCGACGAGCGATCCTACGCAACACATAGCGGCTCGACTCTTGACTGGTGCATCAGCCAGCAGCTGGAGATGCTATAATCACCTTATAGAATACCATGCTACGGGCCATGGTCCGATGCCTAAAGCCATGTTGCTCCTTGTTACTTCTCTTGACGCAAAAGAGTCAAAAAGTGTATCGACCGATCTGTTCAGCTGAAGGGTTGTATGCAATGTACCTTTGCATTACGGACTCGCCTCTGGGATGTTTTGGCGGACCGGACGCCGTGACTTTCTTCAAGCTCAGAGTTTATTTAGGAAGGATCTGGATAACCTGTACAGCAAAAGTAGATCTCGCGCGCTTGCCACCGAAATGTCCCATGCAGCTCAAGATGTGCATCTCCCGAACATGACGTCTTCAGCACAAAATGATAATATGCGCAAGAAAAACTTCATGCCTGGAGGGGTTTGATTCCTGTCTACGGTCTGTTCCGTATAAATTCAAGGGCCCAGGTAATATCAAAGAGTGATCAGGCCAAGAGATCTCGTGTGTAAATCTCCACACGGAGGCGGACTTCAAGACTGGGTAGATCAAGATTGTGGAGCAAACCATGATGCTCAAACCTGCAACCATAGCCCCGGTCCTAACATCTGGCGTGATACGCGCTCCCTCTTTGACGACTGCTCACTTTGTCATGTGCTAAGAGATGTCACGCGGACAGCTATGTTCAGTGGGCAGATATGAAGCATCCACCGAGAGTCGTGATGTATCGGCTTCTTATGGACTTTGCTGCCACTTAAAAAGGACTGTGTATTTTGATGGCTTTGGCTTCACCTAATCGTCGATGCTCACATGCGCAGGCAGCTGTCAGGATTCCTCCTGTTTGGCTAGCTCTGAGAACATGGTTCGTTCTAAGACGAGAGCTGCATGAAGAACCTGGACGCTCGGGACTTCGAGTCATAAATCCCATGATACGGCATATGGGTGCACGCCGTTTTAATAGCAGTCTCTACCATGAAAGTCTTCTCTTGAGATATTGTTGCACGCCGCCGTCCGGCAGGAACGAACCTACTGCCTGCCTAAGCGCCAACAAGATCAACACGTCTTGTGCACCGGTACCTGAGCTATATAGGGCTTTGTAGGGGTGAGAGCGAGCTGTTCTGAGCGGAGCTGGGTCCACCATGGAGACGTATAGGCGGCTTCAATTTCGGACTCGTCTATCAACGTCGTTTGAGGGTCTTGATAGAAGCAGGTCGCCATACCAGGTTACATCAAAGCTAGTGCTTCTTTTTCTCCTGACTGTGCGTACAGACCCTGGGCTATAGTGCTGTGTTAGTTACGTTGAGATCAGACCCCATGTTCTTGCTCGTGTACATATGGGACCGTCAACCGACCTAGAGTCTTGACGCGAGGTGAATCTGCTTACAGCTTTGGAGCATGGATCGCTGTAGACGTAGGTACGTACTGTATCCATACCTGTACCCAAGCGAGAAACAGTGGCTTCCGCCTCTACCGAAACCATATTTTCGGTGGAAAAGTGCTTCGGACGCAGGCCCCGATTGGTGCTGAGGGCTCCTTGGCACACCAGCTGTCCACTAGCAGCCGCCTAAGCGCGCCTGAAATGAAGCTATTCTACCATTCTTCGCGACAATGGGGCCCGAAAGGGGAGTGGCTGAGTTCGTCTGACCAGCTAGCATTGCGAGCAGTATGGTACGCCGGCCCCGTGACATTCAGGGTCTCGGAGCTACAGAATGGCATAACATTCTCCAGGATGGTGTAGTTTCGACAAACAAATATCAGCTGTTCACGGTCAGAGTTCCAAAACGGCAAGCAGTCAGATACTTAAACCTTATCTCGAGCCAATCCAGTCCTCTATATCACAATTAGAGAGAATCCCACATTGAAGTTGTGACGAAACAAAAAAAAAATGACGTGAAACTTGACCGCCGCTAACACCGCTTTGCCGATTGCCCCGATTCGCCGACATCGTCAGCCAGGGTGCCTTGATCGCCGTTGAATAGCGCGTGCCTCCGTCAGTTACGTATCCGAGGATTGCAGCAAATCGCGACTATTTACCAAGCACGGCATATGCATCTGGCAAGCCACCAAACACCTGAAGATCGGACCCGCCGACACGCCCTGTAGTATGGAACCTTCTCGCAACGCTACTACTCTGGTGTACAAGCTAGACAGGGTGGGCTCGAGCGGGTTTCTGACAGGACTGACTTCCTGGTAGCTCGCCAACAGGATGCAGTCGACCCTCCTATATCCCTGCTTGCGGGGCACAAGGTGTTTACATGCTAAACGCTTTTTGTAAAGAACTCCACTCTTGTCTGATATGCTATCGAGATTGAGATGGTGTTATAAGAAGGCTCAGCTCATGAAGCCTCTTTCCGTTTGTATTAATTTTGTAAGATGCAAACCTCGTGGCGAAACAGGAGTCAACCCCGAGACAGGCACGGAATCATGAGAATTGGCCCATGCAGCTCAGACCTTCCTTATAGGGTTTTGATTGGCAACTGCACCCTCGAGCGGCGCTATAAAACTTTCTCTGCTAATCTTCCTCCTGTACCATCCCATACATGCTCCAAACAATCCAGGATGAAGCCTCGTAAGACGCACCTCAAGTCACGCACAGGATGTGCTACTTGCCGAGCGAGGCGCATCAAATGCGATGAATCTAAACCGCAATGGTATGTGTCAGCAAACAGCAACCACAACCTCCTCGTAAATGCTAAACCGCATCCATAGCATCAACTGTACTCGACGACAGGTCCGTTGTGACTTTTTGGGAGCCGCGTCTTCGTCGCAGACTTCCCCAGGAGATTCTTCACCGCAGGTGGCTCGCATCTTGCACGCTCTTTCAGATAGCGATGCAGATGGCTCTGTCGAACAGGAGCCCGATTCTCTTCTGAGACTGTTTCCGACAGATTGCCCGGACTTTTCGAAACAGGAACGCTTCCTGATCGCACATCTCTGTAGAATCAGCGATGGCCTCGTCGCGGTCGGCATGGACACGCTTGATTTTGGTTTCTCTGTGGTGCCAGAGTCTGTAACCCCCCAATCGCGTAATTAGACTGTTTTCTGACCGTGGCAATAGGGCTCTCCGCATAGCGGTCGACTGTTCATTTGTTCGACACAGCGCCTGTGGCCTCGCAAGTACTCATCTAGCACTTCTCACTCAATCCTCCAGTATCGTACACCTCGCCTACTACTACAAGTGTTTGGCACTTCGGGGACTTCGTGAGTCGTTGCGAGTACTCAACCAGGATAATGTTGACGCCATGATGGCTGCATCGTATCTGTTGAGCTGGCAAGCCTCCCAAAGGTTAGTGAATCTCTCGGTATCTCAGATCGCACTATTCCGGTGATGGTGACCGCTGATACTTCCACTCATTGCAGCCAGGAGTTTATGCAAATCATGAAAGGCGTTGATCTGGTATGGCAATTTCTCCCTATCTCGGTAACATACTGACGATTGCCAAGGCCCTAAACGAAATGGAAAACTTCGATCACAAGTCAAAGCTCCGTAGTCTCATTCGAAACCCAAGTAAGCCTAGGGAGCTCGAGACAGGCAATGCAGGAATTGCGCCCAATCCCTCCGAGAGCTCGGTGGAACTGGTTTGTTCAACGCTGAGGGAATTGCAAAAACAAGTCAGCGACGAACCTGAGCTTGTTCGTGGCACCAAGGAGTTGATCAACTTCATGCAGAACTTGCGAATATCACCACCAGGACCGACAGCTGATGAGCACCTCCAAGCATTGCATCCTATTCGTCATTGGGTACATTGGCTTCCAAGATCGTTGACCAGTCTTTCCGACTGCGAACCGCTTCCTCTGGTCTTTCTGGCACATTACCATATGGTAGTTTTAGCAGTTGAAGCGATTATCCCGGCCGCGCCCAACTTTCTCCTTGCGTCCAAGCGTGTGGAGTACATCGAACGACTCGAAGCAAAAATCGGCCAAGTGTATAGTCCGCCAGAAAAATTGCCCAAACAACCCGGCACTCGCAGACGAAGACAAAGTCTCGAGGACCTGCTGTCTGGCCCAGCGGCTTTTGCTCGGCAGTACAGGTTGACGAATCTGCTGTCCTCGGAGCGTCCTCCATTGCGGGGAGCGGATTCCTCATTCTCGGATTCGGGCACAGAGCCGCAGTGGCAGGACCCTGGTCCTGCCAACTTCACTCTGTACCAATAACCCTGGTTTTGATTGTTGCCTATCCTTCTTTCGAGTCCTATTGTGGTCGTTTGTTCACATCAAACGTACCAATCCTTTCCTTGCTGAAAACCCTATACCCATGACTCTTTGAGTTGCATCAGCTAATTTCACGCATTCGCATTCCCCTGCACGCAGAAACAATAAATTCAAGTTCGATGAATTTACACACCCAGGAAACATAGTCACTGTCCCATTGGCTTATACAGAACATAGCTAGAGCAAAAGCACTACCTTCCTATGCCACCAACCGCCGCCACTTACCTTCCTATACCGCTTGGAGCTTCATCATCTTTGCTCTTCTTACCCTGTCCTCGTTCTCGTTCCCGCCTCGCATTGCGCTTCGAAACTCGCCAAGTACTCGGATTTGCTCGGCCACGTGCTCAATTTTGGGCAAGCTGCAGCTCCCATTCCTGCGCCCTGTGGATAATATGCTGAGGCGAATCCGCGGCAATTCCTCGGATCTTTTTATATAACCGTAGATTTGCATCTCTGAAATCCGTTTTCCGGGTTTTGATCACAGCCGCCAGAGTGGGTCACAGACGCACTGAGATCTACGGTCACCTCCAACTTTATCTGGCTGACTGATATCCTGGATCCTCATCATCTGATTGTACTCAGCCATGCGACGTTTATATGTGTGTCAAACAGCTCCATTCCACATCAACAGGCGAGATGGCCGAGCGGTCTAAGGCGCCAGCTTAAGGTTCTTCCAACACGCTGGTCCGAAAGGGCGTGGGTTCAAATCCCACTCTCGTCACTATCCCTTTTGCCTTTTTGCTGCATATCCCTGCTGGCGACAGAAGACCCGGCACTGCGTCGAAATTTGCTTTTACCAGAATCTGGACTTGGTATTTGTTGAAGCCTTTTTCTTTTGGTTGCGTGGGAAGCTTTGGGCCCTCCGAATTCTGGCTTGGCGGCATAAAACCCTTTCGCATAAAGTTGTGAAAGCATATTTCTATGGACTCTTGCTCACTAGGTCCTCTCTTCCCAGGTGCTCCCCTACCGAGAGACAGACAGCGAATTTCAACTATGGAGATACACAGTTGTTTGGAGGATAGAGATGCACCAGAAACATTCGGCGTGAGCCTGCTTTCCCTTGGAAATCGTTCATTCCTCGAGACCGCTGTGCATCTCTACAGCTACACGCGTCACGAACCTTTGCACACGAGATGGACGGAATCAAGAAAAGGTCCGCGATGTAAAACACAACTCTCTATTACAATGTATATACAGTCTATTTCATATACGCTTACAGAAATGAAACTCAATCAAGACCTAATACCCGACCCCAAGATTCTCTCATAAGCATCTTCAACCTCCTTTGCAACTTCCAGCAAAGTCACAATAACGACCTGATGCGTCACATTAGGCAGCCTCTCTCGATGCAAACCAATCCACTCAAGCGGCGGAGTAGCCTCGCCCATATCTCTCAGCTGTGGTGTTTCAATGATCGGGGCTTCCAGTGCGGTGTACTCATATCTCGACTGTGGGACATTGACAACAGCTGTGATTTTGCCTTGCTCGGCATGTCCGTCAATCTTGACTGCTGCATTCTCCGGCGTTGAAGTTGACAACTCGGGTCTCTGCGGTTTATCGGCGGTGATCTTGACGGCGGACTCAGGTAGAGGCTTGCCGAGTCTGGAGGCCAAGGAGCGCGAATGTGTTTCCCACATGCCGCGGATGAAGCTGATGCGCGAGTAGTTCCAACCAACGTCGACTTTGCCCTCGAACAGACTTTTGAAAATGTAGTCGATGTTGTTGTCGTTGGGTTGTTGCCATGTCTGCATCGAAGCGATGACCTTGGGTACGCGGAGGATGATGCCGCCTTTGGCGCCGGTGGCACTGCTGACTACCTCTTCGATCGAGATGTCGCCGAGTGTCTTTGGTACGCTAATTCTCTTCACCTGAGCGAGTGCTACTTGAAGTTGTCCCAACGTCATGCTGAGATTGCTGTGCACACGTTCGTCCTCCAATCCTACGGCAAAGCGTGCTTGGATCTCCGATGCTTCCATCTTTAGGATCTGGTTGTCGAAGAACGTGCTAGGGAATGCGCCAAAGCAGACGGATTTCAACATGACCATGACATCGGTATCAAGTATGATTGGGAACTTGCTTTTGCTTCTTTCGGTTGTGTGTTTTCGTATGGGCGCCGGTGGTGGTGACGGCCCCGACTTGGACTGTACCTTGCTCACGGAACGTCTTCTCAGTTGCTTGTCCAGGTCAACCATTGATTGACTGTAAGCTGTCTGCTTCTCTTGGATGAGTCGATCGAAAGCCTGATACAAGCCTACAGCTTGAGCTGGACTGGTCGCGGTGCAGAAAACGTACACCTTTTCGCCTTCGAGAATGGCTTTCAGACGATCTGGAGCATGTGGACCGTCTCTCACGTTGTACATGAGGAAATTGAAAGCCTCAATATCTGCGAACGCGAACGGTTGGTAATCAAGGGCGGTCTTTGCAGAGATCCCGCCGAAGCCAATCGCAGCTTGGATGAGAGGCGCCTTGTGCTCTTGTCGATCTGCACTTGGCCACTCGATTGACGTACGTACAGACACGTTGCTCAATTCAACAAATCCGCTCATACGACCAGTACTGTTGACGCTGACCTCGTCTACGCCCACGCAAAGATCTTGTTTCCATGTAGAAGATTTCTTGGACGATGCCCAAAGATTCTTGATGCTCAACGATGACTTGCCGATGCTTTGGCCCAGATCGAGGTCAACGGCAAGTTCGGCAACAGTAACAGTAGCGTTCCAGGGGAATGCAGCGGCAGCACTGACCTGCTGGTATCTTTGCACCACCAGCTTGTCAGACTCTTGAGATGAAGGCTCCGGAGACATTGCGGTAGTATCCCGCAACTCAGGAGGGAACCAGATCTCGCGGAATATGAGAAGATCCTGAATCTGGCGCACATTCAACGCAGTCCTGGTAGGGGATACTTTGAGCACCATAGAAACGCCACTGGAGCCGCCAGTCAGATGTCTGCTGTTCATGAGCGACATTGAAATCGACTCCATGTCGAAGCTGAATGTTGATTCTCGGGAGTAGACGTGTTGGACGGAAGCACCAAGCTTGGTTACCGTGGCTGATAGTGCAAAGAAATGGCCGAATTGATGAGAGTTGATGGTGCTCATGGTAATATAGATGTCTTCGATCTGTGACTTTGCATTGACGCGGGCCAACGGTTGACAACTCAGACCAAACTCTTGCTTGCAGATGCGGAGTCCCAGATTGAGTTTCATCTGCCCCAAGAATTGACTCGGATCCGAGGTAAGCAAGGAATCATCCTCGCCTCGAAGTCTCTGAAGTTTCAGAGCTTGTTCTTGTGCGATCTTGGGAGTGGAAGGGGTCTTGCGCTCCTCCTCGCCGTGTCTTACGACCTCTTTCACACCGTGGGTGATCTGAAGAACAATAGGCACTAGCTCGGGATAGACCGTGTTGCTGGACGCATCCACCTTGATCTCGCCGTTGAGTATCTGCTCTTTGTCGGGAAGATTGGAATACTCGACTTTGATGGCAATACCTGGTGCTCGTAATGATGTAGCGATAGTATCATGTGAAGCGTGACTAGCGGCTCGGTTACGTTTATATGGTAAATCGACATGTGCAGGTCGAAGAGGAGTGCCAGGCTGATTGGGTGCATCTCCCTGAATGTAGAACAGGGCACCTTTGAAGTTGACATCGGCCTGAAGAGACGCCAGACGTTTGTCACCAAAGGGACTGGCCCGCGGTGTCGATTTGGTGTCGTCTGGAGTCGCATCAGCTTGCCAGTTCAGCTTAGCAGCCCGATATTGTTCGATAGCTGCTGAGATGGAATTTTGTAGCATGCTGACAGGCACGACAAATCCCGAGTCTAAGCGGATATCAAGAGCTTGACCAGCAGCTTGACATGCAATTCGAATACCATCTTTGCCACTCTCGTAACGAACAGTAAAGACAACTTCCGGCAGCAATGCCGAGTTGTCGGATCGCTCGAAAGCTTTGTGTTTCTTAGGTGCGACCTGTACTTGCAGATCTTGAATGGACAGACGGGCTTCATTCTGCTTCTGAATGGCAAGGTGCACGCGCGAGAAGGACACTTCCAGATCTTGGGGCTCTTGATCACCGGTAATCGATCGATTCTTGATGACTACCCAGACAACGCGAATCTTGCGTAGATCCAGCGAGAAGTCGAGAAGTGCAGGTCGCGTGGTTGGCGCGTCGGTCATAGCATTTTCTTCTTCCTCCTTGATCGAGTCTGGTGCGGGTGGTGGTATGGACTTTCTTCGTTTGGCTCGAGAATGTCTCAGTCTTCTGAGATACTCAACCTCTTTCGAGAGGTCAAGATCCATGATCTTGCGATGTACATGTGTGACAATATCCACAACAGTCGACGCTGTGTCAGCGTATGCGAATATATCGAAAGATTCACTGCGTGCTTTGATGTCCCTCGTCATGGGTCCTGTTGGAGGTTCCTGAGTGCAACAATCCACTGCGACGCTGACAGAGATATGGCCGCAGGGACGGCGCTTTCCATCTTCGATCAGGGTCAAGACAGCCCCAATGTCTTGAATTTTGCCGCGTATGTCAGGGAAAGAGTCGCTTGCTTTGCGAGACTTGTTCGTCACCACTGCGTGTACGGCACCAAGACCGAGAGTCAACTCTGCGCGCGCCGTGCCTGCCGTCAGCACAGGAGCAATCGCAATGACCTTGAAGCCAGCCAGAGCTGTATTGATATCGTAGACGACCAATCGAGACTCTTCATGCACAACCTTCGGCTTGACATCCTTTTCGTCTGTTTTCAGTGTCTGGTCCACTCTCTTGCGTAAGTCCGACACTTGATCTCTGATGGTTTCGAGAACACTCTGCACTTCGGGTCTGTTCAGGATCGACAAGACACTCTGAACAGCAGATGCTTCTAACAACACTTCTTCCATGATGCCTGTGAAGTTGATGTTGACCTGTTTCTCAGTCAACTCGAGGTTGAGAGTGCTGCTGGCAGGTGGAGTATGGAAGACCGCCCTCTGTCTTTTAGACCCATCTTCTTTCCGCACTAACGCGTGTTCCATAGATCCAAGGTGGAGCTCAACGGACCACGCGGGGCTGGACCCGGACGTGGGCCGTACACGAAGGTTCGCCGTATCGCCCTTCACTGAGAGGCTGAGTGCCTTGAGTAACGCGACGTTCAAGGAGAATGTGCCGGCCAGGAAAGCCACATTGAGCTTCAATTCGCGCTCCGGCTTGGGCCCACCTCGAGTTTCGACGCTCTTCTTCTGCTCCTTTTGTATGTGTTGTTGGAAGCGCTGGATATAGGCTACTTCGTCGACTAACAAATGATCAACAATCTCGAGAAGTCCCAATGCCTCTTGTTCAAGCGAGATGTGTAGCTGGCCGTACGAGCCTCCGACGTTGATCGCGGTTGTGTGTTCTCGAATTGTCTGTTTCACATCGATATAGATACTCGGTGACACCAAGTCTGTACGCCAAATTCTTTGCTCTGGACTATGCAATTCCGTAAAAGCCTTTCTTGCTGATATCAGCAGACTGATGCATTCGCCATAATCTTGAGAAGCTTTATCAGATCCTATCAACGAAAGCTTGAGATTGTTACACGTAGAAACATGCCTCAGGTTGATTGTGTTCAACTCTATACTGCCTTCATCGGTAGACAAAACGACGTGGAAGTCTTGTCTGAATGAGAGATCTTCCAACACTTGCTTCTCTGGCGGGTCTGGCAGATCATCGAGCGTATGACTGACTTGCTCGAAGTAGATGTCAATGAACGCATCCGCTTGCTCCAAGATATCCCAATTGAGTCTGAGCACAGACGCTGCTGTGTGAGCTTGGAACACAGTCTTGGATCTCAGGTTCTCCTCCACCAGCATAAGTCCAGAAGGCAAGCTTGGAGGGATGACAGTAACGCCGATCGTAAGACTACCAAGCGAGACCTCGCTGGAAGCCTTTCCTGATTCGACAGCGATACGTACAACTCCAGCGCGCAGTGTAAGGTCAAGCGGCTCGATGTCCTCCTCTGGAATCTTGGCTTCAGTATCGCCCAACAAGAGCTTGAAGACTTGGGTCTGCTCTACGTTGGGAATATCCCAGCTGCACCATGCTGCCCATGTTTCGAGAATGGATGATGTCTTTTTCAGTGTATCGATACCGTCGGCAAGCTGTTGTTCAAGATCAACATGGCCTTCATCCGACAGACACTCGTATATGTGCCGGAATCGAGCAACAATCTTCCAGGATTCTTGGTTGCGGAAATGATCTGGGAAGGCGCGAAGAACATAAGTCATACGCGAAAGGTATGGTGGATCGGTAGAGACATCAGCATGCTCAGTCAGATAATCTGTCAGGTTCCTCAACCGCGCTTTGGAACCAATTTCGACTGCGTCAGCTTGTTTCTGGATCCTGGCGCCTATGGCTGCATAGCGAGAGAACACAGATGCCAGATAGTCTGCTTGATTACCTGAGACCACACCCAGTAGATCTTGGAACGAGACGTGTACTGACTTTGATCTGGACAGAACCATCCAGATCAAGACATCATCAAATCCGAGGCGAATTGCGTAGTCAGATATTTTACTCTTCTCCAAGGGATTTGAGAACTTGGCGAGTGCTGATTCCAATGTCAAATGCATAGTCAATGCAGTCCCGGTCTCAGTCTCAGGAATGGGCTTGAATCGGAGCGTCAAGGCTAAATGACTCAGGCCCACATCCAACTGATCTTGCACTGGCATGGCTGTGGTGCGGCTCATGTCAAGCTTCTGGTCGTTGAATAATCTAGCGTCGATGCTAGGTACGATCAAATTCAACTCGACGATACTGCGGCGACTCTTCTTTTGGTCTTGGACCTGTTGGACTTTGCCCATGACATCCATCTGGAAGGCATCGATTACATCTTCGGAGCGCTTTGGTTGCAGAGCAGTAACGATGTTAACGATTGTCTCACTTATACGAGGTTCAACGTAAATGCGTATACCAGGGATCATACGAATCATGAAGGTTTGTTGATCCAAATCTCCATCCTGGTCCAGATTAATACTCAAATCGCTCTGCGAAGAGGTTTCGGATATATCATCAGCTTCTTCGACGACCGTCGAGAATTGAGGAACTTTACTCAGGTCGGCAGCGACGTCAAGTTGTTGTGGATCCGGAACAGAGAATGGACTCCACAAGCCCATAGTCCCTAAGGGCTGGGAAGTTGCGGAGTTGGAATAGTACATTGCAGGTCGAGAACGCGCCACATCATCGAGGTCTCCTTTAGGCAGGGCCTTACGAGTCGAAGTTGGACCAATGGAGGAGTTTGAGAGTAATGATGACTTGACCGAGCCGTCGGCTGCAAGACCCATTTTCAAGGGCCCTTTCTGAAGAGGTTCAGGAAGCCTGGGGAGCGCCATGGAAGGCGGATCTGGTAACCTTGCATCATCATCGTTATCTGCTTGATCCTGACTAGCCCCTGACCCCCTCCGCGCTATGAGAAACTTCGCTCTGCCGGTTCTCGCGTCTTGTTGACGCATGTGGGTCTGTTGCTTCTCACGCTCCATGTTGAAATGTGCCTTCCGTTGCACCATTGACATGTCAAGGCTCGTTTGAATGAACGCAATGCACTTTGCCGGTTGCACGTCATCACGACTCCCACGATGGGCCATTGAATCCGAGTCAACGCACGTTGCGGTAATATTCGGAATCTGGAGATGCATGCGAGAGGAGAACAATCCATCGGCGCGATCGTTCTGGTTCAGAGTGATGGGTTCTGAGTACAGACGGATGGCGGACTTGCCCTCATTGAGCCAAAGGCATACAGAACCTGTCTTGAGTCGTAAGAAGACTGCTTCTGGTATTTCTGCAGTTTGTGCCAACGGCAGAGCATTCTCAAAATCGTCGAGCGCAAATGCTATCGCCCGTCCGGCTTTAGCTAAATGCTGTATGAAATCGAGTGAGCATTCTCCTGACACGCTTCCGAGAGTAACATCCCAGTTTGAAACGTATGCAGGTTCGGTCGGTGGCAGACCGAACAGGCGATGGCCAGCGACACTTGCGTTTTCCAGCACGACCTGTGGCAAAGAATCATCAAATCCATTGTCGTCATTAGGGATTCCTGACCAAGACATAGATACTGGACTAACGTCAACCGCAAGGTCGAGATAGTAATTGGCAACACGAAGATCCATCGAGGCTACAGGTAGTTCGAGTTTGATATAAGTCTCTGCAGAGTAGAGATTCGCTGGTAGCATGATAATAGGATGCTCAGCTGTGATGCAAAGAACAACATCTAGATCGTTGGCAGGTCTGAAAGCGAATCTGCCGACCATGTTGGTCTCAGCGTTCGCAGCATCCGATCCAGCATTTTGGTATTCCTCAAGTGTCTTGAAATGTAGGAATTCTCCGAAGTAGTTCTCTTTCACATTGATAAACATGCGTACCAGGTAGCCATAAGCTTGGAGTTCTAGGTCGGTGCCGCATATGTCCATCTGTAGCATGTCTGTCAAGCCCGGCGCTTGTTCAACGAAGAGGGTATGGCTGCCACCTAACGTCAGCTTCTTCAAAGTTGCAAGTCTTTTCTGCCTTAAGAGACTATGCAATGTGATACGAGGAGGATTGCTGATATCCAGAGACAAATCCTTGGCGAGTACGTCGAACTTGATACTATTCTGGGCCGGCCTGTATTGATCGATCGGTATTTCTAGCGCAGCGTGTAGTTCTTCGCCGTTCAGAATGAGAAAGTTGTTATCTTCAAGGTCAGAGGGATCGTTGACAATGTTGGCATCATTAGCATTGAGATACAACTTGAATTTCTTGAAGTTGATGTCCAGGGAATACACGAACGGTACGAATGTGTAGAAGTCGGGTGGCGGCCCCATGCCCCAATCAGCAATCAGGTCAGTAAGCAGAAACAAGTGATCGCGCAGGATGTATAGGTCGAGTCCATCACAATGAACCTTGAACAACCATTTTCGCAAAGCGTTCCATCGCAAAGGATTTGAAAGGTCTCCTTCAAGAAATAGGTTGCCTGCTTTCCACAACATAGCGTGGTTGACACTGGAAGATATCTCCGTGCCTTTGACATCAAGGCTCAAAGTGTTGTGGAATCCGTCATGGCGCGCATACATGTCCATCGCATAATTGATGGTAGTATCAGCAGCAACTTTTACGTCCAGCCAGCCAAAAGGACGTATATCAGCTCCAGTGGACTGTTGCTCTTTCTTGAACCACTTTTTCGTTCCTTTGCCACGTCGCTTGCGGACCCCGACGTCGGGAGTCTTATGTGCTTGGTGTCCTTCAGCTCGACCCTGCCATTTCCAGTCCTTTGATGCCTCGCGAGTTGGAATTCGGAGTATGATGTCGCTCTCCAGGCAGAAAAAGAGCTTGAATACGGTCGCGATCCTATTCTGGTCAACAGCAAGGCGCTGTGCAGGTACAGCATCATGATACGGAGCAGGAAAGAAAACATTTTGCAGCGTTATTCGTTGTCTGTCAGCCCAGGGACCGTAGTTGATCACGGCACCATCAACTGACAGGTTCAAGCCATATTCTGGCGCTGATGGGCCATTGAGTTCGTCCAAAAAGCTAGACTGACCGGCGAAGTGAGATTTCGAGACAACCCCTGGAACGTCCCAGTAGAAACTCATACTCGCCTTCTTCACATCTGCAATGTTGGAGAATCTAGCGTATTCGACACTGTCCCATTCGTTATGTTCGTTACCTGTTTCGTCCAAGTATCGGGCTAGGCCTTGCCATTGTGCTTCGCCAGGCAGTCTCCCAGACTCTTCATCAAGAACCTCGTCTTCACTGAGAAGTGATGCAGTCCTGATGGAGCCTTTGGAATTGCGATGCCAGGTGAAAAGCCACATGATCGCATGCATTATACTGCGAAGGATTTTGCCAGTTCGGCGGATTGGATGAAGGCCAAATAGACTGCGCCCCTTTCTCGGTTTAGATTCTTCGCCCTTTTCCAAGCGTGCAGCCGCCTGCATCTGAGACATGCGGTAGTCTGTGTTTGGCTTGAGGGCGACATTAATATCGTGAAAATCGAAGTTGAACATGAGCTTGTACAAATCCAGAGAACCAGCCTCATCAGCATCGATTCTTCCCAACGCATTCTCCAGCTTGGCAGTAACTATGCTCTGAGTGAAGTCGTTGCCGACAGCAGCTGCAGCTTTCTTGCACTCGATTTCTACGGGGAACATTCTCAAGAAGGCCGGAATGGCGCTCTCGTGAGTCACGGTTCTTGTTGTGGTTCTACTGGCGGTCTCGGCCAGGACGGACTCATCAACAGTACTTGCGGTCTCTTGGCGATTCAAGTCATCTGGCGATGTCGTCTCCTTTGATGGGTCTCGTGTGGGCATGTCGGCGCTTGGAATGTTGGGATCTTTCTTGCGAGCCTCATTTTGGAGACCGGCGATTATGTTGTCGTAGACAGGACTCTGGTTGTACAAGAAAGCCTCGACACCCTTGACCTTGACGAATATGCGACAGGGAAGGTTCCGTTGGCGGTTTCCATCGGCAGCTTCGGCCTTTCCCACGCTCTTACTCCTGGGCCTGGTCTTTTCTTGCGAAGTATCGGAGGTGGTGTGGTCGGAATCGGAGTCGCCGTGACGTCGAGAGACTTTCTGCATTATCAGAGGCTCTTGCACCTGGCGCAGCCAGTATCGCCAGGTGATGTTGCCATCATGGACAAAGACAGTTTGATTGTGGCCATGGTAGCGGATGGACTTGAAGAAGAGGCGGCCTCCTAGAAGCGAGAGCTGGAATGAAGTAATGTCGATGTAGGCGCGATATTTGTGCCATGTCCAGGCGCGAATGGCATACGAGACGATTGTTGAAACGGTGCGATTGAAGTAGAAGATGAAGAAAAGAGCCAGGATGCCACAGACGATCAAGTCGACGAGAAAGAGCCAGTTGAAGCCTCCTTGTTGACCCAAGGGGGTTGCGGTAAGGCCGTTGCTTGCCATATTCCCTCGACGAGATATCGGACGATCATGTTGTGCCTGTGAGAGACATTCGGCCAAGGGGAGTCGCGTCGCGGTTTACTGGACGGAAATGAATATTGGGGAAGGAGCCCGCGACCAAGATGCCGCGGGCGTCATGATCGGCAGTTGCGTTGGCATCAGTTGGCATCGAGGACCTCCATCGCTACCGTGTGTACCTCCGCGCTGTGCATGAGCCTCGTTGGCATCATGATAGCAACGGTCAGCAGCCCTGGGAGATTGGCAAGCACGCGCACCGATTCCCCAAGTTTCAACGTTTGCATGACGGTCGGTCTGTCCAGGCACGCATATTCCACGCCTGCAGCTGCCTAACTATCTCGCCCACCAGCTCGCAGCAATGTCCTGCGTGACCGCATAGAATCGACGAACATGGAGCACAGTATACGTGCAGCCGAGTCCTCTCCCGTCTACACCATGTCAGGCAGTACTGGAGGCACGGGTGGTCGTTTCGCCCGCGCCGTCACCATTGTTGCTGGTGTTGCTGCCCTGGTCGCTACCATCCTGACCTTCCTGTATGTAATCTCGCCATGTACCCCGGTCATGCCAGCTCTTCTGCTTAGTCCATTCGCTGACCTTATATCTTCAGATCAACGTGGCTCCAAAGGTATGCCTTATCGCCATCGACCCTCACCGCAACCAAGTCCTGACTCGTCTAGCAAAAACTATCGCAAGCCGCTTCTACAGCGCTATGTTATTCGCATCCTGATCATGTTCGTCTTCTTTCCATCCTGACCTTGTCACTCTGTTGCTCACCTTCGCCAGGGTGCCCATCTACTCGGCCTCGTCATGGGCGAGTCTCGTCTCCCTCAAAGCCGCCTTCTGGATTGGTCCCTTCCGTGATGTTTACGAAGCCTTTACCCTCTACGCCTTTTTCCAACTCCTGATCAACTTCCTCGGCGGTGAAAGATCCCTTATCATCATGATGCATGGCCGAGCACCCGTCTCGCATCTCTGGCCCATGAACCATTGTCTTCCCAAAGTTGACATTTCCGACCCTCACACCTTCCTTACCATCAAGCGTGGCATCTTGCAGTACGCTTGGATCAAGCCTTTACTCGCCACTGCGACCATCATCATGAAGGCCACCAACACCTATCAAGAAGGCTACATTGGCGTCACCTCCGGCTACTTGTGGAGTGGTATAATTTATAACGTCAGCATCACTCTGAGTCTGTATGCTCTTGCTTTGTTTTGGGTATGCATGTCGCAGGATCTCAAGCCATTCCGCCCCATGCCCAAGTTCCTGTGCATCAAGGGCATCATCTTTGCCTCTTACTGGCAGGGTTTCTTCCTCTCCATTCTCGTCTGGTTGGGAGCCATCCCCGATGTCAGCTCAGAGTACTCGGCAGATAACGTTGCCGCAGCCATTCAGGATGCCGCCATCTGCTTCGAGATGCCCATCTTTGCCATAGCGCACTGGTATGCCTTTTCCTGGCACGATTATGCCGATCGAACCATTTCGGATGCCCGCATGCCTGTCAAGTTCGCTTTGAGAGATGCATTTGGTCCCCGCGATCTTATTGAAGATGCCAAAGAGACCTTTTACGGCACCAAGTACGAATATCGATACTTTGATGCCGAAGACAATGTCATTGCCCATGAAGATTCCGCATCACGTGTCGCTCGTATGAGAGAAGGTATGCGGTATGGTAGGGGAGGCAAGGGAAAATACTGGCTGCCTGAGAGAGGTCATGCCGATGCAAAGACTCCTTTGTTGGGTGGTAACAGCCGCGCACGAACAATGAGTCCTGGTGGTGGTGCCAAGTCTCCTTCACCTCATGGATCCTTCAGATACGGCGCGCAATCACTGGCAGAAGAGCCTGAACTGGACTCCGAAGAAGAGCAACTCTACAGCAGCGCGAGAGCACTGGAGTTTGGGGATTGGAACTATCCCGTCATCAACACACACTACGCCAACAGTGAAGACAGAATGCGCGCCGAGCCAGACATCATTACTGCTTCGACCAACCGTCAGCTTTTGCAACCAGGTAACAAGAACTATCGCGAGAGACGGAAAAGCAAGATTCACGGCATCCAAGAGAATGCCCGCCAGGGTAAGAAACACCGTGACAGTGGCAGCAGCAGCCGCTCCAAGGCCAAGTCGTCGATACCTGTCATTGGCAGTCTGTTGCGACACGAATCATCAGAGTCGGCCGCGACGGTAAATTCACACAACAGCCAGCTGGTCGACCTGATTGTGGAAGATCACGAAGCAGAAGAGGTCGAACGCGTCAGAGCTCGCAAAGAAGGTGGACCAGGATGGAATGAGATTGAGCAAAAGCATTTCGTGTAAGTCACATGCCGGCCGAGTATGGTTTGATCGAAGCTCACAAAGACTGCAGTAAGACGTACCCTGAAGATGAGGGTGCTGCGGAGGAGGTCAGAGAAGGATACAATCCGGATCGTGTTGATCACGTCGACGAAGACGAGTCACACAACTTGAACCAACCTTTCACCGTTGGTGATTACGAAGACGAGGAGCAGGAACCGCAGGATGAGCTCGACCACGATCAACCATGGGACTCTCGCAATCATGAGAGCAATGTCACGTCCCCGCAGCCCGAATACGGCAGCTTTAACGACGAGAGGAGTGCATGGGGAGGACGATAGTGTACGATATTAAGGATGTTTCTGTTATAGAGCAAGCGTTTTTTCTTTTTGAATACATGTGTTCTACTTTGAACGATTCTCATGAACAACAATCGTCTCGCTACTCTAGAACGTGTACACATTCACAATCCTCAAGTCGCCAGATTTTCACATTCACATTTCAGGCTTATTAACGATAGATGGGTTTGTAGAAGTGTTTTGATATTCTTGCTTCTAACGAGAAGACAAATGTCAGCGAGAAAACCCAATCAAGGGCACGCTAAAACACCCGAATGTTCCCAGTTATCCATTTCTTTGGTCTTTTTTCTTGTTTGCATTCATTCTTTCCTAAAAGCTCTGACAGATGTAGACTGCGCTTAGATCATGAGTCTCTCGACCTTGTCCTTGAGAGCGCGGATCTGGCCCATGAGGTCGGAGGCCTCGTTGGTGGTGATGGAGGCGGCAATGACGGCGCGGGAAACACCGCAAGCGCGACCGAGGGCCATCTTGGAGGGAACGTAGCTGTGCGCGAATGTCAGTCTGAGTTACTCTCTCGCTTTGTGGCGCAAGAAGGGAAAGCAGAAAACTTACATGTAGGCAACGTTCTTGTCCTCGCAGAGCAGGGGAATGTGCAAAAGAATGGCCAGGGGAGCAGTGTCGGCAGCGAGGATGACAACCTCGGCGACACCGCGGTTGAGGGTCTTGGTGGCCTCGTTGGCACCCTTCTTCAACTGGCGGTAGTGGGAGGCTTGCTGGACCAGGTCGAGGATGTTCTGGGTCAGGGCGGCGTCGGCGACGGGCCAGGCGGCGGAGTCGTTCTGCGACATTTTGTTGTAGAGAGTTGGTGTGAGGGTGAGAGTTGTGTATATGGCTCGCCCGAAGGTTCCTTGCGGTTTGCTCGCCCGGGGTTCACGGCCGAAGAGTTGATGGGAGAATGGGGTGCGAGAGCGTTGTCGGAAGAGGAAGAAGAGAAAGATTCGAGAAGAATTTTGATGCAAGTCAGTGGCTGCGCTTTGCAGTCTGCCCTGGATAGCTTGGCGGTGACGGGCGGTAGGGCTGGGCCGAGAGGGTTCGGGCCACCTTCACATGTTTAGATGCATTTGACAGCTTGCCGTTCGTCTCTCGTTCAAACACAACCATGGTGAGTGTCGAGTGAGGGAACGCCACAAGAAGGCGTGGACTGACTTGGACCCGCACAGAATTCGCTCTTCAACTCAGCGTTACGGCAGTCCAACGCCATCCGCAAAGACCTCGATGCCTACGCCGAGTCGGCCACCAGCTCGCCGCCGCTCCAGGGCCAGCTCACAACCTCCCTCACATCCTTCAGCCGCACATTAGACGACTACTCGCGAAGTGCCCAACAAGAGCTCGTTCCGGAAAAGGCCCAGAAAGCCCAAGACCGTCTGACAAACTTCCGTTCCGAACTGCTCGACTACCGCAGTCGCTTTGCTCTACTCAAAGCTGAACACGAAGAAAAGCTACATCAGAACAATCGCAATGACCTGCTAGGCCATCGTCGCCCGCACGGCGCAAATGCCACGCCAGAGAACCCATACGCCGACTCTGCGCTCGCCATCTCATCGCGCGACGGCGGCGCAAACCCACTATTCCGCACACGCGACGGCTTCGTGACCACACCCACTGGAGCAGCGGGCTCGAATCCTTACTCATCATACCAATCACCCTATGCACTCAGCACGGATTCTGGCGACCAAGCACGCGAGAAGCACGCGCTGCGGGAGCAAAACTTCTTCACGTCGACAAATGCGACACTAGACGAGTATCTGGAGCGAGGTCGCGCTGTGTTGGGCGATTTGGGCGAGCAGCGCGATATACTCAAAAACACGCAGAGGAAGTTGTACAGTGTTGCGAATACATTGGGTGTTTCGGGAGACACGATACGGATGGTGGAGCGGAGGGCCAAGCAGGACAAGTGGATTTTCTGGACGGGCGTGGTGGTGTTTGTGATTTTTGTCTACTTTGTGCTCAAGTGGCTGCGATAGATTGACGGATCAGCGTGTTTGGGGCTTTCCCCCGGTCGTTCGTTATTGACTGGGGTTTTCAGATTAGCGAGGCGCATTGGTCAGGATGCTCGTTCTGTGCCTGGATGAGGCTCTGCAGATACACAAATAGAAGCAATCTCCCGGGTCGTCGTGTCATGTCTCTGTACGTGTCTGACGTCCTTTCACGACCTCAGAGTCGAGCATCCCTCTTCTGCCATGATGATGACGAGGTGAAACGATAGTCGAGGAACAAGCATGGCACGACGCCGCTTCGACGATGCCAACGGCTTCTTGGCCGAGAATCGACATGGTCGCCGCCGAACGTCCATTAGCCTGACTCCGTCCACTTCGGTGCTGATCTTGCATCACACTCGTACCTGGTCGATGATTTTCTGATCCACGGCGCCTACAATGTCAGTGCTGGGAAATGAGGGCTCGCCCCAAGCACACATCGACCAGATAGCCCGAATAGACAGCATCATCGACTTGACCAGCTACGACGACCGCCCGACATTGCTTCTCGACACGACCACGCGTCGCATCCGCTTTTGCAACTTCGCTTTCGACTCGCTGCTGCAAGACACTGCTGCGTCTCCCGACCTTCAGCCATGGCTTGACAGCATATGCGCCCTCACCACCCACCATGCTGCCCACGAACCTATCAATCTTGGATCCTTTGCCCAACAGCAATGGCTGGGAAAGAGCTTGGGATCTTCAATACTCACCGTCTTTTGCCGCTGGACTCCTGCATCCGTAGCTGTTGAAGGGGACGCTGTCATGATAGACGATGCTCATCAACCAACTCGCGACGACGACACACCCTCCGACACCCGAAACATCACCGACATGTACATGGGCTGGCTGGAACCAAAAGACGATCCATGGATGTCCTATGTGAGGAGCTACCCTTTCCACGAGACATCTCTGGGCCCTATATCCGACTGGCACCCTCAATTGCGCCGAGCCGTCCAGAGAATGATGGTTTGTCCCGAGACACGCATTCTCTATTGGGGAGACCGACACGCAATGCTGTACAATGAAGCCGCTGTCCCAATCCTTGGCAAAGTACATCCGTGTTTGGGAATGCCTCTGCTCGAAACTTGGGGCCAAGTCATGAACGATCAGATCGATGCTACCATCAGAGCTGTCGTTGTTTCTGGAAAGGCTCAACAGATGAGGAACATCATGTTTGAGATGCAAAGAGACGATTTCCTCGAGCAAACTTGGCACCACTTCTACCAATTACCCATCATCGGCCCTGACGGACGTTATCTCGGATGTGTTTGCGAGTTTGCTGAAAACACCACTGCCGTTGTACAAGAAAACAGGAATGCTATTCTTGATACGTCCATCAGAAGCGCTGCAACCGCTCCCACTCTGAAAAAACTTTGGGCCACCTCGCTGCACTCCTTCAGCAAAACCTCGATCGACGTCGTCGCTGGTTGCGTCTTCTCTGTCTCCAACATTGCCGACGGTTCAGAGCCATCTCAGTCATCCCTGGATCCACAAGACTATCTTCTGGAGGCCTCCTTTGGTCTCACCAACACAAAGTCAACCATTCCCAGATCTCTGCTGAAGACACTTAGCACCTCGTTCGAAGGCGAAAAGCTAGTCGTCTTGAAACAAGCCGATGGCTCGCTCCCCTCTGACCTCCAGTGGGCTACTCCCGACCGGGCTGCCTTGAACACTCTTTGCATCCTACCCATTACAGACATCAACGACCGCAGACTTGCTGTATGCGTCTTCGGCATGAACCCAGGCAGACCCTTTGACCAAGGCAGCCGGGACTTCATTTCAAGATTCGGCGACGTACTCCGTAAGAGTGCAGTATTCATCACTCTGCCCGAAGAACAGAAACGGACCGAAGCCATCACTTCAGCATTGTCCGACAAACTAGCAATCGCTCTGCTATCTGCAGAGATGCAAGAAGAGTCGTACGCTCGCATGGCAAGGACGGCCCCGATCGGAATGTACATGTTGCGACCAGATGGATACCCTATCTTTGTCAACGACGCCTTTCTGAAGCTTCATGGTGTTACACGAGCGCAATTCTACAGACATGCAGACGAAGGCCTTGGCTGGGATCCGACTATTTATCAAGACGATAAGGAACACGTCAACCAAATGTGAGTCCGATCAACATGGAAGACACGATGACCGGCAGGCTGTATTGCGCGGGTCTAGACAGACACTGTCAACGCTGCATCTCGCAGAGACCATTACGCTTGCCATGTCGATTCGCGTTCTTTCGCTACTTGCCGTTGTGGAGATAATGCTAACGATCATCTTGCTGTAGGTGGCTGGACACGATCAACGGCACAAAGCCTGTGCAAGACGAAATACGCATTGCTGCTCCTCCGAACAAGTTCCCTGATGGGATTCGCTGGGTTGAATCCATGTCCTATGCCATACGTGACGGGGCGGGCGAGGTAACCTCGGTCCAAGGTTGGCTTCTTGACGTCAGTCCGCGAAAGATGAATGAACGCCTGGTGAATGAGAAACTTGAGGATGCGCTCGAGACCAAGCGTGCCACCGAGACGTTTTTGGATATGCTCTCGCATGAGATGAGAAATCCTTTGTCGTCGATCCTCCAGCTAGCAGATGGCATTTTATCATTGTTGGAAGACTTGCTGAAGCCTGATACCATTGAGCCTTTGAAGGATTCTGCTCAGACCATCACATTGTGTGCTAGGCATATGAAGACCATCATAGGTACTGGCTGAAAATAAGATCAAGAGTCGATCAAGTGCTAACAAGCAGTAGACGAGGTTCTCACCTTCTCAAAGTTGGACTCGAATCTTTTGGTTCTCAGTCTGGAAAGAGCTCGAGTCCCTACGATCATGGAGACTGCTCTGAAAATGTTCGAGAAGGAGATTGAACACGCCAAGATCGTGGCCAACATGGAAATCGATCAGAGCTATATGGACCTCGCTTTGAATTATGTGCTTGTAGACCCCAGCCGTCTGCTTCAAGTGGTCAGTCCATCAACCCATATTCGATGTGGGCGCCGGATACTGACTTTGCGCTACAGATCATAAATTTCCTATCCAACTCGATCAAATTCACAAAGTTTGAGCAAGAAAGGAGGATTACCATGAAGCTCGCTGCTTCCCTCACAAAGCCGACGGAACAAGACTTTGGTATTGCGTTCTTGGCACCTCGCAAGGATTTGGCTACGAACACGTCTATGCCCGCGACGCCCGACACGCCTGCGCCCGAGTACGCCCTCGGCGATGAGGTGTACATCTACATTGGTGTCGAGGATACTGGACGAGGTCTTACGGAAGACGAATGCAAAGTGTTGTTCCAAAGATTTGCTCAAGGTAAGGTTTTGCACGTGGTATGCACTGAATCTTGAAGCTAACGCAAGAACAGCATCCCCCAAGACTTACAAGACCTATGGAGGAAGTGGTCTCGGATTGTTCATCAGTCGAGGTCTGTCCGAACTACAAGGAGGGCAGATCGGAGTCAAGAGTATCGCAGGGGTTGGATCCACTTTTGCCTTCTTCATCAAGACCAGAAGGGCAGAACCGCCTCGAGCTGCTTCTCACACTGGCTCGGTGGTGTCCACAGAAGCATTGACTGACGTGCACAACTTGCCTCATGAGAAGGGTAGGCAAGATGTGCAAATCTTGACCATGTCGACGGTCGCAGAAGAGAGTGTTGTTTCGGTCAAGGACTTGCACGTACTACTTTGTGAAGACAACGCTATAAATCAAAAGGTGATTGCTGACGACACATTGTTTGCAAAAGAGGAAAGCTAAGACTGGCCCTACAGGTCATCGCACAACAACTCCGCCGCCTAGGCGTCCACACAGTCCACACGGCCGACGACGGCCTCGCAGCTCTAAACTTCCTCGCCACCACCACTTTTGCTTCTTCCTCCGTCCCTTCATCCACTCCACCCACTCCTCTCTCCATCATCCTCATGGACGTCGAAATGCCAGTCATGGACGGCCTAGGCGCTGTGAGAAGGATCCGCCAAGCAGAGGCCAAAGGCGACATCAACTCGCACATCCCCGTGATTGCGATTACGGCGAACGCGAGACAGGAACAGATTGCTGTTGCCATGGAAGCAGGCATGGATGAGGTAGTCACGAAGCCGTTTTTGGTCAGGGAGTTGGTGCCTAGGATGGTTGCGTTGGTGCAGAGGTTTGCGAGCGGCGGTGGCGGTGGTTGAAAAGAGCAAGGGAAGATTCTCGATCTTGAGCAGTTCAAAACGAGGAACATGGCCAAGAGTCTTGCACTCTTCGCTTTTACCGAAACGCGCCTCGCTGGCTACGATACAGGCAACCGCGACACAACTCCCGAAGTCAAGGTTAGGAAACCACGATGTGCAACACCTGCATACGAACCTCATAGCTGCCCGACACACGCGCAGCAAGCAAAAAGGGACGCAGCAGACTACCTGACGTCCCAAAGGGAGGAAGTCTATGGGAACATTCCGACCTCAACTGCTCCAGAGGCTCTCTCTTCGACCCACGTTTCTATCATTCTGATAAGCCCCTCGGCCTCATCAGCCATCGAGAATCTTTAGCATTTCTTCCACCGAGTGGCACTTTTCCCTCTCCTTGCCCTTGGCTTGACCTCTCTTCTTCTCTTCCGCATCGATTTTCAGCCAGTCTTGCCAATCGATGCTTCTGATGCCACGTTTTTCTGCTTCTTTCTTGACTTCGTTCCATCCTGCTCTTGGCGATGAGTGGTGGGCACCGATGAACGTTACGCCATCCGCCCAATCTTTTGCGATTATGTCGGCACTGGTAAAGGCATCTTGCATTGTGCTGGCTATAACGCCCGTGGGACCTCGCTTCACCCAGCCAGCGGCGTACATGCCGGGAACGTGGCCGGCGCCGAGAGCACCTGGTCCGCGATTCGGACTCAGCACTCTGCCGTAGAGGTCGTTGGGGATTATGCCCATTTTGCGATCGAAGGGGATGCCGAGTTCCTCGAAGCCTTCGAGGGGTTCTGATTGGTAGCCTACGGAGCGGAAGGCGAGGTTTGTAGTGAGGGTTTGTTGGTTGTTGGGCTCTTTTGTTCTGACGCGCATGCTGCGTAGAGCGTCCAAATCACTTAGAGGAACGGAGGAAGGGTCTTGGGTGAATTCTGTTTGATCGAATAGAACGCTGCCGAGAGTGTCTGGGTTTGAAGAATCCTGCTGGAAAGCGACTGGACTACGCATGTAATGTAGTTCCCACTGGCGCGTGGCTTCGGCGATCGAAGTAGCAGAGCCCTTTTCAATGACCTGTGCAATGCGCATAAGAGGACGGGGCAGTTTCTTTGTTTCTTTGGGCAAGAGCTTAGAATCGGGTGTGCTGAAGGAGACGCCGGGGAGTTGCATCAACTCGCGGACTTCTTTGATGGTGTATGGGGCTTGGAGAGGCCCTCTTCTTCCCACAACCCGTACCCTGCGCACCCTGCTCTTGGACAGCGTGTCCAAAGCAGCTTCGGTCATGTCTGTGTGTCTGAGCCTGTCGAGAGGCGATAACAGAACTCTTGCTACATCCAGTGCAACGTTTCCCTGACCAATGACAACAGCTTCGTCGCTGCTGTCAAGTGCAGGATTGAGGTTGGCATACTCGGGCAGTCCGTTGTACCAGCCAACAAAGGCACGAGCCGAGACGACGCCTTTCAAGTCCTCTCCAGGGATTTCTAGTTTGCGATCTTGCGAAGCACCGTACGAGAAGAGCATGGCATTGTAGTGCGGGGCGATTGACGACAGAGGCAGACATGAGGGAGCAGAGCCAATGGTAGTGTTGCCGATAAAGGTGAAGGAAGGATGGGATGCGACTTCGACAAACTTATCTATACAGTTCTAGCTGACAGTCAGTTTGAGTCAGGAGCGGGCGGGTGGTTTGACACTTGATACCTTTACTTCGGGATGGTCTGGAGCGACGCCGAAGCGCACCAGACCGTAGGGAGACGGCAGGGCCTCATACATGTCTACGTGAGCATCAGGCATCTTCTGCAGCATGCGGTAGGCAGCGTAGAAGCCTGCCGGGCCTGATCCTATCACAGCGCATCTGAATGGGCGGGAGCTGTCGGCGGTCGAATACAGCCGTCCTCTGGGCGGCACACTGATAAGCACATTGCACCTTCCTCTGCAAGGGACTCTCGGCCGCAACTGCCTGGTGCAGTGTCGTGGCAGCAGACTTGACATGATTGTGTGGCAGAGTTGCGGCTGTCTCCCAGCCACTCGACCTGAGGCTGGTGTGGGCTTCAATTCTGCGGCTCCCCACAGCGTCACGCAGCGGAACGTCGATCCGGAGGCTGGCGCCAGTCGCTATCTGCTTATCGCCCCGTCCCTGCAGCAACCGCCAAACACAACACTGGAGAATATATGCCCATATCGCCGCCGTTTCATTCCTCGTTCCTCCCCTTGTACGCTGGAGTTTCGAAATTGTCACAGCCATCAGGCCTGCCGCTCATTTCATCATGGTTGGCATTACTCCGCCATACTCCTTTACCGCTGTCAGCCAGAAGGACAGGGATCCGACCTACGACTTTGACCCCAAGGCCGTTACCCGTGCCAGCTACTATTCCATCGCCTCTTCAGCGTCAACTCCTGCCCCCAAGCAGCATGGCCCACTGATCGACTTCAACAGGCACCCTGATAGCTACATCATCGTGCCCTCTGCCCGTTCCAATCTCCCGCCTATGCACCCAAACACAAAGCAAAGGATCAACACGGCCCGATGGCTCCAGTTTTCTCTCCGCTTGCTCCAGCTTTTGGGTGCTCTGGGTGCTCTTGTCTGTGTGATTATCATCAGAGGCGTCAATGATGTCCAAGGTTGGATTTTGAGGATTCCTGTAAGCATGTCTCCAAGCCTCTGCGTCCTTCTTATCACTAACACCAATCACAGCCTGCCGTAGATGCTGTAGTCTGTGCATATGCTCTGTACAATCTTCAGCGTTCGCCCAAGAGACGTCCAGCAACCTCTTCGGCTAGCTACAATGCCTTCTCCTTCTTCGTTGACATTGCTCTCATGCCTTTCTATGTCTTCATCGCCTTCTTCTCGGCAAGCAATTGGCAAATGGCTCCCGGCCTTGAAGGTCGTTGGTCTACGTTCTTCCACTCGGCCTCTCAGGACGCTAAAGTGCTGGAGTCTGCCTTCTTGATTGGTAGTGTTGTGGGCGCTTTGCATCTCTTCAGCATTCCTATCGACATTTTCCTCTTCTCGCGCTTCAAGAAGATTGCCGAATATCCACCGGATATGAACCCCCTGGAGGACAATCTCACCAGCAGGATCAACCGCAAACACACTTACAAGAGCAGCGACGCATCAGCCTCCATGTCTGAGCAAAGACTGGCCATGTTGAGCGGCAGCTCTCTTAGTCTTAGCAGCCCTACTCGTGTCTCCAACAGAGACTCACTCATTCCGGAGGCCAATGTCCGACCCATGTCTTTCTACAACTCACGCACCAATCTGGATGCCACCTATCCCGGACATACCAAGGATTCTGCTCGTCAATCCAGATTTGAGTACCAACAACCAGCATCAGCCTATGTATCGCAGGCCAGCATGCATCGTACTTCGCAGGCTCATGAGCGCGAACGTTCCCGCTCTCGCTCTTCACGTCCCCAGTCATACCAACGCTACGCAAATCAGAGACCCACCACTCGTGATTCTGTTCACGACCCAATGCCAACTCGCCCTCTCTCCTTCATCACTGCTTCTGAGAACATGAGCCGCACTGGGACTCCTCAATCAGGCCGTTCTTCCGAAAAGGACCAACCCGCAAAGGCTTTGACCAACGATAACTGGTTCGTCCTTGCAGACGATGATGCCGACTTGTCTTCTCCTCGCCGTACCCCTGTTCCTGAACTCGTTTCGGATCGCGACTCTAGTCCCGAGCTCCGTGAGCCTAACGTCACTCAGCTCCGCTTTGCCAGCGAAGAGCACAAGGAACTCCTGCCCCAGCCTCTTCGCACCAACCCTCCCACCCCTCCGAAGCATTCCTTCGATGCTGGTGATTTCTACTTCGATGAAATGCCCAATGGTACCCTTGAACTGGACGACTATTCCCTACGCCAGGCCCCATCAAACACAAGCATCGGTCGTGCTTTGAGCCCTCCCGCCCCTGAGGCTTCTGCCTTGTCCGCCAAGTCATCCATCTACTCTCAACACCCAGACGACACAAGCCGCTCGAGCACTCCCAGAACCAAGCGCTACGGCAATCTGACCCCTGCCATCACCAAACTTCAGGAACAGACTGTGCCCAGAGGCCAAGGTCGCGTCGTCAGCAGGTCTGGCGTCGACATTGCTGATGCGAGCGTAATGTATCTCTCATCTGACGATCCCTATGGCGCTCGCGCTCGCAACGTGAGCGGCAAGATGGCCGAAGAGGGTCTCGGTGGTACTTGGGCTAGAAAAAGACACGTCAGCGGAAAAACTTGATGTCTTGCTCTGGAAGCAAGAAAGTCGACTGGTCGATATAAGCAGGGGTTTGGATTAATATAGATAGAGCACAGACAGGCGTTACATTGAGTATGATTAGACGGGTATTTTTGTTATACGATGGAATGGGTTGAGATGATGATGGAACGAGGAACGATTTTTCGGTCTACAGAAAGTGTTCATAACACAGAGATACGTTGGACTATGTAGCCTGACGAAACAATAATTATAGTCCAAGTAACAAATTCTCCACGAGGAAGATATTGATTGCACTTTGATCATGATCATATCTATCATTTTCGGAAGCCGCACGGCGAAGCGTCGGCGTGTGGGGCGTGGCTGCCAAAGCCGACCACCTCTGTTGTCTTTGCAACGGCGATACCAAAACCTTGCCGGGTTCCAAACAAGAAAAGCCCAGGTAGGTCATGCTGCATATCTCATAAGCCTCAGCATCGCTGAAACAATCCATAGATCTAAAATCTGCAACGTAACAACACCTTCTCCAATCGCAGAGGCAAATATCCACGAGTTGTGATATTTGCAGAAGACAGACCCCCCGTCCACTCAGCTGCCAGAGTTATCAGAACTTTCCTGGAAGAGGGAATGCCAAAGATCACATACGCAAGCATGGCACTACTTCATGCCCGCCGAGTAGCACTCCAAACCATCAAAAATCTGCCAACCCGACAGCCATGTAGAAACTTCAGCAGCACAGCACGCGCACAAGCAGACTTCACACACGCAGTAATCGGCGGAGGAGCCGTAGGCCTGGCCATCGCTCGCCGCCTCCAACAACAACACAATGGCGGCACCACCACATCCTCAGCCACATCCACAGTCTTGATCGAGCAACACAAAGCCGTGGGCACAGAAACCAGCAGCCGCAACAGCGAAGTCATTCACGCGGGAATCTACTACGGCCATGGCTCGCTAAAGACAAAATTGTGCGTCCAAGGCAAGGAAATGCTATATCAACTTTGCGATAAACATTCCATACCCTACAACAATTGTGGGAAGTGGGTGGTTGCGCAGGACGAGACGCAAGCCGAGGCTGTGGCAAAAGTGCACGAGTTTGCAAAGAGCATCGGTGTGCCTACTAGATTCTTGAGTAGAGAAGAGGCACAGAGCAGGGAACCCGATGTCAGAGCCGAAACCGCCGTGCTCGAGTCGCCCACGACGGGAATTCTGGACAGCCATGCATACATGCAATTCCTGCACGGCAGCTTCCAAGACGCCGGTGGCGATACAGCGCTGAATGCAAAGGTGACTCGCATAGAAGCACCTTCCCCTTCCTCCCCAGACTGGAAAATCTACACTGCATCGCAAGAAGGAGAAACCGAACCCATCACCGCAGAAATCCTAATCAACTCTGCAGGTCTCTACGCCTGCGACATTTCAAACATGATTTTACCTGCCTCGAGACACACACGGCCCTTTTACGCAAAGGGGAATTACTTTTCCTACGCATCCAGCAACCCCAAACCTTCTGTTTTGGTCTACCCAGCTCCTGTGCCCGGTCAAGGCGGTCTGGGCACACATTTGACTCTGGATCTAGGCGGCCGCGTCCGCTTTGGCCCCGATGTCGAGTGGGTGGACTCTCCACACGACTACACACCCACTTCCGACCCTACACGCTTTGCAGCCGCCATAGCCGATATCAAAAAATATCTTCCTGGTATTGATGAGTCGGCTTTGGCGTTGGATTACGCGGGCATAAGGCCAAAATTGGGCAGAATGGGTGCGGTGGGCTCGGGCAAAGGGTTCCAGGATTTTCACATCAAGAGGGAGGAAGGGTATGATGGGTTTGTGAATTTGTTGGGGATCGAGAGTCCAGGGTTGACCAGTAGTTTGGCTATTGCGGAGGAGGTTTGGAGGTTGTTGTATCGATAGGGAAGGAAAAAAGCTTGAAAGGTGTGGTGGGCAAGTTGTGAAGATTTGTGTCTAGAGTTTGGGATGTAATCTTGTAGATGATTAGGATGATGGGCCGGCGGTCAGGCGTTTATAGAGGACCTTGCTTGATGTGATTATGGTAATTGTGGATCGATGCTTGTAGATTCAAGATGGTAATTACAATAAGTAAATATTTCACAAGTAAATTTACCCGATGCCCGAACGCCAAAAACCGTCATTCGAAATGATACAATCAATCAAACAAACCATTACAAAGGCACACCTTCATAGTCCCAACCTCCCTCGCCACGTTTGCGTCTGCGTCTCGTGTTCTGTCTGTTCGCAGCACACTTGACCATGATTGTCAAGATGGCCAACAGGAAAACAATGACACCAGCCACGGTAGGTATGACCACCGTGGGCTTATTCGTATCTCTATCGTCAGATCTGTACGGACAAATCTCATCCACACCGCTGACCCAACAATCCTTGGTATCGATGTCGTTGATGCTCAGCCAAAACACGGGCGCATTGTCATAGTCGGTCTGTCGGGATAAGAAATCCCACATGGCAGCAACCGCATATCGATTCTCGAGTGCGGTGCGAGGGACAGCGAAAGTATAGCCTTGGTCGCAAGCTTCGTAGCCTTGGTAGTAGCGATTTTTGGCGTCGCTGATGCTGAAGGTGTAGGGTGAGTCGTCGCGACGGCAGAGGAAGCGGTTTTCGTTGGTGCAGTCTACGACTTCCCAAAGACCGTTGTTGGCGAGGTTGGAGACTGCGCAGTGGCGGTTGGTCGTTGCTGTCGATAGACTGTCGCTGGGCTCGTCCGTGTCCCAGCCCCAGAGTGAATTGCGAATGAATGCACGATAGGTGGTCGCGTTGTTTGTTGCTGAGTTGCCTAGCAACGGCATGTCTAGTATGGGTGATATACCACATGACGACAAATCTAGAGCTGCACTAGATGTCGTGTTGATGATTGTATTGTTGGGTAGATTGCTGGAGATGGCCCATGAAGAATTTGCGATTGGGACTGTGATGTTGCTAGATTGATACAGGCAGCCAGCGATGACAGTACCATTGGAAGACAATGTTGTGTCAATATCGTTTGAGATAAAGCCAGGTGAAAAGACGGTTTCAGCATCTGCCTCAAAGTCATATTGCTGCATCTGAGGGTCCACTGTTCCGATGCTTGCTATGACACGCAGAGCACGCAGAAACATGATGATGCTCTCACTGGGCCAGCCGTTCTGTGTGTACACTCCAGATGCATTATCCAGAGGCAATATCGTCATATACTCCGCCGCTGGCGGATTGTCGATATTGCCTGCAAACCATGATTGATTCAGATTGGCTCTCTCGGACCGAAGGGCTGCTGGCGTGTATAGATATCGGGAGAGAGTCGAGTTGATAAGATCGCTGATGTAGTTACCTGAAGCGGGCAGCCTTTCAGGATCGGCTGAACTCGTGGTATCGGTGGGGTCATTGAGCGGAGCAGCCAAGCGCACGTTGAACTCGAGGTATTTGAAAGTCGCATTCAGGTCATTTTCGGTCACTTCAAAATACGCCGCCAGTACGTCGGTCAAGGTGGATATGCCAATGGTGTCTGTACATGAGTAGCCATCAATTTGAAGCCCGCTCTGCGACGGCTGTACAGCGGACGACGATTGAGATGCTGCAGCCGTGCTGTCTCCGTTGGTCGTGCTGCTTGGAGCGGCCGCAAGTGTAGCGCTCGTCAAAGCTGCACTGGTGCCAGATGCGGCTATAGATTCGGAGGCAACTTCGGAAGTTTGTCGGACTTGGAGTCCCCCCGAATGGTGCACGCCTTCATTGGCAGAAATCAAGGAACTGTGCAGAACATCCCGTACTATAGGTGCGGCCGTGTCTTCAGAAACCCTGGCCCTAGTCAGAGTAGCCGACGGACTTGTGGAAGAAGAGGAGGTCGAGAGGCTGCTAGGAAAGGCTCCAGTCCTGATAGGTGAGGTCGCATTTCCTTGATTGTCGAGTTCAACTGGACACAGACTCCATGTCTGTCGGCTCTGGTCCCAGTACAAGTCGACGATTATCCTATGAAATCCAACAGCAAGAAGATTCGAGAGGCATTGCTGTGCAGCAGCATCCTCGTAGCGATGATCCGAGAAACACACAGGGGTCAGATCAACACCCGGTGCGGTGACATGGTTGATTGGGATTCTGCTGGCTAGATCCCTTTGTGACTATAGTGAAGTCCCTAGTAAGCGATGCATACGCTATGTCGTATCGCTCGAACTTGTTCTTACTAGTAGCGCGGTATAGAGAGTGCCGGATTCGTCGGTCGAGGGGTCCGGGCTATAGCTTGAATCCATGGCGCGCAGCACTCCGGCCGGCGGGTGGCATATCACAGTTCTGCCTGCGACGATGTGCACCAAATCTCTCGAAAGAGATATCACCTCATTCAGCAGTCTCGGATCTTCACTGTGCAGAGGCTGGTTGACAGGACACGCGGTGGCTGTGGAGCCGTCAGTCGTCTGCAAACGAGGCTGTGCCAAGCGCCGATCGTCATGATCGATGCCGCAAAGGAACGCCGTGGCTTGGCTCGGACCGTGAACGTGCAAGCACCAGCAGATCGTCCGTCCTCTTTTGGCCGACAGACCCGCATTGGCCTACGAGGCTGGAGCTGTCCACTTCTTGCGGAATGCCAGTTGACAAACTGTGATATAGTAGTGGTCGAAGTCCGCATGTCACGCGTTCCTCGTCGCGTTACCTTCTTGCTAAGGACGACCAACCCTACGCAGTATCGATAGCGCACTGCCGGATGCTCTCTTCCCCAAGCCCCCGTGAGCCACAATTGCGGTATCGCATTCGGCCGTGCGATCAGGAGATACTTGCACTGGCGCGCAAAGCAGTTCAAGTCGCGTAGTCCAAAAGAGAGGCGCTACATGGTCCTCCTCGGGACGGAGAAGCATACCGTGAGTTGCCTAAACTAGCAAGGACGGTGTGGAGCAGAAGCCACACTTTCCTAACGCGAGCAGAGGACAGACCTTCGCACGGATGACACAGCCAAAAAATCGTGTCCCCTATTCGTTTGCGCAAGCAGACAAGCGCCAGCCGTCTCTTCTGTGTAGGGTGCTGCCGAGGTGCATCAGTTGGGATGTTCGATAATGCCGGCCATGCTGGAGAAGGGTTGAGGACGGGAGCAGCTCCTTGCAAGCCTCGAACGCGACATACACCACGGCTCCACAGCATGTTCCCCCCTATCAACATGCCAGTACCTAGGTATGCGAGCCTTCTCGCTAACGTGTCAGATTTGGACACACGCCAATGTGGTTCTGACTGCGTCTGTGGCACTGCAAGAACAATCAGATTTGTCAATTATTAAGCCAGCTGCATTCACTACCAAGGAACATTTGAGATGCCATACCCCAGTGTCTCTCATCTAAACCTCGTGGCTTACACGTGGAGAATGTTTCTGATGCCATCAACCAGAGTGACCAGGGGGCTTTCACCGTCTGCTACAAAAATATCAGCCTTCTGTGGGACTCTTCGTCGCGTCCAACGGCGAACAGAGTAAAAGTGTATCGCAGTTTCCTGAAAGCTATACCATTACTTTTGATGTTTCAGAGTCGGAGCTAAGAGTTGTGTAGTCTGGCGCTGCACAGTGCACAACACCCTTTGATGGCTTGGTGCTTCTTTGTGGTAGCCTCTCTGCGCTGTTCAACTCTGTCTCCTCTCGAACTCTTGGTAGGAAACTTTAGCCTTTTCGCGTCCTGAGCGGAAGCCAAACGGTCGGCCCGCGGCGAGAAACACGAACAGATCGAAAAAGAGTTGTTGCCAAACAGAAATCATGAAAGGTTTCGATCACTCATCTTGGTTCGCGACAGCTCTTCTCGCGTCGAATGCTGGGACGATCAATTCTCCCAGAGTTTCGCAGCACCCAGGTTTTTGGACGAATCACGGGAATGCGATCAGGTGAATACATTTTGATCATCTGACGCGATAAGACCTCGTAAAGGGTTCGATCGCCTACCTTCTCGTGACAACAGATAAGTGACAGGTGCTGCCGCTTACGCGCACAGGACGGAGAAGCAGGTCACGACTTGCAATCGGGCATAAGTAGCGTTCCAGACCAGAGATGCATAAGGGACCTGGGACAAGTCGGCAGGAAGGATCTTGGTCAACAGCATAGCGTGTAGTGTGGATACCCGTGCATACATAGTTTGTTCTTCTACACGGACACGGAGACGTAACTCTCCCCCCTGTGGCACTCTTGTGGTGGGGAGGGAAGGGAAGCACGGCTGAAGATCGAAACTCGTGAATACGTACGAGGCCAGCGACGGGATCAGCAGCAGCATCATCATGGTTGCGTGCTAGAGCGTTGACCTCCCGATGGTTAATCTTGCAAGGTGCAAAACGTCGGAGGGGGGATTCAGCTCCCCTGTTGCGAAAGTCGTTGCAACGCTTCCGTCCCCGGTGAGATGCGTTGTGACTGTTACGGCTGTTTGTGCTGTTATTTCGTTTCTGATGAGACTGGCAAACGTCTCTGGCAGTTGTGCTCTTCCTACAACGACCAAACGTGTTCGTACATAACGGTGAGATTGAGGTGAATAAGATTAATGTAATCAGAGCATGAACGGTGCAGTTAAACAAACAAAGGACCTGCAGCTCGGTGTAAACACAGACACAAGGACGAACGTAGCAGAACCTCAAGAGATAGTTGCATGTCTTCCAACAATGAGAATTCAGAACCACGTAAAGTAGGCTGTTATTGGGTATCTCGATGCAAGTGCAATCGTGATAGATTTTTGCGGTTTCATGTCTAAGAATAAAGTGCACTGTCTGCGTTTTCAGCATCAGTGGGAGGATGTTTGACAGGGAACAGCAACGATGAAGAAGATATACCGCTCGCTGAACGGTGTGCAGCTGTTGGATCTTGGGGTTGAGGCTGCAAGACACTCCAAGTGTTATAGATGATGGCAAAGGAGTTGAAAGATGTGTTCGATGATAGCGAATGATCATTAGAATCGAAAGCGATGCTAAAGCAAAACAAGTTGGGTATACACAATTCTCCATCCCTCAAACCCAGCACCATGCATAGATTACAAACGCCATGAAATGTAGTAAACCAGAAAGCCCAAGACGCCTCATCCCTCATTATTTACATGCAATCCCGATTCTGTCGTTGATAAAGGGTTTAGTTGGCAACAATGGCCGACAATCTCATCTTCTCCTTGGGGCTCTCCTTGCCGTCGCCGCCATCTTGAGCAAGCTCGGGATCAAGCGAGTGGTGCTGGTGAGCGGCGGCAGCCATGTGAGGAGGCATGTGTGAGAAGTGGTGCTGAGGAGCCATTTGCTGGTAGACGTGGGGAAGAGGTGCTTGGTGAGGATATTGCATCTGAGGGTACTCCTGAGCTTGGCGGTACATCATGGCAGCTTGGGGGTTGAAGGCCTCCTGAAGCATCTGGGGACGCTTAGTGCCATCCTCGGAGCGAGACATTTGCATGGGAATCTGGTAGCCCTCTTGGCCGGGAACAACCAGGCGCTGTTGCTGCATGTAGGAGCTGGAAGGGCGGCGGTCGACGTATCGCTGGTCTTGTTGGCTGAGAGGAGGAAGCTCGACGGGGGATGTGCCGTGAGGGGAGCGTTGCGAGTATGAAGAAGCGTCTGAAACTAGGGAAGGTGCGCCGTCTGCCGAAATTTGAGAGTAAGCACCAGGTGAAGGCAAAGGACTGTCGAAAGGAGACGCACGAAGAGTGCGACCGAACTGAGGAACACCCAGGGTCTGAGGATAATGAGCTTGCTGCGTGGCAATGTGTGCCTGCTGCTGGTAGATGGCAGGCAGCTGGTTCTGGTCGAAATACTGGGGTCTTTGCATGGCAGAGTTGAAGTACATGGCCTGCTCAGGCATGTGTTGCTGAACAACTTGGCCAGGCTGGCCAATCATCTGGTGTTGAACATGCTGCTGCTGTTGACGGGTTTCCATCTCGGCACGGCGTTGAGCGTTGCGTCTGCGGCGGTTCATGCCGCCATTCCACCAGTTCTTGACAGCGTTGTCGCTGCGGCCGCGAAGGCGACGAGCGATCTCGGCCCAGCGCTTGCCCATCTCGGCGACCATTTGCTCAATCAACTCACCCTCCTCGGGAGTGATGGGATCATGGTTGAGGTTGGGCTTGAGGTTCTGGTGGTATCTCTCACGGCACTGCTTGGGAGAGCGAGTGCCCATCATGCTCGAGATGCGGACCCAGTTGTGGGCGCCCTGAGAGTGGACAAGGCTCATGAGGATGTGATCCTCCTGCTGGGACCAAGGACCTCTCTTGTGTGCAGGCATTTTGAAGGATCAAAAGACTTGAAGGAATGTAGAAGTTGGAACTGGAAAGGCTGTTAGATATGGTTCATGGTCGCGAGGTGGTATGAGGTTGTAAGGGAATACACGTTGCGACAACGTGGATAGCAGGCATTGATGATGGTATGATGCTTACCTAAAGTCAAGCTTGAAGCTATGAAAGGAATGTGGTAGAGGACAGTGTGTCTGAGGCGATGAGGATGGAGGAGAAGTAAGACAACGGGGAGGGATAACGAGGTCGTTATAAAGTCGATGCAAGACCAGTTGGGATGTTGGATGGCTGTTGATGTTGCGACGAGGTCGTTGTATTTGTATCGAGCACAGTGTTTAACGGTATCAGGAGGAATTCCGAATCCGTCACAACGATGGGCCTAAACGGACAGCGGGGCAGGTGCGTCAACTCCTGTTGAAGTTCCAAGAGGGGCAGGCTTTGGGTCTGGGTGATGTCGATAGTTCTCACGGAGGTAGGTTGGCGGCCGTTGTCGAAAAGCAGGAGACGGACGGTTATAACGGTTGGAGGCCAGGTCCTGATGAGGAGGGAGCATGTCAAAAGAAGGGGATCTAGGGCTCAATTGTACTTGGCCCTTCCCGCTAACGTCAGAGTCGAACTTTATCCAGATCGCTGGGTGATGGGCGATGTGCAGCAGGGATGGTGAGCATGGCCATGCCAGAGGCTTGCACCAGTCCCGACGGCGCCGGCGCGGTCCCCCTTGCCTCGTCGCTCGCTCGCTCCATCAACCAAGAAAACCCACTTTGAGTCCTTGGCTTTGTTGCTCGACGCCTACTGCAGGTCATCGGACGCCGTTGCAGGATCTTCGCGGTTTGACTCTGGCCCGCCCCCCTTGTGCGCGTATAACGACCCAAGACTTTTGAGCGTTGGCCTTCCCAAGCTGGGCCGTACCGAGCTTGGGAAGGCGTCATCCACGCCCGCCGTTCGATGCAGAAAGCCGTTTGGAATCATTCGAAACAGTCAACAGCCAGTAGTCAAAGATGAGGATCAATAACAATGAAATCGGTGTTCACCTTGACCTCTCTGTTCGTCGAACTATCGTCTGCTGTGTGCTCAAACATCCACACACTATGCAAATTTTGTGCGCCATTCGCTTCTTTGGCTTTTGGAATACTCGCGCACTTGCCGCATCGCCGAGCAAGGCCCTTGAGCCTTTTGGCCGCACTTGCAGTCATAGACCACGCCCCGGGTCCATCTAACACGCACTCGGAATCCTCTCTGACCGCGCCATGCCCTGTTTGGACGGTTGGCCATCGCCAAAGTTAACCCTTCGCGCGGCCCGTTAACAGCAACTGCTTTTCCCCCTTCTACCTCTCTCCCCTTGCGCAAGCGCACTGCTTCTGCATGGCCTTGTTGTGCCCGTTGGACCTGTCTGCCAACTGTCACAACTTCTCCTTGTAATTTTACTGTCCACGTTTGCAAGCTGCCTGTCACAACTTCTTGTTGATGTGTTTTGTTTAATTTTATAAAGCGAACCAACCCCCTGCACCCTTATGCAACTTTCACTCACGCCGGTGGGGATCGTGCAGATCTTCGCGCGTTAGCACTTTGTCAGTGCCTTCCAGCTGGAGCAACACCAAGCGGCTCCCTGCATGCATCTCTCAAAGCGCCAAAACTTGACTCCTTCTGAGAGCTTCTTCGGCAATTTTCATGCTGCTGCCGTCGCCAGCCGCGGTTAGACACGCTGTCTTGTTCAACTTCAATCATCATCATCATCATCATCATCATCATCGTCAATATTATAGTAGCCGCTCATCAGAGAATGTCGTCTAGGAATCCTTCGACTCGGTCACTCCGGACGACACATTCCAAGACGTCTCGTCCATGTAGATTCCTACCATGAAAGACATGTTTCAAAAAGAAAATCCTGACATGATGGGATTTCTCGGACGTGTGAAGCTCGCCGAATCGACAAGGTTCATATTTGAAATATCCTCTTGGCTAGCGCGTCTCCTTGTCTACCAGTCCGCATTCGCCCTCTTCTCCAGACTATCTTGCCAGCCTAACCGTGACTGTCTGCACACTAAGCCTCTTTCGCGGCTGATCTTTCGCGATTTGAAGCCCCAAGTAGGAAAGCTTGATCCCTACGGATCCCATTTTCAGCCGTACTTTGTTCACGAGGCTCTCAATGTTGGTACACTCCCTAGATCTTGCCCGGATTTTCGCCTGGCTACAGCAACATATGGTCTTGTACCTACTACCGAGATGTCAACAGTCTTAGGCCCTGAGACCTCTTGTGACAGCTTTTCCGAAGATTCAGGTCTGCATACCACATCAAGGAAAAGAGTCATGAGCACACCACACCATATCATACCTCAATGCAAATGTCTTGGACCACATCCAACTTGCTGGGATTCGAGACATTCATCTAATAATGCAGACAAGAATAGCTACACTACGTTGAGTCGCAGGCTGCGCTGCACTGCACAGTTGCTTGAGCGTCCATGGCATCTTCGTCGAGCATACCCGGAGAGGTGTACGTGCCCAGATTCTCAACCAAGGCGTTCTTACAAGATGCCGGGGTCCTTTAGTTTCAGTGCTGCTGCAGTTTAGCCAGCATGATCAGACTGGAGCCAAATATGCAGGATGCTGCATATCTGGAATCCACGAGCCATTCCTGATTCAATACAGCCTTATGCATGGCTTCTCAAATCGATCTGCAGTACACGAAACACAGGCGACTCCGAAATACATGGTTGCTGTTGCTGCGTGTCGGTCTCGCCGTGCCTGGCGCACATTGTTATGGCCGTGTGATAGATAGGCAACGTCTATCGCGGGTTGCGCAATAACATTGTCCGGCGTTGAGCGAGGTCTGGCTCAGACGTTGTCGGGCCGCTTCCAAGCCTTTGTGGCAAGAGATCAATATCAATTGAGCGCGGTCGCTCTGGTCAATCTCGTATGACATCGCGTTTAAGCCGTTACTGTTGCGGTGATCATTCGTTCATCTGTCTGACAGTTGGCAGATATGAAGTCTTGATTGGGCCCAGTCGAGGGCATTTACGCCCGTAAGGAAGGGTCTTGTCGCCACGCTCGTATATCAATGAGCAGCAGCCAATATTTGACTGCGAAGATCTACGTACGTGCAAACCCATATGTCTCTGGATTAGACAGCATCGCAATCAGAAGCACATGGCGATGTGCCACAACGTGATGTCGACATCTCACAACGGGTGGCTACCATGGTCTTGGAGCTGAGTTACGCACGTCAGTCATGCGCGTCTACTTCGATTCCGACACTTACTGCTTTGGGACACACCTCTACGAGTAGGTCTGCTTCCTTTTCCTAAATTCGATAACCAAATAGGACGCGGCACGCAGTGGGTCGCATCCATCGTCACGCCGTATCCCACAATTGTTCGTTTTTAATATAACATGCCGACCCACAGTCTTGGACATGGAAACACACTCTCCCTACGGGCGTAATTGCAGCAGCAGCTAGCAGGTGAGTATGGAACATTCTATTATTTCCAAGACGCGCGAGCATGGGTCGTGCAGCGTCATGGGGGCCTGCATGTCTCTTGAGCTGCAGCCACAAGCAGAAGGATTCAGAAGTCCATGCTACAACACGTCGTTGATCACCCGAACCTTGGATTTGTCTGCGGAGGAGCACACCAGTGTGGTTAGTCGCGCTGTCGGGGCGACAAATCGGACATTCGAGTACACGTCTCTTTCAATCGTTTCTAAACGCAGGATGTGTGATTTGCTGATTGGCAAGATGGGCGGCATTTTTGCCTTGTGCATTTACAGCACTGCGAGCATGCTGCGCAGAGTCTAAACGGTGATGTGCCTTGCGTCTTCTTGTCAGCCTCATCTCGTGCCACAGAAGGGTCGTGGGGGTATGTCCATTATAGTACAAACGGCCTACCACTTCATAGATAAGGTGCCCGTTCCTCCCGCCCGACGACAACGGTACGGAGATATCTTGACGACATCCAGATTACATGCTACTCATGCCATTTCAACTTCACTACACCTCTCGAAGTAATTGCACAAGGATATGACGGCCTGTCTTGCAGGGTTGTTTCCTTCGCAGGTTCTGCTGCGCGCCGAGGTTTCCCAGCTATCTTAGTCGCATGCAGGAAACACAAATCATCTGCGCAGTGGGGGCCGTGCTGGCTTTTGCAGCAAATGCTGCCGATCACTTCTTCCTCACTCTCATATCCACCTCTCCACTTCTGAGCAAGCAATTGTGCTGTTCCTCACTGACTCTTGCATTGATGCAGCCCTATCATTCCACACGACTGGGCAATGTTCCCGCTTTCGAATATATTTTGCTTTCCGCCTTGCAGCGAACGATGCTCGCTCAGATGGCATCGGTTGGTCAATGTGCACTGAGATCACTCTAGGTTCTGTGATGCCTGTGACGAGCTCGACCATTGAAGCGCCCAACGCGCGATGCAAGAACAAGCAATGCTTCATCGCGAGTACATTGCCAGAAAGCCACCGCTGTGACTTGAGTAAGCAAATACACGTACCGATGACGAATCCGGAAAGACTCGTCCGGAGATGAGAGCTGGTTTCATCACACATTCACGATTGATTGGGATATCGTCTATGGAACAGAAAGATTGTGAGAAACAACGCATCTTTGACGGACAACTTAGACGATGCTTGCCTTACCTGGTTCCGGATGATGATGGCGGATCTGCACTACTTGTCGCCGTGATGACCCTGCTCACATTTTGACAAGCCCTCTTCGACCAGTCACCCACCATCTGATCTCTCTCTGGTCAAGTACGAGGTACAAAGATTCTGTACAGTACGAAACCTTCCTTGTTACTTCCTTACATCAGATTATGTATCCCATTGACAAACACTTGGAAACGCGATTGCACTATCTAATGCACCTTCCAAACACGCTACTGCACAGCATGGAGTTCAGCTGGACTGGCGTTCGAGTAGCCACAAACCTCAATTTAGTATCTTGGATCGAGCTTCAGTAGTGATGAAGAGATGCCGGAGTGAATTGAATATAGGTCCTTTTTGTGGCCGATGCTCTACTTGACCGACTTTCAGGATGCCGTCAGGCATGAAGCTCGACGGAGTATATCGAAGCTCGACCGCACGGCAGCTCTCTGAGCTTGGGAAAAACGACCTTGCAGATACCGAATCTGACCGAGCAGCTTGCACTACGTCTCCTCCAGTCTCCACACCTATGACACTGGGCCGGCTCAGCTCGTGTATGTCTACAGTGTACCCGGGTACGTCCCGTGAGTAATAACAATCGAGAGCTCAAGAGATGGTGGTAGATGCTACATGTAAGATCCAGGCAAAACTTGCCTCTCGATCCGATGAGATCGAAGGTACAAAGATACATATCTGCTTCATGTAATACCGAAACACATGTCCGAGCAAACGACAGCTGAACGTCACTTCATCACCACCAGTTGTCACATTCCCTCGAGAACTACATTCGCACTTCTCATCATGCCTATTATCCAGAATCATCTTCAGATCTACGACAAACGAAGAGCAGTGTCACTAGTCTCTGGACATCACAATAAACACACGTTAATCAGTCCCGATATACGCGTCAATGTCTTCACTGTTATTCGTAAGCAAAAGTTCTGCGATATTTCTGCTGGTGGCAATTTTCATCAACTTAACAGACTTTTCAAAGTATGCGATGAGACACGAGACCCACGCAAAGTCTATGAAAGACGCTGCTCATCACAACACCGTACCTCGTATACCGTAGGTCCTTGGCCGTTACCTATCAAGTTCCAGAGATCAACAGTTTATCAGAAAAGATTCCGGACTAGCAGATGATCACCAAAATACACGAGGAAGAGCGGATGCCGTGATTGAGCGCGAAGCTGTCCACCGATAGTAGGTCAATGGCAAGATCGCCGTTCCATCATATCAATCACTTCCACCTTCGACTCTCAATTGTCATGAATCGACCACTCAAGTCGAAGGGAACGTTAAGCTGTACCGATCACCCGTACCCCTGCTGCCCGTGCAGAAAACAAGAGTTTCGGAACTCTAGCTTTTTTCAAATTTTTGATATCATTTATAGTCTTTCGATTTCGATATAAGCAGTGAAAGACATGCGACCGGAGTTCCGCTGGGCCTTGTATGACAGTTGACCCTTTAAGATCTACAAAGATTGATTAAGCTTAATCGATGTTTCAGATCTCACTCTCTCTTTGCTGCGCGTGACGTTAATGTATCTTGGTTATGTTGAGACACCTTTGATGAGAAGCATACTGTTCCAAAGGCTTATATAAAGCAGAGGGCGAAAAGAGGCGAAAGTAACGCGTAAAGTGTCATATCGCAAAGATAGCGAGCCACCATAAAGCATAGGAAACGGGCAGAACCGGGCGAGCATGGAGGATCTATCGCTGTTAACAAATTTCGCATTTTCTAACGACATCGCACGCGAAGTAAGATGGTGTAAGAAGACGAGTAGCTCTATATCGTTCATAGGAAACAATGCAATTGTAAAGATAGTCTAAAAGCCCGATCTCCTAAATAGTCTTATATGTACATTCTAAAGAAAGCTTGAAATTATACAGAATTGCTCTTCTGCTGTTACGGCCGTGCTCTCTTTCCGTTTCCAAATACTAGATAGCCCTGATCGCTCTTTTACAAATACGAGCATCCATTCCTCGATCTTCGCCTAAATGCATAACAATCTTTCTATTGTCGACAGTAAGAAACAGCCCCTGCAAAACTCAATTGCCTAAACTCTCCACACAAAACGTGTATATTCTAAGACACATTAGTAGAAATCGCATTCTTGGCGACAAAGAAAAGAGTGTAAAGTTATTCCAAAATTCAAGCATCACTTGCAGATATAAGACACACTTGTAACAGTTCCAAGTCCATGAATTCATCATCACCCAAGATATACTATGCTGAATCTAAAGTGCATGACTCCCGGAGTGGACTCCCTTGGTTTGAAGATATGTGATTATACTTCCCTCTCGTCCGCCCGCGTCCCTGAGACCGCGAGGTATTCAGTCGATCTTTTGACATTCTGCAAAGATTGGACACCAGCGAAAACAGGCAGTAGAAGATAGAGTTTCGTGACTCAGCGTGTAGGTATCAAATATCGTATGACGCGATAGATCTTTTTTGTGCGCCCACAGAGCAAGACGACAGAGATCAATCACCATGCCTTTCCCCGTGTACAAAAGGCATGTAACGCATGTAATCATCAAAATGCCCAGTGTTGTCAAGGACTGGATCGTATTCCATCGAGATGCAAGTGTTTCCTAGGGCCTAGGCTCTCTTTGGATCCATCTTTGATCTGAGAGAGATCACTGTGCCTTGCTATAGTGAGCATTGTGTTCTACACCTCTCATAGGAGAGAGGAGCTTAGAGGACAAGCAGCTACGAAGTCTAGCACACGAGGGAGGCGAAAGCAATGTGCTGATGTCGATGTGCCTAACTTTGAAAGAAAACCATAGCTATGCAACGCCAGCGCTCCGGAACCAGATAAAGAGATGCAAAAGCAGTTGTGAAGGAGGAAAGAAGCACCCGTTCACACTTCCTGCACCCGATGACCACCACGTGGCACATCCTTCAACCAGATATCGCCCCCTTCGCCCTTGACCCATCGTCTCCAAGCCTCCTCATACGCATCCTCAAGATCTCTTGTCCATCTAGCCGTATTGAACAAAGCAGACGTCCACCTCGATTCCGTCAAAATCTTGCGAAGATCGACCAATCTACCTTGACCTCTGCCAACTTCAGCTCCTGACTTTGGATATGTAAGTCCTTTGCCCAGGCGCACAGCCATCTCTTCATACTCGGTGTCTGAGGATGCGATCAGATCTTTCTCGGCATTCTCACGGACTTCGATTGGTGTTTTGGGCAGTGCGCCTTTGAGTATCGAGGCAGCCATGCGACTGCACATTTTGTACTCGTAGCGCGGTAGCGTGAGCAAAGGCGTGCCGCTCCACAAGCAATCGGCCGCCGTGGTATGCGCATTGCATTCAGGAGTGTCCAAAAAAAGGTCGCAGACTCTAGCGCGGCTGATGTGTAGATGCTTTGGAGCAACATCTGTGAAGATAATACGAGCGGCTACTGCAGCGCCCGCCCATGCCTCTGCAGTGCGTTTGAGATACATCTCGCCCACATCAGGGAATCTTAATAGCCAGAGAATGCTGTTTGGAACCTGAGAAAGGATGCGAAGCCAGGTGCGGAAAGTAGTTGGCTCAATTTTGTAGAGCTGGTTGAAATTGCCAAAGATTACAACATCGTCGGCAAGGGAAGGGAAAATCTCCTTTCTCATCTCCCAGCGTCGAAATTGTTCTTCATCCCAGGTTAGCCTACGTTCTTCCGAGTCTGCCGCACTTTGACGATGGTCGCAGCAGAAGAAGGTATCTCGGCAGTATACAAGGTTCTCAGCGTACACCCAATCGCCCTCCTCACTCTCGCCTTCGCGAAGCAGTTGGTCTTCGACGTCGAGATTTCGGCGCCACGGACGGAGTGCAGAAGGTGGCACAGCGGTATCGTCGGCGAGAAGATAGTCGCACCATTCAGCTCCCAGAGTACCTGCAAATCCCATAAACGACATCTGTATGGGAGCCGGGCGGGCAGCAAAGACCTCGTTGCGAGCACCCCGAGTGTATCCGTTGAGATTGACGAGGATATGGATACCATCCGACACTATTTGATTGACAAGGCGTTCTGTCGTCCAATTGCTAACGTTGTAGAAGTTGGGAGATTCTTCTTCAATCTTGCGACGGTAAGGTGAATCGTCCGAGGCGGTAGTTGCGTAGCAAAACGCTTCGACCCTTCGCTGATCGTGCAAGCCAAAGACAGACTGCATCAAGTGCGCCAATGGATGGTTGTTGAAATCTGATGAAATGTAGCCAACTTTCAATGTTGGAGACGGAGGTGCTGGCGGAGGATACACATCAACAGGCAACCAAGGCATACGAAGCGTCATAGTCGAAATGCGTTGTCCATTGCGTTCCGAGATAAGGCGGACCTGCTTAGCCGAGACTGGACAGGTGAAGGTGTGGAAAGGCAATACCGTAGGCGCATTCGGGACATTAAGGTTAGCAGGAAGTTGGGGCCTGCGATAACTGGACCTGTGCGTCTTCCGCACGTGCTTGTCTTGGTACCAGTGCCAGCCAATGCGTCTCGTCAGACGTTCGACAAGTTTGATGAGACGCGCACCTTCCCACTTCTGACCAGACCAACCCGCGATGATCTTGCGGAGATGTTGTCCAACCGTTGTATCAGCATCGAAAACTGTGATCTGCTGCACGATTGAATCGATGAAACCCGGCGTGAGGATGCCACGACCCCAACTTTCGCCTTCCTTGAGCTGCTTCTCAACAATGTCGACGACACGATTGATCCAGCCCAAAGTGGATGACTTTGACAGTGCTGCGCTAAGCAGCATGCCATCCTGATCTACGTGCCAGCGGTCGCGCTTTCCATCGTCGGCAGCGACTCCTCCCCTTCCCTGCCACGAACAGACAGAATTGAGCGCGTTAGCAAGGCCACATACAGCCTCGGCAAAGTCAGGGTTGACATCGACGGCTCGCTTGTAGTATTCGATAGCCTCCGCAATTCTCCCCTTATCCTTGACAGCATTCGCAAGATTTGCTAATGCTATATCGAATTTGCCGTCGCACTGAATGGCTCTTCTGTACATCTCGACGGCAGCATCGAGCTGGCCGATATCTTTGAGAAGACTTCCCAAGTTCGTGTAGAGATGCGCATGTCTAGAATCGAGCATTAAACCATGATTGTAGTACGCTAGAGCAAGTGCAATGCCGCTCCCTGGATGCACGCCAGGGATATCCTGTTTGAAAACGTGAGAGCCTTGGAAGGTCATTGCTGGCTGGACCGACTGCTGGACACTAGCCAGAAGGATGCCAACATTGTTGGTAGTGGATGGGCTAGGCTGCAACGACAGGGATAGGTAGTAGAGCGCAAGAATCTCCCTTACACCCGACACCATGGGCTTTCCACCAGCGCCTTGGATGTTTCTGCCCATGCCATCCTGGAAGATCTTCGCAAGCGAGAGGAGAGAGTTACTCGCTATTGCAACTGCGGCGCCTTTAGCGGGACTAGAAGGCGAGGCAGGCACATCACGTAAGCCCGACAGTTCTCCCTGATTTGGAAAGCAAAGACGAGCTGTATTCGCAGCTTGCTCAGGATAGAGAAGCACCGGATCGGTGGGCCCAATGTGCTCAGGATGCGAGGCAGTGATGACGGATAGGATGTGTTTTACAAGCTGTGAGATGCTCGAGAACACACGGCCAGTGGCAATGAGCACAGCGTCTTCGAAGGCCTTTGCTGCACCGTTGTTGTCGCCCAGGGTGTAAAGCATGTTGCCCTTCGCGTGCACCAATGCGAGCATACGGCCATTATCAGCGCCTGGAATAGCGTATCCACTTGACCCAAAACCAGGTTCCCTCGGGCTCGAAGGCTCGCGCGAGAACTCACCGTCCAATTCGAAGTCATAAACTGCTGGGTCGGAAATTTCAGAAGTGCAGGGCGAGCGACTTGCGTTGGACGACTTCTCACTCTGGTGATCAGAAGTTTTGTGCGGCTCGTAAACTTTCAAAGACCGTAATGATCGTTCGACGAACTCGATGACCTTGATAGCTTCCTTCCCGCGAGACGTGCTGCAAAGCAAGCCGACCAGATGTTCGACTGCTTCGAAATAGTTGGGCGCGAACTTGACGACCTTCATCCAGTACTCCTCAGCCTCTTTCTTTCGCTCGAGAGCCACTAACGTTGCAGCTAGATTCGACATGGCCTCGACATGTCGGGGTTCGAGACTTAGAACTTTCTGGTAAAGGTGCTCGGCCTTTTGATAACAATCAAGTCCGTACGCGATACAGCCAGCAAGGTGTATGCCATCAGTCCATTGCCATGATGCTTCATCGCAGTATCTTGTGAGTAAAGCCAAAGCGCTCGCCGCTCGGGCTGGTGGTGACGCATCATGCATTGGCGAGACGACAGCACCAGGAGAAGGTAGGGGCGTTGAAGAGGAGATCGAAGTCGGCCCGTAAGGGTAAGCGTTGCCATAAAGTGCTGACGAGACGTTGCTGTGAGCAGAATGAGAACTTATCAAACCAGCCGAGTTTCTTGACGAGAGGGATCCAGAGAATTTCGGGGGCTTCGGATAGAATCTGGGACCAGGAGACGAAGCCTGGTAAGGTGATTTGTACTGTCGATTCGTCTTACGAACTTGTTGAATGTACACGAGAAGCTCCCGATAAGTCTGGAGGGCCCAATTGAATGCTTGCTCACGTTGTTGCGCATTCGCAGGAGAATGGCCGAAATTATGAGCGTAATCAAGCGTACATGGTATGCTGTGAGCACCCGCGAACGAAGGGTAAATTGGAGGTCCACCGTTATCGTAACCAGGCCATGTGTGAGTGGAGGCTGGGTACACAAGACCAGGGTCGCCAGCAATCCAGGAGTTTGCGGATCCGGGCACTGAGTACTGCCCGTCATGGTGTGAGTAAAATCGAGGATCTCTAATAGCGGCAGGACGGTATGGAATGTAGGTTCCATCGTTCCAGTAAGGACCATAAAGACCATGACCATCTACACCAGACGCAGTAGGACCGAGGTATTGAAAAGACGGTTGCATGACACTCGGAACAGATTGACCGTAGTAATGATACAACGGTGGATTCATGTAACGTGGTGGTGGAAGGGCTTGCTGGTTCATAACAGAATCCATGTGAGCCATGTGAGGCGGCTGACCGTAATGTTGTGTACTGTCACGGCGATGAAGCAGCATGTGCTTGGTAGGTTGCGATCCATGACTGTTACTTTCGTATGCGCCGTTGAGGGTCCCATTTGGGGTTTTTCTCCGCAAGGTGTTTTCAGATAATACCGGCCGCGGTGTCGAGCCACCGTAAGGGCTGTTGAGAGGCTGCGCGAATTGAGCATTCTGGGAGCGATAAGAGAAGTAATCGTCGCGATATTGGTGTCGGTTATAGTCATAGGGCGAGGGATTTGGAGGCCGAGGCCGTGGTGACAAGGCGACATCCATGATCACGTTGGTAGAAGGTTGTTGTTTCTGACAGCACAGCGTGCCTCTAGGGCTTTCACCGGAGTGCACCTGTGCCTATGCCTGTGCGAAATAAATTCGAATTAAGGCACGACATTGCCATTCATGTACACCAGTCGAGAGTGGCTTCTGACCAACGTTCCGATAATATCTCTTGCAGCAAGCCTAACAATCACTCAAAAGCGACGTACGGCATGCAGGTGTCAAAACAGAATATCCCAAAAAACTGGCGGACGGGAGAAGACGTTGCTTAAGCTGTGGATGCAAGGGTTGAACGGTTGGTAATCGAGACAGCGACTCGGGGCTGACAGAGCGGATTCAAAGGATCCAAGACAGAGAAGGGAAAGGGAAATGATCCCCAGATGAGGACAACTGCAGATTATGTAGGCGGGCAACCGACGGGACCATGTAACGGAGACGTGTGACTGGATCCGGGAATAGTGCAGATATGTCACGCAAGATAAAGATGGAACGGGAGTGGTTCGGAAGCGAAGGACGAGGAATGACTGCTGCCCGCCGCCTGTCGATGCAGCCAGATAATCTGCGACGCTTGCTTGCTGTTCGGATTAACAGCGAAAAAGGAGAGGAGCGGGAAGAGGTGCTTTTGAATGGGCCAGCAATCATCTTTCAAAAACATCCGAAGGAAGCAGCGTGATGGGGCGTGCTCGGCAGGGAGCGGGCATGTGCAATTCCTGGATACGACTGCAGTGGAGTCCTTGTATGGAGAGAGACACGAATCAGAGCCCCCAGCCAGGGCTTAAGATCGGCGCGTGGGATGCGCCAACCAACATAAACGGCCCGTGTGGCACTCGCGCTCATTCAATGCTCCGAGGACTGTAAACCATGGCCCGTCGCAAATCTCGTTGCTGCTGGACACGTCGAACATCCTATCGTCCGAGTTGCATTTCATCCTACCACTCGGTGACAAGCTGGCTCGTTTCAGAGCCGAAGTTGGTCGTCCTGTCAGCGTCGGGGAAGGAGTGCATTGGCCCGCATGGCGTGGGCTGCTTTGTTAAACTGAGGTTGATGAACGAGACTAGAGCCTTTGTGGCTTGCATCGACACGCATGATTCCTTGGACTGGGAAACTCGCGTCGTGCAGGCGGGTCATACCAACAGAAAGTAACCACGTCTTCCAGGGACAGCATATTAATACTCGGTGTCCAAGCGGCTGACAGCCCAACGACTGCCCCTTGAGCAGCACTATCACCGTTGGGAGATACAGGGAAATTATGGGGACACAGAGAGAGTTGGAGCCTCTTCGCACGTAGCCGCGCAGTGGCGAGTACATGAGGCGCAGGGTACAGGTTGCGGCATTGTTGCGCACTGCAGATCACTGCATGGTGATGAGGGTAGCATGACTGCATATGATTGATTGTGCTACGCTAGGATGTGTGTACAAGCGAAGAGATATTGACCTTAAACATGGACCAGTATGCCCACGCTCCGAAGAGTAGGCATCCCGGTGAGTAGTAGGACAAGATACATCTTGTTTGCACCAAAATAGGGCTAAACCACGGCAAATATGGGTAGAGTCCAGAGTGTTGGCAAACTGAGTGATGGAGAAGGTAGAAAGGAAATGCAGAGGCACGAGGCACCATGGTGGGAAAGGTAGAAAAATCGTTGGGTATCATCACTGAAGAAAAAGCGCAAAAACTTTTGAGCGCGTAGGTGTTCCGTTAGAGTGCTACATAGTAGACGTTTACTCCTCAGGGACTGGAAAGGAAATTAGCAGAGGTTCAAAGGAGGACGGTTGCAGGTCCGAAACTCACTCTCGATCTCGCCGGACTCGATGTCGTCGGAGACGTCCTTGGGGCTGCGGCCATCGACCTGGCAGCCGGTGGAGAAGGCAGTTCCGAGGATCTCCTTGACGGTACCCTTGAGGTCCTTGGCCATGGACTTGAAGCGCATGGTGCGGGCAATGTTGATGATCTCGTCGAGAGGAACAGACTTGGTGTGCTTGATGTTCTTCTCCTTCTTGCGGTCACGTGGGGGCTCCTTGAGGGCCTTGATGACGAGCGAAGAAGCCGAGGGGACGACCGAGACGGCGGCTTGACGGTTTTGGATGGTGAGCTTCACGGTGACGCGAAGACCCTTCCAGTCGCCGGTGGCCTTGGCGATATCTTCACCGACCTTCTTGGGCGAGAGACCGAGGGGACCAATCTTGGGAGCGAGAGCAGATGAGGCACCAACTTCACCACCAGTGGCGCGAAGGTGGATCACCTTGATCTCGTTGGGGTCCATCTTGGGAGCTACAAGTTCATTTACATCAGCCTGGCGCTCGCATAGCTGCCATTTCAAAAGGACGATACTTACGCATGGCTAGTACGTAAGGTGGTCGGTCTCTTTTGAAAAATTGAAAGGGGGCCCTGAGGGTATGTTGTCGTCGTTGTTAATCGTCGCGGAGGAAGAAAGAGAAGATTGAATGCGCAGCTCGAAAAGAAAATGCAAAGCGTGCGGCGCCAAGCGAGGACAGCTACGGCTGTAACCGAAGGGGAGGGTTGGACGCACAGACGCGCGGGAGACGGAGCTTGCGGCGGCTTGGAGCGTCTCAGGTTTGGTGGCAGTTGCTTGATGACACGGAGTCGACTTTCCACTTCTGTTCACTTCTACTCGACACTGTCCACCTTTGCGATTTCTGTTCTACCTACCCTTCACTCTACACTCTTCACCCCCGACCGAGCGAACAGCGTACTGCGACCCTACTCCACCTCCTCACACCTTTGACTGCCTTCAAAATGTCGGCACCACCTCAGCAACCGCCGCAACAGCAGCAAATGCCGCCGCAAGAGGGCCAGCCCCAGCAGGGCCAACCACAGATCAACTTGATGCCCGCAGGACTCCAACCCGGCCAGCAGCCCACTCCCGAGCAGATCCAAGCCATGCAGCGTCAACTGGCCATCGAGGCGCAAAAGAACGGCATGACTGTCCCGCAATACGTCGAGCAACTCAAGGCCCAAGCCATGCGTCAACACATGCAACAGCAGCAGATGCGCCAGCAACAGATGCAACAACAGCAAATGCAGCAACAGCAACAGCAGCAGCAGCCTATCACCCCCGGTCCTCCCAAGCCCGAGGCCATCGCCGTTGCAACCTTTCTCCAGAGCCAGGATCTCAAGATTCGCACATGTGTTTTCCAGGAGAAGCGCAAGGATATGTTCAAAGGTGACTTGACTCCACCTCGGCACGATCCAAGCATTTTCTAACACCAACCTCTAGTCAAGCGTGCGATCCGTGCTCTTGAATCACCCGCCTACGAAAAAGCTCGCGCAAAGAACCCCCTCCTGCCTCCCGTTACCGATCGCGCCAGTGCCGAGAACACATTCAAACTTCTCCCCATGTCTCTCCTCGCCCTCCGCGTTTCCAAGATCGAACCTACAGCCGAGCAGCAAAAGAAGAAGCGCGTCAAGGGTCTATGGAACGTCAAAGTCGAGCAACAGCAAGAAGCCCGCGACGAGTTCCACTACGTCTGGCTCTACGAAGGCCCTCAATGGAAGACCAAGCTCTACGCTGTCGGTGCCCTCGCCCTGATTCTCGCTGTTGTCTTCTTCCCCGTCTGGCCCTACAAGCTGCGCATCGGAGTCTGGTATCTGTCCATGGCATGTCTGGGCCTCCTGGGTCTCTTCTTCGCAATGGCAATCTTCAGACTCATTCTCTTCCTCGTCACAATGTTCACCGTACCCCCCGGCCTTTGGCTCTACCCTAACCTCTTCGAAGACGTGGGTTTCTTCGACTCGTTCCGTCCAGTGTGGGGCTGGCAAGAAACTGCAGACGACAAGAAGGCAAAGAAGGAGCAGAAAAAGGCAAAGAGAGAAACCAAGCGTCTGGCGAAACTCGGTAGTGAAAAACTCGCAAATGTGGGCAACAGAGTGCAGGAGATTTTGGATGATGGACATGGTCATCATGGACACAGTCACGACGGACACGTGCACAAGGAGGACATCTCAGCTCCTATCATGCAGCCTGCTGCCGAGGGCACGACGGGGGCACAGGTCGGTGGAGGTCAGGCCAAGCAGCGTATCATGGCTGCCAGTGTCGAGGAGGCCGACGACGAGTAGAATATGTGCACATCTCCGAGATGCATCCGCATCTGTGCAAGGCTTCCACACGAGAAAACGCAGTTTGTATTGGAGTCTAGCATAAATCAGAGCTCGCTTTTGACATTCCATGTGCTTTTGAGTTATCGTCAGGCAACAATAGATGGTAGTGTTTTATGAAGCCAGGGTCATGACGGCAAAACCATCGTTATGCACATTTGAACGTATCAAGCAATGGAGCGGATTACTCTATAGTGAATAAATGAAAAAAAAAGAAGATATCACCAAAAACTGTGTTACACCAACCACAAACCAATCTAGACAAACACAGGAAAGGGGAGAAAGAGGTGTTGGGAGGGGTATCTTTCAAAATCTCAATTTCTACAACCAACACTTCCCAAATGCCAATCTTAGTAGTCGAATCGCTCGGGAAGCACAACAGGCGCCACAAGCGTCCAACCAAACATGCCGTAGCACACCCACGAGCTGACAATCTTGACCCACGAAGCCCAGTACGTGCGACCCACGGGCACAAAATCGCCCTTCTCGATCAATGAATCGCCGCCGACGTTTTGGGTCAGCAGTGTTGCAACCCATGCGGTGGACAGTAAAAAGATGATGTGGAACAGAGAGTAGTTGTACTGGGTGGCGTTCTTTTCATCGTCGCGGGGGTGAGCACCGGGGTACTCGTCGTCATCGCTGTCCGAGTCTGAGTCGTCCAAGGCTGAAGCGGGCAGGGAGCCGGATTCTACGGCTGCGCGGAGGGCTTCGGCGCGCAACTCGCGACGAGACGAAGGTTGGGTAGCGACAAGGCCATGCTCGTGATCACCCTCGCCGACTTGGTGGTAGCCGCCTGGCTTGCCGGTGCCCAGAGCCAGACCGTATGTTGCAGCGCGGGTAGTGGTGTAGGCTACTGTCAGGAAGGTGAGGATGGCACCCATGATGACGGTTGTTCTGCGAGCGCCACGAGCGCGAACCAGGGGGTTGCATTGATGGTCATCGGGCTCCATGGCGACAGCAGACAAAGTCAAATAGGTGCAGTAGACACAGACCAGGGCAGCTTGGGCCAGACCGGCACGAGGGTTAGAGTCCTGGATCATGGGGTGGACGCTAATGACCGAGATGATCAACAGGAGAATCAGGTTGACGGTGATGGCAGCCTGGTTCATGGAGCATCCGGAGCCGGCAAAGAAGATGTACATGATGATTGTCATGACAATGGATCCAAGGTACATGGTCAGGGTAGAACCGATCAAGAGAGACTTCCAGAACTGAGAGTCTGTGCTCTCGACCTTCTCCAGACAGTACTCGGCCCAACTATGAGCCAGGTCGACCAGGAGAATGAGGCCGAGAAGCAGGAACAGCACAGCGCCGACCAGAGCGACATAGTTGCCCCAGACAATGAAGAAGCCATCAGGAATCAAGAAGGAGATGATAATCAGAGCGATCCAGGCAATTATCTTGGGACCCCAAAAGCCGTTCTGGACGGCCGATCTCTTGTCGCGTGTGTTCTTGACGCCAATGAGCAACAGGGCCATGATGGCGTGGAAAAAGCCGAGAGCAAAGTTGATGCGGTGGACAGCAGTGAAGCCATAGCAGGCCTTGCCGTTGCAGGAGATGGTGGCGAAGTCGAGCAGGACATGTTGGAGTTTCTTGACGGCCCAATCGGTGAGCATGATCCAGGACAGGAGCGAGTTGAGGAGCAGGATGACGGCGTAGGCGATACGAGTGGCCATGCTGTTGTTGCACTTGCCGGCAGCGCTGCAGACGGCGGAGCATGTGGCGGCTCCGCAGCAGCTGGCAGCGAAAGTCATGAGCTGTATACCATGTCAGCCTTGAGAGTGGCGCAAGATTGGGCGATCGGGGAGAGCCTTACCGAACCCACCGAGGGAACGGCCAAGAGTGGCAGCGACAAGAGGGCTCCCATGGCGACTCTTTCAGGATTGGAGATGTGATTGCAGCCCAGTCGTAGCCTTGTACGAATAGATGGGCCGGAGTGTAGGTGGTTTGGAGGAAAGTGGGTCCGCCTTGGTCGTGTTTCGCGACGGCGGTCCGGGGGAAAGTGCAACGGCTGGCTGCTAAATGACGCGGCGATGGCTCTTTCCTCTTTGGGTGCCCGCGATAGGCCACGCTCTTGTTACATCCCTGATCCTGCTGTTATCGCGCTCGCCCTCGACTCTGTCGTCTTGCATCTTTCCTGTCTCTTCAATCCCGACCCTCGTTATTCCGCCCATCGATTTGTCCATTCTGTCATCAACTCGACCACAAACGGAACCCCGGGCTTATCTCCCCCTCAGCCCTCGGTATACGATCCAATAGCACGAGTATCCAATTGGCCTTCTGCTGTTCCTCTCCACCTTCTACGCCATGCAAGATCGCGACGAGAATGCCCATCACAAGTCGCGCATTATCTCCGTCGTTGCTGCCACCGGTATAGCCCTCGCTTGGTATGTTTGCTTCAATCACATCACAATGAGTACTGTTAACTGACCTTTGACAGTGGAACAAATGTTAGTGTCCCGCCTCGAAGCCTGCCTTCTTATCCTGACCCATCGATCAGTACGCATATTCAGCATGGGCTCCCCAATACGCCGAGCGCATGAAACTATCCGCTACTCAAAGCAACCTCATCGTGAGCAACCAACCCGAAATCATAGCAAGAGCTGCAATTGAGCCATAACAGGGTAGCGCTGGAAACATTGGCATGTACGCTTCGGGTGTACCCTTTGGTGTCTTGATCGACACAAAAGGTCCTAGGTGGGCCATTCTCATCGGTGCTTTCTCCTTGGCCTGTGGCTATTTCCCCCTATACTCGGCCTACCAGAAAGGTGCTGGATCCATGAGCTTCCTAGCTCTCTGTTTCTTTGGCTTCCTGACTGGTATGGGAAGTTGTTGTGCCTTTGCTGGTTCCATCAAGGTTTCGGCAACAAATTGGCCCCATCACAGGGGAACTGCCACCGCATTCCCCCTGAGTGGCTTCGGACTGAGCGCATTCGTCTTTACGCTTATCGGGAGTTTCGCCTTTCCCAATGACACTGGGGACTATTTGCTGATGCTGGCCATCGGTACCTTTGTCATGGTCTTCGTCGGAAGCTTCTTCATGAGATTGATGCCTCCATCTTCTCCATACCAAGCTGTTCCCACTGAAGATGAGACTAGACCTCCGCGTATCAGAAAGAACTCGCACGACCTCCAATCAGCACGCCACAGTAGAGACGGAAGCAGATCGAGTCTCTCTGGTGAGCCCAGTAAGTTTCAATCTTTCTCATCTCCCAGCCCTCTTCCACCTTTGCTTCACATTTGCGCAACGACTGCGAGATGGCATCCAGCTCATCTCTCCAGGCACTCAAAATGCCCCATCAGATGAGACTTCACCTCTTGTCTCCCGCGATGGAGAACCCTCCGTGGATGAGTCCCAGATATCCCAGACCCAAGGCTCACACAAGAAAGACATTACAGGCTGGGCGCTCGCAAAGAGTCCCTCGTTTTGGAATCTTTTCATTCTGCTTGGCTTGCTATGTGGAGTTGGTCTAATGACTATCAAGTAAGTATCTTGCTTTCTCGATCTTGAATGCTGTAGCTGACTCTTTTGAAGCAATATTGGAAACAACGTAAGACCATCTTTGAGACTCGAATTTCTCGAAGACAGACTGACACGATAGCTAGGCCAAAACACTTTGGCATCATTACGATGAGAACGCGAGTCACGACTTCATCCAATCCCGTCAACTGATGCATGTAGGCATCCTTTCGATTGGTTCCTTCATTGGCAGGCTGTCTTCTGGCATTGGCTCAGATTTTGTGGTCAAGCGCCTGCACTCGTCTCGTTACTGGTCACTTGTCGCCTCGTCATTGATTTTCACCATTGCCCAAGTCTTTGGACTTACGATCGAAAACCCCACTCATCTCTACCTACTATCGAGCGTCACCGGGCTTGGATACGGCGCACTGTTTGGAGTGTACCCTGCTCTTGTCGCAGACGCCTTTGGCGCCGCAGGACTCGGTATTAATTGGGGTGCTATGACGATGTCGCCAGTCATTTCAGGCAATATCTTCAACATAGCGTATGGTGCCATTTTGGACAGGCATTCTGGTTCGGCGGATGGACACCATCGTATCTGCAACGATGGAAAGTCATGCTACTCGCAGGCTTATGTCATCACGCTTGTTGCAAGTTTCATGGGCATCGCGTGGAGTCTGTGGTGTGTACGATGCGATACACAAGAGAAGAAGGCACAAAGGAAGCTCTACGAGGATCACTCGCCCTAGTCGAGCCTCAAATCAGCTTCTTTGAGCCTGTGGTAATTTCATAACATTTTTACTGCCATGTTCAGATATGTAGCGCGAGTTACAATAGATGTCTTTGACTCGAACAGACTCGAATGGACGAATTGCACAGCCACATGACCGTCACATGCAACGAAGGGAGTACCTAATTTGAGTTCGCCTCCCCGCGAAGGTGTGGCGCGCAGCTCGACTCAGTATGTAGCTGCCTAGGTATTTGCCATAGACTTCGTCCTCTCATTCTATTTTTCTCGACATTCTAATAGTCGACCTGTGATTTTGTGTCTCCATTTGACCCAGGTGCTCGGATTCGTGGAGTTCGCAATTTTTTGAGCAGGACTCGAGCCAGTCGCAGCTCGCCACCTTGGCCACACATCGGCCTTCAGCCATCAGCCATCAGCCATCATGCCCGCACCGCTAGCCAAGGGTATGTCATCGCTACCATTCTTTTCATCGTGTTCTGTCTCGTGTACTGTTTCCTACTGCAAAACTGTTGTCTCCATCTGCGCATCTCGTTTGAAGATGATTACTCGATGAAGCAGTCTCATGCTTCCGTCAGCCAACGCGACACATCTGACATGAAGCATAGGAATCTTGATTTCCCTCTCCATACTCGCTGCCGTTGGAATAGCAGTATACGAGAACCCTCAAGTCAAGGAATGGGTAGAAGAACAGCGACGCAAGATTATCGAGTTTCTCGGCACCTTTGGAGACCAACTCGACCCGCAATCACGACGACAGGCAGAAGCATTCGCATACGAAGGGCGTTTGCCCACTCCAAGTCGTGACGAAGCTGCTGGAATGGCAAATGCTGTTGCAAGAGCTACTGGAAGAGAGACGACGGACGACTCGATCACCAGACGCAACACGACAAGCCAGACACCTCAAAGTCCCGATGAGGCCGAGGAGAGAAGGCGGTTGGGCAGAGAGTATCTGGCCAAGAGGAACCAAGAGATGCTGGACTTGAGGGAGAAGCAGAAGATGAGGAGGAGCACGTCGGAACTGTCTGAGAAGACACCCCCTTCACCGACCTTCGACCAAATGGTGAATGTCGACGGCTCTTTGAAATCAGACAAGAAGGACACACTAGAAGAAAGCGGATACTTTAACGAGAAGACGCTTGAGCTTCCGTCAGTACCGACGGACGAGCCCAAGTCCCTTGCAAGCACTCGTATCCAAGAACCTCCCCTCTTGGTCGCAGCCTTCAACAACGGATCTCGCTACGCGAGTCCCTTCGGCGACGAGTTTGAACTATCAGGTACACTCGACTCTCGCTCACCAACGCCAAAGCCTCCGGTTCCACCCAAGATTGCCATCGACGACACAAACACGATCTGCGGACTATCCATCACTCCAAAAGAGTCCTCGGCCAGACAGATCCCTATCTCGGGTCATGACGACTCAATACCTGCCAATCTCAGCTACGAAGAACAGCTCGTTCGTGCCATGTCAATCAGTCTGGCCGAAAGCGAAGAAGCCGCCCGTCGCACCCGTCTCTTGGAGCAAGAACAGCGCGACAAAGACTTTGCCGCCGCCGTCGCCGCCAGTCTAGCCGATGTGGAGACAACGAGGCAAAAGGAGCAGCAGCAGCAGCAGCAGCAGCATAGCGAACAACTCATCAACTTGACACCCGACCCTCCCGTCTCTGTTCCTGTCACCTCCGAACTGAGCGACGATGAGCTCTACACCGTATCGCCTCGCCCCCAACCCCGTCGTGTCATTCCAGTTGCGCTTGGATCCATGGTCATGCCCGCAGCCTACGATCCCGTCCATGAAGCCGCCGCCGCCACCCTGCACCCACAAACACCACTTCCGCTCCACACGCCCACAACCGCTACATTCTCATCTCCAGAGTTCGAACGCGACGCCATCTCTCTTTCCTCTGCTTCTTCTTCCACCACAACCGATGACTTTGCTTCTGCACCAGCTAGTGTGGCAGCTAGCGAAATGAGTCTGATTGACTTTGGAGAAGTGGAGAGTGTGGACAGTGGTGATGAGAGCGAACCCGATGGTGTTTTGACGCCGGGCAGTTGGACGGATGTGGGTAGTGATGTTGGCAGTGAGGATCAGGAGCACCACCGACTTGGTTAGGGGTGCCATGTTTTTGCGTTTCTTATGGGATTTTTCGTGGTGGGGTGGAACCTCGACTTTTCTTGTCTCTTGTGCTTTTTTGATTCGTCTTCTTCTTTGATAAGTTTATTGCTCGGTTGGTTTTGTTTTGGTTCGGTCTGGTCTGGTCAGGTCAGGACATTGGGGGTTGGTATCTACTGTTTTTCTTGTTCTTGGGCCTTTTTAGGTTGGAGTGTGCTGTTCTAGGGTCTTTGTGTTCCTGTCTTCTCTCTTTGTTCCAGTCACCGTATGATCAAGCCTAAGAGTGGGTGGGACTTTACACCAAAATGCAGAATGTGCTTTATCCCTTGTCCCTCCTTTTTCTGCTTCCTGTATCCCCTTGTCTCCCTTCCGTTCTCTTGTCTTGTTCGTCGCAATTCAGGCGTAGCAGTACTTTCACGATTGTTCTGTTTCGTGAAGATGGCTGTCAACCTGTTCAATCGAGCAAAAAAAAGAGCAATCTTTTCGTCATTCGTATTGAGTTCCGCATACAGCTGGTGGTGGTTAGCTAAGCTAAAGGTAGGTACAGCGCATCGTCTCGTATGCTCGTCATCATTCATGCCTAATTCCTCGCAATGCCCGAATCTCAAGGTCTCTTACGGACTCCTTCATCCTCGTTGTTGATCGCTTTGCACGCGCCTCCCTTGCGCTTCCTACCAGCTGAAGGACCTCTCTTCATCTGCAACTCATCTGCTATCTCGTTGGCAGGAGTAGGAACCAGTACTGGCGTGGCCATAGTAAGGATAGCGTGGACCCGCTTATCGGCGGCAGCAGCAGCTTTTGCTTTGGCGGCGGCAGCCTTCTCTTCGGCCGCAATGATAGCAGCCTGTTTGGCAGCTTCTTCTTTTGCCTGCTTTGCAGCGAGTCTCTTGGCTGCTTCTTCATCAATGACTTTCTGTTTCGCTCCAGCCCAGATAGCCAGTTCTTCAGGGTGCGAGGTCATGTAGATAACAGCTTCTCTGGCTGCAAACGAGTCCTCGAGACATGAGTGGGCTGGCATTCTCTGCACACCTAAGCCCATCAAGCTTTCACACAATTTCTTGAGACCGATGCCACTGCTCTGACCTCTGTTGATGGCAACCTTAGCCAAGATCTCCGAATCAACACAGCGGTCGTGAGCGATTTTCAAGATGTTAAGATCGTGGTGCAGAGCATGGCCGACGAGGACAGTTTCTCTGTTCATGAAAGAAAACAGGAGGTCGCGAGCGTGGAAAACATTTCTCAGAGCAGTGCCATTGCGAACGGCCTGCAAGATCATGCCGTGACTTACACCATGAATGTTGGTGCGCCACTGTCGAATCTCCAAGGTGGGGATGACAAGAGCCGAGATCAAGACTTCACCAGTAATGTAGTCAATGGCAGTCAGCTGGATCAATTGATCAATGAGACTGCCACCCATTCTGCCACCAGCCATCTCACAGTCCAGAGCGATGGCGCGGCGTTTGGTAGTGAGTGAAGAGGGACAAACCGCAGGTGGATACTCAAAATCCTCGTAGCGTGAAGTAAGATGAGCGATGCCACCGAAGATGTGCATGCCGTCTTTAGCGACCGGACATCCCTTTATGCCTTCTTCGGCGATCAAACGGTCCAGTCTTTGTCGAGAGCTGCGGCAGAATCTACACTTAGCCTTGGCTTTGAGATCAGCAAGGGGTGGCATGATGGGTATCTTGATATTGAAACCGGCCGTAACCAAGTCATCAGCACCGTGGCGGTGATCCTTCAGGATTTGAAACGTCTCGTCGTAGTCATCAGCACGGAACGACGACCAGGCTCTGCGTTCTGGAACGAGGTCAGATGAGAAGAGGGAAGGCCAAGTCTGGTCGATGCAGTAGTATTGAGGAACAGAACTCGAGGGCGGAGAAGGAGTCGAAACGGAAGATGTAGAGTTCTGAACAGCAGAGTCGTGGTTGCTTGTGGTATCATCAGAGAGCTTTGGAGCGACGGGGTTGATGCCAGTAGGTAGCGATGCAGAGGGCAGGTCGTCTGATGGTCCGTCGTGTTGAGGTGGAAACTGCTTACGTCGGCCACGATTACGACGTGGAGACTTTTCTGAGGAGCTCGGTGTGGGTTGTTGAGTTGCTGGGAAGATGCCACCAGGGATGAAGGCAGGCGGGAACGGATAGGCGAGCTTGTGGTTGGCAGGAGCAGAGTTGGTTGGAGCAATCGAGTTGAACTGTCTGTAGTTGGCAGGAGGCGGTGGGTGCATGGGCAGAGTCTGGTAATGCTGTTGGTAGGTGATGGGAGGGTTCTGATATGGGCTGTAGAAGAGAGCTGGTGCTGAAGGATTGGATGGAGGAGGCGTGAATCGGGTATAGACAGGAGGGTTACTGCGTCGGGGTGCGCTGCTGGGAGCCATGCTGGTGATACGCGAGCGTGGTTTACTTTCTGTGGTCTGATTTGCAGAAGCTTGGTTAGAGCGCTGCAACGAGACGATCACTCTCTGATTGAGAAAGCGCTGGTTGTGGAGTTCCTTGACAGCACGGTTGGCTTCGGCGGCCGTCGTCACAGTGATGAAAGTGAAGTTGTCAAAGTGTGGACAATGGGTCCGCATAGAAGTAGTCTCGCTGCGTGGTGTGGTCAGTACTGGTTTGTCGATCAAGGGGGAAGGGGAAAATGAACTCACACAACAAAGTCATGGAACAATATGTTAACAATGTCTTGCTCTCTGACGTTGGTGGGAAGTCGGCCAACGTAGACAACTCGACCAGTGGGTTGGGAGAGCTCCGGGTTATGGAGGAAGGAGTTTTGGACGTGCAGCTCAAGCTCTTTGACACTAGGGAAGTCGCGTTCGCAGCCGATGCAAACGATCAATGCCGGTGCTTTGGTCTTGGGACAGATGCGGCGTCCCGTTGATGATGTTTCCAAGTGCTCGTCCAACAACTCGATCGTGTCATGGCGTTGTTTGCAGCTGGAACATTGCACTGCGTTCTGAGGTCTTTTCAGTATCTTGACTTGCGCCATGTCGAATGGGCCAGCTTGCAGAGTGCAGATCGAGTCTGGTCTACCTGAAAGTCACGTCGGGTCAACTAAGGATAAAAGAAGGAGAGAATTGTTGCAGAAGATGATGATCGCAAGTCTTGGATGGAGTAGACAGTGTTGCGCGTGATTGAGACGAACTTTCGTCTAGAGAGATATGAACAAGGCACCTTCCAGAATCATGCAGCAAGCCGAAAAGTCTTGTGTCAGGAGGTCCGTCGTGCACCTTCCAAATCCGCTGACTTTGTGTTCTGCTCGACAACTCGAGGTGGAAGGGGCCGATGTTCTTCCTCTAACACTCTTTTCCATTGTTCTTGATATATGATCAGGTTCCCAAAGAACTGTTTCTTTATAATCGAAGGCACTTGCTGCCCAAAGATAGCAGAACAATTCAAGACATTGCATGAACGACGTGATGACCTGCATACTCTGACATGTCAGCCTCAGATATCACAAAGAGCACAATGCAAAAAGAAAGAATGCTCACCTCCCTGAATCGAACCCTGCATCTCCCAGGTGGTGTACTTATTCACTTCAATTGCCCCTTTCCCTGTAATCGGCTGAGTGGTGTAGCGGTCTAGACACACTCACGCTCGTATTACAAAAGTTGGTAATAAAACCACCGTTCGAATCCCGCCGTGTACGCCTTAAAGATGTTACAGCCAGATGACCGCTAGTCTGGTGGCTCAGATCAAGTGAAAGAGAACGAGAGTTTTCCCGAAGAGCTTCGGCTCCGGTTTTTTGATGTTCTGATAGGAAGATAAGAAATGTTTGTTGTTTTGCGTAGATAGCTCAGGGGTTGGTCGATATGCGCGCGACAATACACTTCTACCACCGCCCTGGGATGGAACAACAACAATGAAAGTGTACCTACAAGCGTTGACAGAAAACTTGCTTTCTATGATCTTACATAATTGTACATTTGGTGGCAAGGCTGATTGGCTCACGGCAATGTTTGGTCCCTCGCCGCCAGAATCTCTTCCCAGCCTGGGGCACTGAGACCCTTCTGCTCATACTCGACATCGCTGATGACTTCAATGAGCTTGACGTTCCACTTGCCTGTTCGAAGGACAAGCACGTTGCTCTTCTCAATCATCTCTGCGACTGCTGAAGCCGTGACGCCCTTCAACGAACGGAACTCGAGTTCACCCTCAGACTTGTTCGTCTCAGACTGACCGCCGATGTAGGCGCCACCAGAGTTGACCATGCGAGTGCCGTCACTGTTGCTCTTGGCCAGGCCAGCATGATACAAGATACGTGCTGGTAGCTTGTTGTGTACCAAACTATGGGGTAGATAGACACGGTCGAGACCTTCTTTACCGCCCTCTGCCTTGGCTTGCAAAGATTGCAGATTCGGTCGGCGAGAGAGCTTGTGTTGACTCTGTGTGTTTTCAGCTTCCTCTGAACCATGAACAAGGTCGACGACTTCGCGTGCTAGAAGGTGCTGAGCTTTGCGTTGACCTGGATCTGCCTCATGCTCAGCCATGACAGCCGAGATCTGGTCCAAAGGGAGGAAGGTGAAGAGCTTCAGATAGCGCTCGACATCAGCGTCAGCAGAGCCGACGAGGAAACCGTACAACTCAAAGGGGCTAGTCATGGTCTTGTTGAGCCAAATGGCGTTTCCAGCACTCTTGCCGAATTTGGCACCGGCTGCTGTAGTCAACAGAGGTACTGTGAGACCAAAAGGACCTGACAGCTGCTTGGTTTCTGGCGACGTAGACGATCTAGGGGTCAAGTGTTTGATGAGATCGCTGCCAGCGACAATGTTGCCGTACTGATCGGAGCCACCAATCTGAACCTGGACACCAGATTGATACAGATGCCACCAATCGTAGGCCTGCAGGAGGGGGTAGGTGAATTCAGCATAAGACATACCATCACCTTGAGCCATCTTGTTCTTGACACTGCCGAAGTCAGCATGCTGTCAGAACAACAGATGGAAACGACTAGGACTCACGTATCTCTACCCAGCATGGCACCCATTCTAGCGACAGTACCAGCATCAGACAAGAAGTCGATGATGCTCAGCTTGCTCAACCAGACCGAGTTGTTTTGTATACTCTTGGACCAAGTTTGGTCCTTTTTATAGCCGTGTCTCTCAGCATATACGTCAACGCTTTTCCACATGGCTCGCACACAACTATGTAACGAGACCAGGTTTGAAGTTCTTGTGTTTCTGTCCATCTCTTGTCGACTAGTCAAACGTCCAGTGGGGTCGCCAACCTTGGCAGTAGCACCTCCGATGATGGAAACGGCCTTGTGGCCATGAATATACATCCAGAACAGCACCATCATGGGCAGCAGATGTCCCAGATGGAGCGATGGCGCAGTGGGGTCGATGCCAGAATAGGCACCGATTTGTTTGTCGGTGAGCAGTTTGTTGAGAGCATTACGATCACCAGCCAGGTCCTTGACATAACCACGCTCCTCCAGTATGGTCAACAAGCTCTTCTTGTGGCCGGCACGTATGCTCGCGGCGTGTTCATGCCATGATGTAGAAGAAGGGCTGTTTCTCGCGGCAGCAGTTTGCGAGATGTGACGGTGTGTCGACCACGAGACAGACTCTCTGCAGGCATATGATTTCGATAGCTGCAGTGGCCTGGCACGGCAGAGAGCAGCCTGCCGCATGATTGAGTGACTCGGTGGACGAGAATTGACGCGACAGAAATCAAGTGCTCCGGTTGCGCGTCGTCCATCTGCTGCAGCCGAGCTCGACATTTATCTCCGCCAACTCCAACTAAGCAATTCTCGACGACCACAACAACTCAATATATTATACCAAACTTATATGCATACATAATGACTGCAATCGGCAAGTCTGGACGTCTTACGACTCGTCTTGTCATGCTGATTGTCTGGCAGACGGCCGCCATGAGCGCCACATGATGCGCCAGAGAGGAGCTGGGTATGCTGAATCTCCTTCCAGTGTCACCTCTTCCAATCGCTTACATGACTGCTTAGTGCTCGATCTATTCCTACAAACTTTGGCTTCGTTTTCCACGCCGGCCCTATCCAAGTTGCCGACACCTCCACCACCGAGCCACCAGTTCCCGCAAACACAACAACAATTGCCATTGCTCAAACAGAGCCCCACCACGTGCCTGCGCCCTCGTTTCCTGCGCATGCGCCAGCGACCAAGAGAAAGAGACTTGTCAAGGAAGAAGAGGACGACCGAGCCTGGTTTCAGAAACGAAAAAGGAAGTCGGCCAAACATGAAGACTCAGAGCACGACCTTCCCGCTGCGACAACTAAAGTTGCCGTCGACGAATCGCATCAAGAGCCTCCAGTTGAGCTGAAGCCGGCCAAGCGGAAAGTACGAAAGCGTGTTCTGGTTCCAAGACCACGCAAGAAGGCTCCCATTGAACCACAGCCTGAGCCTCTACGAAAGGAGCCAACACCCTTGTCAGAAGTCGCGCCAGAAATACACCCACCGGCCAAGAAGAAGACGAAATCTAAAGCCCCTGTGGCCAAGCGAGAGCCGAAAGTACCGCACACGCCCGATGCACCTCTATCAGCACATGAACAGGCACAGGAACATGAACCGAGCAATCCCTCTCCACATACTATAACAGAGCTCGCTCCTCTCAAGAAAGCGAAATCCACCCATCGTCCCGACGACGAGGACAAAAAAGACAACAGGCCTGCCGAAAACACCTTGGAGCGAGAGTCTCACCGCAATACTGTTGCGACTCTCGTCCAAGAACAGCCAGGCCAGCCACCAAAGAAGAAAAAGATGGTCAGGAGAGTCCGAGTCCCCAAGGTCTCTACCAGACGAGCCGTACCCACAACCGACGATTCATCCGTGAAGACGACCGACATGCAAGATGCCAAACCGTCAACATCATCCGACGATGCCCAACTGAGCTTGTTCGAGGCAGTAGCCCCGGCACTGACGACTAAGAAAGCATCCAAAGCTCCTAAAAAGATCTTCTTCAATGACGATTCAGACATTGACCTCGACCAGATGTTGAGTGGCATTGCTGCAATGGCCGAGACTAAAACGACAACCAAAGTAGCCACCTCGAAGTCCAGACGTGTCACAAGAAAGAAAATTGCATCTTAACAATACCAACATCCGAACCAAGTATATGACATTCATGAACTCGGTTCTTTGGTGCACCATATTTGTCCAATCCTTCCGCTATTGCGTGTGTCTTCTCTGTCGATACATCCATACCATATGACCCACAGCAACAGTACTGATGATCATGGATGCAAGACTAACAGATCGCTGCTTGCGAGCCTCGTCCAAGAGCGCGTAGGCATGAGCATAGCAACCCATAGCCAGAGCGATACGGTGCTGTAAACGGACAGTTGTGGGCTCGCGCGTAAGAAGATAGAAAAGAGTGTTCCAGAACCCAGTCCAGTACAAGATTCTCTGCCAATGAGAGGCGTGTGATGTGTCCATAGCTGCGGCCAGTTCGCGCATGTACCTATACTGGAGGCTGGTAAGTGGAGGTGAAGAGGGAAGGTTCATACACCGACAATGTGTTTGATGCCTTGGCGAACACATCTGGGTGCTCAAGGCGGTCAATGCTCTGCCCAAGCGATCAAGCTTCCATGTTTTTGTTGCTTCAGGCTTGCCTTTCTCGATCACGGCCTTCTGGAATGACCTCGAATTGAGCATGAATGTGTGCACTATGAACAGAGATATGATGGAAAAGACATTTTAGCAATACCGATGGCTATGTAATAAGAAAGTTATCTTGATATGACCTCTGGGAGAAGCGACCGCTCTCGACACCATGAGGGCATCCAGAGTTCGTGTTCAGCATTGACGCCTGCCTCCCGGCGCCAATCTGGTGGTTGCTATAGACATGGCGAGTAAATGTGGTTTCTCAGTCCAAAGCGTACCATAGAAAAAGAGGCGTACCACATCTCTCGGCTTGTCGTTCACAATGTGCGTTTCTTCTCATCCTTTCCACCACTCTCCAACAGACAGACATGTCATCAGTATCACGTTCAGCAAAGCATGGCCGAATCAACAGCTTCGGTGACAGTTTTGATACATCAGATCTTTCCTTTGCACCAACACCTCCGCCGCACAAACATGCCCGTCAACGGTCATCAATCAGCTCTATTGGCTCGCGCTCGACGTCTCAATCGAAATTCGGAGGCAGTGTGATATGGAACAAGTCAGACTCACTGCCCCGACTGTATGACCCAGGCCAGACCTCAATGACATTCGCATCTTCCGAGTTCAACAGCAGCCATATCTCTAGCGAGCCGCCAGGTCTGACTGAGTCTTCTGGTACTTCATGGTCGACAGCAAGCTCGAGTTTCCAGACAAGCTCTGGCATCACTCTGGAAGACGATGCGGTGCCACAGACACCTCCATGCTCTATACTACCAAGCTCAAGTAGAGCGAGCTTTCGCAGGCCGTTGCCAGATATTCCGCAGGCATCTTTTATCGCTGCCAATACGGCTATGCAAACGACCACAACACTTCCAGCAATTCCTGGATATGGACCTATCAGACTTACAGTGACCATGGACCTGCCAGCACCACCTCGTCATTACCAAAACGGATTGTACTCATCTTTGAGGGTAGACACACCCACGAGCGAAGTCCCTCCAGTAATCCACTCCGATGCTTCTCTGGATGCTGCTCTCGAGTCCTTCTCAGCAGCGGAGTTACGCCAGCTCCTCCGCCTGGCTATACAGAAACATCCTTCTCTTGCCTCTGATGTGACGTTAGAACACGCACAGCAATCGTCTTTCAAAGCAAGCAAATCAGTGAGCTTCGTCCACTACAGCAACAGTGTCTGGCACACTCTGAACGCCAAGCAATACTCTGACCCAGACAAAGAGCACCAACACGCCGACAGAGCAGTGCAAAAAGTAGCAAATGATATAAGCACTGTGGCTTCCCAAGTCCACAGGCAAAGCTCTCTCGCCACTAAGAAGAACGCCCTGGAAGCCCTGCGCAAGATTGGCAGAAGCGTCTGTCTAGCCACTGGTGTAGTGGGAGACAGAGTGAAAGAAGTCTTGGGTTGTAACAAGATATTCGTAGCTGCAATTGTCAAGGTAGCGAATAGTTTCACAGAGGATGATCGGAGGACGCTGTGGGCTGGTGGTAGTGGAACAGAGATTCTGAAGAGGCTTGACCAGCTTGATGAGTTGAGGAAGTGTTATCGTGTCTTCGAAGGGTTTGAGGTTGTGTTGGAGCTGATGAAGAGAGAGGATGGCTTGGATGGGAGTTTGTATTGTTGACCTCGAGCATGTTTCATGACGATCTAGATGTCTAATGTTTAATGCATGTTACCATTGACCGTAACCTAGGCTTGTCGCTTTATTGAGAAGCAGAAGTTATCACGAGGAATCACGGTATACAGAGCTTTGCAACCGAAGCGACTGTCAAGTCTACATGCCACCTCCCCGTGTGCTAAACTTCGTAACTCTAATCCCCTACGCTCCTCTCTCTTATGAAAGTGTAGAACACAATGCTCGCTATAAAGAGGCACAATGATTTCTAGATCAAAAAATGGATCCAAAGAGAGCTCTAAAGAACACCGTATCTCGATGGGTTCGATCCAAATCTTAAGAACATTGTGCATTTTGATAGGTAGCCGCGTTACAAACCTTTGCACAACCCAGATTAAGAATCGGTTACCAGCTTGATCATGATGCAAGCACTGGCAGTATCTGGTAACTTGAACTATCGCCTAACAGACTCTCTGATTGCTACGATAGCTTGAGAGCTCAAGATGCCCAGGTATGAATGAAATATCGCAAGCATAAAAACATATAGTTATCTGTTACCACAGCAAAATGAAGGAGTGGCGAACAGCGGCTGGCCTCACAACGGGGCCCAGCCGATCTTCCGTTGGGCAGCAAAGCTCGGCAAGCTCACAAGGCTGGACTCGATCCAACTCACAAGACGGAGAACGTCGTAATAGATAGAGAGAAAGGGTGATTCGATCGAGACAGCGAGCAAGAAGCTAGGATTTGCCACACGAACTAGATGCGGTGTCCTGGAAGAAGCTCGGTGAGCTCGGCAGAAGTAGACTTTGGATGTTGCTTGTAGCTGGAGGTGCCTTTTGCAGACAGAAGGAGCTATCGAGGCAAGAGCTTCTAGCTTTTTCGAGCTATCAGTACCACCGGTGTTCCTACACGTTGCATGAGATGGAGTTGGATAGTACAGAGTTCCAGATAGTCGTCTCTATGTAGGCACCGCAATGGTCATGGCCACCATCAGGCAAGATAGTCGAGCAAAAGGGCCGGGTCTGTGCTCTGGACGGACACAAATTCTCATCGCACTAGCTGCTTTTGAAGCGACCCCACCGTCGAAAAAAGAGCGACTCCTCACGCTTCACAAAGCCAGCTCCTTCCCTCTCTCTTTCCCCTCCCCCATCGAGTTCCCTCGTCTCAGGTCAGCCCCATCACCCTCGCCGTCGCTTTGCCTGAACCTGTCGCTCACATCTTTTCTCCCAGCAGGCTCTCTTTCAATTCTCATATCTACAGTGCTTGACGCACTACACTGAGAGCGGGGCCCTCCAAGTAAAACTTTTCAACAGAGATACCCATACAATACCGCCATCATGGTTAAGTTCACCGTCGAGGAGATCCGTGGTCTCATGGACACGTAAGCGCATTCTTTGTGATGAGAGGTGCGATGGAACAGTCTACTGACCCGCGCGCGCAGTCCCAAGAACATCCGTAACATGTCCGTTATTGCTCACGGTAAGCTCCTCGGCCACACACAAGACGCATCCGAACAGCACACTGACAAGGTCTGCAGTCGATCACGGCAAGTCTACCCTGACCGACTCTCTCGTTCAGCGTGCCGGTATCATCTCATCGGCCAAGGCTGGTGAGCAGCGTTTCACCGACACTCGTCCCGACGAGCAGGAGCGTGGTGTCACCATCAAGTCCACCGCCATCTCTCTCTTCGCCCAGCTCGAGGACCCTGAGGATCTCAAGGACATCCCCATCCCCACCGAGAAGAACGAGTTCTTGATCAACTTGATCGACTCGCCCGGTCACGTTGATTTCTCATCTGAGGTTACCGCTGCTCTCCGTGTCACCGACGGTGCTCTCGTCGTCGTCGACACCATCGAAGGTGTCTGTGTCCAGACCGAGACCGTCCTTCGTCAGGCTCTTGGTGAGCGTATCAAGCCCGTTGTCATCATCAACAAGGTCGATCGCGCTCTTCTCGAGCTCCAGCTCTCCAAGGAGGATCTGTACCAGAACTTCTCCCGTGTCATCGAGTCCGTCAACGTCGTCATCTCGACCTACTTCGACAAAGTCCTCGGTGATGTCCAGGTCTACCCCGAGAAGGGTACCGTTGCCTTCGGTTCCGGTCTCCACGGTTGGGCCTTCACCATCCGTCAGTTCGCCGGTCGTTACGCCAAGAAGTTCGGTGTCGACAAGAACAAGATGATGGACCGTCTGTGGGGCGACAACTTCTTCAACGCAAAGACCAAGAAGTGGACCAAGGTTGCCGGTGACGACTCCGAGCGTGCCTTCAACCAGTTCGTCCTTGACCCCATCTTCCGCATCTTCTCTTCCGTCATGAACGCCAAGAACGAGGAGGTCTTCAAGCTTTGCGAGAAGCTCGACATCAAGCTCACCGGTGAGGAGAAGGAGCTCCAGCAGAAGCAGCTCCTCAAGACCGTCATGCGCAAGTTCCTTCCTGCCGCCGACGCTCTTCTTGAGATGATGGTTCTCCACCTTCCCTCGCCCGCCACCGCCCAGAAGTACCGTATGGAGACTCTCTACGAGGGTCCCCCTGATGATGAGGCCGCTATTGCCATCCGCGACTGTGACCCCAAGGGTGTTCTGATGCTTTACGTCTCCAAGATGGTCCCCACCTCCGACAAGGGTCGTTTCTACGCCTTCGGTCGTGTCTTCGCTGGTACCGTCCGCTCCGGTCTCAAGGTCCGCATCCAGGGCCCCAACTACACCCCTGGCAAGAAGGAGGACCTGTTCGTCAAGTCCGTCCAGCGTACCATTCTCATGATGGGTCGTTACACCGAGCCCATCGATGATGTTCCCGCCGGTAACATCCTTGGTCTTGTCGGTATCGATCAGTTCTTGCTCAAGTCTGGTACCCTCACCACCTCCGAGACTGCCCACAACATGAAGGTCATGAAGTTCTCCGTCTCCCCCGTCGTTCAGCGCTCCGTCGAGGTCAAGAACGCCAACGATCTGCCCAAGCTTGTCGAGGGTCTTAAGCGTCTGTCCAAGTCCGACCCTTGTGTCCTGACCTACATCACTCCCTCCGGTGAGCACGTCGTTGCTGGTGCTGGTGAGCTCCATCTCGAGATCTGTCTTAAGGATCTCGAGGAGGACCACGCTGGTGTTCCTCTCCGTATCTCGGACCCCGTCGTCCAGTACCGTGAGACCGTTGCCGGTGACTCTTCCATGACTGCTCTGTCCAAGTCGCCCAACAAGCACAACCGTATCTACATGACTGCCCAGCCCCTGTCCGAGGAGGTCTCGCAGGCCATTGAGGCCGGCAAGATCGCCCCCCGTGACGACTTCAAGGCTCGTGCCCGTATCCTCGCCGACGACCACGGTTGGGATGTCACTGATGCCCGTAAGATTTGGTGCTTCGGTCCCGACACCAACGGTGCCAACTTGTTGGTTGACCAGACCAAGGCCGTCCAGTACCTTAACGAAATCAAGGATTCCGTTGTTTCCGGTTTCCAGTGGGCCACCAAGGAAGGTCCCGTTGCCGAGGAGCCCATGCGCTCCGTCCGCTTCAACATCCAGGATGTTACCCTCCACGCCGATGCCATCCACAGAGGTGGTGGTCAGGTCATCCCTACCGCTCGTCGTGTCCTGTACGCCTCGGTCCTTCTTTCCGAGCCCGCTCTTCTCGAGCCCGTCTTCTTGGTCGAGATCCAGGTCCCCGAGCAGGCCATGGGTGGTATCTACTCCGTCCTTACCCGCCGTCGTGGTCACGTCTTCGAGGAGGCCCAGCGTCCCGGAACTCCCCTGTTCAACATCAAGGCCTACCTTCCCGTCAAGGAGTCCTTCGGTTTCAACGCCGATCTCCGTGCCGCCACCTCCGGTCAGGCCTTCCCCCAGTTGGTCTTCGACCATTGGCAGGTCCTCCCCGGTGGTTCTCCTCTCGACAAGGCCACCATGCCCGGTCAAGTCACCGAGGAGATGCGCAAGCGCAAGGGTCTCAAGCCCGAGGTTCCCGGCTACGAGAACTACTACGACAAGCTCTAAGCGGTTTCCATCAACGAGTGATGGGAAGCCTTTCCGATACCCGCATGAGCATCTCAAGAGTATGTTCGAGCATGCCCTTTCACGATTTAGGACGCGGCTGGGTAGACTTGATCTAGGATGAAGTTTTCAGGGGAAAGGAGCAGACAAACAAGCGCTCCCGGCGTTCGATCATGCTAATCGCATGGAGGATGTTCCGGGTTATGACCAAAACAAGCATTCACTTTTCTACCTTGTTGTCTGCGAGCTATAGCTTTCGTTGCATTTGGTGCTTATTCCTGTGCTGGAGCTTAGAAATGAAAATGTTACTTTTTACGTTCAACTAATTACTCTTCTTCCCTGCCTGACCTTGTGAATGTTGTAAATCATCATAATTGTTTACAGTGTTAGAGTTTGTAGACGGATCTCAATATCTGGTGCCAATCACGTGACCAACATCTGAGCATCGGATAGGTTTTGCGAATCCGACAGACCAGATGCTACCAACGATACACCTTGTACATCTAGCATCGATATCTGTTTCATGTGTTCAGTTATTGTCATTCCAATTCATTGTATCCTAATCCAAAAAGCTGTCTCTGATCTCTGCTGTATCTTCCAAAAAGCTCTATTCCTCTGCGATGCTCAGAGAGCAGCTTGGTTCTGCGACTGCTTGATCCCCTCGACACCACCAAACCACGCAACCCTATCCTTGCACCAAACCTCCACTCTGGGCTTGAGTTTTGTATTGTGCAAGCTCAAATCATCCACCGTGCCCACTCTGGGAAGCGACAAACCAGGGAAGCCCGAGCTGCGTCTATACATCAGAGTACCACAAACCTTGCAGAAAAAGTTTGTCATTGTGTTGCCCGAGGCGATGGTAGCAGAAGTCGCGTATTGGGTTAGTTTGTCCTCGCCGCGGACGTGGGTCATGGCCGAGTCTTTGACTACGAAGGCGGTGGTCATGACCGAGGCGGTTAGTTTGCGGCAGTCCTTGCAGTTGCAGACGAAGACTTGGGTTAGGTCGTCGCCTTCGACCGGCTGTTGGGTGTGTTGTTAGTGTTGAATTAGAGGAGGGAGGGGTGGGTAGTGGTGACGACGAACCAGCTCGAGTTGGACGGCGCCGCAGAAGCAGGTTGCGGTTGCTCTTTGGGCCATGGTTGAAGCTTTTGATCTAGTAATGTCTCGCTTTGTAAAGGTGTGATGGAAAAGACGTGTTCACGGTGTCGCAGGAAGCAAAGAGAAGAGGAGTGGATGGCAGCTACCCTGTCTTCTGATATAGAAGCTCCCGAGATGAGGTAAGCTGACAGCATGTTGTGAGTTGTAACATCATGGTTCCGGACCGTTCGGAAAGAGGGGGTCACGGTTATCATTCGACCGAAACTCCCACTTGACCGAGGAAGTCCTGAGGCGTCTGTCTGCGTACTCTCAGAGACCGAGTCTATACCATGAAGCATGATCGAAGCTTCAGGCATGGAAGCTTGTAGATGGACGTGCAGATGATGGGAAGTAGCTGATAATGTGGCTGAAGAGTCGCTGTGGCGGTGCTAAGTGTCACCCTGCTCGAGGCTCGAGTAGTCACTCCTGGAGGCTGTGAACCCATGCGTTCCACTGGCTTGGAAAGCTATCATCCACAAGGCCAACTGTATGAATCTTGAGGAACATAGTAATCTCCACAATCCCAGTCATCAGCATTGCTAAGATCACGAGAGGACAAGATCTTCGAAGGAACAACCTAACTGCACGAGCCACGAGACTACTCCACGACTCGAGGTGCAGAGCGAACGCTGCTTCCGTGCTGGCGGCTGTCGGCACTTTGGCACTTACAAAGCGCAAACTGCTATCGTGCTGAGCAACGTTGACAGCTTTTTGCTTCGTCAAGACGATTCGTTTAGAATTCGATGATGATTGTCTCGACCGCGATGCGACGTGCGAGGTCCTATGCCGCCGGGAAGCGCACAGAGCTGTGACCCAGTCCTTCAAGCATTGGTATTCCCGGAGGATTTTGCAAGACGCAGGACATGATTCAAAAACTAGGGCAGAAGACAGGGTATCTGTTCGAGAATTGCACAAGGCCTCTCGAGTCTTTCAAGGCCCGGGATATTGTTTTCCTCAGCTGCATCAACGCGGCTGAACAAGAGAAGCCACGCAAGGTCCGATTGGTGTACACGTAAGTAACCTGCAGACGCCTTCAACTTCGTTCTGCATCACCGCTTCCTCGAGCACACACGACAAGAAGTTCCTCACCGGCTCGCTCTGGTTTTTGAGTCCCTACGCTCAAGTGCCTACCCAACTCGGCCGAGTCGTGTGCCTGTCAAATGAGGGGACACCGCCATCAGGATATGCGGGCTGGCTGTGCCGTACGAGTATCTTTCGAAACACGCCTCTTCACACCATGTTTGATGATTGTCATCGCTACTCATGACCTGCAGATCTGCACTCCCAGTCGCCTCTTGTCCGATATTTCGGGCAAAAGACCACGGCTACGTGCGTACGCATACAATAGTGAACTGCACGATTCATTGCAGCTTTTGTTATATTCACGTCGCGCAGAAAATGCTATAATCTTCTGTTTGGTGAAGAGAGTTTCAAGCTCTAGATGCCCAAGACTGGAGGTGTATAACAAGCCTTTGCCGAATATTGGCTCGCCGTCCCGACCCCTCTTCTACCCCATGTGTTTCCCCTCCCAAGCGAGCTCCATGCTCAATCTATACAGCAATATAGCACAGACTCTAGCCGCGTGAACAGTCGCAGTTCACAGCTCAAGCCACGCCACAAAAGTCTACTAACTCTCGAAGCTCCGCATGACCGAACGACTTCTAGCCAGGGGTTGGTGTCAAAGCTAAACCTTCAATTGGGGGGGGGGCGGGCTTGTCTGTGGTTGATGAAATTTTCTGATAGCCGGACAAAGGCATGCAGGTCGCGAACGTGGTCGTTGCTTCGGCAAGGTACCAACCTTAAGCCTCACGAATGCATGTTCGGCTCGAGCGATTCTTTTGCTAAGTCGACGGGTTCGCAGATCAAGGTTAATCCGTTCAAGGGCGATGTTCCAGGTGTGTGCACACGACCAATACCCTGTGAGCTAGATCCTTCGTCCCTGGTGATGACCTACGCCAGCGGCAGATAAAGTAGAAAGTATATGCATCAGAGGTCCACCCCATCCCTCTTACCGGCCAGATTTTTCGTCCTACTGTTTGGAAATGCGCATGGATTGCTCTCCTGGTTGAGATATCTCAAAAGTGCCAGACATCTGACGTACTCGCCGCATATTCTACACACCTGGTCCTGGTTGTGAGTGGATTCGCTGATCGATTGGCCTGTTGGCCTCCCGCTTTCCATCCCTCCTCCAGAGCCACTTCAAAGGCACTATACAGCCATCAAGACAACATATCAGCCATGGTTAGGGAAATAGTTGTCGACCCCGCGACAGGGCACTACCCTGCCCCGTATAGTCTATCGCCTCTCGGACCCGTACTCAAGAAGGGTCTTCTGGCACCTGGACTATTAGGATTGCTATCAGTCGTCACTACGCTTGGTCTTCTAAGCTTTCTCATCTATCGATTCACGACCTGGCGGCAGCATTACAGGACATATGTCGGCTACAATCAATATGTCGTACTATGTATGAATCTGTGAGTTGACTGAAAGACTCGAAATGCAAGATTGGAAGCCTCAGCTAATCGAACCTTCCTCCGCTTGCAGGTTGATCGCCGACTTCATCCAAGCAGCATCGTTTCTCTTCTCTTTCCACTGGGTCAAGAGGGATGGAATCTTTGCGCCTTCCTCAGCTTGCTTCGCCCAAGGCTTCTTACTCAACATTGGCGACTTGACGTCTGGTTTCTTCGTCATGGCCATCGCCTTCCATACTTTCTACACCGCAGTCAAGGGCCGTCGCATCGGTCACATTGGCTTCATCGCATCAGTAATCTCTGTCTGGACATTCGCCCTGATCCTCAGCATCATCGGTCCCATCGAATACAAGGACAAATACTTTGTTCGCGCTGGAGCATGGTGCTGGGCCGGCGAGCAATACCAAACCGATCGTCTTGCTCTGCACTATTTGTGGGTGTTTATCGTACAATTCGGAACTGTCATCATCTACCTCTTTGTGCTCATTCGACTACGGGCAGCTGTGGCCGCTGTGGTACCTTCTGTTCGGGTCCAATCGACCAGCTACGCCAAAGTCGACCGCGCGGCAAAGATGATGGTGCTCTACCCTCTGGCTTATATCGTCCTCACCCTACCGCTTTCCGCAGGGCGAATGTGGTCAATGGCCCACCACGAGAAGAATCTGCCGGATGCCTACCAATGCATGGCTGGCGCTTTACTCGCTAGTTGCGGCTGGGTAGACACACTCCTCTACACACTCACTCGCAAAGCCCTCATCAACGGCGGAGACTCGAATCGGCGCAACCGCTCCAATCCAAAGTCTAGCAGCAAAGACAATCCCTCCAGCGTCTCCGCTCAAAACAACTCCATCCTTCAAACACGCACTGTGACCATCAGTGCGAATCAAGTTTACGCCCTCGACACAATCGATGAAGATCAACGGGGCAGACATCAGACCAACCATCACTACAAGAAAAGCTTTGGAGGAGAAAGGAACGGGCATTCGCCTACAGGAAGCTTGGATCCGATTTTCAGTGGCAGGCATCTGGGTGTGGGAGGTGAGAAGGTTGGATCGGAGGTGCTCGTGACGTCTGCTGCTGTTGATACTTGCAGCGACGATAGCACATCGCGGGTGTCGAGTTTCGATGATGGGAAGATACCGCATGCACGATAGTCTTGGGTCTTCTTTCCTTTCGTTACCATCTACGTTTATTTTCTTTTGTACCATATTTTTTTGACCTTGTGTCTTTGGCTTTGGACACACGATTGCCCTCGAGAGATGACCAATTTTCCCTTCTTCGTATATATGATAATCAGAACATACCCCTCGATATCGACATCGGCGTTAGATGCCTTCCCTCCTTTGGCTCTAAGCTTTGCGTTGGTATTCATAGACCGTCCTTTCGCCATGGCGTCCATCACTCACGGCTACTATCAGCTTTTACCCTTCACGACCATCCACGCTACTCTGCAGGAGCGACCGAAGATGGAGAGGAAGGAAGCGGGGAAAGGCGTGGAAGAGAAGACGAAGGACAGAAAGTCGTTTGACGACAGGTAGAGAGTTTCTTTGATCATGATTTGGAAATTTTGATAAGTAGTCAGGCAATAACCACGCCTCGATTGCTGTTTCCTCGCCCTCTTGCTGTCGAACCATTACCGGTTGTCTTGCAACCTCATCTCGCTCTCGTCTTTGCATTAACGAACGTGTTTTCCAATCTTCTTCTGCTTCGCTGCTCTGCTCTTGGCTCGCATCCTCTTTTTTTCTTTTTGGTGTTTCTTCAGACTTTGCTGCGTTTCTTTTTTTTTGTGCTTTTCCAAGAAAGTCCAAAGTCGCATGTCGACGACCAAAAAAGAAAAGAAGTGACAAAGGGGAAAGAAAGAAAAAAAAAATGAAATCATGAACTGCCTCCTCTGGCATTCTCGTAATGTTGCGACTTGCTTCTGCAATTTGTTTCCTCCTCTGCTCCTTCGTCTCAGGCGTTTCTTCGTTTCAATTGCCTGTTGATTATCCCATCTTGAGCGGTCTTGGTGGTTTGTTGATGCAAAAGCGGCTGGATGTTGTTTTCCAGACGGATGCCTCTTTTTCAAAGACAAAGAATGCAAAATGCTGGAACGCCCTTTTTTTATTTCGTTGATCGTGTTCTTCTTGGCCGTTGGTGGGTCGTAAGTCGGTGTTCGGCGGAATGTTGGATAATAATGTGATGTTCGGATAGTATTGTGATGTTTGGATGGTGTTGCGATCTTTTGAATGGCGATGTCCTTCATTCAGTCGTCTTGCTCTTCATCTTCCAAGTCCTTGGGGAAATCCAGATCGGTCCAGTAGTCGTACGAGCAAGTATCGTGGCAGTTGCAGAGGAACGGAAAGAGATACTCGTAATGGTCATCTGATTCGTCATCGTCGTGAAGCAAACAGCAGGACATGGCACAGTCGCAGCAGTTGGCATCCTTGTCATAGTCGTTGCCGTCAGCTTTGCCTTCGTATCTGTCGATATCTTCCTGAGTCACACGGACACCGCCGTCTTCGGTGTCAGCGTGAATCTCCTCATACTCCTTGTGAGCACGAGCGGCCTTTCTCTCCCAGAGCTTCTTTTGCCATCTCTTCACCTCGCCGCTAACAGTGAGAGGATGGCCGTAGATTGTAGGCCACATGACTTCGAGGATCATGGTGGCTATGTGCGTCTGGCAGTAGCTCTTGAGCTTGTTGTCGAACTGCTCGCGGGGTGGAATGACGATTTCGAATTTCTTAATCAAGGGCAAGTGCTCGCGGTCCAAACAGGAGATTGTCTCTTCCTTCGGTTCGAAGATGAATTCTTCATCGGCAATGAGGTTTCTGCCGCTCAGACCGAAGAGTTTGACAAAATCTCGGGCAGTGGGTAAAGCGAGTGTGAGCTGAGTGAGATGCTCGCAGAGGAACAAGATGTTGCTGGGGAAAGTCTCCTCTAGCAGTATGCGGTGGTTGAAGAGTACGGGGAAATTGCCGAATAGGTAATCGCTCATCTCTTGATGAACAAGTTTGTTGACTCTCAGCAGACCCCTGGCCCAGTTGTAGTTGCCTTCTCTGACACGTGGGATGCCATTCCTGCGATAGCTGTCGCGCAGATCGTGAGAAGGATATGGCTCGATCGCATCTTGTGGAGCAGCGAAGCGGTAAATTTCACGTCTCAGCTCAGCAGGCAACTCGAGGAAGGGGAATCCCTTGATCTTTGCGTTGCGCCTTGAGTTCCACCATTCGTTCTGCTTCTGAATGCCCGTGACCTGGCAGAACGAAGTAGACTGGTTGGGGTTCAAGATGTTGTTCCTGCTCACTCGCTCGAGGTAATCGATCAAGGGTGTCCATTTGTCAGTCAAGACTTGAGCTTGTCCTTCGTGAAAGCGGCCGAACAGAGTAACGTTGTGCTCACGGTTCGGATAGAAGTCGAAGTCGAAAGCCTTGAGATCGGATTTACCAGTGTTCTCGTCGCTAACATTGATATAGACTTCCAAGGTATGGGCGTCGAATGAGCTGATCGAAAACTCGTCCGCCGTTTCAAGCAATTGCTGGTGGAGTAGGTTTTTGGACTGGAGTTGGTCGCTTAGAGGAATCCAAGAGTCATTGCTGGCCCCATAGTATCGAGTTCGCAAGGTAGGTTCGGCCATTGTGAATAGCTGTGACTGTATGCGTAGATGATATTGGAGGTGAGAGACTTGAACGAGAATGTTGGGCAAGAAGATTAGGGGAGTAGGTCGAAGGAGAAGGTCGATTAAGTAGGGGTCGCAACCAGGAAAATTCGCACTCGGCGGGCAGCAGCCGTCGTTGTCGTCAAGACAATGGGACGTCCGAGACGATGCGTCGCTCAGCCACAAGCTACGTCGAAAGTCTACAAGCGACACTGAATAATAAAATTACCGATGTGAGTCAGGAATCAGAGGTAGGTAGAGATGGGCCCTGATACAAAGCTCCAGGTAATGAAGAGAACGACCATGGAAGGGTGGCGCCGTGTTTGAGATACTTATACTGAGGCAGCCGGTGTGAAGCGCTATTGTGAAGCTGCTATTGTGAAGCTGCTATTGTGAGTCTGCTATTGTCGTTGAGACGTCGCTAGGCGGCCACTGTCGACCAATCAGTATCTGAGCGACCGACAGGATGGCGATGTACAAGTGAACCGCTGTGAGTGACTATCAGTACGAATTACATCATTGCCGTACGGTATGGTCAATACTCGGCATCATCATGCTATGACCTCCCTGTTTGTGATCATGAATTTATACCAAGTTACTGATCTCCATGAGGACAAGTAGCACCATGAGCCGAGTCATAGACCTATACTGGGAGAAGGTCTGAGAAAGAGACCCTGTGTCATATAGTATATAAAGTTGATGACAAACGTTCTGTATTGGTGATCAGCTCGGTCGATACTGTACCAACCTACTCAAGCCTAACTTAGGACTTCTCTGGACTCGAGAATCGGAAAATCACTTCTCAGAATCATCATCCTTGTCTTTACCGCCAAAGGGAGACAGCCAGATGCCCAGCAAGACAAGAAGCCCACAGCCAAAGCCAGCAGCAAAGGCAATCTTGTCACTGACTTGTACATCTTCCTTGACCATCTCGATGCGGCTGATAGTGTGTTGCATGTTCTCGGTTATCTCTAGCAAAGCGTGGTAGTTGCTGTGCTGACTCTGCAGTATCTCAGCCTGAGTTCTGGAGATGGCGTGTTGTTGTTGTAAGATCTTCATGACGAGACCTTTGATGGTGTCTTCGGACTCGGCTTGTTTGCGCAAACCGCTCGACCGGCGTCTAGGCAAGCCAGCAGGGTAAGACTGCTGTTCAGACACATCAGCAACAACATCGAGTTGATCAAGATTGACACTGACAGATCTGGCGGCTTGGTGATGATAGCAGGAGATGGTCGGCCAGATAAGATGGCGAATGCAATGGCTTTGGCTCCTGTGTGGCAGATCGAGGCTTGCATATCGAAGACGCACAGCTGCGCTCGGAAGAACTCGGTGCGCGATGGACATGGTGACCATTTTCAATTCCTGATGGGTAGAAATGCTCAGAGTTGTCCTTGTTGAAGGATGCTGATTTGCAGATGAACAAAAGAACCCCGAGGGCAAGGACTCGGCTTGCGAGGGGAGTCGCACCTTCTTGGAAAAGGACATGTTGATGTTCTAGCAATCTAGGTCAATGATGTGAGTTCGCAGCATGTACACTCACAACTCTACTTTCAAGATTCCACCGAGACGTACGAACGAGGCAAGGTTCTCAGGTTATAAAGTCAAGGGTATCAGTCGAAGAACGATATTACAAACTAGATGCAGAGGAAAATAAAGATGAAACGAGACCCCAAGCCCAGATATGCACCAAACGCCCTCTCATATTCATGTCGAGGAAAAGAGGCAGTATCCACCGTGACCTGTCTTGCTGTATGTGTGTACATGGCACACTTCGCATCCGTAACGTCTTCGCTAGGAGAATCTGAGAGACAAAAACTGAAAACATGCGCTGTAAAAAGGTCAAAGTCGGGAGGAGGTCGTCTAACATTGGCAACCCTGTCCAGCCTGTGTGCCGGAAGCTTCGGGTCGGAGATCGACGCCAGGTCTAGGGGCACCGCGCATGCCTCTCTGGGTAGCCTGCTCGATGGGGAGCTTCTTTGCGATGGCGGTGAAGAGTTCCTTGACATTCTCGGCCGTCTTTGCCGAGGTCTCGAAGAAGAGCAGACCGGCTTCTTGGGCGTATTGTTCGGCATCGGCGGTCGAGACAGCGCGCTTGTCGGGTTCATCGGTGACGAGATCGAGCTTGTTTCCGGCGAGAGCAATGATGATGTTCTCGTTGGCTTGACGTTGCAGCTCCTTGACCCATGCCTTTGCCTTGTCGAGGGAAGCCTGTGCGGGTTGTGTTAGTAAGGGGGGGGGGGGGGTCTCGGGCGGATGGTCGGGACTGGGCATACTGCTTGGGTGATGTCGTAAACTACGACAGCGCAGTTTGCGTTGCGGTAGTACATGGGAGCCAGGGACTTGTAGCGCTCTTGACCTGCGGTATCCCAGATCTCGAACTTGACAGTGGTTGTGTCATCGAGGGCGATTGTTTGGGTAAGGAAAGCGGCGCCGATGGTGGATTCCCGGTAGTCGTCGAACTGGTCCTTGACGAAACGGAGGACGAGCGAACTCTGCTATGGGTTAGACGTCTTGTTCGGGGAGAATGTTGATAAGTGGTTGCGCACCTTTCCGACGGCGGATTCGCCTGTGATAACATGGTCAGCGTACAGATTCGAGGGGCGTGGGAGAGGGAATCAGGCGTACCCAAGAGGACGAGCTTGAACTGAGCAAAGCGAGCGCCGCCTGGTCGGCCCATTTGCTGCTGGCGGGCGGACATGTTGGGCGGTAGGTCTGTGTGTAGAAAGTGAGGCTGGCGTGGGTGACTGCGGTAGAAGTGGGCGAGAGTGGATGGCGCGGGAGGTGTGACAGGCGGTATGGAAGTTGTGGATTCGAAGCCGAAACACGACAAGCGTCTGGACTGGCGAGGTGCTGGCTGTTGGCTGTTGGCAGATGACGACGGCTGTGGCTCGGTGAGAGAGCAGCTGCCTGGCCGATGCCCGTCCAGTGCCAATCTTGCTCGCTGCTCAAACCTTGGGCCGTGCCAAGCCTTTCATCACAAGCAGTTCCCAAAGGGGACCTGGCCTCTCGCGCTTTCTCCAATTCAACGTCATGCTCATTTGGCCTGCCACACAACTCTTTGGCTAGTTCCTGTCTTGTTATCGCATTTCAACATCTGTCAGCCAACATGAGTGCTCTTCTTCCTTTTCGCGACATCAACGTCCACGCTTCTTCCAACCACTATGCTTTCTCGTCTCCTTCCTCGCCATCCGCCCCTACCCTGGTCGTAGAGCGCCCGTCTGGTGATATTCGTCTCCACGATGGCAAGCTTCTTGGGGGTCAAAGAGTCACAAGCATCCAGGGAATCCTCGGAATCATCAGTCTTCGCCTCGGTTTGTTCTTTTTTTCCCCTCCAACACCCAAATCACTCATGTGGCCCTAGACAAGTACATCGTTGTAATCACAAAGGCCCAGCCTATGGGCAGGATAAAGGGTCACCAGATTTATAGAGTTGTCGCTACTGAATTGCTGCCTCTCCGCGAGAGACAGGTCCGCGATCCTGATGAGGATATTTACCTTGGTCTGGTCAACACTCTGCTCAAGACTAGCCCTTTGTTCTTCTCTTACACTTTCGATCTCACAAACTCTTTCCAAAGACAGGCCGAAATCGACCAGTCCTCTCCCCTCTGGGCAAGGGCCGATGACCGCTTCTTCTGGAACAAGTTCATCCAAACTGATCTCATCAACTTCCGTCAAGGCCAAGGAGCTCGTCGTCAAAATGTCGGTCCCCAGCCTGCCATGGATCCCTATATCCTGCCCGTCATGTACGGCATGCTCAGAATCACAAACACCTCTGTCAAGAGTGCGCCTATGACTTTCATTCTCATTACCCGCCGTTCAAGACACCGCGCTGGTACTCGCTACTTCTCTCGTGGACTGGACGAGCAAGGACATGCTTCCAACTTCAACGAGACTGAACAGATTGTCATCTTGAACGATGATGCCTCTAGTGGAATGACAACCTTCGCTGGCGACGGTGGTTTCTCCAACAACAAGCTCCCTGGCGGAGAGACACAGGTTTTGTCCTATGTTCAAACCAGAGGCAGTGTTCCCGTCTATTGGGCTGAAGTCAACACCCTGAAATACACTCCCAAGCTCCAGATCAGAGGTGTTCAATCTGCCGTACATGCAGCAAAGCTCCATTTTGACGAACAGATCAAGCTTTACGGAGAGAACTATCTGGTCAACCTCGTCAACCAAAAGGGTCGCGAGCAAAAAGTCAAGGAGGCCTACGAAGACATGGTCAAGCTGCTTGTCTCAAACCCTGCAGAGGACACCGAGGCTGATCGCACAACGAGAGAGAAGTTCCACATTCTTGAACCTCAAGGCGGCCGTCATGAGTTTGACAAGCTGCATTACGTTTACTTCGACTTCCACAACGAGACCAAGGGACTGAAGTGGCACCGTGCCCAGCTTCTTCTCGACCAACTCAAGGATGGTTTGGTCAAGGGAGAATATTTCCGTGGTGTCGACAAGCCAAGCGGTGGTGTACAGGTCTTGAGCCGACAGTCCGCCGTAGTTCGTACCAACTGTATGGACTGCTTGGATCGCACGAACGTTGTTCAATCTATGCTTGGTCGTTTCACCCTTTCTCGTATGTTGACAGACGTCGGTATCTTGAAAGCTGGAGAAAACGCCCAGGAAGACGCTGCATTTGAACATTTGTTCCGCAACGTTTGGGCTGATAACGCAGATGTTGTCAGCAAGTCTTATTCGGGCACCGGTGCTCTCAAGACAGACTTCACCCGTACTGGAGAAAGAACGCGTGCAGGTGCGTTGCAGGATCTGAACAACTCGATCACTCGTTATGTTTGCAACAATTTCCTCGATGGACCCAGACAGGATGCCTTTGATCTGTTCCTCGGTACTTACGCACCGGACCCTTCAGGCTTGGGATCGGCACATCAGTTTGCAGACAATAGACCGGTGCTCATCCAGTCTCTGCCTTATATCTTGGCCGCCTGCGTATTTTTCATTTTCATTTCGCTCTTCACACGCCGTCTGCCGGATGCCACTGTGTGGCCATTGAGAATCTTTGTTCTCATCTGTGTTGTCGGTGCTGCATGGTCTGCCAGATTCATCACCTCGCACGGAGGTCTTTACGTAAGCTATCGCGCTTTTCCACAACAGTTGTGACGAGAAATGCTGACCAGTTAATAGGTCAATTGGCCGAAGCTCAACACACCAGCACATGCTCTTGAGAGTTATCAAGAGACTCTGGAGCGTGTGAGCAGAGATCCTCTGCTTGGATCCATGGTTTCCAAGCACGGTCGTGGTAAAAGTGATGCTAGACTTGGATACATGGAGGAGGGCAAGAAGCGTAGAGAGTAGATCAAAAGCGACAGGTAACTACAGCGTCGCGCTCGGCTCGGAAAATGATGGTACACGGTAATACTAGAAGGCTTTGAATGGTAATCGAATGATATTTTGCTTGTCATCTAATTCGTCACATGTGTCGAGAGGGAAGCAATACTATGCTACGCCTGCATAGCACAGTCCAAACACAATCTCGTGTCAGCAGTGATAGCGCAAGTATTACAGACATGTTTTCCACAAGCCGTACACATAGTATCCGCATCCAAAGTATCCATGCCGTACGGATACTCAGGTATCAGCCTCCCATCACACCCTTCGCATGCAAGCACTTCCTGCTGCGATATGCTTGTATCCGTGTGTTGTTGCGGTATGTGTGATGGTTGTGGTAGATGCCAAAAAGAATGTAACGTCGATCGTTGCGGTGGTGCGTCTTGCGGCGGAAATTGTAGTGGGTATTGTGCTTGGAGTTGTGGTTGTGGTTGCTGTGAGGGTTGCGGTGAGGCGTGTGGGTGGGCTTTTTGTGCATGGAAGAGTTTCTCTACTGTTGATGCTGTTTGTGTGGTGTTAGGATATTTTCAAGGTATAGCGTAAGGGAAAGGGCGCATCCATACCGTGGATTTGCGATTCTTCTGGTCGGGCATCACGGTAGCGTTTCCGTGTCCGGCTGTTCAGGGTATGTGATGTGTTTTCCTCAAGTTGTGAAGACTCATGGTGGTATGACTTTGGCGTGAAGGGAGAGGATTGTGGATCGTGGGTTTTGCTCTGGACGAAGAAGTTTGGTAGGCGGATTGGCGAGCTGGCAAAGGGTGTTGGCGAGGAGGCTTCGAGGGTGGCAGTTTGGAAGAGTGAGCCGGTTGAGCGTTTGCGTTTCATCGACATGGCTGCGATTCTATGGGCTTGAGGCGTCTTGCTGGCGACTGACAGGCTGAGTAGATGTTCTTGTCGATGCAATTGCCAGATTCGTCTTCGTCGTCGAGTGGTCGCGTCAGAGAAAGTCGACGCGTCGGGGAAGGAGCACGCGAGTCGTGACTGCCGCATTGCGTCAGCACTTTCACATGCCAATCGACTCGGAGCTTCTCCTCACCTTGATGCACGTTTGATCTCGTCTTGACAACTTGGTATACAAAGTCAAAAGAACTCTTTGCTTGAATACGAAGTCCATCGTTGAGCTGACTGTACAATGTCAACCCGCGAACCTAGTCATGCCGGAAGCTGGTATAGCTCGTCCAAATCACAACTCTCGACTCAACTCGATGGTTGGTTGGACAAGGTCAACACTCCCGTACAGCCTATCGGCCAAATCTCGTCTCAAGAGTCTCTGAGCTCCTTGCCTGTGTCCGGCGCCAGAGTCATCATTGCTCCGTAATATACTCCACATCGCATACATACTTATACTGTTGACTGACTTGACTATCTATCAGACACGCCGGATACTCATACTCTGGACCTGCAGCTGCCTGGGCCTATCGCTCATGGGATGTCTCAAAAGCAAAGCGTGTCTTCCTTCTCGGTCCTTCACACCACTTCTATCTATCCAAATGTGCTCTGAGTCAATGCGACAAGTACGCCACTCCACTAGGCAACCTGACAGTCGACAGAGAAACAACAAAACAACTCTACGAGACCGCAAAGTTTCAATGGATGAGCAAGGGTGTGGATGAAGACGAGCACAGTCTGGAGATGCACCTACCCTACATCTACAAGATCCTATCCAGATCCTTTTCCTCCGAGTCATCATTCCCAAAACTTGTTCCTATCATGGTGGGCAACACGAATCCAGCCACCGAAAAGCAATTCGGTCAGCTTCTCGCACCATACCTGCAAGATTCTTCCAATGTCTTTGTCATCAGTTCGGACTTTGCACACTGGGGCTTGCGTTTCCGCTACACTTACTACCAACCTTCTTCTGGCGATGCCAAAGATCTGTCCGCGCGCTCAAAAGCACCCAGAGATCCTCCCATCCACGAAAGCATCAAGAAGGTTGATTTTGAATGCATGGATGCTTGCGAGACGGGTAGTCATGATGCTTGGTTGGGTGCTTTGGCTGAGACTGGCAACACGGTTTGTGGAAGGCATCCGATTGGTATCGTCATGGCTGCCATGGAGGTGGTGGACAGTTCTGCCAGATTCAAGTTTGTTCGCTATGAACGCAGTAGTGAGTGTGCCTCGGTCGAGGACAGTAGTGTCAGCTATGCTAGCGCTTTTGCTGTCATTTAACCAATGCGGTTTGCGACACTCTTATGATAACGAGAATACATTACTCTTCCTTTTCGTCTTTCCATCTTTTGTTTGCTTGGTTCTCCGTTTGCAGTGATACGACGGCTGTGCTGCACAAATTCACAACATTTCACGGGAACAGAGCAACGTCCAACGAGAATCACCGAACATCAAGCTCTCTGGACATAGGCTTTTGTCGGAACACAACTGTGCATATGCATGGCTACATGTTATCACTCACCTTTGCACCCAAGGAACATTCCGTCGCTTGTCAATCTCAGGCAGCGAAACCATACAAAAACTCGCCAAGCCCTCATGTCCCAACACATTTGCAAACCCTCACCCTACTCTGCCTAGAAGATCCCGAGTCTCCCTGTGCTTCTCATGATAGGCCACAATCAAAAAAGAAAGCTCTCCCGGACAGGCTTGAACTGTCAACCTCTCGATAGCTGATCTGCCAGCAAAGGCAAATCTAACAGTCGAACGCGCTAGCCAATTGCGCCACGGAAGATGTGAAAGCTATGCTTTCTGTGGCCTGAACTGGATGACAGGTGGAACCAGTTTATGGGATATGTACCCTCCCACGACCGAGCAAGAGAGACCAGAAGATGAAATGCTATGGAATTGAGGCCGTCAATGATGCCAGGTCGTATTGTTCGTATTGTCGAACGGCTTTTTTTTTGTCTTTGTGAGCCAAGTCTGTGGGGCTCGAGTGTTTTTTACTCAATGGTTTCTTATGCCGAGGATGCCTGGATCTCGCTTGTGTGGGAGTGCCAGTTGTTTCGGTGTTGCGCTGCTTTGCTTTCCCTTGCGAAAGCGGCATATCGGATATATCGGTCGATTGTATTGTTGTTCGAGAGTATGTATGGACAAACAATTTTCGTATGGCATTGATGGTGGTGCGTTTGTGGTTCTGGGCAAGAAGATGCTGTGTCTTCTTCCACGTTTGGTGTACGCTCTCCCGAACCGATGATGTTCAAATGAAAAGAGCAGTGCAATTCTGTCGAGACTCGGTCATTTGGTCTTAAACCCGTATGGCATAGTCTTGAGACTAGTAAGAGTGCTCAAGTAGAGCGATATAGCCACCAGTAATGTCATTGGCCATGATATCGTGCAATCATTTCAAATCGTGCTGGTCGAGGGTTGCACCCTGTCTTCTTGGCAAGAAAGAAGTCATCAGAAGACATGTCGAGTTCGCATCGGTCGAATCGCAACTTGCTTATTGCTGTTCGAATGTGTGTATGACTTGCAGATCATGATGAGAGTGTTAGATGAGATGCTGACCGACAGAATCAATGATTGAATGTCCTTCGCTAGAGTGTCGAGCAGAAACGGAGGCAAGAAGCAGAGCAGCAGAGCCGCAAAGCCTCGGCTTAACCTTGATGGGCGACAGCATGGCAGACGAGCATAGAGCTATCCAACACAAACAAATACAACGTACACAAAGCACACAAAGGACATCGGAACAACAAAGATGCCGTTCAGCCACATCACGACAGCCTCAGCTCAGATCCAAAATCCCCAATCATAAACCCATATGTCGTCAAGACTTTCCGGTGTAATAATGTCGTCATCGTCCTTCCATAGCTCCAAACAGCTGTTTATAAACCTCTCGACCTGCAGGAAAGCTCACCTTCTTCCACATCTCACTCTACATCTTCACATACACCAATCCCAAACCAAATCCACATCAAACAAAACCGCAAACATGCTCCGCACATTCACCCGCAACGCCGTCTCCAAGACCTTCAAGCCTTCAATGGCCACCCCCCTCCGCACTCGCGGTTACGCCAACAAGAGGGTCGAGGATGTCACCCAGGCTGCCGGCGAAGCAAAGGACACCAACCCCAAGAACCCTTCAGTCATCTCATCTGCCGGTGCCGTCGGCAAGCAGTTCAACCCTGATGGAAACATCGGCCAGGTTGGCGAGGCTGTAAGCAATATCCTAACTACCTTCTGCCATGTCTACTCGGAAACTAACACGCAACCCATAGGTCGGTGGACCTTTCTCCAAGGATGGCGCCATTGGCTCCCAGTTCGACGCAGCCAAGGATGGTATTGCCGGTCAGGTTGAGAAGGCCGTCGATGGCCCCAGCAGACCCGCTACCGAGAAGAAGTAAAAAGCTTCTCTCTCGCCTCGACACTTGTACAACCACATTTACCTTTCACGACGATGATGGATATTTTATTTTTTCACGACAACGAAACAACCCCCAGACGATATGAAGAGTTCGCTGTACTGCATGGGAAAGCATGAGAAGCATTGCTCCGATAGTTGCCTTTCGATCACTAGATGATCGGGCATTCGAATACAAAACATTCAAAAACCACTTTGCTCTTCGTATTCGTTTATCTGTGACTTGGTCTACTGCATGCTGCTGTAACCTTTGGATGTCTTGATGACTCTGTAAACCTCTCGTTTCTTTTCGAAAGGTAAGAACAATTTACAGATCATTGGCGAGCCTTGAGGCTTGAGCGAGCTGTTATTTGTCCCAAGCAGTCCCATTGTCCAAAGCCTGTCTAGGTTGCTTGTAGCCCTGTTGTGTGGTGTACGGCGATACCTCCGACAGATTCTCAATCCTTCCAAGCAAAAACTCAAGATGTCTGTACGCAGCAGACGGTGCGCCCTGCGGCAAGAAATGTCCCGCCAACTCTGTCAGCACGAACGTAAGTCCACGCTCAGAAGTCCAGGACCCAAAGACGCCTGCCCCTGCCATGCTATCCATATGATGATCATGGTAAGGCACGTAAAAAGGCTGCGATGGATATTCGCTGAACCCTTGCACACCATTCCAGGTCAGGTTCTGCAGGGTAGCAAGTGTGCCGTTGGCGAAGAGGACAAAATCAAGAGTGCCGTGGCCGATCACGACGTTGTTGGTATGTTCGATAACGCGTTGCAGGGGTCCGCCGTCCAAACCCGAAGGAGGCGAGGTATCCGACTCTCCACCGACGAAAGGGTTCTCCAAACCAGGAAGACAGAATTGCCAGTTCACGTCCAGAGGTGCATGAATGGCCTTTTTAACATCTGTACGGTTGAAGTAGGGTTGAGTGTAACCATCAGGAAGATAGAACTGATCGTAAGAGTATGGGAATCCAAGACTGTCCCACAGCAGAGGGCACTGTTGGCCAAGTTGATAGATGTCGAAGCAAGGGTTGAGCTCGAATATGGCAGTAAAGATGGTGTTGTAGATGTCGCAATTGTCGTAATCGTAGACTTCGTCGTATGTCGATGGAGGCGGCGGAAGAGGTCCTGTCGGAGGAAAAGTCAAGGCGCTATCCATGAAAGTGTCGAGTCCGCAAGATTGTGAGATGTTCTTGATCTGAGCATTCACAGTGTCGTTTAGAGGGAAGAAATTGCGATTCTGGTCAACAAAGGAGAGTGTGGGGGCTTGTGAGATGACTCCATCGTACCCAATAGATGGATCGTACACCATGAGGCCACTGACGTTATAATACTCGGTATCCTGTTTCTGAATCATTGCAGAGGCGATGTACGGCGCGTACATGCCAGCGTAAGATTCGCCAGTGATGTAGACCTTACGTCCTTTGAGCTCGAAGGTGTCCACAAAATTACGCCAGAATCCCATAAATTGCGAGGCTACAGTATCCTCCTTAGTGGCCGTAGCATTCCCTGCACTGAAGCCGGTCGAGATGGGCTGATCAATCCAAACAATGTTGCTCAAGTTCGACCACGAGTAGGTGTTTCTGACAGGACGATATGTACCAGAAGCCCAGTTGACAGGACCGTTTTCGTGGAAGAGTCCGTCCAAACTCGAACAACCGGGGCCTCCGTTCAACCAGATCACAATCTCATCAACAGCAGATGGATTGTTAGTTGGTACGAACCAGAAGAACAAACTGTCGGTCGTGCTGTTGCCTATTGGCATGGACCCAGCATAACTCTCTCCGATGTCAAAATCAATCTCGGGCAACGAAGAGCCGTTGACAGCAAATGGTGTGGTAGCGTTGGTCAAGTATACATGATCCGAACGTTTTTGGAGGTGCTGATGCTGCTGTTGCTCTTGCTGAGCAGCAAACATCTTATTGCGATGCTCATTCTGTATCTGGCCATATTTGAGAGCTTGCGAAGAACGAGCTGACACAAGACACGGCAGTAGTGAGACCAGAGGGATGGTCGCACGGGCTGCGGCAAAGACGTGCATCTTCCGAGATTCCAGAAGAGGTAGATTGATTCGACAAGATCAAGAATCAATTTTATCTGATAAGGAAAGAGGCCGCTGACTTATGAGAAAGATCTCGGAGCACATCATTGCGGTTCCAGTGCCTGATGAAGACAGCCCGTGACGTGGTACTTGTCCCGATCGATTACCCCCCATGGTTGCCGAATAATCTGTGGATAGATCCGGAGATCTTCATCTCAACGACAAGCGGGTGTCTCAACTGTGCGGTGCCGAAGACTGGGGCCGGTCGTGCTCTTCTGCTCGAGGCTGCAGCTTAAGCAAGTCCACATGATGTACTCATGCTCATACAACGTACGACGAGGGACTCTGATGGCTGTCAGTCGTGATGAATACTTGAGCTGTCGCTGCCGCTCCTCGTCGCGTGCGAAAGAGCAGTCAAAGCCTCGGCTAAAATCTCCTTGCGGGCCAAAGCTTCCCACTCTGGCAACCAACTTTTATCAGATCCAATAAATCGTGGAGCCCTAGCCAAACCATCTACGCGTCTGACAAGTTGCGCATTCGTCATACGACAACGTGGCATCAATCATCAGTGTCCTGCGAGCATCAAGCTGTTGGATCGCTCGGTTAGCTTATATGCACTGTGACTCTACCTTCGATGTCCAGATACGTTGTTAGAGTGAAACAGTTAGTATGCAACAACGCGTGCTCAAGAGAGTCTGAAGTTCACCCCAGAGTAAGTCATGGAATACACAAACACTGTAGGTCGTGAGCAGGAAAACTGCGTGAGGGAGGGGACTGCGCCATGTTTTCGTGACTTGCTTAGTTGAGGCTTGTTAGAAGGAAGGCACGACTGCCTTCGTTGAGCGCGTGCATCATCTGTATTCTCCATCTTTCTTCTTGTCCCTGTCCTTGCCTTCTTCGCTTACAGCCACAGCTGCGAGCATGTCTCAGCTCCATGTCGAGATGCGTCTCCAAGACGCTGATGATGGCGAGTACATCGCACGTACCGAAGTAAGTCTCTTTCGATGCTGGCTGTTATATATGCTCACTTTATCCAGATCGAGGATGCCTTCCATGACTTCTTGACCAAGGAATACATCCGCCCAGTTCACAACGGCGAAGAGCTTCAATTCGGTACGCTCTCCAAATTGTCCTTATTTCCAGAACAGGTACTGACATAAGCCTCTAGACAGATTTCAGTACAAGAATCATGTCGCTTATGTTCAGGTCACTGGTGTTGACGATCAGTCCAAAATCAATGAAATCTTCCAGTTTTCCGATGTCCAACTCAAGATACATGCCTATAGGCTTCACGAACAAACCGCGGCTGCTTCTACCGTCACGTTCAACGCCTCGAAGGAGTCTCAAGCGAGAGTTCTCAACATACCTCATGAATGCCTGGCCGGTGTCTGGGAAAGGTGCGCTGCGTCTGTCTGGTACTGACTCCTCTCTGCTTACATCAAATTGGTAGTTTGAAGTATGATGAAAGCCAGAAAATCAACACCGAGGAAATCCTGAATCTGGCTGTGCGCACAGGTATACAATCCCCTTTCCAGGAACGGACTTAGACTGACATGCATCGAGTCACATGGTTGCATCAGGCGAACAATCTCCCACACGCGATGAACATCAATCGGCTGATTCTCTTCCATGGACCCCCTGGATGTGGCAAATCAACACTTTGGTGTCACGCCGCTTGTCCTCATTGTGTCTAGACAGGCTGCTGACTCTTTTATAGCCGAGCACTTGCTCAAAAGTTGGTCATTAGGCTCGGTCGCACCTTCAGAGGCGGTAAACTGTTCGAAATCAACACACAAGATCTCTTGAGCAAATTCTACAGCGAGAGCGGCAAGCTCGTATCAGAGATGTTCGACAAAATCCTCAGGATGGCACGAGACGACAAGGAGCTTGTTTGTGTGCTGATCGACGAGATCGAGAGTATTGCCACATGCCGTCAAGCCTCTACCAAGAATGGCGAGTGTACAGATACTGTCCGCGCGACCAACCAGCTCCTCACCGCGCTTGATCGCATCAGGAACAAGCCAAACATCATTGTCTTTTGTACGAGCAACTTGCATGATTCCATTGTAAGATTCAGCTCTTCACATACAAGGAAGAATGTTACTAAATCTGTTCAAGGATACCGCCTTCCTCGATCGCGTATACAACACCGTTCCAGTACCTCAGCCATGCGCAAGCGCAATATACACAATCCTCAGCAACAAATTCAACGACCTCATCGATGCTGGGATGATCATGTACCAACCTCTCAATCAGACGCTACCTACTGACAAGGATGACGCGGACGGTTTCAATTTCCTGAGCCTCGGTGACTACCTCGACAAGTCACACCTGCCAAGCTACGAACGACTACTGGTCTGGGAGGTTGCGTTTCCCAACTCTCCAGGGCCCCTGCTCAAAAGAGTGGCCAAAGATTGTGCAGGATTCAGTGGAAGAAAGTTAGCAAAGTTACCGTTCTTCGCCATCAACAAGTACACTTGGCAAGAGGAATGTACCGTTTTCGATGCGATAAAGGCCCTTCAGAAGGCCGTGGATGAAGACAAAGCTATGGATTGAGTGTTGGACGGTGTTGTAATGATGACAGATGTTGCTTAATATTGGAGGATGAAGGGTCGCGAACACTATGATTCTGTTCGGCCATAGCTCTGCCTGATCCCGAAGAAGATTCACAATGAAAAATCACATATCAACATACTCCTTACAGTGGCCATGAACAATGGTTCCATTGGGGTTGAGAGATGTGAGATCGATGTCAACGTGACGATCGCAACACGTTGGCTACGGCGGCCATCGATTTGCCCCTCAGCGTTCGGCAAAAACTGCCTTGGAGATTGCGCGCTACATCATCGTCAGCTTTGCCCTTGAAACATGGCTAATGTCAGCCTTGCGAGTTCACCTTTCTTCTCATCATGCTTGATCTTCAATCATTACAGGATGACCTGCCATCCGTCGAGTCTTCGCTGCAATCATCCTCGGCTCTTGACCAGATCACGCAAACCTCACGTGCGCTCTCGGATAGCCTCTACTCCAACTGGCATGAGTTGAGACACATCATCAGCAACCACGACGGAACGATTCAGAAACGATGGCGCAACAAAACACGAGATCAGAAAACGTCTGTCTTGTTGGAAGCTTGGGGGCACGCCATGAGCGAGTGCCATCGACCTGACTTGACTCTCTTCATCAACACTGCCACAGATGAACCACCACACTCACTCGATGCTTACAAATGGCCGTATATCAACCTGGAAGACCTTTTGAGACCGAGAGTGTTGCCGACTTTCCTTAGCTCGCGCGGCAACTATCATCCCTATGTTTTCTGTCATACCGACCTCAGTGCTTGTGCACTCGGTATCGCAACAGGCAACATTGGAAAGAGTGAAGTGAAGGGGTACGCCATGCTGTTCCGCGATAGCGAAACTCCGCAGTGCTACGCTAAAGTTTTCCTCGAGAGCGAGAAAAATGACTCGGCTAGCAACGACACGAGCGGTTGCTGGTTCAACACCGGTCAAGGTCTGCTCATCTTGGAAGTACAGCAACACATTTGGCAATTCTTGCTAGTGTGTGTAAAAGCTATCCTTCACGACCTTGTTGATTCTGCTCAGGAATCAAACGCCGATACCGAAGCCCAGTCCTCAGCCTTGCCCACCAACGAACCTGCTTTTTACACATTGGCGACTTCTACCATCGACGCTCCATATCGGCCACCAGCACAAATGGACCTGTCCCGGCTCAAGTCTCTCGTTTATGCTAAGCGCTCTGCAATCGCTGATCACATCTGGCTATTGAGAGAAGACCCGAGTTATTTTGCAGATTGTGTCAACGAGTGGAAAGAGCATCAGCCAGAGATGCTTCTGGATGCACAAGGCAAGAAGCACCCGATACACAAGGCCGGTCTGACCAAGGCGTTTTGGAACCGTGTCCTGAGGAAGATGATTACCGACTCGTACCTTTCACTGTCTCTTTGGGAGGCTACCTGCCAAGAAGTGCGCAAGTTCGATGAGCTATCGCGAAAGCACCCGAACCCATCACCATCTCAGCCTCTACCCGAGGAGCTCGCATCTGCCGTGAAGAAGATACGTCATCTGTTGGAGCTCTCGTCAGCAAGTTCAACAGCCTTGCTCAAGTCTCATGTTCCTCCGTCGCCTCCAATGCTCAATTACTGGCATCGAGAAGGCACGTCTACAGCAGATCACCACTCTACCAAGTTTCGCATGATGCAGAATCCACGCACCGACCAGGATCCTGCGCTGGATCGTCTCTTCTGGTTATATACCACTCTATGGGATGACAAGCAGTGCTCCTTGGTAGGCCTGCGAACTCTTGTAGACGAGCTTGACCGCTTGACATACGCCGACACCAAAGCAAAGGATCTTCAATCCGGGTTGGTCGTTGATAACATCAGTGATCTCGGTGTGATATCCGAATGCTTGCATCAATTGTCTCTGTACTGCCCGTGGTCCAAGACCATAGAGCAAGAGATGGCGCGCAACAGACAGCAAATCGTGGAGGAATTTTACACACAATCTGCCGAGTGGGACAATTTCAGAAAGTTGTCATGGCAGGGTGTCGATCTAGCGGATTTGGGATCACCGGGAGACGGGCGGTTTTCGTACCCCATCAGCAACCGCCGAACAAAGACCAATGCTTCTGCATTGTACAAAGCCGAGTTTCACCTTGATCAATTCTGGTCTGAAGTCGACAAGCATTTTGCCTCACAGTCCTCCACTCTTCCGGACAAGATGATGAGATTGCTACTTTCCGGAAACCGATCTTTGCAACGAACGTCCGAGTGGGAGGAGCCTACAGATGACAAACCAAAGGGCAAGATCAATGGTAGAAGCAATGGGAAATTGCGTGGCAAGACTAATGGCAAATCCAACCAGAATGCGGAAGACAAGCCGAACGGCAAGTCTGCATCTACACATCAACATCTTGAAGCCTCTGACACACCATTATCATCAACCTATCTCCAGCTTCGTGGCTCTCACAAGAGACAAAGTTCCGTCCAAGAAGCAACGTCAACCACGAGAGAGTCAAAGGATTCGAATGACCCCACGGTAACCGGACTCCATGATGCAAGAACAGATTCTACAGCTACTACCACTTTAGAAAAGTCTACTTTCACCGTCGATAAATGCGCGAAGAAGACCTTCTGTGTTCTTTTCTACACACCATCTCTGCACGACACGCCAGGCGACACTACTTGGACCGACTTTGTGCACGCCATGCTATCGGCTGGCTTCGTGGTTGAGAAGCTATATGCTTCAATATGGCACTTCACTCCTCCCAGGTCTGTTCCTGGTGAAAGCGTTCAGTTCCATGCGCCGCATGCTGGAGATAAGATTCGCTATCATGTCGCACGGTTGTTTGGACGGCGGTTGCACAGGGCGTATGGATGGAGCGAGAACATGTTTGTTGTGCAGCAGTAGTGAGGAGGAACGCGGCCTTGTGAGCTGAGACATAGTTACCAGAACAACTTCTTCGAAACCGTGGGACTGCTGCGCCCTTTCTTCTCCTCGGGCCTCTGCCAATTGTGAAATCACTTTTCATCCGCTTGTTGGCTCCTTCTCTGGCTTCACGGCGGCGCCTTCCACTGTGCACGTCCAAAGCACCACGAGGATATTTGGCTTCAACGGTTCTAACGGCTGGCTGCTCGGTAAGCTCTACCAGCCAAACCATACCCGAACGGGATGAGAGTGCGCTTCCGGATGCCACTGCAACCTGCAGGGTCTTCAGGTTTTTCCTTCCTGACGACAATGTTGAGAGCGTAGTCGGCAAACCAGGACGCGCACCTACGGGATTTAACACCTTAATTTTGACTTTGGTTGGACAGGTGTCCCACAGCGGCTCCATGCTTCAGCCTTCTGGAAATAAAGGCCTCCAACACATTTTCAGCCAAATCCTTTGATGTCTGATTCGAATCTCCTAATGCTGTCCGTCGTGGGTCCCAGGTTTGTCACAATCGGTCGATGATGGGCTTGAGCTGTCGAAGGGCTTGTTGGTCGCCGTTCACCGCCGATCATTGCCGATGTCTAAAGCCCGATGACAAGTGACCGGGGACATTTGTCGATCCTGGTCCTTCTCCTCTTCCATGGCAATCGAGACACAACAGTAAACTTTGGCGAGAATGAAGATGTGCAGAGACCCTTTGCCTTACATGACATTGATTGGACAAGGAACGCCCTCCGAACTAGAGGATGAATTGGCTCGAGCAAATGTCGACGACGATTCTTGTCAAGGTCCACTCGGAATCCTTCAGATCCGCTTAGGTGTCTGGGCAAACACGAGGATAATATCATGACATGACCAGGGGTTGAGCCCGCCGACCAATTTGGCCAATTTCTACCGGGAGGCGGCTCCGAGCACAAGACTAAAAGGTATATGTTACCACTCGTCTAGGTTGAGTGGTTGCCCGGGTCTCACTCAGCCTCGCTTCGACTTGACAAAGTTTCGACTTGGAGACCGCAGTTGACCATAGAAAAGGGAAGGAGGTGAAGCCCCCAACATCTGCATATCCGCAGCGGCGTTGTCGGGCGTTATACTTCTTCTCTCTTCTCACATACTGCCTGGCAATGTGAAATTGATGCATCGATTTTCCAACCAAAAGTCTACTGGAAGCATCCTTGTGCTCTGTGGAGCCTTATCATGAGACCGAACGAGCACGACTCACCTCCAACAAGCGATGGAGCTTTCTACTCGGCTACAGACAGTACGACTATATACTGGTATCATTACTGGTCGTCCCAGGTCGGCTGTTTCCAAACGACTGGTTCCAGTTCAGATCACTGCAATGATTATCTCGACCACTCTCAATATGGAAACTATCTCGACCCAGGACCATCATCACACCCATTAACGACATGGAATTCTCTCAGTCAAGAACAAGTAAATTATCATGATGTCGGAGGCAACACTGGTCAATCCTCACTACACATCTCACCGGATTCAGTACTGCAGAATCCTATCGACCAAGGGTACCACCATCATGAGCCATCTTATAGCTCTTGGGCTCCAGAGGTTACTACCTTCTCGCAAACCGGAGTGCAAAGTCGGCGTCCGAGTTACTACAGCGACCCAGGACTCTCGACAAATTTCTCAGACAACGCTACCCACCAAGCCCTCACAGACCATCGGCCCAACACAAGGCCTAGTGTATTTACCACTTCAAGTGCCGATGGACATGGCGCTGACCGAACGAACGCTCCCTCAGCCAACCCCTCTCACTTTACCGACGCTTTCACATTTGCCGAACCTTCGTGCTCCACCAGCACCAGCCCTGTGGACGAGCTTGCGGATAGGCCTGTAATCAGGTGCTACGATCATGGATGCGACGGCCGAACATTCTCCTCTATCAGCAACTTCAGACGACACCAGCGAGAACGTGCAGGCCAAGGTCCCGTATGCTTCTGCCCACGATGTGGAGCCAGTTTCTACAGACGTTGGACGAGGGACCATCATGTGGAGCGAGGGAGTTGCTTGAGGTTGCCTCGTTGGCACTGATCAGCCGGCTCAGGTTGCAACAAAAAGACCTTGCGAGAATCGCGACCAAGTCACAGAAGAGGTTTCGTGCGTAAACACGTCAAAGAGGGATTTTCTAGGGCGGTATACAGGTGATCCCGACTGATCATTTCTGTATACACACTTGGCCCATCCGTTGGTACGAGTCCAGACTTGATATGCAGGAGGCTTTGATTCGTCCTGTGACTCTTGTCTCCAACATTCAGCTGCAGCCGAGCCGACGATCCCTGGAGCTGTTCAGCTTTGGACATGCAGATCGTCAATATCACGTAGCTCGGCAAAGCACTTGGCCAAACTCTGTTACTCAGCATTCTTTTGATAGTGGCAGCACGTGGTAGATGCACTAAAAAATCGAGCTCGCATAATCATACGATATATCTCGTAGATAACAAGAACGATGCACGTTTCCGCATAGACATAGATTGCTAGTTGCCAATATCGCACGTGGAATGAAGTTTGGGACAATACGTTGTTGATACGTTTTTGAACATTTCCCTTGATCGCGGTCCCGGAAATCCCAAGGTCTCGTTATCTCATGAAGTTCGATTAGGGAGCATCTCGGGCAATGGCTTCTCAAAACCCTCGCGGGATACAAGAGAGGTTGAGTCTCACCGTTCAAAGGATGCATGACGGCTAGCGGTTCGTACCATACTTGGCTGTGGGTCTGACGTCCCGTAAGGCGCAATATGCGTGTTTGTCTCCGGGACTCGAGAAGCGAACAGAGTTTTGACCCTCTGACTCGGACCCTTGTACAACTGCCATCTGCTAGCAACTAGAGTCTGCCGGTAATGCTCTTGCTTCCACTCCCCTCTGATAGCACAGAATAGTACAGCACAAGCAAATACAGCGGCTTCGAAGGACGCGTAAGCATTACGAGAGTATGGCTATATCACAATCGGAGATTTGCCTAAGAAGCACCAATAAGATGTCACCCCTTCTGTGAAGACCACTTTGCTTTTCTATAACCGTTGTGCGTGCGACGAAAAGCCACTACAGCTTAAGTTCAAATACCAGCCGAGTAAATCAGTGAGATTCTGGCCTGGAACGAGGCCTACAATAATGATTCTCTTGACGAGCCGTTCAAACACGAAGTGACGGCGGGTCATTCACGACTGACCTCAAGAACACCCTTGAAATAGCCAAACGATTCCCATCGCAAAAACCGAGTGCCGGTAGCGTTACGCTTATCACCAACGTCTAATCAAGTCCGGCTGCATGTCGCGAGAAGGTTTGAACCTGGAAGAGCATGGCCGCTTTCTACCACGTCGCGCCGTTGCGACCCTCGTCGTCCGGATATGTTTCAGTGTTTGATCAGGATCGTTATTCCTCTACCGAAACCTCCCGGAGACGGCGCTTCTTCCGCAGCGCATTGATCCGCGGCTTTTGCATCGCCGCGGCTTCAACGTCCTTTCTTCTGCAGACTCTCGATCACATGCAACTATGAGACTCAACCATGAGAGGTTGACACCGCGATGCCCGAGTCTCGCGCGCAGAGTATCCGATGGTCGTTCTTGTCCATGTCTCTTAAGCGGCGACATGCTTTCTTGCGCATGCGTAGATAAACCCAGTATCAACCTCGGGTCACGAATAAAGCTTCGAGGATTCCAACGGATGCGTAAACGCGTCATCGCTCACAGCATATACAAAGTTCCGTCAACATGAGGTAGTTGAATTGTTGGTCATTGCATTACCTCAACTGGACATCTCTCTTCTACTCTAGCCTCTCCTCTGAGTCCAAGACACAAGTTCCTTTCAAAACATGCTGGAGCTCTCAGTCGAGGCCATTCAAGGTCGCCCCGTTGCCGTACTCGGTGGAGGTGTATTGGGTCGCCGCATTGCATGCACCTGGGCCGCCGCCGGCTACACCGTTCATATCCGAGATCCATCACTCGAGCAGCGCAACTCTGCCATCCATTACGTCGAGCAAAACGTGACTTCGTACGCAAAAGCCATCTCAAACTCGACTCCTGGCAAAGCTGTAGCTTTCGAAGATCTGGAACCTGCGGTCAAGGATGCATGGACAGTCATTGAAGCAGTACCCGAAAAGCTGCAGCTCAAAATCGACACTTTTGCGCAACTTGCACGGTCAACGACGAAAGATTGTCTGTTGGCGAGTAATTCGAGCAGTTACAAGAGTGGAGAGATGCTGGAAAAGGTCGACGAGGACACCAAACGACGAATTCTCAACACTCATTACATGATGCCGCCAGACAACAGGATCGTGGAATTGATGACCGATGGCTTCACCGATGAGGCAGTGATACCTTTCTACGTCGAAAGATTAAAGGAGTGTGGCATGAGCCCTATTGTTGCCAGAAAGGAGAGCACAGGCTTTGTGTTTAACCGTATCTGGGCAGCCATCAAGCGCGAGTGCCTCACCGTGCTTAGTGAGGGAGTCAGTACTACTGAAGAGCTGGACCGCGTATGGGTGGAGATGTTCTCTGGTGGCAAAGCAGGCCCCTGTTTCATGATGGATGCTGTAGGTCTCGACACAGTTGCCTTTATCGAGCAGCATTACGTCAAGGAGCGTGGTCTTCCAACGAAAGACACTGTTGATTTCCTGCAGTCCAACTACATTGACAAGGGCGCACTTGGCGGCAAGAGTGGAAAAGGTGGCCTATATCCTGCCGGACACACGACGAAATCAAGTGGAGAAGAGTCAAGCCATCATGACAATCTACACTCGCCAACTCTGTACTACCTCGACCTCGGGATGAACTCCAAAGAAGAAGTCATGCACGCAGGCAAGATCGTGGCACAATCAGCATCCGGAACAGAACCCAAGACACTGGTCTCCAACTTGACCTTGCCGGATGGCCTCGACATCTCAATCAAGGACAACCGTATCTACTGGACCAACATGGGCATCCCCTCCGAAAACGACGGCAGCATTCAGTCCTGCAAACTCGACGGTACGGATATCAAAGACATCGTAAGGAGAGGAGACGTACACACACCCAAACAATTGATCGTCGATCAAGAAAACAACAAGCTCTACTTCTGCGACCGCGAGGGCCTGCGAGTAATGAGATGCAACCTTGATGGGAGCTCGCAGGAAACACTAGTCCAAACAGGCGATTGGAAGATCAAAGAAGAAACACAAGACAGCTTACGCTGGTGCGTCGGCATCTGCGTCGACAACAAACGAGGCCACTTCTACTGGACCCAAAAGGGAGCATCCAAAGCCGGAAAAGGCAAAATCTACAGAGCATCCCTCAGGATGCCTGCAGGACAAGACGCCACCTCAAGAACAGATATCGAGACCGTCCTCACCGGTCTCCCCGAACCCATCGATCTCGAACTCGACGAGGAAGCAGGGAAACTATATTGGACCGACCGCGGAGATCCGCCAATGGGAAATACTATCAACAGCCTGGACTTGAACGATATCACGCACGTGGAAGACGCGAGCGACAACCCGACATATAACGTTCTGGCTCGCAACATGCACGAAGCAATTGGCATCAAACTGGACAAGAAAAACCAGCATATATACGCCACAGACATGGGTGGTTTCGTGTATAGATTCGACATGGATGGACAGAACAAGAAGAGAATCGTTGATGCTGAGGAGAGAGCATTCTCTGGCATTACTTTGGCTTATGTTTGAGGAGAGTATAGAGGCTAGTCAGAATCCTTGTTTATTATAGATGTGCGTAATGATAATGTATAGACTGTTTGATCCCCGCACCTTCCAATCGTTGGTTAAGTTGAGATGAGTATTGAGTTCCTTCCAGAATTTCTGCCCCTTGTCTACATGACACCAGACCAAGCCATGCCCATCTCCTGCCCACCACCCACACCCCTGTACCCAGCTGGCTGCGCACCACCCTGCCTGATAGCTTCCTCCTTACTCTGCAACCTCTGTCTCAATTTCTCCCTACAAGCAAACACCAACACGTCAGCTTATCGGTGTGATACAGTTGACTACCCATTTGAGTGCTCCTACGCCATGCTTTCCGTATTCCAAATGTTTAACGTACATGATTATTCTGTCTTCTTCGGTTTGCTCGTGGGGTTTGAATGGATTCTCGAACCGACTCTTCTTTTTCTTTTCTGGACTTGTTGATTCAAGGAGGGTTTCCTCTTGTTGTGAGGACTTCTTGCGATGCAGGAAGTTGAAGCGAGATGAGGATGAGGAAGAAGAGGCGTTTTGGGTGTCTTGGGGCGGCGCCATGGTGGATTGAGTGAATACACTCGAGACTTCTGGGTCCAAGTCTGGCTTTCTGGTTGATGCGTAAGGGTCTTGAGGAGGTTGTGTTGAGGTAGAGGAGGAAGAAGCGTTCGTGCGGGGCGAGTCTTGGTTGTTGCCTTCGTTCGTGTCGAAGATGGACTTGTAGGCTGTACTCTTCACTAGGGTAGGCATGTTGATTTTGACGGTGTTGCTTGTGTTTGAGCTTTGGATTCGTATGTTGAGTGTAGTTGGAGTGTAAAGTGATAGATCTTCAGTGATTGGATTGATGATGTTTTTATAAAAACAGGCAAGTCTATCTATCAGATGTCGTTCGTGAGGCAGGGCAAGGTCAGCTGCCTCGGCCGGCGCCTGGAAATAACGAAGGATCACCCCCGCTGCGCCACCGATGAAGCTTCTCCGCGAAATGCTTCGCCCATGACAAGCATTGTCTACGGCCGAAGAAGGCTGATCGAACGACGAAGGAACAAAGGTGCTGATAAAACGATGCGAAGTCGTCATGATTCTCATTAAAGCCCAATCCTACCCAATCCATAAGCCAGAAGCTCCCCTTGTACACAGCCCGCTTGATCCGAAACTCCTTGTGCTAAGCCCCATATCGCTACAAAACATGAACAATAATGCATGACACGGCAAGCACTTCAACGTGTCTTACGTCCGGTCGCGACGAGTCTCATCTTCAATTCCCTGACAGTCGCGTCCCAGCCCTCAGATCCTTGACCTCTGACCCTCTTGCCTACGAACTCGGACATGTTTTTCTCGTTGTAGGGTTCGCCGTACACGACCTGAGCCTCGACATCAATATCATGTTTGATGTCCAAGTCTTCTGCCTCGGGATCTGAGAGCGTAGCTGTCAGTCGGATTCCAATCTTGACCTTGGTCTCAACCTTGGGCAATAAGATGCAGACGTCGATGGCGAGACTCTCATCGCTAAGGATGCTAACATTGACAAGCTGCTCCAGTGTCAAACAGCGCACTTGCTCGGCGACAAGCGATGCTGCATCCCAACCTCGTTGAACAAAGTCGAGCAATTGTTTCACAGAGATGGTGTTCTGGTCCAGGCACTGCAGCTGTGCGCGCATGAGTTGTAGGAAGAAACGTTTCTCGGTGCTCAGACTGGCAGGGGTAATGTGAGTAAGTGAAATTGGCGAGTTTGCTGGGTTTTGCGCTTGGGCGGAAGAAGTGATCTTGAAGGAGGTTGTGTTAAAATAGAGCTGCAGGGTGTTTTTGTAGGTCATCGTGAGATTGGACCCAGAGGCGGTGGCAATAGCCCAGCCAGTTTGCCTTTCAAGCTGTGCTACTGAAGCTGCGATCGTATTAGCGAAGGCCGAATGTTGTATACTCATCAACAAAACATACCTTTGAGCGACTGGACCTCGTCAATGGTGAACCCACGACATGACTCCTTGACTCGCTCGGCCTCCTGTATGGCAGCCAAACTTTCCATTTTGCCTTCCTCATAAGCTTCGGCAAGATTGTCCTGCTCGTCGACATCACGCTGGAGGCCGGCCAGCATGCGCTTGCGCTCCTCAATTTGTTCATCGACCTCGACCAGGCGAGCACGGGAAGCACGCAGCTCCTCTTTCTCTTCCTCCGAAGTCGCAGCTGCAGCTTGCTCTAACTGTTCCGCCTCGTTTAGCAGATCTTCGTAGTGCTGGAGCATGTCGGGAAGTACAGAATCGAGTGACTGTTGCTTCTGACCAAGAACTTCAGCATCTGCGTCAAGACCTGTTCGGGTGCGATCAAGACCATCGGAAAGGCCGTCCAGAAGTTGGCTGCGCCAGCCATACCAAATCTCCTTACTTCTCATTCTTGCGTTTGTCTTGGCATCTCTCATGTTTACATCCAATTGAGATTTGTGCTCAGGCGTAGCATCCATGTAAGCCTGAAAAAATGGTGGTGGTTCATCATAGACCTCGACTTCCATGTTCTTGAGAAAAGATTTGCCCTCAGATATGTATTTCTTGAGTTCACGACAAGCATGCTGAAACAAGTCGAGCATGGGCATAGTGCAAGCACCCGCAACAACCGCTCCTTCAAGATCAATATTCTGGTCTTCACCATCGACTCCATATGTCTCGCTAGGCGTAGGCGCGACAGTATGTCTGCGTTTTGAGGCAGTCAAGTCCATGAATTTGATACCAGCGAGGTCCAAAAATTCATTGAGCTGAACTTTTCTCGCTGGTGGTCCAGTCTTGGGCACAGCAAAAATGTTCTTGGCAGCTTCGAGGTCTAGTAGACCAGGTGCGTTCTTGTTTTCAACAATGAATGGTGTAGACAGCTTAGGTGTTGCAATCTTCTTTGGCGTCATCATCTTCTTCGCGGGAGACTTTTTGGGAGTCAAAGCGCGAAGACGTTTCAAGGGACTCGTGCCAATCTCCTTGCTCGGTGTTGAAAGGTGTTTGATGGAGTCTGCAAACGTACTACGAGGCTCTTGTGCGTATTGCTTTGGCTGCTCAGGGGTTGTTGCAAACTTGACAGGCGAACTTCGCAGTTGCTTTTCAAGAGATGGTGATGTTGGATTGAGCTCTTCGAGGTCGATCTGCTTGGGTGTAGTGACAGCTGGGCTTCGTGTGGGAGATCCTACCATGGAAATGGCTATATGGTGATGCACTGGTGAAGGCGCGGACGGTGTGTCGGTAATCTGCGGCGTAGCAGTTGCCTCTAGGATTTGTGGTGTGACCGTGATGGAGTCAATGGTCTCTAGTTCGGTAACGGGTAGAGTAGGGTAGCTGACTTGAGCCATCGGTTCGTCGTGCACTTCCTGCTCAGGTTCCAGGAAATGCTTCTCGACCGGCAATCCATCTGCTGGCTGCGCTGTGACTGTTGTTATCGTCGGGGTAGACACTATCTCTTCGGTCTGCTCATCTTGATGAGGTTGAACTACCGCAAGACTGATGCGTGCACTCCGGCGGGTAGACACGGGACTCTTGCGTGACGATGCCTTCGAAACGGGGCTCTTCGTAGCAGAAGCAGGAGTGCGAGCCGCAGAAACAGGACTTTTGTGTGCAGAGGCGAGCTTCAGAGCTGAGCCATTCTGCTTAACAGAGATAGGGCTTGTTTGAGCTAGAGGAGTGTGTTGAGCGGATTCAAAGAGCTTTTGAGCAAAGTGAGGGCTCTTCGTTGCTGACACTGGTGTCTTGCGAACGGATGAAGGTATCTTCTGAGCAGACGAAGGAGTCTTTTGTGCAGAAGTAGGCGTTCTGCGGGAGGAAGGACTCTTGCGAGCAGATGCAGGACTTCGATGAGGGATGGCAAGAGCTGCTGGGCTGAGGAAAGGCAAAGTCGCGGCAGGCTGTTCAGAGACAGACTTGCGAGCAGAGCTTCTCCTCGAACCAGCAGAATCTTTGACGGCCGAGCCAGGCACTTGCTTCTCGAACAATGGTGTCAGAAGCTTCTTGGCAGCCAGATCGCGTGTCTCCTTGAAGCGGTCCTGGTCCTTGGGTGTTGTGGGTATCTCTGTTCGGGTAGGTGAAGGAGACTTGCGAGGTGTGGCGGGGCGTTCGATCGCGGTAGCTGCATGCTGCTTCAAGATGTTTCCAACAACAGCAGTGAACTCCATAGACATGTCTTCGTTCTCTTCGGCATCGTCCTCTTCGAGGATAGACTGTTCTCTTGGAGATTTTGGCTGTTGTAGCTGTTTGATGCCACCAACTGCCATAGTAAAGTCCATAGTCTGCTCTTCCATAATGGATGAAGCGCCAGAAGAGCGTCGACTGCGTGAGCTCAATCTTCTGTCCTTCTTGACTGGAGACTGCTGTCCCTGTTGAATGGCACCAACAGCCACAGTCAGGTCCATTGTGGCATCACCCAGAGACTGGCGAGACGAGGATGAACGTCTGCGCTTCGCATCGCGTGCTTGAGCGACGGTACGTCTTGTGGGCTCTTCGAAAACAGGCTTCTTGATTGAGGGAGAAGCAACATCTTCCGTAGCAAAGTTCTCAAATCGTCTTTTGAGGGCGCTACGAGGCGGCTGAGCTTGGGGGTTCCACTGGTGGATCTTTCCGACCGCCTGAGTCAAGTCCATTGTTTCGTCTCCAAACGAAACCGTTCTCTCAGGAGATTGTTGATAGAGGTTCTGGTGCGTCTGGATGATGCGACCAACGGGTCGTGTCATGTCCATAGTCATGTCGCGTGTCTCGTCTTCCTCCTGCTCTTGTGGTTGCGACTGAGGCTGGTTGGCTGTCCAGATTGTGCCTATGGGCTTGGTCATATCCATTGTCATGTCACCCTCATCCTCGGTCTCTTCTTGCTCGTCCTGGGGCTGCTGTTGGGGCAGGATGCGACCGACTGCGCGTGTCATGTCCATGCTCATGTCGTCGTCTTCCTCGTCCTCTTCATCTCCAGGTTGTGGTCCAGGGCGAAATACCGAGTCGAACGGGTTGTTGTTCTCGTCACCAACTGCAAAGTGCTGGCCTTGGGCCCAGGGCTTGAAAGCGTTTGTGACCTCGTCGCCAGCCATTTCCATAGACATGTCGCCATACTCGTCAAAGTCAATGCCACGAGTGCCGGCTTGAGCAGCAGCTTGTTGCAACGCAGCGTCCAGGCGGGCGCTCGAGCCGGTGCTGTCTCGAGACTGCTGAGAGAGCAGGGTGTTGTCTCCCTGGTCCAGGCTCATAGCTGTGCTCTCTCCGTCATCCTCAGAATCGACATTCTCTTCAACATCGCTACTAGCTTCGACATTGCTACTGCCGCTGACTGGGGAGGAAGAGTACTCGTCGAGGTCGTTGAAGTTCATGGGTGGGATGGCAGAGCTTCGTCGGCGCTTCTGCTGGTGGGCACCGCGCTGGTGTTCGGGAGACTGTGGTAGTTCGTCTTGGTCATGGTCGTCGGCTTGCTCTGGCGGAGTGGAGGGAGGATCCGAGTCGGGCTGTTGATGTGCTCTTGCACGGTCAGAGGCATTGGATGATGCAGTGGCATCGCGCATGTACTCGATGACGTCCCAGGTGTGGAGGGTTGCTTCGGGAGCAAACGAGACTCTGCGGTTTGCGAGAGACTTGCGACGGGCTTCTCGCCTCTTGGCTTCATCTTGCTTTGAGGGAAGGATAGACTTGACTGCGGATGGAGGAACAGACTGTGGAGGTAACAAGGTCAGCAATTGTGCCCAAGTGGCAGGCGACGAGTGCAGGGGACTGGGAGAGCGGTTGTTTACTGGGCGCGTCACTTACGTCTTGACCAGCAGAAGCGGAGTTCTTGGTGCGCGACCTCTTTGGTGAGGGGGACTTGTTGAAGGCCAGCCGCAGCGGCGACTGGTTCTCTTTGTCGTCCAGGTCAATCATGGTGTTGGGGTTGTCGCATTGGGAAACAGAGGAGGAAGGAACGCCAGGGTGACGCGACCTTGATGCAGAAGAATCGATAACAACAAACAAGCGCCCGCGTCGGGGAAGGTGGGCCGAGCAGTTGATTAGAAGAGCCAATCGACAACCAGAGCAGACGGCGGAGACGGAAAGAGCAGAGGCTTGGCACAAACAGCAGGAAAGAGCAGGGACTTGGCGGCAAAGGAAGCGAGGATTTGCCGGGGCGCACCGACGGCAGGCGCAGAATTCTGGCGTTTGTGGGCGGCTTCGCCAGCGCTCGCTCTGCTGAATTCTTGCGTGCGACGACAAATTTGAACGACTCCCATCCCACGGTACTCGACCTCCATACCGACAATCAATCAACATGGCCACCGAACTTGCCGTCCAGAGCGAGCGCGCTTACCAGAAGCAGCCTCACATCTTCCAGAACGCCAAGAAGGTCCGCAAGACTGCCCGCGCTGGCAAGAACGGCCGCAGATGGTACAAGGACGTCGGTCTGGGTTTCAAGACCCCCAAGACCGCCATTGACGGCACCTACATCGACAAGAAGTGCCCCTTCGTCGGCGAGGTCTCGATCCGCGGCCGTATCCTGACCGGAACCGTCATCTCGACCAAGATGCACCGCACTCTCGTCATCCGCCGCGAGTACCTCCACTTCGTCCCCAAGTACGCCCGTTACGAGCGCCGCCACAAGAACCTCGCCGCACACGTCTCGCCCGCTTTCCGTGTCGAGGAGGGTGACCAGGTCACCGTTGGCCAGTGCAGACCTCTCTCCAAGACCGTGAGCCGCCCTGATCCTGCAGAAGTGCTGCTTGCTCTAACACACCCACCAGGTCCGCTTCAACGTCCTCCGCGTCCTTCCCCGCACCGGCAAGGCCGTCAAGCAGTTCTCCAAGTTCTAAGCTGCTCGCTACGTCAACAACCATGGTCATTTTCGGGAGTCTTCTCTGGGATGGGGCAGCAACGCAGGCCGCAGGAAGAGCAAAATAGTCCCTTTTCTGCAGCCTTGAAAAAGCAACATGCCTTTGTCGCATCATCTTTTTTTTCCTTCAAATACCATCACAACCCCCAACGACGCCCGCTCGACCTCGACGCCCAAAAAAGGAAAAATATGGCTTTTTACGATACTTGCAGGAAGGGTTGTTTCTTTGTCTGCGCCAGTCGCGCTTCGGACGTTTGCTGTGTCGTAAAAAGTCAATGCCACACGTTGAAACATGATTTTCTTTTTCTCTCTGACATCTTTCTCTTTCGTCGTGTCTGTGACAGGAGCAATGCGCCAGCTGACTTTAGGTCCGACGATCATAAGATGCATACCACCGAACAGAAAGTCACTCAACTGGAACTCGACCAACATCCGCATTCCGGACAGCTCACGAGGTCTCGTTCAACATCAAGCCTCAAGCTGCACAAGCCTCTGGACCAGTCTCAACAAAGCACTTGCTCTATGCTACAAACAGTCACTTGAACTCCACGCCGACTCCCGCACGCGACACTTTCGAACGCAGCATTCTCCAGCTACGACTATCTGCATATCTACTTTAGCTCAGTCATGCAACCTGCCCTGATGTCTGTTTATTGTTTCGTGTGTCCGTGCGTGTAAAGACCCTCCTAGATGGATGTGAACCCTGAACCACATATGTACAAGCAAGCGCCTTACGAGACTACCGATGTCTTTGCTTGATACTGACCACCCGTTGCTGTCCTGTTTACAAGACATTGTCTCCATCTTGATTACGAAAGGAGAAATCCATGTTGTCAATATATTGGCGTTCGAGGTACGTGGACAAGCTCCCTTATCAGTCGTCCTTGCCGCCTCATCACTATCACGACACACAACTAGCGCTCCGTTCCTTAGCACAGCTCTTGCCTCCACAGCGATCTTGCCCTCCAACATCCCATACACTTATCATGATCGACCTCTCGAGCTCATCACACGTCTCCATATCCTGTCTCTTCAATCCAAATCCTTCTGCACTTCGTCCACTGGTCACCATCTCGTTCTCGTTGAGCGAGTGTACAACAGCATAGTACTCCTGCCTCCTTTGCTTCAGTCGACAACGGTTCTCATCCACACACTCTACGGTCGACAACGATTTGTCAGGGCTCGGAGAGTCTGCAAAGATTACTCTCGAATACGACAAGAAGAGGTCAGCTTCATGTCAGGAAGAAAGAAAGCGATCATGCAAACACTATGCCTCGTTAGAGACCAGGAGAGAATTTACACAGCACCATACACAAGTAAGGTATGTAGACAAAAGTTCTTCCAATCTAGTCGAGACATCCACCGTCCGTGACTTCATCGTCCTCTCTGTTGCCTACAGGTAACCTATCAATCGCTTTCCGTGAACTGCCGAGGTTTCTCAAAACATATCACAACACTTTGTCCCCATGACCAAATGAGAAAAAACATAACGGCAGCTGATTTCCGCTGGTTTGATCAGACTGAGTGTCGTGACGACCCGGTGTTCAGAACACCCGCATCGCCCGCTGGAGGGAGCGCTCACACTTGTCCTAGCCCAATCACGTAGTACCCATCAGCCTTCTCCCCAAGATCTCGGTCATCCGATGAGCCACAAGTAATCACCCTGGCTACAGATACAAGAAGATCTAAGAGGCCAATGTCGTTACAGAATTCTGTACTTGTGCATGTTTAGGACCGGTTATGAAGATATTGTAAAACTACGAAGCCATACACAAATTTTGTGTATTGGAACACACCTGTCTTTCAACGAGAGCTCTGGGTGCTACTGTGTCTGAATACATCCTATGCAGAATACAAGGCTGCTTTTAAAATTCGTCATCACTTGAAGACAAGGTAGAAGAGACACATGACCGTCGATACAGATTTTTCTCTTGTGAAATCAAAATTCCTGACAGTGCCCATGTTCAACCTTGTGTCCGTTGATTTTTGCATTCTAGGGGTTCATTCGCGAATATGGTGTGTGTTTAACAACATTCAGAGTCATGTTTCTTCCACAGAATGACATGAAAACAGTAGGACGGGATAAACTGCGTATGCCCATAAGAGTGCCATAGGCCAAGAAAGGTAAAGTGGTACTTTTTTTTCGTCTGATGTTTAGATAACCACTATCTTATACAAATCCCTAGAACGATGATACCATTATGGGTCTGTTACTACTACGAACACCCAGCCATACAGTCCTGTCGGGAGTGCTCTAGGTGAGATGGTCGTTCTCTCTATCGTTCATGCAACTGTATCAGATATCCGTGTACTCACAACGACCAATGATGACAACCTCGTCTTACTACACCATTACTACAGGGTTATTTAGATGTGGTCTCATGGACTTGGAACAGATTACAGTCCATGGGTTGGAGAAAATCGTCATGGGAGATCGCAAAATTTGTCTGGAGGAGTAACCCTGACATAGAAATGTCCATGCATCACGTTGAATACTGTTACCGGCCATTCTTTACGCCAGTGCTCGACAGAGCAACAAGCTCTACTCGAAGAATATCAAGTTATAGAGAGGTACATATAATGAGTGGTATGTTACGAGAAAGCCATTGGAGGGAATATTGCTCAGGTGATCCGAGAGGCCGTCCGAAATGATACCAATATGGTATTTGACAGAATGCTCAGTTGCCTGCCAAGTGTTGAGCGACGACTTGTCGGAGCCACAAGCCTACGTGAAGTGAGTGACTGCTCGTAATCAACCTTGTAATCTAGTGGGTGATTCGGTCAAACAACCAAGCATCGCTTGGTTTATCACATAATTAGTCGAACATGCGCCACTGTCTTCGTCTTGATCAGTCGATCGTTAGACCGAACAGGTATTTGCATCAGCAGGGTACTCGATCGTTTGATCATCTGGGTCTCCATAGTGGGTATCATTGCTAAAGCAGCAGAAGCATGACCGGACTGCAATAGTCGATTCCACATCTAGGACGATTACGAGCTCCGTCAGATCTTGGAGTCAGTCAAGCAACCTTCTCTTGAACCCAACGACAGTATAGTCGAGGCCTCGAAAGGGGGCCCAACCCGGCGAAGAACAGGACACCAGACCTCTTGCGCACGGAGAGCATGCAGGTCGTCCATTGAGATTCCAGCAGTGGATGTGACAGAGTCGAAGATAATGTCGGACGTGACCTGATTTGGAAGAAGCCGCTTCCTGACCGAAGATCACAGAGAGAACCTCGAACCTCGACTGATAGCTGACAGGAATCCAGGCCCTCGCACATTGGCATATTGAAAAGAGTGCACTGCCTCGAGGTTGTTTTTGACTTTCGGCGTTGCTCTGATAATAGCTGACCCGATTCAGGATCAGATGCCCATCTCGTAACATGTATACTTTCTCATGCAATTGCAACGCCTCGAGCCTATCCAGCAGTTACGATGACCTGACTTTGAACGGCTGGACCACAGCCAGTATACTCAGGGCTGTACGAGAAGCTATCGGCCGAAGAATAAGATTCCACGTGTACCCACCCCACTGTAGCCTGCATGGCATCAGAAGAAGGAGGGTGGGAAGGATTGTGCCATCTCCAAAAGCTTAACTCAATGACAAGCCGTTGCAATCTTCAAAGGGACTCGGACCGGCAGAGTCAGAATGACAGTGTCGAATATGCAGGTCAGAAGTCGGACGCAGTTATACTCCTGAGCTTGAATGTAGTGTAAAGATCACCACGCCTAGGCGGCGGTCGTATTGCGCTCGATCAAGGTTGCCAAGTGAAATGCTGTAGGGCAACGGTTTTTGGCTTGGTATACTGTGATTATTTTCGGTAGGCACGTTTCAAGGAGTTGCAGTGAGAGTTTGTACGATGTACGAATTTGGACCAGTCATGTCTTGTGTATCTCGGCTCCTCGAGCGGTGATTCGATGCACACATCTAGTATCGAGTAGTCAACTTCTTTCCCAAAGTCCAGACGTTGTCCAGCAAAGTGCAGGCCCTCCGGCCGCGGAGCCGTTGCAAAGATCGCGACGATTGCCTTGGTGAAGAGACTGTTCTTGGGTAGAAGTTAGGGCTTGATTACAAAGCGCAGGCAATGGAAGCTGCCAAGGTGATACTTGTGTTTGCGATCTCAGAGGTACCTAAATCGCGTACCCTCTGCGCGACTCGTACAGTAGGATGATGTCCATTCAAGTCTCACGCGCTGAGACTCTGCGCGGATCGCGAGGGACAAAGAGGGTTTGGACGCGTGAGATCTGCCGGGCCACAGCCTTGAGCTTGAGCATGCTGCCTGCTTACGCTTTGGTTTACGCTTTGATGTCGCAATCATCCAAGAAATCTTTTTCGCTTTGAGTGTGCGCAGTCAAACTCAACATCTCGATTGCGGCGAAGCAACCATGATGGGTTTCCAGACTTGGAAGTCGAAGCTACTTTGAGCGAGCCGCTCCTTGTCGTGAACTTTTCGGGGTTTGAAGGTCCAAAGCAAGAATATCATCTCGGGCGCGTGGAGAAGACGTGATGCGATATTTTCCTTATTTCCCGCACTCTGCTTTCGAATCGATACCGCCTCGGTCCGCAAAAAAGCAGTTTGCGTAATACATCACGTCTTCCGTCGTCACAGTTATCGCTGCTGAGTCAAGGTCAAGAGCCGAAGTCGACAGCCGTGACGACTCGCTCATCCGGAGTGTTTTGGTCCCATCTCGTCAAGCAGGATGTCGCCATGTAACCTGGTGGGGGGGCAGCACCAAGTCATGCTCTGACGCGACAAACTTGGGACTGGCTCCGTACGATAGCGATTGGCTCGGAGCATACCATTTTGTTCATGCCGAACACGCCGAGTGGTTGTTGATCACCGCTAGATTCTCGTCTAGTAACGGAGATCCAACGACTTGGTCTTCTCTACAGCAATGTTCCCCTTTCCCACTGTCTTGACCGCAACGCGCCGACATGAAGCTGCGCCTGCATCTTCCAGCCAACGTCCTCACAGATCCTTCGAACGTCTTCGCATATGCTTCCAACGTCCTTACAGCTTCGCCGGACAGTTGAAAGTACGGAGTAACTTTCAGCCTCTGATTCGTATTAACCGCTTCTTGAGTCGCTAGCCTGCGTCTCTAACAGAACGTCTTTTTTCCACTCGCTCCGGCGTCGAAACAATGCTTTCGCGCCCGTTCCAAAGTTTGGTACACTGCTGACTTTCTGACACCTCGGACTCAAAGCTTCGCTGCTCCCTGCTGATCTACTGCCCTTGTCGTCTTGTTCGATGGCTGGTGCTTCTCGACCAACGTGCAACAACTCTCAGCTTCCAAATCTTGCTACTCACTTGGCATTTCGAAGACAGCATAATGACGGTGCTGGTTTACGAGACACATTCGATGTTGATCGATTGTATTATCCCAATCGATTGCTTGTACCAAAGCACAGAGCGAGATCGAGTCCCTGTTACCTGGTCACAACTCCCGAGATTTGATCTACAGCCGTGACGAACAAAATGACGATTCTATTTCGTTTCCCAGAATAATGTCAGAGAGCATAGATGATTGCTTCCCCTTTCGTGGATGCCTGTGCCGCAAAGGACCTGCTTTGTGATGTAGCAGCGCGCTCGGGACCTCTAAATCGATAGACCGTACATCAGCAACGCACATACAAACCGCATGCCTGCATATATCGAGGCGGTGTTGTGGTTCCTTTGAGAAAACCCCTCCAAAACTCAAGTGAATATCTGACTCGTGAATGTGATCAGCTTTCGAATCTGACATCGAAAAGCTGCAAGAACGTTCGGCCAGTCGCGCCTGCTTCTTCCCTGCTTCCTCGCTCAAGCCATCACCACACACAACAAGACCGCGTTCACCGTTGTGGAGCTGCCCGCTCACCAGCTGAAAGTTTGAGAATCTCGAGAAAACAGAGTTTAGAGTTTCGCTCACCGTGCCTGACAGTCGGCCCATGTGGCCTTTCTTGCTTAAGCGTGTGTACGGCCGTATGCTACATCCGCCCTACTCCCTGCGTGTCAACAGGCAACATTCCCGAAATTCGAAAGAAAAAATTTACTGTGCAGAACCCTCAGGAAACCGTTGGATGATTTTTCTCTTTTGCTTCTTCTATTCATCTTGTTTTCGGCCAAGAAAGCAAAATCGAGGTGATCCGAAGCAGCCGCGCTAACCTGTTCCATCAGCTTGGATCGGGTCGATATAGGCCGTGCCGACAGCCGGATCTGGAAAAAACACGACCTCGGCATTATCCATGACTGGGAGAAAAATAGGCAGGACGGCATATGGAACGTGAAAGGACAAGAGGCAAATATTGGGTCAAGTGTGTGATCCTTGACTGTGTTGATACATTAATGCTAAGCGAGTGTAATAGTAGGGGTATCTAAAATCAAAAGTGAACGCCGCGACCAGTAATATGAGAACAAGATATAGAATGAATTCCAATATCGTACTCCAGGAGATGCCAAAGATCGAGTAAACAGCGCCGGATAGTACGCTGCAGTCCGCAAAAGTTTCGGGAGTTGACTCAAAGGGTATCGTCGATGATAAGGATAAAGCACCATGGACATATGATACAGAAAGGCGAGAAATCTTTGTACAGGTGTGAAGTTTTCAACGACTGTGAGGCGGCATATTGAACCGGTTGTTGGCCTCATGGCGTGCATAAGGGTTGATAGGACCGGTCATTGGCGGAGCCTGCATGATTGATGGTGGTGGGGGAGGAAGATTCGATGCAGGCATCGCGGCATGAGCCATAGAAGGTGGCGGCAAAGACGATGCGTGAGCGGAGCGAGCCGCCATCTGGTTGTGATGCGTCTGCATCTGATGTTGAAGCATCATTACATTTGCCGGAGGCGGAGGTGGAGGTGCGTGACTCTGCACTGCCGCTTGCACGTAGGTCTGTGGCATGGGCGAATCGCCACGCTTGCGCACGTTCCTGATAGGTTCAGGACTGTTCCTATGAGACTCGGCATAGTGAACTTGATTGGCATGGGTAGCTCCGTTTCCATTTCTCCTTGTCCTGGGTGACTGCGGACGAGGCAGGTGTTCGCGGCCTCCAGGGAGTTGCGATACGATAGATGCAAGGATGTCTCTGTCTTGTCTGTAGAAGTCGGCTTCTTCGGTCATCTCCTTGATTTGCTGCTCGAGTTTGGCGATAGTCTGTGAAGCCTCCATCTCCTTTCTCTTGCGACGCTCGCGGAACCTTGCACTTGCACCAGCATTGCGACGTCTCTTCTCGTCAGCAACACGAGACGCTGCCTGCACATCAACCGGGAAGCGAACATCTCCCTCGGTGGTTTTGAGAGTCATCATCTGAACAGAATTCGAGCCAGGGCCATTGAGGGTGACGTGGTATGAGTCCGAGACGTGTGGTGCTGAGGTACTAGGGGTCATGCTGTGTCCTCTGGCTCTGTGAGCGTCAGATACGGAGAGATAACCGGATGCATGTGCATCTCCAGGAGGTGAAGTTTGATCGTAGGCCGAATAATCAGGGCTAGGGCTGGCACTGTAACGCTGCGCTGAACCAGACTCGGGGCTAGCCGTCCTCGCAAGATGAGATGTCTGGATGTATCCTGGGTGTGAGTAGCTTATGGCTGGAGGCGCAGGCAAAGGAGGAGCGCCATTTGCACCGGGCTGTATGGTGTATGGTCTAGAACGAGGAGATACAGGGAAAGGATTCTGCTGAGCATCCATAACTCCATTCGGAGGATTGAGGTGAGACAGGCTGATGGCTCTTCGAAGAGGAGATTTAGGAGTTAGCAGTCTCCGTGGTGCAGTGTTCAAAGGTTCTGTTAGGAGAGGCAGCGAAGCATTGCTTCCAGGTCCAGACAAAGAGGCTGGCCTTTGGGATGTTGGACCAAGCGGAGGTAGAGTTGGAGCCCTGTCATGTAGCGAATCAATCTCGTCTGCTTTTCTTCTGCGCTGAGCAGACGCTGAAGCTTCATCAGTAAGAGGGTTGAGGACTGAAGGTAGGGTGACCGATCGAGGCACAGACGGAGACACAGGAGTCCTCACAAGAGGAGGAAGCTCCAGTCCCCTGGGAGGCAGAAGCTCGGGTCCATGTCTCTGGGCCTGGGGAGAGGTCGTACTCGATCCATGGTAGCCTGACGAGGTGTTGGAGGCATGCCGCGAGTGAGAGGTTGGTGCTATGGGACGGGCATGTCCATCGTTGTCATGTATCGATGGAGGGCCTTGAGTGGTAGACCAGTATGACATGAAATCCTTGCTTTGCGCCTGCCTACTCTCCGACGATGCTGACCATGGGCGTTGTTGGATACGATCGCTCCCTTCCACCGACAAGAAAGGTGAGTCGTAACGGAGCGGCCGAATGTCAGGGGTGGTTCTATTCACGCCAAAGTATTGGCTATGATGGCCTTGATCGTGGGAGAGAGCGTGCAAAGGACGAGGTGCAAAGTCGGGGACAGCCAGCTTGACTGATGACGTGGGACGAGAGGAACGTCCCACTGGAGTATCTAGAGGAAATATAGGACTGGGGATGTACTGCTACTCGCCGCACGAGGTAGCAACAGATGAGAAAAGAGAGACGAGTCAAGGCTGATGGAATGAGCTACGTAGCGTCAGGTGTACCTCAAGTCAGACACGCAATCGGGTGATGGAAGAGGTGCCGAGACGGAGAGATTGGTTGCTAGGTGGGTGGAAGGAGCGAGGAAGATGAGTGCGGGAAGGCGGGTTGGAGGTAGGTGGGCAGACGGCCGAGTATATGGGCTGGAAAGGTACGCGATTCACCAGACAGCCAGACCAGTGATATAAGACGGATCGGCAGGTTGCGGTGAGAGTGAAATGACATGACAGCAGACAATGCGCGGGCCAGATAGAGCCGGGGCCTGATTGGGAATGGCAACATGATTTTGCACAGGTGGGCAGCTGGCGTCGACGGAGATCGACCGAGTTAGACTTTGGTACTTGCACTGGGGTCGTCGAGCGGCAAGGCAAGAACTATGTTCGTGCATGCGAATGCTCCATGAACGTTGGTGTCACACTAACTGACTAGGCGTCGACCAGCGCTGGCGGGCCCTGTCTCGAAGCTTGGACTGTCCCGAGCGTTGTACCTTGAGAGCTGCCGGTGCAGTCCAAGACCCGAACATTCTTGCCCACCTCTGCTGCACTCTGTACCAAGACTCGCTTACAGACTTCTTCAAGGTCCAGCATCTGTCGTCGCATTTATCCGACCCTGCGAGCCATGGGATCTCATACGTGACGATCCAAAAACGTGACAAAATCTCCGTGTGGACCGGACAGGGTCAAGGCGCTTCCGAGGCCAACGTCGGTTGCTCAGATCTTAGCCAGAAGGAAATCCTGCCCATGACCCTCTCCTCCGGTAGTCGTGGAGCGAGTGTTTCCAAACAAGCAAACCGTATCACTCTGGCCGCATTCGCTCATCCATGCGAGTCGGTCACCATCTCTTTCACCCATCGGAACGCACGACCCCAGGACATGTGGCGCTGTGTCATCAGTCTGTGCCCATCGGCCTGCCCACGTCCTCTCATTTCTGCGAAAAAAGAAGGATCGTGAAGGTTTTCGGTACGCGCAACCTTAATGCCGCTTCGACCCGACGAGTCAAGCCATCCGTATGGAAGTTTGCGTTTGCTCATGACTTCTGTCCAGGGGGTCGAGGGCAAGGTATGACGACCGCAGCTGAAGCGCTTCTACCACAATCTCCAGGCCGTCGCGGGCCACACCATTGCGAATCAGCTCCCAGATCCGCTTCTTCTTTTCGTGATTCGTCACTCAACCCTCCGAGGGACACAACGACTGGCTTCATGCTGCATACTCTAGCGGCAGTTTGTGGAATTAAACAGCAGTTAGTCAAGCACCTACGTCTGGAGTCCCGTACAGGTCTCTTGTTCGGAGCCACAGATCTTGCATGTGGTTATAACCGTTGATCCGCGACAATCTCAAAGCATGTCAAAGTTTTGAACTTGAATCACCATGAAACATCTCAAACTTTGGCCCTTGCATGCTATCATCGTGTCTCCAGTAAATGGTGGGTTTAATATGGCGACATTGCTGAACCCTACTGACCACGAGGGATTTTACCACCAAAGTTTTATTGCACCAGTCTGCTCCAGTTGCTGCTGGTCACGACTGACTCGCTCTTATGCTCGGTCGAATTACAGCTTAATAGCAATTATCAGCATCTTGGACCGAGTGGTCTATATAAAGTGTGGATACAGTGCATGGTCTCGTAAAGCGTTGCTCATTTCAGATAACCAGGAGCATGGCTTGAATGAAGGCCTGCATATCATAACCCTGTGCTCGCTTCTCGAACGGAGACAGCCCAAGAGGAAGATAATATCGACCAATCCCATCCAGTGTGGCTTGGGTGATGGCACATACGACCCGCATGCGAGCATGCGTCATGTGAGGTATAGAACCGCCGACGTCTGTCGTGAGGCACATGTGGTGACAACAAAACAATGCATATTCTTCGTCTAATGAGATCATGCTAATTGGTTGGACATTTTCTGGTTGGATGTCGCCGTCCAAACGACACGTCACGGTGAACGAGTCACGAATGCACTCTCGCTCGAACGGATATACATACCATGCAGGTCGCGACATGTGCTGGTCGTTGCACACTTGACAGTACTGCGCGGTACACCTGAAATACGAATGACAGCCCTACCTGGTACATTGAAAATCCATGCAGCGTGCTATCAACTCCACTTTAAGTTCGGCAGTTTACCAGTCACGTAGATTGCAATTCGAGTCGGGATTGTCGTCTTGTGGGCGGCCGGTATCGTGTTCAAGACGCAGACTCCACAGATCCGACATGGTTGCCTCGAAATGGCTCCTGCTGGATCTGTGCTTGCGACACACTCCGACAATGACAGACTGACATCAGTCTTGCTTGCAGGGCGCAGAACTCCTCCCTAGAAGAATCCTTCGGCTTCGGTTCTGTTTTCTCACTGCATTCTAGCGGCCGTTCTTGCCGTTTCGCAGATGGTGACTCTCTCACACAGTCGCTGATAGAAGATTTCTCGAAAGAGAAGGTGGGTATGGAAGGGCGTTCAGACCATCGATCCTCGCGCGTCTTCTTGCTCTGTCAGCAGAGTGGAGGTCGACCCTTGTTTCCCGCCCTTCTGCGACTTGCGCGAAGCGATCGCTTTCGTCAAATACTCAACGGTCGTGTTTCAGAATGGCCATCCCAAAATTGTTTGTTTCTCTGCCAGATTGGGGCCGTACGTATGCGGCACGAGCTTATGACATTGGCGAGGACGGGACGTCGAGCAGGATGCACTCGTCAACTGGATCTCGAGGCTCGGTTGCCAATTGTCGTCATCTCGGTAAGCAAGACAGCGCATGTTGCATGTACCGAGCAGTCTACCAGATAGCCGGGTGTTCGCTGCACAATATCACATACATCGTCTGTGCAAATGGATGGGGCGACATCAGCTCAAATCTGGCATGGACTTCTTGCGATCACTAGAGAATCAAAGATGGTACACCAACGAGTCGGCTGGTGCCCCGCGTCCAGTTCGCTGCAAATCATCATCTCTCGCGCTTGGATGCGTGGAAGGTTTACGCTTACGCTTGCCGCAGGCCGCCGTTGGCGATTTCACGGTTGCTATTGTGGGGCCTGCGCGACTGCAAGCTCGGATAGAGCCACGAGGTAGCGGCCTGGGCGCGCGGGCTGCCTCGTGGCATCCTAGACATTTTTTAGAATGGGGTTTAGAACAGCTACGGAACGCTGTTCGACAGCCTCAAGCCACCTGCTTTTAGCCTCTTCCACTTATGCGACATCGCAGCCAGCCTGAGGCGAAGCGTCACTACGCAGTACATGTGCGATAATTGGATTTCGCCTTTGCTGTTTGGGTTCTTGTTATCTCTGTATACATGTATCTCACGCATATGAGCATGGTGCTGGCTTGCATCTCATATTCACCCCTAAATTTTGGGCGGTATGGAAGCTAGGACCTGATCAGCGTTTCCATGTACGAGGGTTTGGTGCTGTATAGCCGACGTCCATAGACATGCTGGTTGAACTTAATCCGCGCCATCTATTCCAGCTCCACCTGGCGCCGCAAATCTGCTCCATCCTGGGGATCGATGTCAATATCGACATGCGCTGCTACCGGTTATTCTTGAAACCAGAGACAGCTGAATTGACTTTCTGGGGCCAATGTACTGAAGATTACAAAGCCCTTACTCGCGCTTACCATCATTGCATTCAATCTCAAGCACGCCATGGTGGGAAGCAGCCAGCTGACGAAGAAGCGGGCGGTCTTGCGAATCGTGTATGAAACACGGTTGAGGTGTGGCCTTCCGTCCCGGACTTGCCGCGCTTCCAGAATCGGTTGAGACGAGTGATAGCCATTCATTTCTTGCTCTTTCTATTTCTAGAATGTATCGAACGTCCTCCGCATGTTCACAATCTAGATGCGTTTCGGCTCAAGCCCCCTAGCTGCCATCCACGTGGACTGATCTGTCCATCACACACCTCACGCCATTACGCCTTAGCTGCCATCTTGAATTCGTTGATCGGAGCAGCTGTAACACCGATGGGAACCTTGAAAGTAGCTCCTTGAAGTTTTGCGCTCTCAGGATACTTGTCTGGGTCCTCTTCTTCTGCGGTCGTGATGTAGAGGTCTTCTCCACAAATCGCTGGGCAGGTTACGCATCTCGTCGGAAGTGTGATTTCGACAGAGATCTCGCCTGCTGGGCTCACCCGCAGAACCTTGCTGGTTCCAAAGAAGGCAACCCAGAAATGACCTTGAGCGTCTTGACAGTGCCCATCCGGAACACCGCCCTCAAAAGGACATTCAAAGAAGGGACGTCCAGCTGAGAAGTTGATCTCGCCAGTCTCCAGTTTGTAATCGTATGCGTCAATCTTGCCGGTCGGCGAGTCAGTGATGTACATGGTCTTGTTGTCCAAGGTCCACGACATTCCGTTAGGAATAGTCACCGGCTCCTTGATTCTGTGGAGGCTGAGATCTTGATCCAGTCTGAACAATATGCCTGTGCATAGAGTTAGTACGCTGGATAAGTCTCATTTCATGTGGTCAACTCACCCTCCGGTCCAGGCTCGTCCACAACGGTAGGGTCGTTCATGGTTCCCACGTAGTATCTGCCCTGACTATCGACCGAGCCATCGTTGCTTCGCATACGGTTTGCCTTGCCACTCTTCACCTCCTCATCCGACCAGAACTTCTTGATGTATTTTGGCTCTCCGGTTTTCTTGTTCGCGATACCATATCCCTCTTTGCCGCCAAAGATGAACTCGTCATCATTGCCTTCGATGTTGGCTGTAGTACCGATGGAGAACGGAAGATCGATTGTTTTGTGCGACGATGGCCCTTCGTTGAGATTCACAACATGCAGCTGCTTCTTGATGATGTCGAGGAAGCGCAACGTATTGCTCTTCTTGTCCCAGAACGGAGCTTCACCCAGACCGCAAGAAGTCTCGAGCCAGGGCTCAGTGACCTTGATTTGCTTGATATGCGACATTTTTGAATATTTTTCTCGAACTTTGAAAATTACACAGAGGACCACACGAGTTGGGAAGACACACCTTGCAGATAGATCCGTCGACCTCATAATGATGGCATTGTTTGCATCTTGTTTGTTTCTCTCTTCTCCCCCACATCGGAAGGCTTCAAGCTCTCCACTTTGCCGGCTCCCGACTCTCGCTCAAAGTCATGAATCTTTGTCGCACTGCAAAGGACCAAATGCATCAAGAACATGTCTTTTGACTCCACGCTTCTGCACGGCTTTGCTCGCCTGGATGCGTGTCCCACTTCCCTCGAAAACGCGTACATCGAGCTCGACGGACCTCGCGGAGGCGATCGGAGGTGCCAATCTGACGGGATTCATGATGATTTCGCTGTCCGAGCCCGTGGTTCATGTCAACCTTTTTCGACCAACGCCATAATCCGACACCCGAGACACCGCATGCGAGACATCCATGGCTCGTCCGAGGGTTCCACGTGTGAATGCCATGCAGCACGCCGGCAATGCAAGTCTTTTCACCGCAAATGTGACTGATCGTATTGAGCGACAAGCTGCTAAGCGCCGTGTGCCACCGTTGCCCGGATTCGGTTTCCTCGCATCAACTGGTCGGTGTGACTCGACACATCAACCCCCATTTATTTTCCTTCGCACTGCATGTTCGGAGCTTGCTTCCTGCGTCAAGAGTTGAGCGACGGGGCAACCTTGAATGGTACAGTGAGATCCCAACCATCGCACTACATGGAGGCACGCATCGTGTACCGTCTCCTGAAGTAATCTAGCAAACAACGTAACCTTCTTGCAATCGATACATGTATGCATGCACAACAAGGTATCTGCATATGTGTTGTAGGCGGCTGTCCAGGATAGTCAACACAGCTCTGACCAGGAATGATACTCTGTCACGCGCATGAGTCGGGACTGACCGACAATCGATATCCATACCCCAGTATCGAGTCCAAGATGCAGCCCTGTTCATTGATTAGCTGTCTTGCATCACTAGCCTCAGGCCTAGTAAACGATGCAGCATCACAGAGCAGCACATGTCTGCCATCACAACGTGGGCATCATGTCGTCACACAAGAAACATATGTCTTGCGGACCTCTCACATGTGTAACACGTTGTCAAGTGATTCTGACGAGAATCCCGATCGCCACCATTGCGATGAGCTTCCTATCAGCATTCTCTTGTTCCTGCACCTTGAGGCGCGCATGTTGGTGCCATGCAAGAAGAGATCCACCACCCTATCAATAGTTCGTTCTGTTTGACCTGCAGGATGCTTGTCGTTTCTGGGATTGGCAGATGCAGGGACGGTGACAAATGAATTCGCCGTCTCGATGTGTTGGGCATCAAAGTCCCAATATATATGCACATCGCAACCCCAATTCAGCTTTTTCGTGGTTGCAATCTAGCTGCATTGTGACCGCTTGGTGATGTGGTTCTGTGTGTCGCCTGCACTGTGACATGTGACATATGACTGTTGGCGCTTGGAGTCGGCGACAACATGGAGGTGTCAAGCAGTGTTGCTGTGCTGACAAGTCAATCTCTGCGCATTGTATTATGTGGTTTGACCATACGCTGGAGACACAATAAACTATGCAAGACCTATTGCACCGTCTCTGGTAACAGAATCTTTCGCTTTCTTGCACTAGATTTCAGCAGAGTGTTGATGAAGGTTCCGGGTTGCTGACAGCCGGCCATTTTGGAAGTAAGCTAGAGTACCTCGAAGCTGCGCACCCCTAGAAGCTGCGCGTTTCGCGTCGCTCTTGTTTATTAACCACTTCGCTATAAACTACGTCAACTTAACTAATTTAACGTCCAAATGGATGCGTACGAGTAGAAACTCCAATGCGTAGTCAATTCATATAACAACAACGAGTTTCTATCCATCCGAGCCACCGCGCGCGTACGTTATCGCTAAATTAACCCTCCATACGCGTATCCATAGAACAACAAATTGACGTGTTGCCTACGCCCACGAACAGCGATTAACCTCATAACAAGGGGACTTCCTAGTTAACTAGATACTTAAACAAGGCACCTAAGGGTTCCCTCCTTCGTACGCTCGTGCTCGTAAGATAGCTAGTCGAATTCTCTAGCTTAATAGAGACTTTCGGCCACTTAGAAAGAAGTGGCTTACAAAATTCATATAAAGCCATCTACGCATTAAATTAGTTGTTAGAAGGCCTATTAAAGCAGCTCGTATTTATGGTACTTATCTAGATCTAATACGTAAGTTTTATTAGTCATTTTAAGAGGTAGTTTTAGAATATAATATCTAGCTATATAACATATAGAATATGGATGAACATAGCATTGCCCTTAGTGTGTATATTAACTTAATAGTTATTAGTAATGCCTTAAAACGTTATACGTACGTTAAATCACCTAAAGATCGTAAATAGGTATTAATTATTAAGACTATATTAAGTACTAGTGGATTTATTTAACCCCTTATAATTTTTAAAAGTGTAGCACTATAGAGCACCTAGTTTCTAGTTAACACACCTAATTATTAGTATGCTATATCTAAAAATAGCTAGATAACTAATTCTTATAGTCTATAATATCTAGAAACCATGTTTAAGCTAGAAACTCGGCCTAACACTAGTATTTAGCGTCTATTAATTTTAGATGGCTATAGTAGCTATATAGTAATTAATTTCCTCTAGTTTTATAAGCAATAATAGATATACCTCTTATTTCTACTAGCTTATGCTTCTTACGTCTTATAACCCCTAGATTTAAGTGTTTTCGCACCTTTAAAGTTAAGATATTAGTCCTAAATTATAGCTTTAGCTTTACTAGACGATGCCTTACTTATTAAAAAGCAACGCTTTTTAACCTACTATAATTTAGCTCGCCTAGAGACATTTAGACCTCGCCTATTACTTACTAGCTAGAAATTAGTAAGTCTTATACCTTATAACCCTTAAAAAGGCCTAAATTCATTATAAATACCTACCTTAAAACTACGAGCTAAAACACTACCACTATAACTAATTAATCTAGCTTTTTTTACTACCCTAAAAAGCTTACGTTAAGTATACTATAACACTTAATTTATTTAGCAAATTAATGGCTAGAGGGAGGCCTTATTCTATGCCTATAAAAAGGTAAGCTTTACGCTTAATCTTCTTAATATACGTAATGCTAATCTTAAGTATAAAACTAAGTAATAAGCTACTTAAATTAAGGCCTTAGTCGTTAAGAGACGTAAGAAGGTACTAGTTAACCTAAATACTAAGTTTATAAATATAGAAATTATTATAAAGGCTTATAAGGCCACTTAACTACTTAAGATAGTAGCAGCTATAAAAGCGACTATTCTTAATGCTAAATAGGCCTTAAATGACCTCTAGAACTAAAGCTATAAGGCATGCCTTATTGAATTCTAGATATAACTATATATCGTTAAATAAATTGATTAAAAATAATGGTATATAGCTACGTAGCTATATAGCTTCTAGGGGTGCGTAGCTTTAAGGCACTCTAGCTTAGATAGGTATTACTAAGGCTTTAGAGAGGCTACGTCTAGCTTAGAAAATGCGTTTTCTTCATTTGTTTTAATAGTTAGTTTAATATCTCGCTCTATACAATCCACTAGAGCATTAGGCTTTGCCTAAACCCTAGCTTTACTTCGAGGCTTTAACGCCTTAAAGATGTTCCTACGTAAGTAAAGCCCCTAAGAGTAAGAGAAAGAGGCAGGTTATAAACCTATATTCGAGTAAAGCTTTTACTCTGTTAAACTTTAGAGGCTATGGTTTAAAGTTAGTAAAATCTCGTCTATAAGACACGCAAATTCACATACTAATTAGGCCTAGGGTATGACGATTCCTAAGCACTAGCCTCACACAATCATGGTGTCTAAATCTTAAGTATAACAAATTTTTTAGAAGACCTACTCCTTTTGCTATATGCTTTGACCTGCCACACCGTGGATAGAAAAAGGTCCTCTAAGTGCAAAAAGCAATGGAGACAGCGGGAATTGAACCCGCGGCCTATCCCAATCAGGTAGCGTCTATCTGACCATGTTTTGCATGATTGATTAGAGCTAGTGCGAAGGGATCGTCATACCCTAGGCCTAATTAGTATGTGAATTTGTGTGTCTTATGAACGAGATGGACAAACCCTAGACCATGTCCCCCAGAATTTTGTTGCTCAATTTCGATCGTGTCAATATAAGTAGCCATCAGATTGGTCAGGTATTCATCGAGATATCGATGAATCGAGTGCTTCATTTCTTAATCTTGAGGCCTGGTCGAGTTATTAGCCCTCAAGGAAGCCAAGCTTCGAGTCTATGTTGCATGCTCACAGGCTTGCAACACGATCGCGTCGGTCAAGGCTGCTTCAAGGGCACAATCGTACACGGCCAACGCATCCCGACAATAACTTCGGAGTATGACTTTGGAGAGATTGATATCCTTGCACTCGAGCCAGGGTTGTGTAGACACGGGAATGCCCTACGAGCCCTTCTTCCTCGAGTCATCTCGAGCTCATCTCCAGCCCGTCGAGTCAGCCGTAACATAGACATATCTGTTGTACACGCGACTCGCAATACTCGGCCTCAACAGTTGTCGACATGGTAAAGGATGCCGTTTGATCTGCTCGTGCCAGCGCCATACAGCCCTCCGCGGCACTCCCTTCCTTCCGCCCACGCGAGCGACGTAGGCGATCAAACATCGAGTCACAGCATTCGCCTAAGTCGATACTCCGTACAGCATGGACATCGACCCGCTGGAGCGCACTATTGATGTCGCCAACCTCCACCCGACCGACATTATGCAAAAGTACGCCATCGATTTCATCATGCTGTTTACGCAAGCGAAATACCAGGTCTCTTGCGCAAGCGACTTCTTTGCTCCCGCGTACCAAAACTCGCGTATAAGCGAATCGGTATGCACCTCTCCATCCCGCATTTTGCTCCAACGGCAAGCAGGTCCACCCTCAAAAACCCACTGACCACGTCCAGCTAAAGCAATTAACTTGCCACAATTCTAGCCTTCCTTGCGGCCGTAAGGACAGATCCTTCGGTCATTGAAACGCCATCTAATCTCCATCAACGTCTCATGGACATGATGCATCATGTTTATGTACCCCGATCTCGAGGGTCGGCCAGAGTGGAACATCCAAAACAAAAAAGTGGTTCATCGGTTCCGGAACGAGACGAGTCAGTTCCACTACTCCATGACCCCGGCACTATCTGTCCAACGGAACAACTGACTCGACATCCATATGAACTGCTATATTAACGACGTCCTTCTTGCCTATCTGTCTACTGAACAAGCCGAAAGTAGCAATGCCAACCCGGCTCGCGGATCACATCAATATAAGTCAGATAGACTGGCAAGTTTGGAAACCTGATCTCGCGTCCAAGCCAGCATGGCAACATGTGCCGGTTCAACTGTGATTGTCGAAGGGATCAACGTCTAGGCTTGGAGAAGATCTCGGTCGAGTGGATGATGTTCTGTAAGCCACGACACCAAGAAGATGAAGGATTGCTACAGGGCGCCCATTTTCTCGAGGACACACGCATTACCGGTCCGTGGAACGTGCTTTGGGCAGTCATCTCGACTTTCTTCGGGTTGTCGTGATTGCTGTGTCGCTCGCACAGGATTCTTCCAGCACTCAACGTCAAAGCTGATCGTTGGTGTGTACCACTGTTTACTTCTCGATGGCAGGACAGCCCACCACAAGTGTCATATGTGGGCTTCCTGTGCTCATACTAATAAGCAGCACTTTACACCTAGCGTAACGACTGGCAAGACCACTCGACAGCAGTACCTTGAATGGGCCAGAGTGGATCTGGCAAGTCTCCTGACCATGACCAGACACATCCGAGAACCTCTGCTCGCTTTGGCGGCAACATCTCTGACCTTCATATCGACTGTCAAGGATATCTTCATCTGGAAGAAGAAGAATGAGCTTTTAGCGCGTCGGCAGGTTTATACTGGTAGGGTCGTGGAGTGTGGCGCTTCCTTTCACCCATCAACAACCGTGCTTGAGTGCTTTGCGCCGATAATAACTCCGAAAAGCTATAGCCTAACAAGGCCATCATATCACAGCATGAGGAAAGTCTAGCCATGCAAAGTCCCTTCCATGGACCCTTGAACCGTGAATGATCATTCTGGTGGGACTGGACGACCACGGTGTACAGGACCCGCAAATCCAGATCCCGTCGAGAGACCGAATCAAGACGACGCTTTCTGGCCTTATGGTCTATCAAAGTGTTGCAAACAGCCGGACTACTCCGCTGATCGTCTCTCCAAACCGCTTTCCACAGTAATCAAGGCATAGTAACGAGGTACGAGGGCACACCGGCATAACAACTCAATGTGACGACATAGACGGACAAACTCTTCGCGGCAAACCCCAACGACATCGAATGACAAAAGTTGATCGCAGCAACAGTCACTGGACTTTTGAGTCAGTTGTCAGCATTGTACATAAGCGCAAGCGCGGTCGAGAGTACGTTCGTGGACATAAGGACCCTCTGCGTCAACGTCTTTTCAACGATCCGCAAATCACAAGGCCGTCAGTCTAGGGCTTCTCGTCGTGGAGAAAAAATGACAAGCAGAGATCGATCTGTGGACGGAAATAAGACCAAACCTTCAACTCGACACTTCTCCGTGCCGTCCATGTTGGCCATATCACTTATAGATCTTTGCTGACACTATCGAGTATTGGATGCAACTAGGTTGACAATAACTCGACACTGTTCACCTGGCTGCGCTATAGTCTACTGCATGTTCCTGCAGGACTTAGCAAGTCTCCTTTGTCATCCCGCTGGAAATCGATATGATCCTCCTGTTTCTGCGCATGCTTTTCCCGCAAGACCTGCTAAAGCATGAAGTGATCCAGACTGAACAACACACAAGAAGACCATTCGGGGCAAGCTAAACTAGGACCAACAAAAGCGCATCGAACAAGTGCGATGCACACTCTTAGAGAGTTGTGTCCCCATCGCTATCCGCTATCTTCCCATTCCCCCTTCTGCGTTCGGGATCAGTAGAACTTAGGAGAGTCGAGATGATGACAAGCAATGTACATACGACTCCCACTCGATCTTCCATCCCTTGACCTTCATCCCTTCCAACTGTGCATTTCCTTCGATGTTCCATGGGGCAAACATTCACGGAACATGAAATGCATGTTCCCAGTTACCTCTAACTAGACAGAGAAGAAAAAAGAAAGGGAAGAGTGACCTCATGCGCAAAACAACAGTAACCTACCAATCATATAAAAAAAGCCAATGACTACTTTTCCCCCCATGCATACATTCAGATATGTAGACTGGAAGATACAGAAACTTGTTTCGCTTTTTCTTGCTATTCGAAGCTAATAAGTATTGAGGTCAGATGTTATATCACAGAACCAATCAATCATCTATGATCTTCCCACATATGCTCTTTAACCCCTGTCTTTGACATCTAATCACTACCTTTGCCAATATTACCCTGCTCTTCTTGTCAAGCAAGTAAACAACTTGCCTTACTCCGTGGAAGTTCAGGAGAACAAAGTCATACAGAGATTGAAATAGATATCGATAGATGTGTCTATCTACGTTCGATCGCTCTGAGAAAACTTGGACAAGGAAAGCGCCATGACAAAAGCACTGTAGCCACCATTTCCGATTAACCATGTCTGACGGGTTGGTCTTGCTAAACTAGTTGTAAGTGTCAAATAATCAACATCTAAAAAAATGATGTCCTGATTACCGCCGTCTGATGGCCTTTGCAAGAAAAAGGAAGACACGAATTAATTGGAAGAGGAAAGAAGGAAGTTGCGATTGTAATGGTGTATTAATGGTGCTTTTAACAGCTATGCTTTATCCATCTGTGAACAAATATAGAAAGAGCAAAAGAGGAAAGAGGCGATATAGGGGGCCAAGAAATCAAACAAATGCCTAAAACGCCAAAAGACTGTTTTTACAAAGAACTACATGTATGTGGTCAACGAGGAAGGAGCAGACCGCACATCATCAACGATACTTGGCCAAATCATCCTCCACCTCATCCTCGTCCTCCTCACCCTCTAGCATCTCATCGTCAAGACCAATCTCCTCACTGACAACATCCGTACACCTTCCACAAAGTGATTCAGGCTCATCAGAAGTGTATTGCCAGCATCTGATGCATTTCTCGCCGTTGGGAGGCAACACTACGGCTTTACCAGTAGCAGGTGCATCATCATCACCACATTCGAACTCACATTCGAATTTCCAGGCTGGTGGCTCATCAGGTTCTAGAAGCATAGCGCGAAGTTTCTCATCTGGCTCTTGCTCGGCTACCTTGCGGCGGAAGTCTGGGTCGTCGGGGACCATCGTGGCTTCGGAGACGACAAAGAGTTCGGCTAGCTCGTCGTTTGTGCCGAGATCAGAGAGGAGGGCAAGCATCACTTTGCCAGTCTTGCGAGGCATCTGAAGCTCAACGCGGCACGCCAGTCCACTGCCAAGTCTGCCTGCTCTGCGTGCACTTTCTTGAGCAGATTTAACGGCTGTTGAGACAGTATTGAAGGTCTTGATGACCATCTCCATGGCACCTTCAGCTCTGTACGAGTCGAACTCGGCGCTGAATGGGTATTCCCATAGTCTTCTGTTGATGTTCATGACATCGTATGGTGCCCAATGTTCCGGAGTGTGTTCCCACACCTCTTCGATGAGATGAGGAGTGATGGGACCCAACATATGGCAGAGCTCTTCCATGATGATGGAGAGAACTGTTTGCGTATGTCTGCGAATTTCTTCGTCTTCGGCATACAATCTGTCCTTGATGACCTCAAAGTAGAAGCCTGAGAGATCGGTGTTGATGAATTTGTTGATGACTTGCACACCCTTGTGAAACTCATAGGCGGCACAATGTTTCCATACCTCTGCTGCCGTTTTGGAGAGTTGGTGAAGGGTGACTTGATCGGCAAAGTAGAGTTGCTGCAAAAGTTCTTCCACAGGCAAGGGAGCAGGATAGTCGTTCAACACACCAAGGAGCCATTTGAACGTCGTGCGGTACTTGTGAAGTGATGAGTGTACGGCCTGGAGGACAGGCTGGCCAATGACAACATCCTTGGTGTAGTCGCTGCTTGCAACCCATAATCGCAGAGCGTCAGGACCCATGGCGTCTTTCTTGGTTTGGACGGGACGGGGGACAGTCTTTGTTCCCTTCTTCGTTTTTGCCGGCGGAATGATGGTCCCGCTGATAATCTCTTCTGGAGAGATCACATTTCCTAATGATTTGCTCATCTTACGACCGGCTTGGTCGAGAGTAAATCCATGGGTAAAGATGGCCCCAACAGGGGTGTTGGCGGTATCAGTTTGGCCAGAGAGGTGGGTCAGGAGAAGAGACTGGAACCAACCACGATGCTGGTCGGAGCCCTCGAAAATCATATCTGCATGAGTGCCATCTTCGCGCTTTTCAAGCTGAGCCCAAGATGTTCCACTGTCAAACCAGACATCCATAGTGTCCTTGCCACGAATGTATGCTTCACGATCGAGGCCTGGCACAATCCAAGCAGGGTCGTCGGAAGCATCAGCCCACCAAGCATCGATACCGCGTTTCTGGATGGTCTTGATGATGTGTTCAATACTCATAACTGTCAGAAGAGCTTCACCTGTTTGCTTGTGGAACAGAGCTGGGATAGGCACACCCCAGGATCGCTGACGCGAGATGCACCACTGACTGCGACCTTTCAAGAAGCTTTCCAGACGTGATTTACCTGTTTCCGGAACGAACATGATGTCGTGGATGGCTTTCAGGGCAGATTCTTGAACACTGCCGACATCGGCGAACCATTGATCAGTAGCTCTGGTGATTACAGGTTGCTTTGTTCTCCAATCAATAGGGTTCTTGTGTCTGAAACTATGGGTCTTGAAGATCAGGGACGAGCCGGCTTTGAGCGAGGGGACAGAGAGCTTGGTATGAGGGTTCCTGAGCAAAGCTACGACGGCCTTTGCACCATCTTTCTCAACAGGGAGACCTTGAAGGTAGGAGGGGTCCGAGGGGAAAGCCTTGGTAGTGTACTTTCCATAATCGTCGACAGGGGCGAAAGCTGGACCAATACCCAGTTTCATGCACACGTTATAGTCGTCCATGCCGTGGCCAGGAGCGATGTGGACCAGACCGGTACCTGAGGTGGCAGTGACGAAGTCGGCATGAATGATCTTGTTGTGTTCCTGGGAGATGACATTGATGTACTCTGTGTTTTCCAGATCGGAGCCCGACAAGCTATCTACAAGAATGTTGATGGAGGCACCCTCAGGCAGATGGTTCTGTAGCGATTCGACACGGTCCTTTGCAACAATGACCTGGCCTCGCAAGTCGTTGGAGAGGTCTTCACCGGTGACTTGAAGCAGTACGTACTGCATGTCGGAACGTACGGCGATGGCCTTGTTGGCAGGCAGAGTCCAGGGAGTTGTGGTCCAGATCAAGGCGCTAACCGAGTCGGCTTGGACGGCAGGATTGTCGGCCAGGACCGAGGGCAGCTTGATCAAAGGGAACTTGACAAAGGCAGCGACAACGCGATGGTCTTCATCGTATTCGAGTTCGGCCTCGGCCAGGGCTGTACCGGAAGAGGGCGACCAGTGGACGGGCTTGTTCTGGCGGTAGATCAGACCTGTCGGGGAGATGGTCAGTATGGCATGCTAGAGGCTGACAAGGCTGAACAGGGACGAACCTCACCTTTTGCGACCATGTTCTTGAAGACTTGCAGCTGCTTGATCTCAAAGTCGGGGTCCATGGTCTTGTATGGCTTGTCCCACTCGCCCATGACACCCCAGGATCGGAAAGCATCCATTTGCTCCGAGATTGTCTTTGTCGCCAGTTGCTTTGCGGCGTCGCGGATGGCCAATGGGCCGAGACCAGCACCGTGAGCAACACTGGCCTCCTGCTTAGGATCATCGACCAGACTCTTGGCTTGCTTGTCTATGGTGGATTGCTGGTGGGCTTGCAGAGCCTTGAGCTCGATGGGCAAGCCGTGGCAGTCCCATCCTGGTCTGTATGACACTCTGAGGCCTCTCTTGGCGTAAGTTCTCAGGATGATGTCCTTGTTGATCTTGTTCAAGGCGTGTCCGACGTGTACGGGACCGTTTGCGTATGGAGGGCCATCGTGGAGGGTGAATGTGTTACGCTCGCCCCTTTCGTTCTCACTGGGGAGGTTCTCTTTTTGCCAGGCATAAAAGTCGTCGGCACATCGTGTTCGGTATTTGAGCAGTTCTTCGGTGGATGGTCTGGCGGGAAAAGTTGACTTGGGCAGGTGCAGCGTTTGCGACCAGGAGCCTGCCTCTGCCGCTGCTCGGAGTCCGCGTGTTAATCGAAACATGTTCAGTCCCTCGTCATGTCGTTCCTTCTCTTGCTACGTTGGTTCCTCCTTCCTTCTCTTCAATGTGATCGCTCTTGCCTTTGCTGGAAAAAAAGTCGTCATAGCTCCCACTGCTTCAGCCGACGGCGGACGCGCTGCCTTGGCGTGACTTTGTCGTCTTCACCGCCATCCAGAATACTTATTTTTGACCCAAACATCTGACAAACATGGCTGCGCCTTTGTTGCTATACAAGGCGACGAGACCCTCGTAGATTTCTCGTTACCGAGTTACTGCTTACTACAATCTTGTTTATCCCTGCCTGAAACCAATCTCACCATCAAGGCGTCTCAATTCCCGAAGCCTCACAGCTACTCGAGTACATTTTCCACCACTCTTGATTCAACCAAGTGCTCTTTCAACAAGACGTATCTTTTGGTATACGAAATATCCTGTCTCCCACTGGTCAATTGACCAAATCTCGACACCCTCAGTGCCTCGCCAATGCATGCATGTTTGCCTCGTCCACTTCAACAAGCAACCCTCAACCATCTGTCCATTGCTTGCTCGCCACGTTCCTTCCTCATGCCTTTATTCATGTTCATCGACTTTCCTCGGTGCTGGTATCACAATGGCCTATATGAGTCTGCAAGATGCCCCGAGAAATGTCGTACCGTTCATGCCGTCGACTCTTAGCTACCTTAGACTTGCATGACCATGTCCATCCATACTTCTTTCTTCTGTGTCGGCTTGATGTTTGATGAGGTAAGTCTTTTCTTGATCACCAAGTGCCAATCTCTCTGAACATTTGTCCTCCCAGCACGGTGTATGCCAGACAGTCGCTGAGCAATGCAACGACCATACCAACCTTGTAGCTTGGCTGAAGGTTTGTCACGACTGTGTTGTTCGTGATGCATTCTGACTATCCTAGAATACCGCCATCCTCAAAAAGAAGGTTAACGGACAGCGGTCCTGGGAAGACAAACGCAGATGGACTCATCGTATCCTGTGAGATCAGTCTTTTCTCTCCCTCGGACTTCAACTTATACCTTGCAGCATTGTCATCCGCTCAACTACTCGGTCTCCAACCTCTTGTCGGTTCGTCGACAAAACTTTGACCAGACGCCCTGTCTCACTTGACACTCATAACTTGCTCTGTGAGCATATACCCCGAGAGCGCATCAATCATTTGGGCTCGCCTCTGGTCTACGGGAGGCATGATTGTGACATTTGTCAGGGTATGTTTTCATCTTCCATGTTAATCTCACACCCGCTGACGAGATGGCGTCAGTCGCTTTACTACGTGCAGAGATTCAAGAACCCGCTGATGCACCACCCATACCCTTCTTCTGGCAAACAGCAATCTGGAAGCAACACCGGTTGAGCGCTTCAGTAATCGACTGCTCCGACTTTCGCTTCGCAATCCTGAACAGTAGCCTCGAGCACCAGATTCAACACTTGTACGATTACAGAGCTCTTCCGTTCCTCATTCTGCAAATCTACATCGAAGAACTCTTGAGCAGCATTGGAAGAGCAAAGATGTCCGAATACCGCATTGAACCACCTCCGACAGTCATCGAAAAGTACAATCACCACATCAATCTCAAACGCCAATGTCTCGCTTACATCCCTTTCCTCTGCTGGCTCATCGACTTTGATGTCTTGGCTGATACAGTGTTCGCCTGCGAGGCCTGTTTAAGATCATGTCTGTTGCACGACACACCCATCATCCAAGCAACACTGATCTATGCAGACCAAGAACTCGCTCATCTCAACCAACTCCTACACTTCCAACTCTGTTGTCACCATCCACATCTACCACCTCCTTCACCGCCGGCTCCCAAACCACCAACTCCCAAACCTCCTACACCCAAGCCTGCGACCCCCAAGCCGCCACACAACCCTTGCTGCAACCACTGCACGCATCCCAACCATCCAAACCATCTTCCCCATCTCTCCCTAACCCTCGTCCTCCCTCTCATCCTCTCCCTCCTTCTCTTGATCCCTCTCCTCCTTGTCGCCCTCTACATCCGCCACAACTGGAAGCTTACATGGCTCTTCTACATCTTCTCTCTGGCATTCCTCTGCCATCTCTTCATCCGCCACTACATACACTCATCTCTAGAGCACACCCGCAACAATATCTCAGCATGGGTGACTGAAACGAGAAAAGCGATTGTTGCGGCACTGATCTTGATTACTGTGTTTTTGCAATGTTGATGTTTTGAGGGGCTTTTTTTTTCTTTCTCAAGGTTGGTGATTCTCGTTGGTGGTGGACAAGGGTTAGAAGTTGATGTAGTGTGTGTCAAGTCAGAAATCTACTTTCTTTTTACCACGGCTTGATTTGATGGATACGCGTATCGCCTTGTTTGCGTATGCCAGCGTCGTCAATACGGTCAGGTGACTTGGCCATACAGTTAGGCAGGCTGGACAGCAGAACATCCATGATCATGGAATCAAAGTTGAGGATGAGATACAACGGTATAAACCACTTCACGAATGAGAAACAAGATCAGGTAGTATAAAAGTGTTTGTTCTTCTAAACTTTTTAATCATTGATCAAGTCATGCGGTGACTATCAATTGATAAAACTATTACATGAAGTTATGCTAGGGCATAGTGTACAGACGTAGCGATTCGTGAAAAAAAGAAACTCCTTCCTCCTTATGTCAACCTGATGGTGGTGTACATTTTTCGAGTTGCAATAGTGGTGGAGAGATGAGTCGACTTGCTTAGAGGAGAGCAGCGAAGCCGAGAGCGGCACCGAGGACACCACCGACAGCGGGAACGGCGTTGTGGCCAGCAGCACCAGTGGCAGATGAGGCAGCCGAGCTGGCAGCGGAACCGGCGCGAGAAGTGGCAGACGAAACAACACCACCGGCACCAGAGGAACCAGATGAGGCGCGGGACGAGGCACCGGACTGGGCAGATGAGACGGCGGAAGAGACGCGCGACGAGGCGGAGCTCAAGGCACCTGTGCCGGAGCTAAGGGCAGACGAGGCCGAGGATCTGAGGGAGGCCTCCTCGGATGAGAGGGAGCTCTTGGCCGAGCCAGTGGCAGTGGACTGGGCAGCCGAGAGGGAGCTCAGACGGGAGCTGATGTCGGCGCTCTCGGAGACGAGGCCAGATGAGACGGAGGCGAGGGCTGAAGAGGCACTGCCAGTGAGGGTGGAGACGGCACCAGCGGCACCCGAGGTTCCAGCACTTGCAATCGACGAGGCGCCAGAGACAGCCTCGCTGCCGACAGATGAAGCACCGGAGGCGACGACGGATCCGACGGAAGAGGCACCAGAGATACCCGAGCCAACACCAGAGGTGGCAGCAGAGACGACTGAACCAGCACCGCTAGTACCAGCAGAGATGATGGAACCACCGACCGAGGTGATGTCGGAAAGGATCTGTGCAGAGGCCGAGGCGGCGAGGGCAGCGCAGACGAAAGAGTACTTCATTTTGATGGTTGTGATGTGTGTGGATTGAAGTTTGGTGTAAGGTGTGTGTAGGTGATGAGTGGTTTGATGGACAAGATGTGGATTGAGATGGAGCTCAAAGAAGGTGCGGAGGTCAGCAGGTGTTTATATACGAAAGGAAAGGCGCGACTTTCACATCGCTTGCATTGCAACATCCGAGCATCGAATGACGGGGGACGTGAAACCCGGGCCCCCAATACAAAGGCCCTATACCTATTTGCTCTAGCAGTCTATCAGACCTGCCTCTGATTGGCCGTCATCGGCCTGTCTTGCCAATTTACCTTCCTACTTTCCATGTTACGAGCAAAAGGAGGCTGATCCACGCAAACACCTACGACTTTCGGCAGGTTCTGGCCACGGATGACGCATCTGCGTACGAACGAAGCAACAAATAGACGTCACAACCTTCTTTGGAGGCAAATTAGGTCAGGCAGGCGTTACCCGTCGTTTCGGCCTTGGGGGTTCAGGGGAGAGCTACTACGTAACGTGGGGAAGTGGCTGGAATGATCTGTTCGTTCCCGACATCTTGCATGAGAATTTCTATTTGTGTATGATCATGATCATCCGGCTGGTTGATTGATTGTTTTGATTTTCCAGGTTCTGCCGGCTTGAAGACCTCATCGACACGGGCAGCAACCGTGGCAAGAACATGGACAAGAATCAGCAAAACTGTAACAAGAGCTTTTACTTTGGAGGCTCGGAACAAGTTTTCCTTTCTCAGGAACATACTTCCGCCTACGTATATTGCCTTGGCGAAGCTGTTTCTAGAAATCCTTCCGGATGCTCCGATTCTGAGACGACGACATGACCTTGTGCGTGGACATGGCAACAAAGCATCGACACCCCGGTTCATTGCTGACGGCTGACCGCACGCATTGCTCTTCGTACTGTCCCGTCGCAATCTACACAGCCGTGATTGTGATGTTGGATGGCTGCTAGCAGCTCGTCCTAAGCTCATACTACTGCTTAGCCCTGTCTTGCGCCACTGCATAAGCCTCAACGTACTTGAAGTACGCGCGTCAGCCCAGCATAAAGGCTTGGCTTCTCGTTCGGCGACTCATGCTACCTCCGGAGGTGAGATCTGATCTGATGCTTTACGAGGTGCAATCCTGCTTGCAGACGGACTGCCAGGCGTGGACAAGGAGGAAAACAGGTTTTGCTGTAGACTGGCATCTGCGACTTACGACTCGATAGTAAGCATGTTGTTTTCTCTTTTCTTCTTTTTTACCCCATTTTTCTTTGCCGACGCTATCACCCTGGTTGATATAATTCTGCATCCTCGCGTAGCCAACGCTCAGAGGAAGCACTTGTTGGATCTTACGATAGTACGCACTCCTCAGACTAGTGCTACCATGGTATTGAAATAGCCATACTTGCTGTCCTTGACCGTGGTGGAGCACTCAATGTCGAAACTCAAAATCCGACAGCGGGGCTCTCGCCGAACATGCGTATATTCACGGATAGCGAGAGTAACTTACGCCTCATCGTCCAGTCGATCCATAATCTCATGAGCTGCCTTTGCATACACCCGACATGGCATGTCGATCGCCGTATCCCATGCCAGCTCCCAAAACCGTCGCTTCCAGAACGTCCATCTCCCTGCACAATATGTCCTTCCTTCCCACTGAGACTGTACAGAATGTTTATTGTCATCGTCAGGCAACTGATCCATGAAACAAAGCTCGCGAATCTTGCTTCCAGCAATCATGATCCAGGTCGCTGCAGGCGGCAAATACATACGCCACATCTCTCGCAACTCTCGCGTATCATCATATGGCCAATCCACGCCCTCATACATGGCAATGCTCGCTGCAAACGAAACATTGGGTTTTCTGTCCGCATGGACCATCAAGTTCGCGGCGAATATTGTGATGTTTAGTAGTTCCGGAGCCTGAGCATGCCATTCTGCATCATTGCAATCTGGATCGGCGATAGCTGAACAAACTCGTTAGCGACTTACATCAAACAAGGTGATACTACCTAAACAAGAAGCTGAGATCGCAAAGCTCCTCATTCTCAGACTCACTCATGCCGTATTCCCAAAACATTTGACTGAATTTGGGTAGATCCCGCCAGTACACCCAATATCCAAATTCCACAACTCTTCCCGAGCTAGAAATGACGTCTGGTTGGTTCCGCAATGCAATAACCAATTCAGCGAGTTGTGCAGGGGCATCGCCATCGATTGACCTTGCTGCTTGACAGATGATTGCCCAAAGAATGGCAATGTCATTCCGTTGCCTGGTCCTGAGACAAGGTTCGCAGATGTCCGCAATACAGCGCGCGGCTTTTGGAATTGAAAGCCCACCGGTCAAGAAGTATTCGATGGCATCGATGGCTTGGAGGTCCTCGTTCATGACGTCGGGATTTTGTGTGTGCATTCTTCTGTTCTCCCGCGCGCAAGTAGCCCAGACTGGAGCACATGTCATTGTTGCGACAAGCAAGGTATCTCGTGAAGCGACGTGGGTTAATTGTAGAGCCTTGCTGCCAACAGGTGTAGACAAGGGTTCGATGCGACATCTCCAAGCCCAGAAGGATGAGTTTTATCATACTCGGTGCGGCCATGGATAAAATATCAGGCTCTGTGCGCTCAAAACTATGTGAAGCCTGATAAATTATCCGTGGCCGTGGGGAGTAGAGTATACGTTGGGTATCCGAGTTAGGCAGTGATTGACTTCGATATGTGGCCAACGCCAGGGCCAATGGCACCGCCTCCCCGTGTGTTACACTCTGTCACGCCTGCACACCAATTGGCGAAATGTCGATATTCTTGCTCTTGTGCTTCAACTACGCCATCTTCACGACCACAACGTATTCTCGAGGCTGCGGTTACAACGACGAGGAACGCAAAGGCAGTGGTTTCGTGCTCTATGGATTGGCAATATAGACCCGACGTATCAGCCTCCAAAAGGTCATGTACAGATGTGACAACTTTCACCATATGGAGAAGCTCGAGTTGCATTGTTCTCTATCGCTAAGACTTTGGAGACAGTGGTGACACGGAGTAACCCAGCCCAATGTCTCCTAAGCAATTACCTGCTTATCTCCCGGTGAAAGAATCCCTTAGCATTTCCGACCAACGGCTTATACGAAATGGTGTGTTTCAACCGTCTCACATCAAATGAAAGACAATGCTGCGATATCCGTGACTGCAACGGTATATCTCTACTCTCCTTGACACCCCTTAACCCAGTCTCCTCAATATCTATGATCGTCTCTACAATCTTAGCGTAAGTGATACTGTTCAGCAGACCTTCCTGTCGATTTGACATCCGAAGCAGATGGACGATCTTCCGGCGGAGGGTTGGGTCGCGGCAGTGGCGAGAGACTTCATAGAGAGGGCCTATTACGCCCATGTCTAGAGAGAAAGAAGGGGCGAGTGGTGATACTTGTAGCGCGTCGGAGTCCGACAGACCTAAATTCGTTTGTGCCAAGGACACAATGGCGCGATAAAGAGGCAGGAACGAGTCAGTTATGGCAGCCTTTTTGTCTTCGCTTAGATTGGCAGCTTCTTCGGTGAGGATATCCGTGGTTTCGAGAAGTCTCCGCATGTGTAGGACATTATGGGCGGCAGTTTCTCGTGGGATTGGTTGTGTGGTATGAGCGACCTTGGAGACTCCTAGCATGATGCAGAGTCGTTGAATTCGTTCTTCCAATGTCAATTCGCCGAAAATAGCAGCACAGTCTTTTAGCAGGGCTTGACAGGAGGCACGCCAGTCGCCTAGTGCTTTGTACTTTGAAGATCCTTCTTTTGTCTCATGTTCACTGGGATTCGATCCGAACATGTCTTGATCGATTGACTTCGTCTTTTGTAAATACACGATGAATTTGATCAAGTAGTAGAGGAATGACTTACACGACGAGCATGTATCTGCAGACGAGAGATGATATCCTCATACAGAGGCACTTGCTGACTCCCAGAACTCGGCAACATGGCCACAGAGTGCTGGAGAAGTGAGACGGCAGAGGCAAGATGACCTTGCATGATCTCAATGCATATAAACACGATCGCTGTGGTCATTGCAGAACTCGAGTTGATCCTGTCCTTTATCTTTCCAGACACTGAATTGATATGACTTCGAATTGCAGCATCATAATGTTGTAGAGCCAACTGATTATGCTGTCCCTGACGCTGTGTATTCGTAAAGTCCCGATGGAGCTGGGAAAGTGCAATCAATGCATGTCTGGTAGCAACATCCTGTTGAGCCAATTGTAAGACATGGCAGTCCCAGAACTCCGAGGATGAGTTTCCTGCAAACTGTGGGATGGATACTCGCAGTAAGAAATCAATCGCACTGGATTCCTCTGCGGTTTTGTATACGTTCAAACTCAATTCGCGAGGGCGGCTTGGAGATGGTGTTTCAGATGCAGTATAACCATCGCATTTTCTACCGGTTGACGAACACTTCTGACAGCTTGGTCGTGCTTCGTCACATTTGATACGCCTGACTGGTAATGATCAGATTTGGTCCGGTATGGATTACGAGACAACTCACTTCTACGATGACGAATTAGCAAGCAGTATCGACCCGATCGACGAAGACAGCATACCTGCAGGTCACACATCCAGTCCGCGTCCTTGGTTTATACGGGCGCTTACTCTCTACAGTCCATTTATCTGGCATGATGTGATGCTCACCATTCTAAGTGCGGTGGAATGGACTGCTATGGATCCGAAACATCTCGAGATCACCAATCGCTTCTGTGGAGTGTGCCGGAAAGAAGGGTTAATGTTGATGAGAGCGGAAAAGATGGCAGACTGGGGGCAGGACAAAAACTGGAAATCTACGGCTTCGGCATGCGGATGCTTGCGACGCGGTGCTGTGAAAGTTTCGTGGCGGTGCACATAGACTTGCGGATTGTACTATGATTCATATATGATGTTACTCAGCCATGCTTCATTAATTGGTTGCGTGGCCCAATGGCAAGGCGCTTGACTACGAATCAAGAGATTGCAGGTTCGATCCCTGCCGTGATCATTTGCCTTTTGCTCCGAGTGTTTTGAAACGGTGCAGGTGTCCAGGAGTTGTTTCTTTTTCGCTTGCTCAAAAACATGATAATCCGTTAGACTTGGCATAACTTTGCGTGCCGGTAACAATTCTCGTGCGTGCTTGCCTCGAAAATCGGGCTTCTACCCTTGTCCTCTCTCCGCCGATCAACCTGTTTGCAATACTTTTTGCAAGATTGTCATCAAGTTCCCCTCTCTTCTTTCATAGCTACCAGAAGACAGTCTTTGGCACAGCAAGAGAAAGGCGATGTGGATAGTTCAAGAAGAGGATTCTTAATATTTGTATACATGGCGCATCGAACCCAACGCACCTCACCAATCTCATACCAACATCTCCCTTATTTGCAATCCAAACATATCAGGCGTATCAAAGGTCCATCTAGAACATAGATGAAACGGATCTCTACTCTCACACCAGTGCGTCCAGTGATGGACTAATTAATTCGGTCTATCAAGAGACGAGGAAGGTAGGGCATGCGGGATTGCTGCTCATCTTCCATCACAGTATCCTGGCTCTTTCGGGCTTCCTGAAGCCCAGCTCATCACGGTTAGCGCAGTGGTGTAGCCCATGATGAAGAGCCCAAAGATGACGAGCAAAATGTCAGCAATACGTTGCCACGAGCGAGTTGCGACAGCACGGTAATGCATAAGGGGCTACAATCATGATTAGTCCGAAGAACAACAAGACGAGCGAGGTTGACTTACAGGGTAAACGAAGACGAGAGGAATGCAGGCGAAACTTCCGACAAGCGCAACAAACTTGTCGAGCTGTCCTGCACCAGCCCACGCGATGACTGCACAGAGCGCAACCATGAAGAATCTGAATACGTTCTTCTTCCACTTAATCCAAGGGTTATACTTGCCGGTACGACTAAAGAGCTGTTGAGAAGTGATCTCAATAGCAGGGTAGATCTGCAGGGGAGTGGAGAGCAAGATGGCCACAGAGTAGATGAACTGCACGCTGTTGACAAGCTTGTTGTCCTGAGGCATGTTGAGGAGGACCACAGTCTTTGTGGAGCTACCGTAGGCGGCGTACGAAAGAGCGCCCATGGAGATGAAGATGACAGTGACTGCAACCATGACTGTTCCCAAGACACGAGGGAACTTCTTGGGGTCCTTCATACCGGATTGGATAGGAATAATAAGACCAATACCCTCGAAGGTGAAGATGGCAGTACCAATGAACAGGGTCCAGTCGTCCTTGTTGAACTGGATGATATCAGCGATACCGCCGTTGTCAACCAAGGTCAGAATGTCGTAGTAGTAGAGGTAAACAAGACCAAGGACAATGAACAAATCGGCAATCAAAGCGAGCTTCTGAATGTTGTTGATGTTGCGGTACAAGCTGAGAGGCAAGAACACGACCATCTGCATCAAGATCATGTATTTGATGTCGATGAAGGTACGACACTTTGTGACGGCCAAGACAAAAGCCTGCAGGTTTTCCGAGACAAAGACGATATAGGCCGAGGAGAAACCAATCTGACTGATGACGAGAGAAGAGTTGATGAGGTTGCGGAACCATCTGCCGTAGATCTTGCCGCCCATGTCACCGAAAGAGGCGTGGACCTTCAGACGGACGTTGACGAGCAGGATAAAACACCAGAAACTCAGGAGAGCGATACCCAGGAGGACCAAGTTACTGAACATCATACCGCCGTTGAGGTAGGCACGGGGCAGAAATAAGACTCCAGTTCCCACGAATGACTTGAGTAGTAGCATGGCAGCACCGCCAGGACTACCCTTGCCAGCTTGCTCCTTTCTTCTTCGCTTGCGCTTACCAGGGGTCAGTAACGCGCTGTCTTCGCCCCATTCGCGCTCTTGGCCATCCCGATCGTCGTCATCGTCGTCTTGGTAGGTTTCGGAAGTGAAGTATTCATCCGGCCCAAGAGCCTCATCGTCGTCTTCCAGCGATTCACCAGCGAAGTGACCGTAAAGGGTGAGGAACTCGATGAAGTTGTTGGCCAGGAACTGAGGTTGTTGACGAGCAGGGGGCTCGGTCTGAGCGCGAGTGGAGCCGTAGTTGGGTCTTGAGGTGCGTGCCTCGGGGGCAGGAGAACCAGCAGTACGGCGAATGTAGTCTCTGCGCAGACCTCCAGGCATTTTAATGTTTGTAAGTTCTGGGTCGTCTTCATTTGGGCGAGGCAGATTGACACTCAGACTTCTCTTCAAACGACCAGTCTCACGAGCCTGGCGCTCTCCCTCCTCACGCTCGCGCTCTTCGGTGTAGCGGTAGATGTGTCTTGTCATGTCTCCACCCTGCAATTGAAGACTCGAGAAGTGCTCCTCGTCGATGCCAGGCCCATTCTCGACAGAATTGGCGACTTCGGGAAGGGCTGATTGACGGAAGGATGACGAGACTTGGAGGTTCTGATGCGAGGTGCGCTGGGCGGGACCGACCAAGTGCCGGCGCAAAACCTCGAGGTCTTCGTTCTTGTTCGGACTTTGCGAGTACGAGGCATCGTCGGAATAGGCTTGGGCGGCGGGAGCAGGAGATGCAAAACGAGGCGGGCTTCCAGCAGCAAAGCTTCCTCTCAGGGCTTGCGACAGCGATGAGGGGCCGGGCCCGGGGATGGAGCCTCGAGGATATGACGCTCCGGGCAGAGGCTCATTGTCGTCTGCACTGTCGCGGCGGGAGTCGTCTTGGCCGTCGAGCTGACGCGGGGTGGGAATCTGTCTGATGGGAGGAGTGCCAAAGGGAACGGGACTCGCAAGTCTGGCGGTCGAGTAGCTGCGAGAAGACGGCGAGCCTTGGCCGTACGGGGAGGGTGAACGTGGGGGTGCGGACCCAATGGGTTGCGGTGATGTGCCGCTGCGATTGCCTGACATTGCTGCTCTGTCGGCTGAGGAAGGTGGTCGTCGATTGAAGAAGGAGCGCTCAAGAACAACAAGGGCCGTCGGCGGACGTTCAGGTCAACATGTCCAGATTGCAGATTACCCTACGCGAGGTCACTGGCTCGTACAAAGACCCTGCACTGACACCCGCAGCGGGTGCCCGCCGTCTCGTGTCCGCCTGACTTGGGGCAACGCCAGCCGAAGTCATCCAAGCCAAGCCTGTCCGCCGCATGCTTGTTTGTTCACATGCACAGTTGCACCTTCCTTCCGAGTCCTTCGAGCCTCACGATTTCCTTGTGTATATCGGCAATGACCTAGCTCTGTTCTCTGCTTGATTCGACGGCTTTGAAGTCGCAAGCTGTCTATATCTATTCGTCGTCGCTATCGCTGCCTGCCACCTCCTGTGCTTCATCCTCTCCATCGTCTGCCACCTCCGCCGGGCCATCCATGACGAATGCAACCAGGCATGTGATGCGGTGCCCTGTCTCATGCGTCCCTATCGACGTGGCAACTTGACGCACCGCTCCCTTTGCTTGTTCCCGAGCGTCTCCCAGAATCTCCGAAATATTGCATCTCCACAGCCTGACTGCGCCATCGCTGCTGCCCGTTATGAAGATCAGAGGTGCCCCGGCCTTGTGTTGCAACACCTCAAAGTCCTTTATCCTACCGCTGAATCCTGCCTGGTTGCCTCCCAGCTGTCCCAATGCCGCGCACTGCGGTACTTCCTCATCCTCCTTTTCGCTTTCAACCGTCGTCTTCAGGTCGTAGAAGATGATTCTGCCGTCCTCGGTCGAGATTGCCAGAATGCTGTGGTCATCACCGGCGGGCACGATGCGCATCTGGTGAAGTTTGGTGGGTGGTGAAGGTCGGATGATGGCTTTGGGCATTGAATCCTGCCACGTCTGTTAGTTGCGAGCACTTTTCCAACCGTGTCATGCACCACTTACCATGCCGTAAACCACTGCTCCCCTCTCAAAGCCAACAACATACTCCTCACCGTCCTCGCCCCACGCCAGCTTTCTCCCTTCGCCGCTGCTGTATCTGCCTTCGCCTGCAGCCTGCAACAAACTCTTGTCAAAGTTCAAGACTCCAGCCTTCTTGCCTGTCACCAGATTCCACAACCTCATACATCTTTCTCCCTTGCCGACAGTAACCATGACCTTCATGCTAGGGTGGATGGCAAAGTCATTGACACCGGTGGGTACCTCGCCTGGTCCAGCAGTGTCACCACTGGGCCGTCCAACGGCCTTGGGAATGGGACATTTGATTGTTGATAGTACAGTCCAGTCGCGGGTTCTTGAAATGGCAACAGTGTTGTCGTCGGCTGCACTGAAGAGCTTGCCTCGGGTAGGGAACTGTAGCTTGTTCACGCTACGCGCATGGTGTAGTAGACTGCCGAGTTCTTTGTTTCGGGGATTCTCGATGATGCTGGAAGTCGACAGACTAGGAAGTTGAGGTTTATCGCTGACAAGGGGTGGGGAGGTGGAAAGATTGTAGAGATTGATGCGCTCATCGGTGCTGCCGGTAGCAAGTACTCGCTTGTGGGCCTCGGTGGGCGCTGAGAGGCCCAGACAGCGGACAGCGCTCGAGTGGGCGGCAAACAAGAAGGTATCCGAGTATGTGGGGTCCTTTTGCTCTTCCTCTGACGGCTCGGCTTTGAGAAGGTGCTCAGAGACGGTGGCAGCGAAGCCGTGAAGCACTCTCTCGTAGGATCCGGTGACAATCTGGATAGAGAGAGATTCGGACGTGGGATCCTTTGTTGCGACGGCAGATGTGGTGGTAGCTTTTGTTGGCTTTGTCGATGTCGACTTTTTTGCAGACTTGGTGGGCTTGGCTGCTTCTGCGAATCTGGCAGTTTTTCCGTTGGTGGCACGGGTGCTCAGCTGCGCATCCTCGCTCTTTCTCTTGACCATGGTGAATGATGTTGTCGAGGCGGATGTGTTGGAGTTGTCGTGGTTGTAGAAAAAAGTAGAAAGTTTCCAAAGCTTGAGATGCGGCTCGCTTGGCGTGCGCGAGGGCGTCGTTGACGCGACCACGGCCCAGCTCATCAAGGAACACGCATCCAACTGCATATTCCAACTTCAATTCCCATCGAAACATTGCCGCGCCCGTCTTGATTCATTGAGCGACTGGTGCTGTGAATGCTCGGTCTCGAAATCTATGTCCCTAGCACATTTGCGAGATGGACCGCTTTCTGAACGCAAGGCTGCCAGAGCGTAAGTTGCCATCCACTGGTTCTACGGGCGCAAGTCATATCATCCTGTTCGCAAGCGCGACGCGAATTTAGAAAATCGCTCCGTTTCCGTTTCTGTTGCGTGGTTGTCGAGTTGTGCTGACAAGTCTGTCGTAGGGCATCCTTGACCAAGCGAGCTGCCCGCCTGCGCGCTTTGAACCAAATCACCAAATCCATCACCCAGCAATGTGGTCTCCCTCCTGCTCTCAACCTCGATTTTGACTCTCTTCCTTCTCCCCCGCACACTCCTTCCGAAGATTTACTGTTGAATGCTGCCGACTTGGAAAAGTAAGTAGTTGTGCCTTTCGAATTCATCTTCTATCTCTTATTTTTTTCTTCTCTGTTGTAGAGGTTTGCATTTCCAGGACTCGTTATTGCCTTTCTCCCTGGATGCTATAGAACAAAATCCCGCCATCAAAGCTTTAGCTCGAGACGTGTCTTCTCCGACCTATTCTGGAACCGCCAATGGCCGCTCTCACGTACCGGCCCCCAGTACCGACTCAGATCTCACTACGAACTCTCACAACAACTTGCGTCCGGAGAAGATAGACCCACAGCGGCACTCCAATGATGATTCTTCAGTCACTCCGTCTGGGCGCGATGGCCAAAGACATGGTCCACGCACCGTCCATCTCCCACCCAAAGAAGTTCAGGAAGAACGATTTCGCGAGAAGCAACTGCGTCAAGAAGCACGCCGGAAATCTGCTGTCGAGTCTGAAAAAGCTCAAACTGAAGCCGCATCATCGCCGATATCGACTGCCGGTGTTCCTTCAGTGGCTACGCCGGTGCCCGCCGGTCCATCGCCTTTGACCAGCACTGATGACGACATCACCTCCGCGAACCAGACTGTGAGTGTGCCTCCTAGCTTACAGCCATCGGTTGAGGAAGTTCGCGCCAAGGAAGAACACGACAAGCTATTACAATCGCAAAAGGAGACTGCCTACCAGGAGGCCCTTGGACACGAGGATGATTCCCCTGACGTGCAGTTGCGCCTCGAGCAGGAGCAAGCGGCAAAAGCGACCAGAGACGCTACATTGGATCCCAAGCCCTCCTTATTGGATGTTGACGACAATACTAGCACGACAATAGCAGCCCGTGATAGATCTCGAGCTGTTGCGTCTGTGCAAGCCCAATCCGAATCACCTTCAGACTCCGTTTCCGACGCCTCACAAAAGAAGAGAGCTCCACGTCCTTCACTTGTCAACATTATGCCACCTAAGGATCCCACCCTTGCTAATGCTGTCGTCGAGAACACAGGCTCTGTGCGCACTCAATCAACTATGGAAGTGAATGAATCGTCAAGACCGTCTCTTCTTGCTTCAAAGCGCGCCCACACGACAGGCGAAGTTCTCAAGGTCAAGACTGAGCAGCCAATTCTCAGGCGCCCACAGCGGCCGGTCAGGGAACAGCCGCAATCGCCAGCTTCGCTACGATGCTCAGAACTCTTGAAAAAAGAGGGCTACAACACCCTGAAAGGAGTGTCTGTCGAGCTCACCAAGGACTACCTGGAGCCACTGTACCGCATACAGGTCCACGAGCCTCCCAATGGCAGACCTTTGCATGAACTCTTGCAGAGAGCCAGTAAAGTCATCACGACTACCGAACAATTTGCCGGTTACCACGAGAGACAGGATCAACGAATTCTCAGGAGGATCTATCAGCTCCAGAATGCCAACCGCTGGTCCCTCAGACAAATGCAGCCTTGTGCTGAGCCAGCTGCTCCCAAAACACATATGGACCATCTCATGGCTGAGATGAAATGGATGAGGACCGATTTCCGTCAAGAGCGCAAGATGAAAAGAGCAACAGCCAAATTCTTCGCAGAACAATGTGTAGAATGGCACCGTGCAGACAAAGAGACGCGCAGGTTGATGCAAATCAGACTCAAGTCAGTCGAGGCGTTGCGTCAGGATACAGCGGCTCCACATTCTCCTGCCGAGTCGAACTTCGAGAACAGTGATAGACACAGCCAAGGAGCCCAATCGCCACCTGGACTGGACAATGATGTTGAATCCAGCGTTGAGGACTTTGACCCACCGAGGACACCGCAGTATGCCACCGTGGTTCCGTCTTCATTCTTCACTGCCATCAACATGGATAAGGACACGTTTCATATGCAGGACAACGAGACCTTGCACAGCGCTCTCGCCGAGCTCCCCCTACTCACTCCTTTCGACGAGGATGAGACACCCGCTCATTTGATTGTCAAACGTCCAACTCCGGCAGTGTCGAAGTTCTGTGCTGCCAAGATGATGATTGATGCCAGTGGCCCACTGAAGAAGAGAAGCCGATACGACTACAGTGATGAGGATGATACGATGGACGACGCTTCGAAGCCAGCCTCAAAGAAGCCACGTGCGAGCGAGGACGATTCAGGCTTGCGACCAGAACAGACAGACGTTGCTCTGTTCGAACCCGATAACAAGCTTTTGCGAAGTAGACTGCACCAAAACACCGCATTCCGGCCTCCGTCAGAGTTCCAGATGCCATCTTCACAATTCTACGAATTCAGAGTGGCATCGCAATGGACGGAAGAAGATCAACAAGCTCTGCGTCGTCTTGCCAAAGAATACTCGTTCAACTGGTCGCTCATTGCAGACAGTCTGTCATTATCCTCCACATTTACCAGCGCATCTGATAGACGTACACCATGGGAGTGCTTTGAGCGTTGGGTGGAGCTGGAGAGTCTTCCCAACGAGATGCGCAAAACTCTTTACTTCAAGACATGGAACCAGCGACTGGAGGGAGCGAATAGGAACAATGAAGCCAAGTACCAACAACAGGTCGCACAGCTTGCACAGACTCCAGGACAACCTCCTACAGTGATGCGGAAGAAGACAACACCATTCAAAGTCGACAAACGCAGACAGAATCGGTACTTGCACATGGTGGACGCGATGCGCAAACTGGCTAGAAAGCGGGAGCAACAAGCTCATAAGCAAGCCGAAGGTGAGGTTGCGCAGCGATACTTGGTACAACTTGAACTGACACAACCAACAGCCCAAAAAGCTGCGCACATGCGCAAGCAACATGAAAATGCAGCACCGAAGAACGGAATACCGACTCCTCAAGAATTCAGCAAGATGCGCCAGGAGCGAGACGTTCAGGTACATGCACGACAGGAACGCTACAGAGAGCAGATGCTCGTGCAACAACGTGTATGTTATGCAATATCATCGCTGTGTTTGTCAAATGCTTACGATCCTACAGCAGGCTCAAATGCAACGGAATGGTCAGATGCCGAACCAGCAAGCGCATTCTAATGCTAGTGCTCCAAACCGTCCTGGCGCCAACATGCCTCATCCTCCGGGCTCTCAAGCACAACCTGGTGGGCCTCAACAGGTTAACCATCAGGGTCTGCCAAACGGACAACACCCTAATACTGCTGCTCAAGCAGGTGCTCACCTCAACACGCCACAAACGGGAATGCGTGGTGGTATACCGCAAGCTCAGATGCAACCAAACATGCGTCCCGTGACCAACGGTCAAGTTCATGGAACGCCAGACGGTATGCAGCAGAGAGTACTCGAGGCGCAAAGGGCCAATCAAACAAAGATGAATGGGCAGCAGTACCAAATGGCACCACCAAATCGAGCAAGCCCTGGAGGTATGCATGTCCCCAATGGGGTGGGAAATCAGCCCGCAATGAACGGCATGCAGAACGTCCGCACTCCTGGTCCACAAGCACAAAACCATCAGTCGGCTACGAACGGCAGTGCTGCTTCACCGCACATGCCACCACCACCAACTCCCACAGGTCAACCGCAACAGTCGGTGTCACACTCTAGTGGCGTTGTCCCGAACATCACGTCAATCACTCACCAGCTACAAGCGCAATACCCGCAAGCGTCAGCAGAGAAGATCCAGGAGATGGCAACCGAACGCCTGCGACACATCCACCTGCAAGGACAGCACCAGCAATCTCATCAGCAGGCTCGTCAAAGCGCACTAAGTGCTGCTGCTGGAACACATGCAACTAATGTCATGCCAAACGGATCGCCAGCTTATCATCAGAATCAGACAGCCTTCCACCAGAACAACGGCAACGGACAGCATACAGCTTTCAACGCGAACAACGGCAACGCGACAGGCAACGCAAGCAATGCAAGTGCACAACAGTACGCTGCTGGTATGCGACAACGGGTTCTAGCTCAACAAAGCCAAATGCAACACCAGAACCAAAATCCCTCTGTGCCTAACAGCGGCAGCCCTCGAGTGGCACAGGCCAGTCCAGTACCTGGCATGGCGGCCCCGAGTCCAAACATGGCCTCTGCTCACCCATCGCCGAACGCACCTCTTGGTGGCAACAATCGTACGCCTACCCCTCAGATGAGAAGGATGGGCAGCGGTCAAGGGGCTTCGGCTTCTGGAACACCTCAGCCAGTACCTCAGCTGCAGCAGACGCCGTCTGCTATGCAGCGCCAAAGCCCTGTTGTTCAGCAAGCCAGTCCAAGACCTGTTTCTGCTGGTGTTGTGAGACAATAGTGTGGCTGCTCAGGAACGGTGCTGACTTGGTGGTCTGTGTGATGAAGAGCCGGAGGGTGTGGGCGGATGTATGACTAGTTAGTCGATGTAGAGGAAAGCGCAATCAGTTGTCGGCGTTCTTGCGAAAGGCCAAAGGAGCAGGCAGATAAGCATGGGGCTCATGGGCGGAGAAGGACTTGATATTCTGAAAATCATTGCGTTTTGAGCATTCGCATTCCCCACAATCGTTTGCATATTTCCCGTGTCTCCCTATTCTATGGAGGATGCGTGTACAGAGATTCCAACACTTTGACCTCTGCTTAACATTTTCGGCTGGCTTTCTTGTCTCAGTCCGAAGTGGCACAGTGTGTGTATAGAATTCGACGTGATATCGATTCTCGACAGAGACCATTATTGCATGCGAGTACCATACATTCTTGTAGCTAGACGCGCTGTAAGTCTTTGCCAACGGGGATGCGCAAGAGATCGGTCGATCTGAGATTGAGTGCGGGTTTTGGGTTGGCGGGCTTGATCGGCTACGCGGGAATCTGCTCGATGCCTGTCTGCGGCGCAACATGGACAAGCAAAGTGCGATGAGGGCGGAGGCAGATCCAAGAGGCTGAGGAGGCGGACTTGGTGCCGCTATACGGGCTTTTGCATGAGACTCGTGCGTGGTCGTCCCCTTGTAATTCGCTTTGAGAAGAAGGTGGAAGAGAAGCTACCTGGTGGAGTGACTGGAGTGTGAGTCGGCTAAGCCGCTCCGTACCAGAGTGCGAGGCTCGAGCCGATTGACCTAGAGTCGAGAGGTCCGTGCTGGGACAAGTGGGAAATGTGGACGTGACAGAAGGCAGAAGTGTGGCAGAAAGAGATCGGGCATGCATCCGCTGATCGAAGCGGGCGCATCGAGTCTTTGACCAGCGGTTGGCGCACGCGAGTAAGTGACGTAAATGGCATGGCGCCGCAGCTTATACTATACATGGCTTCGTTTCCTTTTCCTCTGCCCTTTCCTGCGTCTTGTTGCTGATTCCTCTCCTTCGGACAAGCACGTATATCTCGATACCACACCCACACACATCTCGACATTGACAACAGGCACAATGAACATTGCCGCTATGCTGGAGCCGACTTCGGTTGCGCCATACCCATACATGGCATCTGCATCATCATCACCACCACTAGAGCCGCCTTTGCAGCAGCGTCTGCCTTCCATCACCCATGTCACTTCGTCACTACCCCCGCAGCACCCACTACAACCTCTCTCGGCACACAACATGCAACAGCACATGCACATGATGCCACAACCTCAATCACAACCTCAATCACAACCTCAATCACAACCACAACCACTGTCCTCGGTACCACCACCACCACGACACGCTCTGCCACCCCGCCTTGACTCGCTGTCCTCGGTCAACTCATCCACCCAGGGCTCTGTTGAATACACTCCACAGCCTAATGCACCACCGCCATCATCACACCGACCCCGGAAGACCAGCACCGCACGCAGAGACTCTTCGGCCTCTTCATCACATACGAATCACCACCAACGCCGTCGCCCCGGTGGCCAGACAAAAGCTGCCTGTCTACCCTGTCGCAAGCGCAAATCAAAGGTATGCCCCGTCTTCCTTCTCCACTCTCCTTTTCATACCCTTTCCATCTACCCTATCATTCTTCCACTCCACGAGTCCTTGCATCGCCTCATATGCCTGTCTGAGTCAAGTCAGAGTCTTCTGCTTACCACTTTTCTTCCAAACAGTGCGATGGCGACCGACCTTCATGCAAGTGCTGCATGGCAAAAGCCACAATGTGCAATTACAGCGTTACCACTCCAGGCGTGACACAGCAACAAGCCATCAAGAATGAACTGGATGCCTACAAACGTGTCTTGACTCTGATTCGGGACAGCAGCTCAAGCGATGTAGAGTCCCTCGTCAGAATAATCAAGGCACGGAATAGTTTGAATGATGCCGTTCAGGATATCCACACAATGACGATGCCGCTGAATTCTGATGGTGGTGTTTGAACCATCAAAGCGAACACCAATCGCGAACCAGAAAAACGAGCATCTACAGAACGAGCCCGCTTCCAAAACAGATCCATGACGACGAGAGTATTGGCGTCTGGGCAGAGAATCAAGGGCTCGGAGATTAATCCCGACAGGCACCGCGGACTTCAGCTTAGGTATAGCCTCCCATGGTCACCGAGAAATTTGTGACCCTTGCGGCGTCGCGTGTGTTATCAGACAACCGACTGCATAGAGACCAGCAAGGCAAACAGACTTAGCTGCGCTAATTCACAAGAACTCATTTTCCGCTCATTTCGAATCATCTTCCCCTTGATCGAAAGCAACACGGCAATTACTCCGCACCCATGAAAAAGGTTGTCTTTCCAACTCGCTTCCAGAGGCTCGATTCGCTCAGCTCACGTGAAACACACGACGCTCAGAGAGCCGACTTCACAGAGCGAATGATTGGGCAAAGAAGCACCGGAGTGCAGTACGAAAGAAGGGGGGTGGGCGTGATTGAGTCGACCAGTATTGGAACAAAGGACTATCTGGCGATCGACGCTTGTCCGGAGCTGCACTCCTTTGCGAAGCCCATTGAAGGAACAAACTCCGTTGGGGGAAATGGATAAAGAAGGGCGGGCGCTTTGTTGGCTTTAGCGTGTCACTCGGTTTCGGGGACAAACAAGCCGACGGGTGCAAAAACATCACATGTATACCTTGAATTTTTGAGGGATGCATCTCTATGTGGCTTTAGCGACGTGTGCTCTCGTCTCCCTAGATCTTTCTTTGAGAGACACCAACCAAGACGTATGCTACAGTACGCGTCGTTCGCTGCCCTAAACCATTTGCTTTTTTCTTTTTTTTCGTTTGCGAATCTTTGGCGCGAGTCGAAAAGTCTAAAAAAGTAGTTGGCGGTAGGACAGACACACTTCCGTGTTCGGGCATTCGATGGGAAATGATAGGCATCTGTTGCGATCATGATAGCTACATTGAAGCCAACAAACCCAGCCACGCCACGCCAAGCCACTTGACTTCCATCGTCTTCTCATCCAGGCACATCTTCCGAGAATCCGTACTCACACGCCTTTTCCTACTTGTTTTTCCGGTACTCGCATAATTACAAGACCATTCTCTCTCTCCAACTCCGGCCACCTTTTGTTTCCCCCCCAAAAGCCCACAAATTCCGAGCTTCACGATTCCGAGCTCACGATTTTCCCAAGGGCTAGTGAAATCACCATAGTGCTAGGTAGGGACCCTCCGATACAGAAGGACGAGGAAAGTTGGGAGATTAAGGTCTGCTATCCGTAGAGGCAGAGAGTCTCTTCGTCTCCCTGTCTCCTCGTCTCCTTGTCTCCTCGAAAATGGAAAGAAACAAAAGATGCAATTTTATTCTATTCGGAGGTATATCCGTTTTTTGATAGTTCACCTATTTCAGGAGTTTGATATGGGTCTTTTCGCTTATCCGGAGTTGCGCCCGTGATCTGTTCTAATATGCTATTGCGGGAAGAAAACTCTAAAGAAAGAAAGGAGATAAAAGCAGGGACAAGACAAGCGGCGGACCTGGGTCCTCCCTCCCCCCCCCCTTCCTCGAGGGTAGAAAGGGTTTCTGTCAGGTCTTGGGCTTGGCTTCGATCCTCTTTTACATTGACCCCTCCGCCGTCTATAGTGAATGCAACAGATTGGATTTTTGTTCTGTTCTTCTAATGATGAGGCCATGAGGTGATTGTGGGGATTGTAGTGGTTAGAGGTGAGCGAGACATGCATTCACGGGCTCGGGACTTCTCAACATCCATATACGTTTTTTTTTTTTGGTTCGGAGATCGATCCGGTTTTTGGTTTTCATCTTTATCCCCCTTCCTTCGATTCGAAGCACATCCCGTTTTCAAGGGAACACAAGTTCTCGAAATCGAAAATCGGAAAATGCAAAAAGTTGGAAGTGGAGATGAGTTTCTCCAAGAAGAAAACAGGGCATGGAGGGGAGTCTTTTGGCATCTGGAATCCTTCTTCTTTGTGTTTCTTCGCATGAAACAACACTAGTTGTGGATACAACACGCTACAGACTCCGGAGCAGTGGGTCCTTGGGGAACTGACCACTTGACTGTTATTTCTGAAGATCGAGGTTGCAGGGCACCGGAGGAAGTCATGGAGCTGTAGAACAGACGGAACCAAGGTATCCGCAAATCTTAGGAGTCAGAGCAGTAAAGAGCAAGATCTCCAGAGATACTCCGAGTAAGGCAATCGCAACCATCGATTATTCCTTTCCGAACCGCCTCACGAGTCCCTGTTTGACAAATGTCCTTTGTCTCCTCACATTACTTCCACGAGTAACAAATATCGACAAAGTTGAATGCCATCAAACATGACTATAATGCTTCTTGGACGGGAGCAAAAGAGAGAAAGAAGCCCACAACGTCACGATTCATCGTGAGATGCCGTTTCTGACGGCTATGCGTGACATGGAGTTCTGAGCATGCGAAAGAGAATGCGGCAAATCTTTAGTATCGATCATCATGGGGCGCTAGCGCAACCAACTCCGAACTGTTCTACCGGTGGGTTCAAAGATCCGAAAGGGCAACGGGACGCTTTAGTGTGCGGGCGGGCACCCTTTGCCACCTTTCCTGTTCCTGGTTTCCATGCCAAGATATACCCTCGTTAGTTGCATGCATTCCTGCAATCAGAACTCGGAGCCTGGTCCGTGTTGATCGAGAAGTTCTTTTGGAGTATTGATGGCGGAGCTGGAGCCGCTCTGCTTTGACGACGGAGCTGGAGCCGCATGCTTTGTTGTGTATCAAGCACTTACTGAGCGGGAATGGCGCCGATCCGGTTATGGATACCTACTTTGTTATGCACTTCTAGCGACTGTCACGGATGGTCGGACTGATGGGCTTATGCTGGCTAGCAGGGGGTGCTTTGCATATCTTCTGTGGAGCAACAAGGGTGGAGTAAGAAGGAAAGGAAGGGCCTGAATGCTTTACTGATGCGACTAGGGTAGGAGAAGACGGTACGAGGTCCGAGACGAGAAGACAAGGAGGAAAGATGACCAAAGGGGGGGTTGAGTGGGCCTGAAAAGAGGCACAGCTGCAGGACTTACAATCTATATGCTTGTCAAGCATATACTGCAATCTGCTTACCCGGTAATATCTCTTGCTTTTTTCCATTCATATTGTAGAGCCAGTCGATGAGTTAGTCTTGCACAGAACGACGCTTGACGTTGAGTGGAGAGGTATGTGACTGGTTGACATCAAGTCTCGAGCAAGTCAGGTATACAACCCTGTCTTTCCTTGGATGGTGGCGCATTCGAAGCTCTACGCTGTCCTTTGTTATTCAGAACAGGACAAAGTCAAGAATGGCATTGGATCTGTGACAGAAGAATGTATGGTTATACATCATTGTAGCTAATACTTCCTAAACTCTGTCAGAAAGTTTATCCATGGTTGACTTGACACACTCTCTTCGGCTCTCAGTCGAGTGCTACCACATTAAGACGCAAAGTCACGTAGGAAAGACGTGCATTCTGCTCAGAAGATTAACGGGGCTACGAGCGTAGCTCATACTGACGACACATATCGTTGTTTAGTCCAGAGTATGCAGGCAGATTTTAGGCTCCAGAAGCGGGCGTACCCAGGACTTTCCTGGAAGTCGAATCTCATATCATTGCCTATACTATGGCATATCTAGCGTCTCAATAAGCAGAGTCTTGAAACAGAGTTTTAGTGAAGGTGTCAACGCACACAAGTGCTTAAGGAAGAATGAAATGGGATTTGCTGAAGAGATATCCTACCATAGGCGGAGTGTAACATTGCCAAAGTGCTACACTACGCCTTTCTTCATCCCTTGCTTTCCATCTTCTCCGTCACTCAACACTAAAAATCAGTCACGTTCAGAAAACGCGTTGCCCTTCTTAGTCACGTTCCCCAAGGCACGATATTTCGCCAAGAAGTCGCGGTATTCTGGCGGCTCAGAACTTGCGTCGAGATCCTATGGTTGAGATTAGCTAACAGGTACGAAATCATGTGGTAGACTACCTCAGAATGACAAATTCAATACCTCATCAGTCAAGAGATGGTCTGGAGAATAGAGCTTACCCTTCGGTGCTCTCGGAGGAGGATTGCGCGGCGGTGAACGAGATCTTGAAAGACGCGGTTCTGCTCTGAATGGAAGAGACCTTCGCGGTGGTCTTCTCTCCCTCTCACCAGGAGAGCTGTGAGATTCATCAGGCATGCCACCACGAGTACTCTTCTTGACGGAAGTCAAGGTTGAAACACCCTTGATCTTAAACTCAGGTGAACCATCATCCGCAGGTGGTGGTCGTGATGAGAGTTTGTGGCGGAGTCCTGTGGAGTAGAACGTCTTGTTGCCGTCAGCGTCGATCTCAACGACGGTCTGACCAGGATAGGTGTTTTGAACGTGCTTGACAAACAGTTTACCCGCCATCACTGGGACTGCAGAACGGGCAAACTCGTCCTTGTACATACCATAGAGCTCTTGCTGGATCACTCTTCCATTTGGATCCTTTATAAAGTTGTGGCGTAACCACTTAGACGACCGCAGAGGCTCTGCCAAATCAAGCAACGGACTAGGGCCTGTGGGGACAACCTTCTGTGGTGTACTGGTGGCACTTGAGGCGTTGCGCTCGACAACAGATCGCCTCAGATCCTCGGCTACCGCTCTGGGAGCAAGAGGAGCGGCTGGAGGTGGCGTTCGATGCGGCGTTGGTGGGACTGGTTGTCTCACACCGGGACCTGTTTGTGGGCATACAGGTGCACTGGAGCCGGCAGGAGGCCTTTCAACGACAGGTGTCTTGTTGAAGATGGCTGCCAGCCTGGCACGAGTCAAAACAGGAATCCGGCCAGGTTTTATAGTGTTCTGAAGGTGTTCACGCCAGTATGTGTCATAGTCGAGGACCTTACCGCCATTAGCGATAGTCCGACTGGCCCATGGTAGGAATTCTGCTGGCTGCAAAACCACATAATCGTCCCAATGTGAAGGGGGAATATCTGAAGACATGTGCAGATTCTTGCATAAGGTTTCGAAGGCTGTTCGATTACCCTTGAAATTGCGCTTGACAACCAATTGACGAAGCAGATCGTCAATCGTCAGCGACAGCGTAGCGTTTTGAGAGGGTCTCAAAGTCGGTACAATGGGATGGCCGGATCCCAGAGGAGCGGGCCGGGGCGGAGCAAATCCGCGAGGACTTGCAAATTTACACACAACGCTTCTTTCGCCGAGAGGAGTGCGATGCTTTGCTTCGAGGGCACTACATGCTGTCTCGATATCGGCGAAATTGACGAAGCCTGACATATTCTTAGCAAACGCAGAAACAGGACTGAACTCTGCAAACATCTGCTCAAGTTGGGTATCGTCGATGAAAGCAGGAAGCGATCCAACCCAAAGAGCTCTTGTCGGCTCGCCAAATTTGCCTTTCTCTATCTCTTGTCTAAGTCGGGACTTCGAATCACGCATGCGCACGTCTGCACGATACGAGGGTCTAGGTGGCAATGAACTGACGGATTCTGTGTCAGGACCTGCCCTGTCTGCGGAGAGCGGTTTAGGTGGCAATGATTCTTTGATGCGTGCAGCATCGGGAATAGGCAATTCCGGAGCAGTGGACTTAGCTCCAGTAGGTGCAGCAACCTCAGGCTCAGGGACAGTAGGTCCTGGAGGTTCAGTTCCCGGCGCAGTCACCTCAGGTTGTGGAATAGCAGATTCGAGAGGCCCAGTCTGGGGTGCACTCGCTGGACGATAATCTATCCGATCACTCTGTGAGCGCCATTGGTCAATGATAGCGGCCCTACTAAGGACGTTAGGGTCAGGTGGCTTCGCCGACTCGATCGGCGCTTCGTCGATCTCCATTGAATCAGGCTGCGGCTCCGTGTTCGCAACAGGCGACTCTGGATTCCCCTCCATCTCATCATCGTGTTGTAATATCGTTTGTGGCGTCAGCGATTTGCTCGCAGCTGTATCATGATCGGGGACCTTCTTTCGTTCCGGGTCTGCAAAGAATTCGCGCTTCCAACGAGCTTGTCTCAACAGGATTGTTTCAGCTGACTGTTTTAGTCCCCAGTCGGATAATCGAAGTTTTAGTGGCTGAGGTGCTGGAAGGTCTGTGACAGTGGTTCGTGGTTGCTCATCAACGATCCGGTCGTTCTTGACTCGGGATTGATCGTCTATGACAACATCATCATCAGTTTGATACTGAGCATTCGTTACTGGTGCATCCTTGAGTTCGCCGAAATCCCGTTGGATCAATAGTCCGTCAAATTCACCAGCCGGAGGATCCACCGAGAGTTCTTCAACAGTCTCACGAATTTGCGGACTTGCGGCATCTTGGAGTACGGGAGATGAGGCTGAGTCAACTATCTTAGATAGAGGCCCATCATGAGATGATTCCCCTAAGATGAGTGATCGCGACTCGGTAGCCCCGCGCTGTGCCTCGGGATCTGGTCTTGGGGATGTCTCTTCAGGTTCAGGTGAGCTCAACGAATACTCGGGAAGTTGTCGCACGTTCGACTCTGGTGGAAGATCATCGTCAGAGTCAGAACCATAGCTCTCGTTAGATAAATAATCTGGAGGTAGGCTGGAAGGTATTCGAACAACTTGTCTACCTGCTTCAAGATCGTCGAGCTGCATGAGATCAGCGCTACTGTCTGGTGGAAACTCGCCAGGAAGCAACCTAGTTGGCGGTCGCCTGTCTGGCTGTGAGTTGTCTGGTAGCTCCGATTCCACAATATTGATCGAACGCCGAAGGGTATCATTGCGATATCGCGGCACAGCATGATGTTCGGGTGATGAACTCCACGACAGAACACTGTTCTGGGTTCCCTGAGTCACGGGAGGAGTGTTCGATAGCCTCACTCGCCGCTCTTGTACACCGCCTTCCTCAATCTGCTTCGAACGTTCGCTCCCCACTATCTTCGCTGCTCGTTGTTCTGCAGCTTTTTCGATCTTGTTGAGGTCTTCGACCGGGATATTGGGATGAGGGAATTTGGTTCCAGGTCGGTGTGGCCACCATGAGAAAGGCTTATCTAGCAGCTTCCGTTGGTTGCTTGGAATTGATCTTCGCGCGTACTTGATGAAAAGAGTTGAGGGAGCTCTATACAGTGGTTTTGGAATGCTGGAAGAAGCCTCATCCAACAGGTGCGAGCTTGAAGTGGCCAACGAGGCTGGCAGGGCCTCCGATTGTGATGGCAAAGGTACTCTTTGGGAGGAAACTCTTGGTAAAGAAGACTGTGTGACTTCCAGAGACTCTGGCTGAGCTGAGGTCGGCGTGTTACTTGGTATACTAATCTTGGGTAGCGTCATCTCTTTAGGCGCAAAGTGCACAGCGGCATTGCCTTTCGGAAAAACGCCGCTTTCTGCTGGTCCGGAAGCAGGCATCTCGGCGAGGGGAATCTGTGACTGGAAGTCTTGTGACAAGGATTGCGAATCAACTTGCGATGGCGCTTGTGCTTGAAGATCGCCAATTCTAGTAGCTGGTTTCGGAGGTGGAGCCATCTGAGCTGACACGCCGCTAATCAGTCGTAAGGCCTGCTCACGATCAGCAGAAGTCGAAGCTCTCAGACTCTGGCCCCTGCTCGATAGCAGGCTTAGTAGTCTCTCGTGTTCACGAGAAGCACTTGGCTGAAGCTGTACAGGCTGATGCAAATTTAAGCCTGTCTGAACAATGATATCTTCATCATCGCTGTGCAGACGACGCCTGACCAATCGATGAGAACTCGACTGCTTGGAAGAGGATGGCGAATGGGGACGCTTGAAGGGGGTGTTTCTCTCGACGACTTCAACACGATCATGGGGAGGTTCGGTCACTTCCACATGCGTATTGTCATTCAGAGTGGACGGCGGAATTGTCTCATGGACAAACGCTGGCGGGTTTGCTGGCTGATTGAGTTGTTGTAGCTGTTCCAAGAATGTCCTTATTTGGCTGACTTCATGGATAGGAGTGATTTGGCTGAGATTATTGCAGGAAGCATTGGAAATGGCCAAGCTGGAAAGTAGCAGCTGGACACGGCGGGCATTATCAATTAGATGTGTGTAAGTAATGCCAGATATAGTGGAGGTGATTGATCTAGTCTCGACAGAGGACAGCAGAGAGGAGTATTGTTTCTGGAAATCATCTCTAGCCTTGGCAGTTACTCTAGCTCGCATAGACACTAGGCCGTCAGTAACTGTGAGGTCTAAATTCTGGACCTGGGCTTGTCAGTATGTCAAAGGTCGCCAAGATTGATCGACAACAGTGTCGACAGACACAAGCAGAAGGGTTGAGGAACGACTGACCTTGAGCACACGCAACTCTACAGCGGGCATGTCGAGCTTGAGTTTGAGATTACTGCCATTCTCCGAGACTTGAAGTAGCAAGTCAGGCTCAGGCTTGATAGCATGATGTTTTGCAGTCTTGTAAGTCAGAGCATCGGCGAGCTTCTCAGTGACGAGTGGCTCGAGCCAAGGGGACATTATTGATATGTGGCAGGTGATCAGAAGTCATTTGGTGGGATGGAATGGGATGGAGTTGGCAGATGGAGCAAGAGCGCCAAAGTGACGCGGCGTGATTGCCGGAAGACGCGCAGCAAGCAGAAAGTTTGACCAAGTGCGGAGAGATGCAGCAGCCCAGTCGGGCAGTTGCGGCAGGCATCATGGCACAATTAGCCTAGGTGGGTAGGTAGCTAATTACTCTAGCAATCGGCAATCGAGACACTTTCTGCGCCAACTGCTTTTCGCGCTTGCGACTCGACTTGTCCGACATCTTTACACGGCTACTGGAAAAGCCGCGCTGGTCTCTGCTCATCGACTCCAAGCTACTGTAGCATTCTAGTCATCACCTGACGCCCACCTATTAGCCCCGACCGCCAACTTGGACTGCACCCCTCGAAGCACTACCGAGTAAACATTCCACCTCAGTCACCGCACACTCGAGACGGCCAACCTCGATCCAGCGAGCCATGCCCCCACAACTCGATTCCTCCCGCTGAGTCCACTGCCATGCCGACTGCAGCTCGCATGCCCTCGTCCCCACCCTCGAGGCGCGCCTCGCTGTCGTCCGTCAACTCGCCTACAGTAGACAACGACGCTTTGCAGAAAGAGCTGGACCATATTCATACCACTGCCTCGCGCTCAGTCACCCTGACTTCCTTCAGCGACTTTGAGCCCAGCCGCTCCAACAGTCCTCGTGTCACCGGTCCCAAAGACTTGGTCAGTGGCCGCATCAGCGGTCTGTACTCGCGCTTGAGGCAGAGTGTTGGTGCCTCATCGCCCGCCTCGGATACCCATGTCCGTCCTGATAGCAGAGGGAGCCTGGCTGTTACAGACGCCTCGTCCCTGAGGAGTCTTTCTAAACAGGATTCTCCTACCCTGCTGCGTTCCAACCACGCTTCGCGACCCAGTGATGCCAGTGCTATCATAGCAGAGACAGACTTTGCTACCGCTCCCTCGATCCCTTCGTCTGCTGTCCACTCACGTCCTGGCTCTCGTGACTTGACTCGCTCCGTTTTGCATACCGCTGCCTCATCCCCTTCGGCCACACGCGCTTCTCCGTCCCGGCAGGTCCGCCACGCAGACAGCATCCAGGTAGAGAGCAAGAGGTTGTCGCAGAATCTGGACTCAAGACGTTCGTCACAAATTCCAGAGGGGAACCCGTCTTCAATCACCTTGGACAACAGTCGACCATCACAGAACAATGATGGAAAGCGTCTGTCGCAGTTGGATGCACCCTTCATGGGTGCTCGGCCCGACCGTTCCCTTGTCGACCTCCAGCCCGAACGAACCGAAAGTCCGTTCAAACCCTCAGCGTCCCCTAAGCGACGTGACAGTGATGCCTCCTCGAAAACTCAGAACCACCCGAAGCCCGAGCGTCCTCTTCTTCGCGTGTCTGCTTCTCATTTGCCCAACTTACGTATATCACAGTCGTCCATAGTTGATGGTATTCTTGATACCTCGTCTATATACAGCACCAAGCTCACCACACCCGTGCTTGACACACAGCCCAACTTCAACGCTGGTATGCAAGGTCGTCGCGCGCTGCATAGAGAAGGACAGCCACTGGATGCGTCTGATCGGAAATCCACTACCATCCCTGCCCATATCAAACGACGCGTCATCAGCAAGGAATTTTGGATGAAGGATGAAAATGCCCGTGACTGCTTCTACTGTGGTGATCCCTTTTCGACCTTCCGCAGAAAGCACCATTGCAGGACATGCGGTCAAATCTTTGATGCAAAGTGTACTGTGACTGTCCAAGGTAAGCCCTTTGGTCAGTCAGGCACGCTCAGATTATGCAAGCCATGCGACGCCATGATCTATGGCAGTGACGATGACTCGACGGTCTTTACTGACGAGGACGAACCCGTAAAGTCTCCCATCTCCGGTTCCCATATGCGGGACCAAGATGTCTTCAAGCCAGAAGAACCGGGGCTCGCAACACCTTCAATAGGTATTCCAGTGTCGAGGAGGAATAGGGAAGCCAAGAGGCGCTCTGCTGTCATTGAATTCGATATGCAGCCTACGTTAGCACGGCCAAGCTCATCTCGCTCACTAAAGTCCATGACTGGAAGACCGCATTCTTCAAGTCACAAGCGTCACCACTCTCGACATCAGTCCGTACGGCCACTCAAAACTCCTGCGGAAGAACGAGGGCCGTTCTACCAGAATTTCGCCGAAACACAGCGAAGACCGTTCACTGCCTTCCACAATGACAACATCATTGATCCCGACTTGGCTCCATTTTTATCTGATGACGGCTCTGACGCCGACGACCAGCCTAGCATTTACACCGCAATTAGTGATGTTCCTGGCCCTTCTTCGCTGGACAACGAACGGGCTGGTTTCACAAGTTTACTAGCTTCAGCAGTCAAGAAAGGTCGCTCACGAAGGGGCGATAGAAGTGCTGGTGGTCACAGCTTACGTGCCTCCCGTGACTTGGAGCACTTCATGTTTGCTTCTAAGCACCTGCCAAAGCTGCGAAAACAGCGCAATCCAAGCATCGGTAGCGTCGGTGTATCACGTCCATCTCCTCGAAGAAGCCGTAGTCAAAACATGATGAAGACTTTCGAAGCTGGAGCGAACGACCAATCGGTATTTGATATCTTTAACCCTGTTCTTGCCGACCAGGCTCAGGTCAAACGAAGCTCTGGCATGCATGGTCAGAATGCTCCTGCGGTCGAGCTGAACAGGGCCAGTATGCAACATGTTGAGCGTCTTCTGACCCAGCTACTCAAAGAATCTGAAATCCCTCGACGGCGACACTGGCAAAAAGCTCTAATGCCTATTCTTCTGCAGTGTCCCAATGACGTGGACCCAGATGTCCAGAACGGCGACGACATGGACATCAGAAACTATATCAAGATCAAGAAAGTACCAGGAGGCAAACCTGGAGATACGTCATACGTTTCAGGAGTCGTCTTCAGTAAAAACATTGCACTCAAGGGTATGCGTCGAAGCTTTGTTCGTCCCCGCATCGTGATCATATCGTTTGCTATCGAGTACGCGCGACATAATCATCACTTCATGAGCTTGGAGCCTGTTATTGCTCAAGAGCGAGAGTACTTGCGTAACCTTGTAGGTCGCATCGTCACGTTGAAACCACAGATTCTGTTGGTTCAGCGAAACGTATCAGGACTAGCTCTCAACATGCTGCAAGAAGCTGGAATTACCGTGGTCTACAACATCAAAGAATCTGTCCTTGCTGCTGTTGCTCGAATGACACAGACTGTCTTGATCAAGTCAATAGACAAGCTTTCGATCGAGCCTTCTGGCCTGGGACAGTGTTCCAACTTTGATGTCAAGACTTACGTCCACGGTAAAGTCAGAAAGACCTTTATTTGGATATCTGGCTGCCAGCCGGATCTCGGCTGCACCATCGTTCTGCGTGGAGCAGAGATGGAGACCCTTCGCCAAATCAAGCGGATCACAGAATTCATGTGCTATGTTGTCTACAACCTCAAGTTGGAGACCTGTCTCATGCGAGATGAGTTCGTGTTGATTCCTTCCTCGATCAGCACGACTAAATCAACCCCACCAAACATCAACGTCGCTGCCTCCAAAACAGCAGATGTCATGAGAGCCCCAGTCACGCCCACTATCCAAACACAAACTGAAACCGAGACCACCATCCCAGAATTATTAGTCCATATTGAAGACGGAAACCTTGACAGCAAACCAAACGCATTGAATCACCTTGTCGATGCAGCTCGACATGTTGCGCCCGAACCTTCTACCACAACACAGGACGATCAAGACGACGAGTCAATGCCATCGCAGTATAGAGAATTAATCGAGACAGCCAGGACTCGTCTGATCTCATCGTCGCCATTTGTCAAGTTCCCTGAACCCGTACTTCTCGCCAAGGTCCAAGACCAAGAGCGACGAGTTGAACAAACAAAAAGATTAAGAGACAGGTATGATGCATTCGAGGCCGGGCCAGACCATAATGAAAAGAGCGACGAGACTGGAGAGAAAAGTGTTGCCCCCACGAGCAAATTCGAGTTGGTCATACCAGAGATGATCTCGAAGCCTGTTCCTGCTGAACAAAGCAAATCTACTCGGAAATTTCTCCGGGACATTCATGACGCTCAATACGAAATGGCTCTCCACGAATACGGCATCAAGAAAAGACAATGGGAGTCATTCTTCTCGATCAGTAACAATAATCCGTTCAACCCCTTCAATCATCAGAACATCTTTGTCCTACATTCTCTCGTCAGCAATGCGTTGTCTGCACCTTGTGCCGGTCCTGAAGTTCTAGGTCTTTCATTCTATGCCGGCTGGGGAAATGCCGAACTAGGATTGGAGGAAGATCTTACTCTTGGACAATTCATAGAGGAGACTTGCGCCACTGCATCCACTGCTTGCAAACAATGTAGTCACCGCATGTTTGATCACCATCGTCAATACGTCCACGGCGCCGGCCAAATCAGTGTCTCTGTCAAACGCTTCCCTTCCAAATTCCAGAATCTTCACAATACCATTCTCATGTGGTCAACCTGTAAGATATGCCAACAGGAAACTACGTGGATACCAATGTCAGACAACACCTGGAAATATTCTTTTGGCAAATACCTGGAGCTCAGTTTCTGGAGCACACCACTGAAGCCACGAGCAGGCGTATGCCCGCACGACATACACAAAGACTTTGTGAGATGTTTCGCCTTCCAAGGTCTTGCTGTCCGCATTCAATGGGATAATGTCGACTTGTACGATGTCTTGGTGCCCACACCTACCATCAATTGGGAGGTCAATGCTGGGCTCGAGCTCAAGAATCAGCTCTATCTGCACTTCCAAGCGCGTTTGTCAGCTTTCATTGCCTCAATAAGAGTTCGTCTGAACTCTATCAACCTCTCTACTGTCGCGCCAGAGAAGCAGTCCGATGCTTCAGCGACTCTCGAAAAGCTGGCACAGAGGGTAGACAGCGATCATGAGGCCTTGTTGCAGAAACTTCAAGACAAGTACATGGCTTCCAAATTCTATGAAGTCATCCCTCTCAATCGCGCTGTTCGCATGATGGACGAGAAGGCACTCGCATGGGATGAAGACTTTAATGACTTTGAGACGAAGTTCTTTCCTTCAGAACATGATATAAGAAGATTGGCTACTCTCCAGTTGAAAAAGTTGTTCCTCGATCGAGGCGAAGCAGCTGGAATTTCTCATTACGATCTGAATGATGCCGATGAAGGCATGGAAATGAAAGAGAGACCGACTTCGGGCATGGGCCTCACTGATGAAGATCTCCAATCAGAAAAGGCTCAGCACATGCTCACTGCTGTTGTCGAAGAACATGGTCACTCACATCCAGAGGCAAGTAACAACATGAACACTCTCGAACCCGGAGTTCAGAGTACCGAAGGTTCAGACAACCCCATTCTGTCCAAACAACTGTCTCCTAGCGAGATTGAGCAGGCTGTCGAGAGAGACGATGTCAAACATCTCGATCTTGCCGTTCCTTCAGCCTTCTCAGAACCTCCCGGAGATCAAGAGACCCCGAGAGCCGAGAACGGCCTACAAGAAAGAGATACGGTCGAGTCCAAATCTCCCGAGTCATTCGTAACCGATCCCAAACCGTTGAACTCCAGTATTCTCGAACGTATCGAACAGATGCGTTCCGCTGCCGCTGCTGCAACAAGCCCGGAGTCAGGTATGCCTGAATCAAGAATACCACGTCTTGTCCGCAGTCGAGGTCCCATATCTCCACCACTTGGTCGAACGCAATCACAGCCTGATGGCATACCGAAGAGAAGTATAGATTCCACCTCGGAGATGCCAACAATCCATGCAGTTGGCAGTGGTGAGAGCTCGGGTACTACTACACCTACTCCTGGAAAACATCAGAACAGAGACCTAGCCAAGTCCATCGAACTTCGATTGAGTGACCGGCTGGGTGGCGGCTTCATCAAGACTGGAAGAACACAACAATCTTTAATTCCGAGATCTGTGCCGAGCAAGGCCTTTGATAACAACACCCGAGTTTCGGCTCTTGCCAAACACTTTGAACAACTATCTCGTGAGTTCGAGAGAGAAAGAGCGCGTGAGCGTAGGCAGCGAGCGGCTCGACGAAGACAAGTCCGTGCCAATCCTCTGGCTAGCAGCAAACCTGTCGTTGAGGTCTATCGAGATGCTCGCGAAGCGGTTGGTGAGAGAACTGAGCCCGAGGCCGACGAGCCTGCCACGAGCGACGCGAACAATACATCAGATCTGCCGATGGAAGATGCACCCGAATCAAACTCAGACAACGTTCGGGACCATCACGAAAACGATGACGCCACCGAGGATGAGACTGCGGAGTCGACCACTGGCCATACTGATACGGACGTTGAAGGTGATACGACAGACAACGACATTCATCTGCCCTACAAACCTGGTCATTCAGATGTCGGATCAATCTCGGGCAATGGTTCGACTGCATCACCTCATGATGCAGACTCGCACTTGGACATGACATTGCCGAGACACGAGAAGCACTCGTTGATGAAGATGCTTACAAGCTTCTGGTCCGAACGTTCATCATCCGGCTGGATATCGCTCGACTACCCATTGCACTCCAACGAGCACGTCTTTGATGATAGCGACATCATCGTACGAGAAGACGAGCCCGCATCAGTCATTGCACTCGCCCTCTCCTCTGCAGATTATACCGCCAAACTTCGAGAGTTCCGCGGCAATCCCAACGGCGGCTTCCACGGGCACCGAGGCCACACTGAATCGCAATCCAGCTTCAACTTTGCCGCAGACATCAGTAGCAATGATGCCAGCCAGCAATCTGCCATCGAAGCCAGTCTGATCAGTGAAACGGGCACGCACATGAAATACAGCTTCAGCCACAACAACGTGCGCGCCACTTGCAAAATTTTCTACGCCGAGTCCTTTGATGCACTCAGACGCAAATGCGGCGTCAGCGAACGATTCGTCGAATCGCTTTCCCGATGCGCGAAGTGGGATTCCAAAGGTGGCAAGACCAAGTCGCTCTTTCTCAAGACCTTGGACGATCGCTTCGTCATCAAGTCCTTGCAGGAAGTCGAGCTGAAGGCGTTTACCAAGTTCGCTCCTGACTATTTTGCCTTTTGCGCTCAGAGTCTGTTCCATGGCGTTCCCTCTGTGATTGCCAAAATGTTTGGTCTTTTCCAAGTCGAGCTGCGCAACCCTTCCAATGGTGTCGAATTTTCTTCCTATCTTCTCGTCATGGAGAATCTCTTCTACTCTCGCAATCCCACCCGCAAGTTTGACTTGAAGGGCAGCATGCGCAACCGCAAGATTGAGAGTACGGGATTACCTGATGAAGTGTTGCTTGATGAGAATTTGGTCGAGACTATTTTCGAAAAGCCGCTGTTTGTTAGAGAACACGCGAGAAAGCTGCTCAAAGCTAGCGTGTGGAATGATACCATGTGGTTGTGCAGGCAAAATGTTATGGATTACTCGTTGATGGCTGGCTTCGATGACGAAAAGAAGGAATTGGTTGTTGGTATTATTGGTGAGTTGTTTCCCCCTTCTTTGCTCTCTCTCTGTTTTTCCCCCTTTCCACTTTTCTTCTTTGACGAATGCTAATGTCGTTGCTCTCAGATTGTATCAGAACCTACACTTGGGACAAAAAACTCGAATCCTGGATCAAAGACCGCGGCAAGAACAAACCCACCATCACATCCCCCAAGGACTACCGCAACCGTTTCCGCGTCAGCATGATGCAATATGTGTTGCAAGCACCCACAGTCTGGCACTCTTTCCTCGCACCCGGTTTGCCAGTCACCGGCGTAACATTCAATGCGGCTGGCACGGTTGAGGTTAGCAGAAATGGCAATGGGCTGGGTGCTGCAGTGATGGGAGGGGGAGGAGGAAATGCAGAGGGAAGGAGTGTAGCGGGCAGTTGGGAGGAGAGAAGTACGGCTGATGAGGATAGGAGGATTGCGCTGCAGGCCGAGGGACAGGTGTTGGACGATGCTACTATCAGGGAGATGTCGACCATGTCGTTTGTCTAGATGGTGTCACATTCGGAAGATTCAAGAGATGAGGATATTCTCGTTTACAATACCAATTACGCCCTGAACCTTGTGCGAGATTCTGTCTACCTACGTAGAGCCTCGTGAACTCTTCCTGCTCAATCTCTGTGATGGATCTAAACTCTGACAATTCTATCGCTTGCAGTCTCAACAGAGGCCGTTTCCGCTCCACTGACATCAAGTACCTCGACCCAGCAAATCACCCACATCCCTGAGTTCCACAGCCGATGCACTTGCCTGCGAATTGTCTCCAGAAGCCAGACTCTCGTTCGACCCAACACCGACCCACCTCCTGAGCAAACTGACCACCCTTCCCCTCTGCGCAGTCCCAGGAACCAGGAAGGCCTGTTGAATATCCTCCAAACTCAATCCTCGTGTTTCAGGCATGCTAAGCATCAACACCAACACACTGATTGCACAAATGCCTCCGAACAGAAAGTATGCTCCGTAGCTCGACTTTGCTAACAGCACAGGCGTGACAATCGCAACGATCCAATTTGTAAAGAAACCCAATCCCTGCGCTACAGCTGATGCCGCAGATCTCGTGGCTGCAGGTTGGATTTCCGACGCGTAGATTTTGCCGACTATACCCCAGGTAGCTGAGTATGCGAGCCCGAAAACGAAAACGAGGATGATGACCAGCCAGCGAGCGGGGTTCTGTGGTGTTACGGAGTTGGATGCGTACAAGGTGCCGATGGTGAACATGCAGAAAGTGAGGAGGCAACCACCGACGATTATGCTGCTGCGACGGGAAACTTTGTCTGCGAGAAGTAAAGCGGGGATGCTGATGCAGAGGATTAGGATGGCGGAGAGACCTGAGGCGAGAAAGGAAGAGGTTTTTGCAGAGATGCCGGCTTGGGCGAAGAGGGTGGGTGCGTAGTATCTGTTCCAGTCCATCAATATTATACTACTTGCAAGAGATGCTGCAGGGCTGAGGAAAGGGCAACTCACAAAACGCCATCGATACCGCTGAGTTGAATCACTCCTAGCACGTAGAGGGCCAGTAAGGCTGGTTTACGGTAGGGTTTGCGGAAGAGCATTGTTAGGCCTTCTACGGGACCTGGCTGTCGTGTGTTCATCTGTTGTTCGGCAGCTGGACCAAGGAGATCTTTCTCAGCCTCGACGGCGCTAAAATCGAGGCTTTTGAGTGCTTGGATGGCTTTCTCGCGGTGGCCGTGTAGCAGCAGCCAGCGAGGTGATTGAGGTAGTACCAGTGGCATTGTGGCAAGCAAGAGTCCGAGAACAGCTTGGATGATATAGGGTGCTGCATTGTATCAGTCCAGAAAACAGAGCATCAAAGAAGGAAAGGACTGCTGACCTCGCCATGAAAAGCTAGACTCTACTCTGACGCTGCCATAACAAGTAAAGTATCCAGCGCAGATACCCGCACAAGCCATAAACTGTGGCAAGGACACCAACATACCTCGTCTTACCGACGGAGCAATCTCAGTGATATACCTAGTTCATCTCACATCAGCATATATTTCTCGTCATCACCGCCATCAACGCAACAGAAACCTTACACGCTAACATTGCTCAACCACAACCCCTCACCAATTCCACAAAGCGCTCTGCCAGCGAGAAACACGCCCAACTTGTTGGCAGCTCCCTCCAATACAGCACCGATGGTAAACACCAACGCCCCTGCAGCAACAATAGCAAGGCGTCCAAAGCGATCAGCAAGTTGACCAGCAAAGAATGATGGAAACCCGCCGGTGAGCATGATGAGGGAGACCGTGAAGCCACGGAGGAAAGGCGATAGTTCGCCAATACTGCTTGCGAAGTAGGGCATTTCGGTTACGGCACCTATGCTGCCTGTATCGTAGCTGTGGAAGCAGAGTAAGTGATGTGGTTTTGGTTGAATGGAGGATGGAGGTGTAGATGCAAGAGGATAGACATTACCCATTCAGGAAACCTCCCAGAGAGATGGCGACGGCGGACAGAACATAGCCTGGCGGCTTAAAGATGGTGAGCTTCATATTTTAGCCGTTGGAAGGCGTAATTCGTTCAAGCTTGTGGATGAACAGAAGTCATCAAAGGCTGGAAATGTGATATTGACTGTTCTTATCTGTCAATCTGTTGTAGGATCGGTATTTTTGTACCAGACGTCATGGGTGCATGGGTTGGAGGTGGTTGCCTGCGATTGCACTCTGATGGTTGGTTGCAACACGATGGTGTAAGCAAGGTGCGGGGTCGGGAGGATTGTGTTTTGGCCGATGAGATGGCAGGAGCGGCGTGCAGAACTTGTCTTTTCGAACCATGACCGAACAGTCGAGAACAAGCACAATGAACTGTGGTCTGGCTGGCAAGTGGAGGTTTCAAAAGTATATCGAAGCTTTGTCTATCGTTTTCATAAGATACAGCCACCCGTGGCCTATCGCCAGGGATAATCAACACAAACCATGACTTTTCTCTTGTTTGCTCATCAGAAAACAACCACAAATCATATTTGTACAATTGGCGTTACTTTTTCCCATCCACACATCAAAAGTCATGCAGCTGAAATTTCCTATATCTTCAGTTTCATGAGAAGAATTTAGGCCTTGGTAGAGGGGAAGACAGCCTTTGCGACATTCTTTGCAGCCTCGAGAGCGCCAGAGAGACCGAACTGGGTGTTGATACCCTCGACACGGTGGGTCGAGTTGATGTTCTTGACCATGGTGATCTGGTAGCAGGTGGCGGAACCTTGACGGGAAATGATGGTCGAGTAGGCAAGGAAGTATTCCCAAATCTGTGGGAAATGTTAGTCGGCAGATATTGACAGCGTGAATGATGGAGGTGACTTACTCTGAACCAGCGCTTGCCGTACTTGGCCTCGACCTTCTCGCGGTTGCCCATCCAGTTGCGGTACCAGCGCCACAGAGTAGCACTGTAGTGAACACCAATGGTATCAATGCTCTTGATTTCAAAACCAGCACCCTCGAGCTTGTCGACAGTCCAGCCAAGGGGAGTAGAAGCGTCAGCACCGGGGAAGATGTACTTGTTCATGAAAAGACCCCAGATGAGATCCTCGTACTGCCAAGGCTTGCGGATACCAGCGTACTGCATGAAGAAGACACCATCATCGTCGAGCATGTCGTGGATCTGGCTGAGGAAAGTGGAGAAGTGACGGACACCGACGTGCTCGGACATCTCGAGACAGGTGATCTTGTTGTACTTGCCCTGGGGAACGGGAGTGTCGCGGTAGTCCATGCACAAGATACGGCTCTGCTCCTCGGGGACACCGAGCTTGCGGAGACCGCTGTTGCCCCAGGCAGTCTGATTGCGGCCGAGAGTGATACCGGTAACCTGAGCACCGTAGTGGGCAGAAGCAAACTTGGCGAGAGTACCCCAGCCACAGCCGAGGTCTAGCATGCGATCACCAGCCTGGAGAGCAATCTTCTGGCAGACAATGGCCAACTTGTTGTCCTGCAGTTCCTCAAGAGTCTCTTCCTTGTTGATGTCGGAGATGATACCAGAAGTGTAGATCATGCGAGGACCGAGGAACCAGGAGTAGAAGTCATCACCGCGGTCGTAGTGATCGCGGACCTGCTCCTCATCTTGCGAACGAGTGTGCATGATGACCTCGGGCATCATGCCAGTAAGGAAGAACCAGAAGAGAGACAGAGTGAAGCGGAAGTTGGCCCAGTCGTGACGGTACTCCATGACCTCGAGAGCGTCGCCATTGAAGTCGACATCGCCGTCAAAGTACTTCTCGTGGAAAGTCTCCATGGGGATCTTGCTGCGGCCGTGGTACTTTGCGCGATCGGCCTCCTTGTGGAACTTGAGGTAGTGCTCAACGGGGGCACCAGGGTAGCGGGCCTTCTCGTTTTTGCGGGGAGTGTAGCCGGAAGCAATGGTCCAGAAGGCCATCAAGATGGGGATGGCAGTCAGGAGACCAAAGAAGACCCAGGTCTTGAAGCCACCACCGAGCTTGTAGGCGATGTAGGCGGGGACACCGCCGAGGAGAGCGAACAGGACATAGTTGTTGAACGACTCGCTACCAGCTGCGTCGGCGGGGAGAGGGGCGTTCTTGATTGCTGGGTACTGTAGCAATTGGGTCAGCAATGAATTGACGATGGCAAGCAGAGAAAGTAGAGAGGCATTGGCTTGCAATAAGCAGAGAGGAAGACGCCCAAGGCAGAGGATTGCCTCTGGCACGCGAGCAGAAGGGAAGAGGGAAAGAGAGACTCACAGCAGTGCTGCGTACGCCAAACTCGGTGCTCTCGGGAGCAGGAGCAGGAACAGAAGGAGTCTTGATGAAGTTGGTCAACTCCTCCGAGTACTCGGACTTGTACTCGTCTTTGCTGGCCATGGTTGCTGCGGAAGACCTCGTCGTGTGAACAAAGAGATCCCTGCCAGAAACAGAAATGTGCAAGCACCTCTCCTTTTAAATATTTCTCAACAAACGACACGAAACTGTGTCCCCTTGACCACACGCGCCAAAGCTCCAAAAAGCTTGGGCCCTGTCCGCGTCTGAGTGGGTTGGCGGCTTTCTTATCCAGCGTTCCTCTCCATGGCCTGTCTTTTGGCCAAGGTCCAGCAGCATACAAATCACGGACAGACCAGATACATGGGGAACCTGCCTGTGGAGCCTTGCCTGGCTGTACCTCTTTCTGAGATTCACCAACTCCATGTATATCGTATCCTCGCAGCCACGGACACACATACTGTCTGCTGATTCTTGGCAAACGATGGATAGCAGCGCGCTGTTCGTTAACGACTCACCGATTCCTATCGCTGTTCGACTCCGCTGCCCGCCATCCCACATCTGGAACACTCCCGCGGGACCCTTGAACGCGTTATCGCTGCAATCGACTCCCTGTTTCACGTCTTTCCTCTGACATACTCTACACCAGCTTCAGACACAGTTTTGTTGCTTTTCTCAACTCCCATTTTCATTGAAGACCATTACTACTTTACATTTGTTGTCGTGAGCATCGATAGTCTGCCATCGAATGCTTCTTCTCGTTCTGTCTTTGAGCAACCTTTCCTTCTGTTTCCTTCTGATATCTGTACAACCTGAAATGGGGAGATTGTCAAGCCATAAAAGCAAGCACTGCCCCCTTTCCGCATTTTCCATCTTTTCCTTCTCCATCCATGTTGTCGTTACTGTGCTGTTCCATGTGTTTTGCGTCTCATGTCTCTTGGTCTTCATGTCTTCGTTCCTTCAAAGTCCCATATATGGTCCTTTAAACTCTGGACTCGCGGTCTCTTATCAGCATGTCACCAATAGAGTCCATACAGTAGGCGATGTACTCTGTGGTAGCCACAGCAACAGCGGCGAACGACTCCTCAAGGTCCTTGCCACGGGCGACGTCAAGCATGGCCTTCTCAAGTCCATCGTGCATACGCTTGAAGAGACTGCGATGAAGAGCCTTGACTTTAGCCTCAAGCCAATCGAGAGGATAGATGTTGGCGAGTGCAAAGGATGCGTACAGCATGCTAGCAGACATGTGGTCGTACTGCTGCATGAAGTCGTCTGTGGCCCTGATCGACACGGTGAAGTCCTCCAGCTTGGTCGAGTCTGAGAGATCGCGGAGCATGAGCATGTAGCTGGCGCGTTCCTTCCAGTCTGTATTATTTCTGGTGGGTCTGAAGGCGTACTTCAGGGCATCGGTGACGCACCTGACAGTCAAAGCCACCCTCAGAACGCGAAGATTGGTCATCTTCTTCGCAATGGTTGCGAAGATCTTGGTCCAGCACTTAATGTGCTTCTGCTCCCAACGGTTGTTCTCAGCCTCGTTAGGAATACCGTAGGTACGTACGTGGACGTGCAGTCTGGTGATGCAAGCAAGGTTTCTGTTGGAGACGGCTTTAAGAAAGCTTCTCAGACGTTGTGCATCGTCGAAGTAGAAGACAGTGTTACCGTAGAGAATGGGAGCAGTCTCGTGGTAGATGGTCCTGCAGGTGAGCAGCAGACTGTTGAGAGAAGTTTCCCAGTCCACACCCTCTATGGGCTGAGGCTTACGACCGGGGATACGATCGTACGAGAGACCTCCGTGGATGACCTTACGGCAGACGTTTCTGGTCGTCTTCTTGATGGACGACATAACGATTCTGATGGACCTGGTAGCCTTGGGGCGTTCGGGCTCACGATGCTCGGTGATAGCATCAAGAAGAGGGCTTCCGTCGCGGCAGGGCAAATCGTCATGGCGCCTGATGATGACGAGACGCTTGTCGAAGAGATGACCGTAGATCTGGTTACGGACCTCTACAGGTAGGCGAAGCATTCCTGGAGCAAGGGAGACATCCTCGTGTCCGTGAATAGCATCCCTGTCAGGCTCCGATACGAAGCTAGACTGAGAGTCCTTGAAGAGACCGTGGAGCGACAACTTGTGGAGAAACTGGGGCCACTTCCAGGTGCTTTTCTTGACAAGTGCATCCTGGCGTACGACAATTTGCTCGGGCTCGAGTTCAGGGTCTGGCTCTTCTCCAAACAGAGGTTCATCAGCGCGGGCATTGGTTGACATCAGATCGTCGGGAGCACTGAGCCTGCGGATGGTCTCACTGCCAGAGGCAGGAGACATCACGCGAGCGATCTGGAGAGTAGTCAGTCATTGGAAGTCTCTATATGCTGCTCGAAAGTCTAGACTTACGGGTGCTCTCTTGCGTCTGAACCATCTACGACGCTGTGGGGCAGGGGCTTCTGCCATGGTTGAAGGGTTGTTCATGGCTTGGCTACGTGTTAGCGGCTTCCGCAGTTGCACTTTCCGAAGGGAAGTTGGCTCGATGGCATACCGTGAGTGCTAAGAAGCAAGACCGTGAGTTCGAATCCGTTGCGTATCGCAAAGAGGTCAAGCAAGGTCGTGAGTTCGAGTCTGATGAGTGCCGAGTGAGGTGAAGAAAGGTCGTGAGTTCGAATCCGGTGAGTAACAAGGTAAAAGGACGGGCGCAGAGAAACTCGAGTGAAGGCTACAAGCTTGTAAACAGCTACTCCTGGCGGCAAAGCCGATGATGTTGTCGTACGCAAAGCTAGTGAGTGCGCCTGTCCCAGTCGCGGTGCGGTTTGCGATGATTTTACGCAGCTGTTCGTTTTGACGCCTGCTAGGCTACAAGCACAACAACTACTGCAAACTAACGCCAAATGAGTTTCAGCCTCAGTCTACCTACAATTCTGAAAGTCTGTGGTGCACACACGTTGCCACTGAGGTATACTCGAGTAGAATATGCGTCGTTTGCTTGCATGTTGTGTGCATGCTACGTACCTACCTTAGCCATATCGCAGACCATAGATACCTAGACCTGTCCAACTCCTGATCAGCCATGATGACAGAATGTATAACTTAGAGTGTTTTAACTTTGATGTGTATAGAGAAAGGAGCGAGGAGATGAAGTAGACCGCAGTTACTCGCTGCTGCGAGGCCTTATCCGAAAATCACCCGAACCAATGATCTGCTTCGACAAACGACTCCGTTCTACTGCATTCTGTCTACCCTGGAGTGTCAACTGTTCAAGGTTGCAGTTGCTAGCGATGGGTTATGAACTATTCATTAAGAAGCTGTGATAAGGCCTATGTGCTGTTGAGTTGATTGAATAAGATCGAACATGAACTAATAGATATAAGGATGTCAGCAAGAAGAATGGTTATCTCTTCGGCAACCGGAATCAGAGTCCGATTACCAAACAAGAGTAACAAAGAGAGGAACAAGTCCAACTAAAGCCATGCTTCAGCAGCTCTACAGCCAGAGCATCCATTTTACCCCGCTGACAGCACCGGAGAAAATGCCCCTGAAGAAGCGGATAATGATGACCACAAACCACACTCCCCACAGCAGACCCAGAACAATCCATTCCAGTACTGTGAACGAAGCTTTTTGCAAGAAGATCAATTTTCTCCTGCGGCGCCTGAGCACATTGTCAATGGCATCGTTGACTTGCTTGATTGCTAGCGTGTGCTGTGTGGTGAGCGCCACTGTGAAAGCATCTGCTTCATCGGCGGTAGAATGTACGAGAGGTGTAAACTTCTCGTCCACCTTGATTCGCAAGTCTGCCAATCTGTCGTGCAGGCCAGGAAGTTGGTTCTCGCGAAAAGAGGAAAGTTGCTTGGAGAGGCTTGTCGTTTGATCCTTGATAGTCTTGTGTAGCATTCGCGCAGCGAGATTGAATTCTTCCTTGACGCAGACAGGGTTGGTGCTCTGGCCTGACGTTTTTGCTGCAGCGACGTAGAATTGAGATGGCGGGTCGGCCGTACTATTAACGCGCCGTACGATCTCGTGAGCTTTTATTCCGCTGCTGAGGTAGAGAGCGCGTATGCGCGCAATATCAAGCGAGGTTACCATTGTTGGCTCCGCTTCAAGATCAGCACCATGGCGGTCTGAAATGCTCCAATGACGTTTGGAAGGCGAAGTCTGTCGTGATTGCGAAGGTGTCGCGTTCTCGACTGTTGACAAACCTGTCTCGAAGCCACCGGGCTGGCGAGTCTTGCGAAGGGGACCTAGGAGGTCTTGATCATTGCGATCGCCTCCATCGCTCGAGTAGCGCGAGATAGGTGTTCTTCGGGTTGGTGATACTGATGGCGACTTCTCTCGTGGAAGATTGATGCGAGGTGGGGCCAGCCTATCAAACCTAGAAGATCTACTCTCTTCTCTATGTAACTTGCTTTGCCGAGCAATGTGGCCCTCCTCTGCATCGCTTTCCGCGATTTGGTTGACTGGTCTGAAGGACGGCAAGTTGAAGTTGTTCAGCTTTTGCCGCTCCTGTTCTTTTTGCTTCGGAGTAGCGCCAACTAGGATAGAGTTTGATCTGTGCACGGGTGGCACCTTGCGAGGTCGGTTCTCGTCTTGTTCTTCGGTATCCATATCAGAGTCAGACATGTCTGAAGTGACCTGCTGATCTTTCTTGCGAGACCTTTCACTCTGACGAGAACTATCCGAGCGTACCAAGTCTCCAATGCGGCCACCCTTGAAGAAACGACCAACGCCGACATCCTTGGACATACGGCGACCTGGATTGAGAAATGTGCTGGTGATACTACTGGAGGTTTTGTGCCGCTTGATGCCTGGAACCGGAGGCCGTGAGGAGTCAAAACTGGAGCGAGGCGGATCAACATTATCGCTGACGTTGCGTGAACTGGCCAGACTGGCTAGAGTGGGGGTCGCGAAGTCTGTACGGTGGACCTTGTCGTCAGAAGCATTCCTGCTGGACCTGAACAAACCGAACTTTCTCTCCGGCGAGCTTTGGCGACTTGTGGGAGGCGATAGACTCATACCAAACGAAGGTATGTGATTGGCGACGGTGGGCGAGCTAGGGGCGGTAGAATCGTCAAAAGAAGGCCGAGTATGATCGTTGGGTTCATCGGTCTTGGACGAGTCGTTTCGTTTGTGATTGTTGACCGATGGACTATCAGCTAGAGTTGATGGGGCACTTGACTTCTCATTTGGCTGTTCATGGCCTCTATCCCACTTGTCTGGCGAGATGAAATCAGGAGAGTCTGGTTCGATGCCTAACGTCTCTTTCTCAATCAACTTTTTCATCTGGCGCTCTAATGGACCGGTGTTGTCAAGATCTGGAGCGTTTCCAGGGCCCAAGAACTGCTTCTTGCGGTTCGAGGGGCGAGCTGAAGTGGCACTGGACATGCTACTTGAACGCGATCTGTTTCTGAACAAGTGCTTGCGGGCCGAGTTGTCGCCATGTCGTAGAGAAAGGAACTTTGATCTGATGCGACCTCGATCCGTCTCATCATCACTCTTTAGGGTACTGCCCCAAGTGTTTGTGCGCGACATGGAAGGTCTGCTGTCGGCACTTTTCCTGGCGCTTCTCGTGCTCTCGAAACTTGAGCGCGGTTGTTGTGGGAATACTCGATGACCGTGCCTGTTCTCTATGCAAGCTCTGTTCCCAGGTTGTAGCAGCCAAACAGCGTCGGCCAACAGTTCGGCAGGGGTGAAAGACCAGTCAGTTTCGGAACGGGTGATCCTGGTCGCAGCTGTGTCGGTACGCCTGTGGGAGCGAGTAACTTGGTTTGGAGCATCATCCTGACCTCGGCTGGGTCGGCGGAAGGTTGGAAGGAGGGATGAGTCCAAGGTGGAACGGTAGGTAGGATCGCTAGCTTCATGCTCGATCTCGTCGATGTAGCTCTTGACTTTGGCCAAGTCTTCGTAGGCTTCGATGGGAGGATCAAGAGGTCGTTGCTCGCGATGACGGGCTTTGCGATTTCGTAATAGCTGCAGCGGATTGTATTCTCTTTCCAACTCTTTCTGACTCCTCTCGGAGCGTGGAGACGAAGCAGAGACGGTAGGTTTCAGAGGTGGGAGATTTGTCAACAAGCGTCTGTATTGGGAAGACAGCTCGAAGAACTTGCGTGCTCGGTCGGCGCGGTGGATGGTGGCCTGCGAGAAGTCATAGTCGACGTCTTGACCAGGTGTGAAGACGGAATCGTGCTCGGTGGAAGGGCGTGAAGCAGAGTCGCCAGGGGAGATGGGTTGAAGAAGGTCGTTGCCCATAGGGGATCCGGCAGAAACATGGATGGCAGGCGGACCACTGGAACGTACACGGCGCTTGTCGGTCGAAGGAGCAGGGACCTGCAGACTGGCACTGACATGGCGGCGACGACCTTCGCTCAGACTGAGGGCCATCTGTACCAGCTGCGTCGGGTCCAAAGAAGCCTGCGGCACGGGAAGAGGCTGGGCGGGACTGTTGTTTGGGCTCGAGACATTTTGGCCCAGTCGTGAGGGCATCCACGGCGTTGACTTGGTGGGCTTTGATGGCGAGTCGGTCGATTTGGACGACCTGGGCGGAGAGTCGATCTTGTCATCCTCGATGTCCCTTGGTTGGAAGAGGTTGCCCATCAAAAAGCCTCCTGACTTGAGCGGACGACGGCGGGATACGGTCAAGTTGTTGGTGTCATCCCTGTCTTTTCCTCTACGGCTGCCAGCATCGCTACTCCTGGCCCACGAAGCGTATTTCGCAGAGTCGGCATAGGCAGAGCTGCCTGTAGAGGTCCTATCGCTGTTGGATGCCATGGCCGACATGTCGCGCCGTCGTCGTGTTATGGTGCAGTGGCAGCAGCGGCAGGTGAGGGACCGACAGATCGAGAGAGGTTGTGTGTCGAGAACAACATGATCAGGTCGGGTTGGCTACACACGCACGTCCAGTGTCCATGCCCAAGAGAGAGAGATTATTTGATAATGTGAGAGCGATTGCTGCCTCGTGCTCGTGCTCATCACGACGCCCCAACTCGACGCGGGGGGCCCTTGAGACGATGATCGCCCGTCGGCAATTCCGCCTTGAACCGTTCCTTGTCCCGCGAAGCGTCCAAGTGTCATGATCCTCCTGTCTGTCATCTCGTTAAACCCTCGTCCACCAACAACAAACACAACCTTGGGTGGCCTTGACCGCTGATCAACAAAATTGATATATACACCCTCTCGCCTTCCATTCCTGTCTCTGCTTTCGATCCTTCGACAGCCGTCGAGGTCAATCAAGGGCTTGGAAGTGACATCATGCTTATTCAGGATAGCTCCCTCCTTCGATCTATCGATAGTTGATTAGAAATGCATCCTTGAGTACTTCTCCTCGACTATGGATAAAGGCCAAGTATTATTACCCTCTGAACCCTTTCACCGTATTCTACCATTCTCCACTTCAACTTTCTCTCTTCAACACATCTCCACAACCACGATTCACAATGCCTCCAATTCAAAAAGGCTCGACCGTACTAGTCACTGGCGCAAATGGCTTCATCGGTAGCCACATCGTTGACCAGCTCCTCCAGCTAGACTACAAGGTTCGCGGCACCGTCAGAACAGAAGCGAAAGGCAAATGGGTCCAGGACTTCTTTGACAACAAGTATGGTCAAGGTAAACTCGAGCTTGTCGTTGTGCCTGCCATGGGCGTGAAAGGCGCCTTCGACGATGCTGTCAAGGGTCAGTTTCTTCTCAAGCCGCTCTGCAACACAAGCACTAATACTCTACAGGCTGCGAGGGAGTCGTCCACGTCGCGACCAACATTTCCTTCTCCAAGAACCCCAACGAGGTCATCCCAGACGTCATTAACGGTGTCACCCACACTCTCGATGCCGCCAACAAGGAACCCTCGGTCAAGCGATTCGTCTTCACATCGTCTTCTACCGCTGCAACCAACCCTATCCCCAACAAGGAGTTCAACGTTGACCAGTCGTCGTGGAACCAATACGCCATCGACAAGGCCTGGGCTGATCCACCCTACACCGAGGCCGACAGAGCTTGGAACGTCTATGGCGCTAGCAAGACCCAGGGAGAGCAGGCTGTATGGAAATATGTCAAGGAGAACAACCCTCACTTCGAGTGTAACACCATTCTCCCTAACGCAAACTTCGGCCCTATCCTCGACAAGAGTCAGGATGCAAGTACTGCTGGGTGGATCAGGGACATTTTCACGAAGGGGTTCGCACCTCAGCTTGAGCAGATTCCACCTCGTACGTTCACGTTCTCCTCGTCTGCGGCTTTTCGTAAACTAACTCGTATAGAATGGTTCGTCAACGTCCAGGACACCGCACGCCTGCACGTCGCCGCTCTCATTGATGCCGACATTAAGAATGAACGTGTCTTCGCCTACGCCGAGCCTTTCAATTGGAATGACGCCCTCGCCGCCATGCGCAAAGCTCGTCCCGATAGTGAGGTCCCGGAAGACCGCAAGGACAACAGCAGGGATTTGAGCAAGATTCTGCCTCAAGCTCGTGCTGAAGAGATCCTCAAGAAGAACTTCGGTCAGGACAAGTTCATTGGACTAGAGGAGTCTATCGAGGCCAACATTCAGAATCTGTAGACGATGTTGTCCAACAAGAATATGAAGCCTGAGATAGCCCTAGCATATATCAATGGGTTGCGTGGCCCAATGGCAAGGCGCTTGACTACGAATCAAGAGATTGCAGGTTCGATCCCTGCCGTGATCATTTTGTTTTTTGCTCCATGAGTGCTTGGAGACGGCGCAGTTGTGTAGACGTCAAGAACTTTTTCGTGCGGGCTCAAAAACATGATAATTCGTCGGACCGGCAAAACTCGCGTGCTGGTGACGAACGCCGAGAAGGAAACCGGAAATAGACCACCCGGCCAGTGCACAGACATCGACTTCTAGAAGCCGATCAGGCAAGAGCGATTCCTTCGACAAGGCAGCCACGACGGTGTTGCACAGCCTCCAGAATGTCCATACAGCTTACAGACACAGCCACCTATCCAATAGTGTGCAGAGTGGCTGTGGTACAGAAAGCCCGGCTTGTGGATTGAGATTCGAGATATTGACCCGCTGAAATAATAGCAAGCTGCGCCATGACTAGCAAATGGTCCATCCTAATGCGCTATGTCGTGTTTGATACGACAAACACGTAGCCTGTCATAAGAAGAGAGTAGAAAGCCCCCCTCATCCTTCCAACTCCACCTACAACTATAAAACACAACCTCAAGATCCCCCATTCTTCCTTTCCACCTCCACATCATCAACACCTCAAGCATGTCATACAACAACTACAACAACCACGGCGGTGAAGCCCAAGGCTACTACGGCGGTGGTCAGCAACAGCAGGGCTATGGCTCTGGAGCCCCTTCGAACCAGTACGGCGACAACCAGCGCTACGGCGGCCCCCAACAGCATAACAACCAATACGGCGGTCCCCAGCAAGGTCAATACGGCGGTTCTCAGCAGGGTCAGTACGGCAACGAGTCACGCTATGGCGGCCCTCAGCACGACCAAGGATACGGACAACAAGGTGGCTACCAATCCCACCAGCAAGACGGGTACCAGTCCCATCAACAAGGCTATGGTCAGCCTCAACAGCCATTGACTGCTCGTGACGAGTACCCCTCCCAGACCCATGGCGGCTACGGCGGTAACACCTTTTACCAAGGCTCCGAATCTGCTCCTTACAACCCAAACCAACCTTCGTACGGTGGTCAGCCTGGAGCTGAAGGCGACCGTGGTCTGATGGGTGCTTTGGCTGGTGGTGCTTCTGGCGGTGTCGCTGGTGCATACGGAGGCCACAAGATGAACCACGGCGCTCTCGGCACCATTGCTGGCGTAGTGGGCGGAGCCTTTGCTGGCTCCAAGCTCGAGGACGCTGGCAAGGAACATCATAAGAAGAAGGAAGAGGAGAAATACGCACAACAACACCAAGGTTACGGCGCTCCCGGTAACTACGGCAGACCTGGAAGAAGAAACAGCAACTCCAGCTCCAGCAGCTCCGACAGCGACGACGACAAGAAGCGCTATAGGAAGAAAGTAGGTCATGAGGTTGAAATTTGACTGAGAATATTGCTAACAGAATTGATAGCACTCCCGCTCGCGCTCTCGCTCAAACTCACGTAACCGCGGATACCAGTCCTCTAGACGAGGCAACTTCAGCGAATCATCCCGCGACATCTCCCTCGACTACAACACAATGGCACTCAAGGCCTTCAGCAGGCGTACCGACGGGTCCGAGCACGAGTCCTATTTGCACTTGAACGACATCCTAGGCAACCGCGATGGCAGGTTTGTTTGGGGTAGGAATGGAAACTTCTTGGGCAGTGTCAAGGACGGCAAAGTGTGGCTCGCCGAGGGTGGAAGAGCTCTGTGTGCTGTGCTTGGTGATGGCCGTGGTGGCTGGAACGAGCATGCCTCCATTGAATTGGATGAGAAGATCTCCAACGAGAACGGTCAACTGGTGTACCTGGGCTAGGTTGTTGATTTTGAACCTGAGGCTTCATTCTTGATCCATGAATAACCTATCACTATCCCTTGAGCATTCTCCTGAGCCATGATCCTTTCTGACCAAGCGAGCAATCGACCTTGATGACAGTGTGCCAATTTCTGAAAGAGGTCCCAAGGGACTGCTTGGTCATGTACGCTCGATTACACGTGATCGTGATGTCGTCCAGATGTGTCGTGCTCTTCGGTCCGTGCCATGGGTGACGCATGGAGCTTGTTTCTCGCTCGTGATTGTGGATCAAGCATCTCTCTGTATGCTCACTGCGGCAATGTTTTCTCAACCCATGTTGTTCGCTCACCAAGGCTCCTCCATCCTCGGCGCCTTGATAGTCTCAACCTCTACGTGCCCCTCACTTCTCTCATCCTCCCTAGCATCAGCCCCATGCACCTCTCCACTCCTCACCCTCCTCGCCAACGTCCTCCATCCAAACTTTCCCAGCCCCCAAAGCAACCCTACACCCGCGCCTCCCACTATGCCAGTCGGTGCAAGCACAAACGCAGCTCCAGACGCCACTGACCCTATCGCTGTTCCTGCTACTGCTGCTGTCAGGGCACCGACAGCTGCATACTTTGCGTATCGCACTAGGCGCCAGAAGAGAAATTTTAGGGTGTAGCGAAGGGTGCGGAGGAAGTAGCGTGTCCGGCGCTTGGTGGGGGCGTTGGGCGAGGAAGGGTCATATAGGAATTGGAGGTTGCGTTTTGCGGTTTGGAGGGTTGTTGAGGAAGAGCTGGTGGCAGCGTGATCGACTGCTGCGGCTGACATGTTGCTGAGATACTACCAGAGAGCTCTGACGGGAGGTTTGAATGAGACCTGGTTTGGGTGATGACCTGTGTGTTTCGTGTAGACTATTCCACCTCGAGGCCGATTGAGGAATGTCGAGAATCAGGGTATCGCGTGACGTATGCCAAGACTATCGCTGATGATCACGACGAAATTGATTGCAAGGTCCGACTTCATCCTCATGCTCAGACCGTCGCCGCGGGACGGCTACAGCGGCTCTTCGGGAAGAATGACGAGATCCACTTGCTCTGTGTCTTGCTCTCCGTGTCCGAGTGTCGGACATGCTCAAATTATCTTGAATGTCCTTTGAAACCCGAAGAGACCGGTCTCAAAAGTTTTATCTCATGTACCGCTGTACATATATCAAAAAGAGCATCATATGCCTCCAAAGCAACACCCAAGCGAAAAAGCAAGCCACTCAAAATGCTTGGTAGGGGTTCACAGGCGCAAATAAGCATCACGGTTACGACGGCGGCGCTAGTATGACCATCGAAGAACGGCACGGCTGACCATTGACACTTCTCCCAATCCAACCAAAATCACCGACATCAAGCGTTGCGGAGAATGCTGGAGAGTGCTTCTTGTGGAGCTCTGCCCATGGAGACTTGCTTTGCATTCGTCACCAAACTCTGTTATCTCCTTGCGAGACCGGACCCCGGTAACAACCCATAGTAGCTCGTGTGCCTCGTAGGTCATATTCAACATTTCTTTTATCCCTGCTCTCTTGCTCCTCGTGCTCTTCCGTCCTTTCCTTGTTCTTCCTCCCACACATCACAGCCATCATGGAGCAGGCAATTGAAAGAGAAGATCCCTCAGAGATCGAAAAGAAGATCGACTCGGAAAGATCATCAACCTCTGGACGCACTCGCTCGGAAATCGAAAACATCAATTCAAGACTCTGGCTCTCGGAAGATGAAGCCTACCACCATGCAAAAGCACACCCAGACGAAACTAGAGAGATCTTCATCACTTTTGGGCCAAATGACAGGGACAATCCTCGTAACTGGAGCAAAGCGCAAAAATGGTACATCACTTGCTTTGCGAGCTCGTTGAATGTCTTGTCTTGTCTATGCGCTGGTGGCTATTCATCTGGCGTTGGGCAGCTTGTTGAGGAGTTTGGTGTTTCTGATGAAGTGGGAACTGTTGGACTTTCCATGTATATTCTGGGCTTTGCGATTGGGTATGTTGCTCGTGATACCACTGTCTTAGATAACCGTGTCTGACATCCGTTCACAGTCCCATGCTTCTCGCACCGCTCTCCGAGTACTTCGGTAGAAACCCTGTCTACTTTTGCTCGTGGTTCGTCCTCTTTATCTTCCAGCTTCCTCTGGCTCTGGCACCCAATATTGCTACCGTCATCGTATGTCGATTGATCCAAGGATTTGGCGGCTCGGCACCATTGACCAACACTGGCGGTACCGTGTCAGATGTCTGGGAGAGAAATGCTAGCGGGCCAGCTATGTCCATCTACGGTCTTTCTTCGACATTCGGACCACCCATGGCACTCGTCATCTCTGGATACATTGCACAAGAAAAAGGCTGGCGCTGGTTGTTCTGGGTGTACATGGCCATCTTTGGCGGCGTTTGGCTCATCATGATGGCCACTCTGCCCGAAACTCGTCACAGCACCATTCTAGAGAGAAAGGCCTCTCGCGTGCGCAAAGCACTGAAGAAAGAAGGACTCGACAATTCTGCTAAACGTGTGTTTGATGCACATGCAGACGAGTCGAAAAGTCTACATACCTTGTTCGCCATCACACTGACCCGACCATTCCGCTTCTTGTTCACCGAACCCATCACTATTGGTGCTGCTGCATATAATGGATTCATCTACGGCTTGGTCTACCTCTTCAACGAAGCCTTCCCTCTGGTATTTGGCAAGAACCATGGCTTCAATGTCGGTGAACAGGGTCTTTGTTTCCTGGGTCTGGCCATGGGAAGTGTAGTCGGCGTTGCCATTTACCCTCTCCAAGAACGCTATTACCTCAAGAAAGTGGCCAACAACGATGGCAAAGGTGTTCCTGAAGCTAGAATCTGGTTGGCCAGATTTGGCGCTTTCTTGCTTCCCATCAGTCTGTTTTGGTAAGTTGCGTCCCGGTTCACTGTATTGAAATATACGACATTGTACGCTAACACGCCTTTCCCTTCAGGTTCGCGTGGACATCCTTCCCCAGCGTCCACTGGATCGTCCCCATCATCGCCTCCGGCTTCTTTGGCCTAGGCATCTACATTGTCATTCTCTCCATCCTCAACTACGTCGTCGACTCCTACCAAACCTACTCTGCATCCGCGCTCGCCGGAGTGATTCTCATTCGCAATCTTGTAGGAGCTGGCTTCCCTCTGTTCGCAAACCAGATGTATAACAAGTTGGGGTATGAGTGGGCGAGTAGTTTGTTGGCGTTTTTGAGTATCATCATGATACCTATTCCGTGGTTGTGGTTTTATTATGGCGAGAAGTTGAGGTTGAAGAGTCCGTATGCTAGGGAGCATTTTGCGCAGGATGAGGATGCGCCGCATTGATTGTGTAAAATATGGCTCTTGGTATACTCAGAATAGACTGAAATAGACGACTGTTCCAAGTTTCTCTTTTTAAACTCCTTCTACCCCTAGGCCACTGATGTACCTTTGCACTTCCTTGACAACGTCGTGTCCGTATAGCCAATCCAAGTCGAAGCCTTGCTCATCATCCTTCTCTTCAGTTCCCTCCGCCTTAGGCAATCACCGACTATCAACCCTCGCATTCAACAGCAAAATCTGTTCGAGCCTGTCTTGTCTGTACTCCTGCCACCATCCCAAATCCTGTTTCCCACTTTTCCCCTTGCCTAACAGCATAGCCAACATCACTACATCCTCCACTGCCTGAGAGATACCCTGTCCTGAACTAGGGGGTAAAGCGTGAGCTGTATCTCCCACGAGCAGTACCCTCCTAGCCTGCGAAGACCAAGAGGGCAGGTTTAGAATCACATGGAAAGGCCAGATATTGATGTGTTCATGAGGGATGTCCGAAGTTGCTGTGACAGCAATATCACCGAATACTTCTGCGCCTTCACGCAAAAAGGCCACAGCGGCTTCTTTGTCTGCATAAAAGTCATTCCAGCCTGAGCGAGAGAGCTCGGGCATGCGTTTTTGTTTGCCGATTAGCACTTCGCTGCCATCGGGCTATTGGGGTGCGATGACAAAGGCGCCGTGGGAGGATGACATGATGGTGACTGGCATTTTGTAGTCGCGAGTCGGCAGTCTGAGGTTTGCGGTAGGAACTGCAGCGGTGATGCCGACCATACCCGTGAACTTCGGTGAGAGCTCAGGGTACGTGTATTTTCTGACTCTGCTGTGTATACCGTCTGCGTCAATCAGTAGAGAGGATATCTTTGTGGTACCATCGATGAGTTGCTAGGTCACTGTATCTTCAGACTCGGAAACCACGTGTGAGAATTTGTGGTTGTAGTATATGGGGATGTTGGTGGTGGTGAGCTTTTGCAGCAAGAGATCAATGAGTTGATAGCGATACACTCGCAATCCACTATACCCATATTTCTCAACACTCCCAAAGGGGTAGGTTTCTTTGGGTGAGCCAGCGACGTCGCGGAAGTAGAGGGTGTCGAAACTGTATCCGAGTTGCTTGAGGTCGTTGTAGATGCTCATGTCATCGAAGAGTTTGAGGGAGTTTGGGGAGAGCATTACTGCGCCGCCGATGTTTTGGGGCGAGGGACGGGATTTGTATATGGCGCAGGATATTCCCTGGGTTTGGAGACTAAGGGCTAGTGTGAGGCCAGCAATGCCTGCGCCGATGATGCTGACTTCGTTTTGCATGATGTTGTGTTGGTTATCACGTAGAGGGTTCCAAATACACTTGGTGATAGTAGTTTGATAGGCAAGATGTAGGGTGCTCTCAATGTACTAGCAATATTCTGAGGAAGGTGATGATTTGTATCCTTCGGAGCAGACGAGACAGCAGATTATATGTTCCATTACTGCAGGAGGTCATCCTCAACATAGTCATCCTTCCCGCATATGCGTCGGCCGAGGTGTAGAACGTTATTACGTCCTGTATTCATGCGGAGGAGAGAAGGCAGACTGCACCGTGAATCTTACGAGAAGGTGCTTATATCGAGGAAAGAGTTCGCTGTTTGGTGACACATGCAGTCGTCAACTCGGCCGAGCTATCGGACCCGAGCCACCGACCACGACTCCTTTGCGGCAACTCCTTCTCCGAGAGCTGCTTTCAATCAGCAAACAACAAATCCAAAGGATTGTGGCGTCTGCTTGGTGAATGAAAAGTCGTAGGAATACAGTAGGTCAACATGAAAGTATATAAAGTAGAGCTCAACACCAGCGCTTTTCCAGGCTGCCACTACACCCAATCAATCTCATAGTTACCTATCATTTCTCGTTCTTCAAGCAAGCTCTCGTAAAACAACTTACCATACTGTCGAGATACACGCATACCAGAAGACCGCAGACGTTATCAAGACCATCGATAGCCCAAACCGGAATTCGATCGACCAACACACAACGATCCTCCAGCATGTTGACTTCCACCTCCACCGCACTCCCCGACATCCTCTTGATCGGGGCCACAGGCCGCACCGGCCGTATTGTCCTCTCTTCAGCCCTTTCCCGCGGTCACAAAGTAACAGCCTTGATCCGCCCATCATCCTCTCTCGCCCCGCAAGCCAACCTCACGATTTCCCAAGGCTCTCCTCTGGATGCTTCCGCTATCAGCACCGCACTTTCCCTCACCACCGGCCGCGTGGTGATAATCAGCACATTAGGCCAAACTCGCACATCCGGAAACCCTTTTGCTGCTACGACTTCACCTCCACTATTCATGGCTCAGTCCAGTGCTGCCGTTGTTCAGGCCGTCAAAGCCTCCGATCGCAGAGTTGCAAAGGTCATTGCAATGTCCATGTTCGGCGCAGGATCATCCTTTCCAAACCTCAATTTCCTCATGCGAGCAACGATGTTGTACTCAAAGATGAAGCAGACGCTCGAGGACCAGAATGAAGTTGATCGGATTGTAAAGGAAAGTGGGTTGAGGTACGTGATGCCCAGACCTGCGATGTTGAAGGGTGATAATGCGTTGCCCGTGAAGCTCTTAGGGGAGGAGGGTGAGAAAGCTGGATTTATGCCGTCCGTTAGTACAACTAGTGTTGCTGAGTATATGTTAGATGCGGCTGTCAGCGAAGAATGGGATAACAGAACTTTTGTTATTTCGAATTGAGATTGGGGTATATCTACGGCATATCTATCTCCACACCTATACGCATACCCATACATGCTCTCTCTATTTTCTGCTCTCACCTAGTTCAGTGGCATACGAGAGCCTTGTCAATTGTGGGTCGAAATGATCGGACGGTCTTCTCAGAGTCCGCGGCATGATCAAGAATCTCGTCGACGTGGTTGAGAGTCTTATCGGCTGTAGCTCGAGGTGGTAGGGAGTCTCTTGCGTTCTCGACGTTCTCAAGGGACCCAATACGCTGTGGAGATGCACAATTGTTTCCAGAATAGAGACGTGTCCGAGGATCCAACGTGATGTCGTCTTTCGGATGGATGCTGTTCATTTCTTGAGACTACTTTGCTTTCTTGCAGCTGTACACGCGATACAAACCTTTGCACACGGGGAGTGATGCCGTGCGAACAACAAATCGAGCAGTACCTGTGTTACTCAGACCATATTCCGACCTACGCTAGCTGCAATCATCCATATTTTTGTTCCTCAATAGAGGGTTGTATAGATCTGGGTAGGCGGAAGACATCACAGGAAGTTTTCGGAAGGTGTGGGCACGGTGTTTCTGCGACGGCGACGCCTAAAATCTTGGCCCCAGTCATCTCTCTTGACCGTTCCTACCATTTTGCACACATCCGCTTTGCATATGGTGTATCTCTCTCGTGACAGGGTCTTGAGTGTCTACACGCTATCATTGGAAGCCTGCGAACCCCTTGCTCCTGCTTTCACACAGCAGCACTGCTGAATATCAACGGTCATCCTCCGATAACACGAAGCATGTATAGGCCAAGGTAAGCATTTGTTGATCGACTCTTGGACTAGGGACTTAGTGTGTTTACTTGTTGCCACTTGCAGCAACATGTTTTCCACCTTGCCGTCACAGCTTCCCAGGTTTGTTGTGCCCTGGAGAGTCCACCGCCTGAAATTAACAATTACGAGGGCTTGACTAGGGCCTTAGGCCCACGGACGGGCGTCTCACCGCACATGTCCAAAGAGCTTTGATACACCGCCAGGGCATCTTTCGCGAGACACTGTTTCTATTAAAGAGAGTCGTGATCTTTTCATTGACTTGATCCACATACCATCCAGCAAGTTGGTTCTTGATATTCAGCTTCGACTTCGTGGCTCGTAATCACCTTATCAACGCCAACATCAAAAGCCACCAAAACAACTCAAGACCGCTTCACAAGATCTTTGCCAACAACATGGGAAAATTTAGTTTGCGCCCTTCGATGGGTTCTCGTCCCCAGTCGGCGGTGTTCGAAAAGTCGAGTCGTCCTTCATCAGGAGTCTTCTCATCTTCTTCGCGACCCAACTCGAGTGTCTTTGATGGTGCTGAGATCCCGAGATCTGTCGCATCTGACACGAGCAGCCGTGACATTGCTGAGCTCGCTCAAGATCTCAAGGTACGCTTTCGATTGTGATCTCGTACCCGGCGCAAACATGCTAACATATGTCCAGGCACTCGCAGACCAAGCCGAGCAGCACAAACAGCATAATCTCGACAACTTCGTCCAGATCCTCAGCCATCTTAACGGCCTCCCTGGCATGCTCGAACACGTCGGACAGATGCCCAATGTAGTCGCCTTGAACCAAACCATTGGTCAACAATCGCAACAGATCGCCGACCTTGAAGCCCGCCTGGCAGCGTCGGAAGCCGCTCACAAAGAAGAGGCCTCAGCCCACATAAGCACAAGAGAACAAGTCACACAGCTCAAAGCGACCTCGGACTCCAAGGATGAGCGCATCTCGCACCTCAAATCTCTCCTGACCAACATCGACCAGGATGTCAAGGACGCACGCGGCGCGCTTGAGACCAAGGATCTCGAGATCGCGAATCTGAAGACAGAGCTCTCCAAACTGAACTCGCTTGTCGCCTTCCAGGACCAGGAACACGCTGCTCTCAGTGACTCCATCACGTCCAAGGAAGATGAGATCAAGCAGCTGCACGAAGGTCTTGCTGGCAACGATGCTGAGCTCGCACACACAAAGACAGTCCTGGCTCAACTGGATGCACAGATAGAGTCTAAGAACCAAGAGCTGCACTCTCTGCGCACCGCCAACGAGCTGACATTCCGCCAATTGCTCGAGTCGCAGACAGCAAGCATGGAACACCTCTTCCAACAGCAAACACACACCACCGCCGCTCTGACTCAGCAAATCGTGGAGCTGAAGCAACAGATCCGTCTGCAACAGCACCTTGATGGCCCATTGTCACCTCCTATCTCCAACCCCGTCAGCCCTGCTGTTTCGGCAGCAAGCGCAAGTTGGGGCATGCCTGGCTTCGGCATGTTTGCTGGCAAAAAGGCCAAGCTGCACAAGCGTTCTCAAAGTCAGATTGTCATAAAGGCTCCTCACAAGTTCGATGTGCCTGTGCCCACCATGCTTTGAACATTGATGGTCCGACTCCCATTTCGTACACTCTGTTGATCTCTGCGTTCTTGGTCTCCCATTCTCTTCTTGTCTCTAGCTTTTCTCTCTACTGTTTCCTTTTCTTTCCTTTGCAAGCACTCTCTCACATGCCCTTCTACGAACCCCAATAATGCTTCTACGAGAAACACGATTAGAACTTTTGTATACAATGCTGTATTTTACACTGCGCGATGATACTTACAGACCCCTGGTCTTCTTGACTCCTAGTTGATGCCGCGTCTTTGAGATGTATGCACTCACAGGCGCTCTATCGGACCTGTCGAGCTCGTTCTACAGAGCCTCCCAATCTAGTCTGCTGGAGGCTTTTACCACAAACCCGCTATCTCGAATTACATCATGTTGAGTCTCGGATTCCCCACATTCTTTCTGGCTTTGGAATCTGCAATCTCTGCTTCTGCCTCTTCTTCTGGCACGACTTCGAACCGCCTATGCCACAAAGACGTTGCCGTTGTGACTGAGTTTGCTTTTAACACTCTCGTCTTCCTTTATGAAAATAAATATGATTGATATAGGTTCTCAGGCCCTCTATCAATTGGTCAGATGGCCGAGTGGTTATGGCGCTAGTTTCAGGCTCACCTGAAATGAGTTTACTAGTGAGAAATCGCGTGGGTTCGAATCCCACTCTGATCAATATATCCTTTTGTCCGCCTGGGCTATGTCATCTATGCATTGAGGATCTATCAGTTCGTTTTGTCGTCAACGGAAGGAATATTTTTCGGTGCCTAGTTTGTGTGGAAGAAATTTTGCGGGATACAAGGGAGAGTGAAAGAGAGTAGAAGCTTGGCGAGCATTGATGATCACGAGGTCTGGTATATTCTGCTCGTGTGCAGGATGACTAACATGAACCTTTCTTGTTTAATATCGGACGATTGGAGCGAGATTATTGTGAATGCGTATCATGGAAAGGGTAGCGATCGAGTCTTCTGTGTGCAGAAGTTCACAAAGCTCAATAGCTATGGGAATGCACAAACTACTCGAGAAAGTGATGGCATCCATTGAGATGTGATTTTCTAGGTTCATCCCTGATCTAGAAATCACTATGCTTTTTCTATAGCGAGCATTGCGCTGTGTCTTGAGTGTAGAAAATTACAAGTCACAAATCCAAAACACAAGTACGGAGTAAAGTAAATCGTCATAATCATTGTGAAGCTAATTCATATATCATTCTTTGCCTTTTGAATATCCAGATATCCACCATTGATGATCAGGCTGCTGAAACATCAACTAAAAGCCAGAGAACCTGTCTCTTCCTTTGCATTCTTTGTGATACCCTATTGAACCATTTAGGTAAGAGCAAGCGGACATCCCAAGTTCTTGAACGAAGGCGAGACCTTGCTTGCAACAAAGCTCAACGCATCAACAGTAGGAGTGATGACACCATTGAGGTACGAAGGAATTTGACCTGTGGTGAGCTGGTACAGCAGACAAGCAGTCTCTGGGGCACCGATGGCAAGCTCAAGCTTACCATCCTTGATGGCGCCAAAGTTGATGCCGTCAAAGGAACCATCTGCAGTGTTGCCGCCGAACAAAACAGGGTTCTCGAGGTACATGGTGAGGATTTCGGTGGTGACGTCCAAGTTGGAGTAAGGAGTGACGCGGTTGGTCCAGTTGGCGGGGATGCGCTCGCCGCCGTTGAATTCCCAGGTGCCGTCTGCGTTCTGCTCGGCACCGAAGAAGGAGGAGATGGTCTCGAGGTCAGGTGCGTAACCGTGGTTTCCGTTGGGCATGAGAGTGTACAGGAACGAGGCGGCTCCGTAGAGAAGCAGGGTCAGAGGACCGAAGAAGAAGTTGGGGTTCTCGTTGAGTGACTGAGTGTAGCGCTGCAGGCGGTACTTGGACAGGTTCTCGCGGTTGAAGTCGCCCTGGCAAGTGTCTTGCATCATGCCGAAAAGGGTGCCGTTGAAGGAGTAGTTGTCTCCGTCAGCGAGGAAGTAGTCGTTTCTGGTGAGGGAGGAGTCGGCTTCGAACTTGTTGTGGCCGTCGAGTCCGGGCTCAGAGCCGGTGAGCACAGGGCTGAATGAGGTTCTGGTTGTGGCATCACATCCGATGGAAAGCTTCTCGGTTACAAGATCACCATCGGTGAGGGTAAGACCGAGGGCAGCGAGAAGTGTAGCCAAATCGTAGCCAACGTTGTAGAGATTCTGTTGGGCATCGACAAGCTCGTTGAATGTGGTGATACCATCGTGAGAAAGGAAGTGATGGCTGCAAATATTAGCAAAAGAAACCTAATGCACGCTCGAAGACTTGACTTACTTGGCTGCGGCGTTCAATCCTGGGCAGGGGCCACGGATATCATTAGGTCCAGGGGCCTCGTAGTAGTGAGCAGTGTCACCATCAGCGGGTACCTGGTAACCACCAATGCCCTTTCCGGGAATGCCATCGTGGGCACCATTGTAGGGGTACTTTGCGTTGTAGGGAGCGGCACCCTTGTGGTCGGCGTTGAATGGGCAAGTGGCGGGACCACCCTTCTGGGTGCCACCAGATTGTTGACGTCTGATCTTGCGTCCAGCTCCCAGAAGAGAGCTGTCGACACCAGGTTGGTCGACGACCCATGGGAAGGCTGAAGCCGAAGCAACGAAGAGAGAGGCAATGGCGATGTTCTTCATAGTGATGTTGTTGTTGGTCAATGATTGACTTGATGAAAAGAAGTGTCCATGTAGCGTTACTCAGGCTCTTTATATATTCAGTCGGTCCATACTTTGTGGAAGACATTACTGCTGATCTTGCCACAGGGCACACTGCGGGGATAGTCTGAATCGCTGGTTTGTATTCACAGCAAGGGGAAGGTTTTCTGTTGATCATTGTAACAGGAAGGAGGTTTGCCTTGTTGATCTGCAACCTCAGCGTGAGCATACAGACTTTTGGTGCGCATACCGTCTGTCATTGTCCAATCAACGATTGCCAGTTCAGCTTTCTACCAGCCATGCGGCGCCATGCCTCGGTTTGTGGAGGCGGTATTCGAAGATCGACATAATAAGAACATTGGTAAAGCTTAACGGTTTAAGCTCGTCGAACGGGATTCGCGCCCCCTCCGCAATGTGGCGCTGTTTATACCTTTTGTCAAGTTGCCTCGGACTAATTCCTCTGCTCTGATTTGCTTCTTCGACTCATGTCTTTACCTATAAGGAAGTTGATAGTCGGTGATGTACGGGGCGCGCGACCCTGTTTCGTGTCCTCGAAAACACTGCCTTGCGAAACCGACCGAGGCTCACTGTATCTCGCACGTAAGAACGTAAAGGCCGACCACGGAAGTTTGAAAATTGTCAGCGTGACCGTTGTCGTCAACTGCGACCTCTTTTTGTGTCGATGTCCCCGCCTCTGATTCGCCTTGCACCAGTTTATGTTACGTCCGCAAGTGTTCTGGCAACGCCAGCGCCGACCAGTCTCGAGGACATTTCTCCGTGATACTTCAATTCTGCAGTTTGATATGCACACCGAGCCGTCTTCAACATCCCGAGGTTCGAGGTCAGGTAAGTTATACATTCTCGAGTCTTTGGGTTGTGGTTTGAATCTCTTGATCCTATCGACCGACGAGCTCCTCGATGTTGTCCCAATCTATACAGGTCGCAGGGATCTGGTATTCGGGTCCCCAAGACCATGTCCTCTGCGTGACGTCGATGCTGTGTCTCTCCTTTGCTTCGCGTTCCATGACATCCCAGCTCGGGCTGTGATTGTCTGCGGATCCGGCAAGCGCTGCTTTGTAGTTGGCGAAGTCTTGGTAAATGTAGACAATTCCTGCATCTGTTTCTCTTGTTTCGATTATTTTTCCGTCCACGTCGGCACGCATCTGGAACCACCTTTTGTCGTTGGAGTCCATCGCCACCAGGCCGTAGGCATTCGCACTGTCTAAGAAGTCGTAGACACACCCGCCAGAGAAGACTCTGGCCATTGGGTCCGAGTACAACGCCTTGGTCTCATCCATTTGCCTGATTTTGGTTGTGTTAGCGCCATACTCGCACAGAAACGACGGGATGGCAAAGTTCTCATAACGACTGATCTGGTGCTTATTAGCGCACACTGTACGCGTTCTGGATCACAGAGGCAAATATACCAATCGAAGCCAGCCAGAAATTTGTAGGTCGGACTTTCCAGCCCAACCATAATTGGCAAGCTATGGGAATAGTCAGAGTTCCGAGATGTGTGCCGAGGTCTGCGAATCGACTTACTCCCCAAAAGTCTACTGTAGTCTCTTTGTCACCAGAGTACAGATATTCCAGGAAATCTGTATTATAATTGATGTGTGGGACATCCGCGTTAGCATAGCCCACAGGAAGTATCCTTGTTCCTCGAATATCGTTGCTGCAAGCCAGATATCTCTTGAGATCCCGGATGATGGCTTTCAAAACGGGAGCTACGTAGAGGTGACCACGGCCGTTTACTAGTGAATTGGCCGCAGTAATTGCCAGGGTGTTCGGGTAGGCAGCCATGACACCGGCAGTTCTGAGCAGAGAAGACACATTGGCAGTATTGTAAGATTTGTAAGGCCTTGCCCGATTGATGGAGCAGGATGGAGTACAAACACCCTGTTGGTTTTGTGTTAGTTTACGCTTCTGGCAGTGGGGGCCGATGTCAGCATGCGCACCGCAACAACATAGATTCCAGCTGACTCAAGCAACTTCATCGCTTTGTCATGCTGCTTTTGGTTGTTGATTTGGTCTATGTGATTTTAGTCAAGCCAACCTCGCTGCTTGTACGTGACGAACAAACGTAAAGGGTGTTGACTCCAAGTTCTTTGAGCAAGACAAGGTTGCGTCCTAGCTCTATTATACGATCATCTGAGATAGGATCATTGATGTTGCTGTTTTCGGAATCGTCCCAGGGTTGATAGACTACTCCTCGGATGAAGAACTATTCTCATGATCAGAAGATCGTTTTCGACGACGGAAGCCGTGGGTCACATTACTGACTCTTTCATCTCCTCTCCAGAAATAACGACCTCGAATGGTAATTGGTACAGAGCTTGGTGCGATGGTCATGTTTGGCTATGCGATTGGTGTTTTGGAGATGATGGTTGCCTTGAGTACACTTCAAGATGTATTGCCAAGATGATGTTGTCATCGTGCAGCGCGCGGGTCACAACTGCCATTCGAGACACCAAAGTCATCAGACTCAATGAAGAACAAAACACGAATCTGTATTGTGCAGTTCATGCCAGCATCACCATTGAACGGTAGGAGATGTCGTAGCCCTCACCGCTCTCTATACACTTGGTAACACCATACCCTCTGGTGTCCGCTTCCACTGCTTGGTGATAGGATCTACGAGCTCTTCCGCCTCCTGCCATTCGTTCTCAACGAGATCTGCTCGGTTTTGATCCCTGGGAACGATCTTGACCTCAAACTCCTCGGGCATAGCCATGATTCCTTGAGTCAACCTATCGGGGTCAGGCAAAATCGCTTGACCTGTCGCAGGATCAATGACAGGCTTGATGTCAAAGGCCCACAGAAGTCTGGACATGCCGAGGAAGAGAGATGCTTCCGCAACGTGCATACCTGGACAGATCCTTCTGCCCGCTCCAAACGTAAAAGCATCTCGCTTCGAAGCATCTGGCTGAGTTGCTGAGTCCGCGCAATTCAAGAAGTCATCCTTGAATCTGTCTGGGTCGAAACGTCGAGGATCTGGTGAGCGATTGGGATCCATGTGAATGCCCCATACATTGTTCATCACAGCTGCACCTCTTGGGATCTTGTAGCCCATATAAACGTCATCTCTGGTGACAGCATGAGGGACCGAGCCGAGGATGGTTGTTGGCATCCATCGAAGACTTTCCTTCACGCAGCCTCGGAGGTACTGAAGATGTGGTTCGTCATCCATGTTGGGCAGTCGACTGCTGCCAACGACACGATCGATCTCGTCCTGGGCCTTCTTCTGAACCTCGGGAAATAGCAGCATTGCTTGCACAAAAGCATAGAGAGTGTTTGAAGTGGTGTCAGAGCCAGCTTCGAGCAATGTTCCGGAAATGTAGGCAGCCTGTTCATCCGAAAAGCCTTCTTCTTGCTGAGCTTGTGCCATGCCGACACAGAAGCAGGGTCGGATGGTGCCAGCCTTTACTGCTTCTTTGGCAGTAAGCCAATGACCTACATAGAGCTCTCTTTCCTTCCGAAATGATTCTTTAGCTCTTGTCTGTAGAGGCAGAAGCCAGTCCGGAAGCTTTCGGAGAAAAGGGAACGAATCAAGTAATGCTGCAGTACCGGTTTGATTGATCTGTACGAATTCGGAGAAGCCTTCGAAGAGTTGCATCATCTTGGCGTCGTCGTATGTGGAAGTTCGCCAACCGAAGACCATGGTCGTGGTCAAAGAATTGGAATATCGACGGATGTTCTGCAAGCAACGGTCTGGAGCCACGAGCATATCGTGAAGCATTTGCTTGTTCTCGAGGAGCTGATAGGCAATGTACGTCTTGGCTACCGTGACGTTGAGCAAGGCGTGGGACATTTTGCGAAAGTAGCGCCATGTCGGACCGTATTCCTCCAAGAAGTCAGCATAAGATTGTCGAATGGGCTGAGTAGATTACCATCATTAAGAATCGCAGACCTCCGCTGCAGAGCTCCTGCCCTATATACATGTCTGGACGGGCAGAATATATAGCGCTGCGTTTATCAAGGAGATCCTTGACTGCTTGGTCACTAGATAGCACTATCAGGACTCTGGTGCCGAGCATCAAACTATAGACGGGACCATATTCGTTGGCCCACTTCTGAAATTGGAGGTGTGCATCTCGCGTGGGCATCTGATGTGCATCAGTATATTTCAAGGGTGGGTAAGATCTGGAGGTACTTGTACCTGATGAATATTGCCGAGAATAGGTACGGTAGGTGGGCCAGGGGGGTAGTTCTTATCACGGCGACCTACGGTCAAAAGCTTCAAGACAATGAGAACGACGGCAATGATAGCAAAAATGGTGGGAGTAGTCAAGGCCATGTTGTGTGAAGCACAGCTGGGTTGAAGAGCTCTGATGTCCTTGTACGGGGAGTTGGCAGGTAGTAATACTCATGGATAGCAGGAAGGATGCAGCCTGGTTATCAGAGAGCTGCATGGTTGCAGTCTGGAGATGTCAGACACGGCTTATAGGCGATGTAGTGCATACAAGTAATATAAACAGCGGGCCCAAGAATCCTTCTCGCAGTGTTGGTACACATGAGGGCAGAAACATGACACTGTCACGATTGTTCTGAGGGCGCACGCCGAGGGGTCTACAGGACACGGTACTGCCTGCTAGTAAGTCAGGCACCAGTATCGGTGTGATTGATGGTGGAGAGAAGACGAGCGGTACGAGGCAGAGTGAGAAGCACTTTGAGCACGGACGCGGATCGCGAGCGCGGTCACAGCCTCGGCCAGGCAGTCGCGTCTTCCCCGAGATGGTCATTCCCTTTCTTGGTCAACACTTGGACCCTCGTTCCTACCTGCTTTGGAGAATTCCACTTTTCCAGCTCTTGCTCAAGATTCCAACTCTTACTGCTCTCAATGCGCTCGGGCGACTGTGCCAGCGGTCAACATGTGGTTCCTTGAGTGCGAAGGCGACTTGTTCGAAAGTAAGTTCAGGCCAGACAAACAAAGTATATCATGGCTGACTCTGCACGCAGACAAGTCCGTCTGGCTTCGACCCGGCACAAAGGTCGTCATTGGCCGCACATCCAAACCAGAACCTGGCCAACGTACGTCCGACCAACTCGTCTCTACCTACTCATGCTGATGCCGACAAAGGCATGCGATACATCGAAAACTCGTCCGTCTCACGCAAACACTTGACTGTCGACATCGCAACCGTCGAGCCTGGAGAGAGCAAGCACCTGCACGCAAAGACGAAGCTTCAAGTCACGGACAATTCAAAAGTCGGTTCTTGGATCAACAGTGAACGCCTGGAGAAGGGTGCAACAAAAGAGCTGGATAGGAACGACAACCCCATCAAGTTGGGCAACTACGAGCACCGCTTCCACATCAAATGGAAACCCACCGTCTTCTCCTTCTCCTCGCTTTCCCGTGCCCTCCGTCAACTCGAAGATCCGCTTGCCGAACACCGCCGCGTCCTCGAGCCGTTGGGCATCAAGTGTATCGTCGACTACATCGCCCAATTCACCACCCATCTCTTCGCCAAAAAGCGCAACACCCCGGACACCTTGCAAGCTTTTGTCAATGCTCGTTACGTCGTCACTGATGACTATCTGACCAACTTCCACCACATCTCTCTCGATGCTCTCGAACAAGACTTCAAAGCAAATTGGCCGAGCGAAGAGCCCTACTCTCCCCCTCCTGGCAACGAGCCGAGGCCTCGCAAGGACAAGTCGCCTGACTTCCTTCCCAACCCCCTACGTTCCGAGGTCTTTTCGCAATACATCTTTGTTTTCATCGATCCAGGACAGCATGCAAATTTATTGCCCACCATCACTGGAGGTGGTGGAAAGGCTCTGTACCATGCCGTCAACAATGAGAACCCAGATCCTCAAGACTTGTTGAGCTATGTTCGTGAGGTTGCTGGCAAGAAATCTGACAGAAATTTCAATCTTGGCCAACAGCCAAAGACAAAAGGTGGTATCATCCTGATACGTCCTCGTGGCTACACAGAGGAGAGGCCAAGATTCTTTGATCAAGTGGATTCCTCGCTGGGTCAAAGCAGCATTGAGCAGGGTGAACTCTTGGAAGTCATCCTGGATGCCGATGCTTCCAAGTTGAAGAGACCTGCTGCAGTCTTCCTGCCAGAAGAGGATACAAGTATGCATAACCGAGTTCAGCAGTCGCCTGCCAACCAACCATCAAGATCTCCTTCTGCACGCCGACAATCAGTAAGAGTTGCCACAGAAATCCCATCTGCAACACCTGAGAATGACGCACCTGAGACCTCCCAGCACGACATGGCAACAGGCAAGCGTCGTGGTCGCAGACCTTTGACACAGACAAAGTTCAAAGGCTTTGATGAGATCGACATCAACGCCTTACCAAAGTATCGTTCTCCATCTCCCTCACAACAACCATCACCTGAACCAAGTCAGGCTCCTTCGGCAGACTTCATGGACGAGGATGAGCACCTCGAGAGTTCCCATCCAATTCCTAGTCAATACACACAACGTTCAACCAGGAAGAGACCCCCGCCAGACGATGAAGAGACGCATCATGACATGATGGCCGACATGCTACAGGGTGCTGCAGCAATGAAAAAGCGCCGCATCGAAGCAGGAATTGAGGCTTCGGCGACTCATACTAGCACACAGATTGAAGAAGCTACACCAGCAGCTAAGATCACGAGAACCAGGAAGCGCAAGGATAAGGAGGTCGACGTACGAGCCATACTGGCTGAGCGCCAACAACAACAGGAGGAAAAGCGTTTGGAGGATGAAGAGAAGCTCCGAAATCAACTTGAAGGCATGGAGGTTGCCGACATGCAAAATCTAGCGCAGGTTGAGGTCATGCATATTCATCGCGAACCTCCGCCGCGATCTAGATACGATGCCGAAGCCGGACACAACGATCGCTGGGACAACAGATGGAACGGCCGCAAGAATTTCAAAAAGTTCCGCAGACAAGGCACCGCAACCAACACACAAACTCGAGCTCGCGTCTTCGTCTCGTTGGAAGAAGTCGAGCCAAAAGCCCATGGTGCTCAGGACGACTACTTTCTCGAACCTCTCTCGAAAAAGGTTCGAAAGAAGGCCAAACGATCACAGCAGACAGAGGACAGTATGGATATCGAAGTCACTGCCACACCTTCGTCCGCCGCTGCAAACGGTACTCCATCACAGCGTCAACAGAGCAACACACACAACAGTATCTCTCTTGTTTCAGACAGCGAGCAGGACAAGTCATCAGAAGACGAGGACAACACAGCGCGCTTCCGACGTCGTATTGCGACCTCTCGTATGGAAGACGCCGAAGCCTCGCGTGCTGAAGCTATACTGCCAGAAGAGATTGCAGGCACTGCTCGAGACCAAGATATTGCCGATGCAGCCAGACAAGCCAAGAGTAGTGCATCAGTACGGACGCAACCAGGTAAAAGAACAGCCAAAGGTGTGATCGATGAGATATCGCAGCCGAGGAAGAGGGTACAGAGAAAACCTAGTCCTGACGAAGTCTCGGATGACGAGGACGACGATGACGAAGAGAACAGTACTCGCTTCAGGCGCAGAAAAAAGTGACATGACATACTTGCATGATCCGAAAAGGAGCCGATTCCTCAAGATGTATAGCTTTTCATAACGACACACAGCAGCAATATACATAACTCTTGCATTTCAATAATGTTGATCTACCCGATATGTCAATCTTATCTCTCGGTATTCATGAACATCTCGGGCGCTTTGATGCTTGCTCTGAACAATCAGCCTCTCCCAGTATCAACCTTTAGGCTAAAGGTCTTAAAGTGGACGTGTAGTCTGGCAAGTAAAGGGAGATGCATGGAGGTCGAGTTCCCAACGCGACGAAGGTAAGAGCTTAGTAGCATGGTCTAGTCACTCTTAGCAACATAGAGGGAGGTTCTCAGACGTCAAGAGATGTTCGTCATGATAAGTTCTCCCTGACGTGTCCAAGAAGACATACCTTTCTAATCCCAACCAAACGATGTATTGATGACCGCGAAGTTTGATGTTGGCGTGGGCGTCGCAATACGTGTAAGTCACGCCGCACTTTCCAAAAACTCTGCCAGATTCTATTCCACCCCCTGAGTGCTATACCACCATCAATGCTCGGCCCAAAAGAAATTGCGCCAAGGAAGCAAAACGATGATTCCGCTGAGGCTCGAACTCAGGACCGCCTGTGTGTTAGACAGAAGTGATAACCAACTACACCACAGAACCATTGGTGTCTAGAAGATCTTTTGATTGAAATATATCCAATCTAGAATTGGCCCATGCACGAAGCCACGCTACCAATGCACTGACGCCACGCGATGCCTCTTGCCCTCACCCCGACATGCCGATCATCTACCTCAAACAACTGTGAGAAAGCAGTCGCTGACGCCCTCATCAATTAGAGAGCACCCTCCTGACCTTCGTCTTGTTCCCTCAATCGTCTAGTATCATACAAGAGAGCATATTCACCCCAAACTCTATCCAGGCAACAGTTTCTTCCGCCAATGGCACCCATGACTGACAAGTAGCGGTGGATTTGCACCTGCCTGTATGGGAACGGAGATCGTCTTTGATCGCGTCAAAACAGTTCCCCGCTCGTTTCATATACAACGAACTGTTCACTGCTTATAGGGCAGACTCCTGGTAGGCTTTGCGCGATTGGTATATAAAGAGCTGAGGTTTGGTCTTTTTACTTGTATCCTTCCTATCCTCATTCTTTCTCAATCACCACTGCTGTCAATATGCATCTCTCTTCTCTTCTTCTCGCCGCAGGTTCGGCGAGCATTGTTCTTGCTCAACCTCTTACTCGTCTTAGCCAACGTGCTGCCAGCGGCTCTGGCAAGCTTCAATTCGTCGGTATCAATGAGTCTGGACCTGAATTCGGTGAGGGCAACATCCCTGGCAAGTTGGGAACCGACTACACCTGGCCCGACCTTGGCTCTATAGGCACATTCGTCAACAAAGGCTATAACAGCTTCCGTGTAAACTTCTTGATGGAGCGTCTGGTGCCTAATCAGATGACCGGTTCGCTGGATGCCGCTTACCTTCACAACTTAACCGAGACTGTGGCTGGCATCACAAAGCTTGGTGCCTATGCCCTCATCGTGCCTCACAACTACGGTCGCTACAATGGCGAGATCATCACTTCGACTGCAGACTTTGGTACCTTCTGGAAGACTGTTGCTGCAGAGTTCAAGGACAATGACAAGGTCATCTTTGATACTAATAACGAGTTTCATGACGAATCTTCTGCTCTTGTTGCTAGCCTGAACCAAGCTGCCATCAATGCCATTCGTTCTGCTGGTGCTACCTCTCAGTACATCACTGTCGAAGGCAATGCGTACACTGGTGCTTGGACTTGGACAACTGCCCAGGGCACTGATGGCAAGACCAACGGTGAGACGATGGGTGCCTTGACCGACAGCGTCGAGGGCAAACTTCTCTACCAAATGCACCAATATCTTGACTCCGTATGTGTCCGGCGTCCTATTCATATTCTCAAGCTAACATCATACACTAGGATGGCTCCGGCACCTCCTCAACTTGCGTATCCCAAACCGTCGGCAGCGAACGTCTCCAGGCTGCGACCACCTGGCTCCGCGACAACAAGAAGACTGGTCTGATTGGCGAATTTGCAGGCGCCGTCAATGCTGATTGTGAGGCTGCTGTCCAGGATATGCTCGCTTTCGTCGCCGAAAACTCTGATGTCTGGGCCGGCGCCCTCTGGTGGGCTGCTGGTCCTTGGTGGGGCGACTACATGTTTTCTGTCGAGCCCAAGGATGGCGTGGCATACAGCACGTATGCGGATCTCGTGGCATCATACGCTTAGGCGAGGATCCTGATTGTGGATGGTTTTCAGAATTCTGATCGACAACAGTCAGTGTACATGTCTTTTTGATCAAGAAGCAAAAAGAACCTACAAACTCCAGCAGCAGAGGAATAATCCGTGTAATTTGTATAAGAAGGCTGACTGCGTTGCATGTTGACGGGTCCGCGCTGCATCTTGCGCAAGATATCCGTCTGATTTCTCTCCCTCACTTCTCGCATATAGCTCGCTTGTGTATCCGAAGGTCGACATTCCACCGTAGCACTGGTGTCTCCAAGGTACATTCTTCCCAGTCCGGCTATCGTTACGACGAGAAGTCCACAGCCGAGTAGAACGAGAATGATAATTGCCCATGGTTGAAGATCCGCCATTGTTGTAACAATTTAACCTGTTGGGAGTAATTTGTAGTAGGCACAGCAGAAGATGATGGAAACCAGGATACACAGAGATGGGGACAACCCCCATCTATACATACGTCCGTCAAGCGAATCCAAAGGATTTTTCAAACCACATGCTCACCTGCTTTCAGCTAAGAATACACCGTATAGCCATTCGTATCGCTGCTATCAAAACTGCACTGCCTACAACAGCCCTTTTCCTCCCCTTCCTCTAGGCGTTTGTCCTTTCTCGCTCTTGTCATTGGCTACATTTTTCGAAGCAGCCAATAGGAACATGTCTTCAAATCCTTCCTACGGTTTTTTGGGGTGGGACCTGCATGGGCAAGAGTACAGATACGGTGCTTGGCAGGCACCACGCTTGCGTGTTTGTTTTGCTTGGCGAGGTGGTGTGTAGCCGGCGCTGTGCATTCCTTTACAGTCGAAATGAGCCTCTGCGGACTTGGTTGCAATTGCGATTGTAACGGTTTGTGAGGCCATGGGGGGCAGTGCAAGACTGCTAATAGTAAGGCTATTTACGTGCGTACATGAAGTTGGAAGCTGCAGGTCTGTGAGCGGATCACCCTGTTCGATGGGTTCCTAGAAGACAAGAATATGTTCTTGGTGAGACATGGATGGTTGTACAGAAGTCGTATCCGTATAGTCTGCACGCGGTCCGCGGTGCGCGTTGGCGGATTCGGTGTAGTTAGGGGTTTGGAAGAACACGGGTAGTTGGACATTTATGCACGGCACAACGCCGCCAAGCCAGCATCCGCTCGCAAGCCCAGGGCCCATAACTCCTCCAAAGTCGCGTTCACGCAACATGGGGTCAAGAAGTCGTGAATTCTCAACTTTTAAGACGTCATCGCAATCTCTACTAAACATCGCATTAACAACGACTATATATAGCGATATCTACTAACGAGAAGACTTAAAATGACACTCTAGATGGTCGTTAATCTATACGTAACGTTCGGCCATCTTATTAATAATTAATTAGATCTGTTTTTAAAGTATGTTCTACCATTCCTTACATATCGCGGCCTTAAATTAATGATGGTTTATGCCCTAAAGATCGCGCCTCTTTTTAAGACGTTCGTTTAAGATGAGCTATATACCTTTAATTAGATTAGGATCTAGTAAGTATAAAGGGTGTTTATATAGTTCCATCTTATATTTAGCTTTATATAGGTTAATATCTGCCTCTAAATTTAACTAAGTGCTATAAGACTAGATATTATCTTTTATAAAGAAGGCACGCTAATAGCTAGGCTTATAGTATTTAACATAGTTATATAGTTCCTTATATATTAGTAGAAACCTCTTTCTATAGTACTCTTAGCTTATAATAGTTAACTTCGGTAGCACTACATACTTAATAGGTTCTTTAGATTTCTACTATATATATAGTTCCTTATAATTTCGCTTATTTTTATAAGGTTTACGCGCTAACTATTAGTTCTATAGATTAGCATAGTTAAAGTGCTTATTATAGAAGAACCTAATATCTATGCGGCTATAGTATAAGACGCCCATACTAACATATAGAGTAAATAGCTTATAATCCTTCTTTTTTTTGTTAGGTACTAGGTTATATTAACGGTTTTTAGGATAGTAACGAGTGCTATATAAGCGGTAGATCTATTACTTACGTTATATGCCTATATTTAAGTGGTTTTCGTCTATATATATGCCATCTTTATAGTATTGTTATAGTTTAGACTTATAAATACTAGTATAGTGTTTTTAGGTAGTAATAGTCTCTAGTTTTATCTAATCTTACTATGCCTTAGTTACTAATGTAATAGGAGGCATATAAGCGTATAAACTGGCTTAGATTATAGTTATAGAGACGTAGTAATACTTAGCTAATTCGTTATTGTTTTATTCGCTAAATTCGCGTAAACTAGAAGCGATTTTATTAAGATTAATAGCTAATAAGGCAGGTAGCCGGCTAGAACGTAAAATAGCGCCTATACGGTAAGAGGCCTATTTAAACATAGAGATCTAGTTATAGTGTTTAAGTAATTAGTTATATTAGCCTATCTATTAGTATATAGAAGGTTAAGAAGAGAATTCGGAATCGTCTTTATGTTTAAGGCATAGTTATATAATGTTTCTACTATTAGCGCACTAATTAATGGCTATATAGAGGGCCGTAGCCTTATAAGGGGTCGTAAACTTAACTATGTTAGTTATATTAATCGAATTAACTAAGTTAAATGGTTGTTTTAATGCGTTGTTTAGTAGAGATTACGATAACGTTAAAAACTTAAGAATTTACGACTTCTTAACCCTATAGTGCACGCACTAAAAATAAGAGTCCTATAAATCTAATGTCTAAATCTCTAAAAAGTCGACTTCTAACCCGTTTATTTATCTTTCCTAGTCCTACGACGTAGTTATGTAGAAAGTAAAAAAGGTTTTTCTAATACGCTAGTCCGAACTAGCGTATTAGAAATGATAGTTTAAATCTTAGTAGGAGCCCTCCTTTATAGTAGACAATGTGGTATGACTTTGTTAATAAGAAGGCCTAGTTTATTTGACTCTCCTAATCGTGGACACGGGCCTAGTCATAGCTATAGAGATGCATAGTTATCTCTAGATGGTAAGCTATATCTAAAGAGAGCCACTAAGTTTAACACTCTCGGTAGATGTTTCTCATTTCCTATAATATCTATGCATTTCTATAGTGACTAGTGGTATATCTCTGCTTATAGAGACGTGAGTATACCCCTGCTCTCGTGACTACCCCTAGGTGATATTGCGGCTATAAAAATGCATAGTGTTTTAAAGATGGCAGATAAATTCTAATAAGGGCCAGTAATTCCATGCATCTCAACAGATGTACCTCAAATATAGTAAAAGCTACTATGCATTATCATAGCTATATAGGTAACACTTTTGCGATCGGAGATGCCTAGGCTCTTGTTGCTCTCACATTACACAAGATTAGGTTTACAGCCATTAAAATGCATAGTGGTCTGTTGAAAGTATACAATGTCTAAAGAGAGCCCTTAACTTCATGTATCTCACTGGATGCTACTTAGATACCGTAAACACTGTGCATCTTTATAGCTTTCTAGGTGATGTATCAGCGAGTGGATATGCCCGATCTGTTATATCTCCTGGCTCTACACACAGAATGACAGCTATGAAAATGCACAGTTGTTTGTCAGGAGTAGACAAAGTCCAGAGAGAGCCCATAATCTCACATATCTTAGTGGATACCACTCGTTCATTTATACTATAAAAATGCACAGACCTTTGAAGATGACAAACATGTTCCAATGAGAGCCTGTGATTTTAGGTATCTCACTAGATACTAGTCGTTCCTAAACGCTATAATAATGCACAGTTCTTTCGAGATGGCAAGCAAGTTCCATTGAGAGCCCCTGATTTCACGCATCTCACTGGATACAACTCAGTTTACTAAGGTATCTATGCATCTTCATAGCTACAAGAATCACACAATCAAGCACAGAAATATCACATAAGGGGTAGAGAAGAAGTAACATTAATTCTCGTGACGGAGTTCAGATTTGAAGAAAACGGGCTATTAACCCCCTAGGAGAAACACAAAAGAAAACACAGACCCGATGCGCGACGCCGACGTGACCCATCAATCCTCCTCGAGCTCAGCACTTCTAGCCAACAAGTAGTTTCCGTACCACTTCTTGGGGTTCTCAGGCATGAACATAGCCACGTACTTTGAGGCCTCCATGACGATGACAGCCACGCTCTCACGGTGGAATGGGACCCTCTCGCAGCCCGAGATGTTGTCATGGCCGGTGAGGAAGTACTCGCCGAGAGCCTTGAGGGGCTTGTTGGGCTCGTGATCCTTCAGGAGCCTCAAGCCTGCTAGGAGTGGAGGCACAATGTGTTCGTTGAGGTAGCGTCTAACAGGCGCGCCGTGCTGATAAGCCTGCTCAGGGGAGACATTTGGAGCGCTGGCAGGATCGACGATGACCTCGTACTTGAGAGGTATAGGATGATGGGTAGAGTGAGCAGTATCGGCAGGAGTGACGCTGACAGGACCATTGACAGTAGGATCAGTGCTAGGACCAGTACTAGGGCCAGCAGGAGCAGGTGGAGGAGGAGCACCGAGAGGAAGAGTAGTAGCAGGACGCAGACAGCGCGCGACCACATCATTCAAGTGGCTAGCCAACGTGGCATCCCTCGCAAACTGAGCTTGATGATCGACAGGTGTAGCATGACGAACATTGTTCTCGCTATGACCGAAATTAGTAACTATAGATGCAGAAACCTTTACTGCCAACTTGCCCTCTGACGGCACGCTCATCGCAACCTTGGAATCCGCAGAGGAAAGGACCCATGTTGTGGTTGTCTTTCTTAGATCCCAGGTGAGATTTCATGTGGTTTCTGTTGTCGGTGGTGTAATCACCGGGGGCACACACTGTGCATTCGTAGATGGACATGGTTGGGTCTTGGGTATGTTGTGTGTGTGTCTTGAAGGTGTGGATGTGTTGTCAGACGAGGTGACGGGAAGCGGAGTGTAAAGATCTTGGATGAGTGTACTGACGGGAGCAAGATGTACATCTGCCTCTGATCGCTTACCAAGCTATTGCTATTGTAGACTGCTGATCCGTCACTAGGCTGCGACGTCGAGGTAGGCTCCGATGACTCTCTAGGCTGCGACGGTTCGACAAAGATCGTGGTAGAAGATGCCGGCCATGGAAAGTATTCACCGGAACTCAGGAGGCTTGTCGAAGCATTCGGCAAAGGAGTGCGGTATTGTGGAAGATGCCACGATATTCAGGTAACCATATATGGACGACAAAGATGACCAAAGACAGGACAGTAAAGCATTTTAACAGATGGTTGGATGTCAGAGTCTCTCGACACGGACAACGACCAGGAAGCTGACACTATCATAGGTAGAACCAGATCTCTGAAAGCTTTGCAGTACCAAATAAAGCTCATACCGCAAGGCAGAGGGCTTGTCGAAGCACTCGATAGAGGGAAGAGCATCTTAACCCATTCCACGACGGCTAATTTCTCTTCTCTCGGCTTACGACGGCGACAGGTAGATGTTGACGATGGAGAAGTTACTGGCGGTAAATCGGGCCCAGATACTGGTACTTGTGAGACATGATCCTTAAAGACTCTACAGTCAATCGATATTTGTCAAAGAGCTGGTCAAATCAACCGGTATTTCCGGTACTCACCTAGAACCGCCGACTGCCCCTATCGACAGTTGATATTCATAGGCACGAAACACACCCAGAATTGAGATGTTCAGAGTCTAACCAAGGCAATTTCGGGAGTATCAAGACAGGAGTAGTTGAGGTGCTGTGATATCCTCTGAGATGCTCACGTACCGTTAGCTCGACAATGACGAGGACTTGGATACTCTTATCAGAGTGTTCGCATACTGCTTACCAACGACAAGAAGCAAGCACACGCTTGCTTGCAGATCAGGAGCAATAAAGCAGTACACCAACAGATAGAGGAATGGAGTATCTTGATGTATGATACAACACACGTCGAAATCCAGAATGTCCTCCGGAGCAATCAACAGAGACAAAACATTGTCAGGAAGCCACGATGCTCAAGCACCGACATATCGATGATGACTAAGAATGATCAGATAATAGTTTATCAGTCTTTGTGGTAGTTACCATAGAAGTCTCCGTCCATTGTGAAGAGAAGAGCTTCAAGACTCCTCGGTCAGAAAACCTCCGATCACGACACACCAGAGCCACCCGTCGCTGCCTCACACCGAACAGACTTCTGCTAGCACCGACTCCGCGGACACCGATATACACCCTCTCATCCACGACATCAGCGGCAAAATGCGACCTTGACGAAAAAGTCGGGCCTACCTCTCCTGGACGCAGCCATCAATGTGCTGCCGGAGTTAACGGCTTCGTGAGACACGCTCGATGACGAGGCAGTGACGTCTATCGCGAGAACCCAAACATCAAAACAGTACCTATATATCGACCAACACATCAGACACCAACCCAGGTATACTTAAGAACTTCAACCAAAAAAAAAAATGTCACCCAAAGTCTTCTTCGTCACCGGCACATCCACCGGTTTCGGTGCCGAATACATCAAAAAGATCATCTCGGAGGGCGATCACGCAATCGCTACCGCTCGTAACTCGTCCAAGCTTGAGAAGCCCGAGGGTGCTACAGAAGACAATTACCTCGCTGTAGATCTGGATGTCACAAAGAAAGAATCCATCGATGCCGCGTTCAAAAAGGCCATTGACAAGTTTGGACGCTTGGATGTTGTCGTCAACAAGTAAGTCTTGATCCTACCCTTCTTTCCAAATCAGCACAAAAAAGCAAAAAGATCACTGACGTGGTATTCGCAGCGCTGGATACGGTCTCGCCGGTGAATTCGAGAGCCTCAGCGAAGACCAAATCCGCAAACAAATGGAGGTAAACTTCTTCGGTCTGCTGGACGTGACCCGCAAAGCCCTCGAATCCATGCGCGCTCAATCCCCCATCGGCGGCGTGATTCAACAGGTAACCTCCATTGGTGGCCAGCGCGGTGTACCTCTCTTTTCCATCTACTGCGCTTCCAAGTGGGCCGTCGAGGGTTACACGGAGGCTCTATCCAAAGAACTAAAGCCAGAGTGGAACATCCACCTCACTTGCATCGAGCCCGGCGGTTTCCGCACCGACTGGGCAGGCAGAAGCATGGAGTTTGGTGCAAACAAGAATGATGCATACGATCATTTGGATGCAGAGAGCGCTATGAAGAAGAGGAATGGCACTCAAGCCGGCGATCCACCAAAAGGTGCGGCTTGCATGTATACTCTGGCAACCATGGAGAATCCCCCACTCAGATGCGTAATCGGAACCGATGCGTACGCAGGCATCAACGAGAAGTTGGACCAGTACAGGGAGAACGTCAAGAAATTTGAGAAGTTGAGTACCAGTACTGATGTGGATGGTTACAAGGCTCCTTCTTGAGGGGATGCAGTTGGTATAACGAACCTATGTTTTCAATTTTCAATTCACAGACACGTCCGCTCCGTGCGCTGGATAAAATCTGACATATTTACCACGCTCTCATGTTAGCACACAGCTGGGACCGATGCCGTTAGAACGCATAGTTCTTTCTAGATGGTAGCAGAGTCCACGGAGAGCCCCTCAGATCACGGCTCTCAACGGACATTTCCTATGTCCTAAAAACACTGTGCATTCCTATAGCGAGGAGGGTCAAAGTTCACCAAAGAAGAAGCTATCACAGTGGGAAATACAAATTGTCATGAAACGGTCATCGGATATGTGTTGCTATGAATTTTGTGATGGAGAAGAAAGCGCTCAATAATCGACAGGATACGAAAAGTAGGCAACAATTAAACCTATCGGCCAACACGAATGACACCAGCAGCCATAAGTTTCTGGACCTTTGTCTTGACGTCAGGGTTCTTCATGTGCTCCTGCAGAGCGGCCGGGTCGCCCTTGGCTTGTTGCAGAATAGACTGCATGATGGGGTCTTGCAGGATAGACAGAATCTCGGGATCACGCTGGATGCGCTCCATGGTCTCCTCCTCGGTCTCGCCATCACGAGCGCTGTATTGTGCCTGGATGGCCTTTTGCATCTGTTGCTCAATCTCGCGGGCGTTCTTGCCGTCCTTGTCGTGGGCCATGGCTTCGTTGCAGACGTCAATGACCTTGCTGTGCTCGCGCATGGCGAACAGAGCCTGAGCCTTGCGGAGGTAGGCGCGGATGAAGTTCTCGTCCTTTGTGATGGCGGTGTTGCAGTCGTCGACGGCGGCGGGGAAAGTGAGCAGCTTGATCAGACAAGCGGCACGGTTTGAGTAACCACGGGGGTCTTCGGGTGCGCGCTTGATCATCTCGGTGTAAGCTTCGACGGCGGCGGGCCAGTCGGCCTCCTTGAACTTCTGGTTTCCGAGCTCGCGAGCCTCCTCGGCCTTCTCGGGGTCAAGGTATGCGTCTCTCTCGGCCTTGATCTTTGCCTTCTCGGCGGCGCGCAGCTTGGCGAGGACGTCAGGGGTACGGTGTTCGGTGAGCGATCTCTGGTAGTTGTCGATGGCGTTGGGAAGGTCGCCCATCTTCTCGTATGAGGTACCAATGCGACCGAAAGCCTTTGCGATAAGCTTGAAGTCGGCAAAGACCTCGCGACCGTGCTCGACGGCCCTCTTGCAAGCCTCGATGGCACCCTCGTAGTCGCCCTTCTCAAACTTGGCAGCACCGAGGTTGGTGAGGTAGGTGATGTCCTTGTACAGATCCCAGGCCTTGGTGTAGTGCTCGATAGCAGCGTCAAACTGTCTCTTCTTGTAGTTCTCGGTTCCAAGAGCCTTCTCCTTGTCTGCCTCGCCCTTTGCCTTCTTTTGCGCAGCTGCCTCCTCATCTTCGGGCTCAGGTTCGGGCTCAGGGGCCTTTGCGGGTTCGGGTTGGGTGGGTCTGGCGTCAGGCATGGGGACATCCTCCTCGGCCTCTCCTCTCTGCTGGCCACCCTGGTGTTGTTGCTGTTGCGAAGGGTCGGCGAAAGACATGTCGATACCGAGAAGAACGCTCATGACCTGCAGGAAACGGGGGTCTTGCATGGCCTCGCCCATCATACTGGGGTTGGACTTCATCTGGTTAAGCTTCTGCATGAAGGCGGCGTCACCGAGCAGCGAGGCGGTCTTGGGGTTGGCGGCGAGCTTGGAAATCATCTGGGGGTCGTTGAACATGTTGCCGAGTCCGCCGGTTGCGTCGGCGCCGTCAGCATCTGCTTCGGCCTGGATGGCGCGTCTAACAGCCTCGAGACCGGATTTTGCTTGGGCGTTGTTGGGGTCGAGCTCTACGGCCTTTTCGAAAGCGTCTGTGGCGTCAACTGCAGGGCTGTCAGCTTGAGATGGTCGTGTGTGAGCTGGATGACAAGATGGACTCACCGAGGTTGCCCATGCCGTGCAGGGCAGCACCCTTTCTGCCCCAGCCCTTGGCCCAGTCGGGCTTGATCTCGGTCGTCTTTGTGGCATCTTCCAGGGCCTTCTCCCAGTCTCTCAGTGATGCGTATGCGCCGGAGCGGTTCGAGTACAGGACGTGGTTGGTAGGGTCGAGTTCAATTGCCTCGCCGAACTTCTGACTGAGCGTCTGTCAGCATTGGGCAGACTCAAGCATGAGGTTAGGAAGCAACTTACGCAGCGGCGGTAAAGTCCTTTGCGGCAAACAGCTTGTTGCCTTCGGCCTTGAGTGCGTCGGCCATGATTACAGTGTGATTCGTAAAAGCAAAGGGGTATCAAAGAAACGAAACAATCAATTGGATCAAGATATCACTATGTGGGAAATGTGAAAGTAAGTAGCTAGCAGTCGCTTACTCCAAGCCAGAGCATGGACTTGTATATTTCTCGTCGAGCTCTACCGAAACCTCTAGAACCGCGCGCCAAGAGCCCCTCGGACAAACAATCCTTCCCTTCCTACATGCACAACAAACGGCAACTGCAACCGACTAGATACACGTTCAACACACGTCTCACCACCACTTTCCCACCACATACACTCATCCAAACATCGAAAAAATGTACGGTCAACCGTGGTGTCGTGACGGCATCAGAGTCCAAGACCTTTCTCTGCAATACGCCCCCAAAAGCGCCATCGACGCCTGGGGCCGCGAGAAGCAACAACCAGTCCTCCTCTCCGTCTCCCTCTCATTCCGTCAAGGCTTCGACACGGCCGCGAACCAGGATGCCCTCGACGAAAGCACCATGCACTACGGCCTGCTCTCCAAAAACCTGCGCTCCCTAAAACCTGTCCAAGAATGGGAGACTTTGGATAACTTGGCCCACCGCATACATCAAACCATCCTCGAGACTCCGCCCGGTGCCGCTCTGATCCAATCCTGTCAGATTGAGATTAAGCTGCCCAAAGCGAGTTTGCTGGGTGATTATGTCAATTATGTTTATTTTGTCGAGGATGAGGAAGATACTGGTAGAGTGTTGCATCTATCTCGTGTCTTTATCCCTACCTTGATCGGCGTCAACGACAACGAGAGAACTGCAAAGCAGAAGCTGTTCGTCAGTGTGTGGATAGACAGGATCCAGGCAGATGACTCCGAGTCATATACTGAACTCGAGAGAATTCTTACACAGGTAAGAAAAAAAAGCCACCTCCACACCCCTGCTGCATTGGAATCATTTCGTGCTAACGTCTTGAATAGGCTATTGAACCCACAGATTTTGAAACACTAGAGTCGTTGGCCATCTATGTGCTCAAGGTCCTGAAGATGAACTACGCTCCTCTGCAATCGCGAGAGACAAGTGTTCGTCTGAGACTGGAGAAGCCTCAAGCCGTCCCTCACGCCTCGGCTCCTATCATCGAGATTGTGAGGACATCCGACGAGCTGGCGGCCATGATCCAATGATTGCCAAACATTCAGGATAGATTGTCGACATTGTTTCAAGTTTTGTAAAGCGATGTGATGTGTTTATCGGCATAGGTATGGCTATGAACAAGTCTCGACAAACAGCCGCCATCGATTAAAGCTATGATCATATAAGATCAGTAATGCCCACAACAAGAATAGTGTACCTTCCCCCCTTCTGTTGCCCACGACTTCTTCGTATCATTGCTTCTGAACAATAAGACACGAACAATTACTCGGCTTCTTCAAAGAAGTACAATGGCGCACCCGAAGCACTGTTCACACTAGTCATCCTGACCACCGCACATTGCAACCCATCTCTTGTCCGATTTGATGTCTCCGCTTGATCCTTGCTCTTGTCCCCTGTACTAGTAGCTGTCCTGAGATCCGGCAGACTCTTCACAGGCCTTTAACGAGCGACCACGACTGAGCAGAGATCTTCTTCGACTAGGTCTCGGCATCTGAGACTGTGGATCGCTTGGTCTGCGCTCGTGACCAGCTTGCTGTGCCACATGGTCTGCTTCTTCAACAACCGGTGGGGGAGTAGAGTGCCTGCGGCGATGGAGCACGTTCGGACGAGTGGCTTTCGTGCCTCTGCCTAACCACTTGGAAGCCACACTTCGCAACCTCCCATGAACTTTGGCTTGTGTGCATCGTTCTCTACTTTCATAGCAGGGCAAGTGTTCGTGTGTCTGGACGCGTCCAGTGACTTCATACTAGAAATCGTGGCGACAGACTGTTATATCAGCGGTGTCCCCAATCTTTATGCCAGTGTTCGAGGAATTCAATGTAACTGTTTCGCGGAGTGGAGCTTCTGCGCTGGAATTGCGATGGGTTTGCGACAGCGTAAACGAACTTGGACGATGTAGCAGAGGAGCGGAGTGGACGCGTTGCCTGTAATCAAGAGAACAACAGACATAAGCCAAAGAAAACAAATGAGGTGAAGAAGCCATGGGCATTATTATTTCAGACGAGAGAAACCTCTTTGTGCATATCTTGCCAGAGGACGAGAGAAGAAACAAAAGCGAGTAGAGCCACCTGGATACAGGGTCGGCATGAGAAAAGAAACACGACCAAACGTTATCAAATCCTGCAAATGATCGCTCTTACTCATCAAGACATAAAGCGAATCCATATGTAACACGTGGAAGAGAAATGGGAGGCATGAAGGATCGAAGGAAGAGAGGCAAAGAGACAGGGAGAGTTTCATGGTCACCTTCTCCCTACGCTGCCATCCCTGCTTGACACAACACTTCTAGATCCGGTGCTTTGCCTCTTGATCAACCGGCTGTCGCGATCGTTGGGACTGTGCCTTTCGCTTGGCAATGCTGAGAGTACATCGCCAGCAGAATCTTTAACTCCCAGTCCCAGATGTCGGCCGGTTTTCTGGTCGATCTTGAACTCAATGTACTGTTGCGCAGATCGGGACAAGGGTATAGGCGCTGGCTGAGTCGGAATCTCCGCTCCATTCTGAAGCAGGAGTTCAGCAACTGGGAAAGGTTTTCTTGAGGGTGTAGGTGTGGTTGGACGCTGGGGTTGTGCTGATGGACTCAAGGATGGTGACGATAGATTCGACGAGCCACCGCGCTGCTGCACAAACGAACTGGATGGAGAGGCAGGATCTGCAGCCGCGAGAGCCAGGAATACTGCGTGTGTTCCACGGGAGCGGTCTGCAGCATTGGGATTCGCACGCAATGCAAGGGCATATAGCACTTGTTGTATGTTGTTCTGTTTGATGCTGACTAGCAACGTATCGTCTGGGCTCTTGAAGTGTGCCATGGCATCGGTCGAGCCTTGAACATACAGTCTGTCACTGTACTTGCCCGTGATAAAGTGCAGACGTTGCTCTCTGGTCACGTTAGGACCTGGCTTGAGGAAAGCATCAAGCTTGGCCTCCCAAACCATGTTGCTAACACGGTTGCCAACCAACAGGAGCAGTTCAATGATATCCGGTGTGAACGCTGAGGTGTCGAGAGTCAAGGACCGCACCTTAGAAATGTGCGTGCCTAAAGATCTATGGATACCACTGCACTCGATACATAGGATTATGCCGAGATTGATGGACACCCATTCAACTTTCTGGTCAGAGTTGCAATCAGCGCAATATTTGTTACCAGCATCGGCTTCCCGTATCTGGTTCAGAAGTGCCGACGGCGTCTCGTTGTCGGGTTTCATGTAAGTTGGCTTGTCACCCGTTGTCGCGTGGCGTGATACGATTTTGCTCGAAGAACTGATATACGATGATGTTGCATTGGTGGATTGTCGTTGAGAGGAGAACGGTGTAGTCTTTCCAGTCAACACAGCAGCGATTGTGTTCCTCGTAGAGCCAACTTTCTCAGCGCTTTGCGTGCTAGTAGACGGCCGGGTTTCGAAAGCGCTTTGAAGAGCGTTGTTGATTGAACTAATCCATGATTTCATGTCCTCTTCTGAAGGAGCTTGATAGACGCGAGTGTATTGCGGAGTAATGACCTCGAAACAGAAACGTCGGTCGGCATTGCGTGCTTCTCTCACAGACGCGACTCGCAAGTCAATAGGATCCATGTGGAGATCGAGCCTGTCTTTCCAGTTGGCATATTCGGACAGCTTGCCCTGATCAAGCACTATCCAGAACCTATCTATGTTAGCGGATTTACGATGTCTTTAACCGAGGAGAACTTACTTGTGCCACCCGGCTTTATTCATGATGGGATCCACATGACTGCCAGGTCGGCTCAAAGACCACAGCAGTCCTTCCTTTTTGATTTGACCTGCACCTGCAGCAGCAGAAGCAGACGTATCCTTCTCTTCTAGATCTCTAATACCCTTGAATTTGTTGCTCGTGTTCCTAACAGGCAATGGGCCATTCGAGCTAGAAGTTGCTGGAGAGGTGATGCTTGATGGGAAACCATTAGGTGCTGAGGGGGAAGTCGACAAGGTCGAATTACGCGGTACAGATATGATGCTGCTCGCACGATCGACTTGAGCGCCACTCGAACCGTTGAAAACTGATGGTGGATTCTCCATTTCAGGCGATTTGGCACTGTTGGTCTCCAAGGCTCGTCTCTTTTCCTCTCGCTCCGTGCGTTGCATCTGGAACTCCATGTCGGCATGCGAGACTTCACGTGTCAGAGCTTCCAGCTGTGGCAACATCTCTCCAACCTTTTTAGCTGTAGTGAGATATCCTCGGGCCTGTGCGGATGCGTACTTTGTGAGCTGAGAGAGCACTTCTTGTTCTTTGCGCCCACCGTTTAGATCGTGCATGAAAGAGGAATAGTCGAAACGCTTCAGCTCAAATGTTCGACGCTTGGCTTGATATTTGGCATCACTCTCGACGCGTTTTTTCTCCTTGAGTGACTCGGAGCGCTGACCAAGGTACTTACTGACATAGGCGTAATAGTCTTTACTTTCCTCGTCGAAATCGCGCCTTTTCGACTCGGCCTGTTTGATGTCCAGACTGTAGAGCTTGTTGATAGGTTCAATGATGAGTTTTTGTAGGTTCGCGTTATTTTGACGCTCGTAAAGTAGGATTTCCCTCGCGATGGAGTCGAAGTAATGCTCGAGGGCAGGACGGACAGCATTTGCGTTTGAGTTGGAAGCCTCCCTAAGTGCATCCATAAAGGCAGAGTGGGCGTCGTTACAGGCAGTCTGGGCGGCCTGTGCGGCTTCGGCAGCTCTCAAGACCTTCTTCATACGAGATCTCATGGTGCCGGTTTTTTGCTCCAGTGCTCGCATGGTGGCTCTGAAGACGGGGCCGTCCTCGCTGTTACTGGCATCCTCGGCGGGACGACCGACACAACTAATGTCAACCTTAGGAGCAGGTAAGGAACCTCCATTGGTCATGGAAGGGACCAGTCCAAGACCGTATTCCGGGATTGCGTCGGCCATGGGTGAAGAAGGCTCGCGGAAATCGCGATAATCCCTGTAGTCTTTGGGGTCGCCGCCGTCGGAATCACTAATGGCGCTAACTCTGGATTCGATGGATTGAGCAGATGGTACCCTAAGCCTGGGAGGGGACAGCGTAGGAGAAAGCAACCAGCGCTGTGTATCTGAGCAGGTATTAGCATGTATTCAAGGGTGGAAAGTGCAAGAAATGGAAAACACACTCGTGACCCAGAAGGAGAAGCTGGCCAGTGTTTCAAGACGATGGGCACGCGAGTTGTATTCGACAAACTGGCAGGGTGTGTTAGCAAGCAGTCGAGGATAGCAATTCCATGAGAGTCCTTACACTGCAAGTATTGCGCCAACCGCCGCCGTTATCTTCGGACTGCTTTGGAGGCTTCCACTTCCATGACCATTGGAACTGCACAGAGGGCACACCACCGGTATTATAGTCGCCGACGAGCTCAACGTTCGGATTCTTGTGCAGGTTGGGATCGGCATGGAATTCGCGCGTAACGAGTTGGTCAATCTCTTTTGAAGTCGAACCAAAGACGTAGGTCAAGCCGCATAGCTGGGTATCTGAGGAGATCACGCCAGCGGGGGCGACGGGATGGTCGCCGATTTTGTTTGGTGGAGCCGAGTTGGATTGGCGCAGGACGCATGTGAAGTTGAAGGTAAGCTCTTCATCGTTGGCTAAGCGCAATAGGAAGGCGGGAGAGATGATCGAAGGGGGTTCGGGATCCTTTGCAGCTTCAGCGGACAGCATCAAGAGGTCTGAGAGACAGAAACAAATACCTGGACGTATTCGACAGGAGTGCTGTCGCCGCTGTCACGTTTTGCGTGGTAGCGCGTGGCAGGGAAAGAGTTGGGGTGGAGCGAGACGAGGGTGCGACCACGCGAGTTTGTGATGTTGACAGTTGAGATCGAGACTGGCGAGTAGAGACACGATTAGAGAGAAGAGCATGGCACGACGAGCAGAGGGTACGCACATCGAGTCTGATCTTTGAAGTAGACAGGAGCACCATCGTCAGGGCGGCTTCCTACGTTGCCCATGCTGCGACCAGGGCAGACGCGCCCCCAGCGCCGAGTCGACGAGTCTGGAGGTTGAGAATATTGCCGTCGTGCTCAGCGATATGCGTCGAGTGCGGTGGGCTGTCAAGGCAGATGCGCAGGCTTGGTTGCTATGTTATGTATATGCGGTTGGGATGCGGATGAAAGATGTCGATACGATTGGCGAAGAATTGTCAGAAGGAGACGGCCAAACAAGGCACCTCTGCTCGGGCGTAGGCGACAGGATGATGGCCGATTCCAAGCAGCGCTATGAGAATGCTGGACAGGCTAAGACGATGCGAAATTGAGATTGGGCCCGTCTTGATTCCGGCGCGAGCGTCTGCTGGAGAGAGGCAGCCTACCTACTCCACAGCCAAAGCACGGTATGCGTCCGTCATCCCTCCAAGCTGCGAACTCCTGAGAGACAACGGCTGAACTCTATTCTTATCATAGCACACACACACACGCACAACACGCCTTCACCACAGCGTCGTCACAGGTCACAGCATGACACGCTGACACCTCCTCGTGTATGCTGTCCTTCTGTTTCATCATCCTCCAGCCACTGTCCATCTCTTGGATCGATGCGTGACCGAGGCAGTGCTGCTCGGTAGTGCTTTGACCATCTAGTTCTCGATCAATGTCTCTGCCTCTCTGCCCTCACCCTTTAGACATTCTGTCATCTACCCTTGTTCTCATCGTCCTCTAAACCCTAGGCTCTCTCGCCTTTTCTGTCCGGCCCGCTTCCGATCGACCACTGTGTTTCAGCTTGTCGCTGATGCCTCGCGCCTGTGCCGCACTGGTCGTCTCGTCCGCTCGCCGACCGTCTACCCCTTGTGCACCAACTCTATCGCTCTACCTCTTTCAATCTCTTGTATAACACGCCACTAGCAGACTGAGACAGCTGGAATTCTTCTCTAAGATATATCGCATCATCAAGAGATAATAAACGTAGATCATCTTCTCGACCACGAGCCGAGGTTCATCGGCCAAGCATGGCGGGGACTATCCAACCGCCTGGCACCTTCTGTGCAAACCACCTCTTCAACGTCAATCCCCTCGTCTCCTTTCTCGTAATCGTCAACCATTGAATACCATGTATCCATTCTCCGATGCCACCACTGTCACCTCGACAGGTACTCACACCTATACCGCAGACTTCCCAAAGGATTACTGCATTGGCTCAGGTATCACCTCTTTCCACACCATCAACGAGATCCGTCCCGTTCATCTTATAACTCCTGACATATAGTTCCTCATGGCGGATACATCACTTCTTGCTTCATGCGCGTAGCCCAGCTGCACTTTGCTACCACCTTGGCCAAGCAAAATCAACCGCATACTATGTCAATGCATCTGGAGTTCCTAAGACGTACCAGCATTGGGCCTGCTCTATTCAATGTCAGAGATGTAAAGATAGGCCGAGGCACTTCAGTCATTCATGTGACTCTGTTCCAAGAAGGAGGCGATCGCGAAGAAGTGGCTGCCTACATTACGAACAGCAACCTGTCCACAGAAGAAGGCACTTCATTTCCTACGGGGTGGAAACTGGAGCCTGCACCCCCTCACGCCAATGTTGCCGCCCTGAAAGCCGGTACTGATGATACCTGGAAAGAACAGAAATCCATGCCTTTCGCCATCTTCCGCCGTGCCAGTCAACACGTCAACTTCTACTTTCCTAAGCAAGGTCAGCGCATGCGCAGTCTAGCGGACCAGTGGATGTGCTTCAGCAACGGCGAACGGTTCACCAATACTAGCTTGGGTTATGTATCAGACATGTTCCCTCAAATCCTTGAGAGCTATCGTACGGGCAGCGATCCCTACGCTGTTGAGCCCCTGCGTGACGCCAAGGAGATCAATGAGCTGGCCGCGCAGCAAAAAGGCTTCTCTTCTGCCTGGTATCCGACCCTGCTGCTGAACCTCGACATCAAGAAAGTTTTGCCCGAAGAGGGTGTCGAGTTTCTTTTCCTCAGAGTTCGCGCAAAGCAGATCAAGAACGGCAGGTATGATTTGGAAGTCATCATCATGGATGACACTGGAGATATTGTCGCGCTTAGCCATCACGTCTGCATGGTCATGTCGGCTCAAAGAAACCTGCAAGCAAGATCAAAGCCAGCTGAAAAGCCGAGCAAGCTCTGATCGACAGCGAGACATTTGTGAACTAGTGTAAACAATATTGTTCGATTGTATCAAGACGTGTCAGATTTGTGGTTAAGTGCTTTGGTCAGAATAATTCTGGTGTGGTTTCGCGGCCGATCTGGCGCTGGAAGTTTAGTGAAAGACCTCAATGCTTCAAAACTTCTGCACAGCTCGGAGATGCTTAAGAGTAAAGTTGATACTTAGGCCAGATAGCTTTGCGGGTATTGCAGAACCATGAATCGTGTCTACAGACGTGTGTTGCTCATAGTCTATCCTCTGGATGTCTGAAGCAGGGTCATACACTGTCGGGAATCGGCAGAATCACACCGCCCAGGGTCTAGAAAGCCTTGTAAAGAGCGAATACTCTCGTGACATCTTTTGACAACAGAGACGTTTTTCAATATCGTATACAAAGGGCTGTCGCGCGAGCAGCCGCGACGACATAAACTGCCAAGGGGCGGAACGATAGCTTGATTCAGTACCTGCTTCTGCTACCTTAGCTCAGCAAACAGGCAGACTGCAGCCATGCACGATAACAAGTCTTACGCCATGCCGGGCACTCTTGAGTAGATCTTCCCCAGCAAAAGCACCGCCAATTGCCGCAAGTCTTTGACTGCTCCGAACTGTCCATCCAAATAGTCGGCCGTATCGCGATTGTTCATACGCCGACGCGCTTACAAGGTCACCTCGTCCTAGATTCCTCCACATCCCCGACACGGCTCCACGCCGATCATATTCGACAGTTGGCGACTCTGGACGCGCTCAAGCATCATGTATCTTTCCCTCCTGTGCTGAGCTTTGCAACACGGCAATAGCAATGCACAATATCCCGGAAAACAGAGCAGTTCCCAGTAGGAGTCATCTTTTCGTCGGAGCTTGTTTGCCCAGACTCTCGTGCATGTACTCGGCAAGACATCATCGGTGACTTGCCGCATCTTTAGGCGTTTGGTCTGGAAACGCATGTTCCTCCTATCGGACTCCTCGGACGCAACAGTCGCCAGATGTTATTGGCAAAGCTCGCTGACTCGATGAACCCAAGCCAGAGATACTGATACGTTTCATTTCTCCTGCCAGCAGCACCCAAGCATATTGGTTCGCCAATCACTTCAACTGGCAAGCACTGCCGTGCTTCTCTGGGCATATCTTGATGGAGGTTGGCTCGTGCCCAGGACAGCCACAATAACGCCACCAATGCGGGACACAGCAACCTTCGAGTAATGGGACCAATTAACGTTTGATCGTCGCACACTATCACACCAGATACCGACCGTACTCCGCACGTGTCATGAGCATTCCTCTCTCGTGTCATTTAACCACGTATAGCCGACGGAGAAATTATGAAGTTGCACCGTGGGAGAATCTGAAGACAAGTCTATAAACAGCCTTCACCCCACAACCCCAGTTACTGACCCCAGACGACCCACTCACCACCGATCCGCCTCCACATTCTTATCTCATTATGGACCCAACGGTTGAGAAGGGCACTGCTCAACACCTGGAGCACGCCTCTGACACCTCTGGAGACGTACAAGGCAATGCAAAAGGTCTTGCTGTTGCCTTCGAGGAGGGCATGGACGCCGGCTTGAGCGACGCCCACCTTTGTAGCGAGGAGGACAACAAGCGCATCCTTCGAAAGACTGACTTGTGGATGCTCTCGCTCCTCTGCATGGTTTATTTCCTTCAGTCAGCAGACAAGGGGTAAGATATATTCAATGTAATGTACAGAGTATCGACTGACTCTGGAACCAGAATCATCGGTCTTACCGCCGTCTATGGTCTCAAAAAGGACGCACATCTCGTTGGCAACGACTACTCCAACATTGGAAACATTGGCTACTACGCACAGCTTGCTGTCCAACCTATCGCTGCATGGGTACTTGTCAAGTTGCGATACCGACAAGTCTTGCCCGTTATCATTACCTGCTGGGGAATCTCAGTTGCTGCCGGACTTGCTGGCTCTCGCAACTATGCCGGACTCCTTGCCTCGAGATTTCTGCTCGGAGCTTTTGAAGCTGCCGTCGTTCCTTTGTTCTCCATGATCACCATCGCTTTCTACAGACGCTCCGAACAACCTTTCCGCGTTGCTTGTTGGTACAGCTGCTACGGCTTGAGCACACTTATCAGTGCGCCAATCGTCTACGGATTTGGACGCATTCACTCTGCAACGTTGTACCGTTATCAAGTGGTCTACCTCTTCTTCGGCCTGTTGACAATCTGCATCGGACTCATTACCTACTGGTGGGCACATGACAGTCCCGGAGAGGCCCGTTACCTTTCTCCCGAAGACCGCCTCAAGGCTGTTGATCGTGTTAAGGCCAACCAGCAAGGAATCGTCTCACACAAGTTCAACTGGAAGCAAGTCATCGAGGCTTTCACAGAATTGAAGTATTGGCTCTTCATAGTCATGGTCGTCAGTGTGAACGCTGGTGCTTCTGTATCGTCAGTCTTTGGCTCCATCATCCTCCAGAACCTGGCAGGCTTCACCCCTGACCAAGCCGTACTTCTCAACATGCCATCTGGCGCACTGCAGTTTGTTTCGATTCTTGGCGCATCTTACCTTGCATACCGCTTCAAGCGCAAGTCGCCATTCTTGCTCGGCCTTGTGTCTATCGTCATCGTTGGAGTTGCTTTGATGGTCGCACTTCCTAAGACCAAGGAGAACAAGGGTGGTTTGCTCGCTGGATACTATCTGATCGCTTTCGTGTACGCCATCAACCCTCTGCTCATTTCGTGGATGGGCGGCAACTGTGCTGGACAGACCAAGAAGGCCATCTACTACACCTCGTTCAACGCCGGAAACGCCATTGGCAACATCATCACACCCTACATCTTCAACTCCAAGTTTGCACCACAATACGTAAGTCTCCTCGTGTACATTTGGTTCGTACAGGAAGTACTAACAAAGTTTCAGGTCAATGCTCTCAAAGGTATCTTGATCATTTGGATCATCCTCTGGGTGGTCGTCATCCTCCAGATCTTGAACATCACTTGGATCCAGAAGAAGAAGGGAGACCAGCGCGAAGCAGCTGGACTGCCCAGAACCTTCGAGGACTTTTCCATGAGCGACAAGTTCCACGAGGCGGGTGCAGAGATTCACGGCGAGAATGGTCTGCAGGATATGACTGACAAGCAGAATCTGTACTTCCAGTACTTGCTATGAGAGACTGGATACTGTATTTGTTGGCTTATGTAGTTTGACTTGCTGGCTATCACGTAGATGGCTTATCTTATGATTTGAACGATTTCACCATGTTTCCTCGAGACTTGCCGTCTCATCTTCCCCATGTGATATCTGTCATGACTGCTTCAGGATCACCCCGCACAGTGATCCTATTCACCATTTGTTTAATAGCATGCGAATGATCCAAAACAGACATGATGCCACTAGTTCCTACTCACTATTCCAACAATAATTTCCGGTCTCTCATTGAGAACTTCAACATTCAGCCTCGGCATGAGCAACCCTCTGTCCAACAATAGCACCCGAAAACCCCGAAGTCTGACAGTAAACACCCCTAACCGTAATCGCATAAGAAGAGTTTCCATCACTCACAGTAGTGGTCGAGCCATCACAAGTCACCGTAGCAGAAACACCGCCAACACTCGCTTGACTGCCAGAAGAACTGCTTACACCATCTGCAGTCGAAGGTGCCACAACGCCAGCAGAACATGCCGCATAAGCAACACTGCCGATGCGTGTTCCATTGGCGCTGGTGAAGGTGACTGTGGTGATTTCGTTGGCTGAGGCGCTGGCGTGCTCGTTCTCTGCTGCACAGCTTGTTGCTGCGGCGGCTTGTCGTTCATTTTGAACGGATTGGGCATTTGATGCACTGGCTACTGTTGCGTTTGTGACGATGCTGACGTCGCCTGCTGCGGTGGAGATGGCGGTCGAGTTTGCATTGCCGCTGGAGGATGAGGAGTCATTGCTTGTGAGGCCTTGAGCAGCTCCCGCAGCGCTGGACGAGATGTCAGTTGCAGTCACATTGTCTACAGGGTTTGATGCTTCTTACCTCGATGCATTGCCGCTTGAGAACGTGGTCGAGACAACTGTCGTCCCATTCGCTGCACTGGAGGCACTGCTCATCGAGCTTCCATCGGAGGCCGATGTGGAGTTTGTGACGGTGGTGACTTGGGACGATGTGGTCTGGTTGTTGTGGAAATTGCCAAAGAATGAGACGAGGTTGCCCTGGATGGTGGCCTTGGGAAGCCTCCATATGTAGCCAGCGTAGTTGATGGGAGGGAGACCGTTCAAGCTGTGTGGGACATTGAGCTGGAAAGTAGTATCCAGAGGGTAGCACTTTCCGGCATCTGCTTTCTGGGTTGCTGAAACAGCTAAAACGTGGCTAATCGAAGCAAGGGTAATGGGGATAGCGAGTGATAGCTTCATGTCTTCTTGCGTGTGAGATATCTGCGGTGCCTCCCCTATGAAGCAGTGAGAGGATGACTACAACATATAGTCATCTGAGTGCGCTTCGAAGAACACGGCATACAAGAGATCATTGTGGGTCATTTCGGATTACCATGGTTCCTGCCAAAAACGCGCTGATCCCGTGGAGTGCTGCCGCCATGGAAGCACTTCCGAGGACCACAATGATCGTTAGCTTGTGATCTACAAGGGCATCAGTACGACTGCTTGAGTTTAGAGGGCTTGATGGTTGTCCTGCTTGCAAGTTGTATTGCAAGGCTGCAAGAGAAAGTACTCCGATCAAAACAGCTATACTTGATATAGCTTTGGAATTGGCATCATGCGAGAATGACAGTGGCATAGCCGTGAGTTCAATGGAACAGCGTGCAGTGCTCTTGCCGACCATGCGGTGCCTAAAAGTGGGGACCATACCAGGCATCTGCAATTGGTCGAACCTTCTGTCAATACAAGCCTCGGAAATCGCATTTGGGACCGAAACATGGACTGCAATATGCACGGCGGATTTTGGGCAATTCCGCATCCACAGGAAGACTGTTCGGAATCTGACAAACCAACTGTCTCAGTACGTTGTCAGTGGTATGTTGAGGTCATCGCGTGTATTACGTTCGAGATCGAAGTTAAACAAGCGTCACTGTAGACTGTGCACTCCGGCCCATGTTGATCTTCGGAAGCCGCGTCCGCGGAGACGGCAAGTAAATGCAAGAGGCATTGACGTGAACGAGAGCTCTTGCTTTGGTTTCTATTTAGATCGCTCGAATGGTTGAGGTGACGTGAGGCAGAGTCCTGTTTGCATGCGACGAGTCCAGATGAGCCTGACCAAGTAGCCGATGAATTATTTAGAATATCCGTTCTTTGCCTCACCATTTCTCTCATCTTCTCTCATCTTCTCCTATGCTGAGCTCCTGTTATCCCTGACTTCGCCCTCCATCGTCGTCGAATTGTCTTCGTCAATGTGGATTTTAAACATCTTTGAAGCCATGCCATAGCTTTTGCCTACCGCTTCGCTTCCGTAGACTCTCATTCCTTTCTCGTAGTCTGCCGTCGCTCCTTCGTAGTAGCCATTTTGCAGCAGTCTACCTAAGAGAGCGCTATCTCTTACCGCAGTATTGGCTCCTAGGCCACCTGCCGGGGTCATGGAATGTGCTGCATCGCCTATGACAGTGACGCGAGGTTGATTTTGCCATACAGGAACACCCGAGGGGGTTGAAATTGTGATTTTCCAGAACGCACCCTCGGATGTGTTGGACTCGGTGAACAGAGGCTTCAGCTTGGGATGCCAGTTCTTTGTGAGCTCTCGTGCAATGTTGGATGCGGTCTCGCCGACGATGGTATAGTCGTCGTTTGGAGCTTTGATGACTCCAGGCTCACCGACCATAGTCCATCCAAATTGGGTATCGGGATCGTCCATATCGCCAGCGCGAACATTTGTGATGACGGCGAAAGAACCGTTGGGTCTGCTGTTGTCGACGAGACGGAAGACACCTTCGCCGAGTCCTTTGAAGGCTGTCGTCGGTGCTTGTCCATGTATGCCGCGAGCTCCAGTGTCATAGACCTTCAGCTTGCCGTTCGAGAGTTGTCTGGCGATGTAGGAGTTGATGCCTTCGCCGCCGATGAGCATGGAGCCTTCTTCGGACTTTGTGCCATCGCTGAAGATAGCTCGCACGCCATCTTTCGTCAACTCGTAGCCCTTGACATGCTTGTTGAACTGCACAAAGTCTTCGCAACCCTCCATGAACAGATTTCGCATATCTCCACGCGCTATACCAACGACTTTGCCCTCTCGCGAGTTCAAACTTTCATTGTTACCACCGCCACTACCACCGCTACTGCTGCTATTTCCAGCAGGTGCAGCAGGTGGTTGCTCAATGGGCTCTCCAGAAGTGGCATCTATGGTTTTCATTCCTCCACCACCGGTTTTACCACATCTATCGTAAAATTTCTTCCATGCTGCTGGTTCCAAAGCGGATTCGATGGCGTCGAGACCTTCTGAGGAGAGCCGAAGTCGGTATCCTTGGCCTCGAGATGCTAGAGAGGCATCGCGTTCGAAAACACGGAACGGGATTTTGTATCGCAGAAGCGAGCGAGCAAGAAGTAGCGATGCGAGGCCAGCTCCGGAAATCAAAATTGGTTTTTGTGTCATGTTTTGCAGAGTTGAGGTAATGTGATTGTTGATGTTCTTGGTTGAATGCTCAGCATTGAAGGTGGGTGGGGGAGGTTGGTGACGCTGACATCAAGACCCGCTTTCCTTCTGTCATCTGCACCAACGACCGGACCGACATTTTCGCTTGAACAATCTACTCTACCGCTTGCACAGGGACGACACATGAAAGAATGATGGTATCTGAAATCCAAAGAACACTACTCCTGACTAATTATGTGTAACGAATGTGTTGCTGTGTCTTCCACCTCTCAAGCTTTATCAGAGGCTATGAGAGATGAGCCGATCATAGGAGACAACGCCAGGGGGACCAAAAAGAAACAACGAACCACCAAAGAGCAGCCGAAAGCTGGCGAGTCTGGCTATACAGAATCTTGGAGGTTGACACGTTGAGGCTACAGCCAACACTCGGACCAGCTCTCGTTGACCATCATCACATAATCTTCAGGAACGCTCAGAGTTTCACCTCGAAGAGTCTCTCCTCAGCGTCGTCCGGATCGACATTATTTGTACCGACTCGGCGTACAATCTCATGGCTGACAGAGCTTAAGACGAGGGCAGCTATGACAGCCCAAGATACGATACTGAGGATTGTAGTCTGCAAATCATATCCGAGACCAAGACCCAATAGAGTACTTGTCGAAAGTGCAAAGAGTATGGCCTGGTCTTGCCAGCGGTCTCCACGACGTCGCTGCGAGTACACGACTATTGCAATCGAATACGTGCTCACGGCCAGCACGAACCCGGTCAAGCTTGGATTCATTGTGGGCAGGCGAGACTGGACAGCGCGTTAGTCGGGGATTGCCTCAGGGACGATTTTACGTACACCGCTGTTTATTGTAGACTCTATGACTTGGTGTTGAGACCTGATGATGGCCTTGTTGTTTGCATTGTTCCAAGCTGTGGCAACAATCGCAGAAGCCGAAGCCGAAAGAAGAGACACTGCATCAGGTAACTTGCTGGCCGCGAAATGTAAGACACTCATATCAGTCCCGTTCTCTTTGTCTTCCAGATTAGCGCCCGACTTCAAGTCGGACCAAATGTTCTTCTCATAGATAGGCAGTCGGTCTGTCACTGTATACAGCTGTCTTCTGGACACAGCTCTTCGGATAGTGCCCGACCACGACAACACGCTGGAAATCAAGCTTGACTTGCCAGCGCCAGTCATACCCATGATGACGAGCCTGACCGGCTTGTGAATGAACGCTGGTGGCGCAGGTTGATCTTCTGGAGCCAACCAGTCAGCACGGTTCTTCGGGACAGTACCATCCTGGAACACGAGATTGGGTAGGATACCGCTTGGTCAATAACGAAGTTATTCTGTTCGCCGGTCCGTCTCTGCCTCTTCTTTCCCTTGTCAACCTTTCTGAACCATTGTAAGACAAACAACCACCGAAAACGCCTGACGAGATGAGAAGCATTGCAATTCTCGCGGGTTTCGCTGCTCTTGCTGCCGACATGCCTATTGCTGTCCACAGGGTTCCCGAGGCTCACGATGACGATGTTGGTACTTTCCATCATTACTTCGATTTCGTGTTTCGGCCATCGGTGGACATGCCAGGGCCAGTAAAGCAGGAGAAGTCTCAAGCCTCAATCCCAGAGTGCTCGATGGCCGCTCGAGGCCTAGGTTCGACAACTGAGCCATACGACTGTCAGAATCCAGATCTTGGACGGAATCCAGAAGAGGCTGATCAGCAGCTGAACACAACTCCATTCCGGAGCACCATAGAAAAGTGTAAGCAGAGACCACCACGAGCTTGTCATACTTGCTAACCACAAGCAGCCAATGGAAGCTTGCCCCACAAAGCGACTCGTGCAATCAGATCGTCCACGAACTGCTCTTTGTCCGCCATCACCACCAACCACTTCTTCCGGCTCGCAAGTGCAGCTCCAGTCGAGCTTCCCGATAAAGACTCGATCACGTCTCAATATTTCCAGACTCCTACGGTGCTTGCGATCTGTTTCGTAACTTTGCTGTTCGCAGTCTGGGTCTCGACAGCATCTCGGAAAAGATGGAACGGGTGTCTATACGTTGCTACGCTTGGCTCCAGTATAATGTCAATCGCTGTACTCAACATGGGCAGTGACGCGGAAGCCAAGTAAGTCTGCCTTGTTGGCCCCCAAGATCACTTTGACCTAACAGATGATACTAGCCAGGTCTGGGTTATCCTCACTTCCTTTTGTCTATACGTGGCATGGTTGCGTCGTCTGTCGAAAATGACCACACCTAGGACCCCAGAGGCTCTAGATATCCGAACGACCCCGAGACCAGGTAGCGCAGAGAGCCCGGAAGGTGCAGTAGATGCGGAGAATCTGGAAAACCCAGAGCGTCCGGACAACCAGAGGTAGGGTATATCAGACTGTGCTATCGGCTTCACTGACGCTTGGTAGTGACGGGTTTGTCCGTGTGTGCGTCGGGGTCCTTGGAGCACTCATGGGTGCCACATATGCTCTGAATGCTTTTGTGTCATCGTCTTTGGACTCGTTTCCTGTGGTCACTCTACCATTCTTGTTTCCATTTAGCATATTTGCAGTATGGAGTGGGTTCTGGACTCGAGAAGCCCGACCCCGGGTCGTGTTGTATGTACGTAGGATGTCTTGAGAGGATGATGTTGAACTGTCGGGCGACCAGATATATATTGCTAGATTGGAGCTAGACCAGGGCGGCAGGGCATAAGCATTTGGAGGACATGTGGTAGGACATTCTTTTGGGCATTTGGATATTTGTGGGTAACCTTTGTTTTCTTGTCCGATGTTGGACACTTCGTCTTGTTTCTATTTCTTCGTTCCTCGAGTGATTTTTGATGTTTTCAGGACATATTCGAGGCTCCGCACTGGTTACCAAGTATGGGCTGTTTCGTGTTGCATACCGGGAGAGATATGCTAGTGGCGGGTATAAAATGATGATTTGGTGGGGATGGATGGTCATGATCAAGCGGCGATGGCGGTTGCAAGATGCGGCTCTGAGGATCGAGAGGATCGAGGAGGCGCGGAGGAAAGCTCCGTTTTCCAAGGCCATCGCATTCGTCCGTTAATTACGCGAGTTTAAGTTTGGCCCCGGATTGATTGACAGCCGAGGGCTTCCTAATTTGATTGTTTCACAGGAAAGTCGTCGCAATCGCTCAAGTCGTTCCTCCCGCATCCCCTGCAGCTGCTGGAGGCTTGATGCGAACACGCTCTGCAACCAAGGAAGCCGCGCCTCCAGAGCCCAGGCAGTGCCAGACAAGATGGCACCCAAACAGGCCAAACAGCACAAGGCCCGCGAGAGGGCCTTGACCCTGCAGGAACGCGAGATGCATCGTTTCTACCAACCCTGGCTCGACGCACAAGGCACTTCAGCAAATGTTGCAGAGCACGTTCAGGACCTCGCCGCCGTCGACGACTTTGCCATCAACACCCTCTCCGAACAAGGCTTCCGCCCTCTGGCCTCGCGCGACACCACCTTGACTGCTTTTGCTCAACTCGCCGCCCTCCGCCTCAATGTCCGCCGTGCCATGGTCAGTCTCATTGACTCCAAACACCAGTACGTCTTGGCCGAGGCCACACGCACTCTTTCCTTGGTCGACGACACGAGACATGCAGAAGGCGACGCCCTGTGGCTTGGAACCACCTCGCTAGCTAGAGAAGATGCTGTATGCCAATGTGCTTTTACGAGACAATACACCGTCGAGGACGAGAATGGTCATGCCGTCACCTCAATCGCCGCCGTAATGCCCGATTGCCGCTTGGATGACGATTTCAAAGACAAGCCCTACGTCTTGTCAGAGCCCGGCGTGCGCTTCTACGCTGGTGTGCCCATCAGATCGAGATCTGGACACAACATTGGCGTCTATGCCGTCAGCCACGATGAGCCGAGAGAGCCCCTGACCTACGACGAACTCCGTTTCATGCAAGACATTGCTGTCACCGTCATGAACCATCTGGAGTGGGCCAGGGACCGTGTAGATCGCTACAAGGGAGAACGTATAGTTCGTGGAATGGCCGACTTCATCGAAGGTGCTCCCTCCGTGCGCGCCATGAGCAAAGAGATGGACAATACAGATCAACCTGCTACGACTGCCAATGGATCGGCCCCAGCATCTCAGTCGAACAGCCAGGTGAAAGAAGACTCCCACAGGCGGCCACCAGCCACAAGAACAAATACCAGTGTGTCCGTGCATCGACCTAAGCTAGAATCTAGGACCGACTCTTTTACTAGACCCCGTGAAGCCAAAGCCGACAACCTATCCAAATTACTCGATCGTGCTTCTCGGATATTGCGAGAGTCAACGCTTGCCGAAGGTGTTGTGTTTTTTGGGCCTTCGTCCGGATCCGGCCATGCAAAAGCTAGTCTGAGATCTGTAATGGCAGCCCGAGACAAGCTGTCTGGTACGGATGATGAGTCTGCGAGACATCTTTCAGTCGATTCTGTTGATGTGGAAAACTCGACTGATTCTGACGCCAACCATATCCACGCTTCGAAGATTCTTGGTCTCTCCCTGGCCAACAAGAAGGATAGCTCTCTCTTCCACGACACAACGCTGGATGTTTTGACTCTGGAGAATTATTTCAAGCTTTATCCCAATGGAAAAAGCCTTCATTTCTCCGAAGCTGGCTCGGGTCTGTCTTCTGAGGATGACAGCGCTAGTGAAAGCCAGAAGTCCGCTGGTGAGGAACCAAAGGCCGCTCCCGAGACTGCCTCTCAGAAAGTTATTGGAAAGAAGAAAAAGATGCGAATGAGTCACCAGATACTTCTCAAGAATCTGCCAGGTGTCAAGAACGTCATCTTTCTTCCTCTCTGGGATTATATCGAAGAGAAGATGGTCGCAGGCTGTTTCCTATGGACCAGCAGTACTGGCAGGATGATGAACCTGGACGACGACCTATCATATCTGAGAGCTTTCGGCAACACCATCATGAGTGAAGTATCACGTATGAATGCTTTGAAGGATGATCGCGCAAAGACGACTTTCATCGCTTCCATGAGCCACGAGTTACGCTCGCCTTTGCATGGCATTCTTGGATCTGTCGAGTTCTTGCAGGAAACAGCTACAGATGCATACCAAGCTGGTCTGGTAAGTGAGAAGCGATGCACACGTCCATGAATTGGCAAATATCAACTGCAAGGATGCTTTGTTTCGTGGTTGAGTGTATGCTGATTTGTGATGTCTCAGGTAAACTCAATCTCGACATGCGGCAAAACTCTGCTGGATACCCTCGATCACGTACTCGATTACGCCAAAATCAACAAGCTTGGCCGCGCTCGTATGAAGAAGAATGCCAAGTCGAATCGACTAGCTTCCGCCACTGATTCACCCTCGGAGAGTCTCAGCATTTCTGCCGAGATCGACCTTGGACTAGTTGTAGAAGAGGTTGTCGAGGCCGTGTGTGCTGGCCATGCGTTCAAAAAGATGCACACGGGAGATCTCAAGTCGCGTGAAGGCCCTGTCATCACCATGTCTCGCCACTCGTCATCCAGCAAAGTCTCCACTGCTGATGGTGGGAATATTCACGAGGGTGAAGTTGCCGTTCTGCTTGATGTCAGTCCCAGGGCTTGTTGGCTTGTACGTACCCAGCCCGGGGCTTTGAGAAGAATCATTATGAACCTGTTAGGTGAATCTATCTGTATAAGCTGGTGACGAAGCAACAGCTGACACCAATCGCAGGAAATGCCTTGAAATATACTCCCCGCGGCTGGGTGGCGGTGTCTCTCAGAGCTCAAGAGAGTACACAATCCCACAAAATGGACGTGGTGTTCAGAGTTGTCGATTCTGGCAAAGGAATGTCTGAAGACTTCCAGAAGAACCGTCTGTTCACACCATTTTCGCAAGAGGACGAATTCATGCCGGTGTGTTTGCTTTTCTCGCATCCGATGTTAACTCGCTGACTCATCATGCAAAAGGGAACCGGTCTAGGTCTTAGCATCGTGAGACAAATTATCGACTCACTAGGTGGTACCATCGACGTCAAAAGTGTGCAAAATGTTGGCACGGAGATTGAGGTTCGGTTAAGTCTAGCACTGGCACAGCACAGCGACACGCCAGACGAAGAGTTGACCGCAGTCATTGCTAAGACCAGGGGCCTAAGACTTGCTCTCTTGGATCCTAACGGCGAGAAAGAGAGGGATCGCAACGATAACATCAGTCGACTTGATACCACGCTGTCTGAAGTCTGCTGGGGCTGGTTCGAAATGGAGGTGACAAAAGCAGACAGCCTAAAGGACGTCGATGCAGACATGTATATGTACACTGAGCCGCCTTCAGTCGAATATCTACTGGAACATCACAGCGTCAACAAAACCAGTAACGAGGGGGGCAGAGGAAAGGAGGTTCCACTTATCATAGTTTGCCTCAACGCGTCGGAGGCCGTGGAAATCACCTCTAATCATATCAAGGTACGTCGGCTAAATGTTGGTACACATCAGGAACTGACGTTGTCGTAGGCACTATCAGATCTGGGCCGAATAGTTGAGGTCGTTTCGCAACCGTGTGGACCTCGCAAGCTGGCCAAGATATTAGCACAGTGCACTAGACGCATGGAAGAAACCTTCCACAGGCCTATGAAACCCGACAGACAACCGCAACCACAGGGCTTTCCACATCGTTCACGTCTAGAGGACATGGGCGCCGCTACAATGCTTGGACTACCGAGCATGACTTTGCCACGCCTCAACACTTCGGAAGAGAGATCCGAGTCTATCCGAGCTCGAGAGTTCATCCGCAACACACCCACAGAGCTCCCTCCTAGCACAGCTGTGGCATTCCCAAATATCGATCGTGACGAAGGCAATGCCAGAGAACCTCAAGGTCAAGCGCAAGCAGCCTCAGTACCTCACGTCCTGCTCGTAGATGACAATTCAATCAATCTGCAGCTCCTGGTCATGTTCATGAAAAAGCACAAAATGCCCTACCAGGAAGCCACCAATGGGCAAGAAGCTCTGGACAAATACATCGAATTTGGCAGCGGCGACCCAAACAAGCCCCACCTCGACTTCATACTCATGGACATTTCGATGCCCGTGATGAACGGTCTAGAAGCTACCCGTCGCATCCGCGAGTTCGAAATCGAGCAGGGCATTGAGAAGAAAGCTACAATCATTGCTCTGACGGGCTTGGCGAGCGCCGAGGCACAAGCTGATGCAGAGTCGTCGGGTGTGGACATCTATATGGCCAAGCCTGTCAAGTTCCAGGCTCTGAGGCCGCTGCTGATTACCAAGAAGCCAGAGAAAAAGGCCGAGTAGCAGAAACTTTCTTGGTCTAGGCAGATGTTGTTTACATCCTCTGGCGTTTTCTCTTGTTCTTCATTTTCCATTGCACATCGAAGGCTCTCTTTTGATTCCTACGAGCATTTTCTTTTTCATGCGGCATGGCATTTTTCATCTTCTCTTGCATAGCACTCATACTTTCTGCATGACGATGGCGTTTCTTTTTGTCTCTCTTTCTTAGATACACACGAGCATTGGTGGCGGGCTGTTTTGGGCAAAATGGATATCTACATGGCAGATACACAATTTTTGAGATTCTGCTCTTTCTCTGCGGTTGTGTCTACGGACAGGTAATGGTGAAGATTGCCGTTTTTATTGTTTGCACTTAATTCGGTAGCATTTTGCGCTGTCGTGTGGGTTTGTCCATGGCCAAACCCAGCAGCTTCGGAAGGGTTGCTGTTGATACTGGTGTAGTTTGTCCACGGACAGGAAAGGAGATGGTCTCTCCGTTGTAAAGTCGTGTTGTGCAGACGACTATAGACATGCACAGTTCTTTTTGGTAGATAGACAGCCTCCACTGAGAGGATCTCTTTGATCGGCTCTCCGTGGCCTTTGCTGCCGTCTAGAAAGTACTGCGCATTCTGATTGCATCGTCATTTGAGCGAGCCCACTCTGGTTTCCAGAGAAGGGCGAGCCGTTCCTGAAGGTCGATGGGGTTGTTGATCATAAGGGGTTGCAGTGAACAAATTTTTTGGAGATTCTAGCTTCTTCATCAAGTGGAAGCTGAAGGTCTTGTGAGTTGTGCGCCTCATCCACGATGACTCTTGCAAATCTGCCCGCAATTACATCTGCAAGCTCAATCGAGTCAATGGTTTGAGAGTCCCTCAGAATCAGAATCAGAATCGAAACCAGAATCAGAATCAGACTCAGAGTCGGATTCGTCTTCATTCGGAGTGGTCGCCTTCGCCTTACGTTTCTTTGCAGTGTATGTAGTCTCGGTCCACGAGAGCACTCGTTTCTGAGCAGTCGTCAGAGATGTCAGGACAACCGTGGCAGCAGTCTTGGGGTCGTGAGGATCCAGAGAGTCGAGAAGAGCGACGAGATTGATTGCCTTGGTACCGATTGTGCGCTTACGATCACCGGCTTTGTTTGTGCTGGTGCATCCCTGGAACAAAACTTTGTTGTAACGGCAACCGGTGAATCGGGACTCTAGGGGCCTGGTGAATCCTGGCTAGCGTGAACAAGGTGTTTCAATATCTCCATGTTTTTCTACATTTGGACGATGTAAGACCACACTGTGCGTGTATTTTCTTTTGACGTCAAGTTTCCAGTGTCTGATGGTGGGGGTAATTCAGTGTCTAGTATATAGTAGAGAGGAAGATAAGGTAAGAGGTAGAAGGGTGGTATATAGAAGGAAGGAAGGAGCAGGTATATGAGAGAGAAGAAGAGGATAGGATGGAAATCGGAAAGAGTTGTATGGTGCGGAGCTATCAAGCAAGTATTACAAAGAGAGCTAAGAATCGTAAAGAGAAGCAGGTAGAGTTTCGAAGAGGAGTGAATGAGAATTGTGAAGAGAAGTGGGTGAGAACCATGGAGAGAGGTGAGTGAGACTTCCGGTAAGAAATTAGTGGACTTGGAGTCTTACATGGCAAGTGCACACTTTTGAGGTTGCTCTTTCTAGCAACATGAGCAAGCACCGCCTCTAAGTGTGCAAAACATTTGTAATGCGTGTAGCTACAGAAATGCATAGTAGTCCCTAGAACAGGACAGTGCCCATCGAGATACCATATGTCTTAAGCTCTCATTGGTCACATTCTTTGATCAAGAAACTAGTGTGCTTTTTTATAGCGTGGGTTATGCTCTAGGCGTTCGTGAGGAGAGGGTGAGATTTACATACTATTGCACGCGAGAGGCCTCTAGTTTGTTCTTGATTTTTCATTGCTCGTTAATTTCTACTGGAAGTGCTCTTCTGGGGCTGACTAAGTGCAAAAGAAGAGCATGAGAAGACGCAATTTGCTCGTCCTCCCCAGAAGAGGCCCCAATAAGTTAGAATGCTGTAGTAGTGGAAGGGTTATGCACAAGAACACAAGGATTTGTCGGATAGTGTGCAATCTTGGATTCTGATCATGGTGATGAGCCCAGCTCTGGGGCCGGAGAGGAGGAAGCTGCGGGTGCTGGGATTGGAGCCGCTGTAGGAGTGGTGGCCACGACATCTTCGGCGGCGTACAGGTTCTGATTCAAGATCTTGTTCATGGTGAACATGTGGACGCGATCTGTCTTGAAGACTGCGCGCATGGCATCGTCACAGACAATCTGGCGCTTGTCGGCTGGATCTTGGAGGTCTTTCCCCTTGACATACTCCCAGATCTTCTTGACCGTCTGAGGTCGCGATAGTTGTGTCTCTCCGAGCAGGGCTGAGAGGGGTTCTGACAGGTTCATGGGTTTCTGTGATTGTTTGCGTAAGCTTTCGTACATTCTAGGGACGAGACAGGGAGACTCACGTGGAAGCCACCTGTACGCGGCTTTGACTCCCCGTTGGTCTCGACGTCGCTGCCGTCTTTCACTTTGACGGCCGACTTCTTCTTTCTCTTTACGGGAGCTGCTTTTCTGGTTGCGCCGGCTCTGGTGGGTCGGGCTCTGCTGTTTTCCTCGCGCTGTAAACGGGCAGCATAGGCGGCGTCGTCTTCCTCAGCATCCTGCTTGCGGGCCTTCTTCTTTGGTCTATCGTCTACTACATCGGACAAGTCTGATTCATCAGAGGGTTCTTTGCGCTTTTGGGGGGAGGAGTCTGAGGGGGATGGAGAAGCGCCGTTGGTACCATTTGCGTTCTCTGAAGTCACTCTGTCGAAGCAAGTCTCGATCAGACGTGAAATCTCTTTCTGGGCAGCTGTGTTAGGCAAAGTCTTTAAAGGTGGGCAATAGGAAGGTCGACTAACCTTGTGATCGCTAACATCGTAGCCAAGTCTCTCGGAGAGAGCATTGCGGATCTTCTTTGCGGAGACGGTCTCGAGGTCGCTATGGCGCAAGATATCGTAGATCAGGTCCGAGTAACGTTTTTCGTCGTAGGACATGGTTGTGGCAGATGACGTCGGTCTTGTTGGATGGAGACGGTAAAAGAGGTTGGGTTGAAGTTGGGGTGAACCAGCAAAATCAGGAGAGACAGGCTAGCAGAGTCTTTTGTAGCGATTGGAGTGCAGGCGACGGGTCAATTGCGAAATGTTTGTGAGGAGTGATTGATTCTTTGTAGACGACGCGCATAGACGCGATGGAGAGCCACTTTGGGTATATATGGAGACGACTGGAGCGACCACTTGGTCGGCTTGGCGTCGACAACAGTTGTCACTGGTACGCCTCACACAATGACGAGGTCGGTGGATAGGGGCCAGCAGGTCAGAATAGCACTAGTCTAGGGAGAGATGTCTTTGACATGATGTTTGTTCGCAATCTTTGGGGGAAAAGAAGGTGGGAAAGGACCATGTCTTGGTTTGTTCTTGGAAGATGAGAAGGGCGACGCACGTGACTCCGCCCGCGCCTGCACTTTTTTGCACGTCGAAATCGAATAGCGGCAGCCACGACCACCACGCAATACACAACCGCCAACATGGCTCCCAGCTTTGATAATCTCGACAACGACGAGAGCTTCGACGATGTCGAAATCGACTACTCCGGTACGCCATCCCGAAAGAAGAGCCACACACAGTCGCGCGCCCCTCGTGAAGCAGCAACGGGATAAATTGAAGACGGCAATGCTGACTGCTGCCCTATAGATCTGCGCGAGCAGTTCGACGTGCGCATGGAGGAGGGTCTCGACTCTTTCGTAGTCGTCGACGGCCTTCCCAAGGTCCCCGAGGAGAGCAAGGGAAAGCTGATCAAGTTCATCCTCCGCAAGCTCACCACTGCCGGCAAGACCAGCGAGGACCTTGTCCTCATGCCCGTCAGCGAAGAGACCAACATGACCGAGGGCTACGCCTTTGTCGAGTACGAGTCACCCGCACAGGCTCAGGCCGCCGTCAAGGCCTTGCACGGCACCCCTCTGGACAAGAAGCACACCATGGCCGTCAACAAGCTGACCGACATCGAGCGTTTCGGCCGCGAGGGCCGCATCGAAGAGAACTACTCGGCCCCCGAGATTGAGCCTTTCCAGGAGAAGGAGCACTTGCGCTGGTGGCTGGGTGACAACGACGGCCGCGATCAGTTTGTCATGTACCGCGGCGACAGTGTCGGCGTTTTCTGGAACGAGAGAGACGAGCAGCCCGACTCGATTGTCGACCGTGCCCACTGGACCGAATCTTTTGTGCAGTGGTCGCCCAAGGGAACCTACCTTACCTCGATGCACGCCCAAGGTGTTCAGCTGTGGGGAGGCAAGTCATGGAGCAGACAAAAGCGTTTCGCCCACCCCGGTGTCAACCTCGTCGACTTCTCTCCCGATGAGAGATACCTCACCACCTGGTCCCACCGCCCCATGCAGGTCGAAGAAGGCCACCCCGTTCTCTCGCTCGACGAGGACGGCAAGAACTACATCATCTGGGATCTCGAGACTGGTCTTCCTCTGCGCTCTTTCGTCACCCTCGACTCGGCTGGTCCCAACGTTGACGAAGCCGGCAACCCCATCAAGAAGAAGCTGCAATGGCCCGCTTTCAAGTGGTCTGCCGACTCCAAGTACGTTGCCCGCATGAACCCCGACCAAGGTATCTCCGTCTACGAGCTGCCCCGTATGAACCTCCTCGACAAGGTCTCCATCAAGATCGAGAAGATTCAGGACTTCGAGTGGTGCCCCGCTACTCCTAACCGTGAGGGTATCAAGACCTACGAGCAACTCTTCTGTTATTGGACCCCTGAGGTGGGTAGCAACCCTGCAAAGGTCGGTATCATGAGCGTTCCCTCCAAGGAGGTTGTCCGTACCCGCAACCTGTTCAACGTTTCCGACGCAAAGCTTCACTGGCAGAGCGACAGCTCCTACCTCTGTGTCAAGGTCGACCGTCACAGCAAGAGCAAGAAGTCAATGGCCACCAACCTTGAGATCTTCCGCGTTAGAGAGAAGGGTGTGCCCGTCGAGGTTGTTGACGCCATCAAGGACACCGTCATCAACTTCGCCTGGGAGCCCAAGGGTGACCGTTTCGTTCTCATTACTGCAGGCGAGGTCCCCGTTGGTGCCGCCGTGCCCCCCAAGACTTCCGTTTCCTTCTTCTGCCCGGAAAAGGCAAAGGGCAACCAGGTTGGTAACTTCAAGCTGATCCGCACCACCGATAAGAAGAACAACAACGCCATCCACTGGTCTCCCAACGGTCGCTTCGTCGTCGTCGCCACTGTCCTGTCACAACAGAGCTTCGACCTCGACTTCTACGACTTTGACTACGAGGGCGAGAAGGATGAGAAGGACAAGGACTTGACTGCCAACCTGGCATTGATGAACACAGCCGAGCACTACGGTGTTACTGACATCGACTGGGACCCCTCAGGCCGTTTCGTTGCCACCAGCGCAAGTGTCTGGAAGCACCGCGTAAGTTTTACATTAAAATTCTAGCCGACAAGGAAATTATGCTAACAAACATAGATGGAAAACGGTTACCACCTCTACGACTTCCGTGGTCAACTCCTTCGCGAGGACCCCATCGATCAGTTCAAGCAATTCGCATGGCGCCCGCGTCCCGAGCGTCTCCTTTCAAAGGAGGAGCAGAAGACCGTTCGCAAGAACCTCCGCGAGTGGAGCAAGCAGTTCGAGGAGGAGGACGTCGCCCGCAAGAACACCGCCAACCGCGCTGTTGTCGAGCAACGCCGCCGTCTCCTCGACGAGTGGCTCGCCTGGCGCGAACGCACCGCCGCCGAGCTTCGCGAGGAGCGCGAAGAAGAGGGTCTCCCTGCTATCAGCCCCGAAGAGGCTGTCGCTCAGGACGAACCTTCAGAGGAGGGCGAGCGCGAGGGCAAGTTTGTCGAGGAGATTTTGGAGGAGATTCTGGAGGAGACCGAGGAGATCATCGATTAAATCACTCGATGATGATCTTGACGAGGAAACGCTTCTATATTTCTGTCCTCTGTTTATTGTCAAAAAGCAATGTGTACAGCACATTGTTGGGGAGCGGGGAATACAAAAATCTGGTGTTGTTTTGTTCCATATCACACCCCTCTTTCCGCCGTTCAATTCTGTCTCTCTTGGGTGATTCTCATAATCCTCCGCTGATGAGACGCTCCTTCCCAAGATTCCCAAGTCGCTATTCTCCTTCTCCTTCCTCACGTGTTCATCGCCCCTTCCTTTCCAGCATGATGGCTCCTTCCTTGACCAGTTGTTTAGCAGTCCCTTCCTCTTTCGTACCTTGTAGATCGCTCCTTCTCCCCGATCGTCCATCTGCTCCTTTCCCCGATAATCTTTCTTTGCTGCCCCCTGACAGAACGATGATGGTAACAATAAGATGCAGACATTTCCAAGTTTCCAGTATCTAGATCCCATGTTATTCTCGTTCGTTCTACGCCATCGCTATTTGACATTTGTCACCATGCTCCCGCTTTTCTTTGGTGTACTCCTCTGGTTTTTCCAATGGTGTCAACCCAACGACACAAGAAAATAGGGATGCCCTCTCCTTCGAGCCTCTACGGGTTCTCAAAGCCACCTTGGGAAAGGCGGAAAGAATGGAGACAGGAGCAGGAAAGAAGCAGATGCCTGTGCTTGACGATATGATAAGATCGAAGTAGATGTTCCTGGGACGAACAAGGATCTTTCATGAGACAAGAGAAGAAGGTCGGTTAGCAAAAAACGGGAAGCAGTAGAGCAGTCAGCGAATGTGCAAGGAGGGACCGATCAAACACGAGTTGTCGACAGAAAGAGAAGAATTACAGGAGTGGCGGCTGAGATGAGTGTTTGGATTCATTACTGATCGTGTTTGGAGCAGAAAAAACAGACCACATTCCCCATGGGGATCTGTGGCCCCTGCTAGAGTGACTTCTTTGTTGGAGATAGGATGATACGCAGCTTTCGCATGCTGTGCCTGCCTTACTCCTGTTCCGTCCTTGTTGTCCTACAGGACCCCTTGTTTTCATGTCCTGCCCAAGGGTCTCCCAGCGCTAACGCCCCTCCAGCCTAAACCTGCATTCGCATCCAACGCCATTGGTGAAAATGTCATGTTTTTATCTCTCGTTGAGGTAATTTGTAAAACAAGACAACAAAGAAGCTCGGAAGGGGGACAAAGAAGTACAAGAAACAGACGAGGTTATAGTGGCGGGCAGGCTGCGGCGGACAAACACCAATATCATCTCTGAGTGATGACTTTGGATCCCCTTACACAAGTGGTAGGTGCCGATGGCATCCCAAAATGTGCAGGTCGGACCGCCACAGCTGCCCGGTACGACGGATGCTGGGTGACAACGAGGGTCAGAAATGCAGGTATGTGTTGCTGATGGATGATTCGTTCGTAAAACATGTCGTATACGTCGTTTCGGATGTTGATGTCGTATTTTTGCGTTGCAAAAGCAAATTAATCCATATAAAAGTCGCCTTTGAGGATCCTCTCCTGGAACTGGTCGGGAACATTCATGGGCTTGGGGTTGTCTCTGACAGGGGTGTCCATGACGGCGATACTTTTGGAGCGGGAGTGAGTCCAGCCACCAGTAGGAGGGGAAGCGGAGAGGCCAGAGATAGAGCCTCTCTCGGCACGGGAACGCATGTTGTCTGCCCAGTTGAAGCCTTCTGTAAAACAAAGAGACAAGTCAGCAAAATGATCGAGAGACGATTTCGGTGAAAGCACGCCGGCGGCACCAGAAAAAGACACAAACCTCGACGACCCAGTGAGGAGGAGGTCGGGGCCAAAGTCTTCTTCTCCCCGTCTACGACTTCTTCTTCTGGTATGGTAATGGTGGCGGTGGGCCTACCTGCTGGCACCGATGCTGAACCACCCTTCATATCCTTGAGAGCACGAGCGCCGAAGCTGACTCTACGAGCAAACGGGCCGCTGTTGCCAGGCGTGGCCGAAGAAGGTTCGTCGTCGATGGCCGATTCGTCGACCGTAGAGCTGGAAACACTCTCACCTCGCATTCTAGCCGACATGGGCGAGCCCTGGTTGGGAGAAGCACTCATTCCGAGAGTGCTGACTGAGAGACGACGTCGGCTGGCTTCGGCAGCGGCGGTTGTGATGGGTCCTTGGGCGGGAGGACTGTTGCCCGACGATTCGGACGGGCGGCTGCTGCGGCTGAACATGTCGGTGAAAGCTTGACCGACAAAGGATGAGCGACGGCGTTGGTTGTAGGTTGAGTTGGTGCTGGATTGGTCGTTCTGGTCTGCCATTGTTGTTGAAGGAGAGAGTAGATATAAAAGGGGCGGATGAGGTGAAACGTTAGGTAACCTCAGAAAAATATGGTAGCGTGCGTGCAGGCTAAGGCAACCACGTGCTCTAGACGTGACTTCTTTGATGTCTAGAATGGCGTGATGATGTCAGTCGTCTCCGGCTTCGGGGCTCTGGCGGTCAGAGAAGGTTCGATCGCCTTTGGGACCGACTGCTGTACTTGAGTCGTGGGGGATTGAAATTTGATGGTGGTGGAAGAAGAAGAAGAAGAAGAAGAGAAGCTAGGTTGGAAGGGAAAGAGACATCGAGGGGGCAGAAGGAAGAGGTAAACATATAACTGCGGGTTCCTTGGTGCGGCCCTTGCGAGGACCCTAGACAGATAGGTCCCCAGAGGCCTCCCCGCCGATTTGCGGGGTAGCAAGCCACGATCATGTCCGTGCCCCGCCAATCAAGGCTACCTTTGCCAATGACGATCTTTGGCACTCGCTCGACGGCGTCTCGTCCAGGCGCATCACGCATGTTCATGGTCAAACTCAATGGCCATAACTCAAAAGCTTCGGTCCGATTCGTCTGCGTTCCTCAAGAGACACGCCCAAAGTCGCCACATCCACGACCAGCCTCACGCGGCTGCTGCGTTAGATGCATACGGCCGGCGCTCCGGCTACCCTATCTCCATGTAGTTTCTTTATCCATGTTTGACGAGCAGTGCTTATCTAGGTGCTGTGTCCCATGCCTCCTGTTTCTTTGTGTACTTTTTTTTTGGTCCCAAAAGCCTTTTTCCCTCCCAATCAGCAGGGGGGTTGGCATGTTATGATACGCTCGGTTATGAAGATCATCATGTCCGTCTCACGACGTTGGAGCTTAGCTTTGTCTTGTGTCATGGCACCACCTCCGCCTTTGCTCCTTCCCGCGTCCACCATGCATGTCAGGTATGCACGCCTAATGCACGAGTGCCAAGTATCACCAGTCGACGACAATGGCTGCTGTGGCTAGGTTTGAAGAGTGTGGTAATATGTTTATGATTATGTACAATGTATTCTTTTTGGTTTCGTTGCTACTGGACCGAATTTTGAGATTCAGATCTCTGACCGAGTCTTCTGCATCAGACTCTTGTACCTCCAATGTCCTACTGACGGTAACACGTCGAGTGCCGCTTGCAACCTCGCGGGCTCGTAGGGAAGGCGGTCCGACTTGACAACCTCAAGGATGTAGGAAGCCACGGTTGTTCGTGCGAGAGGTGGTTCCCTCATCGCTTCGGCCACTTGTTGCAGTTCAAGACCTTGAACTTGCCAGAGAGCGTACGCGCGGACGTATCGTTGCGGGAGTTCGCTCTGGCACTGATCGAGCCATTGCTCGGCAGCTTCGTGCTTGACAATCGCTGCTGGTTCAACATCAAGACTCTCGAGCTCATTTTGGTCGTTGTCGTCTTCTATGTCATCCGCACCTGCTTCGGCTGCAGCCTCGTCTTCTTCGTCATTGAGAGCTTGCTCTTCGTCTACGCTGAGTGTTGGCGGTTGGTTCTCAACTTCTGAGGTCGTTATGGCGGCGATCTTGCGTTTTGTACGAGCCTGTCCGACTCGCTCACCATTACCGAGAATAATTGGTTGATCTAGCTCCCATAGGGCTGGCCTCGGCGGCGTGGGACTCATCATGGTCCTCGCCTTTTCAAGCTCCCGGAAGAGTCTGAATCCTGCATAAGCATCTGAAGCAGCGTACACGACTTGCTCCATATCCAGCCTCCTTGACCAGGCACTTGTCCGAACATTTCCTTTGTGAAGTGGAAGGAACAGGACATCTTGGACTTGCTCGGCTAGTTTGAACGGCATCTTGTTGACTTTTGCTGGCTCCTTCTCGGAAAACTTCACAAGCTTGTAGAGATGACTCAGCTCAAAGATCCCCTGCCCCTCAACTCCCAAACATTTGCGTAGACGAGTGAAGTCTCCTGAGATGTTGACGCCAGTTTTCAGAATGCCTGGAGATTCGAGTATTGCTTTAAGTGATGGAGGCATGAGCTCCTCTTTACTGTCTCCGGCGAACAGGGCAACTTGGAAGAGAGCAATTCTGTCATCACATGCGATCTGAATCAGCGACACGTTGTCCTTGATGCTGCTTTTGGTGACAGTGCTGCCCATCTCCCACTCGATGTCGAAGCCGATGACTCGCTCTTCCGAGAACAACTTTGCAACTTGTTCAGCTTGCTCGAACTTGGTGCAGTAGTGAAGACGGGGCTTCTCGCCACTGGGTGATTTGTACAGAGAGTACCTCCAGAAGGCGGCCTGGCTTGTCTTCGATGCCATCAATGCATTGCGCAGATCCTGGGGAGGTATCCGGTACAGCAATGGTGGCCATTCTGTTGAACGTCCGAGCTCTTCTTTGTCCAGGCAGTCAGCAGCGCTATCGCCCATGATCTGACTCCTTCGCCTGGTCTCTTTGAACATTGGCTTTGGAGGCCTGAATCCGATCTTGCTACGAGCTCTGGAGTAAACAGCAGGAGCTTTTGGCGTAAGCCTGGGTATTGGTGCAAATCCTTGTTTGATCAGCTTGAAGGCAGGGCCACGTGGCTTGATTTCTGCTTGAGGCGATTCTTCCGTCGAGTTGGCGCTTGCTTCTGCAGGGCCCGGACTCGTTGTATTCTTTGATTGGGATTTTGTATCCTTCTTGGGACTCTGTGTGGTTTCTGGTTGGCTTGCTTTGCTCTTTTCGAGGTTCGCAGTGCTTCCTGATTTTGACGTCATTTCTACACCTACCGCTGATCTTGGAATATCAGTCGTCGTACCAGCTGCTGCTTCGATTGTAGGCGTTGCCTGGCCCTCAACCGTATCCTCATCATGTTTCGTCTTTGCAAAAGCAACCTTTCTCAGCGTTTCTCTGCGTCTGGTTCTGGCTCTGGCGGGAACCAAGAGACGCTTGCCCAAGGTTGTGCCGTGACGAACGTCACTGATCTCGTCGGTTGACCTGATGAGTGGCTCGAGTTGTCGCAAATAGCGCTTGGATTCTTGCTGGTTGCCGTGACGGTACACGGCAAAGACATCGCTTATTTCTGACAGATCCTCTGGCGTGAACGCCTTTTGCTTGTGTTTGACATATGCATACGCAAATGCGGCCCGCTCGTGAAGTTTGGATGAATTCATGATCTTCGGCATGTGTTTCATGGACAAGATTTTGTGACGGCCCATGACGCCGGTTTTCATGAGGTCGTTCACAACCATTGTCGTGCTAGTTTTTGTATGAGTGGCTCGTCTTGCCATACGTTGCAAATTCTGCCAGAAGAGCTGTTGATATGTTGGCTGATCCGAAATCCAATCGGCTTCAAGGGCTTCCAGCTGCAACGCAGAGAATGTGCGAATCATTCCCATAAGTGAACTGCACGCTATAAGAGCTCTTATTTGAGTTTTGTAGAAGCTTATCGTCGAATCCGTATCGACCGTGTACCTGTCTTGCGCCTTGAGAGCTTGAAGTCTGCCTCGCCAAAAGTCTAGTCGCGCGTATAGTGCCCCACTAATGTCGGAGATGGGACGGTCCATCTCGTACAAGTCGATTGTTGAGGCCCTTGATGCTGCGGTGACTTCCGGGGATGAGGTTTTTGGATCCATACTGAAACGGTTCTCTCGTACAAGTCGACGCCAATCGTGTTGACGGCTGAGGATTGTTTTATGTAGGTCCTGCAACTGTGCAAGTTGAGCGAGGTATTCCGATTTTGCTCTGTCGGCTTCGAGACCAGAATCTTGCAAGTAGCCCTTGACTTGTTCGAAGACACTGTCTCGATGCTGTAACCGCTGTTCCAGCCCATGAACAAGCTGTTGCCGTAATGCATCACGCTCCCGAGAGTCCCGAGTCTTCTGCTGAACCTGCTGCCCAGCTTCCCAGATCCGAAATTGGTCCCCGCCCTTGGCCGTTCCTTGGAAGGACTGCGTAGCCTTCAAAGCATTGGTCCAGTAAACAGCTTCACGCTTGTACCACGTAGCTTTGAGCCGAAGTTGTTCTGGACTCCTCAAGATCGCGACAGTCTTTCGAACGCGCTCGTGAGCCCACTCTTGGAAACTCTTGTAATCTTTGCGCAATAGCTTGCGAGCGGCCTTTGAGCTCTCTTCCTGTTCGCGCACACGCACAGTAGCGTTGTAAAGCCGGCGATGGCGCTGTGTGCTGCTGTCTCTCTCGTCTGCCAGTTCTTTCCTGACTTCGGCAAGCTGACGGGAGAGTTGGTTCTGCTTAGCCTCCTGCTGGCTGATGGTCGACTGGAAATCGGATCTGTCCTTCTCGAACTTACTTGACTGTGCCTGCATCTTTTTCCGTGCCTGTAACTCCAACATCTGCACATCCTGGATAGTACGAATGGACGACGCCTGTAGTCTTTGAAGGGCTTCCTGTAGTTCCTGGTAATCCTTTCTTTGCTTTGCCAGAGCGGAAGTCAAAGATGAGTTCTTTTGCTCGAGTCGTAGAAGTTGGTCAAACGCCGAGGCACGGCTCTCTGTAGACTCAATTCTCTGAGGATGTTCTGTAGTCTGCGCCTCGTCCGACTGCGTGACGCCCTTGGGAACAGCCACGTCGTCGACTGCGTACGCGAGATCACGGTCCGGAGCTAAGCGGAGAGGCTTCTGAGGAGAACTGGACGGCTTGATGGACGGGGCGTTCGAAGGCGGTACAGTTGCAGTAGGGGTGGGTGGAGACTTTGCGTCCGGCAGCGCTATGGGAGAGATTCTGACTCGATCTGAAGCCGGTGGTGGTGTAGCAGCATCTTCTGCCAGCGTCGGAGTCGCTAGCGGCGGTCTTATGACAATGGAGGGTCTGCTTTTCTTTGGGTCAAAAATGGTATTTGGAGAGGCAGCGGGAGAAAAGTTGCCGCGCATGTACGGGTTGGAACTGAGGATCCTGGAAGGAACTGCAGCATCTCGACCGGTGTAGACCATGGGCTTCGCGGCGGTCGGAGTTTTCTCATTCGGCTTGGAGCGAAGACCAGCTGCGGGAGGTCTGGGTTTGGACGAGGACGAGGCACAGCGCTTCTGGGTAGCGGGCTGAGAGAGGACGATGACTGAGGCATTGCGCCGACTGCTGTGGCAGCGCACACTAGAAGCACCGAGGACTAGTGACGAGGCAGCATGCCGGGGATGGTCGATGGTCGCCGGGAGCGAAGGCGAGGGCGAGAGACAAGTGGTGGGTTCGGCGGCGTAGCAGGCAGGGAGCCCAAGGGCATGGCGAGACGAAGTGTACGAGTGTCGCGAGGCTTGACGGGAGCATGTTACGGCCCGTGGTGCAGATTGCATCTCACCTCCATATCCAGACAGCCAACTGCTGAAGAGTGAGAGTGCCTGCAAAAGTCAAGAATGCGCATTTGCCGCCAGAGACTTTGTCATGATCGAAGCTCAAAATGTCGGCCATCACCACCATCGTCCGAGCTTTGGAGAAAGCGTCACTTGTACTCGCTCCGACCCATGTGAACATCGACCAGTCGACCAATCTCTCTGCCCGCAGTCCATCTCACACCATCAATCATGGCTTCTCAGTTGCTCCCGCTCGAGCTCATCGACAAGTGTGTCGGCTCCCGAATCTGGGTTATCATGAAGGGCGACAAGGGTGTGTTGCATATTGCGCTTGACCGTGTCTGCATCGCGTATTGACTGTGCCCACACAGAGTTCAGTGGAACGTTACTCGGTTTCGACGACTTCGTTAGTACGTATTGTTCATTACCTATGCAAACCTCGCAGTGCTGATGTTTTTGCCAGATATGGTTCTTGAGGATGTCACCGAATAGTATGCCAATCCACAACTTGACCTGGCCCAAACATTACATTCTGACCTAATCCAAGCGACTACACTGGCACTTCAACAAAGATGTCCAAGATCCTGCTCAACGGAAACAACATCTGCATGGTGAGCGCCTTTGTTGGCAGCGGAGCTGGAGTCGATTCGCTAACATCTTGACCTAGCTTATTCCGGGCGGCATGCCTGAGCAATGAACCTGGTGACAGCATCTTACAATCACCAATCGTCAGTGCTGCCTCGAGAGCCTGATAGTGAACCCTGCTATCTACCAATACACATCCAAAAAGGATGATGATTGGTCTTGGTGCGGTAGAAGAGCTGGCCATGATAGTGAATCGAAGCGGAATGCTCGATCCACGTCTGAATTGAAAAGACTTATTATCTACAGAACGGCATGGACGAAGTACATCGCTAGCTTATATTCAAAGCTGAACCAAGCGCATCGCAGCCGTATGCTTTTACCGTAAGGAAAGCAGCGCCAATCATCTAGTATACATGGATTTCTTCGATTCACATGATTCCTCACCCGTCATTCCTCTGTCCACAACATCTATTGCTTCTTCTTCTCTTTGTGTAGAGCCTTCTTCTCGTCATGCTTCTTATCCATCTCTTCGATCTCGTCTGCCTCCTTCTTGTTGGCGTACCATTGGCCGGCTTGAAGAATCAGAACACCGACAAGCAAAAGAGCCAGGATGGTGTCGCTGGCAGCCAGAACCTTGAGCGAATCCTCTCTGCTGAGGTAGTCGCCAGAATCATCGGCCTGGCCCTCGGCGAGAGTAGGGTTGCCGTAGACACCCGAAGTGACGACGCGCATGCCCTTGACAATGTTTGCAATGTAGACGGTGACGCCGCACATGTAGAGCACAAGACTGGCGCCGTCGAACAGAAGGTTGGCTTCAGAGGGTCTGTAAAGCTTGGTGATGAAGCCCAGGAGACCGGTTCCGATGACAATGTGGAGGATGCGCGAGATGAGAGGTGGGGATGCGTGGATGAACTTCAGATGGTTCTCCAGCATCTGGTAGTAGGGCTCGCGCGCGTCCAATCCAGGAACCGAAGTCGGAGGTGTAGTCCATAGGATGTTGTAGTCATAGGGGAACGATGCAAAAAGGACACCCAGGAAGAAGCAGGTTGCTATCTCGTAGTTAGTCGGGATCGTCCTGCCGAGATATAGCTCTGGAGATGGGTTGATCTTACGTCCGACAATCAGGAAAGTCGCAAAAGGCGACGACATTTTAGGCATGTTGAACAGCTAAGCTCAATGTGCGAGTATGGAGTGGATAGTTGCGACTGGCAGTAGGTGGGACAAGGCAGGTGATAATACGGAGGAGCTGCCTTTGTGAAATCATCTCGCATCGCAATCACTGCCAAGCCGCCCCGCGATAGGCCAAAGCCTAGGCCTCGCGTTTTCATGTGATTGACTAATTGATTGCTCTTGACCATCAACTTTCTCTGCACGCACTCGTCTTCAAACATGACGACGCCGTCACTTGCGAACGGCGCAAAAGTCTTTGTTCTAGCCTTATAAGTTGACACGTAAGACGCGTGCTCTCAACGTGACCAAGCTGTTGTGGAAATATGCATCTTTGCCCAATGTACACCATGCTAATGCTTCCGATTCCAAAATGTATTCCAATATTGTAATACTTGACTTTTATGCGGCAGCGGGGAGACCGTTCGCTGTTCCGGGCCAGGCCACGGCGCCGCCAGGTGAGTCGGGCAGACGTGCCGTCAGGACCTCGACACCGGTCTCTGTCACGAGAAGAGTGTGTTCGAACTGAGCAGAGCGCTTGCCGTCAACAGTAACACTGGTCCAGTTGTCGGGCCATGTTCGGTCCTTGTAGGTTCCGAGACAGATCATGGGCTCGATGGTAAAGCACATGCCGGGCTTGGCCATACCGATTGCCTTGTTCTTTGCGTAGTGGGGAACATTGGGGGCACAGTGGAACAAGGTGTTGATTCCGTGGCCGCAGTAGGTCTTGACGGTGCTGCAGCCTCTGTCCTCGGCGTGCTTTGCGATGACCGGACCGTACTCTCTGAATAGTGTGTTGGGCTTTGCGATCTTGATGGCTTCGTCTAGACACTCGCGGGCAGTCTCAACGACACGGACTGAATCGGGGTCTGCCAGAGCTTTGTCGCCAACATAGTAGGTCTCGTTGATGTCGCCGTGGAAGCCGCCGTGGTACAAAGTGACGTCGATGTTGATGATGTCGCCGTCCTTGAGGACGCGCTGGTCAGGAATACCGTGACAGATGGACTCGTTGACGGAGGTGCAGACGGACTTGGGGAAGTGGCAGTAGTTCAGGGGCGAGGGGTATGACTAGGACTAGTTAGTTTGGTGTGACATAGTGGATGGCCTAGTGAGTCTCACGTCTCTTTCAACACAAGCATTGTGAACGACCTCGTCGATGTAGTCGGTAGTGACGCCGGGTTTAGCGGCGCGAGCGGCAATGTCCAGAACCTCGCGTGCCAGCCTGCAGACCTTGCGCATGCCTTGCTGCTGGGTCTTGTCGAGAATGGTGATCTTGTTCTTGCCAACAAAGACCTGCTCGGAGCGCGGAATGCCATCTTTGGCGTAGTCGGGGCGGGGAATGTGTTCGGGGACCTTGCGCTTTGGCGATAGAGGGTAGACGGGTCTGAGATCGCCGGTGTATGGGAAGGCCGGGAAAGGGTTGTGGGTGCCGGTTGCTGGGTCAGGTTCAGAAATGACTTTGGGAGCAAACAGGGAGCGGAGAGGGTTACTCGTTGACTTGTGCTTCTTCTTGTGCTCGCTCTGTCGCGTGTCAGTGGCCATGGTGGCGGGCTGTGGGATGCGCCCGACTTACATACCCAGTTGCGCTTGAAGCAGTCGTTGCTGCAGAAGAAGCTGGTCATTCCCTGCTTCTGGCAGGTAGGGCATTGCAGCGTGCCTGCCTCGTTGCTGCAGTCTGCGCCCTCGCACACACGCTTGTCTTCGCTGGCCATCTTGTTCTGTGCTCTGTGACTCTGTTGGCTATTCGTATCCAGCAGGCAGGCTATCGCTAGGCTTCGAGTCACGTCGAGTCGAAGTGATCTGAATATGCAGGCTACGCAGATCTGCTTGGATGCCCCTCCACTTTTTCGCGCCCTGTTTGACAAACACGAGACCTCCGCCCGGCGCCGCCGTTCCCTGTTCCGTCCCGGCTGCCGGGCCGTGCGCCTCCGCGACCTCTCGATGATGCTATACATTTCCTGGCCGACGTCTTTCCACTGAACTTATATACTGCTGTTTTTAAATCCTGGTGCTAGTTGTTTACTACACAACCATGTCCAAGCAAAAGACCGTCGTTGTCGGCGCTGGTCCCGTCGGTGCTCTCGCAGCACTCTACGCTGCCGGTCGTGGCCATGATGTAGAAGTTTACGAATTGAGAGGAGGTAAGTCTTCATCTCTGCACTCTCAGCTATTGATGTTCCAGACTCTAGCCTGGAACTCTCAATCAGGAACTTGGGGTTACCATACACTAGAACATGACTCTGACAAATGTACCAGATCTTAGAGATCCCTCTACTGTTCCTCTCAACTTCACAAAGTCGATCAACTTGGCTCTATCAGAGCGAGGCATCAATGGACTCAGAAAAGCTAATGTTCCTGGCTTGATCGAAGCTGTGCTAGAAGAGACTATTCCTATGCATGGTCGCATGATTCATGGTGCTAAGCAGGGAGAGATCTACGAAGAGTCTCAAAACTACGACATTCATGGAAGGGTACCCAGCACCGTATCACTCCACGGCTGTTAAGAAGTTACTGATCGTGTCTACAGGCTATTCGTGCAGTTGACAGAGCTGGTCTCAATAAGCGTCTCCTTGACGAGCTAGACAAGATGCCAAACGTCAAGCTGCTGTTCAACCACAAGTTGTTAGGTGCCGACTTCAAGAAGAACAAGGCCTGGTTCGAAAGACGCGATGAAGGTGTACGACAAGATCACGCTCAAAATCCCACTCAAGGAAAAGACGCCCCTCATGCTTCCACTGAGATCGAGGTCTCATTCGATTTCATGATCGGCGCAGACGGTGCTCATTCGGCAGTTCGCTATCATCTGATGAAGTTTACACGCATGTCGTACCAGCAGGAGTATATTGAGACGCTGTGGTGTGAATTCCACATGGATCCGTCAGCAACCAACGATTTTCAAATCTCACCCAATCACCTGCACATCTGGCCCGGCGGCGAGTTCATGTTCATCGCCATCCCATCTCTGGACAAATCTTTTACTTCGACGCTTTTCCTGCCTGCCAAAATCTTCGCCGAGCTGGATAAGAACCCTTCATCCTTGGTAGACTTCTTCAACAAGAACTTCCCCGGGGTAGCCGGCAAGCTCATCCCTGAGGCCGAGTTGCAGAAGCAATATAACGAGAACCCGCATCTGCCGCTCATCAGCATCAAGTGTTCGCCTTACCACTATGGCTCTTCTGCTGTGATCCTGGGTGACTCAGCACACGCCATGGTCCCCTTCTACGGCCAAGGCATGAATGCCGGTCTCGAAGACGTTCGCGTGCTCTTTGAACACTTGGACGCACACAGCAGCGATGCAGCCGGTCGCGCCACAGCGCTCGACTCTTACTCCTACGACCGCGCACCCGACGCAGCAGCCATCAACGACCTCGCCCTCCGCAACTACCAAGAAATGCGCGCAGACGTGACATCCCCAGTCTACCGTCTCCGCAAATGGATCGAAGAGCAGATGAATGTCTTCCTACCCTCCGCTGGCTTCGCAACTCAATACTCCCGTGTCAGTTTCGGCAACATTCGCTACTCGGAAGTGGAGAAGCTGGCGCAGAAGCAAGGTAACATTCTGCTCGGCGGTATGGCAGGTATCGTTGCGCTCTTGATTCCAGCGATGGGATATGCCAGCTGGGCTATCTGGAGATGGAATCGTGCATCACACGCCTCTAGGTTCTCTGTCAAGAGCATTGCAAGTATCGGTGATATCACCGAAAGGATTGGAAGAGTCTTCACCTGAGGGTGGAGAGAATATGATGAATGCACGATATGATGGTGAAAAAGAAGTGTGCATGACTCTCCTCACTGCGGGGCGAAGATTGTTGATAGCTATGAAAATGCACAGTTCCTTTGATAATCAATGAGTATCCGCTGAGAGCGGTGATCTTAGCAGCTCTCTGTGGACCTTGGCCCCGTCTAGAAAGACCCTGTGCACTTTGATGGCCTGCTTCCACTCATGTGTCGTCGTGAGAGCATGATATGTATGACAGGATCTAGCACAAGTGGAGGCTGTATATCGACCTGAAAAGAGTATTTTAAGAATTACATATGATGCCATATGTGTCCAAGAATTCAATTTTCGGCTCTCAAGAGGGGGACGAAAACACTATATCCAGATCTCCCTTCTATCAACATCACTCTATCTACTCAACGCCTTTTCCTTGATCATCCACGCACTGATAGCAGCTCCAGCTACAAGACCAATCTCGAGCCCGAATGCAGCGCGGGTGCTCTGCGCATAACACGCCCTGACCAACGCCTTGACGTTGGGCTCAAGAGTATTGATGTAAGCCAAACTCTCTCTGACACGCTCTGTGATTTCAGCGGCAGCATCGCCACTACTGAGTGCTGCCGCGAGACGATCGCGAAGTGCTTGGTTGGCAAGGGTGGCGGAAACGGACACACCAAACACAGATCCCAAACTGCGGAAGAGGTAGGAGCAGGCGGTGGCAACGGCTTGGTCGTCGCGAGATGCGTTGGCAATGAGACCGATCAAGGTTGACGTAACACCGATACCTGTTTGGCATTAGTCATGGTAAGAAGAAGAAGAGAAGAGGAGGATAAACATACCGTTCGAGAAACCGCAGATGCACATGCCGACAATGATTCCAGGAGTGCTGTTGACCACGAAGCCCGAGAACAAGAAAACAAAAGTCATTCCGATGACCAGATTAGTATAAGCGATGACTGTCAGCCAGTAGAACTTGCCCGTACGCTGCATGTAAAAGCCACCGAACAGACTGCCACTGACGCCTGCAATGATACCTGGAATCAGGCGAACACCAGCCTGGGTCGCGGTAAGGCCATCGACCGCTTGGAAGTAAAGAGGGATGTAGAATAGAGCGGCAAGCCAACCAGAGAAGGAGAAGAAGTTACAAAGGTAGCATGCGAACAGCGAACGGTTGAAGATGATGTGGCCAGGCGCGAAAGGTTCCTTTGCGACCTTCATCTCCACGAGAACAAAGAGGACGAAGAGCGGAATGCTGAGACTGATGGAGATGATGGTAATGTTTGCCTTCCACGAGACATTGCTGCCTCTGTCGAGGGCAAGCAGCAGGGTAAACACAGCACCGATCAAAATGGCGGCGCCCAAGAAATCGATGCGACGGAGCTTTACCTTCCAATCGGTCTGCTCTCTCTTGGGAAGCTTCAGAACCAGACTCACAACGACAAAGGCAAGTACACATAGCGGGACCTGACCGAGGAACGCCCAACGCCAACCGATGGAGTCTGCAAGAATACCACCCAATGGAGCACCTGTACCAGCTCCGGTTGCATAGATGATGTTGACATAGCCCTGCCACTTGCCACGCTCACGTAGAGGCACAGCATCGGACATGAGGATAGACACAACTGTAGTCATGCCGCCACCTCCGATGCCTGCAAAAGCTCTGGCAGCAATAAGCTGATTCATGTTCTGAGCAAGACCGCAGAACAGACAGCCCAGACCAAAGATGGCATATGCAAATAACAAGCAACTCTTTCTCCCAAAAATATCCGACATCTTTCCATATAGTGGTTGGAAACTCGTGAGAGTCAAGAAGTAGGCAGTCGCGATCCAGGAAACGTTATTCAGGGCCTTCAACTCGCTGCCAATCTTGCCGTAGCTGGACACGATGATGGTCTGGTCGGCAGCAGATAGGAGCACGCCGATTGTCAAGGCCGGGAAGATGACCTTCATCTTCTTCCTCATCTCCGGCTGGCCCTCGTATTGTTTCTGCCTTTCTTCCAGACTCGTCTGTCGTTCGAGGTCTCCGCCATCTTCTCCTTCTGTGATGGCTCCATTGGCGACGGCGCTGTCGGGAGCGATACCGTCGCTGGGGTCAATAGGCTTCGGTGCCTGTTTTCCCAGCAATGGTGACGTCTCGCTCGCCTGCTCCTGGGTGTTCTCGTCTTCGGTCGTCATGTCGCGTGTATGGACGAATTGATTTGAGGGACCGGCTTTAGTGGAGATAAGATTAGAGGCCGAGGAATATGTATGACGATGGTTATGGTCTGCTCGAGAAGAGGTATGTTATGCGTCGAAGACAGACGTGAGGGACATGTCAGTCTTTGCCAAACGATTTTGGGAACCGATAGATAGAAAGACTTCAACAAAAAGACTGTCCCAGGGCTTCTCACCGTACTTGTATATTGCACCATTGGGTCGGACCCACCCTTCCGGCTATCGCTTCCGCCTATCAACTTCCTTCTTTGTCCATCCTCGGCCGCTGCCCGCCTGGCCGTTCATAATTTTCGTGTTCAACAATAAAGTATTTACATACCAATGATCCGTTCGGGGGTTGATATGCATTGTGCTTTGTAGGTGTTTATATACATTGATGCGATGGACGAGTTCGCAGTAAGTCAGTCCGGCATTCTTCCAACTTGGCCGCTCAGCTTGCAAGAGGAATATCGTCAAACTCCCTGCGCATAAAAAGTCGTGCCTGCTCCAAGCCTTCCTTGACGACGTCCGTCCGGTTCACATAACCAATTCTAACATAGCCCTTGAACTCCTCGCCGAAACAGTCTCCCGGAAGAAACATGACACCCGACTTCTCCTGCAATTGCTTGCAAAACTCTCTGGCGTCGACTGGCTTGCCATCTCGACTGAACTTGATGAACGCAGTCGTGCCTGCCACCGGCTTGACCCAAGTACAATACTCGTCATGCTTGATAACAAACCTCTCTAGCAGCTCTAGATTGGTGCGTGCGAGAGCAATGTTCCTGCCTAGCAAGCTGTGTATGCAGTTTTGATCGAGAGCGAAGGCAGCAACTTGCTGGTCCAAGATACTGACACTAATGGTGGTATAATCACGAGCTTCGGCACACTTCTCGATGATATCTCGATTGCGCGATGCGATCCAACCAGTCCTGATGCCAGCCAAAGAGTAAGCCTTTGAGAGTGAACCTGTGCAGATGGTGTTCTCATAGCCCATGGACAAGATAGAAGGAGGGAACTCATTCTCGGCTGGAGTGATGCCGTGGAACAGAGGTCTGTACACCTCGTCTGAGAGAATGGTAATGTTCTTTTCTCTGGCCAGTTCAACGATGTTCTGCAGTAGTGACTTCTTGAGGACAGCGCCACTAGGGTTGTTTGGGTTGCTGCGAAGATTAGCAACGAAGTAGGCATCGTAGTCAAATCTGAGACTCACTTCAAGATGATGAGCTTGGTGTTCGACTTGATCATGCCCTTGAGTTCCTCAAAGTCAGGTTCCCAATTTCTCTCTGGCGTAGCCTTCCACAGCTCCACTTCGGCCCCCAAGGATGCCGGATAGTCGTACAGTTGTTGGTACGTAGGATAGTGGCAGATGACATGATCACCAGGGCCGACCAATGTATAGAGCACCAGAGCGTTCGATGCAATAGCCCCCGGTTGGATCAAGATGTTCTCCTTGGGCAAGGCACTACTTGACCTAGAAGAATATAGCCTAGCGAGATTGGAGCGCAGATTTTCGCTGCCTCGGATATCGCCATAGTTGAGAATAGTCGAAAGGTCTACTATCTCGGCACTCTTGTTCTCGGATAGCTCACGCAATTCGTTGACAGACACGGATGCAGCACACGTCTCGGCGATGTTGAATTTGGCAGTCGTCTCATATGCATCCATCCACTAATCAAGTCAACCGATGATGTTCTCAACTGAATTTACGAAGGATTTCGCAGGGTGGTGGTCAATACTGACCTGCTCAACTGCAAAAGGCTTGATATGGACCATGATGGATGGTCGGCAATAGACTAGGTGATGAGATTCGTGAAATCGGACAATGGGATATAATTCAAGATATTGACCAATGTGCGGTGAGAGAAGGACTTTTCGGAGATCCTACAGTACACCGAACTTATAGCAAGAACACAATATGTCAATTAAAGGGCGGACGGCATGATAGAGGACAGCGAGATGTTGATGGCCGAGAGCGGGGACACTTCTCCAGAACATCGGCAACTCTAGCCGAGGAAGCCCGCCAAATCTTCGACATGTCGACATCGCATCGCGAAAGACGATAATAATCACCGAACAGCGACTCGTCGCAGAGCACAACAAGACCAGCACAGCAACTCCAATTCAATCATGTTCTCACAAGCAACTCGCTCGCTGCTCCGCGCAGCCCCCGTGGCCCGCAGCCCCGTCTCCGTATGCGCGCGCACCGCCTTCAGCACCTACTCGGCCAACTCGCTCGTCTCGAGAATGTCGCAAATGTCGCTCGCCAGACCCGTCGCATCGCCCACAAAGAGCCTGGTCGCTTTCCAACAAACAAGAGGAATGAAGGTCCGAAGTTCCGTCAAGAAGTTGTGTGATGGCTGCAAGGTACGGACAAAGAGACAGCAAAATTGCTGGAAGACAAAATACAATCAGCAAGAGAAAGGGCAATTCACTGATACGACTGCTTGCAGAGTGTGCGCAGAAAGGGTGGCAAATATGTCTACATCATTTGCAGCAAGAACCCCAAGCACAAGCAGAGGTACGGCTCTCACAGATTTGAGAGGTGCAACCTGAGACTGACGCATCTACAGACAAGGTTGATCGGAGACGAGGAAGAAGATTACACTGTACAAAAACTGGCATACCCTTTTCTGCATACCTGGTGGCGGCGTTTTAGAATGGTTACTTTCAAGCTTACGATTTTACTCTCTCCTTTCCGACTTAATACATCCTTCCCGTGTGCTGTTTCTACAACTCCCACACTCCTTCCACAAGGGTATGGAGCCAAATTCTCTCCATACAGATGCATGAAGGTCTCGGGATCCAAGACACATCCAAAGAAAGCTCTGGAGCACTCTCACGCCTCTCCTGCGGAAGTTCCAGAGCGACTGCTCGCCATAGAAGGCACAGTAGTGTTAAGACCAAGGGAACATCCAAAGAGAGCCCTGGATCCATCGCATCTCAATGGATACTGTCGTGGTTGCCAGATTACTGTGCATTTCTATGGCTACATGCGATACAAGCCTTTGCACCTGGAGAGGACACAGTGTGAATGTTGCAACGAGACCTGAAGCGTTCATGTGAAGTCGCCATGATTTACCGCATTGCTCCTGCTGTGTGTGTCATCCCTCTAGCAGTGACTCTGATGGTCCCCACCTGGGCACCCTCTTCTACCTTCACTGCCGTAGCATCTGACGAGTTGTGACAGATGATCTTGCAAACACAAAGGTTGTTCACGACACAGAATGGTGTGACATAGCAACCTTACTCTGACAAAATGACAGAGTATGTATGGTTCAAGTCAACATGAATAGTAAGTTCCAATCTCTTTCCATCCATCTCAATTCTTGGTAGCTCGGGAGTTTCTTTTTGCTGCTTCAAGTTGCAGGGATACACTGGAGAGAAGCAAAGAATTGCTCGTCGAAGACGTCTGTTTGTCGATTAGAATTTGATCGTGTTTAAGAATGCATGTTGTTGGGTATCTCTACAAAAACTCCATTCTAACCAGATCTAGCAAACCGTCAACGCGCTGACAGCACCGTTATGCATGACCTCGAACATGAGGCCGGGGAACTTGTACAGCTTGGTGTTTCGCAGCCATTGCTCGTCCCCCTTCTCGTCTTTCTTCTCACGCTCCCATCCATCGCTACCATTGATGAACTCCGCATCATCTTCCATATCCATCTCACCATTGATCAGAATGGCAGAACCTGTCATGCTGTCCGCGTCGCCGCCCCAGCTGCGTACAATGACCATACCTTCTGACATGTCTTGGGCAGGCCATATATGCGAGAAGCTCTTCACTAGTGTTTGGTGGAAGGACGAGAACGGCGACTCGGAGGTGATGGGTGTGTCGCAGGAGGGTATGTAATTGAGAGACCATCTACTCCTGCGATGGCGGTTGAAGGAGTAAGACCCTGGAATATTACCATGGAATATTATCTGCGTGACGGTGAGATGTCCGTTGACCGGCGTCAGTGTCGATCGAGGAGCCCCGCTGGTGTCGTCTACACCTTTGGGTAGTAAAGAAATATCTGTTGGCGGACCGAGCAGAATGTCGAACCCATGCTCGAAATAACAATAGTACTGTTGCTCGTTGGCTTGGCTAGCTTCTGCGCCATTCGTCTCTTCATCTTCGTCAAAATCAGTCTCGTACGTGTCGGTGTTGGTAGACGAATAGCTGGAAGGGTTTGAACTGTACGATCCGTGGGATGCTGGCGCAGGCTGACCCGAGTCGAAGGTGTATGCAAGGTTGCGGCCTGTCTTTCCTGGAGGGTCATCGTTGTGGCGGGAGCGTGGCATCACGGCATCGGGTGGACCCAGTTCAGTAATCAAATCTTGTGGAGTGGTTTGACTCAGAATTATGGGAGTCTTTGAGCCGGAACGACGCAAAAGCTCGACTCTTCCGGCTCCATATATGCTCACATGTTCGACTTCATCGGCAGAACCCTCTTTTGGACGTCCCAGAAGCGAGGAGCTACGAGGATTAGCAGGAACATAAGCAAACAGGTGGTTGCGAACTTCAGGCCAGAATCTGCCCTCGTAGATTGCCAAGGCTGTTGCTGGCGATGCTGAGGCGGTAAGCATAGCTGCGTGGTCCTTGTCCGGGGTGAAGGACGCTACTGGTACAGGAAAGGTGACAGACAAGCCAGGCCATGAGAGAATATAGAGCCCCTGATTGGAACCATGTTTCAGAGGAATAAACTCGCCAGGATATGTAGGACCGAACAGCTGGTAGACCTTCTTATAGGTCAGATAGCTTTGGCCAGTCGCTAGAGACTGCGCAGGAACAAGCTCCCCGCCCTTGAATGTGAAGAGCATGCGAGTAAAGTCCGTGATTTCGATCAAACGCAAACGTTGGTCTGGGGCGTCGAAGCGGAGTCTGAAGCCATTCTTCGGGAGGCTGACGATGATGGTCGTCTTGAGGGGAGTTTCGGGGGAGAAGGTGAGGTCGATCTTGGGAAAGGTGCGCGTGTCGGTCTTTAACTTGGTCAAGACGTCAAACAAAGAAGCACCCAGGACTGTGAAAGATGATCAGATTGAGCAGATGCCAAGGGTGTGCGGATAGCACATACTCATGAAGCCCAAGGAGTGGGCGGCTCTGAAAGGAAGCGAGGTGGGGTCTGCCATGGTGGATAGATGCTGGGGTTATCAGGTAGGTAGGTATGAGAAGATGGGCTAAGTGTGTATATGGTTGATGGGCGGGTGTTGTATGTTGACGTCTCGTCGGCGCGTCATGTGCCAGCGGTGTTGGTCATTCGATGCAGGCGTGGTTCGAGGCAATAGAGGCAGCGTCCAAGACCTTGTCGCGCAGTCGCTTTCATGCGGCAGATGTACCTAGACGACGAGACGATGCAGTCACGGATCGGATCAAACAGGTGCGTGTACGAGGCAGGAACAACCCTGATGGAAGCGGAGGGGCTCTCGGGATGGCATGTGACAATGTCGGAGTTTAGCGGCGTTTGGCCGGCCCACACGTCACGCTAAGCTCGCATTCCACTGTTTATGGTTTTTGTTTGTAAACACAGACACTGCGACTCGACTCCGTTAAACCGTCAACGACTCTGCCCGCTATATCTTAATCCTCTGTCATGTCGGCGCCCACCAGACCGGGCCTGGCTGTCAAGAGACCAACAATGCGTCCTCCCACTTCTTCTATGCGCCCGCCGCCCTCGCGTACTCCGTCGCGCGCCCACACAGCTACTCCCAGCCTCGGCGGAAGACCTTCAGAAATGCCACCATCACCCGCACACTCGGTTCAGGGTGGAAAGAGGAAAGAGCGCGATTTTGACCATCAGGATCAGGACTACGAGACAAACATCAATGTAGTTGTGCGCTGCAGAGGTCGCAACGATCGCGAGTTGCGCGAGAACAGCGGCGTCGTTGTCAAGACCGAAGGTGTCAAGGGCAAGAATGTCGAGCTCTCCATGGGTCCCAGCGCGCTCAGCAACAAGACATATCAGTTCGACAAGGTTTTCTCGCCAGCTGCAGACCAGGCTATGCTCTTTGACGATGTCGTCGAACCAATCCTAGACGAGGTGAGCATCCCGTCAACATCTGCTATATTTCCAAGTGTCTGACTTTCCAGGTTCTCGGCGGTTTCAACTGCACCATTTTCGCATATGGTCAAACCGGCACAGGAAAGACGTACACCATGTCTGGCGACATCACCGACATGCAACCCCTGCCCGACGCTGCTGGTATCATCCCTAGAGTCCTGTACTCTTTGTTCAACAAACTCGGAGAAGACAACGAAAGTTCCGTCAAGTGTTCGTTCATCGAGCTCTACAACGAAGAGTTGCGCGATCTTCTGTCCACCGAGGACCACGCAAAATTGAAGATTTACGACGACAACAGCAAAAAAGGCCAAACAACCACTCTGGTTCAAGGCATGGAGGAGTCACACATCAAAACCGCGTCCAAAGGTCTCGAGCTGCTTAGGAGTGGCAGTCACAAGCGACAGGTTGCCGCCACAAAGTGCAACGATCTCAGTTCTCGCAGTCACACTGTTTTCACCATCACCGTCTACATGAAGCGCGCCACTGAGACTGGAGAAGATTTCGTCAGCGCTGGAAAGCTCAACCTAGTTGATCTGGCTGGTAGTGAAAACATCCAGCGCAGTGGTGCTGAGAACAAGCGTGCTGCCGAGGCTGGACTTATCAACAAGAGTTTGCTCACTCTCGGTCGTGTTATTAACGCGCTTGTGGAGAAGAGCTCTCACATCCCATACAGGGAATCCAAACTCACACGTCTTCTGCAAGACTCTCTTGGTGGCCGTACTAAGACTTGCATCATTGCCACTCTTTCTCCAGCGAAGAGCAATCTGGAAGAAACCATATCTACTCTGGACTATGCTTTCCGCGCAAAGAACATCCGCAACAAACCTCAGATCAATCAGATGGTCACCAAGAAGACCTTGCTCAAGGAGTTCACCATGGAAATCGAAAAACTGAAGAGTGAACTCATTGCGACACGCCAGCGTAACGGTGTCTACCTCACTCAGGAGGCATACGAAGAGATCAGTGTCGAAAGTGAATCGAGACGTATTCTCTGCGACGAACAGAAAGACAAGATTGAGACCATGGAGACCAATTTGCGCAACAAAGTTCAAGAACTGTTCAGCCTGACTACTAACTTCAACGGGCTGAGAAAAGAAAATGAGCAAGCAAAATTGATGCTTGATGGGACCAAGAGCCTTCTCGAGAAAACCGAGGTCGTGCTCACACACACAAAGCGCAGCCTGACAGAGGAAACATTTATCAGGAAGGCTCATCAGAGGACGGAATCGAAACTCGCGGGGATCGGAGAGAATCTACTTGCGACACTTGCTTCCACCACGACGGACATTTCTGGTCTCCATTCGAAGATCCAGAGAAAGGCAGACTTGCATGCGCTCAACAGGGAGAACTGGACTTCATCGAAGAGCAGAGTAACAGATACGACCAGCACAGTTGAAGACAGAGTTGAAACTCTCAGACAACGCCAGGAACAGCTTCTCACATCCATGTCCACCAGAATGCAAGGTTTCGTTGCAGATGAGCTGCAGGAGCTTCAGCAATCTCAGAGATTCTTGCAAGAAAAGGCCGAAGCTTTCCAAAGATCCGAGAAAGAAGTCAACGTCCAGACCGCGAAGGCTAGAGACGACGTTAACGAGGTACTTGAAGAAATCAAGACTCTCCGTGAAGACGTCAAGCAGAATGTCGGAAATGGTCTGAACGATCTTTCCGCTGCTGCTCAACGCATCACGGCTGGTATCTCAACTGAGCTCGAAATCTTCCACACACAACTTCACGCATCCTATGTTTCGCTAGGTCGTGATTTCAAGGCGATCTTCGACGATGTCGTCAAGCAACTGAGTGAACAACAAGCCGAGTCCGAACGCTTGCGACAGCAGATCTTGACCGCCAACTCGACATTCATGAAAGCTGGCCAGGAGTCTCGTCAAACATTTGAAGAAGCTATGGAAGAAGAGCGCCGTCGTGCCGCCACTGACCGCGAAAAGATGCTGTCCCAAATCAGCTCTCTGATCACTTCTTCTGCCGAAGCCCAAGAGCGCAGGATCACTGAACATATTGCGCACGCATCCAAGCGCGTTAAGACTTCTGAGGATGATTACAGTGTCGCCCGCGAAACTTACAACGAAAGCTCCGATGCTTTGACCACAAAGTCCAAGTCACTCGTCGACTCTTGTGTCCGTTCGCGTGAAAACGTAAAGGCCAAGATCAAGGGAGATTGGAATGCAGCCAACGACCAGACCGAGAAAATCAAGGCCACCACTGAAGTCGTCCATGCCGAGACTGTTCGCATCGTCGACACGCAAATGTCCAACATGGACACCCAACTCATCTCTCTCGACGAGATTGTGTCACGTATCCGTGCCCAGAATGATACTCACCACACGGCACATACAGCCTCCCTCGCTCAACTGTCGAGCGATGTACAGCACTCATACTCGAATATCGGAACCCACATGGAGACATCGTACACACGTACACAAGGACTCGACACAGACATGCAAACTCGAACCGCGGACCTTGCATCCACTCTTCCAGAGCTCGGCTCATCTGGTGAAATTATTCAAACGTTGCACACTTTGCGCGATGACATGAATGCTGCCGAGCTCACCGAATACGTTCCTACTGGTCAAACTCCAGCGAAGGTTGCCTACAGCTATCCTACTACCCTGCCACGAACTGCCAAACACGAATCGTTGCTGGAACGACTGCGTGATGGCAATTCCTCGATCGAGGAAAGCCCAGTCAAAGAGTCACAAATTCGTAGCAGTCCCAGAAAGAGAGATGGCCAGTCACCCTCAAAGGCCATCATTTACACGGATAGTCCTATCAATGGCAACACCGAGACTTCGTCAGATGCGCCAGTCGATAGCGATGCCGCCCGCAATCGTCCTCACAGTCTACCCGGACAGGTTGGATTACGAGAGATCGACGTCAATGTTAACGCGGCTTCAATGCCCCTCTCCGCTGAGTATCCAGAGTCCAGGATTGGTTTGCTCAAGAGGGGAAACACCATGCCTCAACTGGATGCCAACGCCAGGGTCGACAGCAAGTTGCCTATGAAGCGACCTACTCGTATGACTGCTGGCTTGGTTGCAGAAGGTAGAGAGAACATTGGTGCTGCTGGCAGTGCAGCAAGTAGAAGATTGAGACCTCGTGGTAGTGACTAAGGATCTGACTAGAAGCTTCTTTGTCGATGTTTTTGTACTGTCTCCATTGTACACACTTTTTCGTATTATTCTCTCTTTTGGGGTTTTGTTGGATCAATTCTGGGCTGGGGTCGTTGAGGTGCTGGCGTTCAAGATTGATGGGCATTCTGTGGTGTCTGGATCGATCTGTTTCTTGCTTGGTGGCATTGTCAATAAGAATCTCATTTGTTGCTTTTGAACACTTGAACTTTGGGCACTAGAACTGTGAATTGGCTGGCTCGAATGTGAGAACAGCCAAACTGCTTTCGACGGATGTACGGAGCTTTGTACTCGACGGATGAATTGTATACAGGTTCGGCTTTCAGCCTTTGATTGCAGGGTCCGCTTCTTACGGAGGAGTGACTCTCGAGACATTGTTTGTTTCCAGATGCCTCGAGAACGGCGGCATAGTGTGTCATCTCTGTGTACTTGGACTAGATGATAGGGCAATGTATATGTGTATGCCAACATGTGACAATTAGCCGTGTTTCAAAGTGAGGTGGGGAGGGAGAAGATTTGAGTTGAGATTGGAACGGGGAGGTTGCGGAGATTTGGGAAGTCGCGCGGACGGCATGTGCAAGCAAGCTGCAGGCACTCTGCCTTCCTTCCTGCATCGCCGCAATCGTTCGACAAAATCGTGCGACTTTTCCAAAGCGTCCCGGTCCAACGCTGCTCCGACACTCGTCGCCAGACAATCAACCAACACACCCGCCGCGACCTCGATTCCATCCTCGCCGTTCCTCACCTGAACGCGAACTAGGCCGCAAATCCCCTTCGATTCACCATGCCCAGCCTCAAGAGCATCGTCTACTACGGCACCCACCTTGGGGAGCTGAGAAACATCATCCAATGGAAGCTCTGGCACGATGCTGTCCACGAGCGCGACGAGTCCAAGGAGGGCCCTGAGCTCAAGGAGTGCTTCAAGTACCTCAAGATGACCAGCCGCAGTTTCGCTGCCGTTATCCAAGAGCTGCACCCCGAACTCCTCGTCCCCGTCTGTCTCTTCTACCTGATCCTGCGCGGTCTCGACACGATTGAAGACGACATGACCATCGCCTTCGAGACCAAGGAGCCCCTGCTCCGCAACTTCCACAACATCCTCGAGCAAGACGGCTGGAATTTCACTGGCAACGGCCCCAACGAAAAGGATCGCGAGCTCTGCGTCCACTTCGACGTTGTTGTCGCCGAGTTCAAGAAGATCAAGCCCGAGTACAAGGTCATCATCAAAGACATTACCGATCGCATGGGTAACGGCATGGCCGACTATGCAAAGATGGCCGACGAGGGTGGTGCACAGAAGGTCGAGACGGTCAAGGACTACTACAAGTACTGCCACTACGTCGCCGGTCTGGTCGGAGAGGGTCTGACACGTCTGTTCGTCGAGGCCAAGCTGGCCAACCCTGCTCTTTTGGAGCGTGAGGACCTCCACGAATCAATGGGTCAGTTCCTGCAGCAAACAAACATCATCCGTGACATTCGCGAGGACCACGAGGACAAGCGCTACTTCTGGCCCCGCGAGGTGTGGTCCAAGCACGTGGACCAGTTCGAAGACCTCTTCCTGCCTGAGAACAAGGAAAAGGCACTGGCTTGCAGTTCCGAAATGGTTCTGTTGGCTCTACGACGTGCCGACGACTGCCTCTTCTACCTCGCTGGACTCAAGGAGCAGAGTGTCTTCAACTTCTGCGCGATCCCCCAGACCATGGCCATCGCAACGCTCGAGAAGTGTTTCCAGAACACAGAAATCTTCGAGAAGAACGTCAAGATCACAAAGGGCTCCGCTTGCAAACTCATGGTCGAGAGCACACAAAACCTTCAGGTCGCCTACGACGTTTTCAAGCGTTATGCTCGTATCATTCACAAGCGTAACAACCCGCAAGATCCCAACTTCCTCGAAATCAGTCTTGCATGTGGAAAGGTGAGTTTGATTTCCCCCTTGGACTTTGTCGCGTGCTGAGCATCACCCATGCGATGATGATGGGCACGGGCCGTTTTGAGCACACAGCGCTGACGCAACAAAATCTGCAGATTGAGCAATTCATCGAATCCATCTTCCCTACACAGACTGCTGCCACTTACCGCCAGGGCGCGCCCGCGCCCGTCGTCGATAAGAGCGGTACGACCCTTACTCCTGAGGAGCAGGAGGCACAAAAGAAGCAGCAGGCTCAGGATAAAGAGGAGTTCTTCTATATCATGCTGGCTGTTGGAGCCACGCTATTCGTCATTACTGCTATCATGGTACGTACACCTCTGAAATTGGCAGCTCCTTCTCGTTTGCTAACAAGATTGGCAGTTCTTCACCGCTTGGATGATGGGCGCACGCTTTGACATTGCCTGGCAGCAGCTTCGCAACGGCCACATCTGGGCACCCAAGACTACAGATGAAGCTCTTGATGCCCGTGATGCCTTCGATGCCGCAAAGTCGACTGTCACGGCAACTGTCAAGGTCGTCACATCGAGCGTCATCTCACATGGTGAGCTGTAATGATACGCAGCCTATAGCCTGCTTTTGCTTTGCCTTTCTCCGTACGACAGCCAATACCGATGAGCTAAGAACTAACCATGCGAACGATCAAAATTCTGTAATCATTTTTGGACCGTCGAGTGTGCATTTAAGTTCGCACACTCGAGCTCTGGTCATGTAGACATACCGACTACCCTTCTTCACCATTTCCAGCCAGCTTTCTTCTTACTCATGGATACCTCAAAATACCTTTTCTTCTTTTTCTCTTCTCTTTCTTCTTCCCTCCCTCTTCCATCCAACCAAGCACTCATGTCAAATTGCAGCCTATGCCTATTTTCAGTGGCGACAGACTGTGCCGAAGATGTGCTGATATTGATGCCTGCGCTGGCGAGTCCGAAAGGAGACTGTTCATATCACCTCAGTGTTTTAGTTCGCTGTGGTCGGCTTTGAGCAGGGGTGCATACATATACCAATAAGAAAATCAAACTGTATTCTACTTTCTCATCCCTGAATTGGTTGCCTACGTGTTGTGGTGAATCGACCTTAGCCCTATCTTTACATGCATCGCATTCATTTTTCTGACAATGACGATACGCAGATGGTTCATAGCACGATATGTCTCATACTTCTTCTCGGCTCTTTGTTGATTGTCTTCCGTGGAATTGGCAATTCCTCGAACTCATCAGTCGTCTTCGTGCGAACAGAGTCCACAGCTTGCAAATCCACGCCGGTATACAGCTAGTGACACGGAATGCTTATACGAACCAAATATAGCTCGCATCTCTTCCATACTAACTTAGTCTGATACCTGATGATCATAAAGCGTATGGCGTGGATCTTGTCGATATATCTGCATCTACGGGCGTAGATATACAATGGCATGTAGGAGAACAGGGTCGTACCATTAGCAACCTTTTGCAGTCAACTCGATAGCAAGACCTTAAGCAAGCCCTTAGTGACATCCTCAGGTTTCAGTTGTAGAATCTACATGCTCTACAATGCTAAGAAACGAAGCACCCTTCACTTTGGACCGCCGTACTGGGTAAGCTATTAGTGAAGCGCGCGCAGGAAAGCGCCAAACGCGTCCCCCAGTATTTACATCTAAACACAAGCTTTTGACTTTCTTTGACCCACCAAATAAAACACCATTTCAGCCATTACATCCATACAACACCGTCCGATGCCTCCCAAGAAGAGCAAGAAAGTAGTGGCGCGCGCGCCATCGTCAGAGGCCGAGGTGCCCTCGACTGTCACGACTCCTCGAGGCAAGATCTTCGACACGACTGCTGCCGCTGCGAGACCAAAGCGTACCATTACCAACACCATGCCCCCGCCCGATCCACCCAGTCTCAAGAAAGCAAAGCACGCACACACTGCCGACACATCATCCAACTCCGAGGTTACACCCAAAAGACGCGGTCGTCCGCCTAAGGCCTCGACCGCTACACCCAAGTCTGTCACACCCAAGGCCGTCTCCTCAGCCACACCCAAGAACTACAGGACTGGTGAAAGACAGAGTGCTAGACTGGCTTCTACTCCCGTCAGCGAGATTGCTCTACCATCGTTGAGAAGAAGACGCGTCACCCAGCCAGCCAACCAACCCAAGCGTGGTAGAGGAAGACCACCAAAGAAGACCAAGCAGGCTGCTCTCAAGGATGCGCACGACTCTGGCCCGGAACCCGACGCTAACCACGAAGCAAGCGATGGCATTGATTACGACGACCCAACCCACGATGCCAACATCACAGAGGCCACGACTATCATCCAAGCCGATCGCAGCTATTGGCTTATGAAAGCCGAACCAGAGTCTCGCATCGAGAAGAACGCCAACGGCGACGACGTCGATGTTAAGTTCAGCATCGACGATCTCCGTTCTCGCACCGATCCTGAGCCATGGGAGGGCATCCGTAATGCGCAAGCCCAGAACAACATGAAGGCCATGAAAGTCGGCGATCTTGCTTTCTTCTACGAGTCGAACTGTAAGAAGCCCGGCATTGTCGGTGTCATGGAGATTGTCAACGAGGCCAGTCCTGACGAACACGCTTTCGACAAGAGCAGCGCCTACTACGACCCCAAGTCTGACCCCAAAAAGCCCAAGTGGATGCTCGTCCATGTCGAGTTTCGCCGCAAGTTCAGCCAAAAGTTTACGCTCAAGGATCTCCAGAAGTTCTCCCAGCCTGGAGGCACTCTGGCTGACATGGAGGTGCTCAAGCAGTCACGCCTCTCCGTCACCAAGGTCACCAAGCCTCAGTGGGACTTCATCATGAGCCAGATCGATGAGGATGATGACGAAGATGATGTGATGCAGGACTTGAACGGCTCAACAATCGAAGAAGATGAGGATGCCGGCGGTGTCGGAGCAGACTTGGGCAATGACTTTGCCGCTGCCTTTGAAGCTCCTATTAACCTTCGTACTGCCACCGACGGGATCCCTGACGTAGTCGACCAAATGTCTGCTTACGCCGTAGACGCCGCCGCCCCCACGGCCAGAAGTGTGTCTCGTGGCCGCAGAAGCAGGCCTGCCTCTAAGCCAGCTGGTCACTCCGCCGCCATGCACGACACTGCTGTGCTTACCAGATACCCGAACGAGGCACCCCCCAGCTAGGACTGAGGTGTGCAGCTGCTGCTCTTCTTGTCTTTTGCTTTTCCTTTTGCTTTCTTTTTCTTTGCTTTACAGATACCCCATTTTATTTCCTGTCCTTCTTGCATTGCGACACGAGCGAGCGAGCGAGGCGTTTGGGGGATGCTTATCGACAAAGCAGAGACACTTTTGCTGATACGGTCGACGGAAGTCTAAGTCGATAAGGAGTGGGTACATAGCGTACATAGCTACAAGTCCACGAGACTCTCTACAATCAAATCTCAAGTCATTAACACGAAGACGATTGCTTCCACGTGTGTTACCTTATAAAATAAGAGGATACACATATGCCATGCCGCGCCATTGCCATTCATAAACGTCAGTTTTACAGACCAGTGTCAGTCTATCGAGCATATACTCAGCGAGTGTGACGTCTAGAACATGGAGTGGAACAATCAAGGTCAAAGATCAAAGACTCGAGGTTCAAGTGCAACATTTTTGGGAACATGGATATCATTTTTGAAGTTTGCGAAGAACGTGCTTTTTTTGCTTTTCATTGACGCAACCCATTTTTGAACAAAGATATCAAAGTGGCCCACAGCTTTTCGTTTCACCATGAATCACACCCTGACAAATCTGTTACTCAACGACATCAACACCCCTGCGTGACTAGCAAGCAACGAGGCGAGACGTTTAGTAGCGCTTGCCCTGGCGGAGGACATCGGCGTACTCGTCGAGAGGGGAGCGGATGAGCTTGGTCTCCTTCCACAGGTTGGGGGTGAGGAAGCCGTAGGTGTTGGTGATGGCGACGAAGGTGGCCTTGAGGGTGTTCTCGAGGGTCTTGGTGGAACCGGACGAGGCGGAGTAGGCGTCGGCAACACCGGCAAGCTGCAACAGACGCTTGACGGCGGGGGAGGCAACGAGACCGGTACCGCGGGGAGCGGGAATAAGCTGGGAGGCAAAGAAGTTAGGAGGGCTGTTGAGGTGTGGATAGGTGGAAAATTGCTTACTCTGACGGTGACGGAACCGCACTTGCCACTCTCCTTGACGGGGATGGAGTGAGGCTCACCAAGGTTGGAGCCCCAGTAACCACGACGGATGGGGACAACAGCGAGCTTGGCAATGATGATGGCGGCGCGGATGGCGGTGGCAACTTCCTTGGAGGTCTTGATACCGAGACCGACGTGACCAGCAGAGTCACCAATGACGACGACGGCCTTGAAGCGGGTACGCTGACCGGCACGGGTCTGCTTCTGGACGGGCTTGATCTGTAAGAGGGGGAGATGTGTTAGTGGCTGGATTCTTTGATAGTCTCTTGTTCAATGCGCAGAAAGAAGGCTTCGTCGTAGGCGCTGCTGCTGCTGTTGTCGTAGGCAGTGCAGATGAAGCAATCTCCTCTCTGCGCATCTCTGTGGTTTGCGCACCTTCATGACCTCGTCCTTGAGGGTGGGGAGGAAAAAGTCGACAATCTGGTACTCCTTGATGGGCAGAGAGTGGAGGTAGATCTCCTCCATGGACTTGATCTTGCCGGCCTTGACGAGACGACCGAGCTTGGTGACGGGCTGCCACTCCTTCTCCTCGTTCTTGGGACCGCGACGACCACGGCCGCGACCACGACCGCCACGGCCACGGTCACCACCACGGTCACCACCACGAGATGCGAATCCGCCACGAGTTGCTCCACGGTCAGCCATTGTGTTGATATGTGCTGTTGTTGTCGACGAAGAGAAGTGTCGTTTGGCGTTGGCAGACGTCGAGCGGCCGACAAATTCCTTTTCGCTGGGCCTCTTTTCGTGTGGGCCCCAGCGCCAGCCTGCCTTGGCAGTGCGCTTCGGCTAAACCCCGCATTTGGCTCATCCATCTTATCCATCTTATCCATCTTGTCTGCAACATCAACCACCTCCTCACATCCAGTCACTTCACATGCTTCTTTTGCTGCATCTCCTCGTCGCTTCCAATCATTGCATTCGTGACTTGACTACTAAATACCCCACCAACGCCACCCTTCCCGCCCATCCGAGCCTGGACCTTCCGACCTCTAATTGCCTCGCCATCACTCTGGAGCGGCTATCCTGTAACTCCGTCCTGTCCACCTTGACAAACATCTCAGCCATTCTCGCGACCTTGTGTTTTGCATTCGAGTCAATCCCAACTCTGACGCCACCACAGCTTGCAGACGCCTGACTTGGTTGTTGTTCGGCTTCTGCGTCTGCATGCTTGTATGCTTCCAAGATTCTGCCTGTGTCGCCTCGGAGTGTCGTCTTTGTCTCAACTGTTGCTCAAGCCTGCCCAATCGCTGCTTGTCATTCGCCTTGGCTTGGTCGATATGCCGCTTTCTCTGGATATGTCACTCAATCGAGTCGTAACACACGTGCACTGATCCCACACCATATCGTCATGGAAGGTATCCAACCGCACTGCAGCCTATGTGCACATGAGGCTAGTTGCTTTTTCTCAACTAGACTAATAACTCTGAGGGTACTGACTAGCGGGCTGCATGAAGTTAGTATTTGCAGTCTTGAAGCAACGCTAAAGCCTCTACTCACCGGACTGTTGAGCATGTTTTGACGTTCGTTTCGGCCCTTCTTAATGTGTCGTTTGAGAGCGCTCGAGTCCAGTGGCTTCAACAACTCGAAGCTGCACAAAAGTTCACCGGAAACGGACATGACGGCTCCCCAATTGTCAAACTCTCCACAATACTGTGACTAGATGTTAGCAAATAGTCAGGTATATCATCCATTGGAAACTTACGTTTGGTGCTGAGAACACAGTGACCAAGACTCTATCAGTGAAGAACTCGTATCCGTCCTCAACGACCATGTGCGCTCTGCAAACAAGGTCGAAGTCGTGCTTCGCGAGAAACTCCATGATGACCTTTTTGCCGAAACAGTAGCTTACTCCTCGTTCGTTGGCTTCCCAGTCGTTTTCCATGTCTGCTGGATCACTCCAAAGCAGATCGTTCAACAAGCCATAGTCCGGAACGTCAGTCGGCCTAGCAATGTTGCGAATGTCGTCCATGTGCGAAAGACTGGGCGACAGACCTCCGTGTACACAGAAAATCTTATTGGCGACAACGGATGCGATGGGTAAGCAGTTGAAGGTGTCGACGAACGACTTCCACACCTTGATGTTGCAGCGGCGCTTGCATTCATCGTAGAAGCCGTAGACGCGAGTTACATTGGCGCACTCGTGATTGCCGCGGAGGAGGAAAAAGTTCTCGGGGTAGCGCAACTTGTAGCAAAGCAGCAACAGAATGGTCTCGAGACTTTGTTTACCACGATCCACGTAATCACCCAGGAAGAGGTAATTGGAGTTTGGAGGGAAGCCACACATCTCGAACATGCGCAACAGGTCGGTGTATTGGCCGTGAACATCGCCGACAATCTTGACTGCAGGAGCAAGCTCCAGCAGGGCGGGCTGCGAAAGGAAGACCTCGCGAGCAGCCTGGCAGATGGCAAAGATTTCGGCATTCTTCAGGCAGACGGTCTTTGTGACCTTGCCGGCATATCCTGCATCAATCAAGCGCTTAATCATGTCATCCAGATCCGACGTCTTGAGTGCACCAATGCCCATGTCCTTGGAGGAAGACGAGCCCTCTGACAGAGCGAGAGCCAGAGCGGCAGCGCTAGGCTTGTGATCAGCCTTCTTCATCAGGATAGATTCGGTGGGTTCGGTAAGGTTGTTGTGTTGCAAGGTGCCGGTGGGAGGAGCGTCAGAAACGTGTTCGACTTCGCCGGATCGCTGGGCCTTTGTGATGTCGGAATGGCCGTGGCCGATAGAGGACGAAAGAGTGGGAGACGGAGGAGCCTGGGCATCATCTTGGTCGTCGACATCGTTGCTTGCTCCACTGCTCCTACGCGAGGTTTCGGACAAAGAGGGAGCAGAGGGGGAGCGTTTGTGCTTGTTCGAAGGGGCAGCCTGGAGGGCGGCGGTGTCCAGACCTGGCTCTGATTGTCTCTTAGGCGAAGCTAGCGAAGAGGATGAACCGCGCGGGTTGTCGGTGGATATCTTTGAGGGAATCTTTGAGCGAATGGAGCCGCGGAAAGAACGCGTCGAGCCTTGGGTGTCGGACTTTGAGAAGGAGGGATAAGAGCTAAGATCAGGGCCGTCTTGCGAGCCCTTCTCGCCCTTGGACGGCTGGTTACCCATGACTGCGGAGCAAGAGTCGGAACGGGAAATGCGGGTGTGTAACGAAAGAAGTGAGAATGAGACGGGCCTCTACACGATGCTGTCACGACCAGCACGGGGACATGTGGAGCACGACGAGCGTCGCACAAGGTGGTGGGGTTCGGCGACTTGCACTACTTCAGGACCAGAGATACAGATCTGATGAGAGTGATGCGGCGTGGGATGGTGATGCGAGAGATGGAGATGGAGCTTCTGGGGGTTGATGGGTGCGTGTTTCTGGTCTTTCTTCCGGAGAGCAAGACACACAAGACATCATTGTATGCCGCCGGTGCCGCCAAGGACGATGAAGCTCAGCCACAGGCCAGGCCTCCTCACGGACCGCCCTTGTCCCTCTCCACTCCACCCCTCGGTTGGCACTCATCTGCGAGACTTTCAAATCACGCACGTGTTGGCTCCATCTCCGCTGCTTACCTACTTCTCATGCCAGTAGATGGCCGCTGTATGCCACATCTTTTCGATCAGGCAGCACCTTTCGCTATGGTAAACTCCATGGCCTCGGATCTTGATCCTCATCCTTCGCGCCCCGCTTCACGCGTCCTTATCTCGCTGCCTTGAGAGGTACATAAGATGCACCGAGTCCCAGCTTCTTCTCTCCTTTGAGTTTTGCGACTTATTTTCTCATACACCGACCCAATGCGCCATTTATCAACTTCGCCGTTTGCCTTTTGCGTGGCTGCTCAACTTCTGTGTCTAACCTTGGCCTCGTCTTCGCATCCATCGCAATCGTTCCTTGGCAATCTGGATGCTCAGGTTGCCGACAACAACCCCTTCCATCCTTCTTTCGATTCGTTTGTTGATAGTCTTATGAAAACTTGGCACATCCCCGGTCTGGCCATTGCTGTTGTGCACGAAAACAAGACATGGTCCAAGGTAATATTGCTTCTCGCACTTTGACATATCTCCATTGCACAGCAGCAGCATCCCTTCGCAACTTCCACTTTCCTTGTCTCTCCTTGCGACCAAGTACCTGGCCTGAGTTGCAAGATCCCCCTGAACTGACACGATAAGGGTTTTGGGCACGCGAACCTCCCTGATGTGCCATTCACACCATATACACTCTTCCAGGCTGCTAGCACCACCAAATCCTTCACAGCCTCTCTCACAGCATTGTTAGTCCAGGACCAAGATGAATATGCTCACATCGGATGGGACACTCCGCTTCACGACATTGCCGGTAACGATTTTGTTCTCGAGGACGATTATCTGACAACTCATGTCACTTTCCTTGATGCCATGTCCCATCGCACTGGCATACCTGGACACGACGCGCTGTGGTACGATCGAGGACTAACCGTCAGAACCCAGACATATCTCATGCGTCATATGACCTCGAGCGCAAGCTTCAGGACCGTCTTCCAGTACTGCAACCTATTCTTCACCGCCGTCTCTCATGTTCTTCAGTCTGTGACAGGGAAACCACAAGCAGATTTGCTGCGTGAGTGGATCTTTGAGCCTCTCGGAATGAACCAATCCTACTACTCTCGTCAGGACGCAGCTCACTGCCAAACACTGAACCCTCACTGCGTCCTGGCTGATAGCTACGCATGGAATCAAGACACGCAATCTTATCAGAAATGGGCGCTCAACGTAGCGGACCCCGCCAATGGAGCTGGTGGCATCATCTCCAACGTCGTTGATTACAGCAAGTGGATTCACACTCTCATGCATGAGGCCGGTCCGGTCTCCAAGGATGGTCATGCTAAGCTAAAGTACCCATTTTCCATACAAGGTGTTGACATGGCACCCTACACAGGACCTGTATGGTATGGACTGGGGCTTGACGGAGGCATCTACCGTAACGAGAGGGTCTTTTCGCACACTGGTGGTATCAGTGGCTACGCGTCAAGCTTCAAGTTTTTGCCTGACCGGAAGTTCGGACTCGTCATGTCTCAAAATTCAATGAACACAGCCTTCGAAGCCATAGGATGGCGACTGATCGATGAGTTTCTAGGCGGTCCGGAGGACGAGTTCTACGACATGAATAAGACGTGAGTGAAGATAGCATATGCGTGCGCCAACTGACGCGATGTTAGGCAAAGCTATCTTACAAAAAAACGTGAGGAACAGCTCAAGGCTCTTCCTTCCAAGCTATATCCCAATGTACCTTCGCAACGCGTACAGCCACAACTCCCGTTACAAAACTACACCGGAACCTATACAAACGCGGCTTATGGTAACCTTAGCATCAGCGTCGATGCACCTTCATACCTGCTAGACGAACCAAGAGCTGAAAACTTGGATTCTGCGGATTTGCTGCTCTACGCGGCATCAAGTGGTCGGAACGTGTTGTTCACTTTTCGACACGTGTCTGCAGAGCATTGGCTTGTAGAGTTACGAATGGTGATCTATGACTCCAAAGTGGCAGATGATTATAAGAAAGCCAGGTTCGAGGTTGGAGTGGATGGAGTGGTGCAGAGACTCGGAGTGGTAATGGAAGCAGCTGTTGCTGGGGATAGAGCATGGGCGTGGTTTGATCGAATCGACGGTCCTTGAGGCAGGATGACAGCATGTTTCGTAGACGTCCGTGTCGAAAAGTGCTACAAAAAGGTATTGCCTGAGATAGAAAAGTACAGCAAGGGATGAAGAATTGATCTAGAGACAGGGTTGCATGGTTCGAATGTCTTTCACATGTCGCGATTCAATACGTCAGGCGCCAAGAAGGCTCTTGCGCGGCCACAATTTAGGCGGGCATGAGCAGGTAAACTTGATAGGCACAACAAGGAACTTTGTTGCCAGCGACGCCCAACATATTGTTTTTATGACATCGTCCTAAGTTGGAATTCTTTCCTCGACGCACCTGACCAGCCATATCCTCCGGAGCACACCAAAGCTCGACCACCAAACCTTCGTCCAGGGACAAGAACAAAAGACTCGAGCAGCGACCAAGATGGTCAAGGACACAGCATACTATGACGCGCTAGAAGTGCCGCCCACTGCCACCGACGTCGAGATCAAGAAGGCATACCGCAAACTCGCCATCCGCCTGCATCCCGACAAGAACCCCGGCGACGAGACGGCCAGCGCAAAGTTCCAGGAGGTGCGTCGCCCTTACAAGTCCCTTCTTGGAAACTTGTCTTCTGACCGCTTGTCCGTTTAGATCGGCGAGGCTTATCAGGTACTCAGCGACGAGAAACTCCGCAAGCAATATGACGACTACGGCAAGGAGGGCGCAATGCCCAACACGGGCTTCGGTATGACATGCAATCAAAGTCACCATCTGCGACAAGAGTTGACGCCCATGCAGAGGACCCCTCGGAGATGTTCAACGAGATTTTCGGTGGTCATGCCTTTGCAGACTGGTAAGCAGACCGACACAGACCACTCATGTGTCGACTTTCACTAAGAACAAGGACAGGATCGGTGAGATCTCCATGGTCCGCGACATGGAAAAATCTATGGAAATCACCATGCGGCACGAGGAGGAAAACGCCGCTCTCCAAGCAGAGGCCGAAGCCGCTGCCGCCAACATCGAGGAAAAGAAAGCAAGCATGGACAAGACCGTTCACGAATCCGCCGCTCAATCCCACGCCGGTGCTGCCGCCGATCTGAAAGATGGCGTGGAAAAGATGAATCTCTCCGAGGAAGATTCCACACCACCACCACCCTCTTACCCCCAAGATAGACCGAAGGGAGTCCCTACACGTCTGGCTCTCACCGAACGTGCCGAAGAAGAGGCCCGTATGGAGGCTGCCGGCGTCACCGAAGCAGAGAAGACCCTGCGTGCAAAAGAGAAGAAGAAGGGCGGCTTGACCAAGGAGCAAAAGGAGGAACTCGCTGCTTTTGAAGCCGAGCGAGATCGCGCCCGTGAGGAGCGCATCGAGGACTTGTCCAAGAAGCTCATCAACCGCGTCAGCGTATGGACTGAGACCGACAAGGGCAAGGACGTTACCACCTCATTCCGCAAGAAGATGGAGCAAGAAGTCGAGAACCTCAAGATGGAGTCATTCGGTCTGGAAATCCTACACGCCATCGGTCAGACCTACACACAAAAAGCCGCCACTTTCATCAAGAGCCAAAAACCCATCATCGGTGGTGTCACCGGCTTCTTCTCACGTCTGAAGGACAAGGGTTCGCTTGTCAAGGAGACTTGGGGTACAGTCAGCACCGCTATCAGCGCACAGATGGAAATCGAAGAGATGGCTCGCGCAGAGGAACGCGGAGGCGACGACTGGACCGACGAGAAGAAGGCCGACTTTGAGCGTCGCGTGACAGGCAAGATCCTAGCGGCCGCATGGCGAGGCTCCAAGTTTGAGATTCAAAGTGTGCTCCGCGACGTCTGCGACAAGGTGCTTTACGATAAAACCGTCAAGGTCGACAAGCGAATCGAGCGAGCCCACGCGCTGCTCGTCATCGGAGACGTATTCATCAAGGCCGCACGCAGCGCAGACGAGGAGGGCGACCATCTTGCCTTTGAGCAGCTCATGGCCGAGGCTGCCCAGAAGAAAGAGAAGAAGAAGAAGGACAAGGAGCCTAAGGAGCCCAAGGCTTAGGAAGTCACTGGGTCGACTGCTGGATTCTCCCCCCTCCAAGAACCTCTAGAGGACTGCTCGACAGCGTTTGTTTATAAGCATCGTCCTTCCTAAGTTTAAGATACACCGGCGTTTAATTTGGTATACAACTTCCTTCCTCACGACCATACTTTGTCCCTTCGCCGTGATACGAGCCTGGATATAGTACTGCCTTTAGTCATCAAGACATCCGACTTCTACTGACGTTCATAAAGAGCATTCTTAGTCACGCAGCAAGAGCGAAGAACAGCAGGCTTACCGACGAGTTTTGATATACACGCTCTAGGAGGGAAACATCTACGACATAACGTTCTGTTGGTCAAGCTAAGGCAAAGTAAGCATTGAACACACTCCTGCGGACATGCTACTAAGCTGAGATGCATCGCTGTACCGACGAGAGACCATTGCAGAAGCCCCTTCTACATTCTAGCATACAAGCATGAACAGGGTCACCTTTCAGGGGTGAGATTGGCCTCGAGTCTGACGACAAGTAGCTAGCACGTTACTGGTATGCACATACTTTGTATGCCGTGGTCAGCTCTTGCACTGTCAGGCATAAAGGCAGCAAGCCACACTGATCCAGCCTTCTGTGTGTAATGCAGTGGCCGGCACACAAGGCGCGTCTAGGCCAGAACGAGAACGAATACTCGACGTTTGACATCTGACAGCTGACATTTGACATCTGACGCCTGTGCCAACATGTCGCCCGCTGGCTTCTACCCGGTCGACGGGTCCAACAAGGAGCGTACCTCCGAGGTTCTCGCTGCTGATGCTCGCAGAACGTCTGCGTGGCAGTTGTATCGAAGGCCTGGTCGAGACGGTGGTCCAGGTAGCCTGCAGGTCAGGCAGCTTCTGTTTCCAATGGTGACTCGAGGATCCGCAGACTTCAGAGTTGGTGCTTGCTTATGCCATCGACTTTGGTACGTCGTCGTCTGGCCCCTTGAAACTTCCAAGTACTTGTACTGTATGTTCAGCTTCGGATCTGTGTCCGGCTGGAGCTGAAAACTCGACGCCTCAGGCAGGTACTTTGCTTGGCCGCAGGCGCCATCAGCTGTCCCAGTCGGCTGGCTGACGAAATGATGTTGCTTACGCATAGAGTTACCACATCGTCGCGCTTCCCGTGTCGGCAGATGCCCCGTACATCATGCGGGTTTTCGAGTTTCCCGCACATGTCGCTCGGCCGACGCCGACAACCTTGAACAGCTGTATGCATGGTACAGTGGGTACCTACAGCTCATGACAACGCATTCTCCACTCACGCGGAGGAGCTGAGATTGACAGATCCTGGAGTAGATGGTCGAGTCGCGACAGAAAGTGGAGCGAGCGATACTTTGACCGGGATGCCTGAATGCCTGTGTGTTTTCTTGATCATACAGCTTTGTGTGTCGCGCTCGACCAATGAACTCAGGTCGCGAAGACGCATGTGACTTACATTCTGCATGCAATGCTCATGCCATCACTATGGCGTGCTGTTTTGTAGCACATGAGTATGGCTGAGTAATCTCGACACGGCAAAGCAGAGCAATGTCCGTCATCGATTGGGTATATCGACGCTTATCGTATGGTTAATTTGGCATATATCACTCGATATATGAAGTCTTTAATGAAGACGTCAGGCACGTGGTCCTGATCTCCAGTGCATATGCGGCTTGCAAGTCCGTGATGAGTGGTGCGACGGTGTTGGTCTATTCGTTAAAGGATGGCCATAATGGAGAAGAGATGGATGCAAACTCTAATTCGAGGAGCACACCGCCGCCGCCCGCACCTGCCGCTGTCGTGATGAGAGTTCTGGCCATCTCTGTACTTCTGCACAGTGCACACGCTGTTTGGCTCCTCCTGCATGAACTCGAGCGTTTGTGCAGGATTTTACTACATGCTGCGTTGCCGAGTCTAGTGCAAAGACGTTGCGTTTTGTGCGCTGTCGAGTACAGTACGGAGCACACGTAGCAGGTGAAAGCGGCAAGGATGTGAGCGTTGCTGTGTCGTTGCCTAGTCAGGATGCGTACTACTCCGTAGTATGTAGATGAAGGAGACTCCAAAAGTCTCCACGTAAATACAAGCTACTGTACGCAGGAGTGGGGTTGTCGCGCGTACACGATAGCCGGTCCCGAAGAGATTATTTGCAGCAAAGCCAATATTGTCGCCACATGCGGAAGTTGCTGCTCGGTGCCTGTTCCTGCTCTGAGTTTGCCATGGCCGAACATTTGAAATCGTTCGCACGTGCAGGTGCGCAATTGGTGCTGAACTTATCGAAGGATGCTTGGCTGCCTGGCAGGAAGGATTTCACAATCGGCGCAGTCAGTGCTTGCGATTCCATGACGACGATAGGAGACGACAGAACTCAACCCCCTTTTCGTGACTCTCTCACGCTGCGAGAGCGAGCAAACTCAAGAAAGGTTATGGCATTGTTGAACTGTCGTGGGCAGAGATGCGACTGCCGGTTCCAGCGGACGTCCAGTCGATCATGGTGCAAGATCTCGATGGAGGACAGAAAATTGCCTTTACGCTCGCGCTCTGAAACGCTGAGGCTCTGCAGTTCTGTCATGTCCAACTTTCTTTCTCACGGTACTGCATACATCATCTTTCGTACCGGCAATGTTCGATCTAGGAAAAGAGATGGATGATGTAGTTGCGCCAACTCATGCTGTTTCAACTCTCCCTTTGACGATCGAACATTAAAGCACAATTATGGTCGCAGTTCAGCCGTGCCTGACGATCTCTATCATGTACCGCAGAAATATGATCGCGCACCCCGAACGATTAAATCATCGAGTCATTGGCCTGCAGCCAAGCGAGAACAACTATCGGGGTGTGAAGAGACATTCATCCTTGTACTGAGCTTGAACATCCGCGGCGCAGTGGGGTGTGCAAAAGGTAAATCGAAATTGCGAGCTGACCACGTGGAGAAACAGCATACTACATTAGGAAAAAGGCCTCAGAAGTATCACGGATTTGGAATGGAAGAGACATTGGTTTTGAAAGGTTGAAGTGCTTGATTGAGTAAGAAGTAAACTACTAATAAGGCGCGATCATGTCTGCTGCCATAGGGTATATTGATGCCAATGAAAGATTCCCGTAAACACCCAAGCCATGCACTCCTCAAGAGTGATGTGCAAGGCCAATGATCCAAATAGATGATAAGAAAGTCCGTAAAAGCGTGTCGAAGAGATGAGTTCGTCGATGAAAAGTCGTGAAAACATTGTGTACAGGCCGAACGGCCAACAAGCGTGCAATGCATGATAGCATGAGAGGACCAACGGATGTGATCTTGTAGTTGCATGCTCGGAGCAAGTGTGAACGCCGAATAGGGCAAGCACAAGCATGTGCAATGGCGGGCCGCTGATTTGCGCTGGCAGTGGGGGTGGAGCCATGCATGCTGCGGATCATGCTTCGAATTGAAGAGGTGGGGATCCAATGAGAATAGATGCTCGAATGTGCCCGCTTCCAAGATGCAATCAAGTCAATGCAGGTGCAGTGCTGGAAGTGGGCAGCTGATAGATGAACAGACTGACATGCACGTCTGGCGTGCAGGCTGGTTCTCCTCATGAAACGTTGGTATGGTGATGTGTGTGCTCGAAATCATCCGAAGTGATTGATAGTTCACTTGGGAAGAGGAGGAAGAGGCCTGTTTGGGGGAGGACCAGGGCAAGGAGGAAACTCGAACATGGCAGGCATTGTGAGAAGAAGTTGGTGTTTGAGTGAGATGGTTGTTGGATAGTAGAGTGAGGTGAGATGATCGAGTGGTGGTACTTGATGTTTTGATGTATGTAGATTGAGGCTTGTAGTGGTTTGTGTGTGGAACGAAAAGAGCGGATAGAATGGGAGTAGGCAGGCATCTATATATCCAGGTACAGTGATAGACGCCTCGAGTAATTGACCATGATGCAACCTGAAGCGCAAGGTGGGTGACTAACGGTGGCCCGTGGGTCGAACAAGGACCGCGCGAAAAGGAGACACCGGGCTGCTAGTAATTCGTATCCGTCCGGCAGCAAGGCTGACAAGACTAATCTTGGAACCACCTGAATTGTGACGTTTCTATTCGGATGATCAAGAGGTAGCAATCAATTGATCCGCGTTCTACATCATATCCTTGTTTCATATCTTGTCTCGCAGCCTTCGGATTCCGTCTTCCCTGCTGACTGTGCCGCACAAGAGCAGCGGTGAAGTGGCCGACATGCTATTGTGCGTTATTGCTGCTGCCCAGCCCCGAGGTACTTGCTTCGACTCGAAACCTACTGCCGTGTCAGCAGCGAAGGGCTGACGGGGTGCTCGCTCAGCTAAGCAGCATGGCAGTTACCCTAGCCATGCAAGCGATCCAGGTCAAGGTTTGGTCCGTTTTGAGACAAAGCCAAAAGCACCGAACCGATGAACGGTCAACCGTCGACCGACAGACATGTGTCTCAAGGTGAATATGCGGGTTACGGGACTCGTGGCAAATTGCGCTGTCGACGATGCAAACGCCGCCTATGATCCATCGAATGATTTCCTAAACATGACTCGTCCGTCCACGCCGCAGACCTGACATCGCACAGAGCACAATTTTCTCACCTAAAGCACTTTCAATCTAAACAGAGGTCTAAGCGAATGATTGCCCGACCGAAGGCCTGTAGAATTTTCCATGGAAAAAACTTTCTTTCAGCACTCTCGGACCGCTCCATCTGACCTGATCAGCCAGAGCAGCTGTATCGCGCGCGGTGCTCGCAAGGAAGTGCCGGGGAGAGGACGAGATGGATGAGTCGTAATCTCGATGCTGACTGCCGGAGCATGTCCAGTGATCGGTCCATGTGGATGGGTGTGATGGAGTTCCCGCGTTCGCACACGTGGCTTGCTCGCATGCCTGTCAAAATCTCGGTCATTTTCCAAGGAAAGTCCACTCTATTCCGTACTCGTCATCATGATCGCGGCTATGTATGGAGTCGTGCCAAATGTCCGACTGGTGACCAGAAAGAGCCAACAGGATTCCGAATTCCTGGTACTTTTTCCAAGTTTCGCAGCCTTCCCCAGATCAACAGGGGCACGCTTGCTTGCGAGCGGCACGATTTTTTGCTTTTTCTGCGATCCGGCTGCATATTTTCATTAGACAACATTCCACGATCTTTCCATCTCGGTTCTCTCAACTTCTGCGTGGCCACACAGAGTATCATGGGCTGGATCTGTGTTCACTTCGCTCATATCCGGTCGTCATGCTTTCTCAGCTCTCACGAACTTTCGCTTCCCGGCAGCCCCGAAACTCGGGGCGTACCCCCGAACTGTACAATGGTAGGTAGACACGCACGCAGCTCGCACAGCCCTGTTGGGCAGAAGAACATCGTATCATGCACACCGTTGCAGCGTTGCTATCGCAATGCGCAATCATAAAATAGATCACCTCAGAGCCGCATTCTGCTGCACCGATATATTTCTGCATCCTCGTTGACGCTATCAAATGTGCCATGATGCTGTATTGCATTCTTTGCTGGCTTGAACGAGCATAGCCTCGACCTACTGCACAGCACGTACGACGCGCGAGGCCGCGAATTTGCGATAACGCTGCACGCTTCTCCTGAGTCTCACCGCTTACGGCTGTGAGCTGCCCGGACTGGACCTTTGTCTTCAGACAGGACCTTGACCCTAAAGTCACAGACCTTCGAAGCATCAGTTCTCCTCGACTTGACTCGGATTCGAAAAAGATTTTCTTTCTTTTAGTCTTGTCCAACTGGTGTAGGTAAAACCTCGCGTTTCGAATTCGCTTAGACTGCGATCATTTCCCCCAGAAAGACCCTGAGATGGCCCGTACCGCTTGACATCTGGCTATCCAAGGCCTCTGATACCAACCCTGATAATTTTGCGCATGGCACGTGTATGTTCACAGACCCCTTGGTGTTATTCCAGGATCCAGACAAAGTCCCTGGTCCCTTTGTCAGCAAATCATTTCCGACTTAGCGAGGCGCGGGCACTCTCAGGGACTGGACCACGAAAACACAGGGTTGACTGACAGATGGTATGCTTTCCAAAAAGTTCTCCAGGAAAAGAGACACTTATTTTTTTGGTTCATGCACAGTAAGACCATGTCCAACTCCGGAGTCGTGTACATGCAGCTGCACCAGGTACCTGGTCACTGGCTGCGGACTCATAGATTGTTCATTTCAACGAGAGGCGCTCAGTGACGCAGGCTAGTGCTCGAACCTCGAACGGAAGTATTTGTTCTATCTATTTGAGATTCCGTGAAGATCTCTGTCCTGTCCAGGCACTATAAATGTGTATCACAATCAAATTATCCAGACATGCGCGCACATCAATGCATGGAGCATCTGCTTGCATACCACTTGGTTGTGTCAACACTCGTCGCCTTGCAATCTTGAGCACGGTCACAATGTCCTCCATCGTTTCAACACTGAGGATCTTTGCTGTGTCTGTTAGTAGACCATAGCTTACCATTAGGGACCATCTTCTGGAAGTCTGTCCTCCAGAAAAAGAATGCCGGCCAAATATCGGTCAGACGCCTGGACCCTTGATGGGGATCAGCCTCCACGAATTGCAGACCCTTGAAACACCTCGAGTATTTCTGACACCACCTGCTATCTCGCATGCGCAACCCAGGTTGTCCACGTATCACGAATCCGAGGTGAGGGCTAGGTTCGTATGTAACGAGTCCTATTCTCTGTTTGTGCCCTTGGCCATACTCGAGTTTCATGTCGACTTCCTTATTCTCGGACGACACTGTACGGTCTACTGTAACCCCGCTCAAGCTATCTGTACAACAAAACTGTCATAGCAAGTCGGAGGGTTGTTCCCGATGCTTCTTAGTCTCATGCGAACACTAAAAGTACGCCTGGATGCTTTCTGGCTTCATTGCTGGCTTAGGCGCCAGCGCAAAGTACCAGGCTGTCCCGTTTAGAATGGCACTGCATCTTCTGCTCTACATCCTCATCCGAATTCCCCATGTATTCTGGTCCTGGCCGGCAGTACTCCACTGAGATAAATAACCTTCGGATGGCAGGCGTCTGTCTACGGAACGGGCGATAAGATCCTTCCGCAACGCTTGGCCAACGGTTATACTGATTGTACTCCACCATGACCTGATACTCAAGAACATCTGGCTGCTAGTAAAAGGACAAACGAGGCAAAGATCGCTCTTGTCTAACCTTCGCCCAGGTTACCTCTTACCGGATCAGGTCAGCTCACCGTCATACGAGCATCGAAATCTGCTCTCGTGCAACATGTCCTTTATGATCTACATGTTCCCTCAATATACGAATGTTTGCAGATCTCTGTTGACGTCTGTTCACCTTGATGCCAGGTCTCCGACCCATCTTGTGCACAGAAACTGATATCGTGCAGCGGATCCTTGGACCCTGGCCGCTACTCAATGCTGCATCGCCGCCGTCGTTGTTTGACCGCATCGGACCGTTCCTTGACATTTGCGATAATCTGCTGCTACAGGCATGGGGAAATACAACCGCAACGCTCAAACAGTGCCTCCCACAGTGTGCTCGATGTCTCATCCAAGAGTCCCAGCCGACACTTCTGCTCGCATACGAAGGTCACGAGGCTCTGCCACGTCTCACAGAAACAACTCCGTCTATGCGCGTAGCAGTTTCGGTGATCAAACAAGCTCAGCGTCCAGGTCTTCCAGCGATCTCGAACGGCGCTGTCTCAGTACGAAGAAATGCGGAGAGAAGACAACGGCGCAACTATCGATGACGGGATCAGAAACACAACGTTAACGACCCATAGATCAACATTGACCCCGCTGTCTATGTTTCGCATGTACGTTGGAGTTTGGCGTGTACTCAACGTTATGTGGGGACGCAACTGCCCCTACAGGCTGCATGTCTTTAGATCTCAGCCTATAGCGATCTTGTCTTGCTATAACGCTTGTAGTGTGCGAAGATCGCCGATGGGTTGCCGTCGACTATCGTTTTACTGCTAACTAGCTTCAACTCGTCTAAGAGGACTTCAGCTGTATGCCAAGTCAGCCCAATCCCATTGAACTGGACAATCTCTATCGTAGGGCCTCGACACCTAAGTTGCTCTCCGCACTCGTGACTGATATGGTGGATTCGGAGCCTAAGAAGAAACTACCCACATGAATTCCATTCGATTCGCTTCAGAAGCATCTTCTGCATGTGACCAAGCAGAACAAGTTCATGGTATTCTTTTACCATACTTTAGCCATCCAGCTCTTTCTCTTGTTCGAGTTTCGAGGAACTACTGTACGCTCTCCATCGCCGGTTACTGACCATGTCGCTTCAGTGCAGCACATCCATGATGTTCTCATTCTGGAGGCATGAATCGCAACAACACCTGAAAAGACCGATCCTGTTGTTCGATTCGAGAGCTATCTACGGATCATGGGATCCCATGACGAAGACACCGCGAGCGGTCTTCTCAATGCACAAGACAGCTTGAACCCGAGAAGCCCTTCGTTAAAGTCTGGCTGCTAGCCTGTATAGGCTGTCATGTATGCCCTCAGACTAGCATATGCAAGACCCCGGTATTCTCTCTGACCTGTTACCATGGCTTTGCCCATGTCTTTCATGAACATGACTCCTTCCGTGCTGTTTAGGAGTTCCACGCCAAACTCGTCGATAACGCTCGAGACCATTGCTTCGTACTCCTCATCCAAGAAGTCAGGGTCAACACCTGCTGCAGCTACAACCAAAATCGTCTTGATTTTGGCAAAGGATTGGCATAAGGCAAGTCTGTTGTCTTCTCTGACAGCTTGCTCCATAGTATTGACATGGGCGACGATGTTTGGCAACTTGAGCGCAATGACGCCGTATGTATGACAGAGCTGCGCAATTATTCCCGTGTATTCTTCCAGAGTCGAGAGCGGACCCATAAAAGTCAAAGCTGATGCCACTTCTTGCTTGTTGTCATCGGTCCTTTCTTCTGGGCCTTGTGCAGGCTCACCCATCGACATGACGGGGGATGACTGGGCAGGAGAGCCGACAGTGGCACAAGGAGTCGTGGTTGAAAATCCATTGGAAGGTGAGCCATCCATCACGTCTTCGTTGTCTAGTGCGTCAGACTTATCGAGTCTACTGGAGCGTCGAGGTTTCTGTTAAAGGTGAATTAGGATAATCATCAAGCAGTTGTGAACAACTTGACGTACCAGGTTCTTGTTTGAACTTGCACGGGAACCACCAGGCTTGGCCTTAGTTGAAGGGTTTGGCTCAGAATTCCTACATTGAAGTGTTAACGTCGGGTTACTCCTTAGATTTGTCCGCATATGGCATACGTACACAGTGCGTATGAACATATCCGTGCTAACACTGCCATCTGTTCTTTGGAACCGGTATAGGCTCGAGCTGTAGTTGCGGCAGATGGCAATCATCTCGCGACCTCGCAGTCTGAATATGTACCCGATGAGCTGTCGATTGGAGTCAGTCCTAGTCCAAGCGAAACGCGGCAGAGAACTCACAAAAACCTCGGTCTTTGTTACACTGGACTTGATAGAGATCCATTCCATCTGCAACAGCTCCTTGGCTCTGGTCTTGCACGTGTCACTTGGACAAGTTGCTTGTCTGAATGCGCGTTCTCTTTGTCGTAGTTGCTGAAGGACATCGCCGGTCGGTTTAGTTGCGAAACCTGGAAATGCTTCGCGGAATTGGGCTCTCTTTGCGCTGTTTGATGGCGCATCCATGGCTTGTGACAGATTGGCTCTTGCCTGAGCGAGGACCTCATTGAAAGTCATGCCACCATTGTAGCTGGCGTCCAAGTCGTTGCGATAGCCGATCCAGATCTTGCTCTCACCGTCGCGGGAGATGTCATCGTTAGCGAAAGGTTTAATCTGGCAATCACCGTGTGGTTCTCCATCTGGTGCGAAGCAGAGATATGATACTGCGTTGTCCTGACGAGGCATACTGATAATTGCCTATAAGCGTTGAATGTTGTTGGTGCGGAAAGATGCAGATGCGGGAAGGTGCAGCTGACTGTTCTGAATGTTGCGAGTGGGAGGATGCAGGAGTGATGCTCTTTCCACTTCATGCGATGCCGAGCAAACGCAGGACGACGCAGCGACGTGAACACAACAATGTCTCGATTGCTTCAGTTCACTAAGACTCTCTTGAGATATGTGAGTAAGCGAAAGTTATAACAATCAACACTAGAAGGTGTTGTGTGGGTCAAGAACTGGCTCTAAATGACTAGATGGACCTCCAACAGCCTCTGCTAGTGAGCCCTTGCCTAGAACCCAACTGCTTTCAAACTGAGTTCCCATAGGCGGTTCTCGGCCTCCTCGTCGTATGCGTACGTCGCATAACCACATCTACCGATACCCTCGTCCTCTGCAAGTGCAGGTGCTACTCCGACCTCAGCCAAGTACATTCCACCATGCGTCTCGAAATAAGGACTCAAAGCAGCCCATACAGTGGTAGCAGCTCCCTGCTCTGCGGTGCATTCGATCTTCTTGAAGTACTCTGGGTCACCAATACTCTGGAGGTCCTCCACCTTCTGGTGCCTCACAAGTTCCGTCGAAAGGATCACACCAGGATGAACAGAAAGAGCACAGATACCATGGTGACCATAGACTCTGTCGATATAGTTGGCCATGTAAATGTTTGCTGTTTTGCTTTGTCCGTAAGCGGCATATGGGTTGTAGCTTCCCTCCTTGGAAAAGTCCATATCGTCAAAGCGAACGGGACTGATGAGATGGCCACTACTGGACAAGTTGATGACGCGAGATTTACGCTCGGGCAAAGCTGACGCTAGCAGAACAGGCTTGAGGAGTTCAAACAGCAGGAAGTGACCGAAGTGATTGCTTCCCATATGTGTCTCGAAACCACTAACGGTCTTTCCCTGAGGTGCTGCCATTACACCTTGGAACCGTCAGCATCAATCTTGCGACATCTGCATAGCGTGGGTAGACTTACCAGCATTGTTGATCAAGATGTTCAGTCTATCACTTCGACTCTTGAACTCGGCAGCAGCTGACCGTACACTGTCGAGATCACCCAGATCCATGTTCAAGAACTCGACCTTCTGTCCAGCTGGTGCATCTTTTGTGATAGCCTTGATAGCAGCTTGGCCCTTCTCAACATTGCGGAATGTCAAGTAAAGTTTTGCTCCGGTCTGGTACAGCGCTCTTGCAGTCTGGACTCCTAGGCCAGCAGAGCATCCGGTGATAAGAACAACAGCATCGTTGAGTTTTCCTGTGGCGTTCAGGTCCTGTACAATCTCGAAAGCAGTGGGTCTCTCATCGCCAATGCCTCGCAGGTTTGCGTGTCTTGCAAGGTATGGTCGAAACAGTTCTGTGGATGGTGACATTTTGGATAAGATGATTCGAGAGACAGAATAGTCTAAGTTTCTAGCTGTTCATTATATATATGAGCACTCAGGCAGGAGATGATTAGAGAAGTTGTTTCACATATAGTGTTCTGTTACAAACTGACTCGCAGCACTGTGTCAGGCTGGTTGGAGTTGATATCTGAACCTGTGACTGTCGAATCCCTCGTAAGTCCCTCAATGGAGATGACTTCCATTTGTGTCCATGCCAACACTGAGATCTTTGGGTTCTGTAAGAGATGGATGTTAAGTTCGTGGAAGCAAAACAAAACACAAAACATACAGCAGCAGGGATTCCCACGTGGTCACCCACCGTAGTACTAATCTGCCGTTCAACTGCTTATGTATGGCAGAGCGGACGGGATGCCCAGTTTTCAGCTGACTGTGGCCGTATGTACTAATAGCAAAGATTCCACAGCTTATAATACTTCTGTCGAGTGGAATAGCAACGTATCGGTCGCATGGTAGTTGGCATCAATACGCAACTCACTCCTACTCTTGGAGCGGCGACAGAGGCGGACAATGGTGCAGCTGTTCTCGAATCGGCGAAACGCTCCGGCAGGCATGATCAAATCGTGGCATGTGATGAAGTTTGAACATTGCTCTGTTCCTTTGAGGTGTTGCGCATGTTCAAAGGCAGACTCAGAATGCGTGAACGTTGGACCCTGCCAGATCTGAACATCTCGATCGCGTTTTGGCTTTCAATCAATGTCATCATCGAATCCAGGAACCACCGGTTTCCCTGCCATCGAATTGTTAGAATATGGTGGATGACAAAACGCCCAATTTGCGCCATGTCTTTGTGGTCGCGTCCCTTGTTGCTGGTTATAAACAAGCTCTACAGCAGGCTTCGAAAGCAAACAAATCATCCCTGCCATCGCCACCTACTATTGCCCTGAACAACCATGTCAAAGGCTCCGCGTGTGATTTACTGGTTCCGTACTGATTTACGTCTACACGACTCTCCAGCGCTGGCAGCAGCACTTGATTTGAAACCGGAATGTCTATATCCCATCTGGACTTGGGATCCGCACTACGTGTACCGCGCCAGGGTTGGCGTCAATCGTTGGCAATTTCTCATCGACTGTCAGAATGATCTTTCGCAAGGCATCACCAGAATCAACAAAAACTCGAAACTCCTTGTCTTGCGTGAGGCTCCTCAAACTTTACTACCAAAGCTGTTCAAAGAATGGCGGATCACACACCTGGTGTTTGAGAAGGATACAGACGCATATGCACGAGAGCGCGATGACAAGATCTGCGAGATCGCAAATGAGATGGGTGTCAGGGTCATCACAAAGAGCGGACGAACACTCTACGACAGCGATCTGCTGGTCAAGACAAATCACGGAAAACCAACAATGACCATAGCGCAGGTCCAGGCCGCAGCGGCAAAACTGGGCAAGGTCGCAGAGCCTCTACCTCCTCCAACGCACCTGCCCGATTTTGGAGACTTGTCACTAGAAGGAGTTGAGCAGGAGAAACCACAACCTGAGCCTGACTTCAATCGAACACATCGAACTGGCGACGAGGGCTCCTACGAAGGTGGAATCGCAGGTCCCAAGGGTGACTTCTCTGTACCGACTCTGGAAGAACTTGGCTTACAAGAAGCGACTACACCGCATCGTGGAGGTGAATCTCTAGCCTTGCAAATCCTTGAGGGCGTCATCTCTAACGAGACGTTTACGGCAACCTTCAGCAAACCCTCTACCGCACCGACAGCCTTTGAGCCGCAATCAACTTGTCTCACTTCACCACATCTACATTTCGGTTCGTTGTCATGTAGACTGTTCTGGCACAAGGTACAAGAAGTGCTTGATAAGTACAAGGGCAAGGCTTCTGAGCCACCTACCTCCTTGCACGGACAATTGCTTTTCAGAGACATGTACTTTGGTGCGCAAGCAGCGATAGGATATCCGTTCGCTCAGACTGCGATGAACGACCACTGCCGATTTGTACCTTGGCATTTACCTTCCAAGGTTGACGAAAAGACAGGGTTGATCACCGGAGAATACGAGGTAGACGATCCACAAAAGGAAGAATGGTTCAACCGCTGGCGAGATGGTAAAACCGGGTTTCCATGGATCGATGCCTTGATGCGACAGCTAGCTCTCGAGGGCTGGATACACCACCTCGGTCGTCATGCTGTAGCCTGCTTCTTGACGCGTGGTGGCTGTTACATCCACTGGGAGCGTGGCGCAGAAGTATTCGAAGAACTCCTCATCGACCACGAGACGGCTTGCAATGTGGGAAACTGGCAATGGCTATCATGTGTTGCGTTCTACTCGCAGTACTACCGATGTTATTCGCCGATCGCGTTCCCCCAGAAATGGGACAAGGAAGGTGCTTTTGTCAGGAGGTACGTTCCCGAGCTTAAAGACATGCCTACGAAATACATCTATGAGCCATGGAAGGCACCAATTCAGGATCAAAAGAAGGCGGGTGTCTTGATCAAAGGCGATGGCGAGCAAGAGAAAGAAGGCGATCTAAGCCTATACCCCAAGCCCATCTTCGACTTCCCAAAGCAGAGAGAAATCTGCATCAACGGCCTCAAGGGTGCGTACAGTGTTGGACTGCACGGAGACTCGCCAAAAGTATTGGACGGTACCTGGAAGGAAATGTTTGATGACGATGCAGAGGGACCTACTGAAGGACATAAAGGAGGACCAGCTGGATCTTTGGATGAAGAGCACGCTCACAATACAGAAGACCTCAACCCACACAAGTCAACACCGTCTAAGAAAAGAGGCGCTCAAACCACACTTGAGAATACGTTTAAGAAGGCGAGAACATAAAGAAATAGGATATTAGCCGAATGAAAGTAAAGTAATGAAATTAAAAGCACCAGCCAATGAACATACAGGCAGCGACGGGGTATGTAGATGCCAGCTGCCTGAGTCCTTGGCAGAAATAATAAGAGCAGAAGTGCTGCGACGCGATATCTGCAGCCTGAATCACCGACTCCGCCTCCAACGCCTGCTTCAAGCCCGTCTGTCTGAAGAGCGAGCGAGTCTAACGCCATCAACCTGATCCGTTCCGTTTACTCGTAATCTGCCATGTAAAAAACTAACGTATACCATACACGCACAACTGAGGAAGAGTGGAGACAGGTCTCCTTACTCCTCGATCTTCAAAACAGGGTAAGCAACATCAACGTCACCCTCGGGTGCGGCCTGCTGCTCATGCTGTTCGTGCTGCTGCTCGTGCTCTGCGTGGTGAACCTGCTCGTAATGAGGCTCAAGAGTCTTTTCATCGGCAGGCTGGTGGTGATCCATGTGCATGTCGTGGTCAACGTGGTGCTGAGGTTCGGGGTACTCGCCCTCGCCTTCAAACTCTTGGTTGTTAATTCTTTCGCTGACCCATCTACGAAGCGCCTCGATGACTCTGACGTTCTCAACCCAGGTAGCCTGCTTCTCATCGGAATCGCTGCCTGCGCCAGTGCTAGGACTTTGGACAGCAGTTGAAGTCTGAGAAGCGGCGCGGAGGGCAGGGTCGAGAGACGAAGAGTCCTCAGGCTGCTTGGTGCTTGCGCGAGGAGTCTTGGCACCGTCGGACTCGGTCTCCATGGCATCGGAGTCCATGTCCTGAGAGCGAGGAGCAGGAGCCTCACGTTGGAGACGACCACCACTGTAGCGGCGACCTTCGAAGCCCTCAAAGCCAGAGGCAAGACCAGAGGCAGGAGCGGAAGTGGTTGCAGGGTATCCGGCGCCCATGTCAGAAATGGCTGTGACAGATGGGAGACTGGGGTACATGGAGCTACCGTGGGCACTGCTCATGCTAGAGCGAGAGTGGGTAGACATGGGCGACTGGCCGGCTGAGGTGTACGATGACACGGAAGCAGGGGTGAGAGCAGGAGTCTCCATAGCACTGCTAGAAGCCATGTTGGAGAGCGAGCCGAGTCCAGGGGTGGAGACAGAGCCAGAGTGCTGCATGCTGGGGGGGCTATCGCTGTTACGGTACTGACTGCCGAAGCCAGGGTAGTTGGTGTACTGGGCATGAGATCCGGGTTGCTGGACACCGGCAGCGGCGGCACTGTTGCTGCTTTCGTAGACAGTAGCTTGGAGCTGCTCGAGGAATTTGTCAATCTCAACCAGATCCTGCTTTGTACGAGCGTTGGAGGGCAGTGGCAGCGAGTATGACTGAGTAAGGGGACCCTGAGACATGCTACCACCGCTGTTTCCAGTCATGCCCAAGTTGCCCGAGTTGTTGAAGCTGTCAAGCAATGAGCTGGCTGCACTGTATGACGAGTTGTTGTTGCTGGCGTAGTTGTTTCCAGTCGAGTAGCCGTAGCCGGTGCTGATAGGAAGCGGCAGGTTGGCCGACTGAAGGCGCTGGCCAACATCGTAGTAGTTGCCGGGGTCAATGGCGCGGCGCTTGATATCACCAAGGAAGTCGTTCAGAGCTTCGATGGCGCGTCTACGGGTGTCCATGCTCTGGATATCAGCAAGGCTGTTGCTGGCAGGGTAGTTGACCTGGCCATAGCCTGCATACTGAGGCTGCTGCTGGGGTTGCTGGAAGAAGCTGTTGCTGTTCAAGCCGTGGTTGGGGTGAGGGTAACCATTGTTGGTTCCCAAGTCATGGGGGTAGTAGCCGTTGTTAGCTAGAAGCCATGTTAGTATGTCTCGTGGAAGAAAAGTCGTAGAGAGCTTACCTTGTGCAGGCTGACCGTGTTGGTAGTTGCCGCCAGAAGGTCTGTTCTGACCCATGTTCGGGTCGGGAGAGCGAAGGAGTACCGAGTCATCGGCGTGAGTCTTGACGTGCTTCTTGAGATCCTGAGGTCTCTTGAAGGCTTTGCCACAGAAGTCGCACTTATGAGGCTTGAGGGGTACGTGGACTCTGATATGCGAGGTGATGTGATCACGCTTGACGGTGGTAACGCGGCATGAACCCCAGTGGCAAGTCAGGTTGAGATTGTTTGTGCTCTTGCGACCGACGTGACGTTCGCATACGTGCTCCTGGTCAGACTGTTAGAACATGAGCATGCTTGTAAGGCGCAAGACGACTTACGTAGAGAGCCTCGGCGGTTTGATGGCGTTCACCACAGTTCAGCCACTGGCAAGTGAGTGAATCAACAGTGCTGCTCTGTCCAAGAGAAGGTGTCCCGATAGCATGTTGAACAGGCTGAGGCGAGTCATGCTGCTGCATGGGCGACTGGAGCGCATGTTGGATAGTGGGAGACTGCTGAAGGGATTGCTGTGCCAGACTCTGTTGCTGAAGAGGCTGGTGCTGGAGGTGGGCTTGCAACTGCTGATGTTGCTGGGTGGGCGAGGCCTGTTGGAGCTGCTGAGCAGCGGCGGCGGCGGCAGCAGCAGCGGCAGGGTCAGGATGATTTGCTTGAGGAGCCATAGCGGCGCCAGGTGCAGCGTCCGACATTCTTGGTATTTTGCCTTGGCGGGTGGTGAGCGACGCTGGAAGAAGAACGCGTCAAGATGCGCGACACAACACAGACAGAAGCCTGTATAAATGTGTGAAAGTGAATCTGAGTCTCGACGTGGGGTAGAGAGGCAGGCGTCCAAGACGTGAAGTGCTCCAAGTCTTGGGTATGGGCGGTGGAAAAAATCAAGTCAAGACGTGAACAGGCAGGAGGAAAAGCCAAGCAAGCAGGACAGCAGGCAGGCGCGGTCTTAAGCTGGGCTGCTGGGCGACTTCCCCCAAGCCCGCTCGACTTAGCGCCGAGAGCCTGCGAACGCGCCAAGGGCATTCGGTCAATTCTCTACCCGATTTGTGCACGGCAATACAACGCCGGTAACCCCGCCCACGAGCTCAACACCATCACTCCGAGGAGCGTAAAGTTTCTCTCTACGACCAGACAAGCGCTCAAGACGACTTTCGAGACGTGGCTGCCAGCTGCACGACTTACTCTCTGGACATCCCGCGTCTCGTTGGCTCCAGGCGGTATCCGTGACTGGCTCACTGCTTCGTCATGTTAGCACGAAGGGAGGGTCGGAGTAATGCGCCAAGGCTTGGCCAGAGGCTGAGTTTGAATCCTGCTTGGTACCATTGGTCGGGCGTGGTCGGTCCCCATGTCGCAGCGGATTCGACTACATCCAGTTTTGGGCACATTTGACGAGCGACTTTTCAGACCGACATAGAATGTCAGACCCCTATCGCCGCGAATCCAGCTGTGTCACAAGTTGGTGTTGAAAAATGTCCTTGAGCATCGGCTCCATGCCAGGTGCATAGCAGCATACTTCTCTCATCTCGTAACGCCAACGGCACTTGGTAAGGAGGCGGCATTTGTCTCGAACCGTTTAATCACGCTGCCAAAAAGTCGCCATCCTTGGTACTCTTGGAAGAATTGGCCTCATGGAATTCCGCTGGACCTTGGCTTTGATTTGCAACTCCGATCTCTTGGAAGGTCCGAATCCATGGCGACAAGTCCTCCTGGGGCTGCCGTGTGGAGAGAGGGGTTGGCCAAGTAGCCAAGTCCATCCGGAGAGGCGAGGGGAGGCGTTCGTTGAGTAGCGAAGAAGCCATGCAATGATGAGGAGTCCATCGGTTCCCTGGCATTTCTCACTGTACTGTGCTACGCGTCTTATCGCATGCTTCGGCTTGGCCGTATCATCATCGTATCTGCTCAATATGTCAGCCTTGGGCGTGGAATGACGCTCATACATACCTACCCGTCAGGGGCTGTGTCTCAGAACAACACACCGAGGCGTAGTTGTGTTGCCAAATCACATGAGGTTTGGCAAATATGCTGGAGACTGCGCACGAACTGAGCAGTCAATTTTCGCTGACGCGAGCAGAAAGGTGCGAGTTGAGAGCCAAGACTCCTTGATGCCAAGGGATACATCAACCATGACTTCGGAGACTGTGGACCACACTGCGAATGCCCTGTGAGATCTCACTGTTGAAGGAGCACTCGTTGCCTCCGGTTTCACCCTCCTGACACCATGCTGTCGAAGCTCGAAGCCGAAATAGCACGACTAGAGCGAGCAACTCGTCTAACGAGAGGCATTCATCAATACACATATCTATGAGACCAGTGACGAGAACATACCAGACCGGACGGTCATCTTGCAGCGTCTATACATGCCATGGGTCATACATCGCCTCGTGCTGGAGTTCGATTCAGTTGTTCCCTCCTATCCACAGATCCGCCTCCTTTCCCTACCTCTATCTTCTTCGCTTACATGTATGCTCTTTGCCCTCGTCTACCATCATACACAGACAGAGAAGGCAATGTTACAGCGAGAAGCATCACCGCTGCCTTTCCTCAGCAGAGGAATGGTGTAGCTCCTGATCTTGCTGTCACCCTTCTGTTCGTCTCTATAGTTTACACCTTCTCTATGCACACCTCTCAATTCTGTTTCATCCAAGAACCGACGAGCCATAGTAAGGGCAATCTCCAGAGTGGTATGATACGGGACCCGAGTAATGATCCATCTGTCGGTATACTTACGACACGAGGCCAGTGGTGCAAGATCAAGTGCTGCGGCATCTTTGATCCATGAGCGCCAGTACATGACTGATATGCTACTTGCCTTGTCATGGATGATGCATCTTATCTCTTCTTTGCATGCTTGATTCAGTAACGGATAGCCGAAGCTTCAACAGCGTGCAGGGTTAAAATCGAGGTAAGAAAAGGCACAATTGTTCGTGCGTACAAGGTAGACCGAATGCGAGGAGATGACAGCGGTTCCTAGTAGATGGTGGTCTGACTCTGTGACTGTCACTGGGCTCTGGTATCTAGAGCTGTGACAAAGTCCTGGTTCTACCGGGACTGTGACTCACAAAGGTCAACGCCCGTGATACCTTGGTATATCAACAAATTCACAGCTCAAACAATTGGGAAACAGGAACAATAAATTTTGGTGATCAAAAAGGTATTTGGTATTCATGAAACGAGACTACATGTTTCCATCGCAATCCCAGTAATAAAAATCCCTAGCACCGCCCATTTCTGGATAGATGCTTCCATTCTGAAAAAGTTTCTCGTAAAATCGTGATCCATTGATCATGTCGTTTCTTTGAACTGATAAAAACTCAATAGCCGGAACAAAAGCTCCCAGAGCGCAAAATTGAGATCCTCGAGCAAAACACGAGTTGCTCTAGACCATCAATGATGAACCATGGAGGGTATTGTGCTTTGTGTCTGACATCGAGGTGAAGGTGGTGGTGGTGTGGTAGGGTTGTGAAGGGGAGTATCAAGAGCAAAAGATACGCTTAGATGGACTCCTTGTTGGCCTTGGCCTGAGCCTCGTGCGAGTGCTGGTCGAGCTTGTCGGAGGCAGCGCCCATGGCACCGGAGACACGGTTGGAGATAGAGTCGTCGGCGGTGTTGCCCTTGGCCTTCTGCTTGTTGGCCTCCTTGGAAGCCTCGGCGGTGTTGCCCTGAATGGTCTCGGAGACGTAGTTGGCAGCGTTGGCAATGGTGTTGGAGATCTGGCCAACGATACCCTCGTTAGGCTGGTCGACGTTGGGGGCAGGCATTTTGATAGAGGTGGTTTGGGGTTGGTAAAAAGTGGAAGATGTGGTTTGTGATGATGGAGGAAAGAAGCAACGAAACAAAGGGCGGCAGCTCTTCTTATACTTGTATTGTTGTACAGGTCCCCCTCTTCGCACGTGCAACCGCAGCGGGCATTCCACAATGATCGAATGTGTACCCACTGCGGCCTCATTCGCTCGCCAACTGACATCAAAGGCGTTTTCTCCTTGCTAACGACATTGGGCCGTGGTCTGACGCTATAGCAACTCAATAACCAATCCAGAGTCTGGAATGGACGTGTCGGCCCCGCCAATTGTTGCTTGCGAAACCAAGCTCCCCTCTGCTGATTTGATCACGCACACCCCTCAGCTGCATCATAGGCTTCAATCTCCCAAACGGCCCATTGCCAGCAGCGACAGAGCATTGCTCTAAACAACTCAATGCTCTCAGGCTAGTTGATCTCATACTAGATGTTCACATGCTCCTGTCAACAATCCTTCTGAAAAAGCAGCTGTCGGTCGGTCTGCTCATGCTCGCGACTTGCAAAACAACAGCGGGGCTGCGAAAGCAGGGTCAATCGAGCTCAATCCAGGCCTGTGGGAGCGGGGGAAGCTTGATCGGCCGCCCTGAACATCTTTGCCGTTTGCGGTAGCTGCTAGCCACTGACATCATCACGCTGCCCTTTGCTTTCTTCTCTGTTCGATGCCAGATATCATCTCGATCTCCAAAGCTTGCGGGAAACTCGATTTGGCATGTGATAAGACAGACGGTGAAGCCGAGGGTGAAGCACACGGAAGCTTGCGGATGCAGAGATGCCGTATACGATATTGGCGCATATCGCAGCCAACGCAAGCAAAGCATAAAGACAATAGAGACACGTATCAGTATGCCTTTTGAGATAAAGCTACACAGCGGGTGCGTCCTGCAGGGGAAGGGTGCCAGGAAAAGCTTCGTGGCGATCTAGCTGCGAATCCCCCTCAGAGGGGCTGTGTCTGCCATGGAAACCAGGTCGGGCCAGGGAAATTACATCAGAGTAAACATAGACGGGTCCACTTCCGGTCGCATGCTACGAGCATACGTATGTGTGTGTGTGGATACCGGACAGATCGCAGAATCGCAGGATGTCAGGCAAGCCGTACGCACTCTCTCCGGAACGCGAAAGATGCCGGGTCCGAGGTGTGTAGTAGACTTTGCAAACAGTGAAGACATGCAGCAATGGGAAGCGTCTCGCAACCAATGATTTCGATACTCGGAACAGATATGGGACAAGAAGGTATTGGGTCGTAGACGGGAAAAAGAGCAGGAACACAAAACACCATCCAGGGGAATCAGAAAAGGACGAGAACCAACAGCCTAGAAAGGCTCACCACCAGGCAGACGTGCCTTCTCAGGACGAGACAGCACACCGTCGACACCCCTCTCGATCTGCTGCTTCAGCTCTTCCTGCTTTCGTGCCTCGTCCTCATGCTTCTCCCTCAACTTGTTCGCTGCCTCGTCGTCACCGCCAAAGAAGTTGCCCATTCCTCCTCTGCCGTAGCGAATACCCGTCGTCTCCTTGGCCTTCTCCTGGTCTGACTTGGGAGCAGGCGTGCCATCGCCTAGAACATGGCTTGTGTCTGCCCCCTCAAACTTGCCGGTAGCCTTGAGCTCGCGAGGCGAGTAGTAGTTTCCAGCTCCGCCCCTTCCTGTGTGTGCATATTCTTGATTGTGAAGAGCTGGGTGTGCGGTGCCAGCGTAGTCTTCGGCATCTTGTTGGTTGCGCTCGAGGTCCGCAGAAATCTTCTCGTTTGTCGCATTGGTTGCCTTTGTCGCATTGAGGGCCTCGATGTTTCCCGCTCCGCCACGTCCAAAGGCAGGCATCCTGAGTGGCTTTCCTAATTGTAAGAGTAGGTGGGCTGGTAGGTACGGTCGCAGTCAGGCAGATTGAGCGTGATGAAGAGGAGCTTGGCCGCGTATGCGCTTGTTCAAAGTCGAATCGTTTTAGTTAGATGCGATGTAGTCTACAGATAGCGAAGATTCTTGACGCAATTGAGCATGCAATTAGGGAAGTCCAAGAAGAATTGGCAGACCAGGATCATTGCTCGCTATCAGGCAGTTCTTGGGACCATGACAGTTGCCATGACGTAACTATCGAAAATGGGAACGGTTCGCGAAGGGACAACCCTGACTCTGCACATAAAACATCTATCCTGATCAATCGCTGTCGTATATAGCCTCATATCTGTACATGATGGTTGACATGACCTAGGTGAATCCCAGAATGTTCAATCCGCACGTTCCGGATGTTTAGCAGTGCCTCGGTGGTAAATCTTGCGAAGATCATTATTTACGGAACGACTCCAGTCCAGCAAGCATGCTTGTGATACAGCATCAGAATGCGCAACGTGATCACAATCGAAATACACACTACAGAGTAGGCACGATAGACAAGAATGAGGAAAGAGGCATGAATCAATGATATAATATACAACTACTGCTGTTGATCAGCTGTTAATCGGTATCCCAATGTCTCGATACGCTTTTCGAGGTATGAACGCTATGCTCAAAAGACCGCAATGCGACTATCGACAGAATCCTCGGGCTTAACGTTAGCAATAATTACGAGAGTTGAGTGTCAGGCACTCCTGTTTCTTCTACGATGCTTCATTCGCGTACGACGTGACTAGAATTGACGCGAGCCATGCTCCGTAGGACTGAGGACATTCTCTGCTCTGGAACCCGAGCCCAAGCCGGAGAAAGTAGGGTTGTTGAATTGAGGAGCAGATGCGCCTGAGGTCGAAGCTGCAGCACTGCCTTGGCTATCACGAGCTTCTTGAATACCGGATGCTGATGTCGTCTTATCATAGAAAGCGGGCGCAGTCGATGGCATGGCGCGGCTAGGAATCTTCTTCTCGGGCATCTTCAGGTCGAGCGGTGCAGTAATGGACCCACGTCTGAGTTCTTCGAGCTTCTCTTCAGGGTTCTATGGGTAGTGTCAGCGTAAGTTGGGGATCAGAAACATGTATTCAGAGGCGAGTACGTACCCAGTCCGCCTGCTCAGGAACGCCTTCTGCAGATGGCAGTTGACCATTGTTGTTTCGTTCACCCGCCCAGAAGTTTGTTCTGCGGACGGGTGCTGGGGTGACTGGAAGGCTAGGACGGTCTACCTCGGAGGGGAAGTCGGTAAGGATCAGACTCTCTCTACGCTCAAACTGCGTAGTTGTCGCAGGAGGTTGCACTTGAACCGAGGGCTTACGACCTCTCGCGTTGGCCTCGTTGAGCTTGCGGATATAACTGTCGATACCCTTGACATCATCCCACGCGTTCTTACCGCCCGAGGCCCAGTTCTGCCAGGGGTCGTCAGTGGTGACCTTGATGATGGGAGTCGCCGGACTGTTGACGCTAGATGTGTAATCGGCAGATGGAATGACGACTCCGGGCTGGGGAGTCGCGTCAGGAGAGTCGAGATCTTCGATGAATCTTCTGGTAGGAGCAGCTGTCTGTCTTTCTTCCCAAGGGAACACGGGCTTAGGCTTTGCAGAGGGCGGGTTTGGCTTTGTCTTGGGCACTTCGTACCACATATCCTTGGGCGGTTCAGGGTAGGTCTTGGGAGGACGGAAGAAGTCCTTGTCTTGGTTAAAGGCGTAAGTCGTAGTAGGGAAGTTGGCAGCCTCAGGTCTCGCACCGGAAGGTGGCTCTGCGCTGTTGACAAGTCAGAAACAAGTCTTAGATATATCAGCGTTTCCACTTACCGAGTAGCATCCCACTCTGCTTGTGGTGCTGAGAATCTTCTTTGTTCTACAGTGGGCGTGGGTTCAGCACGACCTTGGGCCAGCTCTTCTCCAAACTCCCTGTCCTCAGCAAGACCGGCTTCAGCAGTAAGGTGAGGCGCTTCCGGTTGGGTGATGGGAGATGATGCAGGCGAATAGCGACCTGATGTGTACTCGGCAACCTGCCACGCATTAGCCAATAAGTCATGTTGGGATCACAAATAGCGTTTCTCACAGGCTCCTTGAAGTGTCTGTCATAGACTGCCCACCAACGATAGAGAAGCTCGTTGTATGCTCCTGGAGTGGCATTCTGCGATCTGGCGGCGGTCCACGGCTTGTTCTTTCCAATGAAGTGGACGACGGCAATTCTGGACTTGTGGTAGCGGTAGGCGGGCTCGTACTGGTAGTTTGCACTTGGAGTGCAGTTGTAGACGAAGCTCAGACGGTGCCAGCTCTTGTGCTCAAAGTACTGGTTCAGAAGACCTTGGTCGGCACCATCGAAGCTGTCGCCCGTAGCAGCCAGTGTCTTCAGAGCCCAGTAGTCTCCCATGTGCGGCGAGACGACCATAACACCAGTGTTGAAAGCATCGGGCCAGCCAACATCGGGCGCACCGGCAAAGGATGCCTCGAGGTCAAAGAGCTCATCGGGAGCGCGGAGGGCGACAGTGTCTGCGTCAAGGTAGACGATCTTGCGGAATTGGGTCTGGCGCCAGAGGTTGATTTTGGTGAAGGCATCGCGCAGGTCGCCGCGGCCCATAAGGTGGAGGTTAGCAAGGTTGGGTGACGTGATGCGCTCCACGGGGATAATATAGTCATACAACGACTATGCGGCGTTAGTTCCAAGTCTTTGAGTTGGCTTTGCTGCGCTGTACCTTCAACTCCGCAATCGTAGCAGATCGTAGGGTGTCAGGAGTAATAAGTACGGCCAGCTTCTTCTTAGTGCCGTTGTCTCGCAGGGAATGCGCCAGCACGGCGGCGCCTGGTTATTTGATTAGATCGTTGCGTAGAAGCTAGTGATCTTAAGCAACATACCGGCAACATACGAGTCGCTCGTAATCAGCTAGTAGACAATGCTCTGTCAGCATGTTTCGGAACCTCGAGATCGTGAGATCGTGCATCGCGGAATCGTAGAATCGTGGAATCGTGAGATCGTGGCAGGACAAGGAGAGATGGTGAGACTAACCGTGCAGTAGACGTCTTCGGTACTGCCAACCATCTTGAAGGACGGCGGGGTGGTAGTCTGAGAGTATGGAAGTAATGTCGAGATTGATTGAGGATGTGAGGATTTGTTGGGTTGAACTTGGATGAAGAGGGATGTAGCAGACAGCAACGCTTGAACTAAACAACGCTTTATACGGCTCAATCGTCACAGAAATACAGTCAATCGTCACTTGCAAGCAATGCGGAGTGAAGTCGGAGAACCATGTGCAGTATAGAATACAATATTGGGAGCTTGACGAAGGAATATAACCTTGAGGGACCAAGGAAAAAGCGGAATGCCCGATGATGCTTTGGCGTTTTTGATGTCGTTCCCCCAGCCCTCCACATCCCCACTCTCCGTACGACATCAAGCAGCGATCTACACGCGACCATGCACTGCGGAACAATCGACCCATTCAGCTCGCTGCTCTATCCTGTCAGTCCTGTCACGAGCTAGCTTCTCCGCAATCATCACCTGTATGCCAGCCGAACTGCCATCTGGTCCAGTACCACATGAGGCGACAGCATCCTCTTTCTCCGCACAATCACGGCCGAGTCCGACACATGTTGGGATGATATGTCCGGTAAACTATGCTAAGACCCTCAGATAAGTGATTAGACCCCTTTTCATCTTGTAGGGACGCCGTTGGACTAGTTGCGCTCCCCGATGCAGGACGCTCATCCAAGTACGACGATTATCACAATATGAGAAAAGGTGGACAGAATATTTGGGAATACTTCATGAAACGCTTGATGAAGTTGGGAAGAAATTTGTTTTTTGGACGACGAGCTTTTGACTCCCTGGCGATAACGCCGACTCCTGTACGTGTCGCCGTAACAAGTGCATTGAAAAACACCCTAACCGTGGCTATCATTTGCGACAATCATGCATCACCGCGCACTTATTGCTGCTCCTGCTGCTGCTCGGCAGCGGGCTGCTCGCCCTGCTGCTCACCCTGCTCAGCAGCACGCTGGGCCTCGGCGGCCTGCTGGGCAGCGGCGGCCTTGGCACCATAGTCCTGGGACATGGGCTGGACGACGCTCTGCTCCTCCTTGGGCTCGATGATGGTGACCGAGTCGGGAAGAGCCTTCTGGGGACCAGCCTTGCCCTCGGGGTCGGCACCGCGCATGATCTTGACCTTGATACCGAGAACACCCTGGCGGAGGAGGACGTGGCGAGTGGCGTGGTCAATGAAGTCCTTGGCGGGCTGACCGGAGTGGATCATGAAACCGTCCTGTGATGGGTTAGTATGCGTGACTTCGGCGATATCGACACACGAGGACGTACAGTGAACTTCATGGACTTGGCACGGGCGGCGCGCAGCTTGCCAGAGACGACAACCTCGCAACCCTTGGCACCAGACTCCATGATGAAACGGAGGACACCGTAGCATGCTCTGCGGACGGCGAGACCGTTGAGGAGCTTGTATCTGAGGGACTCGCACTGGGCGACAGCGGAGAGACCGCGGTTCTGGACCTTGGCGGCGTAGAGCGAGACGGAGTTCTCGGGGAACTTGAAGCGCTTCTGGATCAGCGAGGTGAGCTCGCGGATGCGGCGGCCCTGCTCGCCGAGGACATCCTGGGTGTGGGTGGCGCGGATGATGATGTCGGTGACGGTAGGGGTGACGCGGACCTCGACACCGGAGTAACCCTCCTCAGCAAGCTCGCGTTGGAAGAACTCGTTGAGCTCGGCGTAGAAGACACCGTCTGCGCGTGTGTTTTAGTGATAGTCCTATATGTTCGTGTGTGCGTGTCTGTGTGCGTGTTCTGAGGAATCAAGTGGATGCGACAAGAGAGCGATCGGGAGCGAGATATAGAGTCGGCGACAGGTGGAAAAAGCGCAAATAGCGAATCTAGTAGAGGGGAGGCATACCGGCGACGAACTTTCTTCTCTTGGAGCTGCAGAGGGCAATTAGCAAATGGTCGCGGTCGCGGGCGCTCGTTGGGACAGCGACAAGACTCACATAGCACCTGCTTGCTGAACGGCGGCCATGTTTGCGATCTGTGTGAATTGATCGAAAAGGGAGAGGGTGTCTGGTCGCTGGGCGAGTTGTCGGTCGTTAGGCGTCACAAAGTCGTTCTCGCACAGTCGAGCGTCGAAATGCACGGCGAATTCTGCGCCGACGGTGCGCGCTCGCTAGTGCTTCGGCAGCCGATCAGATAAGATAGCACGGCGATCCCCGGCGTTGCAGCTTTGCGGGCATGGCGGCAGTGACGCGCTCTCGAGGGTCCGAGTCTCTTGCTTTTGGTGGATTGAGGGGCAGCCATGACCTCCGTGTTGCAAACATTCACGAATAGCACAAATCCCCCAACACCAAGCTCCGAGCGCATTCTCGCCGGATGCTGATCTTGCATAGTGCGCCATGGACAAGATCAAGATATCAAAGGTGCGTCTCGCCAGCCACTGCCCACGCCCTCGTCCATGACGACAAGTCCTCAACTGACGGCGCTTCCATCAGGTCGAGAACGTGACGCTTCACAAGAGGACCACCCAGGCCACAGGCACCCTCCACATCTCCACCCACCATCTGATCTTCGAGCATCGTCCAGATGTGCCCGCCAATACGAAAGCGCCGCTTAAGGGCCACGGCCGCGTCAAAGAGATGTGGATCACATACCCCATGATTGCCTCTTGTGTCTACCGACCCATGCCCGCCGTCCTCCGACAGGACCACGCCATCCGCCTTCGCTGCAGAGACTTTACCTTTGTCGCTTTCCACTTCTCCGACGAGACCCAGGCCCGCAGCGTCTACGACACCATCAAAGCCCTGACTTGTGGCCTCGGCTCTTTCAACAAGCTGTATGCTTTTTCCTACGACCCTCCCCCGATCGAGAAGAACATCAACGGCTGGCAAATCTACGATGCTCGCAAGGAGTTCAAGCGCATGGGCATCTCTCCCAAAGGGGCTGATCTAGGCTGGCGCTTGACCGACATCAATCGTGACTACGAAGTGCGCTGCCAACTCTCTCTTCTTTGCTGCTTCTCCCACTGACTCGATACAGTACTCGCCCACATATCCCTCCCTCTTGGTTGTGCCGTCTTCCGTGTCCGACAATGTCCTCAAACACGGTAGAGAATACCGTTCGCGCTTCCGCATCCCCGCTCTGACCTACTTGCACCCGGTCAACAACTGCTCCATCACCCGAAGCTCACAGCCAAAGTGTGGCATGTTTCAAAAAGAAAGGAACCCTCAGGACGAACGGCTGGTCGCTGCCATCTTCTCCACCTCAAAACCGCTGGCTGGCGCTGGCATGCCTATACTTGACGACGACGGTCAGCAATTCGATCCAGACATGCAAGAGACTGCAACTTCCCTCGGTGACAAATCACGACCCAGTACCGACAGTGTTGCCAATCAGTCTAGCGACAAGGTCTATGGAGCCCAGCAAAGAAATTTCATCGTCGATGCCCGTCCACAGGTCAATGCCGTGGCCAATCAAGCTACAGGAATGGGCTCGGAAAATATGGAGTTTTACAAAGACGCAACAAAGGAATACCTTGGCATCGCCAACATCCATGTCATGAGAGATTCTCTCAACAAGATAGCCGAGGCCTTCGCCCATACTGATTACACAGACTATGGCCCGAACCAAGATCTTCTCGCCAAGAGCAAGTGGCTCGACTACATTTCTTTGGTCTTGCGCGGCTCAAGTCTGGTAGCCCGCCAGGTCGGTATAAACCATTCTCACGTTCTCATCCACTGTTCGGATGGTTGGGATCGCACTAGTCAGATCAGTGCTTTGAGTCAGCTTTGCTTGGACCCATATTACCGTACTCTGGAAGGCTTCATTGTCTTGGTAGAGAAGGATTGGGTGTCTTTCGGTCACATGTTCCGTCACCGGTCGGGATTTTTGAGCAGTGAAAAATGGTTCGAGATTGAAAATGAGCGCGTTGGGGGTAATCGCAAGGCGGACAACCAAAACGCGAACAGTGGCAACGGAAACGCTTTTGGCAATGCGCTTTCTACTGCCAGGGGCTTCTTTACCAAGAAGAACGACAGTAGGGAATCTTTCGACGTAAATGACGCTGGCGATGGTTCACCAGTCTCCGCTCCAACATCGAAGAGTGCTAAGCACACCACGACCAACGTCAAAGAGACGAGCCCAATCTTCCACCAATTCTTGGACGCCACCTACCAGATGCTCCGACAACATCCTACCAGATTCGAATTCAACGAGCGGTTTCTGCGCCGCTTGTTCTACCAGCTCTACTCGTGTCAATACGGTACTTTCCTCTGGGATAGCGAGCGCGACAGAGTCCAGGAACAAGCCTACGACAGAACGAGAAGCGTGTGGGATTACTTCCTTTCTCGTCGAGATATGTTTGTGAACGATCAGTACGACCCAACCATTGATGACAAGGTCTCTGGAAAGGAGCGCATAATACTTCCTGATACAAACCAAGTCAAGTGGTGGCATGAGTTGTTTGGTCGTACAGATATCGAGATGAACGGAACTTCTCAGGCACCTACTGTCAGCTTGCCGAAGGAACCCAAGGAACCCATCGTGACTGGCATCGAAAACTCAGAGATTTCTATAGGGCCTGCTGCCAACGGCGGCAGTATCAGTGGCCAGACTGCAAGCGCTTTTACTAACGGTGCCGCACGTCTGACTGCTGGGCTGGGCAATTTGAGCTTTGCAAAGAACAGCACGAGTGCACCTAGCAGCCGACCTCAATCCCCGCCAACAAGCGAATCGTTACCACGTGCCATGGACGAGCAGATCAAATCAGCAGCAACCAACGAGTCAGGCACAACCACCAATGGCCGACTCTCATTTTCAGCATTCGCACGAGACAATGCCTTTAGGGATAACTAGATAAGGATTTCTACATAGCGCGGCGTTTTAGGGTCACGAATTGATGATAAGGTGGTCAGGACAGCATGACGACTTGACGGCAACTGTGAACCAGATGGATTTGTATGCCTGAAGGGCGCCTTCGTGTAGGAGATCCAGACTTAGTTCAGGATACAAAAAACAGCGGAAGCGACATGAGACCAAATCCTTCCAACGAACATAAGGACACGCGCATTTCTCAAACCACTTGACCAGAATCATGTGCAATTCGACGTTGGTATAGGGCAGCCAAGAAATGTACGCGTACGTCATACCGTTCTAGTCTGGTCGCGTCTAATCTACTTTGAAGACAAGGGCCACTTCATTCCCTGTTCATTGTTGCATCGTGCATGCTGGAAGGTGAAGATCCATGCTTGACAAAGTGAAAGTGTGAGCACTTCGGACCCCGTGAACATCCCGGCTGCTTGTCTATTTAAGTAACCCATCGCTACGTTCTCCTCCAGCCCCAACCATTTCAAGTCAACAGAAGCCGAAAATATCCATCTACATACCATGGGATTTCTGAAGAAGTTCAAGGCCGACATGAAATCGGCCTTTAGCGATGACCAGCCTTCATATCCTGCTCAGCAGCAACAACAGTCACAGATGCCTATGGCTGATCAGCCAGCCAGTCTACATGAACCTTCACCCTTGGACGTTCTCCGCTACCGTTATCAACATGGCACCAACTTCGGTTCCATATTCGTTCTAGAGAAGTGGCTCACTGGAAGCATGTACCAAGACGGCTCCGACTCAGCCGAGCTTGCGGCTGTCACTGGCAACATCAAAGCGATGGGCCTCGATGCGGCCAGGCAGAAGTTCGAGAATCATTGGGAGACCTACATCAGTGATTCAGATATGGATTGGCTCGCCAGTCAAGCTCATTGTACGTTACTCGTGTGGGTAGTTTGTGTTCGCGAGCTGATCAAATAGGTACATCTGTTCGTCTACCCATCGGATACTTCACCCTGGGCCCGGCATATTGCGCCAACACACCCTTCGAGTCATCCGCTGCAATCTATCAGAACGCTTGGCCTGCCGTCAAGCGTCTTGTTGGCCGCCTGACTGCCAGAGGTATTGGCACTCTTCTTGACTTGCACGCTTTGCCCGGTGGTGCAAACGGAGGTGACCATTCAGGAACCAACAGCGGCAAAGCCGAACTATGGAAGTCGAAGAAGAACCTGGACCTCGCTACCCGCTGTCTGCTGTTCATTGCTCATGAGGCGAGATCAATGGACGGCGTCATTGGCCTGCAGCTCATCAACGAGGCTGACTGGGATGCACCTGGAATGTATGGCTGGTACGATTCGGTCATTGGTCAGATCGGTGGCATTGACAATACTGTTCCCCTTTACATCTCGGACGCGTGGAACTTGGGTACAGCAGTTGGCTACACCAACGGCAAGAACAGTCTGCACGCTGGTCGCGCAAATCCAGTTGTCATCGATACTCATCTGTACTGGGCTTTCTCAGACGACGACAAGAAGAAGAACCCCAGTCAGATTGCCAACGAGGCCAGGTCGAAGTTAAGTGAGCTAGATGGTCATGATGGCAACGTTGTGGACAACGGTGCCGCACAGGTAGTCGTCGGCGAATACAGCTGCGTCATGACCGAAGATTCATGGGCCAAGGCCGCTGCTCAGGAGAAGGAGAATCTGGTGCGCGAGTTTGGACAAGCGCAGACTCAAAGATACCAGCAGAGGACTGGCGGAAGCTACTTCTGGACATACCGCATGGTTCGTTTCATCCTTCCCTTTGCCATGTTGATACTGACTAGAAGACCAGGACTGGATGGATGGTGGCGAGTGGGGCTTCAAGCAACAGACCAACAACGGAGCCATCACAGCCCCTAAGAATCTTACTCTTTCCAACGACGACGTCCAGGCTCGTACCGGGCACGCACAGTCTCAGGCAGATGCCAAGTTCGGACAGAGCTTCGGCAGCCATTGCAACTACTGGGATTCCAACCATCCTGGCGACTATGAGCACTGGCGATATGAGAGTGGATGGAAGCTCGGATTCAACGATGCAATGACATTCTTCGGCGCAAGAGCCAATGGTCGTCTTCCTGGCACTGGAGGCGACAAGATTGGTATGCTGGATATCTGGACCAAGAAGAGAATCATTGAGAGCGGACAAGCAGGCAAACTGTTGTGGGAGTTTGAGCAAGGATTCAGACAGGGCATTCGTGACTTCTATGAGCTTGCTGGAATCTAAGTGTTTATATTCTGTATTCGTGGCACATACGCCCGACGGGCTTGGGTTTCCTTGTTGATGCACCTTATCGTTCAGTATATACTCCAATAATTAGATTAAATGATGAGACGTGGCATTTGTTTCCATGGTATAACGAAAGAAACGCGATGGATGTTGATCAAGGGATAGTCAAGACATGGACAAGAGTGGTGACTGGAATACTAGGTATGTACATACATATATCAAGGCAGATGCGTGACCCTGCCTCAATGACATCACTCCCAGCCTTCTCGCACAACCTGATTGGAACCTCCCACGAGTCTTCTTGAACCCTGAACATCACATTCTACCGATTTCACCAATCATCTCATCGTCGATTGAAGAAGTGCAGAGACTGAACCATAATGTTCTTCACACAACTTTTGCATACCGGCCAGGTCGCGTTGTGTGCATACGGCGCATACGTGTCCTATGTCGCTATCAGCAATCTCCAGCAATACGAAGAGACGAGCAAGAAGGCAGCCAAGTACTCGACCGAGGCCGAGCGTCAGCTTCACAAGACAAGGACCACACAGAGCAGTGGTGCTGTCTGCGTCAGTGGTTCCCCATATGCAACATGACTGGAAAGCCGTGTACTGACTGTCTTTCTCAGATCTTGGCCTCACTCATTGCGGCTACTACACTGTCGCTGGCACCCAACTCTCTGCCATCTATGGTCAGGTTCGGTATCTCGCCTGCCGCTTTAGTCTTGACACTGTTTGTGCGTGCTCACGTGTCCAACTTCTGGAAGGCCAAGGCCAAGGTTCCCTTCGTCGACGGATATGTAAGGCGTGCCTCTTTGGGATGTTTGTTACAACATATGCTGACAAGTCTACAGAACGAGGCCATCTCAAAGACTGGAGAGCTTCTGCAAGTCCTCGAGTGGCTCGAGTACACTTGGGCTGGAACCGCGCTCGCTAGTGGACTTGTCGGATATTGAAGCAGAGACCGTGCTTGATGCTGCTGGAGCGGGTATATGGTTACGATACAATCTTCCTGACACTAGTCGGCTCAGCTCCTGTTGCGCATCCACAGTATGATCCCTCAGCGTGTTCCTTTCTATCCACTAAACAACTCAACAAGACGTTACGATAATGTCCGGACCGAATGACCGCCGAACATACATCCAATCTTAACAAGCCATACTCTGTCACTGGTTGCAAGGATATGATCAAAAATTACACGGGCCGGTTGATAATGGTTGACACTCGAGAAGTCTGTCATGGAGCGTTGTGTGACCATTACATAGTGCACACCCTTGAGCACGCGAAGCTTGCGATATACAAAGTTGCGGCAAGAAGCTGAATCTGCCTTGTTATTCCACGAGTCTTCGGATTAGGTATGCTTCTTCTGTTATCGGAGAGGCCTTTACAACAGAGTGACCCATGGTTTACGCCGGCCAATAGTGTATATCAATCGGAGTACGAAGGTCGAGTGGACCCTGAGGGAAGTCACAGAACCCTCGATCGGCAGTAGACATTAGCCAGTCGGTATGCTCGGGATTTGATGCGTGTAACCTTGATGTAAAAAGCCATGTGGCGCTCAACGCACACCCTTGGGTCCGGACTTGTGAAGCCTTGTCAATTCTTCGCGGTTCTTATGGGCGCCTCTGATGCCTTGATGGGGATCAAGCACTCTCGTATGCTTTGCCGAGTACCGTGATGTTGCCTTTAATCTACCTTTTCGATACTGGATGTGCTCGTACGTGGGTCCAATGGGATTGACTCTCGGACATACATGCAGCATACACGATTCAGCATACCGACCTCATTGGCAACGGCTCGTAAATCGCAGACATGAAGGATTCGAGATTATTATTCCCTGAGAGTCATTGATTAGAGTGGAGTGTGTTGGGGATCACCAAGGTGTTTTTACGAAGACAAACAGGGTGTCATCATAGGTTCAAAGCACAAAGCGCGGGAACTCCTTGGAAGAATAAGGCCGGACGAATTGACAAGACATGCTAGAGACGGCAAGTGGACTGAATTAGCGAACGCAGCAATCCACAGATGAATGCTTATCGCACGCGAGCCGCCGCATACAGCCAATGAGCGCGTCAGCAGTCACGAAGCTAGGCCGGCTAAAGTTCGTTAGGGCAGATCGGTAAAAACTCGTTGCACATGCCCATCAAGGTGTTTTCCCACTACAGACGCGGCGACCTTCGTCCCTCGCTCCCTCGTCCCTAAGTAATGCTTAAATCTCCTTGTCATCACTCGTCCGACCGCTCATCATCTTTAGCTTGTCTTCCTGCAGCGATAGGTTTCTGCTTTCTCGAACGCAGACTTGCAGTCAATTGTCGCAGAGATACGCAATTAACAGCAGTCCTCAACGCTTTTCGCTTCAGTTCATCAGAGCCAGCATGTCCACCTGCCAACCAGACAACGCATATGACGGCCGCATAGGCGTCCGCATTTCGGCCATTTTCGTCATTGGTATCTGTTCACTGTTCGGTAAGTCGCAATCGAAACGTCCATGTGAATATAGCATGTACTAACATCGATCAGCAACTTGGTTCCCTGTCTTCGCTGCTAGGCACAGAGGTGTCGGCGTTCCTGAATGGGCCTTCTTCATTGCCAAGTATTTCGGCTCTGGAGTCATTATAGCGACTGCTTTTATTCATGTAAGCTCAACCCGATCCCTGGCCCTTGACCAGAGTACTGACGAATGTAGTTACTTGCACCTGCCAATGATGCTCTCACCGATGACTGCCTGTCCGGACCTATCACTGACTACGATTGGGTCGAAGGCATTGTTCTGATGACCATTTTCGTCTTGTTCTTTGTCGAGCTCATGACCATGCGCTACGCCAAGTTCGGGCACAGCCATGGGCATGATAATCTCGAGCCCCAGGACGACTTGGGTATCATGCCCGAGCCCTTTGTTGATGCCAAAAAGCCTGAAACCCACGATGAGACCGATCCTGCCTACGAGATGCACGCTGGACGTGCTAGCACGAGCACTGCTCACTGTCCTACTACTCCTCACGCTCGCGGTGATGATCACCTGGGCCACGCTCGTTCTCACGTTGACAATGAGCTCTCTGCCGGATGGACCGAGGCTCAAAAGCAAGCTGCTGGCATCGTCACTGAATCTTACGCTGCCCAGATGACTGCCCTCTTCATCCTCGAGTTCGGAGTCATCTTCCACTCCATATTCATCGGGTTGACTCTGGCTGTCGCTGGCGAGGAATTCAACACTCTCTACGTTGTCCTTGTTTTCCACCAGTCCTTTGAAGGTCTCGGTCTGGGCACTCGTCTCGCTGCTGTCCCATGGCCTGATTCGAAGCGCTGGTCTCCCTACCTCCTTGGTCTCGGCTATGCCATCAGTACTCCCATTGCTATCGCCATCGGACTTGGTGTTCGCCAGTCCTTTGCTCCTGGCAGCGAGACTGCTTTGATCGCCAACGGTGTTTTCGACAGCATCAGTGCAGGCATCTTGATCTACACTGGTCTCGTCGAGCTCATGGCTCACGAGTTCATGTTCTCCACCTACATGCAACGTGCCAGCATCAAGACTGTCCTGACCGCCTTCTTCGTTATGTGCCTTGGTGCTGGTCTGATGGCTCTGCTCGGAAAGTGGGCTTAAATGTGTCGGACAAGCTCCTAGACGACTACTCAAGAATTTGTTATACTCATGATTGTACAAAAACTTTAACGATTAGACTAAAAGCGTGGTTTCATGACCAATGTAGCAGGGGTTGCATCCTGCCGTTCGTATTCAACACTACACTATCTACCATGCAATGATTTCCAAGTATCCAGTCCTACTGTACATTATTGGCTAACGCCTGTTCCCAAGTGACACTTCATCGTGATATATCCAGTTGAGATCACAAGCACACACATGTGATGCAAAACATGATGAAGAACACACCCGAAGCAAGCTTTACTCGACTGCCAGCGGACGCCAACAAGAATGGACACATCACTCAAGCATACAAAACCACCTTCGATCAATATCTCAATGACTACAGAGCGCAAAAAACAGAATCTCAAACAACTCTCACATCCGCCACAGAATCTGCCCCAAATTGACATACATCATCCAGCCATCTTACTTACACAATGTGCCGATACTACTGGCTCTACTATTTCCCTTGCAGACATCACTGCAAGAAACGCATCCCATGCGACATGTCGAGACGGCTCGGATGGCGCTGCGAAGGATGGAGCGATCCTGATCGCGAGTATCGACACAGGACTCCTAGTGGAGACACATACACACCGGCTGAGATGAAGCTGTGTAAGGACTGTCGTTAGGCTGTGGACAACAAGGATGGACATGATGAGAAACTCGAGATTGTTTCAGCGGGCTGAATTGTATGGACAGTCTGGAGTTTTGATGGGAGATGATGTGGATGTTGCTCATATGATGAATTGCCTGAATGTTGGCATTTGTTTGGCTTCAGAGAGGCCAGATGATCTTCGTGAAAGTCGAGGGCTAAGCATTGCCTCGTTCTTTTGGAAGACCTGCCACAGCGTATCAAACGAGAAATCAATCAGCCAATCATCTATACCCTGCCTGGTTGAATGCGTACGATAAAGCACATGCAGACCAATGATTACATACAGCTCAAGCGAAATGCAACGCACTACAGCAAGAAAAACCACCATTATTAACAAGTCCATGCAAACTTATGAGGGCGGCTATACGTGTATAAACTGAAGTTGCATGAGAATAAAAACACGACATTCACCACAAGGGCATATGCCAGAACGGAATGGAGAAAGCACCAGTTCCCTCTTCGAGTACTCACTACTGTCGACAACATGTGTTTCTGGAGAGAGGCCTACTACATATTCTGCCGCCATTGTAGCAGAGATCCGGTTGAGTGCGTTGACGCCAAACGGACAGATGAGCGATGCGAGAACTGGGATGCCGACGACAAGGAAATGGAGAGCCAGACCGCAAACAGCACTCCCTACATCAAGGCTGAGCCGGCAATCTGCATGGACTGTGAATACAGGGGGAGTTTACCCGAACACGCGGCCAGCAAGAGGTCGGGACGGGGACCAGGAGGAAAGGCTTCATGAAGCAAGTCCAAGGTATGATGGTTGAGAGCACGGCAATAGATGAGCAATGCGAATGAGCATTTTGCGACAAAGGAAAGGCACGCATGATAAGCACAGGTCAGATGTATGTCGCTATTCATGATGAATGTATCGGTGATTATCTTCTAAGTTGAGGTAGAAAGTGAGAAGCTCTCTTGATATGCGAGGACCACTGCGAGCATTGGCTACCGCGTTCGAAAAGGAACTCCCAGAGTCTGTGATACAGTCTCTGCAGAATCTCATCCACGAGGTTGGCTTCGAGGAGATAAAGCCTATGTAAGTCCCACACCAATTCACAGGGTCGAAGTTACAGAACTTTAGCACATGAGGAACCAAGTGTTTCAAGAGTTGACTAACGTTGGCTATAGTTACAACAACATCATTCGCAAGAACGAGGGCGTGTCTGCTTGATTCAAGGCACTATCTCTGCTTGTTGGTGCGGACCCCTTGACAGTCGATACTCAGACAGAGATCCTTCCCGAAGTCAAGACATGGATAAAAGAGAGCCTCGAAATCGTCTTCTCAGACTTTGGTTCCCTCACCGATGATGACGCCTGCGAATCAGCCAGATTTGCAGTAGCGGAACCCAGTGGCTTGCTGCTAAAAGACCGGTATGTTATGAAGAGAACATAAAGATAACAGTAAAGCTAACAAGGGTAGAATTGCAACAAGAATTCACGAAATCTTGGACGAATCGACGCCAACTAAAACATCGTTTGTACTGACCTTCCTTTGTAGACTCGTTGAGCGATCCGAGTCATCAGGCTTTGACAATACTGTTGTCTCGGAGATGTATGAGTCCATCTTGGGAGCCGCAATTCCCGGATTCGCTCTCAGAAAATCAGAAAAGCGACCATCGTACTATGGTTATGGTCGTGAGAAACCAGTTCGTGAACCTGCACTCGATGGTCACAAGCTGGCAGCAGTTGTCCAACATTGCTTGAAGTTGAATCTGGATCAATGCATCAACCAATTGATCGGCAAAATTCTTCAGGAGATCACTATCATGGATACGAAAGACTTCCCAGCAACGATCTTACCTCTACTGGAAAGTCTCTTGCTGGACATCAAGAAGGGCGAGATCAAGCCGAAAGGTTCAGGTACCTGTTCCAGTCCAGTCTGATCCAGTGGATTGTTCGACATGTCGGCGAGGAGCCCAAACAAAATGACTGGTCTCGAGCACCGACCAAATGCGAGGGAGACAACACCTGTGCATATTACTCTCTGCCTCCTGAGAAGAGGAAGGATGTAGAGCCCTGCAAAGATTGCAAGGAGCTGAACAAATCCCTACAGGACCCCAAGGAGAAGATCTGCCGTTTCCTTGCCGCGGAGCCCCGTCGAAAACACCTTGACCGAAAGCTCATGAGCCCATCACGAATGTTTCACAACCGTCGAGAAGCCTCGTACACCGTACACTCTTGTGGTGACCAAACACAAGAAAGGCATGGATGAGAGGCACCGGAAGTAGGCAGCACGAGTTACTGAAGTCAAGTTGCACCTGAAGGATCTCGAAGGTCGTCATCGCTTCCTTGGTACTGTTCTGGCTGAAAAGTATAGCGATATCATGGTTGTGCGTGCGAACAAATTGACGGCAGAAGTCGGGCACGCAGCGCCAGGAGGACCCCAGGTTCAGACCCCTGATTTTGTGGATCACTCAACCGAGACGTATGAAGGTCCTCGCGGACAGAAGCGAAAGGCAGTTGTAGTTGATCTGACTGATGATTGAAACGACATCACGGCCTACACATTTGAGCTGTAAGAAGGAAGCGTTGCGAACAGGATTGGATTTGTTTGGAATTGGTCAGATGAGTTGTTGCTGGAACTATCTAATCCGACAATTGTCATTAAATTTCATGATAAATAGTCATAAGCCACTTTTGCACAAGTTTCGCAATCTATGCAGAGCCGTGCTGCAAGATGTAACCTCCGTCAACCTATAACAAGATAGTAATTAGTATGGTTTCACGAATTCGGATGGTGATGACACCGCAAAATAACATACCGCAATTGCTTGTCCGTTCAGGTATTGGTTAGTAGCCACGGTGATCATCATGTTGGCCATGTCACGATCATTTCCAGGTCGCTGGGCAAAGACCTTGCCCTCGAAGTCCTCCTTGGGGAGCTCCGATTTCTGGTTCTCACCGCTCTCACCCTGTGTCATTTCCGAGGGGAACACACCAGGGGCAATCGAGTTGACTCTGACCTTCAGACCATTGTTGCCAATCTCGAAACCGAGCATCTTGGTAAGATGAATGACAGCAGCCTTAGAGGCATTGTAGGCAAAGTGATGTTGTGCGGTCTTTACGATTCCGCTGATACTGCACACCTATTACAAAGATTATTAGCATGTGTTGGCAACAGAGCTATCAGTTGGCAACATAGTTGCATGTCGATAATCTCACGAAGTGAAATTGACTTACGTTGATAACACAACCGGAGTAACCATGCTGGAGCTCAGTAGACTTCTGGAGAAGAGGGAGGAAACCCATGGTCATGAAAAAGCATTGTGGGACGTTAGTTCTGTAGGTATCGACCCAGTCTTCAATGTTCGAGTCGTTGTTGTCGAATAGGTTGGACTTCATCTCCTCAGCAGTCTTTGCTTCAGTCTGGAGGGTGTTGGACGAGATACCAGCACTGATTTGTATGTTAGCAAGGGTAGTCACCAGCACACGGGCACCATCCAGCTTACTTGTTGACGAGAATGCAGACGCATTTCTCCTTTGATTCGATCTCCTTGACCATGGCGGCAATCGAATCTTTCTTGGAAATGTCACCTTGAAGGGGAATGATTTGTCCGGGAATGTCCTTGCCGTAGATCTCGGCGACCTTGTCGAGCTTTTCCTTTGTACGGCCAATGATGTAGACCTTGGCGCCGTTCACAGCGAATGCCTGGGTAGCCATGAGACCAATGCCCGAGCCACCGCCTACATAGAAAAGTCAGGAAGGAATTCTCGCAATATCGTAGAAAACACCAAGGGCTGACCAGAGACGACGACGACCTTGTCCTTGACATTGAAGAGCTCAGAGAGCTTGAAATCATTGTTGTTGTTGGGAGAAGACATGTTGGATGTAGTTGTGAAAGTACGTTGGCTGGAGGGTGTGTAGATTGCTTGAGGCTGGATGTGTCGAGAGATGGTCTGGAGTCGGGAAGCAGCCATGAGTGTTCGAGGAGTTATCCTACTTATACTCGAGGGAAGAGCTCTGGTTGCTCTCTGGAGTGTCGTCATGACGGATATAATGAGATCCAATGGCAGATGAGAATGCGCAAGCTAAAAGGTGATATATGTAAGAGGAACCTTATACTTGGTGCAATGCTCCGCTTAATGAGGGACTGTCAAGTGTGCTAAGTCCTCAACATGAAAGTGTTGTCGTCAGAAGTGCCCGCACTTTGTACATAGACCATCAATGTCATCAGCTGGGCGTCATCAGGATGCATGTCCGATCTCTCAAGAGATCACGATGCATATACTCCTCGGCACGACATACATATGGAAACCTACCGTGTAAGAAGTACACCAAGTCTTGGACTGTCGAGACTTTGAGGGAATCGGGGAACGCGCGAGCTCTTCGAAGAGCGTGAAATGTTTTGAAGCTTGGGCGCGTGTTGTTCTTGCGGGCAGCAACTCCGACAAATCGGCCTCGAAGAACAAAAACTCAGTCGCTCCTTCTGCGGGCCACAGCTTGGAATCCAAGATGAACACTTGATGCGACGGATCTCGACAAGACCAAGCGTTCGATGGCTCTCGTGTTAAGCAAACAAAAAGTGAAGCTGCTACGCTGGGTCGAACAACGGACCTTAGGATGACTGCAGAGACTGCAATCCCACGCTCTACCACTGAGCTACAGCAGCTAGTCACGTGAGAGATCAAGATCGTTCAGTGTGGAATAACAATCACCACATGAGCTGCTAGCACGGCGAAAGCCGGGTCGCGGAGAAGAGAGAGGGAGCGTGCACGCTTGGAAGACGTCGGTCAGACAGTTGGAGCGAAGTGATATCGAAGTCGAAGCTGAAGCTGCCTTTGCAACCAACTCCCCTCCTCGTCCCTCTTTTCCTTTCTGTCCAGCGGTCATAATGCTTCGTACTCCGTTGGTTCGGAGTCGGGCTCGCCTGTGCGCCCCACGCGCCTCGCCCGTCGTCTCGCAATTGCTGCTCAACCGCTCCGTGCGTCCTGCCCGTCTGACGTTGATGTAGCCGACCAATTGACTGTCGCGTGCTAACAATCGCATCCAGAGAGCCTTTGCCGACATTCGTAGACCCGATCAGACCGTCCTCCCTGGCACGCACAGCGAGAAAGCTGTCGGCGACGTGCCTGAGCCGCCGAAGCTCGGCGCCGAAACTCCCGCTTCACCAATCGAGGGCGCGCCCATTGGCATTCCTAGAGCTCCTCCTACCCCCGAGGCTGTCGGTGCCACTATTCCTCCTCCTCCTCACACCTCTACGACCGGTCCCAAAGTTGTATCTGCTCCCGCACCCAAGCCCAGACGTCGTGGTCGCTTCCGACGCTTCTTGACCACCCTCTTCCTTTTGTCATCTCTTGGTTTCGCTGGTGGTGTCTACTACTCGCTCATCTCGGACAACTTCCACGACTTCTTCACTGAATACGTACCCTTTGGCGAGGACGCCGTCGCATACTTCGAGGAGCGCGAGTTCCGCAAGCGTTTCCCTAGCCGTAAACTCGAGGACCGCCATTACCCCCAGGTCCGCGGCGAGAACAAGGTCCAGATCGGAAAGAACAGTGGCTTGACAGCACAGATCAACGATGTCAGCTCCGACACTGACCGCCGCCATGTCAGCGCTCTTGAGCCATCTCGCCCTCTCCAGCAACCCCAGGAGGCCACCCCTGCCGAGCGCACCGCTGCTGTTGAGACGGCAGCCCACAAAGATGGTAAGACCCGCCTCGACATGGAATCAAAGTCGCACCACCTTCTGCCCAAGGACGATGTCAAGTCTGACCGCAAGCCCCAAACAACAGCCCCCAAGCCCTCGAACGCCGCTCCTAAGGTTGCCCAAGCTCCCACCACCGCTGCTACCCAGCTCGATCTGATGAGCATGCCCAACGCTGCCGAGCCCGTCGTCCAGGATGTCGTCAAAATGCTCAACAACATCATTACCGTTGTCAACGCCGACCCCTCTGCCGACAAGTACGCATCAACCATGGCTGCCGCTAAGGGCCAAGTCGAGAAGATTGTCGCAGATATTTCTACCCTCAAAGCTCAAGCCGAGAAGCAAACGGCCGACGAAATCTCAAACGCCCACACCTTGTTCGACCACGCAGCGAAGGAGCTCGTCGGACGTCTCCAGTCTGAAATGCAAGACCAGGAGGCCAAGTGGCGTGAGGAGTATGAGAGCGAACGCGAGAAGCTGTCGCAATCATACCAGACCAAGCTCGCGACCGAGCTTGACGTTGCGCGCAAGGTTGCCGAACAGCGCACCCGCAACTCCCTGGTTGAGCAAGAGATTGAGCTGCAGCGCCGATTCGCCAAGAGTGTGCGCGACCGTGTCGAGGAGGAGCGCAACGGCCGTCTCGCCCGTCTCGACGAGCTGTCGAGCTCGGTTGCTGACCTCGAGAAGCTTACCGGCGAGTGGAACAAGGTCGTCGACAGCAACTTGGCTACCCAACACCTGCACGTCGCTCTTGAGTCCGTCCGCCACGCCATCTCCAAGCACGACCACCCTACTCCTTTCATCAACGAGCTCGCCGCTCTCAAGGAGATCAGCAACAACAACGAGCTCGTCTCTGCTGCTGTTGCCAGCATTCCTCCTACCGCATACCAGCGTGGTGTCCCCAGCTCTGCTCACTTGATCGACCGCTTCCGTCGTGTCGCTTCCGAGGTCCGCAAGGCTGCTCTTCTTCCCGAGGATGCCGGTGTCGCTTCCCACGCCGCCTCTGCCGTCCTTTCTCGTTTCATGTTCAACAAGCAAGGTGCCGGTATGCCCGAGGGTGACGATGTCGAGGCTATCCTCAGCCGTACCCAAGTCTTCCTCGAGGAGGGTGACATCGATGGTGCTGCCAGAGAGATGAACTCCCTTGGGGGTTGGGCCGGTGTTTTGAGCAAAGACTGGGTCGCTGAGTGCAGAAGAGTCTTGGAGACCAAGCAGGCTATCGATGTGAGTTCTCACATGCTATCATTTTCTTTGCTTTCTTGTACTGATTTATCCTCCAGGTCATCGCTACCGAAGCCAGACTCCAGTCACTTCTGGTCGATTAGATTACTACAAAAGCTTCATGGTAAATTTGTACATTTTTCTAGACTAGTTCCCTTTCTCCGTCAAACCAAAGCTGTACGATATCCAACATTTTTATCTCTTAGGATATCATCTTTCCGTGAACATGTCGTGATGCATCCTGCTGTTGTGGTGGTGAGACGTGAGATGAGTGAGATGAGGTTGTAAACGGGTCCACTCGGAACTTTGACCGCGGTGTGAGCCAGGCGCGGGACCTCGCGGGTGCATCATCGTCATAATAGTGAGCGGTCTCGAGAAAACACCCGTCGTTAGGAACGACTTTAATTAATCTGTCTTTGTTTGATATTCGTACCGTCGTGTCTGGAAAATAGTGCTTGCTCAGTGACATCGAAATCGAGCAGACCTGTTGTTGTCGCATAGAACGTGGAGCTCCAGTAAAAGCTTTCCGAGAGATCGATGCAACTTGAGCCTCCCATCAACATGTCCGACGCACTTTCCGTCAACAGCTCGAGCAAGACTGGTCGAAGCCTCAAGGACAAGCTTCGATCTGCGTTTGGAAGAAAATCAGTCGACGACACAAACTCACCCCGAAGGAAAAGCAGCGCTGGCGAGAGTGTCAAATCAGGGCGCAAAAGCTTACAAAGTGCTTCCATCGACTCGAAGCAGGATTCGAACCAAAACCCTGCTTTCAAAACACAAGCAGAACGTATCCGCGAGGCGCGAGAGAATGGACCAAAGATCGATAAACAGACTGGAGAGCGTTTGGACCAAACCTTGATCCTTCACAGTCTGGCGCACGAATCTTTCGACACAGTTACCGAAATATTGAACAAGTACGAATTGGATCCGAATCGCTCGCCTGGCGAGGCGCATATTGCCAGCTTGTCTTCTCAGCTATGGAGTCGGGTCACAGAGCATCTGAGCTTGGTTGATCGTGTTTGCCTTGCTCTCTCGTCAAAAGTCATGTTGGATCGTGTGGGGCCTTCTTCTCTGGAAATCATCCGTCACCCTGACCATGCAGAAGACAGGATGCAGCTCCTGCACAGATTGGAAGATCAGTTACCTAATCATTTGTTCTGTTTCGTCTGCAACAAATACCATCTACGAACTATGAAGGGCGAGGAGAAACTCAAGCCAGCCAGTGTACTCAATCCTCTATTCGTTTGCCCGCATGCCACCAACAATCTGATGCCTCAGCCGAGAATACGAATTGCGACAGGTCGAACACTCCCCTACAATTTTGTCCAGCTCGCTTTGAAAGGCAGGAAATATGGTCTCGACTATGGCATCGAAGCAACGACAATGGCGCGCCTCTGGAGAGAACAGCACGAACCGAGATGGATCCACAGCACCCGCTACTTTGTCTTCAAGGGCCACCTCCTGATGCGCGTTCAGAGCACTTGCTTCACGAAGCCAGGATTGACTCCAGCAGGCGAGCGTATGCTTCTCTACAGCCGCGAAGACTATCAACCCTACTTTTCCGTCTGTGCGCATTGGAGAGATGGTCTGTTGATGAATATCTGCAAATGCGCTCTGAGTCATTTACCTGTACCGCCGGAAAAATCACTGCACGAGGGTTTGGCAAAGGTTGCCGGCAGAAGACCCTCGCAGGGTGCCATCATCACGTTGTGCTCTACTTGTCGCCCCATGCGCAGATGTCCAGAGTGTCCGACCGAGTATCTGGTGGAAGTCAAGTTGGCCGAAGACAGATCGGAAAAAGACCCGAGGCTGCTTTTCAAGCATGCCATTGTGGTCACGAGGTGGAGCGATCTGGGAGATGGGTCATCACCTACGAATCCCGAGTGGGCGGCTGTCACAGGCGCACTCGAAGACTATGACTCTTTGTCTACAATTGGCACAAGAGCTATCTCGGGCACGTTCGAGAGCCAGACGGCCGACACGGGTCCTGGACAAAGGATTCTGAATCTCAATCCCAAGGATGAACACAAGGGTGAGGATGGCCACGATTGGTACTAGATTGAAACCAACCCTTTTCTAATGGCAGGAAGCCAACACATACTATATTACTACATAATCTAATCTCAACAAAACGTTCTGCAAACTTGTCGTGACTACAGTAATCACTCCATGTTCCACAGCACTCTTGTTCGCACAGTGGACATGTAATTCACCGTCGATACAATTTTGACCCATCACACGCCCTTGAAGGAGACTCTCCTTTGTGTTGAGGTTTGCAACCTTCACACTACTGCGCAGTAACAGACGGTATTCCACTATGAAAATGCATAATTGTTTCTGAAAGTAGAGACTCGTACAAAGAGATTCGATGTGATATCGTCTTTCGTTGGAGACTGCTCATTTCTCGAAACCACTGTGCATCTGTACAGCTACATGCGTTTCAAGCCTTTGCACACGGAGAGGGAGCATCAGACTAGCGCAGCTGAACGAGAACTGATTCGCAATTTTTAGTCGATCTCGTGGTATTGGATTCTGTTTATTTGTCTATAGATGCCAAGAAGCCATTGAGCTATGATATTCGCAGGGGAGTCTGCGTTTCACGTTTCGATCCTCTGCTCAATAATCATCGCTGCCATCATCGCTACTGTCCTCGTTATCGCTGTCGCTGCTACTTTCCTCGTCATCTTCGTCGCCAAGCCCTTCGTGGTCACTGTCCATGGAGAAGTCCGAGTAGTCCTCCAGCACGATGGGAGGCGGGATGTGGGTGCGCGTTGACAACTCTTGGAGCCAATCTGCCATGTTTGTGCCTGGGCCAGCAAAATGTTTGGCCTCTTTTCGTAGCCCCAACGTGTCATCCACAGCAGCGCCGACAGGTCTGAACCAACAATCGGCGTTCCGGTCATGGGGTTCCTTACCATAATGCACCTGTGAAGGGTGTCCGATCAACACAGATGTGAGACATGTTCGCTGACGCATGGCAGCTGCGAAGTTTTGAAGAAGTGCTTGCCAGCAGTCTTCAGGCTCGCTGGCTGACGCAGCATAGATTTTGACTTTCCACAAGCTGCAAGACTCCAGATCGAACTTTGTGAGGACTTTCAAAAGAGTATTGGCTGGAACAGTAGCCATGCCGAGTTCGAGAGCAGTCAGTCGAGGCAACGAGACAGGAGCAGTCACCAGGGTGGTAGAAAGAGTCTGAGTAGGCACCGGGGAACCGAGCCAATTGAGGAATTCGGAACCAAAGGGTTGGTGTTGCTCGAAGTTTAGGCGCAAAGTTTCAAGCTTGGGTGTGCGCTGCAGCAGGCGCGCGAGAGGGAGGTTATTCGCCATATCTGACTTGGTGGCCTTCGTGAATCGGTGATGATGGTATGGTATCGTGTCATTTCCAATGGCCAACATCAATTCCTTTATATCACCGAGTACAGGAGTGATCTTGTCGCCCAGGTAGCCATCAAGCATGTTGAAAGATTGTTGTGTGAGCTTTGAATGCTTGCGCAGGAAGACATGGATGCTCTCGGGCAGAACTCTGGCATGGCCCAAAGCGTAGAATAGTAGAGGCAAGATGGGTTCAGGCGAGATGGATTCGAGTGGTCGCTGAGTGTGTCGATCGTTGGGGTGGTAGGTGGACATGGCTTCCCAGCCAAAAGACCAGCCCCAGCTTTTCCAAGTAGCGAATTCGCCGTCACGCCAACGACCCAGACCGTTGTAGTCTCGCAAGCCGACGGTACGCAGGTTTGGTAGTTTGGAAAAGGCTTCTGATAACATGAGCAGAGCTTGGCCTGAGGCCATAAGAACATGGTGGTTGACGTGACCAGCGGCGTACAGGGCTCTGCTGGTTGGAGAGACCATGTCTGGATCCGAAGGAAGGACATGTGTGCTGATGACAAGCTCGGAAAGGCGAGAGGCAAGAGTCGGGTGGTTTGAGATATCGATCAGGGCTTGAAGGCTGGGCTGTTCCAGCATGAATTGCTTTTTGGTGAAGAACTCGCGAGCAAAGCTGTCAAACAGAACAGACTCGATGGGTTTGGAAGTGAGTCTGAAATTGCCAAGTTCAGGAGTGGTTAGGAAGGCTGAAACACGCAAGAGCAGCTCGGGTGGCAAGTCGATAAGAGCCATGATGGAGGAGTTGTTGTGAGTGAGTGAGGGAGGGACCACCAGCAGATGGGATGGGTTGAATTGGAGTCAATGTTTGGGTGTACTGGGAAGTCAGTGCATATCAAGTGTTGACGGACTGAAAGTGGCAGTCATGGCAGGCTGAAAAGGCGTGGGCGCGCGTGGACCTGAGGCAACAGCGGGCAGCAGCGTCGCACTTTCCCGCCAAGCATGCGCTTCTGCCTGCTATCACCACGAAACTCGTCTCTCTCAAATAACCCAGCTGTCTGCTCTGCCAGTGACTGGTTTGACCTCTTACCATAGTATTGACAATCCCAATTCACACATCAAACTCACGCAACAAACGCTGTCGACTGTCATGGATTACAGCAAGCTCAAAGTCGCCGAGCTCAAGGAGCTACTCAAGGAACGCGGTATCTCGGCTACCGGCCTCTCCAAGAAACAACTCATCATCGACGCTCTTGAGGAAGACGATGCTGAGTCGGGCCAGCCAGCTGACCAACAAGAAGAAGAGGATGATGCTGAAGCCGAAGTTGAAATGGACGTCAAGTCGACGACTAAGAGTACGCGCTCGTCGACCAAAAGAAAGGCGTCCTCCCCCACACCAACCAAACAAGCGAAGAAGCCCAAGCCGGAGCCGCCTGCTGCCACTACCGTTGACACTCCCACCGACTCTGGCAAGCCTGCTCCACCCGTCACCGATGCCCAGTACGCCCCAGCAGGAGCCACTCTCGACATCCCCATCGACGACGGTGTTTCTGCTGCTTGGCATGTCTTTGTTGATCCCGACAGCGGTATAATTTACGATGCCTCGCTCAACCAGACCAATGCCTCCAACAACAACAACAAATTCTATCGTGTCCAGCTCCTAGAAAGCTCTGGTTCTTACAAAAGGTACCAGACATGGACTCGCTGGGGCCGTGTTGGCGAGCACGGTCAGTCGGCTATGCTCGGTGATGGCTCAATTGAAGATGCCTTTGTCAACTTCGAGAAAAAGTTCAAGGATAAGTCTGGCCTCAAATGGGACGACAGACGCGAGAAGCCCAAGTCAAAGAAGTACGTCTTTGTCGAACGTAGTTATCTTGCCGACGACGACGAGCCTCCTGCCCAATCCGGTGCCTCTCCTGACAACGACGACGATGGTCCTAAATACACGCCACCCAAATGCACCCTCGAGCCGCCGATTCAGTCCCTGATGGAGCTTGTCTTCAACCAGAAGCATTTTGCCACTACCATGCAGTCTCTCAACTACGACGTCAACAAGCTCCCACTCGGCAAGCTCAGCAAAGCTACCATCATCAAAGGCTTCGAGATTCTTAAGGAGTTGTCTGCCATGATGAGCGATACCTCAGTTGTCCACAGTCTAGCTGGCTACGAGGAGCTCAGCAACCAGTACTACAGCTACATTCCTCATTCTTTTGGAAGGAACCGACCACCCATCATCCAGACTCTCGACATGCTCAAGCCAGAGATAGAATTGCTGGACAGTTTGAGCGACCTCAAGAATGCTGACGAAATTCTGAAGAAGGCCAAGGAGACAGCCAGCCAAATCCACCCTCTCGACTCGCGCTTCCAAGGCCTTGGAATGCAGGAGATGCTTTCCCTCGCACCTTCGAGCTCAGAGTTCTCCGAGATCGACCAGTACCTTCACAAGACCTGCGGTTCGACCCACTCTATCAAGTACGAAGTGCAGGACATCTTCCGCATCCAGCGTCAAGGCGAGTTCGAGAGATTTGACAAGAGCAAGTACGCCACGGTTGCCAGCGACCGCCGTCTCTTGTGGCACGGCAGCAGAACCACAAACTTCGGTGGCATTCTCAGTCAAGGTCTGCGCATTGCTCCGCCCGAAGCGCCTGTCAACGGTTACATGTTCGGCAAGGTATGTTGTCTATGATCATCCACAGTCGAGCACAGTCTCTAACCAATACAATAGGGTATTTATCTCGCCGACATGTCGAGCAAAAGTGCAAACTACTGTTCTCCATACGATTCAGACGGCTATGCACTTCTCCTCCTGTGCGAGGCCGAACTGGGCAAGCCAATGCAGACACTCACCGACGCCAGCTATGAAGCAGCCGAGACCGCCAAAGAGATGGGTGCCTTCTCTACATGGGGCCAAGGTCAAACCGCACCCAAGACCTGGAAGGATGCCGGATGTATTCATCCCTCTCTCGCCGGGGCAACCATGGTATGTGATCTGTTCTGAGCCCTCAAAATAATCATCTTCTGACTCAACTAGCCCGATACCACCAAGCTTCCTGGCGCAACCAACATCCCCGGTGCTTACCTTCAGTACAACGAGTACATCTGTTATGATGTCGCTCAGGTCCGCCTTCGCTACCTCTTGCGTGTCAAGATGTGAAGCTCGTGATTGAGCAACCGGTTTCAAGAAGCAAAAGGGCACGGGTATACAAACATGCTTTCACGAATTATTTGCTAAGCGCGGCGTTGGGAGTTCTCAAACGGGCGTCGAGACCACCATGCTCTCTCTTATCATATTGCTTTCAGTAAACAGCATTTCTACATGATTATGGACGAATATAGAATGTCGAGCTTCACACTGCGAAAACGGCTGCGAGAATGCCGCCTAGTACTTTTAGATCAGTCACTATTCATCTTTATCGACTTGTTGACTCGTACAGCTTTCAAACTCGATGTTTTGTGCGATTCGAGTTTTGCTCATGTCATGACCATGGCCTATTTTCGGTGGTAGTGACAGCCCAAGACTTGAAGCAGTGTGAAGGTCGAAACACCAGGTCCTCCAAAAATCGCAATCGCCAACTCTCTATACCTGACATTCAATCATCTCATACTGTTCGGCCAATCTAGAAAACACGTGCCATACATAATTCGAGGTACCAGCTTAGGAAGGTGAGAGCTCGTAACGAGATGTCGCGATATCAGGATGTCACTGCCAAGACAGGAAGCAGTGACATCTCAGGGTGTGGCGGGCCGCTTTCCCACGGGTTATATGTAAACCCCCATGGCCTTATCAATCCATCCAGATCGAGTATTGTTCCTCAAAAAGTAATGTCGCCTTGCAGACTGTTGTTGCTGAAAAATTTATCACCTCTCACATCTCGAATACTACCTCGCACGCCTCAGGCATCAGCACCGCGATATACTGCTTTCCGATTACGTCAATATTCCATCATGTCTGGCAACCGCGTCCATGGCGACTTGAATAACACGGAGGTTATGCGAGAAACCAATTTCTTGGTTCCGGACCCTGCTTACGATGGAAAAACACTGGCTATTTCCGAAGAAGAGGATGATGCGAGCATCAGATCAAAATATAGACCATTTATCACAAGCCCGGAAGTGACGAGCAGCGATTGGGTTGCCAAATCCGAACTCAGCACTGCGTTGAAAATGTCAGAGGCAGATATGGCAAAGACTGGAGGAAACAGACTGAAGATTCTAGTCTTGTATGGTAGTCTGCGCGAAAGGTTGGTTATCTGATCATCTTATGGTCTGGTGTTGATGTCGTTTGCTGACAAGATGCTGTATAGATCGTATTCGCGCTTGTTGGCTTTTGAGTGCTCTCGCATTCTATGGCGTCTAGGTGCTGATGTGCGGGTCTTTGATCCTTCAGGCTTGCCTGTCAAGGACGATGTGCAGCATCAGCATCCCAAAGTGCAAGAGCTGCGTGAGCTGAGTAAATGGAGTGATGGCCATGTTTGGGTATCTCCTGAACAGCACGGTAACCTTGTAAGTACAATTGACCAACTGCACAAAGGGCGCCTTGCTCTGACACGTTACAAAAGACTGCAGTGTTCAAAAATCAAATCGACTGGGTTCCACTAAGCACAGGCTCTGTAAGGCCGACTCAAGGACGCACTCTGGCAATCGCTCAAGTCTCTGGTGGCTCGCAATCCTTCAACACTGTCAACTCCCTCCGCATTCTCGGTCGCTGGATGCGCATGTTTGCTATCCCAAACCAATCTTCAGTCCCCATGGCATACACCCAATTCACAGACGCACTCGACGAAACAGACCACGACGCTTTCGTCAAAGCAGAAGGTGGAAGCAGACTCAAGCCTTCGGGCAACCGAGATAGAGTAGTGGATGTCATGGAAGAGTTGTTCAAGTACACTCTGGTCATGAGAGAGCACTTTGACCTGTTTGGCGATCGACACAGCGAGCGCAAAGAAAAAGAGGCGAAACGCCTGAGAGAAGTCGAAGTCACGAAAAAGGAGGAAAAGGCTGGACAAGAAGGCAATGCGACGAGTATGGTCACCGCGAAGCTCGTCAACGGCATCGATGTCAACGGTATCTAAGATGCAAGAAAAAAAGAATCGCCTATGTATGCCCGTCTCCAAAGGGTATCATCATAAAGTCCACCATAAAGAAAGAACCCAATCCCAAAATTTTACAAGAAACGAATAGAGAAGTTATACATGAAAACAAATGTTCAGACACCGAGGTTGACAAGTCTGATGCCGCGCTGTCTGGCAAAAGAGACCCAATCGACTTCAGTAGCATTGCCGCCGAATTGGACTCTTTCTCTCTGCTCTGCGCATACAGCTTCAAGTAGCTCACGAGACTTGGTAACGTTGCAGCTGATGCCAGTGCCTTCCATGGCGCGAATGATGCCAATAGCCCGGTTTTTATCGTGGTCGTTGGCGCAGTTCACCCCGGCGAGAAAGACGGCGAAAATGATGTGGTGTTGTTCGGTGCTCTTTTCCGCGACCACCAAAGCCGCCATGGCCAGAATGTGACGACAATGATTGGCGACTTCTTTACGTTGAGCAGACGTCATGTGCATACGTTGCCCACGATACATGCTTGTGTGCAGATACACCATGGACGTAGAATACTGAAGAGATGCCTACAGTCATCGTTAGTCTTTAGGTTCTGCAGAGGCTAGTATTCTGCCCAGGCAGAGAAAAAAAAAGGAAAAAGAAGAAAAAAGACAGCACATACAAAGTCGAATACTGTCCGAGCAAGGGCTGGCAGTCTCGTACCGGCCTCTGGTGAGTCTCGAGGTAAGAATGAAGGATACTTGATATTCCAAGAAGAATACGATTCGTTCCTGAATGTCGTTATAGCGTCTTGATGCTCTGCAAGACTACCACGGCCCATCTCAACATCTTCTCGCATCTGCAATGCCAGCTGACTCAATTCGGCCAATCGTGTGCACATGTATTTGCTGAGGTCAGAGACAGCGGTTAGACCCGCGATTTCAAGGTTGGGCTGTTGTGTTGAGTGTTCTGGTTTGCGCCAGGTTGGTAAATTTGATCCGTGCATCAAGTATGCTCGTACGAAACTCCCAGATTCTGCATTTCCAGCTAGACAGGATTGTGCGTCCAGGAAAAGGGTGTACCACAGGATATATGCTTGTAACTCTGTAATCTCAGAGTTGTCTCGGGAGTATGCCAGACGAGCCAGCTGTTGGAAATGCTGCGACCACATGTTTCCATCCGGTGAACAGTTCTGAGTCGCACAGCAGATGTCGTAAAGAAGGAGAATGAAATGAAGATATATGAAAGATCCTTGTGACATGTCTGCACTCGATATACATGCAGAAATGGCTTGTTGGTAATGCTGAAAGGCTCCCGCTAAAAGATGTCGTTGTCCTTTGAGCGCCAGGCTCAGCAATGTGATGGCGCAAATGGCGTGATATAACTGGGTGTACGTCAGTAAGAGTCGACTCATCAACCATGAACGGTACTGACTGGTGGAAATCGACGTGATTCAAGAACGATAACATCGTCTTGACCGTGCTCGCTCAATTTAAATCTGGATCCAAGAGGCATCATCCTTTTGGATATAAACTCTTTATAGTGTGCCATGACTTCGTCGATATCTGCAGCTCCGTGATTCGTGAGTTCCCGGGGGATGGAAGTTGGGGTAGGAAATTGGGTTGTGTAACTCGTGGCAGAAGACTTGCGCTCTGGAATAGCCATGAAGTAGGGAGTGTCCTCGAATTCGGAGAGCACAACAAGGTTAGGATCCTCCGAGAAACCGTAGGGTACAGATCCGTTTCCACTTCGATATCGTCTGATCAAGCCACCATATTCCGGTAGTCGACCGAAGCTATCCGGTACCAAGATCACATTGTAGGTCCCAGCAGGCTGCGTTAGGGCTTTTCTTTCTCTCTCGTCTTCGTTACTGAGTTCGGTGAATGGTGGCAGTGTTGGTTGATGCCGGGTATATAGTTGTCGAGCCATCATGCGTGTTTGGTTCTTGTCATCCCATGATGGACTCCCGACAACCGACACATGCTTGTGCCTCCGTCGGGTGCGCATGCTCAGGTCGTCAAATTTGTAGCGTGCACCCCATTCGCACTCTTTTCCTAATCGGCTGCATGATGCGCAGACCGGTCGAACTTCGTCACATTTGACCTTTCTTTGTCGACATGTCCAGCATCCATTTCGTGATCTCGGTTTCGATTGCCGTGTTCCTGGACGACGTCTTTCGCCGATTGCCGAGTCGACGTCTGAATTTGACCCTGACGATTGTGATTTCGATGGACTGGACTCGAGTATGGGGCCTGCGATGACGTCTTGTCCTGGCTGTGCAGAAGGGCTTGTGATTGTATTGTGACGGCTCATGGCTTATAGATCCTAAGCGTGGGGTTTGGAACCCATGCAAAGCTATTGTTGGCGATGCGAGTGTTGGACGCGGGGTCTAGTAATGGTGAGACTGAGACTATCAATGGTTATGGCGTTAAAGCGATTCAATAGAGTAAGAACGTCGACGAGAATGAAGCCACAAGTAATGGCCCGAAGAGTAGACAAATAGATATGAAGGTGCCGGAAGGATTATAATTTGCTCCTTGAAACAGGGCAGGCATGGACTGATGAGACCTTGGGATCAAGAGTTTAAGTTGATTCACACCTAGATGCTTCCCTCGCCCGGACTGGAAAACCGTAACTTTCGGGAAAGTTTAGAAGCTTAAGCAGCGTTGCGCTAACGCCTCTCGCCATGGTGTCTCTGTACATGCCATGCCGTTCATGATCTGACTTTCGCAGCCCTAGTTCAATTCCAACTCGGCAATGACCCTTTGACGTCAATTCGAACGCCGGATCAGACGCGCATGCAGGCCATCTGGTCACTCACTCATGCTCGTGGTCCTTGGCTTGCGTGCAGAGAGACCATGAGGGGAAATTGGGGGTGGCGCTGCTGTTACACGCAGACCTGTTTCGCAAGCTTTGGGGAAGAATCCCTCAAACTAGACTGTATCGTTTGTGTGCTAGCTGGGGATAAAAACAGCCACCATTGAGTTCTGTCGTTTGGTCGGAATGGCTTAGAACGGACAAGCCTACCCCAGGACAGGTCAGAGCGCCGATATATGACATCTACGACCACCGTCCAGGATCTCATGGACTAGAGAGCAGCGGTGCCTCTTTCCGTCCTAGATCTGCTGGTAAATCTGTAAGGCTGGAATGAAGGCGATCTGCAAGACCAATTCTTTCAGATTAAACAGTCACAACTCCGGAGCGTTGTAGAGCCAGGCCGCGTCAGCAACAAATAGGTGCTTAGTGCCCATTGATGCAACTTGTACTGACATGCAGCACCTCTTCAGGCAAATAGTCCTGTTGATGGTTGTAGACTTAAAGAGATCCAGACTCGCAAACAAGACGTTTGTTGTATGCAGGTCAAGTACAATTGACCCCTATGAGGCGGGCGCCGGCTACCTGCCGACCGCACCCGGTAGCCACGTGAAGCACTACATAGCGCAATACCGGCGAGCGACGGCATTTACAGGCGATGAAATGTGCCCGATACATGAGTCCAATCTCTGAATCTCAACGTTACGGCGTTACATGCCGTCGAATATTCGCCTCGAAGCAACGGCAGAACTCTTGTCAAGCGAGAACGCAGCGGATTATCGATCTAGAAAAGAAAAAGAGTCTAAGAAAGCGGACTTGCTCAAAACGGATTCTGCAGCGCAATAATATGGGGGACAGACCATTCGAGTCAATCCTTTCTATGTCACTCCCGAGATTCGTTCGTATCGGCCCGTGATGCCTCGAGGTACCGAGCTAACCAACGGCGCAGCATCAGTAAAAGTACTGTTTGTCTATTCCTCCATGAACCCGAATCTACTCGCACCGAGTGCTCCGAATATGCAGTCAGCCGGGCCGTGGTCGGCTGGTCCCCTCTGAGCGTTTATGCAGTCTTTTTGCAGTGTCGCCGTGTACAGCTACGACGCAGGGTAGTCATCGAGGCCAACTCCAAGAGGCTTCAACGAAAATATCATGGAGGATATTCCACTCCGACAAAAACTCGTTGCCATGTGGAAACCGATTCACACCGACTGGCACAAGAACGTGAAACACACTTTCCACGGGTTCGCTAGGAAGTTTGTTAGATGAAAACTCAACTCAATGCCATGTGGTCTGCGGAAGAGGCTGAAGCTCGGTGCCTGGAAGTGCCTCGTCACTCCGCGCTTAGGATAAACACATGCAGACATACCGCCCCCCGATTTGTACCCTCGAACCACGAGCTCTTACTTTCCACAAATCCCTGTCAGCAGCCGTCAGAACCCTTCCGTCTCCACAAACCTCGTGTACTGTTTTGCGATCGCAACGGAGACCTTCGGAGCGGATGAGAATCGCCGAATCTCCGGATGTTCGCTTGCAACTAACCAACTCAAAAAGGCAGATTTCCGTGTGCAAGCCCAGTGGCTGTTGCGGTCGTTGGATCGGAACCACCTTTTAGTCGTTCGGCGCCGACCGCAGCGCTCGTGTCCCCTTGCAAGGATATAAGCGACCTCGATCTTGAGCCATAACCTTGATTAAGCGAACGAGATCGAAGGTTTCGAACCTTCTATACTTCAGAACGACATCGATTGGGCCTTCTCGCAAGGTTCAGCAGTTTACGCATGGGCTCACGATTTAGCAACATTCGATGACCTACGTGGTTCTGTCCTTCCCACTTGCTTTGTCGACACTATATTCTTGAAAGCGAGATCTGAACAGCACTAGGCCTGGCATCAGTCGATATCTGCTATACGAACCGATACAAATTCAATGACTCCATCATGGCTTTCTCTTCATACTGTGTTTCCCTCGCTATGATCCAAACGCTTCTAGTGCAGAATCATGGACGTGTTTACCCTCCAGTATCTATGATCGTTACTTGAGACGTCTCGCTGTGACTGAACCTCGACAAGACGCACCTTGCCCAGCTATCGTGATGCGGGATCGACTCAGGCACGACGTAGCCAAGTGATGAGTGAAAAGTTGACCATCACGTACATAACAGTATGTGTTGGCGTAGCCCTTCACTGACCGCGACGACATCATCATAACATCTCTCAAGCTGATGCCAACACAAATTCCATCGCACTCACCCTCAGACGTGTCTTCGACAACAAACGAAGGAGCTTTCACTCTCTGTTCATCTTGTGTTCTCTTGCACTACCACATCTGCACATCCACATTTTGGTCTGCATCTTTCCCTCAACCATCATCCACTTCTGACAAACGTCTTCAATCTTGTCATCAGAGGTAACAGGACTTTATGCAATGGCTTTGACCTCAAAGACTGACATAAACACACAGATGTCTACCTTCACCGAACGCGAACAGAAGCTCATGGCCGCTGCTTGTCAGTCCTTCGAGGGCGAGCCCAAGGTAAGGACTTTCTTGTCAATTGAAACCCACACCATTGCTAACATGCCATCATAGCTCGACATGGACAAGGTAGCTGCCTCATTGCGCCCCTCTCTTCGTTCGTCAACTGACCCAGATCTCTACAGTTTGCCCAACGCGCTGGCCTCACTGTCGGCTCTGCCCGCAACGCCTGGGCCGCTCTCAAGAAGAAGATGAACGCTCAGGACGACACCGTCATCAAGGGCTCTGCTACCGCAAAGACCCCTGGTACCAAGTCGGCCAAGAAACGCCCTCCTCCCGTCGTCCTGCCTGCCAATGACAATGGCTCCGATGACGAGGAAGTCCCCACTCCCTCCAAGAAGCCCAAGACCCCCGCTACCAAGGGCAAGGGCAAAGGAAAGGTTACCAAGTCCGAGGATGATGATGATGATGACTTTGTCAAGGTCAAGAAGGAGGTTGCCAACGAGGACTTCGAGGAGGTCTGAGTGATCAATGCTTGGTCATGGTTCGACTTCACCTTCCTGCGGGATACAAAAGAAGGCATTTGATCATCATGGTTGCATTATAATGAGCGAAGCACTTGCGTCTCAGTAAAGATGCAAGATTCATTGCGGGCTTCGAGATCATGATAGAGAGGAATATCAAAAGTTTGCTCGATAATTCAGCAGATCCACAAATTGTGATGCCGTGTGAGAGATGATCGTGATGTGCGTCTTGTCTTCCCAATAGTGGTTGCCATGTTTCCGTGATGATCTTGTTGATTTTCAGCGGTCCCCCCCATCAACGCTCTCCATACTCAGCGGAGTAGTGAAGTCCACAGCACCTCTCTCTCGAAGAGATACACTCTCTATGTGCAAGAGTCTATACGCATGTAGCCATACAGACGCACAGAATCTTCAGCAAACAGGACAATGCCCATCGAGATACAACTCATCTTAGGCTCTCTTTGGTCAAGGCCTTGACTGAGTTACTGCTATGCCTTTGCACAGTGGGGACGTCGCTCTACATTTCGGGGCGGAAGAAAGGTGAGAGTTACAAACTTCATAACAGTGGTGACTTGCTCTATCGATTAACGGCGCAGCAATTGAGCTTTCTAACTCAACTCAACGCATCTGCGCCTCGTTTGGCTTTACTCGTCCTTGCGTTCTTGAGCTCGGCTTTTGAGCGTCTAGCATTAGCTCTCTTTGCCCTTTGTTCAAGGTCCTTTCCCCTAGAGCCTGCATGTCGGAGCACAGACTGTAGAAATCCATCGTTGTGTACTCCTCCCACCATGTAGCCATCGCTATCTTCGCCAGAACTGCTTGACTTTCCAGGAGTATCGTCTTCGCTTAGGCCAGCGTCCTTGTCCAAAAGACGTTCGGGCGGCTCTTGAGTACGTGGATCGTACTTGTGGACCCTTTTTATGTGCTCTAGCAGACGGCTCACGGTGGACTGAATTTGTCCTGAGGCAGGACAGTGCGCACACTTGAGCGGGTTTGGAGGCTGCCAGCCTTGCGGATTGTGCGCCAGCACGCGATGACGTTTCAAGACAGGAGCGATGTCGCCGGAACGAACCAACTGTTCTTCTAGCTCTGCGATCTGGTCATTATCGTACTTGTGTGTCTTGCGCATATGCTCGCGCCAGCGAAAACCATGTGCAAGGGGTTGCATGTTACGGAAGCAGTTTGACAAGGGGCATCGCCAGCTTGCGGACTGGGCCGATCGAGAGTTTGAGGCGTGGTTAACAGGCTCATCCTCATCAGCAGAGGAACCATCATGTTCGGCCAGGGTATACAGGTGCATGTCTTCTCCAAAGAGCTCGCGACATCGATTACGAGCTCTTTCGATCACAGCAGGATCCCAGCCACTCAAGCTCGCCATACCCAAAACCTCACTCCAATCTCTCAAGCCTGGTCTGGGAGGGTTGCGTCGTTTCTTGCCGCTCGGAGATGTGATGTGCGAGTCCGACTCTGGTGAGGATGCTCTGTTGCTGGGGGAACGTGACCTGTTTCTGGGCTTTTCTGGCTCGTACGTTTCATCCTCACCAGAATCATCGAACACTACAAGATCCAATGGACTGGAGGCACGAGAAGCAGAGTCTGTACGACGACTACGTCTGATGCCAGTAGCAGTCCGAGAATGAGATGACTTCCTGGACCTCTTCGCTGGAGGCTTTGTGGAAGGCGATCGAGAGGTTGATCTTGCAGAAGAGTCCGAGGTATCACCATCTCTGGGACGCTGTACATGTGTCTGTCTGCTCTGATGCAAGGCCAGGAGAAGTCTGTCAAGCTTTGACACGATGTGGTTGACGGTAGGACGGAGAAGGGTATGGGAACGATCGTCGTCGGCAGAAAAAACGGGACGTGCAAAGCGCTTGTCTTCGGTCTCGTCAGTGTCAGGTTTGATGGATATATCCGCAGGCAAGTCAGCGTGACTGGCGTTTCCCTGATCAAAGCCAGGCTGATCTAGCGATGAGAGCGGAGGTAGGTCATCTCCCACTGATGGCGAAGAGGGGAACGAAGTCGGACCAGCAGACACGGAGCGAGTTCGTCCTCGTCTGACTGGAGAGTAGCGGACAGGGACAGCAGTAGATGTGTTGGTGGCGGGAGTCGAATCAGAAGCCTGTTGGTTCCTAGATTTCCAGTGGTCGTGTGCTCGTGCCAACGTGACAGCATACAGCTGTTGTCGCAGATTGTCGGCTGGGGTAGATCTCGTGGCGCTACGGAGAGTCCAAGTATCGAAGCCATCGTTGGGTCGACCGAAAGATTCAGTACCGAGAGGAACGAAGGCCAGAGGAAGAGGCCAGGCAGTCCAGTCAGACTCGGGATACCAGGGCTTCTGTAGGTCTTGGTTGTCGGCAAGCCAGCGACTCTTTCGGATCCAGGGTCGAGACAAGGACGAGGGAGCTTGTCGGTGACGCAAGCGAGCTTTCAGATGATGGGCGCTGTACAGATGCAGGCTGAGGTCATTTGCATTGAGTTGGTCGAGCGAGAGGGCAAGAGAGCGATCGGCCTGTGTGTGGTGTAGCCATGCGCGGTCTGAGCCTCGGAAGCGATTGGGCCGAATCTCGACGTCGCTGCCATCAGATACTGCTGACGGGCTTCTGTTGTTCCCGTCATCTTGCAACTCTCCTAGTTGACCGTCGGCGACTCGTTCAGCGTCGTCTCCAGCATCGGCGTTGTCGTTGTGATCGTCGTGGGCAGCGGCAGTGTCTGGCGAGCCTTCTGAATGCGCCAGATGCCCCTCATGGTCGCCAATGGTGCTGATAGAGAAGTCGCTCACCTGGCTAGGCGAAGGCGGCCCACTGTCATCTCCTCCTCCAAAGAGAGACATGTCCGACACCAGATTGGCCAATTATCCGCTGCATTCTGGTCGTTCATGTAGAAATTTAGATCAATTGGCAAGCGCGACCTACACTTGAACTGCGGGGTTATGCTCTGCTGTGCAAATATCATGCACATCATTTATGCATCGGTGTATCCTTGACCGACATCGTCCTACTACTGATCCATAATTTTCCACCTATGGTGATCAGTATCGTGCCATCTCTGCTCACAATAGTCTCGCCGCTACCGTCGACTCCTGCGCTTGGGACTATCAATTACTTGAGTCTGTCTCACCTGCGTCCACACCGGTGGCCATGTGTTTCCTGCTGGTCGGCTTGCGGGTAAGCGAGTCTCGCCCAGCATTCACTTGCAAATGGTGTAACTTCCATTCTGCACGTAGTCTGTTCGGTCGAGAACGGATTGATTTCGATCCTCCGCATCGAGTTATACCCAAGGTATCAGCCTGGATATATAATGGAGCCTGTCTAAGATGTTCAGAGCCTCTGGTTTGAGGAATGTTTCGAATCACATTTACCATGCTAGTACCTAGACTGCTGGCTGTCGCTACAGCACTCTTCTCTCCATTGGCTTCCGCAGCATTTGGTCTGACCAGTAACGGCAACAGCTTTGTCCTTGATGCCGGTTCATCCAACTCGCTCGTTGTCACCGTCGGCCGAAAGAGCTGTGACATCACTTCAATTCTCTATCGCGGTGAAGAGCTCCAGTACAAAAGTACAGGTTCCCACATCAGCTCAGGTCTTGGATCCGCAACTGTCTCTGGAGAAGTCGTTGCCAGCCAATATGCAAAAATCACTTGCAAGACCGCCACCTTGACTCACTACATAGTCGTCAAGAGCGGCGACAGTTCAGTACATATGGCAACCCACACTACTGCAGAGCCCACAATTGGCGAGCTGCGATTTGTCGCTCGTCTCAATTCTGAAGCACTCCCTCTCGAGTATCCTTTCGGAGCCGCCTCAACCATTGCTGGTAGCACGTCTACTGTTGAGGGCTCCGATGTCTACCTTGTCAATGGCGAAACCCGAAGCAAATTCTATTCAAGTCAACGCTTTATCGATGACAAGGTTCATTGCGTGTATCGTGATGGCTCAGACCCCATACATGCTTGCATGGTCTTGCAAGATCCTGCATACGAGGCCTCAAGTGGTGGGCCCTTCCACGAGATATCAACTCCAACAATGTGGGTGATTACACGGGTCTTTACTTTTACATGAACTCTGGTCATGTACAGACCGAGCCTTTTCGCCAAGGTCTTCACGGCCCTTACACCATCGCCTTCACTCGCTCTGGTATTCCTGCTGCTAGTCAGGCCGACACTTCCTTCTTCTCAAGCTTGGGAGTCACAGGCTATGTGGCTAATTCTGGTCGTGGTCGAGTTTCTGGCACAGCTTCTGGTATTGGAGGCTCTTTCCAAAAAGTCGTCCACTGGCACAATACAAATAACCAATACTGGACATATGCTGATTCGTCGGACAAATTCACATCTCCAGCCATGCGTCCCGGTACATACACGATGGCCTTGTATCAGACAGAATTCTAGGTTGCAGAGACTAGCGTCACTGTCACTGCTGGCACAACCGCAAGCAAAAACATCGCATCTAGAGCCTCAGCATCAAACACTATCTGGACGATTGGTGATTGGGATGGCCAACCTACTGGTTTTCGCAATGCTGACAAGCAACTTCGAATGCACCCTTCCGATAAGAGGATGTCGAGCTGGGGTCCACTTACGTACACTGTCGGCACCAGCAAGCTGACAGATGTACCTATGGCACTTTGGAAGGGCGTCAATGATCCTTTCACCATCAAATTCACCTTGTCAGCAGCTCAGACTGGAGCTGCTACCTTGCGCGTTGGAACTACATTAAACTTTGCAGGTGCTAGACCTCAAGCCAAGATCAACAACTACAACGCTGCTGCTCCTGCCGCACCAGTAAAGATAGATTCTCGGGGAGTCACCAGAGGAGCATATCGTGGTAACGGTGAGGTTTATGATGTCAAGATTCCTGCCGGCACTCTAGTGACAGGAGCCAACACGATTGTCATCACTGTTGCATCGGGATCAAGTGGTGCCACATACTTGGCTCCGAATATTGTAAGTCAAATTGCAGTGTCTCATGTCAAACCTGGCTGACTGGCAAAGATCTTGGACGCTATAGAGCTATTCCAGTAGATATGGCGTGCGCAGCCAACGAAATGAAACAGATTAAATATCTGGGGAAACCTTTGTAGTGTCTGAACTGGTTCCTTGGATCTTCACTCGCAGCGCTCAATGCTACTCGTTGCCCACTTTCTACATGAACCAAAGTATGAAGATACTTCTCTCTGCGTGATGATGTCTCTCACACTGTATTATAGCAATGCAAAGTGTTGTCCATGTTTTTGTCGGTTCCAGTGAATGTGTGCAAAAGAGCCTGTTTCGATGAATGTCTCCCTCCATCACGAAAGTACTGTGGATTGGTATAGTCACAGAACCACTGAAATCCCCTCTCCAAGTTTTAATGTCTGGCACGTACAGCAGTAGATTTGCACAATGTCTTCCATGTCATGATTAGTTCCAGTGAGAGCGGTCAAAGGCATGTTTCAATGGGCGACTCCCTGATCACAAAATCACTGTGCATTTTGACGGCTGCAAAGTTGTTCGCATGCCCTTGTGAGATAGACGATTTACTCGACCGCACTCGAATCAACACTTTCACTTGTCGACTGAAAGCGTCACTTTGGATTCTTCTCCTCTCTTCCATCCTTCTCTTCCAACTCTTCTCGACCATCCTTCTTCCAACCTTTCACGACCATTCTCCTTCCAAGCATTCCACTTCCCACATCTTCAATCACAACATCATCAATCGATTTCAACATGGCACCTAACACAACTCTTTCCGCGCGTGATGCCGAGATCGTCGCAGCCGTTCTCCAGTGCCTGAAGACTCCTCCCAAGGTAAGACACTCTGCTTTCTTTCTTTGTTGCATTCCTTCCTCATTCTATCCATTCTGCATCGTTTGTTCACCCATCGAATCGACATCCTTTCACTGCACAATTGACCGTTCATCCGTCTCCATGTGCAAAGATATACCACACGCGCACAGCTACAGAAATGCACGGTTCCTTCCATAGCTGGGAAGCTATCCACAGAGAGTAGTGATACTATCGACTCTCTTTGGACTTTGCTACCTATCTAGAAAGAACTGTGCATTTCTATAGGTACCCGGGTGACATATCTTTTGCACACGAGGAGCACACTCCTTCGTTTCCATCTTCCCGAACTCGTTCAGAGGAACAAAACTAAACAAAGCAACCTCGAAAAACAACAGATCGACTACGAGAGACTGGCCGAAAAGGCTGGCTACAAGAATGCTTCATCGGCTCGCGCTTGCTTCCAGGACATCAAGAAGAAACTGCGTATCAGTGCTGGCGGCGACACTGGTAAGTTTGGTTACGGCTGTGAATACTTTACAATCGCTCTTTCTCTAACATCTTTCAAAAGCAACTCCTGCTGCTACCAAGAAAGTTCCCAACCCCAGAAAGCGCAAACAACTCTCTTCGCCCCCTGACTCCTCCTCCGCCACTCTCGCCAGCTCCTCTCCCACCGGCAACTCCAACGACGAAACCACCACTCGTCAAACCAAGAAACCCAAGGTCACCAAAGCCAGAAGCATCACTGCTTCCAGAGCAAAGAAACCCAAGATCAGCACGCCCGAGACCGAGGAAGACATCAACAATGCCAAAGCCATTGCAGCCGGTAGAGCTAGATACGCTGCCGATAAGCTCGCTGCTGAGATCGGGAAGGAGGATGGAGAAGAAGAGGAACATCCTGTCGCCGATGACGCAGAGGGCGAGGATGAATGGCCTGTGGGTATGAATGTCGACTCTGGCGAGGATGAGGGATTGACAGCGTATGAGCTGGTCAAGAACGAGGTCTTTGGCGAGGGCGTCGAGGTTTGAGCGAAAGGCAGAGCTGAGATTCGAGATGGATATGCGATGACCGAGAGGCGCGAATGGGATTGTAGTGTTTCAGGAAGAAGGAGATCGTGGGCCTTCTTATCTCTCAAAGGCAGTTTGATTTTTACCCAAGCGAAAACAATGCAGACAAATGGATTTTATGTTTCATCCTGCCTTCCCCTGACTGAAGTCTCACGAAAAGCACCTCCCCTACTGTTGAGGTCCGAAGACTTGAATGACCAACTGCTTCTTGTTGACTGCATACAGAGCAAATTAGCAGAGGACGTAACTGTTTCCAAAGCGACAACTTACTCTTGCCCATGGCATTCCTAGGAATACTCTCGACCACTCTCAATTCCTGAGGAATCTTGAACGCGGCCATCTTGTTCTTCAAGCCTCTTCTCAGATCCATAGCACCAAAAGGCTTTCCGTTTTTTCCAGCAGTCTTGCCCGCTTCACTCAACACGACCACTGCAGCGACTTTTTGACCCCATGTCTCGGAAGACAAGCCTACTACAGCACATTCGGAGATGGCAGGAATGGACAACATCTCTCTTTCCACCTCCAGGGCCGACACTTTCTCTCCGCCAACTTTGATTATGTCGGCTGAGAGACGGCCGAGAATGGAGTACATTGGTCCTTGCGCCCATTCCCCCGAAGCGCCTTTGCCTGCAGAAGGGACGTTCCTTCGTACGGCTACATCACCAGTCTTGAAGTAGCCGTCTTCCGTGAACTCCTTTGCTGTGGCTGTTGGGTTGTTCCAGTACTCTTTGAAGATGGTGGGACCACGCAATTGGATCTCGCCACTGCGTTCCTTACCACTAGAGTCGAGCTCCTCGCCAGGCTCGATGACAGTCTTTGTGTCGAGGTCGACCAGGCGAGCCTCGACAGATGGAAGTGGCCAGCCCACGCTTCCGTCTACGCGGTCCTCGTTTGCAAGACCGCATGAAAGAGCCATGCCTACTTCCGTCATACCGTAGCGTTCGAGGAGTACGTTTCCGTTGCTCAAATCTGTCCAGGCTTGTTTCATAGGAGTAGGTAGAGCTGCCGAGCCACTGATGTTCAGGCGCATGTTTTTCGGGTGAAGAGCTTCTTTCGTCGCGCTCTGCATATCCGGACTGAGAGTGCTGTGTGACTGAAGTAGTCTGTTGTATATTGTGGGTACGACAGTAAAGAACGTGATGGGCTTTTTCGTCTGCCCGGACGAGGTCGAGAGGAACGGGGCGGCAAGACGCGACCAGACCGAGTCAACGGTGAAGGGAAAGAGGAATTCGATGGTGCTGCCGGCAAGCAGTGGGGTCAGGAGTGCATTGACTGTGCCATGGATGTGGTGGAGAGGCAGGACGTGGAGGAAGTGATCGGTAGGTGAGTAGTGCCATGCTTCAGAGAGGGATTTTGCCTGGGCCATGAGAGTATATTGTGGGAGCAGTACTCCTTTCTGCTGCTTGTCAGGACTTCTCTTCGCTTATGCCAGTTGACAAGACTCACAGGTCTGTTGGTCGTGCCGCTGGTGTACAACATCATGCCGCCCTTGTCCTCTTCCATTTCCTCAAGCACGACGTCTTCCTTGGATTTACTGCCTTGGACAATCTTTTCCCGGCGCGAAAGGATGGGCTTCTTGTCCAGCTCGCCGTTCAGGACATCGTCGGCCTTGGTCGCAAATTTGGAGGATGTCGCCAGCACGAGTGCACCACTCTGATCCAGGATATATCTCAACTCTCCAGACGGAAAGGCAGGCGAGAGTGGTACGGCAATGGCATTGGTACCTAGGATGGCGAGTAGCGTCACTGTTTGACCACATACCTCAGCAAGTGCATCTCACTCAGACCAAACGGCATCGAAACAGGCAAACACAAGGAACGGGAACAAGGAGATAAGGAAACGAGAGCAAAGCGCACCTACATAGTCATAGCTGTTCTCTACCAAAAAAGCTATGCGCTCGCCTTGCAACGCTCCAGCATCTCTACCGGCATCGTTGGCAAGTCGTTGTTTGGCAATTGCGACGTCTTTCAGAAGCGAGCCATAGCTGAATTGACGACCTGACAAGGAGTGGATCACGGCCGAGCTCTCTGGATCGTGCGACTTGATTGCTTCGAATAGAGGTGTACGCGGCAAGCTAGCCAATCTGCCGGTTGTAATGCTCCTGCTTTTCTGTCCGGTGCAGCGGAAAGCAGCTGTCGACCACGTGGGCCGGCGTGACAACAGCTCCAGGTACCTTTTGGACAAGCCCATGAGTAGCACAAATTCGAGACAGACGCTTTTCTCAGTCTCGTGGTCGCGAGTAGAAAGTGAGCAAGAGCTTTGACGCACGTTTGCACTTTTCCTCCGGCGTTTGCGGATTTTGCAAGATTGGTGTTCATACATATTTATACAGAGGTTTGGAGTATCTTGTTCATGTCAAACCTAACGAACATCGACGTCTTGTTACATTCACTTCGAGTCCCAGCCCCAAGCTCTCTTGATGCTATCTCCGACTGTCTCTCTACCACGTTCCCTTCTGCTTTCGCGCACCTTCTTCTCTGCTTCATAGTGCTCATGGACGACAGCGGCATACTCTGCGTTTGCTCTTGCCTCGGCAGCCATGAGCTGAATTTCAAGCTCACGCTCAGCATCCTTCTTATCCGCTAGAGATTGTTCAATAGCTTTGCGCTTTTCTCCCGTGTACATGTCCAATCCTTCTCTTGTTTCCTGTGGTTGTGCAACCGGTTGTCGCACTCCCAGGATCTCGGTGGTCGACGTGCTTGTGATGAGCGGCTTGAACTCTGGTGCGGGCAGCTTCTTCTCCTCGGCCTCTTTCATGGCCTTCTCACGATCCAACATTTCGTGATATAGTTTGTCTGCGTGCATTTGGATGCGCTCTTCCTCGTCGACAGTGCGTTGCATGCTCATGTATCCCAGAGCCTTGAGGAAACGCGCCTGCATGGTGTAGCAGCGGTTGAATGCGCGGGTGGGCTCCTTGCAGAGGTACAGCTTTCCCTTGATGCCGCCGTTCTCGAAACACTCGTGCTCGGCCCATTGCTCCATTGCGCAGTTTTCGAGCGCCGCTCGGGCGACTCTGGCTTTGCGGTCGTTGTATGTGTCGATGACATCGGATAGTTGTTCGCTCTCGCTGCGTCCGGCTTGCTCGATTTGTTCTTGCGAACGGTAGTTCTTCCAGAGGTGGGCATATCTGCCATCTTGAAAAAGTGATTGCGGCGGTGCTGCGTTCTCGTCTGTTTGAGACTGTGTGGATTGTGATGGTTGGTCTTCGGTGATGCCAATCTGTGCGCGATATGAAGGAGCCTCTTGTGGTAGTTGTGTGGGTTGCTGCTGCTGTTGCTGTTGTCGCGTCTTGGATTCCTTGTCCAGAAACTCTCGCAGCGACGGGTCCAGATTGTTCAGCGCATCTTTACTGTCGCTGTTGCTTTTGTTTCCCCAAAACCAGCTCATCTTGTCTTGAATGTATTAGTTGTGTGAAAAGGTGCGACGGAGATGGTTTGCGGCCAATGAAGGAAGTTGCCGCACTCGACTGCGTCTCTCTTTCCCCGCCGACCTCCTCCCTCCATACTTGAATCTCAACACTACACGAATATTCTCTATACCGAATTTTGGAGCCATCAATCTGGACTTGCCCGTGATGTTATCTCCTTGTTGGAGACGGTTCAAATTCCATACGTGATGTCAATTCACCGTTCCTAGAGGGCAGAGAAGAAGAAACCGCTAGAGCCTTTTCTCTAGCCGGGGGACCAGCGACATTACCTTCATCTCTTGACTACGACGGTGCTTATCCTAGCCTCCTGCGGGCTTGCAGGTCACCGAGACTCTTACGATATGGAAACTCGAATATTGACGATTTCACCACCGGCGATACATTTTGGACTCTGTTTAGAAACACTGATATCATTCTGATTTCTGCATACTCGCACCAAAGGCTATCTGAAAGAGTGACAAGAATGGTATGTTTAATCACATATACTCCTCCGCAAACGAATGTGAGAGTTGTTGCCGTCTCTTCATTGGTGATCGGGAGTTGAGAGCCCGTCTTACTCGGTTGTCTTCAGTAGAAGGTCCTGCCCTCTACTGGGACTTGTAGGTGGAGCCAATGGCTCCGAACTTGACGTTGCTGAAGGTGACAGCAGCATTGGCCTGTTGAGATTCGACATCGCTGGGCTTACCAGAGGTGGTGGCGCAAGTGCCACGAGCAGCACCGACCTTGTTGGAGCCAACGGGGTAAGTAGAGTCGAGCCAGAGCATGTTGGCGGTGTGGTCATCCCAAACACTGAAGACAAGGGCCATACCAGCATCGAGATCCTTGCCGAAGCCAGCAAGACCACCCTTCTGGGAGAACGAGTCGGGGTCACCGGTGGTAGCCTTTTGCTCCTTGCAGAACTTGTCGGTGATCTGGTTGGTCTTTGTGATGCCCGAAACGTTGGTGTCCGCCTGCTGGATGACCTTGCCGTTCTGGACGTAGATGCGGCGGATGGCGCTGAGAGTGCCAGTGGCGGTGTTGTCTGAGGTGCTGTGGAGTAATTGTCAGCGAAGTGCAACACAAAGGACATTCTCTACACGGCGTACATAAATTGGGTGACTACTGTCATCTTGGACTTGGAGTCAACGGTCTTTCCAGGACCGAAGAAGTTCTGGGCTCCGAATCTGTAGGGGTTGAGGTCACAACCATCCTTGTCGCAGTAGCCGTCGTAGCGAGACTCGCCAGAACCGCAGGTGGTGTTGCCAGTGCAAGGGCCGTTGGTAGAGCAAGGATGGGGAGTGAGGGCAGTGGAGATTGAGTTCTAGAGAAATGGTCAGTCAATTAACCAGGGTGAAGCTGACACGTGTTATGCTTACAGCCTCCCAGATATCCATCTCAGCACAGCATGAACCGCTGTTTCCGGTTCCAGAGTTGGGGTCTCCACTTGCTGGAGTCCATCCTTCAACGTTTGCCTGTTCGGCAGGTCAGCTTGGGGCCTACAAAAGACGAAGAGTTGTCTACTCACCTTGCCGGCAATGAACTTGAGATCTCTTGGGCATTGAGCGTCACAGTAGCCTGTTCCATAAGGAGCTCCAGCCTTGTTGGTGGGGTACTTGGCAAGACCGCCATCGGCATCCATCTTGACAAAGTACAAGGCACCGTTGATACCGCAGCCTGCAAGATGGGTCAGCTGGCAAATACAGGCCAACTTTTCTCATTCAGGAGACTTACCAAGACCGGAGACATCGACGTCAAAGGTGAATTCCTGGTTCTTCAGCTTGAACATCTCGTACTTGTTGCCATTGATCAAGTAGACACGAGAGCCAATGTTGTTTCCCTGCTTGAGCTTCAAGCTGACAGAGTTGCCGCTGGCCTGGATACCGTAGGTACCAGAGTAGTCTGCAAGAGAGAATATGGTAAGTACTTGGAATCCAGGGGCTAAATTCTGTCGACCACTTACCTGCTCCATCAAGAGCGCAGTTGGCAGCACATTGCACGTTGTTGGGGCAAAGTGTCTTGTCAAAGGTGTTGCCGGTGTAGCAGTTGGTGTATCCGCTGGTCGAGTGCAACCATCTCCAGTTTGCGTCGAGCACAATGTTAGTGCTCACTGTCTGACATTGACCTCCAGCGGTACACTTCTGGTAGCTCATGGGAGGGTGGGTCTCAGCAGTCGAGGTGCCAGCCTGCTGTCCGAGAACACCATGGCTCAAAGCCAAGAGGGCCGTCAGAGTAGAGGCAGAGATCATTGTGATGGAGATGAGAGGATTCGATGGTAAGAAGAGAGCTGAAGAGATGTCTGATCTGAGTGTTCCATGGCGGTGGGTTTCTCGTATTTATATTCGAAGCTCCTGTTGTTGCTGATCACTGAACGAGCAGCGCTTCACCTCCTGTCTACCCGAGGAAACCATTACCAAATGCCTTCTCTTCACGCCGGCTGCTGGTAGTAGTCCACTTGAAGCATAGATGACCGTGTCGTCGCTCAGGTTTTCCTCATCAGCGTGCTTGCATACCTGCGAGTCTCCGTATTCGCATGTGTGCTCGCTTGCAGCGTTCCAGGGCAGAGGATGGAAGATGACCAGGTGACTAGGTTCACTGGTTAGTAGAACATCAGATCAATCTATTCGAGGATTTATCCGTTTCGGCTGCGAGAGGGTTCAGAGAAGGTGGTGAAATTAAGGCCTTGCATAAGCTTCCCCTCGTTTGCGTCCCGCCCCGCAAACATGCACCCCGGACGCCTTGGGCACCAATCATCTGAGTGTGATGAGGGCTTGACCTCCGATGTGAAGTACAAAGGAGAAGGTGTCCGATTATATTGACTACGCCGTATGTTGTTGGCTCTATACTAGGTCCAGGCCCCTCAATATGATCCAGCGTAGTAACGGACCGAAGCACCGAGAGTTGATCGTGGGAGAAAACAGGTGCTATGAACGGTGGACATCAAGCCCCTCAGCACACAGTGGCAAAGCCATAGTTACGTCCTTAACATCCAGGAGAAGCCTCGCTTGGATCATGTCTCTCCCATGGCCAATACAATCTATGCAATGGAACTCGAGTGGAAGAGCGGACCGGCTCGCCATTAGTATAGTTCCTGCGGTCTACTGCTACTCGCCACTCATCAGCTACAACGGTATTCTGTCTGTGGATCTTCAAAGGTCCAAATTCTTCCAGTCGAGCCCTATCACAATGACCTCCTCCTTTTGATCACTTCACCCCTGCCCTGTTTCTCCGCCAATTGTTTAGAGCCTCGACGGATCATCACCGCGCCATTGACCTTCCGTCGAAGTGTAAAAAAACTCGCGAAAATCAGGGCTCAGTTTCTAGCTGTGGATGAAACGTGGCTGCATCTCGTGTGTCACCTTGTCCATGCGGCCGTACCCATGACAAGTCATGCGAAGTCTTGCATGCATACCAAGAACCATGCTTATATCAATAAGCGGGGTATGCAGTGGGTACCTAACAGGCTTGTCGATCACTCAGACTTCACTCTCTCCCCGTTTCAAGGGTCTATAATGCATGTAGCTGTGAAAAATGCATAGTAGTTTCGAGCAATGGATGCCCTCAATTGGGAAGCGACGTCACGTCGGATCTCTTTGGATGCATTTCGATTTCGTAAACGACCATGCGTTTCCAGAGTAGAAATACTACTCAATATCTTTATGGGAGGAGTATGAGGGTCATAAAATTGGCATATGTCGAAGTCCAAGCCCTGCATGCTAGAAAGTTCTCGGCTGGAAAAATACTCCGGTTTCAACTAAAAGCATGACCCTTGGATACAACGATGCATGATCACAGTCCTACACCGGCACTGCACATCGATTGATTTCTGGCGAGATTCTCTTATCTCATGGCGGCAGAAGAAAACACAGCTTGGGGTGTCACTTGAAAGATATTGGAACGTCCTGAACCTCACACTTGCTCAGGCTGGATCTGGAGATTGAATGGATTGGCTGTTATTCGACTGCAGAAAGAGGCGAAAGCAAGAAACAAGATATGAGAGGGCAATTGTGAGAAGGACAGACAATTAGATGACCAATAGCGAGCGAACGTGTTTTGAGAACGAAAAAAAAAACGAATCTCTCCTCTTCTCTGTAACAGTGACCTGGCTCTCTCCCCATCCTGCTCTCGATCCATATGCAGGCACACAGACTGCTATGGAGACGTACAGCGTTTCCGGCGAACAAAAAGCATACGTAGAGAGTGTGTTGACACCGGAGATCCAAGCTCACAACGCAGGGTTAGCGTTCTTGAGCAACTGCTCGAAATAAGCCTGGAACCAAGTGCCCGCTTCAGGAGCAGGCTTGAGAGCATCAGCGTAGCCACAATGGGAATCATATCTAGGAGAAGTAGAGTCCGAGGTTCCGTCAGATTCGCCGCCGGGCTTGACCCATACAATTGCATCGACCAGCGCATCGCCAGTGTTTGTGGTCGGACGGGTACCGAAACCAGTGTTGATTACGTTGCACCACTAAAAGTAAGGGTACAGTTAGCATGTCTTTTATGTAAAGGCAATAAAGGTGCAGACGAAAGTCGAAGAGACAACTGATGGCTCTTGACCTGTACTATCTGTACACTCACTTTACGTACGTCTGCAAGGGCCAATTGAGATGTAGGCTGAACACCTGAGCGGCCTTGGTCAATGATGAAATGTGCTGGGAAGCCTTGGGCTGTCAGGAGAGGAGCAAGAGCATTGACGTAACGCTGTTCGTCGAAGTCTAGTTTGGAGCACAGTAAGCATTTCTTTTCTTCCAATCACGATGGATGATCACATACTAGGGTTGCTCTCTGTGTACGAGGGAGCTGCGTCGAGGTGGAAGGCGTTGTAGTTGGAGACGTCCGTGGCAATTCCACGAACAGCCTTGGGCTTTCCTGCGGCTGTATAGATGCTTGCAAAGAGGTCAGCAGCAGGGCCGATGTTAGCTGGCCAGCCTAACCATCCTCCGTGGCCTCCGTCTAGGTACATGGCGACGTTGTTGAAGTTGAGAGTCTTGATTGCGTATTCGACACCACCTGATCAAGTCAGCTTCACGTTTGTCAACAGGTATCTGTTCAAACGTACTGATGTAGGCATCGTGGGCTTCCTGGCATTTGGCGACGTTCGAGTTGGTGACCAAGTTGCCAAGACTGTCGGGTTCGATAACAAGAGCGACCTTAGTCGAGGAGTGCTTCTTGAGGATAGCAGCGATCGAGTCGATGTATGCCTTGTACTTGGTGAGACCATCCTTGGCGACGGTCAACTCTCCGTTGGAAGCAAGGGCGGCACAATCACGGTTGGGCAGGTCATAAACCACAAATGCTCCAATGATCTCGGGACTTGCACCAGCAGCATTCTGCTTCTCGATGTCCGCGAGATAGGTGTCCATAGTAGGTACCTTAGCGGCGGTGTCACTGGTACCATCAGTACGATTCGAGTTCAGGCTTCGCTGAAGAGACTTACAGCCAGACAAAGGTTCCAATCTTTGCAACTGCACTAGCCTTAGCTCTGAGACTGCTTGGAAGAGCTGGAATGGCAGCAGCAATCTCAGAGGCGTAGTAGGGGTTCGCGTAGATCTGTCTACCAGCGAAAATGTTCCCAGCAACATTGGTGGAACCTGGGGCCGAGGTGGTGGGCGTAGTAGCAGTTCCTGTACGGGACGTGATCAAAGTCGTGCCTGCACCAGAGGTCGTAGTGGTGGTTCTTGCAGAGGTCGTGACTGGCTTGGTCGAGGTAGTAGCTGGTGCAGCTGTGCCAGAAACACACTGGAAGTAGTCTGGAGAACAGTCAATGCTTGATCAACCTGGTAGGGACCTCACAATTCTTACAAGGGTTGACGGTGGAGCAGGACAAGCCCGAATCACAAGTGCCACTGCCAGACCAGTTTTGACCGCCGCACTGTCCATAAATGGAGATGCCGAGTGCGGATGGAATGAATGCAAGCAGAAGAGCGGGAATCATCTTTGTAGACTGTGATAAAGATTGTCCTTGATGTTACCTACCAGCGCTTCGATGGGTCTTTATAGCGTTTCCGCTCTCAATCGAACACGTCAAGGAATGGATAAAATGGAGTCAACACTGCTCGTACATCCGAATGTCTACATCCAAGCGAAGTGGTCTAGAACTTATCCGAAAGATATTGTGAACTTGTTTGTCGAGCGTGCATACTAGCGAAGCTTGATCCCATGCAACTCATGGATGCATCCAAGCCTCTGGCTTCTCGTTCAGCAGTTCAAAACATTTAGCCGCTGGTGGGAGCGTGCAGGAGCGTCAAGGCGTGCTCCCATGGCGCTGGCAAGGGACCTTTGTTCTTCCTACTCTTATGTGTTCTAGAGGCTCTAACAGACTCACCTTTGGCACGTCGCTAGGAGACTCCGAAGGGCGATCTCCAAGGCGCGGTGCAGCAGAGCAGGAACGGTGCATGCAGACAATGTGCTCGGTTAAGCATTTGTAACCTCTCTAAACTCAGGCTATACTTTCAGTGAGGCTCAAGAACAAAATCGGACGTCGACATGCAGGATGCTGCAGTCAAGAAATTACGGGGTTGCGGGGGTGTGTTTGAGCCTTCGAAGTTTGACGAGATGAAGTCCAAGATGCACAAAGATGGCATGAATACCGACGGGAAGACTTCGGTATTTGTGGCTGTCGGCTGGGAGCGGATCAGATTAATTATACCACTCCATCACTTGACGATTTCCCACGAATGGCAGTATGCTGGACAGGTTCATCTTCGCGACAGATGGCCTAGTCATTCTCGAGAAGAAGGACACCTCGGCCACAGTCTGTACTACGCCAGCTGACAAGGTGTTGCGCCATGCTCCGGCAAACCCATCGTTTCATATATTGATCTCGAAGTCAATAGGCAGCGACAGATGAATGTTACGTCCGTACTCTGTGTATGGACATGTAATAGATGAACCCTTCGTCTCCACGGCCCGCCAAGCCGATATCCAGGTATCGTTTGGCTAAAATCCATCGCCATAAGGTCAGACTCCAAGCATTGCTCAATTAAGAGAAAAAGTCGTGCGGCAGAGTAGCCAAATATGAGGTTGCGATGGAGGTGAAAGCTTTTTCAAATAGCAGTCTGCAGGGAGTACAGATGGCTGGCTCGCGGAGCGTGGCATTGGCTTCTGTAAGAATGAGGTAGCAGATGCTCTAACGATATCTTCAAACCTCTGACAACTCCTTGTCCTTCACGACTTTGGGTCCCTCAATTTTCTTGATCTTTCTTCCCTCCCACCAGCACATCAAACCACCAATCATGCTTACTGCGCATCCTAGACCAATAAACAGGCCCGCTCCCCATGTTGGACGGTCAATGCGGTTGTAGGCCCACATCATGTACGCCATTCCGACTTGAAAAAGCGTGTTCAACACCATCATCCATACCACAAAATCCATCTTCCACGACGCTGTAGGAGGTGCACTCTCTCCCGAGAACGTTTTTCGTCGGATCAGTGTCGGATCCACGCCGGGCTCTTCGTGTTCTAGCAGATCGCCTTCTCCTAGACGGAACCAGCTCACATTCCTCGCAGCCAGTCTTCTGATGGCTTGGGAACTTCTCTCCGATTGACGCCCAAAGCGCCACACGCATAGCCACCACAGGTCTCTAAACCTCCAAGGTGCAAGTCCCCAAGCCGTTAAGCAGAATAGCGCGTTCAAGATTTGTGAGTCAATCTCAATCCAGATTTTGCGAGGCGAGGAGTCTGCGTCGCCGCCATCGGGATGGTTCATGGCGGGTGCAGCCTTGAGGATCAAGAAGAAGAGCATAGCGCCCCAAGCCACAACATTCAGGCCGTACAATGTGATTAGAAATCCAGTTGGTGTTTTGAAAAAACGCCAAAAAGCGATGAGGCCGGCGATGATGGTCTGTTTCCATGTCTTGGGCGTCGCTGAATCTGTTGTAGAATCGGTGGAGCTTTCGATGAGTGGCTCCAACGATTTCTTGTCAGGAGTAGCCAAAGATGACTCGGGCGAGATGTTTGGCAATGTCATTGCTCGTTCGTTGTCGCCAGGTTTTGGAGTCGCAAGTCTCGTCGCAAGATGTCCATCCGTGTCGAAATCGATGTTGTTCCCGCGCAGATCGGTAAGATTTGGTGCATGTGCAATGGCACTTCCTGTCGCCGCCCACATACCAGGCTGTGGATCATAGCTCAGAATTTTATTCGTGGTGCTAACTGACGCTGCGCGTATGCGTCCAAGCTGCAAAGGCAGAGACGATCGTCTAGGCAAGGCGCCAGGCTGGGGCGATGGTTGTGTCATGATAGCAATGTTGTGGTGTTGATGATGGAGGACGATGAAGGAAAGATGCACCTACCTATATTCTCACATTGAGAATGGCAGTCACACCTGTCGTTGATTCAGCCAAGCCGAGGCGCGTGTACAAGGCCAATCAGCAATTACGATGGTCGAAAAGTCAACCCAAGTGAGGAGCGTTGGAAGGCTTGATCGCATGCGCCTCGGAAGGGCTGGAGCCTGGAAACGAGAATACGCGATACAGCCTGTACGCAGAGTGGCTGAGACGACGAGGCATTGTAGCTGGCGGGGTTCTCTCATATTCTCTCCCTTTTGCATGCGCTGGAACCGGAGCTGTGAAAGATGAAAGAGGCTCATTTGGCTTACTCTTTCACCTAGTAGTCCTGGTGGGCGGGCACTTGAAAAAGGTTTGTAGCGTCTTCGGTCATTCGACGTCAATACTGTAGATTGGCACCACAAGCGATGACTAGTGTTACAACAGGTTGCAGAGTTGACAAAGAGCATTTCCGTTTCGCCCGCGACACGGTCTACAGTACTCGTGTCAAAACAATCGAAGTGGACAGAAACAATTGGTCGTGGATGGACGAGCATCACCGGAAGGTGGTCGGGCGCGATCGGCGGCGTCACCAGCTCGAGGGCGACTTTCTTGGCAGCCAAAAATCTCCAGAGAGTCATCATCATAAGACTCTCTTGTACAATTCACTTGATTGACTATTTGTCTCTTGACCACAATCTCTTCCAGTCGCCACATCATACCTTTCAACATGAGTTTCAGATTCCTCGCTAGATCCGCCAGGCCTCTCTCGCAAGCCGTCGAGAGCAGAGTACCTTTCTCATCCAGAGCTGTTCAGCAGGGTCGCGCCATCGCTGCCGTGCGAAGCTACTCGACTGCTCCCGAGACTGGCGCCAAAGAGAGCAACGCTGCAGCTGAGAACGCAGACAAGGCTGCCGAAGCCACCAAGGAGGACCCTGTCCAGAAGGAGCTCGAGGCCAAGAAGAAGGAGGTCGCCGATGTCACGGTCAGTTGGCGCATACATGCACACAGTTGAACCAAGGAACAGCAGTGCTGAGACAATCAATTTCAGGACAAGTGGAAGCGTCAGATCGCCGAATACCGCAACTTGCAAGAGCAGACCAAGCGTGAGGTCCGCGCAGCCAAGGATTTTGCCCTCCAGAGTTTCTCCAGAGACCTGCTCGACAGCATTGACAACCTCGACCGTGCCCTCTCGGTTGTTCCCAAGGAGAAGCTTGACGGCAGCAACAAGGACCTTCTCGACCTTCACTCTGGTCTCAAGATGACCGAGACTATCCTCATGAACACACTCAAGAAGCACGGCCTCGAGAGATTCGACCCCAGCGCTGAGAGCGACAAGTTCGATCCCAACATGCACGAGGCCACATTCCAGACACCCCAGCCTGACAAGGAGGACGGCACCGTCTTCTTCTGCCAGTCCAAGGGCTTCAAGCTCAACGGCAGAGTCATCAGAGTGAGTACATGCAATAGCAGACTACGAAGAGGAATACTGACAAATCCTGTAGCCCGCCAAGGTTGGTGTTGTCAGAAACTCATGAACACGATACTACGAACGAACACGCATGTTATTTTGATGCATATGGAGGAAGACAAAAGTAATTCAAAACCGGGTTTTGTATTTTTGTGCAAAAGCAAGCATGTTGGCAATATATGGCTGGACGGACGATGGGTATGGCGTTCAGGTAGACTGGATACATTCCCCTCTTTTGACGGATCAGCGAGGTCTGTCGTGTAACAACACTGTATATATAGATGGTCTGTATGATGAGAAAGAGCAGATGATGGAAGAGCTAAATTGAGGCACGTGAGGTAGTTCTTCTGAGCGTGCTGAACATTTGACGCCTAGAGTAGACGATCAGGTGTCACTATAGCTTACAATCTAGCACAACATCTTCGAGATACCGTAGGTCGCATCGGGAGCGAGTCTCTTCGTTTCGTTGCTGATATACTCAGTACTGCTGTGCAGAAACATGGTCCGCGCTTTCAAGAAGAAGAAACTCCGGCTTCGGCCATCTTTGCCGGCGATCTTGAGATCCTCGGCCACTGGACTAACAAACCACGAAAGGGGAGTTGTTCCTCGCCTGTTCATTTCAGGAGCAGACATAAGATCGAGAAAGGGCTCGGTGTGTAATCGTCCGTATGAGAAGATGGGTGATGACGAAAAATAATCGGCAGTGACAGCCTCGGCACGTGAAGGCAGATGTGCAACGAGCTCGGTGCGATGGAGGTTTTGAGAGCTGGGGAAGGTGCAGTGGGCAACTGGGGAAGGTCTGTGACGCGGGCGGCCTCTCGCACCGTTGACTCACTTTCCACCCATTTGTTGCTCCCACACAACTCACGACTGTGACTCGGAATTGTCCTTCCTCTGCTGAGCCCTCGCCAGCACGTAGCCTGAGCTCGCGAGCTTGTCAACCCCCCGAGGACTTCTGGCCGCAAGGCCTCGACAAGCCCAGCCATGTCGTGGAAAAAGTCGACCGAGCTCATGGACACGATTCGCCATTATGCAAACTTCCCTGCTACCGGCGTGAGTCTGCGCCAGATGGTCCAGTTCGGCGAGAGGCCGTCCGTCGGTATGTGAGACGAGCCCACCCAGACCTGCCCCTCACTGACGACATCCTCAGGCACCCTATTCCGAGCCTCCCAATTCATGTCCGAAGAGCTGCCTATACGTTTGGCACATCGCGTCCAGGAACTCCAAGAGCTGCCCGACGGCCTGGGCGACATGCCCTCGATTGGCCGAGTACGAGACTGGTATGCCCAGTCCTTTGAGGAAATCACCACTCTTCCGAAGCCAACCCTCTCGTCCGAGATCCGCGAACGTCTCTTGAAACCGCAAAACGGCAAGAACTCACGCATCTTGAGCGAGGCCACCAGAAACCCCAGCGTCCACCAGGGCCAGTACCGCTCTCAGCTCCACCACAACAACGACAATGCCGAGAGGAAGAATTCCCTCAAACGTTATTACAGCGCCGGTGACGACACGAATGAATGGCCGCCAGAGTTGAACGACTACAACACTCGGTTTTCAAAAACACTCGAGAAGATCAAGCGCCGTCACGATAGTGTCGTGACCACTGTCGCACAAGGCATTCTCGAGTACAAGCGCAAGCGTCAACGAATGCAGATTGATCATAATATCCAGGCTTTCCTCGACCGCTTCTACATGTCCCGTATCGGTATCCGCATGCTCATCGGACAACACATCGCTTTGACCGATCAAAGAGCTCATTCGGACCCGAACTATGTCGGAATAATTTGTACAAAGACAAACGTGCGTGATTTGGCTCAAGAAGCCATCGAGAACGCACGTTTCGTCTGCGAGGACCACTACGGTCTTTTCGATGCGCCCAAGGTCCAGCTCGTCTGCAACCCCGATCTCAACTTCATGTACGTTCCAGGCCATCTGTCGCACATGCTTTTCGAGACCCTCAAAAACTCTCTCCGTGCCGTCGTCGAGACCCACGGTCAAGACAAGGAAGACTTCCCTGTCACAAAAGTCGTCGTGGCAGAAGGAAAAGAAGACATCACTATCAAGATCTCAGACGAAGGCGGCGGTATCCCAAGAAGCGCCATTCCACTCGTCTGGACCTACATGTACACCACTGTCGACCAAACGCCTACTCTTGACCCTGATTTTAACAAGAGCGACTTCAAAGCTCCGATGGCAGGTTTCGGTTATGGACTGCCCATCTCGAGGTTATACGCTCGGTACTTTGGTGGAGATCTGAAGCTGATCAGTATGGAAGGGTAAGTGCCAAGTACTATCTTGCGACATGCAACTATTCGCTAACACGACGTTCAGCTACGGTACTGACGTATATCTCCACCTAAATCGCCTGTCTTCCTCTTCGGAGCCACTCCAGTGACAACGACCAGTCATGAGGGATGAATGGTTTCAGCCAGTCATCGACAGACCGATGGTTGACGAAGGCTCACCATCAGATTTCCCATCCCAAGGATTGACGCGCCAGCCACAGAGAGCCCCTTTAAAGAAGCCCTCTATGCAGAACATAAGTCTGGCCATGGCATCTCGCGCGATGAAATTGAAGCGTGTTGCAACTCGTGAAGTTAGCGAACGACGACAGGTCGGAGACGCTGAAGAGATGGTCAATGGTCCTCAAGACAACGCCTCGCCCTGGTGGAAACATGTTAGTATGGAAGAGGGTATGTGAGAACTCATACTACCTCATCGTTACATGTTCAGAGAAGCGCTTGTGCTGCACCTCATGGTTTTCTATGTTCTCCTTTTCTCTTTCTCTTGTTCTTACGACGATGCATGGCATTAGGCGTTTTCGGTGGATTATGTTGTAACAATTGGAGATGATGTATATTCCAGTCTCTTTCTCATACCGACTGTACTATTGTGTAACTGTGCTTAATTGGAAATGTATATCGGCGATCACTTCAGTTGTGACCATAGTAATGCATCTGACCGAGTCGTGAAAGCAGCCTCTCCGGCCCCACGAATTTGTTTGCGACGCGTCTTCCACGAGCTCATGTCCACCAACCGTCAATAAGCCATCGCAATTCCTTAATACAATAACACAAACTACCGGTTCGGTAGCCTCCAACAAAAAGAAGATCCATCGTCGGCGTAGACTTCATACACAACAAGGCATAAAACGAAGCAATGACAACACAAACATGGCCCTCAGTCACGCCAGTGCACATATCAAAAAACATTTCTATATCATCAACATTGACGCCGGACGCCAACAACCCACTTCCGCAACTCTTACACACCCCATCCGGCCTAGCAATCCTCGAACTACAAGGGACCATAAACTTTCCCACAGTCACTGCACCCGAAGGATCATCTCCTCCGGACACCAACGCCTCTACAGAAGTCGGTCGCTTGGCATTTCCTCACTACACAGAAGGCGTCTCGGATCCAAATGGCGGAGCATGGATGAAAAGGGTGTACTTCTACATTGGCAGGCATCAACGCATGACCGGTGAGATCAAGAAGCTCGGCAAGCCTGTGGCAGTGTTGAGGAAAGCGGAAGGCAAGGAAGACGGCTCGGTTGAAGTGGTAGAGATTGTGAGGTACAAGATTCTGTTTGGTAGTCGACCGGAACCTGTCAGCGAGGAGTGAAAGGATTCGAAGGAAGAGAGAGATGCTCTGGGTGGGCACGACGCAGTCTTTGCAGGATTCAATGCGGATGCACATAGCAAAGAATTCTGCTTAAGTTGATGTGAGATGACGAGTCTTACGGAAAGCTGCTGCAGATGGTTGACCATGGACATGGACATCAAACCTCAAGACTCGTGCCTCTAGCGGATCTAGCTTGGGAGACCAGCCAGGCGATATCAAAAAGTGAAGTCGTTTTTGTCGGCTGGAACACCCGGGCCAATCACCAAGTTTCATGTATTTGTGCACTTCGAGGACGGAATAATGCTACTGATTCTTTATAACATCAATCGGAATTCATTGCCGTCATTGTGAGATCTAGACACTCCGTACAGTAAGCACTACAATCAAGCGTTCGCAGGTGATGCTTATGTTATCGCGCATGCTCAGCAAAGCTCGGCCAAATGTGTGGCCGACGATGTCTCGACATTCTCTGCCGCGACGCATGAGTTAGTGCTAGGAGAGTAGCAGTGCTCACCCAGCAAATGAGTGGTCGGCGTCGTCATCTCGCAGACTCCAATAGCAAGGTGCGAAAAACACATGAACATGCGATATTATGCAACACGGTCGCATTGTTGCCGCTAGGGCTCGTCACAACCGAGGGAGTCGGGGATGCAACAACGAGCCCGAGTTTGCCGATCTTTTTGACACTACGTGCAGGGCGGCAGAACATGGCCGTTGCGGGTCGCGCCTGTCAAACGAGCAAACTTCCTCATGTCAAGGTTCTACGAGACGAACTCACTAGGATGTCTCTGGACATTCGTCTGGCCGTCGGATCATATCACCGCCATGACGCCGTGCCGAGCCTAGAATCGTGCAGTCTTGTGATGATTTTCATCGACTGTCCGATGCATATACGAACCATGTCAGAAGATGAGGTGGTATTTGTACGACCCGCCTACAATAGCGCTTACCGGTCGTGATCATCAGCATTGGCTCCCTTGTAGTCGGCAACCGGCACCAATACGTGATGCCTTACGAGTGTAACTATAAAGTGTTACTTCATCTTCCTGCTGATCAGTCTTGTTCTCTTGTTTGTTCATCATTCTGCACCTAACACCAGACACCGACTCCGCAATTGATGTCATGGAGACTCCAGCCCACTCTCATGCTCTGACCATCGTCAGTAGTTTTGCTGCTCTGGTGATGCCTAGTTTCTCTACCGACAACCACCAAAACTGACAAACTCCAGTACTTCGCATATCAGTTGCTTAACGTCATATACACTATATTCTTCCATCCATTGAGCAATGTTCCTGGTCCTTGGTATCTTGCTGCCTCGCGCATCCCGTACATACGCCACAGTCTGAATGGTACCCTGTTATCGTGGATGCAAGAACTACACGAGAAGTATGGTGAGATCGTTAGATACAGCCCAAACGAGGTAAGCACTTGACAACTACAGCTGTCCAAAACGATCTCGATTGTCTGCATTCTTCACGAGACAAGCCAGGCTGATATCTGGCATAGGTGTCTGTGATCTCGGGTAAAGAACAAAATCCGTGGCAGGAGATTTACGGCTTTCGCACTGGCAAACAGAAGCACACCGGAAGTTTTGAGAAGGACCCTGCCTGGTACCCTACACCGATGGGTGGAGTTCCTCACCTCATTGCCGCCCCAGGAGATAACCACGGCCGGCAACGACGTGTCATCAGTCACGCATTCTCTGACAAAGCCCTTAGAGAACAAGAAGGCTTGCTCCAATCTTACGTCGATCTTCTCATCTCGAGATTTCGCGACATCTCAGACCATTGCCCGGACTACGCTTCGGGTGGTGACGGATGGGACTCTACCGGCAAGATCGAGCTTTGCAAATGGTACAATGGCTTCACATTCGATGTCATCACCGATCTGAGCTTCGGGCATCCTTTTGGTTCTTTGGCGGACATGAAACAACATCTCTGGGTCAGCAACATCCTCGAAAGTCTCAAAGCTGTGAAGTTCGCCTACGTCACGTACTACTTTCCGATCGTCAGGAATATGGGCTCCTTGATTATCAACAAATCGCAGATCCAAAAACGTGCTGAGCTTTTCCAGTTGGTCAAAGCAAAGACTGCAGACAGAGTCGCTGCGGAAACACAACGACCAGATTTCATATCTTCCATCTTGCAAAACTCGGAAGGTGAGGGCAAGAAAGGTGAGGGCCTTCGCAAAGGCGAGCTTGAGAGTAACCTTGGTATATTCCTCGTGGCTGGTACGGAAACAACAGCGACAACATTGTCTATCGGCAGCTATCTTCTGCTCGAACATCCGGCTGTGATGGACAAACTCAAGCATGAGATCCGAAGTCGCTATAAGAGCAATGGCGAGATCACTGTCGATTCTCTTGTCCACCTTGAATACCTGAACGCCTTCATTCACGAGATCTTGCGTTGCTATCCTCCTGTTCCTGCGGGCTTCCTCAGAAAGGTACCGGAGACAGGTGCGGATGTTGCTGGAGTACATTTTTCAGGCAAGGGCAACGTGAGTCCTTCGTCATCTAGTTTCTTTGTCGTCATTTATCACTTACATGGAATTCAGGCCTCAATCTCTGTCAGCCAATACGTCGCCAATCGCTCTGCTCTCAACTTCGCCGAGCCAACGCGATTTGCTCCAGAGCGTTGGCTTTCTAAACCCCCACAAAAATTCGCCAACGACAATCTCGCGATTGTGCAACCTTTCTCTTTCGGGCCTAGAAACTGCTTGGGCAAGAACCTCGCATACGCAGAGCTTCGCTTGGTGTTTGCGAAAATGTTGTTCAACTTCGACATTGAGCTGGATCCAAGAAGCGCTGGATGGGAGAAGAGACTTGAGCATCACACTCTGTGGTACAGACCTGATCTGTGGGTGAAGTTGACGGCGGTCACAGAATGAACGAGACCATGAGTGTATCGGCATCTGGTCGATATCGATGAGGAACGGAATGTCATGAAATCTTTGTTATCAAGGACATCCTTATGTTGTCACAAACCCCTCTCCGTTTGCAAGACCATGTGAGACAGAGAGCTATACAATTGCACAACAAGTTCGAGAAACAGAGCATTATCCACAGAGATGCGGTGAATCTTGAGCTCTCCTTGGATTTGTCTTTACGTTGACAGATACTATGCCTTTCTATAGTGACTACTCCGTGGACCTTTGTAGAGGAAGGACACGAGATGCGCACTTGCATCCCAGTTCCTTGACGAATTGACATTGTGGAAGGTGAGGTCATAAATTGTATTGCATGTGATCGTTTCTAAGTATGCAAAATCATGGTCCATGCTTCCATCGACAGCATGACACGCGGTTCAGGAAGTGTTTGCTTCCCCAAGCTGTAGTTCCACACTCTCACTGCTGATGTTCTCGTTGATATGACTGTCACCGATCATGTCCGAGAGCTCTTCGTCCGTGATCTGCGATGCTGGTTTCGCCCACACAGCTTTCCACGCACCTTGCGTCTTGATGCGATAGACTTTTCCGTCCTTTGGAATCCAGGGAAACGAGAGGTTGACTTCTCTGCTGGCAGTCGACTGAGGAGAGACTTCTACTACTGCATCGCGGGGAGGAGGGAGCTTTCTGTTGACCTTCATCTGCGGCCCCGGTACTGCCTCTCCGGTCTCGGCATCTTCCAGCGTCAGAGCTCCGATGTTCAGAGCCTGTTCGTCCAGAGGGGTGTTCCAGGTGAGCAACGAGAATGTGTGTTTCGGGCTCTTATTCTCGATGGTGACTTTGAGGACAGATGGAGACGAGCCAGAGGACAGTTGGATCTTGAGATCGGACGAAGACATGTTGTAGGAGGTTGGGGTGTTGTATCTGTATATGGCGGCGAGGGAAACAAGGCAAAGTAAAGACACGAAAACTCTCTGCACTGCCATGGGTGGTAGATGCCAAAGCAACGATGTGAGTTGTTAGTTGCTGGAGCTATATCATGTGAGTTGTCCTCTAATCAACAAGGCGTCAACATGCGGTCGGTCAGGAACGGAAGGTCGCATCGCTCAAGTGCGATAAAGTGTATGCATTATCTGCCCCTCGTCAACGACAATATAGGCGCATAGAACATGAAACTTGAGAGCTAGGAGAGTCGCGACACGAAGTGGAGCTTCGCGAGGCTTGGCACTTGCGTGCCTTCCTGTTCTGGCTGCCAAGTTCTTGGCCATCCTGCGACTACTACAACTCGAGGCTCGATCAACGGTCTTCTGGTATATCGAAGCAACCAGCCCTCTCGTACAGCTGTACAACCCACGCGATACGGACGCAGCAGCAGCAGCAGCCTCGGGATTATCACAACCTCGGCGTTGAGAACTCGCCAACTGTCACAGGACAGGTTTCGGGTGCGCTCAGCAATATACGCTCTCGACCCAAACGCCATCTTGTCTTGTGAATGGAGATGCCATTGACTATTCCATGAGCATCGATCTCACTATACGATACCATACAGATCACATACACCCACACCGCTGCTTATCTGGTCTGAGGATCTTCCTACAAGAACAAAGGCTTTTATAGAAGGCAACAATTCAACATTCGACTTCGATGACTCGGCTAAAAGAATATGGAAGTGGTCAAGACCTGCCGTCAAGTAGACGACAACAAGTGAACCCTGGTTTAAGCTTTAGCTTGTACTGCGCTCAGACGACATCAAACGAGGCTAATGCTCCTATATCTTTACGACCGAGAACATCGACCAATCGCTGTAGTTTCTTTGGATGTGCCACTTGATGCTAGGAAGTGCCAAATGATCCAGCAGATAATCTAACCAATCCGGCCGTGAGACATAGCATCGGGTACATCTCCTTGTAGTAAAACTTTCCACAGATGAAGCCAGATCACCACGCAGTAACCTTTCCCCTCACATGGCCATGCAGGTCCTACCGCTCATCACCATTCTACCGACCACATACCCTCTAGTTTGCATGTCGATATCGTGCCCAAGCTATATTCGCCGTTTCTTAATATGCCCAAGCGGCCAATAACATGAACTCTACTAATCTACTACAGCTACAGCATGTATCGAGGAGGTCGCCTATGGCAGATAGCTAAGATGAGAACATCGGGAAGGTCATCATGGTCTTCGACGTCTTCACTGGGCGTAACAGGATACAAATACGTGTAGGTCCCTCGCACAAAACATCTCATCACAACATCACTTCAACCTTCGTTCCACCTTCCTTCGTTTCTCACACAATCCCCCAAGACTTTCCGCAGCCTACAACCCTTTTGTATCCAATCATGAAGATCACTCTTGCCCAGTTCCTTGCATTGGCAGCTACCGCCAACTGCGCTGCAATCAACCTCGAGACTAGAGCCACTCCCCTCGATGTCAAGCTTACTTCTCTTGGAAACTCCAAGGTCAAGGCCGAGATCACCAACAACGGCGATGCCAGCTACAACCTTTTCTACAAGGGTACTTTCCTCGACACCGAGGCTCCCGTTGACAAATTCCATGTCTCTACCGCCGGTAAGTCGTTCTCAGCACTTCTCTCCTTGATGACATAGGTACTGATGATTTGTTGCAGAATCCAAGGCTCCTTTCACTGGTATTCTGCAGCGCCTGGCTTACACTCAGCTGAGCGAGGACGTCTTCAAGCCCATCATGGCCGGTCAGACAATTGAGGTCGAGGTCGAACTTGCCGAGCTTTACCAGCTCTCCTCCAGCGGAAAGTACGATGTTCTCGCAGCTGGTGCCATCCCATATGCTGAGCTCAACTCTACCGCTCTGACTGGAAGTGCCCTTGCCTTCACCAGCAACACACTCTCCGTGGACGTTGATGCCGCCGAAGCAGCCAAGGTCGAGAGCGCTGTCAGCAAGCTCTCGAAGCGCACCACCATCCAGAGTGATTGCACCGGTACTCGCCTCACCGCTGTTCGCTCCGCCCTCAGTAACTGCCAGAAGTTGGCCACCGCTGCTGCCACTGCTGCCACCTCCGGCTCTGCTAGCAAGTTCCAGGAGTACTTCAAGACCACTTCGTCCAGCGTCCGCAGCACTGTTGCCGCACGCCTGAGAGCCGTTGCTTCCGACTGTGGCTCGACCACCGGCGGCAAGACCCGTACTTACTGCACTGACATCTACGGCGGATGCTCGTCTGGTGTCCTTGCTTACACCCTCCCCTCAAACAACTACATCGCTTACTGCCCTCTCTTCTTCAGCGACCTCCCTGGACTTACTGGTCAGTGCCACGCTCAGGACCAGGCCACCACCGCCTTGCACGAGGAGACCCACGCCCCTGGCGTTTACAGCCCCGGTACTGAGGACAACGGCTACGGCTACAGCGCTGCCACTCGTCTCTCCAGCTCTGCTGCAGTCCTCAATGCTGATTCGTATGCCCTCTACGCCAACGCCATCTACTCTGGATGCTAGATCAGCAAGCTTGGCCGCCATCTCATGAGATTTCGCGCGTAGTGTTCATCCTCTGTCTGTGGATCCACGCTGGCTCTGTTCAACACAGCGTTGTCCAGTCTGGCCTCAGCCGAGGATCTGATACAGGTGCGACTATTTACTCTGGAAAAGCGAGACCCTGATTACGGGTGTGACGATTTCATTCTTAGCATGCATGTTTCTTTATCTATCATTGCAATATCCATCTGTTTTACCTCATCTTCTTCGTTGCCATACAATCTGTTTCGTGACTGCCAGACTGAGCTGTAGATTGCTGCAAAACAAGTGCTCCTACACATCCTCCCCCTATGCAAGATATGGTCACGCAGGTGGCTATAGAAATGCGCAGTCTTTTCAGTAATTGGGGAGCATCCAAAGAGAGTCGATATATTCTGGGCTCTCTGCGTACTTTGCCATTCCCGCCTATGTGTTGTCGTGAGAGCGGATCGACAGAGTTCAGCACATGATGTAGATGGATGATGTAAAACAACGGAACTGTTTCAATAAGAAGTGTGATGGCTTGGAACTCGGAAGCAAAAGAGAATGCAAAACATACAGCAGCAGGGATTCCCACGTGGTCACCCACCGTAGTACTAATCTGCCGTTCAACTGCTTATGTATGGCAGAGCGGACGGGATGCCCAGTTTTCAGCTGACTGTGGCCGTATGTGCTTAGACCCAATGATGTATTGGTTATAACCCTATTCTTTTTGCAGCTCTATGCTGCGCCCAGCCGCTTGGACCCTAGATCCCATCACCGGAGACCTTGACGTTCGTGGATTTCGTGGTCGGCTCGCCAGTATCTGATGTCCGATGAATCTTCCAGCGTCAGTGAGACTAGGAGTAAAGTCGTTGCGATCAACCTCGTAGATCAACACGAATACGATGCGACAAAGTCCTAGCCTCACCGTATGTCAAACATTATGGATCTTCTGTCTTCATCCAGCGTCTCCCCTATAGCAAGGCACAATGTTCCTTATACTATAGATGGAGCCAACGAGAGCCGAGAGGATATTCTTCTTGAAAAGATACTCTCTGGTTTTCTCAGAACTATCGTGCATTCTCATAGCAGGAAGTCTCAGATATCTTTGCATACGAGAAGGGGGCTCAAGACGACAAGGTTCGGACCCCTCGACGCGTGTCTGTGCAGTTTCTCCGCAAATATGGATGCCTGTTTCACATGCTTCCAGGAGACACGCAGGTGCAGAGTCGTATTCAACTCTTCAAATGTCCAGAATCTTCTTCATGCATCGCCCCATGCTTTTGACGTGTTCGCTATGCGAGCTTTATCGCGCATCCTCGTCGGCGGGTTGATACTGGTGACGCTGGTCTGGCTTAAAGGTCAATTCGTCAAGCTTCATCAGTCCATCCTCGAACTCGACAGATTATCACAGGACGGCGGGCTATTGAGCCATATACACTCGAATGGCAGTAATGGCTTGAACAACTCAGTAGAAGATCCGCTGATAGCGGTCATGAACGCCATCAACCACTCTTTCCTCAACGGCACCATCGAGAAACTTGCGACGCCCAAGTCTGGCCTGCGAGACACGAGGAGTAAGGTGGTCGTGGTTGTCAAAACTGCAAAGGAGAGAACGCAATGGGTTGAGAGCATGCTGTCCAAGTGAGTCTTTGTACGTAGCACATGTCCGAGTGGTGTTGACCTCTTATTCTAGTTGGCAACACGCGATCTATGTCACCGATGATCGGAAAGCACCCTTACACACTGCGAGAAACAAAGGCAGAGAAGCAAATGGCTACCTCACCTATATCATCGAGAACTACCACCAGCTGCCCGAAACAGTCGCCTTCATACACAGCCATCTCAGCTCCTGGCACAATGATCAAAACGCTGCAAAAGCACTACAGTTGCTGAATATCGACTTTGTGCAGAAGAATGGATACGCAAACTTCAGATGCCATACCACCCCAGGTTGCAATCCAGCAGAGATTCAGCCGTTCCGCAACAAGAAAGAGCAAGCCGGTATAGACAAGCATGAGGCAGAGACCGAGAGAGCCTTTGCCAAGGCATGGACTGAACTGTTCAACTCGACCGCCGTTCCCGAACAGATCGGAGTGGCCTGTTGTGCGCAGTTTGCTGTGTCTCGGAAGCAGATCCTGCAAAGACCGCTTGCGCATTACATCTGGTTCCACAGCTGGCTGATGGAGACTTCGTTGAGCGATGCGACTGCAGGAAGAGTGATGGAATACCTATGGCACATCATCTTCGGTCAGGAAGCCGTCTACTGCCCAAAGGTCCATCAGTGTTTCAGGAGTGTCTATGATATATGGGATATCCTGTCGTAGAAGCCACAGCGCTTCCATTGTTGGGACGAAGGAATCCCGCTACTGTATAGATAGTCCACGCCATGCGGCACAGTCTGAGATTCAGCCGCCGGTTCGCTCTTCCTCCCACCCTTGCAAGACATTCCTGCTCTGCCACATCGCTTACCCGGACAATTATTGCTCCTGAACAAACACAACCAATCGATGACACAGAGCTGAGGGGAGCCGGTGACTGTGAGTAGAATTATTGTCTCTTCCTGAAGAAGCCGACTCTTTGAAATCCGAGGTCGGGCCCACGGATGGACCAAGCTTGTCGAGACTGAACAATAGCCGTCCAGAACCCAGGGAGAACGGAGTTCCTTCGGCAAGGTAGGCACTCGTCACCCGAACGTACGTGCCTTGCACAAAAGAATGCACAACTTCCACCCTTTATCGTGCTCTGACGATCAGAGTTCTGGCTGCTTGCAAGCCAAACAGCGTTGGAACATTCCAATTGACCGTTGCACGGCGCAGCGTGACCACTTGACGTATGCCAAATAATTTTAAGCCTCTCGAGTCTAGCCAAAACCCAAGCGAAATGATAGCCGGATTGCAGGCAGAGAGATGGCACCGAAAGCTCCCCTCGTCCGTGCCAGCTCCCCGCACCTGCTGCTGCTTGGCCCTATGAGCATTAGCCACAGCCAAAGAATATATAGGTGGGGGGTACAGAATGAAATGAGCTCGCACAAAACCTCCGAATTCCCCTGTTCCTGATCTCGTACGACTTGTGTCTCTGTGGTCTCGACATTCTATACATCTGTAGCAGCTTCAGACAGCTCTTTGCGCGCTATAACCAAAGTCACCAGCTACTTAGCACGATTCCAAGCAAGACGCCAATCCCTGAGCTGCCCATTACCCGGCTCGGAAAACCGTTTCGACTCGAGTGGCATTATAACCCCTCTGTGCTCGAACATCTGCGGCCACACTTTTTTCGGTCCTCCCTCTTTCTCTCTTATTCTTACCCACAACCTTTCACACAATGTCTGACGGAGATGTCAAACCGCCAACGTCCTCTGTTGTCCCTGAGGCACACGAGGTAGACACTTACCATGTGCCGAAAGCCTTCTTCGAGTGAGTTGCGAGCCCGCGTGTCCTTGGCGTTACGCGATGCTAACAAAATCTTGCAGCAAGCACCCCGACAGCAAGCCTCATCTAGATGGCCTTGACCACTACAGAGAGCTTTGGAAGGAGTCGATCGAGAAGCCAGACCAGTTCTGGGGTCGCATGGCTCGCGACCTGCTCACGTGGGACAGGGACTTCCAGACTGTGCACAGTGGCTCCCTCGAGAACGGCGACAATGCATGGTTTGTCGAGGGTCGCTTGAACGCATCCTACAACTGTGTGGATCGCCACGCCTTCAAGAACCCTGACAAGACAGCCATCATCTACGAGGCTGACGAGGTCAACGAGGGCCGCAAGATCTCGTACGGCGAGCTCCTGCGCGAGGTCTGCAGACTGGCCTACACTCTCAAGCAGATGGGTGTCAAGAAGGGTGACACTGTTGCCCTGTACATGCCCATGATTCCCGAGGCTGTCATTGCCTTCCTTGCTTGCTCTCGTATTGGTGCTGTTCACTCAGTCGTCTTTGCCGGATTCTCATCCGACTCGCTGAAGGACCGCATCATCGACGCAGACACCAAGGTCGTCATCACCACCGATGAGGGCAGACGTGGCGGCAAGCTCATTGGCACCAAGAAGATTGTCGACGACGCACTTAGCAAGTGCCCCGACATCAAGCACTGTTTGGTGTATAAGCGCACTGGTGCAGATGTGCCCATGACCGAGGGTCGTGATTTGTGGTGGCATGAGGAGGTCGAGAAGTACCCCAACTACATCGCCCCCGAGCCCATGAACTCCGAAGACCCCCTCTTCCTTCTCTACACATCTGGCTCAACCGGAAAGCCCAAGGGTGTCATGCACACCACCGGTGGTTACCTCCTGGGTGCCGCTGCCACGGGTAAGTACGTTTTCGACATCCACGACCAAGACATCTTCTTCTGTGGTGGTGATGTTGGTTGGATCACTGGTCACACATACGTTGTTTACGCACCTCTGTTGCTGGGTGTTGCAACTGTCGTTTTCGAAGGTACTCCCGCGTACCCCGATTTCAGCAGATACTGGGACGTTGTTGCCCAGCACAAGGTCACACAGTTCTACGTTGCTCCTACCGCTCTGCGACTTCTGAAGCGTGCTGGTGACCACTTTGTCAAGCACGAGATGGAGCACCTGAGAGTTCTGGGCAGTGTTGGTGAGCCAATTGCTGCAGAGGTGTGGAAGTGGTACTTTGAGATTGTCGGAAAGGAGGAGGCTCACATTGTCGACGTAAGTTGCAAACCCCATATTCATCGCGGGTCAATTCTAACGCTTCACAGACGTACTGGCAAACAGAGACCGGCTCGCACGTCATCACTCCCCTCGCTGGTGTCACTCCTACCAAGCCCGGCAGTGCTTCCCTTCCCTTCTTCGGCATCGAGCCCGCAATCATCGACCCCGTCTCCGGTGAAGAGCTTCACGGCAACGACGTTGAGGGTGTTTTGGCCTTCAAGCAGGCATGGCCCAGTATGGCCCGTACCGTCTGGGGTGCACACAAAAGATACATGGATACATACCTGAACGTCTACAAGGGATACTACTTCACTGGTGACGGTGCTGCTCGTGACCACGAAGGTTACTACTGGATCCGTGGCCGTGTCGATGACGTTGTCAACGTTTCCGGTCACCGCCTGTCCACTGCTGAGATCGAGGCTGCCTTGATCGAGCACAACGCTGTTGCTGAAGCCGCTGTCGTCGGTGTGGCCGACGAGCTCACTGGTCAGGCAGTCGCCGCCTTTGTTGCCATCAAGAACGGCAACGAGGCCAACGACGCTCTTCGCAAGGACTTGATTATGCAAGTAAGAAAGAGCATCGGTCCTTTCGCTGCACCCAAGGCCATTCACGTGGTCCCCGATCTTCCTAAGACCCGCTCTGGAAAGATCATGCGCCGTATCTTGCGCAAGATTCTGGCTGGTGAGGAAGACCAACTTGGTGACATCACTACTGTAAGTTCCCAGAACACGAACTCGATGATGAGAATGGACACTAACTTGGTTCCTAGCTCTCGGACCCTTCAGTCGTCGAGAAGATCATCGAGGTTGTGCACGCCAGCAAGAAGTAAATGCATTGCAACGACTTTGACGCCCAGCTTTGCGACCATTTTCTTTTGGATACCACTTTTTTTTCGTTTTTTCAAAATCATGTCTACGGACCTGATACGAGCCGCCCATGGACGCTGCAGGACTACTACTTACTACATCTTAACTACTTTCAAACCTCTGAAACATTTCCCCTACCATCATCATCGTGCCATCCATTTGCGTAAACCTGTCTCGTCTAGCGTAAGGCGATCAATTCACGTGCTATGCCCAAGGTGTATTCTTCTCAGGGCTCCGCAGACCTTTGAGGCAAGAGAAAGCACTGCCAGATCGATTGCGATAGTGGTGAGCTATGAAAATCACTGCATCTATCTCAGACACTGAGGGCTCTGCCGAGGAGGAAAATCACCTGTATATAGTATCAGACGAGGCTCGGGTCGTCACGTCGAGAGGGACAAGACAGATGCGGCTGAAAAAGACAGAACCCTAGGCGACAAGGTGCAATTTAACATGTCTAAATTTGACGAGTGATTAAGCGAAATATCTACTCTAGGCCTCATTGTCCGTGTTTCTGCTGCTAACAGAGCTGGCCACTTCCTCCGAGACAGGAACCTCGGAACCCAAGGAAAAGGAAGTTGAAAGGGGACCTCAGCATTGGTTTCCTCGGATCGTTGGTGTGTCATGACTGCGATTTCTCAAACAAAGACATCATCCACGCTGCGGTGACGATTTACTCAACGAAATAACCTTGATTCCTCGGACGTTCTCGTGTTTCGTCTTTCGCCGACGCCGCCCGGGACAGCGACTTGTTCGCAAGGAGGCTGGCTCCAGGTGACGGCCGTGGACGGGTAGGAAGGGACTACCTATCTTCTGTTACCTGTAGAGCAAAAAGAAGCCTTGGAAGATCTTCAGGAACTCGTGTGGGACCAGCCGTTTGTTAGCTTGTTTGAAGGTGGTCACCTCCGTCTGTTCCTGCCTTTGCATCTCGCTGGTCTCTATCAATTGAAAACACGAGAGTTTGCGAACTTTACGAGATGAACCGACATGTTCAGTTGCGTGCTCTGTTGCTGTTTGCGGCATACAGGCCGCCCGGTACGACAGCCAAAACCATGTCTTCGTCGGATGAGGGCGTTGCAGGTTGAAAAGCTGAAACGTACCAGCTCGAAGGGAAAGTGCACAAGCTTCCCCACGTTTCCAGCGTAGATCTTTGATGATCATCGATCTTGCTCGCTTTTCCGGTCGCTACTCCCTTGTCGACTTGGTTCTATAGCCATGTTTTGATGGACCGTGTCGTTGGGCTCTCCAGAGCCTATGTCATGCTTCTCAACCTCTTTGTGCAGTGGACTGCATATTCTTGAGCAGCTCCAGCCGTGACCACTACTATCATGTCAATCTCATCATGGCACCCATCTGGCGATCAGGAACATAGGACGTGGAAGCCAGATACACAATCACGACATTGACCGATTCCATCATGGCATATCTGCCGGAGCTCAAGTTTCCGATCGTACAACTTGATATGAGAGAAAATTTCTGTAAGTGCGGGAGTTGATGTCAGACAACGAGGCCGGCCAGTGACACGTCTCAGGTTCGGCCTTAAAGAGCCCTAAAACAAATTAGCGTCATTGTTTCTGGGTTCCAGAGGTCTCAGACGCAGCTGTCTTATACTATGGCGACGGCCCAAAGTAACAGCCTGCCTCGTGTCGTTCAACCAGTCTTGTTCCGATTCTACGGTTCGTCACTCCTTCCAAGCCTCATTCTTCCTTTGTTCGTACCAAACTGACTTGCATCTCTCAGCTCCTTTTCGGCAACCACTGCCTCTTCTGAAATTCTGAGAAACATTGAAAACGTAGTCGACTCTACACACTTTAGCTTCGCGTGTGAAACACTGCCAGCATTGAAAGATCAGAAGCCTCAGGAAAGTGCTTCTCGACTCGAACCCGTAGAGGGCAAAGCCCTACTCGACTTCCTCAGCATACACAACCCATTGCCTCACGTATGTTTCTAAATACTCGAGACCAGTTTGCACGTGTTGACTGTCGTCCAGTAAGCGTACCATCAGTATGTCTGGCAGCGGTGCATATGCACTGTTTCCCAGATCAGACAGCCAAATCCCGCCCATCAGATACAAGCTCACACAGTCTCCTGGAGAGAGAGCAAAGCTCGTTCTAGTGAATGAGGCAGCCGGTCTCGAACCCAAGCCTCTCTTCAAAGAGGTTGCTCGGGGCCGTGGAGTAGTGAGAGGTCACCGTCAGGAACACTCGGATGTACTACCATCACGCAGCGGGGAGGATGTCCGTTTGACGCAGGTGACCCATGAGAAGCAGAGGTCTTTGTCTTCAAATCCTGGTCGACAACGATCAATGGTTGCTCAGGAGATGTACAGCCGACCTAGGGATGCTAGATCAGCAGAAACACTACCGCCTACCATTTTGCAATCAGCAGCTCATGAAACACCGCGGAAGGTCTCGATTGGCGGTCCGCTGGAGAAGTTGGGAGCGAGGATCATGGCAAGGAAAACCTCACGAGACGAGACACCTAACATGGTAAGAAAGAGTTCACGAGACGATGGCTTTTCGACAACCCGCAAGGGCTCACGGGATGAGATCACCGCATCGTTGAGGAAAGCTTCACGAGACGAGACACCTACACAAAGAGTGACCAACTTCGAGGACGAGTCCTCGGAAGCAACAAGGAGTACGCCGCGACTCCAGCTTACGACTGTGCCAGAGGTCCGCGATGAATCTATCATGCACCGAGGCCGTCCAATATCACGACGAGACAGCAAGAGAGGAAACAGCGCCGATCCTTTCTCTGGAAACTTGAGCCCTCGTTCTCACTCAGCGACTCCTACTTACACACTACCCCAAACGTGCTACGCACCTTCCATTTCTTCCACTCAGCCGTCGCCTTCGAAATATTCAACGCCCGCCCGCCCATCTCTTTATACGTCCGCTTCCACACCCTCCGTCCCTCGACTTCCTTCTATACCATCATCGTTATCAGTACCTAATACCGCTCGCCCGACGTTTCATCAATCTGCCTCGTCATCTGCCATTCCTTCCCTTCAATCCTCATTCTCAGACTCCTACCATCCACGGAAAGACTCGCTAGATCCCGTCGGCTTCCGCACGGATGGTCCATTCCGCGTCGTCCGCGCCCTTCGCGAGATCGACAAATCCTGTTTTCGTCTCTTCGACGAATGCGAAGCCCTCCAGCAAGAACGACAAGCCTTGCACACGGAAATGCTATCGGTGTTGAACAACAAAAACTTCAACGCAGGACATCTGGCGATCATCAGACAACAGCAGCAAGATCTGGTGGATCTGGATGTCAAAATCGACGCTCACATGCACAACATCATGAATCGACAGCGTCGAAAGACCAAACTGGTAGACGGACTTCCAGAAGTTCAAGAGATGGACAAGGCGGAAGAGTTGAAGGAGCGAATGGCCGCGAGAGAGGCAGAGAAGCCGAATGGCGTTGCTATGACTCCGGCCCGTAGAGACGCTTCTCCTTGGGGTGCTCGAGAGAGTTCGTTGAAGCCTTCCGTGCAGGTGAATGGGTTGTTGTCGCCACCTCCGACGTCGAAAGCGCAACAGAGAGGTACCGTCACTTACTCGGCCATTATGGATTTCCTTGACGAGTTTGACTAGACGGCCTTTTAGAATTAATTTCTTGTAAATGAATATTCCTCCATGTCTCGTATACTTTTTCCTTGTCTCATCCTTTTCACCGCTTGTTGGTGTCTAGCAGTAATCACGGTTGCGTGTTGAAGATAGTCCGTGAGGTCCGACAACATGTGAAAGAAAAACACCATCTCAGGAGTATTGACAAAATCAAGAACAGAGAAGACGAAAGAAGGAAAGCCAACCTAAACCAACTTGGAAATCACCAAAGCACCCGACTAGTGAACATAAAACAGAGCATCCATCATTAATGTCATACATCGGTCCCTCAGAAAGGATTCCATCGCCAATCTTCACCACCTTCCAGACCAATCCAACAACTTCCAAGCTCCGCGAACAGCTACACCAAACACACCAAGTCGTCGATCGATTCCCCTGCCGGCTTGTATACGCTGAGCTATCTAAGCAGCAGGCCCATCATAGCAAATTTTCAAGCTAGCCGGGAAAGGGAAATACTGGTCCCAGCCCTCGAGAAGATAACAGTGATACGTCCACTCGGGCTTGAAGTCGACGTCAGGGGCGAGAGTGGAGAAGTCTTTGACGACCTTTTTGACGCTGTCGACGGGACCTGGCCAGACAGGTGCAGGACGGAGATTGGGCAGCTTGCAGAGGGTTTTGAGGATGGCGCCCATGGCGACCAGCGTCATGGGTTGGCCGAGGCATTGGTGGGGTCCTTGGCCTAGGTGGATGTATGATTCGATGGGACGGTCTAGTCTGATTTTTTCTGGGTCGGGGAAGATGTTGGGGTCGCGAGAGGCAGAGCGGAAGTTGACTGCGACTGTGTCGCCGACGTTGAGCTTGACTCTGCGGTCCATGTCTTCGACGATTGTTTCTTTGGCGACGGTGCGGTAGACACCAGTTTCGCTGTGGAGACGCGAGAACTCGAGGAAGTAGCGCATCATCTTCTCCTCAGCCTCGGGAGTGTCCTGAACAGCTATCTCGTGCAGAATGGGAAGGTACTCGCGACCCTCGCTGAAGAGCCAATCAATGACCTGGCCAAAGAATTGACCTTGGTTGGCGCACATGCTGCCCGCGGTGGGGATGATCTGTGCCCATACGAGCTCTTGAACATCCATGCCCGAAGTCTGCAACAGGCGTTCAACCATGTGCTTGCCGTACTGTGTGAGCACTGAACGGTCCTTGCCTGACCACCATTCACCAATGCGATCAACGGCCTCAGACATATGTGGCAACTTCGACAAAGCCTGTACCTGCATCTCCATGAGTTTGCCGACGGCCTGGATCGCGTCGTAAGCACCTTGTCGGAGAGCGAATGAGTGTTCAGGATCGACGTCGAAGAAGACGCATGCAAAGACAGCTGCCATTACAAGATACATCTGCTTTTCGGTGAAGGCACCATCTGGGTTGTCTTCCGTCTTTAGTGGAAGATTGAAAATTTCCGAGCAGAAGTGCACATGTACGATGTTGGACACGTCACGGATGAGATCCACATAGTTTGTGCCTGCAAGCTTGTACGAATGCTTTTGTAACAGCATCGAGGTGTGCTCTTGATAGAACTTGCGAACTTCCAAGAGCCACTTTTCGTTTCCTGTCGGTGCCGCGCGGGCGAATTTGCCGAGATACAGAGCCTGTTCTATCATATCGCGAGAAGCTGTGTTGGCTTTCGTATCACCCGCGAGCATGAAGTTCTTAGCTGTAGGACCCATAAGGAACTCGATCTTAGGACCCCAGTACACTTTGAATGCATCTTGGTCAAAGAGTACCTTCTTGGCAGCATCGTAAGAGAACAACATCTTCGTTGGTGGAAGGCGAGTCGGTCTGTCAAAGTTGTACTTGTGAGCTTTGCCCAAACCGGTCAAGACCTTCTTCATCTCAGAAGGCACAGTGAAAGGGAAGTGAACCCAGACTGAGTCGGGGCGGAAATGATTGGGGAAAGCCTTCATGAAGAGCTTGTACATGACGCAGCCGTGGTTGATCTTGAGATCTGAGCCTTGCTCCGCGAAACCCCAGTTAGTGAGTGCTGCAGGATGATGAGAGGTTGTGTAGAACCTATCACCACGTACTAAGACTGTGGCGTCTGAGAGGATGGCGCGAGAGGTTGTGTATGAAGGGCAGAGTCCCGATCCTGGACGCATCGAGAACTTTGCATCTTCAACTACCAGACCAGGATACAGCTCTACATTATCCGGGTGATCGTACAAATGTTTCAGAGACTCGGAAATCTCCTTGTCAGCAGTAATCTCTTCGAATGTTGAGTAAGGCTTCAAAGAGAAATGTTTCCTGAACTCGTTGAGTGTAGCAAGGTTCCAAGCTCTTGCTTGTCTGATGCCCAAGACTTCGATTTGCTTCATGACGAGAGGTACTTGACGAGGACCAAAAGCATTGGCACAGTCTTCGACACTCTCGACCAAAATTTTAGCAAGCTCATCGTCTGGCAGGGTTCCATCGGCGTTTCTCTTGATGTCATGGAAATTGCGGGCTACAGGATCTTGAGCTTTGAGGTCAACTTCCATGTGACCCAGAGTCTTCAGGAATTCAAGCTGAGGAACCTCGTCTGGCTTTCTTCCGGGGAAGAGTTTGGCGAACAGGTCTTGAGTCCATTTATCGTCCTTGTCCGAGACTGCCGAGTGCCAGCGATAGACCAGATTGAATTCGGCGCTGACCTGATTGCCGCATCCCAGGTCAGGCTGACCAGGGAATTCGGCGCGTGGATTGAGAGACCAGTCAGAGTCTGTTTTGTTGAGGTTCAAGATCGTTCTCACGTAGTCGACCAGAATGATGTTGATGTACAGACCACAAGTGATCAATCTGCCAGTCTGGAATAGATCGTTGTCATACTTGACCCATTTGTCTTTTGATGCATCCTCGGTAGGACGGGTAAATCTGCTGTTCTCGTTGATGAGGGCAAGTTGCTCGACAATGTAGTTGTGGAAACGGTTGAACATGATCATGATCACGCCAACACCTGGAGGGAAGGACAGAAGCCGAGTTTCCGCGAATGAGTCAAGCTTGAGTTTTCCGTCCTTGAAGGTCCTGACTGTGTCTTGTTCACTCTGATCGCTGCCATAAAGTGGAGACAGGTCTAGGTATGATGAAGTGTCTGAGATTCGGAAATCTCTGTGATTTGTTTTGAACAGATCGTGAATAATGATCGACGCCATATAGAACAGCATACTGGAGATCTTGTTGGGGTGCTCGGTAGGCTTGTCTCTGGCCATCAGGACGTCGAACAAGACAGCTGGATCGGGTAGGTTGCCTGGCTGGATGGTCGATGGCTTCACAGTACGGGCGTAGGCTTCATGAGCTGCTCCCAGACGAGGATGAAGATAGCTGTTGTCGGATCCGTCTGCACTACGATACTGGTATTTGTCGCTCATAAACGCTTTTGGGGGGTGATCGAGATCATTCCAGAGAGTGGTGATAAGGCCATTGGTGAGCTTTTGGCCGACCACATCGTTAGGGAGTTTCTGAGCAGCCTGGGATATCTAATGAGCAGGTATGCAAGTCGTTTGACGCGGAAAACATACACTGATCAAATGCTCCATGAGATATTCTTTGTCGTCAACGTAGGCCCCGCTCTTGGTCATGATAGTCATCTTTGCGACCTTCTCAACAGAGTCAAATTCGAGGTGGGAAACATCCTTGATGACGGTAGAAAGGGTCGAAGCAATTGTTTCGTCTCTCTCCACTGGTAATGCCGAACCGTCACCTGTGCCAGTCGGTAGGGGAGCCTTCATTGCGGACAAGAGAGTGCTCATTGCCCCAAGTGATTCGCGGACTTTGTCGGCCATGTCATCGAGGGCGGAGGGAGGCTGAGGAACGGACGTCTCGCCGAAATGGTTCATCTCGACTTGATTCACCATTGGCTGTTTCTTGTTAGTGGTGGTGATCTTTGGCGAGCTCTCGACATATACAACGCCATGGTCTTGATCAGAATCTGGCCGGAAACATGAGGCGCTGCTGAAGACTCGACGAAGCCCCTTCATACTGAAGATTTCTGGCAAGGAAAAAGAGGAGACAGACGAAAAAGAATTTAGAAAACCAAGCTGCTCACCTCAATCATATAGGTCAGCTTAAGAATGTTCGGTGCTAACAAATTAGGACGACGGGAGAAGAGGCTAAAACTAGGGACTCGAAGCTATACCCCAGGGGGCTGAAAGTATAATGGTTCAGCTTTCAGCTGAACAACGGCTGGACGATGGATACGGCTTTTCTAGAATGCGACGAAAGTTTGATAGACGAAATTAGGATGGAGAAAGGTGAGAGATTTGCAAAGGATGTGATGGTGATGAAGGGCGAGGAGTAAATGTCGAGGATGGAGAAGTGGTATTTTGTAGAAGGAACCATCTTTCATCAGATTGGGGTGTGCGACCATTTTAGGAACGAGGTCGGGCGCGGCTGAGGGTGACAACGCGGGCCGGAGCGACCAAAAGACGTGATCCTTTGGCAACGATGCTTGCCAGATAGCATGATCGTATACTTTCCTTGTCGACAGAACAATTTGGAGCGGGTGTGATTGGTGTGGCACAGAAATTGTGGAGACACTTGTTGGTGTTGGATGCCTCAGCACGGGCATGGCGGGCGCTGAGAAGTAGAGTTCGTATTCTAGCAACAAGGCTGAGGCTGTACAGTCATGATTGATAGCAACGCAGCAGGGGACAGTATTGGTCGAGTACATATGCACGACGAGAGGGAAGCTGCATGCAGCGTGTCGAGTCCAGCTCAGCCTGGATGCCTTGGGGGTTGTTTCCACCTCGGTGCTCGGGCAGAGCGAGGTAGGCAGTGTTGCAGCAACAAGCACAACTAGTGTATACGAAGTGATTGTACCTGTTGGAAATCCCATGAACCGACTTGGAGGGTTGATTGAGCAGCAACCAATGTCTCTTCTCTGCTTAGTTCGGCGGGACCTCGAGCAGGGGCTGTTCGGCGGTGGCTTTTCAAGGAGGAGCCGGCGAACCTCGGCACGTGGCAGGAGGAAGGAATGCTGCCAAAGCTTCATGTTAGCGCGAACAGGTCGCGACGGTTATCAAAATAATCATCCGGCGATCCGCTCTGCTCGTCTAAGTGTCCTCTTTCGAAAGGCAATCAACTTTGCATCAACCACAACACGGCATATCCGACATGGCCTCTAAACCCGTGAACTTGGTCATCAAACCTAGAGGTGATTACTGATAGCCATAGCTTCACCCGGCTCGAGCTGACAACCAGGGGCTAGGACGCACAATCAAGAAGCTTCCCAACGAGGCCACGACCTATCTGCAGGGCAGCACCGCAGACCTCTACCAGCGCATTGCCGCCGAGTCTGGCATTTCGGTCCATCGTCTGCGCCTGACCAAGGGCAGTGATGGCTCTCTCGTACCCAACGCAAAGGACTTTACCGTCGAGCGCACCGGTCTACGCAGCGACAGCGTCGTCTACGTGAAAGACCTGGGTCCGCAGATTGCCTGGCGCACCGTCTTCATCATCGAGTACCTAGGCCCGCTGCTCATCACCCCTCTCGTCTACTACCTGCGCCCCTACCTGTACAAGAATGCTCCCGCCGAGCCAACATACCTGCAGTCCCTCTCGTGCATCATGCTAGTCCTGCACTTTGCAAAGCGCGAGTTTGAGACCGTCTTCGTGCATCGCTTCTCCAGCGCTACCATGCCTGCCCGCAACATCTTCAAAAACTCTGCCCATTACTGGGTCCTGGGCGGTGCCAACATTGCCTACTGGATCAACTCTCCCACTGCTCCCACTGCCCGTCCTTCGAACCCCTTGATCACCTCCCTCGCCATTGCTCTCTTCATCATTGGCGAGCTGGGCAATCTGAACACGCACTATGTGCTGCATAACTTGCGCAGCACTGGCGGCACCGAACGTGGCATCCCGAAGGGTCTAGGCTTCGATCTTGTGACATGCCCCAACTACATGTTCGAGACTTTGGCGTGGGTCGGCATCTGGTTGGCGTCATGGAGCTTGAGCACTGGTCTTTTCGTTGTTGTGGCTGTGGGCCAGATGGCTCTTTGGGCAAAGAAGAAGGAGCGCAGATACCGCAGCGAGTTTGGTGACAAGTACCAGAAGAAGAGGTTCGCCATGCTTCCTGGTCTTGTGTAGGTGACACGGCATGGAGCCGGTCGCGTGGACATGTGCAGCAGCATGAGCCATAGGCCAAAGGCCTGAACAGTTGTCAAGGCCAGCATCCCAGATAACGAGCTTGTATAGATAGAGATGAAAATCAAACATAGCATGCTCAGCAGAGCAAGACATGAGATAAAATAAAAAGTCATAAACACTGGAGAAAGTCCCCTGATAAGCCATGAAGCTTGACGAAGAGACGGCAAAGGAGAGGAAGGAAACAGAAAAGGATCAAGACGAAGGGATATAGCAACGACCAGCGTCCATAACAGACTCCCTATCTCCTCGAGCTCCTCGCACCCTTAAAGATCAGGCCGCCAACAACACCAGCAGCCACGGCCAGACCACCGACGATAGCAACACCCATCAGGCCCTCCTTGGCAACCTTGTCGTCAATCAGCTGCCTCAAGCTCTGAGCCTGCAGATTGTGGGGCTCCAGATCAACGAGCAACTCATTGTAGCGACGAGCCTCTGCATATGAGCCGAGTTTGTAGTTTCCGAGAGCAAGGTAGTAGAGACATTCGCGACGGCGGTCGGGCGAGGAGCGGAAGATTTCGGTGAGCAGGCGCACGCCTTCTTGTTGTTCTTGTCGTTGGTTGGATTTGATAAGGCCCCAGGCAAAGTTGAATTTTGTCTGCAGAGAGACGTACTCGCCTTCTTTTTCGTATTGCGAGCGCAGGACTTGGAGTTCGGCGGGTTTTAGCGGGCTGGAGGAAGACATGAGTTAGTCGGCTGAGGCGCCAGGTTCAAGAGGGGGCTGTGAGGCGTACGATTCCGCATCGGCGGCATCTGGGATAGTGTCAGTACGGGAATTTACAGCAAGAGGATAGCGTGGACTCACATGGAAGATGGTCACCCATGATTGTGTGGTTGATGTATGGAGAAGAAAATGGTATTGCTGGTGGCTGACTGGCAGTCGGATTGCATGTGAGATCATCGACCGGCCAGGGTCTCCGTCTTCTGCCCGCACGCCGAGGAAAGCGGGAAGGCGCGTTGCTCGGCCAGACGCTCGCAGTAAACACAGAATCCAAAAGTCTCCAACTTCCTTCGACAACCACCACGATATACATCAACCACGCTTCAAGACCGCCCATCTGACAACACGCTCTGATAACACGCGCCTCCACCAACATATCACAACACGAAAATGGTTCTCTTCGACGAAGACCCCGTCACCGTACCTCTCTCTCATCACCAACACCTTGCGACACCCAACACTAACAACAACACAGCTCATCCGCCAAACAACCCGCAACTTCCACACAGACAGCGATCTGCAATCCATCTCGCGCATCCACTCTTCTCTGTCTACTCTCCGCAGCGCCCGCTCTTTGCGCCTAAACGCTCAACACACACAACTCGCCCAGCTCTCCCGAAAAGCTCAACACCTACGCGCAACCCACGATTCCGAAATCTCGCGCCACGATCCCGCTGCCCACGCTTCCGATATCCTAACTTTGGACACCGACAAGTTCAGAGTCGCAAAGGCCGCCAATGAGCTAGAGATTGAGGCTGAGAGATTGGGCTCTGAAGTCTACACGCTCAAGAAACAATTGCAAAAGCTGGATGATCAAGGTGATGAGCTCGAGAGCGCTGAAAACAAGGCTGAAGATGAGGTCGTGTAAGTGCTGCACTACTATCAATCTCCGGAAGCGATAAACTGACAAGACGTGACCAGGTTAAAACTTGGTGTTTACCGCAGCTTGGGCATCGATGCTGAACAAGACCACAACACTGGCGACTTTTCCCGTGCCGTTATTAGAAACACCGCAAAGGGGAGCGTCGATGTCGTCAACCTGGACCCGAAGTTCGATCGCTTCTTCTACGCAAATCATTTCTGGAATAGCATGTGAGAGAAGCCTCGCATTTGTTTGAACTTTCTGGCGGGAGGGGCGTCTCTTTGGTTTTGGGTTGGACTGGGTGATCGGAGGCTTGCTTTTGTCATTTTTGCTTGGATCAGTGTATATACCCACCGTTTTTCGCGTGTCATGCATGGCTTTATGAATTTTTGCTTTTTTTTCCTTCCAAACCACCCACCAGGAAATGGTCATATGCACAAGACTGATATGAACAACAGCGAATCTCCAGATCATATACGTGAAAACTACTGACTATTTTACAGCCTCGATTCCTTCTCATTCAACAAGCTCAAGTGGTTGAAACTCTACTTCTTACCACCCTTCTTCTTGGTAGGCACGACCTTGAAACTGCCATTGTTCAGCTCGTCCTTGGGCTCCTGCTTGCTGGCCACCGAAGCATTCTTCTTGGCAACCTCGCTCCAGCCTCCGGCCTGGGAAGCCGCGGCAGCGGGGCTGGCAGGCTTGGTGGTGTCCACCAGGCCTTTGTCGGCGAGCTTGCGTCTGCGGATGAATTCTTCGGCGAAATGGCGCGAGTCGATGGTGTGGGAGACGCTGTGCACGGCTTCGGTGACAATCTCGAGCTCAGAGGGGAACGAGAGGAGGTTGTTGACGAATTCGTCGGCTGTGAAATTTTGTTAGCTTGCTGCTTTATTTCTCAGACATGCATTCGACAAGAGTCAAAACTTACCAGTCACACTCTTGTTGAGATCATGCTTGAGTTCGTTCACGGCCCACTTTTTGAATTCGTCAATGGCGTTGACGGCCAAAGGTCCTGCGGTCGCTCTAGAAGGAACGGTCTTCTTGACGGCTGCTACTGTAGGGAGCACACTGGAGCTGGCCACTCTGTTGCCCACGGGAGTAGGGGCGGGCAGGGGAGTTTTTACCTTGCCGCTTGCACCGACAGTCGTCCAAGCACCTCCAATGCCAGGAACAGGGCTGGCGGGGGTTGAGGTCGACGCCACCTTGCTGGCGAGATCGGCATATCTCTTGCCTCCAGCGGACTGCTGGACAGGAGCAACACCAACAGCTGCTACTGCTGCCTGGGTGAGTGCGGCGGCCGCGAGACGCTTCTTGCGAGCTTCTTCTTCCTTCTGGATCTGTGCCATGCTCTTGGCAGTAGCGGGAGCGGCGACTACCTTTGCGGCCTTGGCCCAAGGCGAGGGAGCGACACCGGTAGCGGGAGACGCAGTGTTGCTGCTTGCCCAGTTGGATGTCAATGGTAGACCAGGTGCAGGTGCAGTAGATATCTGAACTTGAGCGAGCTCTCTCTCGAATGCAACGCGACGTGCTTCGGCAGCAAGTGCTTCGGCTTCAGCAGCCACCTTGGCCTCAGCTTCCTGAATTTCCTTGAGAGAGGGTCCTCTGGAAGACTCGGCGGGCTCTTTGGCCCAAGGAGCCACTGAGGCACCGGGAGTCTCGGCTGAAGGGGTTTGCGAGCGAGATCTAGACTCGGCATGGAGTGCATCGGCGACGTGGGATCTGTTACGTTGAGCAGCGGGAGCAGGCAGGGGAGACTGCGATGGTGCAGGGGGGAAGGGTTGCGGCAGCGAAGTGTCGACCTTGGCCCAAGGGGACGAAGCCGGGGCAGGAGATTGCTTGACAGAGGCGGCTTTCTGCACCTGTTCAGTCAAAGAGGGTTCCTGTCTCGAAGGGGTGACAGCGACAGCCTCCTCGGCCTCTTCTTGTTCGAATTGCGCATCGTATTCGGATTGAGTCTGATCCGGAGACTGGGCTTGCTCAAACTCCTGTTGGATGTGCTGTTGTTCGGATGGAGGAGCGATAGGCTTGCCAATGACACCTTCAGAACCGACACCGAAAGGATCGGCTCTAGCATGCTCCTGCAGGCTTTGGAATTGCTCAAACTGCTCGTTTCTTGCAGGCTGATCTTGCTGGGAACGGTGAGTAGCATCATATTGTGCCTGCTGTTGGTCAAGGCGAGAACGGTCGTCAAGCATCGTAGAGATGCGGCGCTGCTCCTCGGATTGGGGGAAAGGCTGGCCGATGCCACCAAAGTTACCCTGAGTTGATCGACCGAGATTCAGTCTGTTGACCATACCAGACACATCTTCTTCTCTGATATTGCCGAGCGTGTCTGCACCAGCGCCAATGGCACCGAGGCCGCCAAGAGGCCCGGCACTTCTAAACGAGTTGTCAAAGAAGCCAGGGACATGAGTACTGTTGGCTGCGGTAGTGCCACTGAAGGCGTTTGAAAGAGGAGCGGGTGGGAATGGTGGTGCAGGCGAACTCAGGCTGCCAAAGCTTTGCTGGCTGTGCAAGCTCTGAACGCTGGATTGGTGGTGCAGCTGGGGGAACAGCAGCTGGCCAGTCTGAGCCTGGAAACGCTGTGCGAATTGTTGCTGAGCAAGGTGCTCCTTCTGGCGAGCCATCAGATATTGCTCTTCTTGCTTGCGACGTTCCAACGCATTTTGCTGGTCGGCAGTCAGAGTTGTTCCGAAGCTTGGGAAGCTGTTGGCGAAGGGTGGCTGGGCTCCGCCAGAAGACAAGGGGTTGGTCCAGTTGGCTGGAGGCTGAGGAACAGTGGGGTTGCCATGAGGGATGCCGATCTGAGGGACAAGGAATGGCTCGCGAGAATTTCCGATTCTGCGGATCAGCTGAGCCAGCGGTTCGTACTCAGGATCCTCATACTTCTTGACAAGCAGCTCAGGAGAGAAGAAACCGGCCTTGTACCAATCATGCATCTCCAAGCCTGACCATGGACCTTGAGTAACTCCCTGGGGATCACGGTAAATCCATCTCATACGATCGGGCATAACCATGGTCTTCTGCTGGGCGGGAGGTGGTTGGTTGGACGCAGAACTGCTGACAGCTTGAGCCTGCGAGGGAGCAGAGGCTTGGGCAGAGCGTTGGCCAATGGGCTCCTGATGCGACATGTCAGGGTTGCGGTCTTGGTCAGGGAAAGCACTAGAAGCTTCGGCGGCACGTCTGAAAGGACTAGACGTGTCGCGAGGCAGATTGGCAAAGTCTGTTGAGCCAGTATCTTCGTCGTCTTGACGTCCATGTTCAGAACGCATTTGCTCCTGCACGCTGGGGAACAGGGAGCCAAGTCGGCTTCCACCACGGCTCTGGCCCGGATGGGCGCCGAATGCGCCCAATCCGCTCAGAGCCGCAAGGCTGGGAGATCCCAGATCACCCGAGCCGAAGGGATTGTCACCGAAGTTGCCAGCAATGGCAGCTCTGTCCCGACTAGGGGTCCCGATTGACGCCTGAGGGCCGCCCCAAGCTGAAGCACCTCCAAGACCGGGGAGCGCGCCCAGTCCGGAGAAGCCACCGAAGCCTCTGTTGGGACCAACGCTAGAGGTCTGACTACGATCGCTAGGTGGTGCTGCCGGAACACGACCCAAGTTGCCAAGTCCATGGAACGGTCCAGCACCAGAAGACATGGGGTCGTTCATGATTCCACCCAAGTTGGGTAGATGAGCGTTCTGTAGATCGGATGCATCGTCATCGCCATCGTCGAGGTCAGCAGGCAGGTGCTCAGGACTCTGATAGGGATTTGTATCTGCAGGACTCATGGCATCGTTGGCAGCGGGCGGTTGCTGCTGCGAACGACCGTGAGATTGGTCATGCTGCTGGCCCATCAGAGTGCGGAAAGGATCCGAAGTCATTCCAAAAGCGCCATGACCAAAGTCATCACGCGAGTCTTGACGACTGGGGGTGCCGAAGCCACGGCTGCGAGGAGGCGAAATGTCCTGGCCACCACCGAGAGCGGCACTACCGGTAGCATGCTGTTCATGTTGCTCATCGTGAGGGATGGGTTCCAAGCCTCCAGGGTTTGCTTGCGATGATTTGACATCATCGTTGTCCTTAGCCATGAGTCCTTTGAAGCGGCTTTCGGCTCTGCCGCCAGCCAGTCCAGGACGTTTGTCGGCGGTCGGAGTGCCCACATTAGCATTCGAGTTGATGGCAAAGTTGCCGAACGCACCCATTGGTGAGAATCCGGCGCTCTGTGGAGTGGCAGACCATGGCGACGATCCCCCACCGACTGCCGTGTTCAGGGTTCCTGTAGTAGTGCGTTTGAGACCAGAGAAGGGAGCACGAGCCGCGTCGGCAATCTCTGCGGCGGACTTCTCGTCCGACGAGTCGCCCGTATCCTTGAAGTCGGTTCTTCTCCTAGTCAACGAGGGAGGAGGAGAATTGGGCCGGGAATCTACACGGGCAGTCTTGGCAACCGAAGGCGAGTTGAGCTGCGAACTCGAGGGGAACGGATAGGCCTCCTGCGTTTCGCGGCGTCGAGGGCCAGGTCTGGCGCCGCCAGGCGAGCTGACACCAAACGCTCCGGGACTGTTGACATTCGTCGACACAGAGATCTTGCGCATGGGTGGATTAACGGCGTCCTTGGTCACGGTAGTGGGTGGTTTCAGAGGCGAATTGACGGATGAAAAGTGCTGGCCGGAGAGTTTAGCAGCAGATCAACGCATGGCTCCAACATGTGACGTACCTCCTTCTCTTCATCGTTCATGTCCACCAGACCCAAAGGCCCTGTAGAGCCGTCTTTTTCCCAGCAGACTTCGGGCCCGGGAACGTGGTCTTTGGCTTGCTCGTCCCTCCTGCCCCATCCGCCCAGAGAAACACCGTTGGTCTGGCCTGGCTCCCATCCTGCGACGAACAAAGGGGAAAGAGAGTCGTCTAGCGAGCCTTCGACGTTCTGTCTGTGATACAGATCGAGGAGTTGGTTTTTGGAGTAACGTGTATCCGAGTGGGCGGGGCCATTGCGATGCGGAGGTACGTAGACAGCGGGTTGTGCGCCAGAAGTCGACTCTCTAGCATTGGAGCTCAGCAATGAAGTAGCGACAGAGGGGCGACGGAAGGTCTGGGTTGCGCCGTTCGTTCGACGAGCCCTAGAGATCACGCCGAGTCAGTCGCTTGCACATGGTTGTGTTTGCGCCTCCCAAGCTTCGTGTCCAGCAAAGCTCGGAAAAGCTACCGTCGACATACCATTCCCCAGCGGCATCGGCGCGCGGAGTCGTAGGTGTGTTGCCGCCCGCGGCGGCGGATGCAAATGTGCTTGGAGGCGCCATGTTTTTTGAATGAGGGCAAGCTTGGAGGTGAAGCTGGTGCAAAGATGGTAGCGTTCGAGGTGGCGACTTGACGTCTGGAGTTTAGAACGAGATGCGAGTGGCTTGCTAGGAACCGGACGTGCGAATGCGAGAGATGGTGCGCGGTGAATCGTTGGTTGCGTGAACGATGCCACAGAGAGAAGTCGATATTCGCATACTGAACTGTCCCAGATGGGCAAATCTTGGCATTGGGTCACCGCGCGCAAATCCACTCGTCGCGCTGTTCTTAATTCATGCCCGAGAGTCTGTCTCGCTTACCCGTTTTGCTTGTTTCCCATGCTGCTACCAATCTAGGTATGTCTCACCGTATCTGCACGCATGATTGCTCGTCATTCATATCACGCTCTAGATTTGCGGTTCAACTGGGGTTGAATGTAGCATGTCTACTCGTTACATATGAAGCTTCTCGCTTCCATCATTTCCACTTTCCACCTTCAATCGTCATCAAGGGTCCGTATAGTAAGTGGTCAACTATCCATCATGTTTGAGATCACGGCTATCGACCCCCAAATTCTTCTGCTTTCTCTGCAAAGTGTGCCTTGAGCTCCTCGGCCATCTTGCCCTCTGTTTCAGCGATGATGGTGCCTACTAACGAGTAGTTGTTCGCAAGGAAGCGATCTCTCTTCTTTTGCTCCGCGAAACTTTTACTGAGTTTTGTCAGAAATGCTTCGAAGTCGTTACGCAATCTCCCAAGACTGTTGTGAACCGGCTCATCGTCACCAGCCTCGCTGCTCAATGCTAGAATCCCCTGAGTGAAATTCGCAAATCTTTGGGTTATTTGATGCGGTGCGATCGATTGCGGTGCGGATGCCGAAGATGTCAGACTGAGTGCCGAGCCTGCCGGACGTCCTGAGAGTGAAGAAGTGGCTTTGCGAAGGGATTCGCAGTGAGCGTCCATGACTATCTGGAAGCGTGGCCACAAGAGCATGTTCGTGCCGTTCACATAGCCTTCCATGGCGGGTACTTTTCTTCGCTGCAGCTCGAAAGCAAACTGTTGATTGAGACGGACGGCGATCAACAGACCCAGGGCATCAACAGTCGGGTCGATCAATTGCTTGGTCAAAGCCTGGCCGAGAGCAAATGTTGGTTGAAATATCTCCGTGAACTTCCGGTTGACCTCATGATACGACTGCTTGGAGAAGAAGCCGGTCAGGAATGAGTACTCGCCTGAAGCGTTGTCCATCAGCGCGAGGTTGAAGGCTCTGAACGGCGCTTCCAGGTAATGCGCAGACTTGTCCTCTTCTGCAATATGCGAAGACAGAGCTGACTTGAAGCTTCCCTTGAGCATATCCATGCGACGACCGAGCGAAAATGCATCATGCGGTGCAGCCTGTGTTCGTGAGCCAGAGACCACGGTCGTTCGTTTTGTAGATTCGTCTTGTGCCATGACTTCGGTCTTATCGATGATGTGAATGTTCATCTTCTCCAAGGATGCTTTGTAGCGTGAGAAGTTATGAAGGTAAAACCAGCGCATGGTGTTGATATATGCGCGGCCAATTTCTTGGCCCAACTGGGGTTGGTGGCGGTCCAGAAACTGGAATGCATCCTTGTATCTCATGAAGTTGTTCTGCTGTAGTAGTTGTGCGTTGGCTCCAGGAGCGCGCAATGCTTTGATTTGGGTCACGACATAATCACGAGTGCGCTCCACAGCCTTGTTCTTGAGGCCATCTATCAGTGGCTTGAGATCTGCAGCACTTTTGGACCTGAGCGCTTTCGAGTCAATGGTCTTGGATCTCTTCTCCAGATCCTCCAGAGCTTTGATCCACGCATCATCAATGGGTCCATCTGAGATTTTCCGTACAACAGATGGTGAAATGGTCAAGGCGTCGACTTCTGGCGCGAGTAGCTTCTCGACTTGCTTGCGCATCTCAAGCTTGGTGTTGAGAGCAGATGAGCGATTCTGTAGTGTTTCGATCTCGGCAGAAACAGCGGCCAGGTCGGCCTGGAAGCTGGTGAGGTAGTTCTCGACAGACTTGAGGACTTCATCACAGGCGACAATGGACTTGTGCAAATCCTCAAACTTGGCTTTATCCTTCTCGACTAGACAAACCTAAGCTTCAGGTGGGGTACCAGGATGAACGAGGGCGTGCCAACATACATTCTTCGACAGACGGCTGCTCGGAAGGCGGGTCCGAAGCTGGAGGAGCATCGGCAAACTCTTGGAGACTCAGCTCGCCGAGATCAATGTTTGCAGCATGGTGAGCAGTGGGATCCGAGGAGAGGGAAGCAGATTGCACGGGAGCTAAGATGTCGCGCAGGACGTCGAGTGGATGGGCAACATTGTCAACAGGAGAAGCATCGAGCTGATTTCGTAGGTTGGAGTGGGCAGGCGGGTATCTCGCAGCAGCAGGCAGGCTATCGGTAGATCCGTTGGTGAGGAGAGACAGAGAGGAAGAGCGGTTCGCGATGGCAGGTCTGTGGGGAAGGGGGCCCGGGGCAAGGTGACTGGGTCGTCGTTGGGGCGCTGGCGAAGACGACGGCGACGGGTGTTGGGAGTAGCGATTTAGCCACATGCCATCTGCGGTTTGGCGGTCGAACGCGCGAGACGGGGCGATCGGACAGCGTGGTGGGAGGGGTTCGAGGAGTCGAGTGAGACGGCGCTCGGGGAGCACCTTGGTGTTGGCGGGCTCGACTTCACCTGGAGATTGCTCTGCTCTGCTTGTTGCTGCTGCTGCGCGGTCTAGGGCGTCCGTGCGCCGCGCCTTCCTTTCCCCACTTCACTAATTTTCGACTTCATCCTTTTCTTCATCCTTTCGCCATCTCTATCACCACACTCCCATCTCCCACCCATCACCACCCCACTACCACCACAACACCGTCAAAATGGCCGACAACGACGCCCAGGTACGTCAGCTCTCGCCCGAAGCTCTGCTGTCCTGCGCGGTTCTTCAGACACGACCCCGCGCCGCGACAACAAAGCCGACACGCCCAATTCCCGCCGTCCGCTTGCTCAACATGCTGACCACCCCGTCCTGCAGCACGAGCAGCACACCTTCGAGTCCACCGATGCCGGTGCCTCCACCACCTACCCCATGCAGTGTTCTGCCCTGAGAAAGAACGGCCACGTCGTCATCAAGGGCCGTCCCTGCAAGATCGTCGACATGTCGACTTCCAAGACCGGCAAGCACGGTCACGCCAAGGTCCACTTGGTCGCCATTGACATCTTCACCGGCAAGAAGCTCGAGGATCTGTCTCCCTCCACCCACAACATGGACGTCCCTAACGTCTCCCGCCGCGAGTACCAGCTCGTGAGTTCCTGCCTCGACATCTGCCCCCACTACTCCTCATACTGACTCTTGTGCCAGCTCGACATCACTGACGACGGTTTCCTCTCCCTCATGCTTGACGACGGTTCCACCAAGGACGACGTCAAGGTCCCCGACAACGAGATCGGTGAGCGCATCAACAAGCTCTTCAACGAGGAGCAGAAGGATACCAGTAAGTTATTCCGCTGCTATCACCACCTGTCTCCAGTAGCTGACCACCTGTTCAGACGTCATCATTCTTACTGCCATGGGTGAGGAGTGCGCCATTGAGGCCAAGGAGGCTCCCAAGTCCGGTTAAACGATTTGCACATCCAACATATCGAGACAGCGCTTTCCTCGCGCTGCTTCGGCGCCACACGAGCATTGTAACTCTACCGCCCAGCACAGTGGATGTCTGGTCGTGCTTGCCCTCCGCTGCTGCTGCAAGCTTTTTGTTCGATCTCGACGGCATCTAGCCGCATGTTTTTTCTTTACGACCCCCTTCTTTCCCACGGGCGAGTTGACGTGCGTGTCTAGACAATAAAATGTCACGAAGCGATGGTTTTCAAACAAAAATCTACTCAATGCAAATCAATTTCCGAACAAATCATATCAGTGCACGTGCGTCATGTATCAGCTAGAAACTGTCTCTTAGCAATCTATAAAGTTGTAGACCTGAATCTCGACCGACGAGCGGATCTTCCATCAAGGTAAATGTTTCTTATAGAGCTTTGTTGTTCGTTATTACCCACAATTGTTGAGCTATTGGCTGGAGTCCAGCAGCCCGACAGGGTGTCACCTGAAGCTGGGTATGTGCTGCCCAATATCTGTCGTTGTCGCGTGTCTGTCTAGCAAATCGACCAGGAAGATGTCCTTGAGCACTTATGTGGATTGTCTAAGGCTGAGAAGAGGTGTTCTCGATTAAGGGTGATGTTCTCAAAGTGATGTTGTAGTCTTGGTGCCTGCCTGTTGCGGCAAGAAATTCTGACAGCCAAATACAAGCAAGCTTTGCGTCCGCCTTTCTCACACTTGAACATCGGCCAAGTCAACGGATGTTCGTATCATCTTATACCATGATATAATGATCATCGAGAAAACACACAATTCTCATCCACCTGGATAAATGGAGTTCGAGTGCGAGGCGGGGTGTGGTTCGTCATCATTCCAGGTCGGAGATGATGGATTCACGTACTGCTCGGAAGGACATCGTCAGTGGACGGTGAGTCTTCCGATTCTCCATAATGTTTGAATATGTATCGAACATATCTGACGGTTAGTTCAGCGAGGCACACAAGTAGCCGAGGATACAGACGGCGTGCCACAATTTGGTAAAAAAGCACGAAGGGCGAGAGATGTCGAAGAAAACGTCGAAACTGGTAAGTTTTCATTCATTTGCTAAATACAATTGCTGAGTCCTCCAGCTTTGACTGGTAAAAAGGCTTTCGAACACTACTTGCTGTGTTTCCAACTCGTCCTATGGAAACAGGTACATTGGCTGATCAATACAAAACACCTCCCGAATGAGCTGGAAGTAAGCCATGACTTGTGTCTTGTCAGGACGCGCCGGTACTGACCTCATATAGACAGTGGTACGTGACATCTGGGCTCTCCGTCTACAGAGCCTCCAATCAAGAGTCAGCTATGAATCAGAGAGCGAGGCCGAACAGAGTTCACAGTTCTACAGTTCTCAATCTGAGGCTGAGAGGACCGACGACACAGCACAAAAGCGCAAGGCGAGGAAGAGCAAAAACGATGCTATCCCCAAACTTGTCGATGCCCTGAGCATCTGTTACATTGGCAGCTTACTGCTCAGACTGCCGGTCACCGTTGGCGACTTGTATGAATGGGCAGCCAGCGGTGATCTGATCTACTACAGAGCTGTCAGAGCCCTGTCCGAGTCGATGAAACTACGTCTGCCGTTCAATTATCACAGGATCTTGGATCCACAAGAGATATTGAGTCCCGGTGCAGTGCAACAGGCTGTCCTCGAGAATATCACAGCTTTCGATCGTGCCTTTGGCATGGCGACGCCACCTATAAATCACGTCCTTATCCTGTACCGATGGATCAGAGCTCTCGCACTCCCGTTGGAGATATATTCGGCGACTTTGCGTCTAGCGAAATTTCTTGACCTCGTATTCGTCTATGACATTCAGGCGAAACGCGCCTCGAGGTACCGTATACTCCAATACGCCGAAGCTCGACTGATGGCCGCACTTGTCATTGCGACAAAGCTGCTGTTTCCCTTGGACAATGTGAAACGCTACCCAAAGAACCCAACTGAGCTTTCAGCACTTAGCATGGACTGGTCAAACTGGAGTAAGGCACGAGCGGAGTACAACGACACCACCAAATCGAAAACTCCACTAGGTTACCAAGAAGCCATGCAAGTTCAAGAAAAGGACATACTCGACATGTCTGACGAGAAACTCGACGATTATATGGATTGGTATGGCTCGGTCTTTGCAGAAGAGACTGTGCGCGAGAAGGGAAGAATAGGTAAAGAGGCCGAGTTTCGCAGAGCATTGCATCGCCTGTTTCCTATCGAACGTACCACACAGAGTGTACACGACGCTATGGATGTAGACAGAGATGGAGAGACGGTGCCTGGAGACGAGCGGCTGAGGAAAGTTCAGAGCAGTCTTAGACCCGCACGGGTCAAGGCGGATGTCAAATCCACCGAGCCTAGTGTGAAGCGCCCGGGCAACAGCTACAAGCGATATCGAAGTGTTGCAGAACTTGAGGGCTACGCGAGAGAGTTCTATGAGGAGGCTGCTGATCTGGTTGCACTGCCTGTAGGCTCACTAGTGAAGTGCGTCTTTTTCCTGGAGAGGAGGTTGGAAAGATGGGAGAGCAATGAGAGAAAAAAGTAGGCAAGTGGTGTCAAGCAGGCTCATTCAGACAAATCGACGCGTGTGCTCCAACGATGAACTGGCTGAAGGCTTGTTCTGCCGTGTAAGCAGATTTATGTCAAGAAATACATACAGCAATGTACAGCACATTTACCGAAGAGAACCCTTCCACTTGACAGAGTGTTATCATCGAGCCTCTATGATCCCATCAACCATTCGGAAGACACTGTTCGTCTCAATAGCTGTGAATCCGCATGAGTGTAGCCGTGAGAGGTAAGTAGAGCCTTTAGCACATAGGCCTGCCGTCAGTTCTCACGCTTCGCTTCCACAGAATCACCTTCACGAAATAGCACACGCTCATGAGGTTGTTGGGTCATTTATTGGAACTCCAATTACCAATTTTATTTCTCTTGTGAGCAAACCGGACAACAAAGTGTTCGAAGTGAGGATGCAGGCAGGCCGTCAGAAAAGGCTTGGCATGATGCTCGGTAGATCGGGACCGGATTAACGTCGGACCACCCACGAGCGCAAATTCGCCCTTGGCTGGAGGACTTTGACGAAACTACGCTTCTCGTCACGTAGGTATTGTATTCAGCACACGAAGACCGTCACCAGTAAGTGCTATACAGAGCTTAATGCTGTCGCATGTTGAACGTCGCTAACATGAATTTGTGTCACAGTGCAGATGTAAGCCCTCCGAAAGCCAGCACCGCGACCGCGCACCGCAACGCACACCGGACTCCCACTGACAGTAATCGCCATGCAGCTTCGTCAAGACCCTTACGGGCAAGACCATCACCCTTGAGGTCGAGTCCTCCGACACCATCGACAACGTCAAGTCCAAGATCCAGGACAAGGAGGGCATTCCCCCAGACCAACAGCGCCTGATCTTCGCCGGAAAGCAGCTTGAGGATGGCCGCACCCTTTCCGACTACAACATCCAGAAGGAGTCGACTCTTCACCTTGTCCTCCGTCTCCGTGGTGGTATCATTGAGCCTTCGCTCAAGGCCCTCGCCTCCAAGTACAACTGCGAGAAGATGATCTGCCGCAAGTGCTACGTAAGTCGCCACGCTCCCACCCTCAATCCCGGACACACGCGACACACCTGGCAAGAGAAGAAGACATGCAGAAGAACCACGATGCGACGGACGAACAAGATGATGATGATGAAGAATATTTCTGACATGGCGCTCCTCTTTACAGGCTCGTCTTCCCCCTCGTGCCACCAACTGCCGCAAGAAGAAGTGCGGTCACACCAACCAGCTCCGCCCCAAGAAGAAGCTGAAGTAAACTACTCGCCCCACTGCTGTCTTGGCTGTTGTGCTTCGTTACCTCAAGGGACTAGGCGTTTGGGGAGGAGGGATCTATCACGGCGTCTCAACCAGATGCTCGAACCGCGAGTAGTGGTAGCTGAGAAATGTCATCACTCTCCCGCGTTGACGTCCGAATGCAAGAAAGAAAAAAGTCATGCCCCCCATCTCTCGTCCTCGATCATTGTGATATGAGTGACGTTTCTACCTCGTGTCGATTTTTTCGAAATCTTGTTCACCGTCCCGGCTCTTCTCATCGGTGTTCGGTCGCGACCCCTCGACATGCCTGCATCAGTCGTCCAGGTCTAACAAAGAGAACCAAACTTGTGAAGTGCACTTGAAGAGCGACCTGACACAACGAACATCTAATCATGTCACTCTAGACGAACGTGCAGAACCCTGCAAAAACAGCAGAAAGGTAGCTTCAAATCTAACACCATTTTCACTACCAGCATCTCGTGAACATTTTTTGATATCGGTTTCGTTGTTTCCCTAACAACACCTGCCTTGACTTGGCAGCATCAAATTGCTTTGACATTCGCTCAGTCAAAAGTCTAGAGATACTTGCAGATTTGCTAAGTCAGTTGAAACATGATGGACCTGAATAGATGATGTTTTGACAAGCAATTGATTTGTACGGTTGTGCTTTGTGATATCAATCGAAACAGGTTACCGATCAACGTCTTGCTGTCGTGGTGACTGGAATGCTCGATCTAGATATGCAATTTGCTTCGGCATAAGAATGTATCAGGACCAGAGACAGGGTTATGCTGAGCAGAGGCGGCATAGCTGCCTTGAAAACCAAGGCACGAGACAGACGTGGTTTTGTCGTCATTTGATGGATGGATCGGTGCAGAAGTGGCTGGGCTGTTAGGGTTTATGAATCGAGGTACATTATGGTTAAATGTTTAACCATGCACAACGGTTAGTGCAGACTTGATTTACTGGCTATTCATGCACCATTCTGTGCCTCTGACAAGATGTTGGAGACTTGAGTTTTACTCTGGATCAAGAGTGAATCGATTGCAGGTACTCACCAAGGAAGAAGAGCAAACAACAGGGCAGAAAAGAAAGTCATAAAGTCGTACCTGCCGAGTATTGGTGGAGTCTATGGGAAGCTTTGGCAGTCGCGAAACGCGCTCGCGTTCCCATTCCCTCTCAGCAAGGCCTTCCTCCTCTCTGCACCTCTGAACACGACCACGACCACGACCACTCTCTTTTTCAATCAATTGCCCATTGCCCTCTCTTGATACCCAGTATTATTAATCCGCCGTCTGATCGAGCATTCGACAATTCACTCACCGTCTTGTCCTCGATATAATACGGTTCTGACACGCGTGAGCAGAGAACGGGCATCTCACGCGTGTGCAGAGCAGAACAAAGAGTCAAGTCCTCATCATGGACTCGATCTCTCATGCAAACAAGGTAATCCCTTCGACCGAGAAGCCTGATCCCGTCAGAAGGCCCTCGCTGCTACCGGCGTTCGAGCCATTGTCGTCGTCCCCCGGTGGTCTCCCAAGAGCATTGAAACGCAAATTCAAACAAGATGAAGACGACACGCGCAACTTCTACCCTACTCCCATGCCAACCTCTGCCACCGGTATCCTCTCGTCATCGCCAAATCGACGCGTCCCTGGCCTGCAACGTACCGCGTCTTATTCATCGCTCTCCGAAAGGGCTCCCTTGGGCGCCGTCCCCACTGTCAAACTACCCTTGAATGGAGATGCTCTGCTCATGGGCCGCTCGAGTAACTCTTCCGACTATCAGCTGTCAGCCAACCGCCTGATTTCGCGCGTCCACGTCAAAGCCACGTACAATGCACCCGACGGTCCGCGTCTTCTTGGCGAGATGGTCGTCCAGTGTCTAGGGTGGAACGGAGCAAAGGTCCACTACCAGGGATCTGTCGTTGAGTTGGCGAAGGGCGAAAGCTTCGTGTCACAAAAGCCCGGCTCTCAGATCATGATTGATGTTCAGGAAACGCGTGTCTTGCTCGCATGGCCGCAGGAAGAGAAGCAGTGTCCCTGGGACGTCGAGTCGTCGGTCAGCAGAGAGAACAGTGCCGCACCTGAGAGGATCGCCTCCAGCCCTCCTCCCGTCCTACCCAGACTTCGCTCGCCAGAATCACCCTCGCCCAACCAACACGACACCGTCAACGACACTTTTTCAGAGACGTTCATTGCCGATCCCTTCGACCTCCCTAGCAGTCCTGGCCCCGTACACGTCTACGAAGACAACGAGCCTGCCGAAGCTGATGATCTGCCTGCCTCGTCGACCCCCATGCCCGCAACCAGGCTCTCTCCCGAACCTGTCGACCGCTCAACACCCACCCCTACCAAGGCCAGCGTACAGCAGTCCATGACCACAAACCCCTCTGATGCCCCCGAGGAAGCGCTTGAGAACGACGAAGAGAACGATCCTATTGTTCACTCTTTCGGTCCATACGGCGACAATCTCCTCTCACGCTTCGAGTCGTTCAAGTCGACTTGCAAAGAGGAGGAACGTCCACGCATTCCCCTCAAGATCACTCTCAAGGCCACTAATCAGCTGCGTACCGATACCCAGACCTCCCAAGCCATTCGCAACCTCTCGCCTGTCAAGAACCACATCATCAACCAATTGGCCTTCACGCGCATCCATTCGTTGCCCATCTCGGCCATCTACAACAACCTTCCAGCCGAGATGAAGGGTGGCCGCAGCTTTGGCGAGAAGGCTTTGTCTTCGGAAGAGCTCAAAGACCTTATGGATAGAATCCCTTGTGTCGGCGAGATTGCTCGCTCTGGCAAGGATGCCGCTGGTAAAGCTCTGGAAGATGAGTTCTACTATGTGCCCGAGATGGACACCGACGAGCATCGACGCGCTGCCGTGAGCATCGCCAAACCCCCTCTTAGATCGACCCGCAAACAACATAAGGTAAGTGCCATTCCTAAACCTCATCGACTGCATGTGCTGACTGTTTTTTTTTCTAGCAATACTACTGGAAGAAGCCTCGTGTCTGAGCTTGTGTTAATAATTCGTTTCTTTCATGGTGCAAACTCTGCCACCACGCAACACTCCCTTGCTGCCAGTTTGTTTTTGCTCTTCACCGATACCAAGCCCTATTACACAGGGCGTCGCTTTTCTGTTGCTTTGCAAAGTACACCTCGGATGTGTCTTCGCTACGCCTTTTGCTCTATCTTTCTTTTCTCTTCTATTGACGGGGTCTCCGATGAAAGCGAAGGAATGAGAATTGGGATTTATTACTAACGATTGAAAAGAAGGAGGATATGGGTGTTTGTGTTGTGTCTTTTGCTCTATTTAGTTTGCGATACTCGTTTCTTGTCTTTTTTTTTGGCGAAACAAATTGTAGTGTAGAACTAGCGACTCAAGGGCGAGAGGTGTTTCTCACGAAATATGAAAGTTTGTCCTTTCTAATCATGCTTTGTTTGCCGTGTATAATGAGTGAGGACGTATAGGCCCAGACCTATCTGTATCTCGAACACCTGGCTGTCTCCTTCCCAGATGCTACACATCTTGCTGCTCTTCACGGTATTGTCTGCTCAGAGGGTCAATGTTAGCCGCGGAGAGGTACAAGGTGGGATGAATATACTCTCTAAGAACTAATGCTCAAATGATAGGGAAAACAGCTCATCTCGGTTTCTGGCTGGGCAACCCTGGTCAGCATCTAATTGAGCCGTCAACGAGCCATCCTTTCTTGATGAGATATCCTACGACTTGTACCATGGACATGGCTACCAGAGCATCTATAATGCTCAGTGATAGCTTGTGTGGCTGGACTATACGTACCGTAGGTGCATATTAAGATGACTGGGAAAAGTTCGCTCGCTTTCGGCGGTAATATGAGTCGTCGTGACCCGGCACGACTTGAAAATAAAAGATGGTGGAAAGAGCAAACTCGATATCAAGAACGATATGTTTGTATTGGAAAGCTAGTAGGTATGCGTCTTGTGATCAGCCGGCCTGCCGAGTCCATTTCTGATCTTATCCTCTTTTTCGACCACGTTCAGAGGCAGCCCGATACCTACACCGGTAAACACAAAGATGGCCCACTTCCATCTGAACGGATTGATGGTCACGCACTGTAGATAGAGTCAGCCTTGTGATCGTCACCGAGAAGTCGAAAGAGTGGAGTGACTTACAAAGAAGAACCACCACAACAATTCGCTGTAGGTGAAAAAGTCGAATGCGCCAGTCGGGGCACGAGCTTTGAACCATCTGGTCATATCGACCCAGAATTGCATCCAATACGTTGATGGCCTGGTGAGTGGATCGAGGAGGAACATGAGCAGGATACGGGTGTAGATGCCGATGTGGAAGTTTCCCACAGTGCCAATGCCGCCAACGTAGGTGCAGTTGTTGGCACAGATGGATTTGTGCTGCGGAGGGAAAGTCTGGAGATACCTACAGCAGCAGAGTCAGTCTATAGTATAAAGAAGTGGAGGTGAACAATACAACATACCAGTTGGGCGCAGAGTAGGGCTCGGCGAAACACTCTTCGGGTAAGAAGCTCAGACTAGGACGCTTGTATCCTGTTGCCATGATGATGACTTCACCTTCTTCCACCTTCTCATATCCAGGACCATTCTTAGGAACGCCTTGTTGGCGGCGGTTGAATCTGATGCCGTTCTCTTCCACTTCTAGGATATCGCCTCGTAGCCATTCAGCATTGCCAGATCGAATCTGCTCCAAGACGTCATTGTTGACCATAGGCGTCTCTTCGAACAGACCAGCCGATCCAGGTGGAGGTGAAATATCTGCGAGATCACGGTAAAAGAACTTGCGTAGCAGTCTCTCCGGAATCCACGAGAAGACAGTCTCCTGTCCGAAGACGTTGAAGGAGAGTAGCATGTCTATAACAGGGTTGCGCGGGATGATCCACTTCTCAGATCGCGAGAGGATCTTCGCCTTCTTAGCCTTTGCTTTTGTGGTAAACTCCATGGCCTCAATGGCACTTGCGCCTCCACCTATGATGAGGACAGTTTTGTCTTTGACGTCCTTGCCGTCAAGCTCACTCGAGTGATAGATTTGACCCTTGAATTTCTCTTGCCCGGGGATGTGTGGCATTTTGGGATCACCACAACTGCCGACCGCGGCGATGATTCCATCGTACCTCTCGTCTGAGTTGTTGTTGATGATCCATCGGCCTTTGTCGTCTTCTTCAACCGAGTTGACTTTGTGCTCGAATGTCGTCTTTTCTTCTAGATTGTATGTCTTCCAGACCTTTTCGATCTGCTCAACGATTTCTTTGCGATTAGGGTAGCCTTTATTCCAGAATACGGTTGGGAAGAAGCGGTACATGACCGAGTGAATCTGGAGACCGGACGTGTTGTTGACTTTTGCCCAGATCCCTCCCAGGTGTTCACGAGGACCTGCCTCGAAGATGTGGACGTCAAAGCCATTACCGACACAGTGTGCTGCAGCAGAGACACCTGTAAGTCCTGCTCCCACGATAGCGATACGAGGTCTTCGTAGTGTCTTTCCAGGAGGTGGAGGGTCTGGCGCGAGAATCTTGGCGAGGACCATTTGATAGATTCGAAACCATATCAAGACAAACTTGTTGAAGGCAGCGGCTGCTGTGTCGATTGGGCCTGCCATGATGGATAATATCTCTTGACAGAACAACGAAGCAGGTTCTCTTGGGTAGCTGCAAGAGAAGGAGCGATTGATGTTTGTTGAGGAAGCACGAATTGTAAACAATCACATGCAAATTGACGTCACCGGAGTACACGTGTAGCGTCTTTTGGTCCACCTCTCTTCGTCCTACGTTCGGATCCGAGAATCAAGTCTGAATGCTGCCTTGAGAACTACGGTGTCAAGACCAACCACGGCTAGATGTGTGACCTGCCGATGACCAATTCTCTCTGCCAAAGGTCGCGGCCGTGGGGAGGTACAATGTCTTCTCCGGGCTCTGCACACCCGTAGCCTGGAAGCAGGTAAACCCCAAATAGAAAATAGGCCAATGATCAGTATATTTGTTGAGAGATGTCGATCTGACAGTGCTCGGCGACATTGTTACCCCGCCAATAAGCTCAATGACAGGGGTGTTCGTAGCTTTGCTTTGCTTCTAGCGCCAGCACTGCTCCTATCATAAGTGGACTCTATAAACTATCTCACGACTTGGCGGTTTTGGTATAATCGTAGACTTGAGGCAGAGAGGATCTTGGATGCACAAAAAGCATAGCTCTCGAACAAGCCGCCACATTCAGGCAATTTAGAGGAGGCGATGCAAGTTTGAATGTTCAAAACCAACCACCACTGCTGATATTACCATTGCCCCAATTACCAGACCAGTTCACAGATTGTCCAGCGGTGGCGTTCAGTACCGCTGCATTGTCCTCGAGCCCGAATTGACGTACAAGCTGATCCCAGTTCTGCCAGTCTATATCTGCTGCAGGGTCGAATGGTGAGAATGCAGGTGGCGTCGTGTTGCTGTTGTCAATGTTACTAAAGTTCATATTGACGTCGCTGGTGGGTGTTTGTTGATTCATTGTTTGGAAATTTTGGGATGCTGTCGCCTGAGGAGACGGCCCTTGGTAAGGAGCACCGCCGAACGAGCCAAAGTCCCGACGCGAAGGATTATTCGCAGGTGCATGCGTGGAGATAGTAGTCGGGTCCATGCTTCTTGTCGTCTCCGGCGCCAAGAGCGAGATATCCATTGGATCGTCGCTGAGAACCACGGATGCTATACTCTTTGGCGAGTTCATGAGCTCTGTCGAATCCAGAGGTTGAGTGCCATATGCGGCTGGACGCATGAACCGGGACAACTGCGCAGCGCTCAACGGTGCTCTGACCATCCGAGGTTGAGGGATGACTGGAGACATCCCTGGTGGTGTTGCTTGCCTGATCGCTTGTTCTTTTCGGATGGCTTGCGCTCTCGCCATTCGAGCTTTGGCAAGAAGCTTCATCAATGGTTTCCACAGATGTCCGCTACGTGATTCCTCCTTGTTAGATGCTTCTTTCCAGCTGGACCGTATACATTTTTCAACCGAAGACCACGCTCGATTGACCAGGTCACCACTCGTGCGATTACAAAGCTCGCCAAGCAGAAATGCTAGTGCGTGCCATTGTATGTACGTTTTGAAGAGCCAGCTCCACTTTTCTGTACGAGACTCAGTCTCCATCAGCAACGCATACTCGACGTTTTCCAGACTCGTGATGAACAACTTCTCCCGGGTTTCCTCGGAGAGACTTTTGCCGCCATCTTTCCTCTGATGAGGATGATAGCTGTGGTACTGTTAGTTGGGTGGTTTGCTGCTCTCTCAAAAATACTTACATCATCAGCCACATCTTGCTCATCATCAGTCGAGCAACTGTAGCAGTGACCCAATACAACGGGATCGACATGTCCACATGCCGGAGGTATCGTTCTTCAAGTCTTTTGTGGCATTCGTTGATCCATCGCTCCTTGTCCTCGAGCGTAACTGAAGCAAAGAAGTCACCGCACTGTCTAGGCTCACCAGGCGGGATATAGTTAAGCCGACGGAAAGTGTTAGCAACTTCGAACCGAATGAGGCAGAACGACATGTCTGTACAGCCTTGCCGCTCGTCAGGCAATCTGGTCATTGCAGGATACAGATCTTCATCGTTGATATTGAGTGGCATTTTGGTGTCAAACGCTTGTTCAGCTAATAGGAAAATAAGCACTTGAAGCCTGTTGTGGGGAATAGAAATGTGAACTTACTGATGGTAGGATCGCTTCCATGATCTTCTGAAGCTCGTACGTCCAGAATACATATCTGCCACCACAGGCGTCTTCGCATCTCGATCTCGAATGGTGGAAGATTGAAATGCAACCCGTCGCGATGCACACCAAGAGTCTGAGCGATTCGGACGACGAGACCAGTCAATGTCCAGATGACACGGGCATCGTTGTTTCTGCGCAAGCATATCAAGTAAATCACGATTGCTTGCACTACCATCATTTCCTCAGTGGTGAGGAAGTTTGCCCTTGCAAGCGCTTGCTCGACACCAAACCGGTAGCGTGACAAAAGCAAGCCTTTTTCCTCACCCAACTTGTTGAGGCATTCGTCCTCGGAAAGACTCGTGATAGTACCATAGTAGATGGCAAACAGTAATGCCTCGAAACTTTTAGATAGATTTGCAAGGTGAGAGGCGGACGCCAGAACGGTGGGCTCAATGGTAGGAATATGGAGGACTTTGACAAGAGGATCCACACGTTCCCTGTAGATATTCCAATACGCTTCGATCTGGCCAGCGATAGGATGCAGAGACAAGAGGTCGACATTTTGCGAGCTGAAACTAAAGATCCAGGCATGGTGCTGATCAGGCTGGGACTGGACAGGGGACGGGTCGTCGGCTTCATCATCGGTGTTCTGGTTCAATATGCCCTTGAGGTCCTCAACCTCGTTGCTGAGGTTGGCCCAAAAGGAGTTGTTCACGTATCTTGAGCGACCTTCGTTGATGACCAGACGACCAAATCTGGTCTCAAACTTGGCACTCCGAGACTCGTCCATGTGCTTGTTCTTTGCTGCCCATCGCTCATGCTCATCCTCGTTCCCATGTTTGTTGGAGTGTGTAGGGTCGGGTGGATTGGGACATGTCCGAGCTGTAGGTAGTGTTATTTCAGAGAGCTCTGGGGGACCGGCTTCTTCGGGGGAATCAGGCGGTGGATCAGGGAAGGAATCAGGATTCGTGATATCTACACCGAGACCTTTGACAACACCCTCGAGACGGCGCAGTCTATCGAGCAGTTCGGCATCTCGCGAGTCGCTGACTTTGCGAGGTTTACGTGGGGCTCTTCCTGGAGTAGGAAAGACACACTCGATGTGAGCGCGAGCGCAGTTTGAACAGGGGTGGAGTTTGTCGCATTTGACCTTGCGCTTCCGGCAGGTTACGCATGAACGCGGATTTAGAAGGCGGCCATGGACATCCCGTAGCGGTGCCGGAGCCGAGGGTATGGATGACGACGACGACGACTGAGCCGAAGGCAGCGCAGGCGGTCGCAACGATGGGTGGGCCAAGGCAGAAGGCAGATGGGATTGGCCGGGCAACAAGATCGAGTTTGGCTGCGTCGGAGAGGGAGGCGAGGGCTTTGACATGGTGCAAGCAGGTGATGGTTCAGAGATTCGAATCAAGCCCACGGAGCAAGCACCAAAGACCGAAGACCCCGACACAACAGAATCCACTCGATTGCCCAAAAGCTCGACTGGCGCGGGGTGGCACACGCCCGAGCGTTTACTGTCTGCTGCAGCACCCTGCTTGCAAGCTCCAGACCCCGAGTCAGTCACTCGAGGCTCCTGGACACACTTCTCGCAAATACGAGGAGCCTTGTCTACTTGGCATGGCTCCACATTCGCCGCCTTGTTCCCGCTGGCCTAAGGCGTTGCGTTCTTTCGCTGCAGCAGAGAAGTGGGAAGAAGAAGTCGCGGAAAGTTTCAAGACTGAAACCGCACCGTGCACCGCATGCCTGCCGGAACTAACAATGACTCGCGCAACCATTACAAGACAGCAGCGGACAGACAGCCCTGGCCGCCGGCGGGAAGTCACTCGTACCGTTCCGCGCCGTTCTTCCTTTTTCCCATGACGCCTCCTTATCGATTGCCCGCAAGCAGTTCGGTGCGAGGTAAGGTGCAAGAGTGCTGTTCGAAGAAGAAGGGGCATGTCGAAGCTGGGGGGCATGGTACCGAAAGAATGGTCGCAAGGTGCATTGCGCTAGACGTCCAAGGCGGTGAGAACAGAAGCTCTGGAAAGATGATGACGACCTGGCGTTTGAAGCTACTAGCACGCGCTACCCTAGAGCATACCGTAACAGAAAGCGACCGGAGTTCAAAGCCTGTCTGTCCTCTTTGCGCGGCATCGTCTTGGACGATCCCTTGTGCAAGACTCGTGAAGGCCAAACGACGGACGACTAGCTACTAGGATCGATATCGGGCTGAGCCTTGAGCACTGCGCACGATTGAGTGAGAGAGCTGAATCAGAAGAATTGGTTGCTTGTTTCAACGCTGCTCCATCCGCAACAGCTGCCACAGTCCCTGTGCTACACCGCCGTCATCCCCGCCGACCGTGCCCGTGCGCCGTCGAGCTCTCTCGTTTTCTTCCCACACGCGTACCAAAGTAATTGCTGCAGTGTATCGTGTACTACGTCGAGCACGCGTGCCCGTCTCCTGCTTCGCTCCCCTCTCGTCGTCGCCCAGTGCAAGTGCCTGGCCTGAACAATGCGTCGGCACCCACCTGCGTCCGCCCTGCCATCCAACGATCCCCTATCTCTGCTCCGCGCATACGACCACGAGTCCAATCCCAGTCGCCCAGTCCGCTCCTCGCCGCTGACCGCCTCGACCATCCATGGCCTGCCGCTCGAGCTGACCGACCGTCTGCGCTCCTTTCCACTCTTTGCCTCGGCCCCAGACTCATTCCTTGCCGCCATTGGCAAGTTTCTGCGCCCACAGCTCTTCCAGCCACATGAATACATTTTGACCGAAGGCGATGACGCCAAAGCCATGTACTGGTTGGTCCGCGGTTCCCTGAGAGTCACCTCAAGAGATGGAGAAAGCACATATGCCGAGCTCAAGCCTGGTGCCTTCTTTGGCGAGATTGGCATCTTGATGGACATCCCACGCACCGCTACCGTCATTGCCCAGTTGCGCTCGCTCGTCCTGAAGCTGAACCAGGAGGACCTGCATAAGGTCCTCCCAGCTTTCCCCACCGTCGAGCGAGCCATACGCGATGAGGCTACCGAACGACTGTCCATCCTCGAACGTATGAAGAAGGAACGCGTTACGCTGCCCGCGACTTCAGGTTTGCGCAAGCGGTCGCGTGACTTCATCGAACGTGATGTCGACATGCAAGATGTAGGGCCCCAGGACGATAGCAACAAGCGTCGCAAATCTCCTAGTCCCAGTCTTGCAGAGGCTGCCGCCAACAGTGTTTTGGGAAACGCAAACTTGACTGTCCGTCAGATCCTGCAGGAGCTGCCCTTGTTTGCAGGACTACCTGCCGAGGTATTGCATTTCCTTGGTGTCAATGCCCAGCCTTGCTCTTTTGGCCCCTTCACAGACATAGTTACTCAAGGCTCGCAAGGCCGAGACGTCTTCTTCCTAGTACGCGGCGAAGTCGAGGTCGTGACCGAGACCCCTGGGAACAAAATCAACGAGATGACGGGGAAGCCGTTACCTGTGCAGCGTGTGCGAGCTCGTCTCAAGCCTGGCCAGTACTTTGGTGAAGTCACCAGTCTCTCTCTTGCACCCAAGAGAACAGCCACGGTTCGCTCTATCAACGGCGTTGAATGTCTGCGAATCACTGGTCAAGTCCTAGACGAGCTTTGGAGAAACTGGTCGTCAAGTTTGCGCCAACAGGTCGAGCAAGAGGCCAAGCGGCGACTAAAGGAGGTTGAGGATACAGATATCGTCCTGCCGGACGCTCCGTCCGCCATCGATGCCCTCTCGGCGTTGCCGCCGGAAGATCAATGGAAAAAGAGCGTGCCTACAGTCACTTTCAGTAACACTGAAGCTGAAAGCCCCATCACACGAGACATGTCTCCTGTTGCCGCTGAACCCATGGATCCTGATCCTTTCTTCAGCATCGATATCGACAGCGTGCGTGCTAAGTCAAGGAGGAGCTCACTCGCGCCTCCATCCCCAGAACCCGTCATGCACGACACCGCCCTTCGCCAACCATCACCTCCTTCCGCAGGTCGTGCGCTTCCATCCTCTCCTCTAAAGCCAAGGTCTTCCGTATCCTCCAGATCTCCTGCATCCGACACTAGGCGCCCAATCAGTCGACGCCCTAGCGTGTTCGGCAGACCATCTAGCCGATCGGGGAGAGGTCCTCTCCCAGACTCGGTGCTTTCTATGGTCTTCCAATACTTGGATTTACTCGATCTTATGCGTCTGAGATTGGTCTCCCCTCATTGGACCCGGCTCTTGACAACGAGTCCAGACATCCTCCACGACCTAGATTTGTCACGATACAATCGTCGCGTTACAGATTACGTCTTGAAAGAGGCCATCTGTCCCTTTGTAGGATCTCGCGCGCGTCATGTCAACATTAACAATTGCTTCCACGTGACCGATGATGGCTTCGCCGCGCTTGTGGAGTGTTGCGGCGAAAGCGTCCTTAGTTGGCGGATGCGTAGTGTTTGGGACGTGACGGGACAGAGTATCCTGGATCTTGTAAATCGCGCAAAGCGTTTAGAGGATATTGATCTGAGCAACTGCCGAAAGGTTGGCGACAACCTGTTAGCACGAATTATAGGCTGGATCGTGCCGCAACCGCCGCCTGGACATGCAGCACCTCTACTGCCACCAGTAGCTTCTTCGTCTCGTCGTCCAGCGTTGAAGCGTAACACAAGCAGTGCAGTGGTCCCACAAGCAGATCAACCCGCTCCGGGTACAGTAGTGGGAGCCCCAGGACTGAAGCGCTTGACACTGAGCTACTGCAAACACGTACAAGATAGGAGTATGGCGCATATAGCTGCACACGCAGCGAATCGACTCGAAAGCATTGATCTAACGCGCTGCACCTCGGTCACGGACCAAGGTTTTCAACATTGGGGACTTTATAACTTCCAACGGTTGCGCAAGCTCGTCCTGGCCGATTGTACGTATCTAACCGACCAGGCGATTGTGGGTATCGCGAACGCTGCGAGAGGGCTCAAAGAGTTGGATCTGGTATGTTCAAAAGTGCATCGTAACGATGCAACAACTTTGGGTCGAATTTTTACATGACTAACACATATTTTTGCAGTCCTTCTGCTGTGCACTCTCTGATACAGCGACTGAGGTCCTCTCGTTGGGCTTAACGCATCTCACACATCTTGATTTGGCCTTCTGTGGCTCGGCCGTCTCGGACTCAAGTCTTCGTTGCATCGGCCTGCATCTTCTGGAGCTGGAATACTTATCAGTCCGCGGCTGTGTACGAGTCACTGGTCAGGGTGTAGAGAGCGTTGTAGATGGATGTCCTCATCTCTCACTCTTCGATGTCAGCCAGTGCAAGAATCTTCTTCCATGGCTGCGATCTGGCGGTGTGCAAGCAGTTAGACAGCGAGGCTGCAAGGCCAGGTTTGAAGTCGTGGCCGATGGGTCATGGCGTGGCAGTGGAGAAGCATATAAGGGGTTGCATTGCTCTATTTAAGGCGCTGATATATCGAAGCATTTCTGGGAAAGGATGTTGGGGGAATGTTTTTGGGTGTGATTGATATTCTATCTGTAATGCGTTCTAGCGATTCATAGCAAAGGAAACTTTTTACCATCTCATACCACCTCTGGAAGAAACTCCGACAGAGTTCTGCGTTCCTGAAAATAGAGGTTCCAACTTCCAAGCCCGGTGGATGAGGCTCTGGAAGCGGAAGGTCCACTGGTCAGTGCCTGGGGATGCGGGGTCGGGGCGCACCTCGGAGCTCAAGCATGACGTTTTTGTTGATCATCAATATGCAGCAGCAGCTTTCGGGATGAGGCTGAACGTCACCACTTCTACAACGGATTGTAGATAAGCAGGGCAATTGGCAGTCTTGAGCTCTTACGAAGCTTCGCATCATTCTTCATCATCATATAACAACAACAAAGATACCTCAAACAGACAAGATGGCACTTACAGCGGACAAAGTTGTACGCAACCCCTGGAGCTTCACAACATGGACTCGCTCATTGTTGGGGGCTCTCTGATCACATTGAGAAGCGAGATACTGATGAGACCTTCTGATAGCTCCTCCACGGATATTGTTGGGGCAATGCTCTCTGGTATGGCTCGAGAGGACTGTGCCGCGTTTGGGACCCTCTGATGGTCATCGGCTGTGTGTCATTGAGAACTTCCAGCTTCGATCTCAATTGGTTTTCTGACGCTTGTTTAGGGTTCCGTCCCCCAGTAGAATCACACCTGAAGCCTACCGGTAAGCCATCCAGCGCTCTCAGCAGTAGCGTGGAAAACCAATACTGAGACCGAACAGACCTCGAGCTCTACAACGTACGCACCGATGGCTGGGGCCTTATCTCTCTCGCTGCCTCGCTGCTGGTCCTCTCCCGTGCCTACTCCCGCGGCGGCGTCAACAGAACCTACTCGAAAGCTTTCATCGCCGTATCCATCTTCCACCACGTCACAACCATGTTTGGCGCATGGCAACATTACAAGCTGGACACCCACTACACCAAGGCCATGTGGATCGGTGTATGGGTCAACGCTTTCTTGACCGGAGTCGGCGGTATCGTCCTGGGAGGTCTGAACAACGACTCTGTCGCCAGAACAAAGATCGCATAGATTGGCAGCACCAATTTACGAGAGATCTGAGAAGTAATAAGCGATACGAGAGATACAGGATGGTATGAGCATACGATCATGAGGCATGCACAAAGACAGACGACGTCGATGACAAGGAAGAGCATTTTCACTCACATAAACATTGCTTAGAGACGACTTAGATAGCGCTCGGCAACTCGCTCGCTCGATCAGACTTCAAGTGTAGAGCTGAATGGATTGAGTTGACGAGTCATACAAGTTGTACATCTTCTGTGACATATTTTATGCCGTCTAGTGCAACAAAAATTGCTTGGCGACCCGAAAATGCGACTTTCTACGATAAAATGCTAGGCATACATCAGCCAATGCTTCGCATGCAAGCATGAGCAGCAAGGCCACCGTAAAGAATGTCCAGATAGAAGAGTTCGCGAAGGCTACTGAGTTGCCGGCATTGAGTACGGTTGTCAACGGTCGCGATGGCCGCATCTGGAGCCAACAACGTCTATATTCACACCGTTTCTCTCCAGACCAAGGCATGTATGAACCCGCGCTATCGACAAGGCGTATTGACAGAGTTATCTGTGGCAGAGAAAGTGAGCAGCTACCATGAGGTCGTGAGACATCGATACACTGAACGTGGGCCACACATCAACGGTATTCTTCTTCGGAGGGCTTTCCAGAGCCCTTTTTGATCAGCCCTATGGTCAATGACAATACCTTCAAATACAAGTATGACCTCCCAGTTTTTATGATCACATATCTCTCTTTCAATCAATCTTTTTTTTCTAGTGTCTATTCTTCATCCCACACTCCCTTGTCACCGATATCAATCTTTTGTAGCAACATACCAAGCCTACTCTTATAATATGCATCTCATCAACACACTTCTTCTCGGCGCCGGTGCCGTCTATGCTGCCACCACACCACAATACCTCAACATCGGCACTCTGAACTCCAACACCCCCAGCGGCATCAACACACCCGCCTACGCCACAATCACCTTCCCCATCACCGACTCCAAGACCAAAGCCTCCACCACCTGCACCGTCAAATGGGACTGGACCAAGAAGCCAACTACCTCATGGACAGCCTGCAAGGACAACTCCTTCTCCATCAAGGTGTCGAATTACAAGACTTTGACCGACTTCAAGGTGGATATGCAACATCAGTACAACACAAAGACTGGCAAAAAGTGCATTAACCCCAATGGCACTGGCTGCACGACTACATTGGCTTCAACTACTGTCTCGAAGAGTGCGGCGGGCTTCCAGAGCTATTGCGGTGCTTCGGGTGCTTGTGGAGCTGTTGGAAAAAAGGGTGTCAAGGTTGCTGTCTCTTCGTCCAAGACTGGTACTCAGAAGTAGTAGATTGACATACCTTATCTTGCATGTTGTCAGATCAGAGGAGGCGAGGGACCGGCCGTCTCCAATACGCAGAGTAATGTTTCTAATATTGTGTACTAGCGAGACTTTAGGGCACTATCATGAAATATATCATCCGTTTCTTGTCATCACATGTATCATCACTTGTTTGAAGTTCCCACGTACTCGACCTTGCATAAGAGCTTGGTCCCCGTCAGCCACTCCAGATGAGAAGTCCCGATAGTTGTGATCAAAATGGTTGATGATAACAAATTGTCGACTAAAGACCAGGGTTCTTCCTCTGACGAAAATGATGTCACATTCGACGCGCGACACGAAGACTCGTGAACCACTACCTATCATCCTTCTGCTGCATGCAACCTGCACGAGCAAGCAAGCGACAGACGAAACCCTCGTAACCACGGTACAAATTCTCTAGTCAGACGCACGCATCTCACCAAAAGTGATCGTTAGCAAGAAGCACAAGGTACAGCGGCGCGTAGCTGACAAGCCACCAAACATAAAGAGAGGAACCGCATCAAGGGCACATCTCGCCCACACTTTTCGCGAACCATCCATCCTTGACCTTCCTCAGCTCTCGGGAAGCGCTTCCATCATTGTTCCTTCCACATCTTCCTCCTCCACCATGTCGAATCGCCCCCTCGCAGTCGCAAAATCACGACTACCTACAGGCGCAAAACCTCCCGCAACCACCACGAGAGCAACGCCGCTAGACCAACCTCTCTCCTACGCAGAACGAGAAATACGCAATCGCGCCGCTCGCGTGCTAGAAAATGAAGAAATGCTTCTCTTGCTGAGTAGACAACGACACGAGGTAATGCATCACCATCCAGAAGCGCGGAGGCTTTCCTTCCTCTGTGATAACAAACAAGGCAAGATTGCTGAGGGTGCGAATTTGGATACATATAGTCTGTACTCCAGACCCGCATCTATTGCGAAGCCAGAGCGGCGGGACTAGAAGACGAGACGTTGAAATTCGACTACACGATGGATCTCAGCGAAGAGAGGGACCCAAACAAGTCAGGCACGAAGAGTCCAGCGGCGAAAGGCACTGCGCGCATTGCTTCTGGATCCAGCAGAAATCCAGGCTCGCCCTCGAACAGCAAAAGAGACAAAGATCGCGGACGGGAAGGAGGAAGAAGGAGCCTTGGGTCTACCAGGTGAAAGGAGTCGGGGCAATATATGTACGTTCTTGGGATTTCATGATACCCCCTTGCTTTGCTTTGCTGTGTTGATATGAACGGTAATTCTATGTTCTCGCAAACACACTCTGCCGTTTCGAGTCGTTGTCAATGAAGACGTCTAGTTATATTGTCCCAGTCGCGACTGCAGATCCCTTCATCCGATCAAGGTAGCCTTTCCGCCGCCGTACTTTCCTTGCGGTCCGTCAAGGTGCGCGTCCAGCACAGCGCAAACACCGCCCTTGACCGCTTCGATGGCTTCGGGAAGCATCTTCGCCAATTCTTCCACGGTACCAGCATGACCGGCCCAGCATTTACCACCAGAAGACGCTTTCGCAATACCCGAGTAGTCGGGCGTGGGTGCGAACGAGATGTTGAGTTCTTCGTTTGACACTTTGCTACCCTCGCCCTCCGGATGGACCAGAAGGAGCGACTTGCGGGGTGCATTCCAGCCTGTCTAGTGTCAGCAAGAATATCATCAAGGACAACGACATACAAAACCATACCTTTGTTGTTAAGCACAACTGTTAGGATTGGGATGTTGTAGCGCTGCGCAATCCAGTACACCGATCCTGGCACACTGAAGAGGTATGTGCCATCGCCAACAATCTGGACGACAAACTTTCCTTTTCCGCCATTCTCGAAATCGGTTGCGAGCTTGATTCCCAAAGCACCGCCTCCCGACCATCCGAGTCCACCACCGCCGCAATTGATCCAAGATCCTGGGAAGGTTGCTTGAATTTGATCTGCAACGAATGCCGTATTCGTCACTGCCTCAATGGCCCAGATGGTGTCTTGGGGACATGATTTGCGCAACTGGTGGACCAAGTATGAGCATCCAAATGTTCCGTCTTCACCGGGCTTAGCTTGATCCGAAATCGTCTGCAAACGCTGCTTGTGCGAGTCCTGCAGTGCGGCCCACTTCTCTTCGAATCGGCTGCTCGTGATCTCACTTTCGTACTTGGCCTTCAGATGTTCGGTGATCTGGGTCACAGCAGTCTCCGAATCTGCACGGTATCTGGCCAAGGCATTGATGTAGAACACGGGCATCTGCTGCTTGAGAGGATCAACATCAATGTGTATGATCTTGGCCTCGTCGTTGGGCTTGCATTGAGTCGGGATCCAAGGAACATCGCAGTCCAGCACAATGATCACATCTGCAGACTTGATGTTGTCTTCCACGCCATATCTGAGACCTAGCCACGCTGGATGGTCGGCAGGGAAGCACATATCGCTACCACCAGTGTCCAACACTTTGAGTCCTTTGACGGTATTAGCAAGCTCGACGAGTGCTCCGACAGCATTATGATTGCGTCCACTGTAGCCAGTGATGACAAGCGGTGACTCGGCTTCGATCAAGAGTTGAGCTACTCTCTCGGTCTGTTTTGAGGTCAAGGCGCTCGGCTCGACTGCTGTCCAGTAACGTTGATCAAGCTTGTACGGTTCAATGTCCTCTTCCATGGCCTCTCGAGCACCAGCCAGATATACGGGGCCTCTTGGTTCGCTGGTTGCAAAAGTCAGGGCTCTGTTGACCAACTGCTTGACATTGGCTCCACGCTTGATTTCTCCAGTATAGCGACAATACTGCGCAACGATTTGCTTCTGATCAGGAACATCCTGGATCCAGTGGATATACTCGGTTCGCGAGCCACGATACTCGCCCTCGATTGTGTATGGCGAAAGCCCAGCGAAGATGAGAACAGGTGCTCTTCCACAAGATGCGTTGTGGACTGCGGCACCAAGACCTTGCGTTCCTACGTCGACGTGAACGATAACACATTGAGGCTTGTTGGTTAGTCTTGCATATCCATCAGCCAGACTGAGAGCAACCATCTAGGCAGCGTCAGCAGGATGATCGAGTTAGGCATAATACTGAGTTCATACCTCGTTAGGACAAGTGATGATGCGTGGGAACTTTCCATTCTTCTCGTTTTGTCCCTTGACGATTGCTTCGATGATACTCGGATGATCTGAGCCAAGATTGACGAAGCAATGCGTGACGCCGGCCTAGATTTGTATAATCAGAATCGAGCAAATTGCCGCAAAGACCGATAGACATTACCTCGTAGATAGCTTCAAAGAAGCCGAAGGACGCGGTATATACCCTACTGCCGTCAGCCAATGAAGCCGAGATGCATGTATAAGGCGCTTGGCTGCATACATAATGTCGAGTCCGAGGAATTGGTGACACGAACAATCTCAATTACGGGAATCGGTAACCACACAGTACTCGATACCAAACAGAGTTGCAGCTCCAGGTAGATAAAGGAAAGCTGACAAGTAGATGCCCGTCTGGTGTACAACATCAACCCCGCGTCGGCAAACCATCACGGCCTCTTCGGACCCCGCTTTCTACGTTGATCCTTTGGTCTCAGGCAGGAGCAATCAAGAGCGACTTGTTGGAAACGAATGCCTTGTTCTTCGAGTGATCTGAAAAACTCGTCCCCTGTTTTCCTACAACCTCGCCTGCTTCCCTCTTATCCACACATTCCTCCATCCGCAATTTGTTATACACACAACTGAGCTTCTTCAATCCTACACTCCGTCCAGAATCACTCTCTCCTGATCGATTGATACTGCTTGCGTGACTTTATCACCAATATCACACAAGTCTATCAAACTGCCACATATACTCTAGGAAGAAGGCCCTGAGACGCTGGAACTGCGTGCAGTCCTGTTTGCGTTCAGCTCTTCCTCGAGCATATGGACTTTACCAAGACGGGCTGCAGGCAGCCATCTGTCCTCAGGCATGAACCACCACGAGAGTAGTGCAAAGATGGTAATAGCGCCGAAAATTACAGGCGAGTAATTGAAGGTCTCGCCAGAAACAGGGAACTCAAGAGGAGAGAACAAGACTGCAGCCAGGTAGAGGTTCCAGATAAGAGCAATGAAGTTCAAGGGACGGGACCAGCGACCAAGAGACCAAGGGGCATTCTTGAACTCCCCGGGTGTCAGGAACGTGCGGCCGAAGCAAATCAAAGCATATGCAGTGATGGTGGGAACACCAGCGGCAGACACTAGCGATGCGAAAGCAGTAGCAGAGGGAAGGATGGAGCAAAGCAGTAGTGCGGCGACACCCAACATGACAGTGACTGCATTTCTCGGCTCCTTGTTGGCAGAGACAGCAGAGATCCAACCCGAGAATGGTAGAACGCCGTCACGAGCGACAGCCCAGATCAAACGAGACGAGGCAACTCCGCTGACGGTAGTGTTGAAGAACAGACCAAGAATGCAAACAATGTTCATAACAAGGTGACCTCCTTTGCCCAGAGCCTGTGCGTAGATACCGACAAACGGCTGAGGGTAGTTGAAGTTGAAGTCGCTGAGGTCCGGACAACAAAACAGGAACAGAATGACCATAGGGAACCCCATCAAAGCAGAGACCAGAGCAGATGTGAAGATGCCTTTGGCGGCGACAACATTTGCGTTCTGTGTTTCTTCAGAGATGTGACCGGAGGCTTCAAATCCTACTAAGATTCCAGCTGTAACGTAGTAACTCTGAACTACAGTTAGCAGTTTTCTTATGTATAAGATCAAGAAGATCGTCACTCACCAGCATCCAGTTCCAGACTGGCGGGGCACCAGTGAGATTTTCCGTGGCCGTGAAGGCAAATTTGGCCGATTGGAATCCGTAGGTCTGAGATACTGCGATAGGGAACCAGATGATGTTCAGGGCAAAGTCCAGAACAATCAGGGCAGTAGCAATTCTGAAAATCCACTTGTAGGTCTTGGGGTTCAGATAGTTCATGCCAATAGCGAGACAGAGGATTGCCTCGGAGACAATCCATTGTACAGCACGGAACTTAATGTCGCCCGTGTCGGTGATGAGGGAGGTAACGCCAAAGACCGGAAGCTCTGATAGGATGAAGTTGGCAGTACTCTGGCAGAGCGAAGCCACGAAAGTCGTCCATGCAGTGCACGACCACCAAGCGACGATAAAGCCAAAGAGACGAGCATACTTGGGACCGCCAGCTTCTGCAGCCCAAAAATAGATCGAGCCAGCTGCAGGAAGGGCGGAGCAAATCTCCGCCAGGACTGCGGCAGTCACCATCGTAAACACCATCGTGACAAGGTAGGAGGACCTAGTTGATCAGTGTCTGAGCCTTTGCTGCGTGATGATGGGACTTACCAGTAAGCCGCGGGACCTCCAGCTTCAACGCCAATGTAGAAGGTTGCGCGAATGCCACCGATAACGTACATTGCGGCTGCACCATTGTTAGAAGAGTTCGTGGAAGGACAGTTCAAGTGCGTTACCAAAGCTGGCGGAGAAGCTTTCTGCGAACTTCCATTGGCGGTGCAAGGTCTAGCTAGGTGTTAGAACCAAGATCCCTCATGTCGTCTGGCAGATACACTCACTTGCTTGTAGCCGAGCGCATTCTGCCCTGTATCAGGTCAAATGTTCTCCGAAATACGGAAAGGGAATCAAGAAAGGCCGATTCGATAGTCTCTGCATCTCCTTACGCGTCTATGAAGACGATCAAGTTCGTGCGGTTCTTCTCAACCTGATACCATCCCGGTGCCTGCAAGAGGCAAAGGGTGGATCAGATGCCCGCGTGCAGTGACTTTTGTTGCTGGATTGTCGTCGTTGAACCCGATTGTTTTCTTGGCCTGGAACTCACCTATGGCCATCATGCGCGTTTGGAGGATGCTTTATTTTGACTCATCTGTGTCGTCCGTTCGAGATTCCGACCATCTCATACCAGGTAGCGTTCGTCTGAATCCATGCTCGAGGTCTCGGCAAAGTCGGATTGCAGAGGATTCTTGGGTTCTGCAGCGTTGCTGCGATGCTTCATTTGAGTCGACATGCTGACGATTGGCACAGATTTGAATGGATAAACTGGGGTTGCGGTGTTGGGAGGAAGCAGCGAATGGTGGGAACGGTCCAGTCACGTCGTCTTATAATTTTTTCTCATCTGCGGTTGATTGGACCCTTTCGATGACACTTTCCATCGTCGGCCGGCTCTCAAGGCCGAGGTCGGATGATCCTTCGCTCGACATCAAGCCACAATTAAGCATCTTTTATCACCAAGCACAAAAATGCTTGTTCAACAGAGCGACGTCTTGGTAGGCTGGCTCTTTTGTATAGTTCCTCTTCGCGGCCTCTGTCGTCTACTCGGATTCGTCGGCGAGCGACTACAGGGAGGAACGTGTTCATGACGTTGCCGATAAGCTTTTCCAGATTCCAGCCGCGACCCGCGAACCACTCTCGGACGCACGCGGTAACTTGTGCATCTCAGCCGACCGCGCCCAATGTTTCCTTCTTCTTGCTGTCAACTTGTTGTGAGGATATCATAACCCTGCGTCCATACCGCTCCGCGCAGCAGCACTCGTCAACACCGCGGTCATCCGTCTCCCGTCGCCATGAAACAGTAATCATAACATCCCCAACATACGAACCCTTAGGGGACATTTTTCCAAATCCTTATCACATACTGTCTTCCCAAGTATGTTCCTTGTTAGGCGGTAACAAAATCACTTCATTCCGTCATGAGTGATCAAAGTGGCTCGACTGCCCTCGAAAGATCCTCAGACTGTACTGGCGCTTCAAAACATCAACCTGCCGAACTCGAAAGAAAATCGTCATGGCACCGAGGAGACTCTGAGGGCTCTAACATACAACACATATCCCCGACAAGAAGAAGGTCGATTGAAAGAACGCCGGGACATAAACGATGGTGGAAGTTCATGCTGAGGTCTTGGGACGATGATCAAGAGCAAGACTGGTGGTTTGCTGGCACTGCAATTCCCCTCCTTGCCGCAACTATGGGTATGTAGACAATGAGTTTGAGCAACCTTACGTTTTTGTACCCTTGAACCATACAACCACTGCATTCGACATGATGAAAGCTTGATGACATTCAAGTCTTCGGCCATAGATCTGTAGCATACAAGCGGTATCAAGTCGAAGTACGTAAACTCGCTGACACTGCCTCCAAAGGACCCCTTGCAAACGTCTTATCGATCGCGGCACTGGTCACGCCATGGCGAATGTGTCTGCTTGACGGAGTTCAGCCAGAAAGTTGTCCATGGGACGGATCAAGTGAATTGCTCCCTGATCTTGATGGACACACATTCGGTGACCCGCACTGGTGTTACGCCCTTAACATATGTTCGCTCGCTCTGGGATTTACTGGAAACATGTTTTTACTGTTGAACTTCACAAACCGAATTCGATATATCATTGCTCTCCCACTCACGATCATCTTGTGGTACGCGGCAACTGCGATTGTGAGTCTTAACAATCACAGCCTTTGGATGTTGTCTAATTTCTACAGTTGATCGCAATCGAGGCTTCCATGAACCAGTTTGTACCACCTCTGAAACCCCAACAGAGCTATACTCAAGGGTTCTGGTATGCTGTTATCGCTGCAATCTTCTATCTAATATGCTCCATGCTGCTCATGGTCAATATGCTCGGATATTTCCTCGGGCATTATCCACAACGATTCAACCTCACAGATTCTCAACGTACACTCATTCTACAGACCATGCTGTTCTTCGTATGGCTTGCTGGGGGCGCAGGCGTGTTCTCGCTGGTCGAGAGCAAGTACGGACAAGGTCTGTTCAATTGGTCCTACGTCAACGCACTTTATTTCTGTCAAGTCACAGTGTTAACCGTCGGTTTTGGTGATTTGTATACCAGCAGTAACATCGGTCGAGGGCTAGTCATGCCTTACGCGGTTGGAGGCATCATCATGCTTGGTCTGATCGTGACGAGTCTTACAACATTTGCGTCCGAACTTGGAGAAGACAACATAGTCCAGAAGCACATTGAGAGGAGCCGCACTCGAACAATCGGAAGGTCGTTCACAAGCTCGATCGAACTCAAGAATCGTGAGAAAATAGCAATGGGTCTGAGACCGACCATTTCGAGGCCTTTTGATCCAGTCAACCGCAGTATCGCATTTGCTGAAGATGCCCCTCGGCTGCAAGACAATGATACAAACCAAGATCAAGGACCCTTCAGCCTTCTAAGACGCACCGCAACAATACCACTGACCGTTCTCCGACCGGCGCGTAAGCCTCGCCTCTTACTCCTTCGAGAAGAAAAAGACCGCTTCATTGCCATGCGCCGGATACAACAGAAGACTCAAAAATGGAAAAAATGGTCCGGTCTTTGCATCTCAGTATCTGCCTTTGCTATCCTTTGGTGTATCGGCGCAGTGATATTTTGGATTGCCGAGCGTCGTGTCCAAGGTATAACCTACTTCCAATCACTATACCTGTGTTGGGTATGTCTTCTTACTATCGGATATGGCGATCTCGCCCCCAAATCGAATGCCGGACGTCCTTTCTTCGTGGTCTGGAGTCTAATCGCTGTGCCTACGATGACACTTCTGGTTGCCGACATGTCGACCACTATTGTCAACGGCTTCAACCGAAGCACATTCCGCCTGGCCGATTTCACGATCCTACCGAAAGCCGGCATCTGGGGTCCGTTGATATCTCGACTATCGCCGTGGCTACAAGCGCATAAAGAGCGCAAAGCTGCTCAACGCCGCCTGCAACGAGGCTTCGAGACCGGCGTCACAGAGGAAGAACCCACGATCGATAACCTAGCCAAGGAGCAAGGCAGTAAGGCTCCCAGTGATGCCGAACTGGCAAGAAGACTAGCACACGCCATTCAGCGCGTAGCCAAAGATCTCAAGCAAGAACCACCACGTTTCTACACATATGAAGAGTGGGTACAATTTACGCAGCTGATTCGCTTCACAGCCACAGGCGACAGAGAAGAGGGGGTAAACAGATATGAAGCCGATGAAGACGGAATGATAGAGTGGGATTGGATTGGCGAGCATAGTCCGCTCATGGCGCAGCAGAGTGAAGCATCATTCGTGCTCGACAGATTGTGCGAGAGCATGACAAGATATGTGAGAAAGATGGCGGCTATCTACAATCCCAAAGACGATGGGAAAGGGGAAGACGAGGAAAGTGATGCAAGAAGGCAATCACTCGAGATTGAGGCACTTGACGAGGAAGTCGCAGCAGCCTAGTGTTTCAAACGTGGGTCCTGGAAAGAGTGTTGTTGCATGGATTGTATTCATTCAAATGCTAAGCTGAGCCTAGGTCACAACTTCATGGTGAGGAGACGGAGGAATGACCAGGACTTCTCGCGCCCATCGCGCCTTCTAGTCTTCGTGTTCGATCCACACAACCTCTTGACTACGGCATTGGATCGCGTCTTCTCACCGTAGTAATTTCATTCTTGTATCTCTACAACTCTCTATGTCAACACCTCGCCTGCGTCAGCATCATGGCTCTCACACACGAATTCAGTGCTCGTGGAAAATCCTTCTGCCCACATTTGCAAGCGAGTCATACCAAGATGATTGGAGAGCCACATGTAACGAAACATAACGTTTGTTCTCGAGTGTTCATTTGTCTCCTACGGACTACATGCTCTCCAGATGTTCCCAAACAACCCTAACCTAAACTCCAACAACTCCTTCAAACAAACACCCTAACGACAAATGAGAGCCCAAAACACAAGATCGACGAGCGAGAAAACATGCAAACTCAAGCCGATGGAATTCTCCAGAACAACAGCACAAGCAGACCAGCCACGAAGAGCAAAGTTGATGTATAGACATCGTCGACGTTTCCCAAGGGTCCTTGAGCTTTGTTGGGAAAGTGGTGAGGGAAGAAGTGTCCGGGAATCATGGCATCCATGACATCCAAGTCGTTGTGGAGGGATGAAGTCTGTTCGATTTCCTGTGTTATATTTAGCAATCCCATTTCGCACGGAAGTTGTACTTGACCAGCAAGATGACGACAGCTTGGATCTGACAAGAAGGCTTCGAAGTGGAAGCTATTTACTTCTTCTTCCTCTTCTTGCCTTGATCTTTCTTCTGTTGGCTATCGCCAGGGGTGCTGTTACTAACCTGGTATTCTCTCAAAGCTCTTTCGGCGGCTTTTCTTTCACCTTCACACCTGGTACACGACTGGTATGTCTGGTGAGGCAAGTCGTGGAGTGGACACATTTCAGAGTGTGTGGTGCAATAACGGACGGGATGATGGGCCCATCTGCAGTTGCCACGACCGCGTTGAGGGCAGTGGTGCTCGTCACGTCTCGAACCGCCTTTGGGCATGATTGGAATCTGACTGGGATAGGTTGGTGGTGGAATGGTGATGTTCGTCTTTTGATGTGGATGTGCGTTGTTCTGAATCTTCGAATGAGTTTGTATATGAGAAAAAGATGCGATTTCAGGATATAAGTACCATGTCTCCAAGAGACACATGTACGATACTCAAAGACAACTCATGAAAGACATGATGGACTGTCAGGAGGTCTTCACGCTCCCAACAAAGATAAATGGAACATTGTCGAGGAGCAAGACATAGGCTTTCACTCTTTACCAAAGAATTGTGTCTCGTCCACAAAGCTGGCAATATCTTCCCACGCAAGGATACAATGCGCGTGAGACAGGCAAAGATGTAGGAGGAGAGATATAGTTGGAAAGGGGTGGGCAGCGCCAGAGCTGCAGCATTGCCCAACTCATGATGCAGGTTCGAGAAAACAATCGAGAGAAACAACGCAGTGAATTAAGAGACCCCATACTCGCATCAGTATCAGCGATCGTCCTCAGCACATTAGACTTGGTTTCGGTCTTGGTGGTTAACCAGGAATTGATGAGACAGGTCTCGAGGGGCTTGAGACACGTCGAAGAATCTTCACCGTCGAGGGATTTTGAGTGTAGCGGAGTTCGGACTGACGACATGAGAAATACACGTTGTTGAAATGCGCACGTTGGAGATATGTATAGCAAATCAGAGAAGTCGTGGACCTGAGGGTGTAATTGTACAGATATGCTCAGATGATAAAACATGCACGAGCTGCAGATAAGGAACTACTTGAACAGCAATAGAATACACACCAACAAGACTTGAATCTACGTATTCCAATGAACGTTTACTGTGCAAGATGCGATATTCCAACCAGAGAGACAACCATTGACTTAAGGTAACCCTTGAACAACTCCAACCCGGAAGATAGGAGAATCCCAAACGACAAACAAAGGAAAGAGCTCGTGTAAAGCCACACAGTGGTTGTACAGAAATAAGAGAAGCGAACTTGGAAGCGAGCAGGCCGAGAGTGTTGGGCAGTGAAATGACCATCAGACAAGCGACTCGGAGAAAATGAGAGCCACAGCCAGTCCTGGGATTCTCAATACTCTGGAACTTCGGTAGGATGAGGCAACTGTATCTTGGACAACTCCGTCAGCGTCACAATCATGTTGTGGAGTTTACCCATTAAGGGACAACACAAGTCTGAAACGCGTCGAGGCATGAAGTGTGTGAAGGCAAGCAGGAGTCCAGCTCCTGTGTTCTGAGATCTAAGAGTATCCTTTAGCAGTATCATTTTGGTCGCCATGAGAACTCCAAGCTATTTAACTTAACATGAGGAGTCGTGGTAAAGGTTTGAGCTGTTAACCTGATCGTGCACCAGCAGAGGACAATTGAGCATAGTCGGCAGCGGTCTCACACTTGAAGCAGCCTTGGTCCTTCGTGTGAGGCCAGGGGGTTGTGTGCTTGCCACAGACAGTCTGATGCCTTGAGCAGTGGTAGATGCCGAGCGACTTGATCGGCCTACGGCAGTTGCCCTTGCGCTTCCCGGGGCAAGTATGCATGTTCGTCATATTATTGTTGTGGAGAGAGTGAGTAAAAGTGATATGAAAGGGGTAAGCGGAAATTGAAATTTGGGATGATGAGATGCTGTTGCTGTTGACTCGGTTTCCTTGAGGTTTGTTGATGAGCTGGAGATGAGAGGAGAAGACGCTTATAAACCTTTTCGAATATCTAGCAATGTTTTCGAGTATTCAGACTTGTCCGTAACCAAGAACAAAGACGTCAAAGACTCAGGGTATACAACCGAATCTGCATCGTCCCAGAGTTAACAGTGCACAATGATCCATGCTCGTACAACAAAGACGACAAGCATAGTAACAATGGCACATTGTCTAAACAAGGAGGACTGGAAGAGAGAGTCGAGTCGGAAGGTGGAACATTTTGAACTGCGCAAACAAGGGCTCGAAGACAGGCTCGTCGCGATATCGAAAGATCAACAAAACTGTCCGGAGTTTCGTGTTGGTTGACCAGAATACTGGCTGTCGGAGATAACTTGTGAGTCGAAGCAGGATGGAACCAATCTCGAGGTTGTCCAAGACATTTGGTGAATGGAAATCTTCCCGAAATAGTGTGAGTGATCGCTGAAAATTGCATCGAGTGTACTGTCAGTATGGTTAGCCTGAAAACTATGGGATTGTTCTCCTAAGACACAGATCGGATGTATCGGTTTTGTTCGATTCGCGACGTGCTCTTTCCACCTCTTGCAGAGGTGAATATGATTGATTTGCAAGGAAAATTTCATTCTTTTGGGGGGTCGTACGCTAATATCGTAACGAGTCTCATGGGCGATCCCTTGGTCATGTGTAGATCTGGGCGTTCAGCAAAAGATGCCTCCTTCCGCCTCGGCGCGTGTCCTCTTCTTCTTCTCTTCCCCGTGCGACGCTTCCCAAACTCTATCGCCATGTCTAACCCAAACCTGAGGACTCGATAAGCATGCAGCGCTGTGCTCCTTCTTTTTGCGTGACGCTCGAAACTCCAGACGCCGGAAGCAAAGGAACGGGGGCTGCGTCGCGGGCGGGAATCGGGATCAAAACGTGGTTGACGAAAGTGTTTACTCGTCAACGGCAACAATGCCATCCTCGTCGCTCTCGTCCTCGTCGCCACTGACTTCCTGGTTCTCGCGCTCGCGCTTGTCCATAAGAGCCTGGAGCTCGGCATCATCGTTCTCAGTAACAGCCTTGGGGGCCATCTTGACGGAGCAGGTGCCGCCAGCTGCGGTGATGGTCTTGGTAACCTCCTGAATGGCTTCTTCGAGGACAGTGATACCGATGGTCTTGTCGAGAGTTTGCGAGGTGAGGACGTAAAGAGGAGGAGAAACAAGCTTGACCTTGACCTGGGTGTCCTCGGTGTTGCGAGCCTCAGCCTGGCGCAGGGCGGTCTTGACGGCATCGATTCCTTCGTAGCCGAAGCAGGTAACCTCGATATCGGCACGAACCTTTGTGGGTTGAGGCGTCAGACGCTTGCTAATGTATGAGATGAGCTCCTCCTTGATGACATTGTTGGCGAACTCGACCTCGTCCCAAACTTGCTTGCTGTCTCGTGTGAGTGAAGGGATCATGTGTCTGACGTGGGAGCGGCGTACTTTGAGATGGAGATTCTGAAGGCGTCGAGACTCGAGCCGTACTTCTTGTCCAGCGGCCAGCCAATGCTCTTGTACAGGTCCTCCATGGGGGTCGAGGTCTTCTCGGCGACGTGGCGCATGATGGAGTGGACCATTTTGGCCTTGTTGTAGCGGTCCTCGCACTTGAGCACATCCTCGGGCGAGACTCTGCGCTTGGACAAATCAATGTAACCCTTCTCCTTGTCGACTCTCAGCACAACGACGACTTCGTTTCTTCCGACACGGATGAGTTTTTGGATGGATCGGATACGTCTTCTGGACAGTTCGCTAAGCAAGATCATGCCGTCGATGTTGTCGTATTCGAGCAGCTTGACACTGAGAGGGCTGGTGTCAGTCGTTTGCTGTGGCCGGACTGAGTGGCAGGTCGGACTCACTATGCGCCCATCTCAGCGACCTGACGGACGTTGACCATGACGAGCGAGTCGACATCGGGGTACTTTTCCTCGTAGAAACGGCAATTCGTGAGCGACATGATTGCGGTATTTGGTGTATGGATATGCGCTGCGTGGTAGAGAGCAAATGCGGCGGCGGCGTGGTCACTTTGTGATTCATTCGTTCGACTTTCAACTTTCCCAAAAACGTCAGGGCCCCGCGCGTCACGTGTTTCGCTGCACTACCTGTTTATCACAACCATAGTTATTTCATCTTTTCGTCTCGACATCTTATCATGAATCGCTAGCTGTACCCATCTACTTTTGTCCAAATCTAGTCGCAACTTCTCGAACCACTACCGCTCAAGCACGACCGACATCCTCGTACTACTCGGCCCTCTAGGCGTTTCGATGGCCTGGACAACCGCTTCACCTTCCTCCGGACTCAAAATCCCATCCAATATCTCATGCGCCGCATCCAAGGCCTCGTTGTCAAGACCGGCTTCATATACTAATTGCTCTGAAAACGCAAGTCTTGTCAATGATACCAAAAACTTGTGATGTCCGCCGGGTATGACCATGAGCTTCTCGCGGAGGTTGATCATGTCGCTGTAGTTCATCAATAGATGATACAGCAGACGGACCGTCAGATTGATCAAGCTCGTCGTGAGTTCGTGGTTCGTGCTGAAATTCCGTGGCTCGCTTGTCTCACCGAACATGTCATGATTCGTAGGTGCAAGATCATACAGCTTGGTGACCGATACGTGCAGCAACCGAACAAGTCGACCGACAGCTGTGCGATGTCGAGCGAGAACTTCACTACCATGCTTCGTGACTGCCAGTGAGTTCAGCACTCGTATCGTCTCGATCTGCAACAAGACAACTTCGCTATCTTCGTACGCTGTTTCACCTGCTGGTGCTTCTGGCCTCTCAAACAGCAAAGTTGTAAGCCGGTCAATTGTATGACCCTCCAAGGTGGACTGCTTTTCTGGATCGTCTACCATGATACTGAACGACTCCGGCATAGCAGAGCTTCCCAGCATTTGCAATACCAGCATGATCTGTGTGAGTGGTTGGCTTTTGTTCAGCATCATCAAGGTAAAGTCAAACTCCATCTTTTTCCAGAATGCTTGACACGATTCAGCATGGAGGCTCGCGTCGAAAGCCATACCATGCATCAGCGTCAGAATCTGATCCACGTCGATGCATTCGAGCAGATGCGGGTCTACATGGGCGCCTGCATGAAGGCGCACACGTGGTAACGCAACCAGATCAATCGTCTTGGTTGCGAGCGGGAGGAAGCGCTCGATTAGTGAAAGTTTCGGAGGCTCGTAAGACATGGCCAAGATGAACTCGTACAAATCCAGAATCGGATAGACCGGTGTATACATTTTGTCGTGCAAACACCTTTCCCACAAGTCTGAAAGGAGATTACAGGCAAAGGAAGAAAAGTTATCCTCATCGTCCACGGCGACAAACTGAGACAAGCCTTGAGTTACAAGACCGGATATAGATTGCCCGGGTAAAGAAGGAAAAGCGAGCCGACTTAGTGTCTCCAATACTCTTTCTCGCGAATTCAATGAACGATGGTTCATGAGACGGCGGATCATCTATACAGAGTCAGCTTTGAGAGCTGAAGCTACGACTTGCACGCAACCTACCTGAAATTGCGTGTCATCACGAGGTTGGATCAATTCCTCGACTACAGGCGTTGATTCGGCGACATTTGGAGCCGGGGATGAGGGTACAGAGGGTTGAGGGTTCAGTTGCAGTTTCGGAGCAGGACTGGCAACAGCATTCCTCTTCCGCTTCTCACCTACCTTGGGAGTGGAAGATTTGGATCTATCCTTTGGTTTCGACGGGGATAGGGGTACAATCTCGTTGTCGTCAAAGCCATCGCGATAGGGCAAGGATTGGGAGGGCTGGCGAGTGAGCCTACCCGTGTTAGTTCTGGTAGGCTTGAGCCTTTTGGCACGTTCGTCTCGCGCCTGAGCCAGATCATGTTCTAGGAAACGGTTGTTCGTTTCGTAGGCTTCAATCTCTTTTCGCTTCGCCTCCAAATCGGCCTTTTGCTTTGTAGCATCATCGGCACGCGACTTGTTCAGGGCCTGCAGCTGAAGTTCGTGTTCTTTGGCATCCTTCTTCTGTCTTTCACGGATTATCGACAGTTCTCCAGCCTGTTTTTGATTCTCTGCCTTTGCGTTTTGCAGAGACAAGCGGACAGCGTTGAGTTCGAGCTCGAGCTGCGAAAGACATGTCAGCAGTAGAAGATCAAGAAGACACAACAATGCGCACCTTTCGAATGTGTGCATCTATGGCTGTCGTGTCGGTGGGCTGGACATTAGGATTGCGATTGTCGAGCTGGTCATAGTTCGGCGGTGGGTCGTCTACGACGATGGACTCGGTAGGGAGGTGATAGGTGTTGTGTTTTGCAGATTGGGCATAGTCCTGGTTGGGCTGGTAAATAGTCGTGTCGGCGTTCAGGTCAAGGACTTCTTCGTCGTCATTGTCATCCAGACCGTAGTCGGATTCTGGTGAATTTGGAGCATCGAAAGAGGTGGTAGTTTGAACAGGAGCAGTAACTGGTGGCAGGCTGGGACGGGTCAATCTGAGAGGGCGGGTGGTCTGGTGGTATTGGCGTTGCTTGCGGGCGGCGACTTCTCGCTGGGTCGACGAGATGGCGTTCAGCTCGAGGTTCTGCAGAGTCGACTGGGGCAGTTGGTCAAGACCGCTGTCGCCAAAGTCCAGGTCGTGGTCATGGTCCAGAGCAGCCATGGGAGCGATTGGCGTGGGCGGCCATGTTTGTTGCAGAGTGATTGAGTCAGCCTGGCGGAAGGCGCATTGGGACATTCACATGCCGCCAAGCCCCGCTGACGGCATTTGGGACTTCTCATCCTGACCAAGTTCGAGTTCGTTCGTGCCTGCCTCCCGCTTCCCAGCCCGACCCTGCCAACCTTTTTGTTCGCAGACGACCCTGACATCCATTTCTTTCTGCTGCGTGTTTGTCTGATCGTCTGGAGCTGTCCTTTCACCCTCTCGTGTCCACGCGACTCTATCCTTCCCGGCTCTACCTCGTCCAGCCTACCAATCTTGTTGGAAATCTCGTTCCAGCTGCCGCAAGCTTCCGTCCATCGTCTCCCAGTCGCTCTACTGCGACCTTCCGCATACCATGACGAAACCGAAGAAGGACGTCAAGTTCCAACACAAGGAAGCAAGAAGACCCAGCAGGTCCTCCAACGATATCCAAGACGCCAAAGACACGTCGAGTCCTAGCCGGAATGGACAAGTCACCAAGCCTGAAGTAAGCCGCAACATGTCCTACGACGGTGCCTGGACCGACGACGACAAGGCGAGCCAATGCCGCTCCCAAATTGCTGACGACCTCGCTAACATGCCTCGTTGAAGCCTCAGGAGCCCACGCCGCAAAGCGAATATGAAAAGAAGAAGCAGACATTCATCACCAGAACTATCTGGACCCTCGTCATGATCATCTTCTTCTTCGTCTCAATGTTTTCTGGCCACATCTACATCATCATCATTGTCACCGCAATCCAGATCATTTCTTTCAAGGAGGTCATCGCCATCTCAAACGTCCCTAGCAGAGCCCGGAAGCTACGCTTCACCAAGACTCTCAACTGGTATTTCCTCGGTACCACCATGTACTTCCTCTACGGCGAGAGCGTCATCTACTACTTCAAGCACATCATCCTGGTCGATAAGGTCCTCCTGCCCTTTGCTACCCACCATCGCTTCATCAGTTTCATGCTCTATGTCATGGGCTTCGTCTTCTTCGTCGTCTCCCTGGAAAAGGGCCACTACAAGTTCCAATTCCAGCAGTTCGCCTGGACCCACATGGCTCTCTACTTGATCGTCGTTCAAGCACACTTCATCATGAACAACATCTTTGAGGGCATGATTTGGTTCTTCCTCCCCGCTGCTCTGGTCATCACCAACGACATCTTCGCTTACATCTGCGGTATCACCTTTGGCCGTACTCAACTCATCAAGATCAGTCCCAAAAAGACTGTCGAAGGTTTCGTTGGCGCCTGGATCTTCACCATCATCTTTGCATTCGGCCTCTCCAACGTTCTGATGCGCTACCCGTACTTCACCTGCCCCGTCAACAACCTCGGTGCAAACATCTTCACCGGCCTCGAATGCGATCTCAACCCTGTCTTCCTATCCCACACTTACCAGCTTCCTTTCATTCCTCCCAACTGGACTCACCTGCCTACCACAATCACTGTCGCCCCTGTTCAGTTCCACATCATGATCTTTGCTACTTTCGCTTCGCTGATTGCTCCCTTTGGTGGTTTCTTCGCATCTGGTCTAAAGCGTACCTTCAACATCAAGGACTTTGGTGATTCCATTCCTGGCCATGGTGGTATGACTGATCGTATGGACTGCCAATTCATCATGGGTTTCTTTGCCTACATGTACTACCAGAGGTAAGTAGATGAACTCTAACATGACTTTTGGTCAGAGCTGACTGCGTTTAGTTTCATCGCCGTCTACAAAGCCTCTGTTGGTAGTGTTATCGAGACCGCCATCACTGGTCTCACCCCGGATCAACAGATGGAGGTTGTCAAAGGATTGAGCAAGCATCTCGTCAACCAAGGCGTCATCAACTCCAAGGTGCTAGAATATCTCGGTGAGCAGCTCAGGAGATAGGTCACCCTCGAGCAGTGTCCTAACACAAGGTTTCTCTCACCCACAAAAGTCTCGTCGAACTGGCCTTTCTCTTCTCCAGTTTAATGTATAAATACCCCTTTTTTGGTTTTTTCGAAGCGTATCATTCAATCTTTTCTCCTCGATCACATCGCGCCAGGCTTCAGACGTTGTCAATTCAAGTTTAGATCAGTCTTATGTCTTTGCGTGATCTCACCATCTCCTGTAATCCGTACTAGCTAGACACGCTTCATCTCATTGCTCCTTTCCCCTGATGCGACCACACTCTTACCAAATTCCACTCTTCTTGATAAACTCCTTCCAAGTAACAGGCTTCTCCTCGAGCAAGTCCAAACTCTCATCCAAGCTAGCACCAGCATAATAGCCAGTGGTGTCAAGCAAGATATGGTTTTGAAGCATCTCCTCGGCCATGAACTCAGGCAAATAAGACTTGAACTGATCACCCGAGATCTGGATGTAGCGCATCTTGTTCCCAGTCACCTCTTCAAAATCAGCAATGATTTGCTTAGGGGTGTAGTAAGCAGTAGCAGCGAGCACTTGCTTGCCATTCAACTTGTCGGCATTCTTCAGAATGCTCTTGACGAAGTTACCGGTATCCTCGACGACATCGAAGAGGGGGAATTGAGCATTATCGCTGATTGGCATGGCAAAGTTGTAAACGCCATCTTCGCCTTTGTTGAACATGCTTGCGAAGTTGGACATGAAGTAGCCGGGCAGCATGAAGGTAGAAGGAACGCCAGTGCCGCGAATGTACTTCTCGATATCGTTTTTGGAATCAAAGTGAGGGACGTGGGTGAGTTTTCCGCCTGTGGCTTCGGTGACGTTGATCAAGGAGGAGAATATAATATGCTGGATTCCTTCTTCCTTTGCGGCGTCGGCGACGTTGATGCCCTGGCTGCGTTCGATGTCTGGGTTGGCGGATTCCCAGTAATTGGTTACGAGGAAGACGGTGTGAGAGCCTTTGATGGCTTTTGCGACTGAAGCTTTGTCGTTCATGTCGGCCTTTTTATCAAGTGTCAGCTTTCTATGTGCTTCTGAGGTAGGTCTCGAGAGACGAAGTGAAAGCTTACGGTTGCCAGCTCGACTCCGTTTTCAGCAAGAGCTTTGGCAGCGGGCTTGTTAACTTCGCGTGTGATGCCACGGATCTTGAACTCGGATGAAAGTTGGGCATCAGCAAGGATGTGGTTGATAACAGAGCCGCCTTGGTTGCCAGTGGCTCCGAAGACAGTGATCAACTTGGACATATTGATTGATGTGATGGAGTGGAAAGTGAATCAGTGGTTTTGGTAATATGAAGCAAAGGCTTTGGTGGGTGTATTGGAGGGATGTGTTTGTGGTGAGGGGTGTGTTGAAAAGGAGATGTTCATTCTCAAGATGGGATGGTTTATATACATCACCTACCTTCTCTGGGCATCTTACATGCGTCAAGGGTATCCCCGCATTGCGTACCAATAGAGAAGGAGCTCTCGGAGGAACATCGTACCATCAGATGTGTTGCTGACCTGAGGCGCGAGCAGCAACGGCCTTACTCGCTCTTTCCAATTGGCGAAGCACATATGAACGAATGTTTGAGCTTACAAAACAATCCAAAGCCAATCTGGACCTAGTGTTGAGACGGAGCTACTCGACACCTTGCAAGGAGTGAGATTACCAAGTAAAGAAGGGACGTTGGACGAGTAAATGCAGCATAAAGTTGGAACATGCTGACCAAGCTGTCATGTCGAACGTTGTGAAGCTGTTAGAGAACATTATGTGGTAAATATCCGTGCTCAATCCTCCAATTTGTCGTCCGGACGGAGATAGCTGGCCCAATTAGGAAATACATGTCTCCGTCGAAGGATATCTCTGAGGCCGAGCATTGGTGGATCATGCTTGATCTTGTTCATGAACTTGAAGTCGCGGGAGGAACGGAGGACTTGATTGACAAACCTATTGTCTGTGTACCATCGTTGACCAACATGGAAATGGAAGACCTCGTCTGGAGGGTAAGCGTGTTTTTGTCAGGGTCATAGCATTAACCACTGTTCAGATGATCAAAACTGCCATTGGACGACAACTATGGATGTTGTCTGCTTCGGATATACAGTCATAGATGGTTCTAGATGACAGTTCTGCGGTGAGATGAGGTTGATGTCCTTAGGTCTATATGTAACCGTCAAAATAAGATCCGGTGAATAGTTTTCAGCTTTGAAGAATTGTCGAGCTCTTTTGCAACACATGTGACTGACTTCTTGATACATTCTGGCATCTCTGGTATTTGTGTCAACATAAGGCGCATTCTGTTTCCGTATGTCGAGCACTTCGAGACGGTATGCTCTCCAGCCAAGTTCCTGTTGAGTGAGATTGTGTGGTCAGTGAATATATGTAGGTAGTTGTTGGTTGCGATGATGTATAGGCTTGGCAGATTATTTGACAGCCACCTTGATCATGCAACAAGGTGACAAAGTTTCCAAGATGAAGCTACACATTCTAGGACCGGCATTCGGACTACCTTCGATAGACGCAGAGTGCATTGCTGCTGTGGCATTGATCGAGCGCTACACACAAGGCAGCAGTCAAGCATGGGCTCTAGTCGCCAGCCATGAAGCCGCGCCAGGCACTCATTTTCCCTTTCTCCAAGTCGGCGACGAAACATACTCTGGTTTCGACAGGATAGCGCAATACCTCGTCGATGCATCTGGTAGCACTGTTCCTGGATTGGCCACCAACTTGACCGCACAACAACAAGCTGATGCGACAGCGTGAGACAAGCCGCAACCTCCGCCGACCATCAGATACTAATTCTTGTCCAGCCTCTCCGCCTTCATCAAGTCAGAAGGTCAACTGCTACTCGACATCTCGCTATATGTTTCGTTCGAGAATTATCGCAACCGCACCCGTTCCGCTTTCACCAAGATTCTCCCGTGGTACGCCAACTTTGTTGTCCCTCCCCAGCGCCGCCATGAAGCCAGACAACGCACCCAGCACCTGGGAGTCTCCAGTCTTGATGTCGACGACATACACGAGGATGTAATCGACAAGCCGTCGAGCATGCAGTCGGAACAGCAGAAGAAGCCTCTCGAGCACGAGACGGAGAAGCACGCCAGAAGACTGCTGGGTCGTAGAGATACTGTTCGCACATTACTGCAACAACCAGAGCACGCCGCCGCTTTCAAGCTGAACGCCCTGGCCGACAATTTCTTTGAGCCGCTGCAGGACCTTTTGAAAAATCAGTCCAACCTCCTTGGCACCGACCAACCTGCCGTTGTCGACTGTCTGGCCTTTGGGTACATGAGCTTGATGTTCTACCCCAAGATGCCTCAGAATTGGCTTGCTTCCACTATGCGCCTCAAGTATCAGAAGCTCGTCGTCTACCTCGGCTCTTTGAGAGATGCCCTCCGAGTCGACGCCCACCCAGACGAAGCTTTGAGCGCTCTTTCACAGTCTGAGAAGGGCGCTGCAGACCTCCCTTGGCTATCGCCGCAATCCTTTGGTCCCATAGCCGTTGTCAGATACATTGGACAGAGTCTCTTCAGCCATCTACCCCTACCAAATAGTAGCTCAGGTCTGCAACATTTGCCCAGCGATCGTCAGCCTAGCCTGCTTCAGAGATATCTTCCTGCAGTCCTTGGCCTAACCTCTACCTCGATCGCTTTGGCAGCATTCTGGGCATACAACAACCTCACATGGCCACACGGAGAAGCAGTCCACTTTTTTGGCCGAAGGAGGTTCGTCGACTATGGTGCTGCTGGCGCAACTTTGTCGGCTTTGGGAAGTCTGGGGTTGCAGATGCAGCAAAGACAGCAGCAAAACCAAGCTCCTGTGCAGATTGACGTTGCTGTTGACGATCAAGTCTCGCCGTGAAAAGCCGTGCGATAGGCATGTCAAGCTTCATATCACAATAATCAAGAGCAAAAAAGCACCTCGCATTCTTCTCCACTTTCTCAGTCACGTAAGCAGTGCTGTAAGCCATCAAACATGGATTCATGTGAAGGCATGCATGTGACATGTCTAGTGTTCATGCTGTGTATGCTTACATCTGTAGCGGATGTTTCTGTTGAGCTCGATACATATGGAACGGAGGATTTTGAGGCTTGCAATAATATGCACATTTCCATCTGCAAAGCAGGGTCTGTCGGAATCTTACGAGCAAATTATGCATGGAAGGAACTCTCTTACTTTGTTATCAGGCGCTTGTGGTTGTTTAGCGAGCACGTGCTTCTTTTGTGTAACACATGCTGTGATGGATCTACTGTGATTTTTGACGAGCAATGTGCAAGAGTCTATCGCTGCAGCCACTAAAATGTACGACTGAAGCTAAGAAACCATACGACGTTGACTTCATCTATGGGCAGAACCTCTTCCATGGTTCTCAGTCTCGGCGGTCTGGAATATGTCGCTATCCATGAACCAAGTTATCGTAAAACACTTTTCCAAGACTAGGGAACTCGCAGCTTCCATCTCTCAATACATGCTTCCGTCTGCAGCAAGCCTTTGTGTCACAGATCAGGAGGGGTAAGAGGGAAGGAAGAGACTCAAGTAAGTATCGTGATTGCCCTCGTACATCACCTCAATTTCTCCTACCCACCATTCCACACCCTCCCTCCAAATCAGCCTAAGAACATCGAGGAAAAGAAAATCCAAGCTCAGGAGTCCGCATACCAAGCACAATGTCTTCCTCGACTTTACCTCCCACCCCGACCCCAACATCCCACTCCAACAAAGCAATCATTGGAGGCGTAATAGGCGGCACAGCCTTCCTCATCCTCATCCCCGCCGCAATCTTCATTCCGATATTCAGAAAACGGAGATCTTGCTATGATATCGCTTTACGGCGACACACCCACTCTCACATTCGCAAGACCACGACCATTGCGACAAGTACTCGCAAAGACTCGATGCAAGAAGAGAAAATCGCGCATCATGGGGATATGGAGGAGCAAGTCCAAAACAAGGAGATGAGGATAGGCGAGGATATGAGTAGGAGCGAGGGACCGGAAATGTTGGCGTTGGAAGAAATGGTTGGCCTGGAGGAAATGCTGAGGATTGATTTCCCGGATCCGGCGAGGTATGAATTGGATGGTGGCAGTTTTGTTGAAGGACGAGCGAATTGGGAGATCAAGGTGTGAGGGAAAGAGAGATGAACATCTTCCTTCCTCTCTCGTCGGGAGAGAATGCATGCTCACTGAAGCAATGCACAATGGATTTCCAACCGAGATGTGGCCACAAAAAATCTGTCATGACAATATCTCTCTCTGCGGACAAGATTCTCTTCTGGAAATTATTGTGTGTTGTTACAGCCCAACAGAAGCCTCGCGAATCGAAAATGTCGCCATGGAAGATCGCTCAAGATTGATTCTTATACTCAGTTATTAACACTTAAATCTTCTCTTGCACCCATGGATCTTCTGCCGCTACTTGAATCGCGATATCCTCCTGCTGTGTCTTCTGTACATCTTCTTCCTCTGTGTGCTCCTCCTTGTTCACACCCTTAGCACCGCCACTTCTCCCAGTTGCAATTGGCGCAACAGGCTGAATTGTATCTTCCTTGCTCAATTCTGAGACAGTAGTGACGGCAGGTCTGGTGTCTTCTGCAGCCCATATCTGCGTAGGGGGCAAGGTAGAAGTTGTAGGAGCAGCGATAGGGTTGTTTTCGGGCTTTTGCCAGTTCTTGCGCTTCTCGGATGCCCACGTACCCCAGGAGCTTAGATATGCACCTGCGCGGGACGAGGCTGCTTGGACTGATGCTTGAGCTTGAGCCACTGGAACACGAACAGCATTAGTGATGATAGACTTTGATGATGGGCAAGAGATGTCGAAAAGGGAAACATACCCTTTGCGTTCTTTTCGTCAGCAGTGGCAGGATTGTTTGCAGCAGCAGCTTTCTGCTCCTCAGCGCGTTTGCGCTGAGCTTCTCGCATGACCTCAATATCAGCCCAAAGCGTGTTGATGGCGCCAGCAACACGTTCGCGACCTGTGGAAATATGTTTGCCCATGGCCTCTTTGTTGCTTCTCCAACGCTCATCCAGATGCAATTCAGAGACCTGAGCAGCAAGTCTGCGTTGCACATCTTCAATGGTCAAGCCACCAGCACAAGGGTGTCGGGGCTCAACAACATCAAATAAATGCGAGTCTGTCGTGCGTTCAAAGAGAGCAAAGTTCTCGGTCAAAGCCCATTGAGTCATGAACTCGCTGCCAAACTCTGCAGAAGGATCGCCCTCGACTTCCGAGAGCAAAGCTTTAGGGTCGCCTTTGTGGCTTGAGACGAAGCGGCTGTACTTTGAAGCCGAAAGTAAGGAGAGCAGGTACTCTTCGAACTGGAGGCGGATGAATTCTTCGCTGCCTGCGTAACCCATGTCCTTGGGTCGACTGGGAATGTTTTCGTCCCAGGTGTCATGGACGGACTGGGTGAGGAAATCGATCCATCGCCTGTCAGCTGTAGATAACGCCAAAGCATTGCGCAGAGATGGCGAGTATATGTTGATGGTGTTATCATCAAGATTCACCAAAATATCTGCGTAACGATCCTTTTGCTGCAGAAGTAGCTGGTTAGTAGAACCGACAACGTACGACTTTGTGTCTTGGTCGGCCAGTGTGTCTAGCTGTTGCAGTGGCGTATACGGGCCGAACAGACTGCCCTTTCCAAAGATTTGTAGAGGGATACCCATATAGGCCAAGAGTGAAGCTCGCTCGCTCGTCTTCAACGAAGTGGGCTTCTCTATATGTGTAGCGTAGTAATCCATGCGCGGATCGGCGCAATCGCGAAGGTGACGCATGAGAGTTGGTATGAGAGATATGAGAGAGAACTGGACGAGACACATCTTTTCGCAGTTCGAACCAAAGAAAAGCATCTACAACGAGTCAGTACTGCTCTTTCCTTGGACTTCCATTACATACCTTTGGCTGCAGAAGCAGGCACTTGAAAAGCACCAGGGTCTGCCACTTGAATTGGTGAATCAGTTCGCGCATAGACAAGCCTGTGAGGAGTGTCAGTATTCAGTGGAGCAGACATGGCCCAGGCAGAATTACCAAAATAGAGGTCTCTATCATCTTCCTGGATGCCAAAGCCTTTGTCCAGACTCTCTTGAAATCGCTGAAAGGAACGTCAGCTATGCTGCCTCTCGATGAAAACAAGACCTCGACAGACCTCTAGAATCTCGACATCTGCAAAGTCTCTAGACGAGAATCAGCCACTGTTTCTGTATATCATTTTGTCCAAGTCTCTTTCTGGAAAAGGGCGTACTTTTGTGCGAACCATGCCTTTGTGACGAAACTGAGCTTCTCGCGTATAGCGGTGAATGTTTGCGGATTCTCGGTAATGACGACGACTGCCTTCTGGACGGTGCTGCGAGTGACATCGGCAGGTCTGTTAAGCAGCTCTCTCGAGTCGAGCTGGCGGGTGCAGCTGATGCCGAATAACGAGCGCTCGGGAGTGCTCTTCAAGACGAGTGTAAAGTACGAGAAGTCTTCGGTGGCACTGCGTCATGATTGGTTAGCTCATTGTTGCATCAAGGTGGTCGCACTCGAGAGGTGGATGATTTACGCATGGGCTCCGTCGGACAAGGCGAGGAAGGGCAGCAGATGCCAGTCGTTGTCAATGGCAGGATCATAACCTTCGTCCACTCCTACCCATCGCTCTACCTCTGGACCACTAGACTGAACGTGAGCTAATGTCTACTCGGGCCACTGGCTGTTGGGAAGCTCTACCGCTGGTGGTGGAAGTCGACGACTGCTACTACGGGGTGATATGTGTCGGTCATGGTGCTATGCTATCGCCGAACGCTCATTTTGCAGCCGATAAGTATACACTGATCTGCCAATGTTCCAATGTCATGTGTCGGTCCAGGCCAATCACCACTGGTCACAATCTGTATGACATCTTCACACGCTCCAACCTATTTGGCTTGGCACAGACTCCGAGGCTCTCAAAAGTACCGAGTACGTATGATTGGGAATTGTGTGCAACAAAATCCATTTCTTGTTACGCTGCGTGATGCCTTCGCTTGTTGCTCTGACTGTCTGTATCTATCATGGCCTCCCCAAGACTCCGCAGCTATGCTTGCTCATCTCTCTCACACTGGCGCGGCGCTTCAAATGCCTCCGTTCCGGCTCCTCAAGTCACTGCTTTCCTTGTCTACGTGGAGTTGTCGAAACGTGTCTGGGCCAGTCCGAACGGTGCAATGCGCCTTCGTCTTGTATATCCATGAGTCGAAGGGTTGTGCCAGTGCTCTTAAAATCAAAACAATAAACCAGTTCCATCATTGCGAACCCAAGCTTGCATGTCCTTGTGGTTACGCTGTATGCGCCGTCTCTTTCTGTGTATTCGCACCATGCTCAATTACGCACGTCTGCCTCTCTCCTATTGAGGCACGCCAACCTCTTCACCGTTCTGAGCGTCCACATTATGGTAGTCCAGGATTTCCGAGTACCTGTACAATCATGTCAGTCAAGATTGCTTCGACACTTGTCTTTGCATGTGCACGTACATCATGATCTTCCAGGTATCAACGGGCAGGTCGGCATCGTTGAATGACCAATCGAACTTCTCCTCAGCCTCGGGTTCGTCGGTGGGATCGTGGTAGGGGGCGAGGTAAGGGTCAGCCAGGGCATCGGCAGCCTTGACACGTGTGCGAGGGTCGAAGACGAGCATGCGCTCGAGCAACTCAATGGCTGCGCAGACATCAGTTTGTGTTGCAGCCAGTTTCTACATGTTGACATACCTTGAGGGTCGGCGTTCTTGAACTTCTTGGTCAAGGGTTGACGCTCACGCTTGGGCAGGGACTGGACGAATCTGAGGGTCTGCAGAAGGTCTGTGTCAGCTAACAATTTGGCGTTTGGGGCTAATCCAGTGTCTTACGTTCTCGCTGCAGATAGTTTGAATAACGTCGTCTGGTGGGGTTCCGAGCAACTCGGTGATGATGGAAAACTGGTTGACATGGTCCTTGCCGGGGAACAAAGGCTTGCCTTCGAGCATCTCGGCAAAGATACATCCGACACTCCAGATATCAACCTCAACATCGTACTTTTGCCAGGTGAGCATGATTTCGGGAGCTCTGTAGTATCTCGTCGAGACGTAACCGGTCATCTGAGGGTCTTGGATACGGGCCAGACCAAAGTCGCAAATCTTCAAATCGCAGTTCTCGTTGACTAGGATATTGCTGGGCTTCAAGTCACGGTGGACAACACCGGCCGAGTGGACGTATTTCAGTCCGCGCTAGAGACTTGGTCAGCCGAGCCTTTGTGCGCCGAGTATTGGGTGGAACGAACAAGAATCTGGTAGAGGAAGTATTGGATGAATTGCTTCTCAAGCGGTCTTGAGGTGAGCAGGCGGTGAAGATCGGTGCCCAACAGCTCGGTGACGAAGTAGCTGAATACATGTCAGTTGATTCAAACGGAGCTCTTGCCGAGCAGAGGTACGAACATGTCCTCAAGGGGAGAGATGAAGATGTCGCTGAGACTGATGACCTGTGCAACTCCGTCAGATGGACTGGTCGAGCGAGAAAAAGTTTTCCGATACACACATTCTCATGTCTCAAGTGCTTCAGGAGCTTCAACTCGCGGTAAGTACGCTTGGACAGGACAGGTGTGCTGAAAGGCTTCATGATCTTCTTGACAGCAACGGGCTGGCTTGTGAGCTGGTCCTTTGCCGAACTGCGAGATTCGTTAGAGGTTGTTCTGGCTGCGTCTGCGATAAGTGCTGCTCACCAGACAAGACCGAATGCACCCTGAGACGCTGTTAGCATTCATGCAAGTCCAGAAGATTGTGCAAACTCACCATTCCTACGGGAGCCAGTTCCGTATAACTTTGGCGACATTGTTAGCGTACAGACTCGCGAAATTCGGCCAGAATTGATATTTACCGGCTGGTGATCTCGAAGGTGGTTCCGAAGATCTGCGCGCGTACGAATTCTGCCATGGCGACGGTGTTGATGGGGTGGTGGTTCAGACGTGTTTTGGTTGAAGAGACGGAGGTCGAGAAAGCGGATCGATGTTATGGAGCGTGGAGCGTGGGGCACTGCCGAACGAACCAATAATGACGTGGGCGTTTTTGTGTGGCTGGAAATCAAGGATTCTCTTCTTGCCAAAGTGTGACTAGCAATGTGTAGTAAAAGCCAGCGACACGATTTGTAGCGTGTGGTTTACAGAGACAGATAGCGACTGCAGAGCAATACAAAGACTGCAGAGATGGAGCGCTAGAGCGTGGCGACCGGAAAAGTGCTAAAACGCTTGTCGAAGGAAGCGTGTGCGGGTTTGTTTAAAGGTGTTCGGGATCGTCGCTGTCCGCCGGGTCGTGTATTGTCGTACCTGAGTGAACAATGGAAGAGGAGGATGGAAGAGAAGGAGAGAAAGGCTTCAGGAGAGAATCGACAACAGCACTGTCCCACTCCGTAACTTCCATGTTTGTTCACACGCTCCCAGATCGATCGATCGTGAATTGCCAACTCCAAGCTGCGCGTAAGTGGCTGCTTTGTTTAAGCTTCGGCCTTCACTCAAGTTGCTTGCCGCTGGCTACCGCGTGGTCTGTCGATATGTATGGCGCATCTCAATATTCCTGCCCAAAACAGGATGCGGCTTATCGTCGCGGATCAGGATACGTACAGCGTGGATCATCTCACACACACACAACGACGGAGTTGATGTCCTGCTTGACTTTTGTGACTTTCCTCTCCGCCATTGGTTGCTCCCCAGATGCGGGACAACAAGATCCACCGGGACCACTTGCCAAGCACGAGGAGGCTCAACTGGCTGAGTTGTGTTTGGAGTTTCTCGATCTCGTGAGTCGCAGCCTTGCAAACATGGCATGCAGATCAAGTGGCATGCTTCTCGATGCAACAACCAAGACTTGCCTATAACCCTGTCTCTCATGCCAATCAACCCCATCCGTTCCAACAACATCTTTTGTCTTGCACTTTTGCAAAAGTATTCCTGCTTAGATATGCAGGCCTTTGTAATTATTTGTCGAGCCCAACTGCCATGCTTCGCTCTTCGCATGCTTGCATACCTTGTTGGACACAGCTTGCTTGTGCAACTGCACAACATCATTGAACAAATGTCCAGAGACACACACAAAAGTTTTCCGCTCGAATCTGACTGTGCAAGATGTCCAATAGAACCACGCACTCTACTCGGGATACCCTCGTATCCGTCCAAGAGTGCTGATTCATTTCATTCCGACCATTCCGAAAGACCGTTCATATGAGGTGTTCAAGCCACGCGGTACACCTTAACATACTTGCTCATCCTGGGAGAAGAGAAGTCCTTGAGGCTCGGACCGAAGACGCACACCTTCTGAAGGCTTGAGTGCTACTGTGATTGGCAGATTCGATAAAGCTGCAAGATTTGAGGAATACGAGAAGGAATCGAACCCACAATCTCATGGCAACGTGCAGCTCGCGAGAGGTCCTTGATACGAGGTAGGAAGATGAGAATGTACAACTTCCCCGTGTGCTTGATCTGTAAAGTCCATAGCGCTCTCTGAGAATCATATGTTGACAGCCTTTCGGCCGAGAAGTCACTTTGTCAATAGAGCGACAGTTTGGTAGCTACCAAGGAAAAGCAGTCAAACCGGTAATGCTCCACCATCCGGTCCGTTCGCAAAGGAAGGCTCCGGTTAAAGATGCTATAGCAGACGAGTGATAGATAAGTCTTTTGTTCGGAATTGACCGTGGACACAACCTAGGGCTACATCGGATGGCTGGATCAATCCATAATCGAGGATAGGCACGAAGCGGCAGTGGGTTATTGATTTCGCTTTACAAGACGAACAACGATCAAAATCTCGATGGTAACGTCTCCACGAGGGAGTATACGAATCGCCAACGGCAATTGACATTTTCGAGGCCGAGACAAGTCGTGTCCGGCCGAATTGGGAAGATTGCGAGGGATAGGTATAGGACGTTTTGCTAGTTCTAGGGCGGCTTTAACGCTGGTGCACCAGTGTGACGGTGTCAGTGAGTGATTGGTGTTTCGCATCGTCGGGGTTATGCAGAGAATGCAGACGAGTTGTGCATAGGGTCGATGAGAGAGTGGCATTGGTGGTGCAGGATTGATATGGGCGGCCGTCTCTGGCAAGGCACAACGGGCGAGCGATTGTGTGGCGCAATTCCAATAGGAAACGGCAGACGTACGGTGTAGCTAACAACAGCACGATGGGCGGTCGTGATACAGGGTGGATACAGCAGGCATGACCAGTAGCTTGGTTGCCACTCTCTCGTTGTTTTCCTTTTGATTTGGCCCTGCTCCCCTCTTCATCCAAGAGCGTCTCTACGAGTGTTTCAGCACAGATTCCACATTGTAGCATTGCAGCATCGCAAGCGCCGGAGCAATCAAAGGACGACCCAAAGCGACTCGAATTGCGGGGGCGCTGTAGCAGAGAGCAGGCACGGACATCCCTCGACGGCGGCAGAGGCAGTTGCAGTCTCCAGACAGATCATCATCCACCTCTCGATCAACAAGACACCGGCCACCCCATCCTACCCAGACCGCCCGCCCAGTCGCTTCTCGTCCATCTCGCACCTCGCTCGACCTTGCTCGCCCAGCTCTGCAGCTTCTCCACGCCCTCAGTCGCGCCGCTGCATTCCCATTGCCCTTGTTTGTCTGGCGTCGCTGCGTCGTCGCTTTCGGAATCCGGCAACCAAACGAGCCATACAAAGCCCTCTCTCTCCACCCGCCCAGCCACCACCTTCATCCATCCACCGACCCATTGTTCCCGCTTCATTGTTTGCAGCCAACCCCGCGCCTGTACATCCAACCTCGAGCTGTACCAGTCTCAGCATCAATCCCGACTCGCCCTGATATCTTGATCGAGCTTGCGACATCCGGCCGAGGCCGGTCCAAGCACTCGGAACTGTCATCATGGGTAACTGCATGAGTTCAGGAGGAGGAGACGACGAGGGTCAGAAGAAGAAGAGCCAGGCCATTGATCGCGGGCTCGAAGAAGACTCGAAGAAGCTACGGCGCGAGTGCAAGATCCTGCTGCTGGGTACGTTTGTCCTGAAGCCTGTTCTGTCCACATCATCTGCTAACCCATACTGCGCAAAGGTTCTGGTGAGAGCGGCAAGTCGACTATTGTCAAGCAGATGAAAATCATCCATCAGAACGGCTACAGCGTCGACGAATTGCGCCTTTACAGGCATACCATCTACAAGAATGTCATTGACTGCGCCAAAGCCCTGATCGGTGCTATGCAACAATTCGACATCGCTCCAGAAGTCGCCGAGAACGTTCAACACTGCGAATTTCTCATGCAGTTCGCTGTTGACCCCGACCCGAATGCTCATCTGGATGCGAGATGCGCGACCGCCATAACAGCAATCTGGAAAGATCCGTGTATACCCAAAGTCCTCGACCACTCGAGCGAGTTCTACATGATGGACTCGGCCTCATAGTGAGCATGCCATGCCCATTCATCTTGTGGTACAGCGCTGACAGCCGGTAGCTTCTTTGACGAAGTCCACAGAATAACACAGGACGACTACTGCCCGACCGAAGCAGATGTGCTAAGAGCAAGAACAAAGACCACAGGTATCTACGAAACCCGATTCCAGATGGGTCAGCTCAGCATCCAGTAAGTGCCATGGTCGTAAATATGCCCTCAACTTTGGTTCTGACTAGGTTGTAGCATGTTCGATGTTGGTGGTCAACGAAGTGAGCGCAAGAAGTGGATCCATTGTTTCGAAAACGTCACCTCGATCATCTTCTGTGTGGCTCTCAGCGAATACGATCAAGTGCTTTTAGAGGCAAGCGACCAGGTATGTGAAGCTGCAGCTGCTTGGTCTCGTACATGCTAACAATTTTACAACAGAATCGCATGATGGAAAGTTTGGTCCTCTTCGACTCCGTCGTCAACTCGAGATGGTTTATGAGAACATCCATCATCCTTTTCCTCAACAAAGTTGATCTTTTCAGACAAAAGCTGGGCAAGTCACCCCTATCCAACTACTTCCCCGATTATTCGGGTGGAAACGACGTAAACCGCGCTGCAAAGTACCTACTCTGGAGATTCAACCAGGTCAACAGGGCACATCTAAATCTATACCCTCAGTGAGTCGATATGCACTTTCCTCTAGAGGTTCCTACCTTGCTGACTTTTTCTTCAGTCTTACACAAGCGACCGATACATCAAATATCCGTCTGGTGTTTGCAGCTGTAAAAGAGACGATTCTACAGAACGCATTGAAGGATTCAGGAATCCTATAAACTACGGCTTAGCAACTTGCTGGTAATCAGGAGCCCGCCGACACATTACCCACCATGACGACCCCTCTACGTTTCTCACACCGACATACATCGTCTACAACCTTCTCCTCCCTCTGACACATACGCCGTCACTAATACAATCGCGCAAGAATGCCGCGCGTATTATGAATTTGATTTCCAGCATAGGCGTTGTGGTGTAAGACCTTTTGGCTACTTGGGGAGCGCCGGAAGCGACCCCCCCCGCGCGGTTGACGATGGCCATATGTGGTTTACAAGATCGATCTCGTTTTCTTTCCTTCTCTTTGTTTCATTGTTTCTCTTGGCGGACTGATGGGGTGGACTGCAGACGGGTAGCTTATCCAATAGTCATCGTGGCAGAGATTTCGAAGGTTTCGTCCATGAAGATCCGTTGCTCTCCTTGACAGGCATAGCAATAATGCGATCAAGCAGGTATCGAAAAAAGCGATGGACCGGTTTGAGAGTTCCATGTGCAGCGTGTCAATCCTCAGTTTTTCTGAGATTGAGCAGAAGGAAACGGTCATATGTATTAATTATTTTACAACTTGCGTATGCAAATGCACTCGATTTGTCATGTAGTTCCTAGGAACCTGCAGGCGACATGCCTCTGTACCCCAATTGACGAGCGAAGCGGCAGAGCCCTGTCTCTTGGTGGAAGCTGTGGTTTGATATGCACACGCCATAGCCTGATTGGACATGTCTGTAACAGCAAGCGGCAAAAGAGACTGGATGCGACTAGGCGAGTAGGCCAAAAATAAATCGACCTCGACTCTCACGCACGAGTTTCAGCAAGCCAACTGAAAGATGGTGAAACCCTTGGCGCTGGCCAGGGTTCCTTCCAATGGTTGATCAACCATTGATATTCATGGCTTCCTCTCGATCTTGCTCGTCGACCTGGTGTCTGTTTTCTTCCTTGCGTTGAGTTGTCCCTGGTTGGACTTTTTTTGTCTTTTGCCCGTTCAAAATCCACTTCCTCGTCCCCTACGTCGTTCTAGTCGCGCCGGCGCCTAAAACAAGTCTCTCTATCATTCACATGATCAGTCGATCTCTGCAACAATTCATCTTCTGAATGCATGTTAAGCATTCAAGCCTGCACGATTAACCCTCTTTCGTCCTCTTTCAATAAACTTGACCAATTCCTCGGCCGCTCGCGTCCCGACCTGCATACTGGCTACCGCTTGGCTGCAGTACCACCTTGACCAATCCCGAAACCGCTCATCCTACCCCTCCTCTCCTACCAACGAAAACCTGATCTCGTATCCGACTACGACCTCGAGCCCCAGGGCGAGAACAAAACGAACATCATCTTCTGAAAAGTCACCTGTTCCTGAATTGGGTTCTTTAACCTACTTGACCGCCCCTCTACAGTCTTGAGCATTACTTTTGCATCTTTTTTTCACCCATACATATCACTTACAGGATATCTTTCTACTCCCACTCTCTATATTTGACTGCACTTGGTGTATTGTCAGAGCTTGATTATACACAATATGTGGGCTGAGATGTTTCGCCGTGCGGTAGATGAGAATGGCACACCATCTATCCATGACCCTTGGCCGGCAAAGGACGTAAGTTGGAAATTGAAAGTTGTTCTAAAATCTCGTTGGAACTGTGCTAACGTCAACAGATTGCTTATACTGCAATTGTTGGCTCAGTCATGCTTGCCGCCCTTCTTGAATGGTTTCTCTGGGTGGCCGCTTTTCTATATTGTTTAGTCAAAGTCTATCAAAAGGCCGAGACACTCAGCATCAAGATTTTGGCAATCGTAATGATGTTTGCTTTCACAGCTCTCAGGTATGTCTTTGCTGTAAGTTTCACAGATCCACCCTTGCTGACCATTGATTAGATGTATATTCTTGCCTATCATGGTCGTCACACTTCCACTTCCAAGCCAAGTCGTGAGATACTTTCCTCAGGAAATGGTCAGCTTCTTGCAATGGTTCGCTTTCTGGTCTTTCTCTGGACTCCTCATCATACCTTGGCTCATCTGCGTATATCAACTCGTCACCCACTCTGTTGGAAGGACTAAGCGCATCAAGCATGTTCTTGACGAAGATTCGGCTCCGAAGGTCGTGATTGTCATGCCTTGTTACAAAGAAATTCCCGAGATCCTTCTCAGAACCGTCGACTCTCTGGCTGATTGTGAATATCCTCCCTCTTGCCTTCATATCTTCCTTTCCTTCGATGGAGATCAAGAGGACGAACTCTATCTCAAGACCATAGAACAACTCGGTGTTCCCCTAACTCTAGACACCTACCCTAAGAGTATCGATGTTACTTACAGAAGCACTCGCGTCACTGTGTCACGATTCCCTCATGGCGGCAAGCGACATTGCCAAAAGAGGACATTCAAACTGATTGACAAAGTGTATGCCGAATACCTCAAACGCAACGACAATCTCTTCATGCTCTTTATCGACTCTGACTGCATTCTCGACAAGGTGTGCATCCAAAACTTCATGTACGAGATGGAGTTGAAGCCCGGAAGTAAGAGAAATATGCTGGCCATGACTGGAGTCATCACCTCTACTACGGAGAAGAACAGTCTGATCACCGTGCTGCAAGACATGGAGTATATTCACGGCCAACTGTTTGAGCGATCTGTCGAGTCAGGCTGTGGTGCCGTTACTTGTTTGCCCGGAGCCTTGACAGTCCTGCGTTTCTCTGCTTTCAGAGCAATGGCCAAATACTACTTTGCGGACAAGGCGGAGCAGTGCGACGATTTGTTCGACTACGGTAAATGCCATCTCGGAGAAGACAGATGGTTGACTCATCTGTTCATGATCGGCGCCAAAGAGAAATACCAGATCCAGATGAACACCGGTGCCTTTTGCAAGACGGAAGCTGTACAAACATACCAGAGCTTGCTCAAACAACGCCGACGATGGTTCCTTGGATTCATCACTAACGAAGTATGCATGCTTACAGATGTCCGCCTCTGGAGACGATACCCCATCCTTTGTCTGGTCCGATTTGCACAAAACACCATTCGAACTACCGCTCTTCTCTTTTTCATCATGGTCATCTCGATCATCACGACATCGCAGAAGATCGCAAACTTGCCTGTCGGATTCATTGCCGTTTCTCTCGGTCTGAACTGGGTACTGATGCTGTACTTTGGTGCCAAGCTCGGACGTTACAAGATCATGATGTATCCTCTGATGTTCGTTATCAATCCCTTTTTCAACTGGGCGTACATGGTGTACGGCATTTTCACCGCAGGTCAGAGAACTTGGGGTGGACCGCGTGCCGATGCTGGTGCTGCAAACTCTACGACCACACCACAAGCTGCCATCGAACACGCAGAAGCAACAGGTGACGACCTGAATGTCGTACCTGAAACATTCAAACCAGCAGTCGAAGCAATCACACGAAAGAAGTCTGTCAAGAACAGAAACGTGCTTCCGGATCAGAGTCTTGAGGGCAGATTCGCAGCACCCGAGCTCATGCCTGGCGGATGGTACAGACAGGCAGCCGACTCGACGAATACCCTACCGGATATTGCCAATCATCCAGCGATGCGCAGAATGAGTTGGGAATCAATGGTGACGGCCACTTCAGGTAACAACTCGGTCTACCTTCCCCGACGAATCGAATCAATCATGGGACCAGAAGATCAACATCTGTACCACAACGCACAAGCGCGTCAGAGACCAGCTGGTGGATTGCACTACGAACAAGAGGAATACGAAACCAGTCGACCTGACACGGGGACAACCGGGACGACTCTTAAGGGGGGTTACTCAGTCTCGGTACGATCCGCAAGCGATGACGAATCGACATACGGGCATGGTAGAATGAACTCGGACAACAGTGACATGAGCGCGGCGCACGGAAATGCTCTAGCAAGAACAGAAAAAGTACTGGCGGTACCTGGGAGAACAAGACAGGCGCCTGATCATGGTAGCAACCGCAGCAGGACGGGCAAGAGTCCATTGGCACGAAGAAGCTTTGTCAGATCGGCGTCGGATTCGCTCGAGATGGCAGCAGTTCAAGGGGGTCAAGCGATAGAGATGAGAGAGCAAGGAACCGGCCTCATGGATCCGAGAGCCAGGAGCATCAGTCCTCAGGGACCTCAGGCGCCATCTGTTCAAGCAGCTGCACCTGCTGCTGCATCAGCTTACGAGAGCCAGCCTCCACCAGCAGAGGCAAAGAGCAAGAAGGAGCGGAAGAAGTTGAGTAAGACGAGACCTGGTAGCAGTGGGAGTGGGAACTAGACATGGGCGATGTGACAGACAGGTTGGCTAGTGGTCGATGGTAATAGTAATGAAAAGCTCGTGTTTCACTTTCTGCTTGACCATATGATCTCTATGCAGGCGAGCTTTATTTTGGCGAGGATGGAGACCAAGGCATGCCCTTCCAAGTCAAGGCAACATCAGACTCGCCGTTAGTCAGATACCTCAATGCAACGCCTACACTCTCCAAGCCACAGTGTACAGCAGCGTGATTCCAGACAAACTGCCTGATTCTTCCCTCGGTGGTGATGTTCAGGTAAGCCATGGGTAGACGACTCCTACCCACAGCATCTCTTACTCCCTTGGTAGCCTCTTTAGCAGCAGCCAGGATTGATATGGTGCCCTCTCCTCTGTACGCTGCAGGAGCGCCGACAACAGCACCTTCCAGCTCCCTGACCATACTCGGTTTGGGTGTCTCTGCTTTGCATTGTATCAAAACGTTCAAAGGTGCAGGATGAGAAGGCACGGCCCAGCTACCGAGTAGGTCGATACCGAGATCGCTAGCACGGCCGACACGGGTCAAGGAGAAAGCGAGACGCTCGAGAGCGTTTGCGACGGTGTATTCGTAGTGGGTGCCGCGGTAGACTGTGCTTGTAGGTGAGAGATGTACAGCATCGGCGTAGCTGAGGAACTCGGATAGAGAGGTATGGTGTAGACTGCCGGGAGTGATTGTATTCTGGTCTTCCTTTGGCGTCTTCGGCTTGCGGGAACGCTTCTTTGGTGATGGCAAGATGGTCTCGTCCGGGGACTCTGGTTCAAGGGCGTTGGCGAGCTTTTTCGGGCGACCGCGACGTTTGGGTGGTGCTGCTACTGCAGAGTCCACGGGGGATGCGAGCGAGTCTGTATCGTCAGGAAGCCCATCTGCATTTTGTTTGCGAGGGTGATTTGTCTTCTGAGGCGGAGCGTCGTCCGGGGTTGATGGTATAGAGGGCCGTGTGGAGTCGCCATGGCCGACGAGGGTGGGCAAGGGATCAAGGGAGGCGTGATATCTCGACGAAAGATGGATAGAGCGGCTGCTCAGGCGACTGTAGTTGATCAGGGCATGGCGGAAGTTCATGAAGGAAAGGTGGAGAGTAATAATCGCGATTTCTCAAGAAACATCATCAAGTTTGCCGAGAGAAAGCTCAAGCCGACGCTCGTCATTGCACCTTCCATAAACATTGAACCACTTTCTCTCGCAACTCTGTCCACCCCACACTTGACGATATGGCAGATCGTCTGACCCAACTCCAGGACTGCCTGGACGATGTGAGTGCTTGCGATTCTGGAATGCGACAATCAACTAACGCGCGCGACAGCTGGCAACCCAGATGTTCGCATCCATTCGCTACATCCAGACTCGCCATCAATTCGCTGCCATCCCAGACCAGCCAGACATGTCCGACCCGACCGCTCCCAATGCTCCAGCACCTCTACAGCCAAATGCCGACCCCAACACTCTGACCGCATCAGCCGCCGAACAAGGAGGTCCCGATGCCGTTGCTCTCCAACAACAACAAGCCCAGAATCCCGACCAACCGCCAGGTCCAGACGATCCAGTCACCTTCCAAGCAGCACTCAGAGAGTTGGCTAGGGACCTGGTGCTCAAAGAACAACAGATTGAATATCTGATCTCTGTCTTGCCTGGTATTGGCGAGAGCGAAGCAAACCAGAGTCAGAGAATTCAGGCTTTGGAGAAAGAGTTGAGGGAGGCTGATGAAGAGAGGAAGGTCGCTCTGGCTGAGAGGGAGGCTATGCTAGTTAAGCTGGCTGCTCTGGCTGGAGAGTGCAAGAGGGTCTATTGAGACCATCTACGATTTGACACGACTTGATGACTATTTTATGATACCCAATACGCGCGAGAAACACGAGAAAATTATACATCATTGCTTAGGCATGGTTTCTTTTACCCGCTTTGACACTGCTTCACGCTGGGCCAAAGACGCAGAGCTCGGCGCTGACTATCCAACGTCACCCCGCCATCCTTCATCCCTCTCACACCGACAACAGAAACACAATCTTCTCAGACATAACAAGGCCATCTCGGGAAAAACACTCTACCCAAATTTAGACACCCCCCTGCTTTTCCCTGGTAGTATCTTCGTCACCTTCCATCATGTCCTCCGGCACGCACTCCAAGGCCTTCTATCCATCAGATCGCTTCGTCATCAGCTGTGGAACAGTTTCTCTGGACCTCATGCACAAAAAAGTACTCCTGGTCCGGTTGCGCTCCACCGACGAGTTCCTTTTCCCCGGAGGACACAAAGATGAGAGTGAATGCTTGAAAGCAGCTGCTGTACGAGAAACCTACGAAGAAACCGGCTACCTTGCAACAATCCTGCCACTAAATGTTCCCACACGTGCCACGAATAGGATTGGCGACGCAGAACACACAGAACCAATTGCGGTAACTCAACGCGTCACGGATGGTGTCATGAAGATCATTTTCTGGTATGCTGCGAGCGTGGACTCTCAAGCACTGCCTGAACAAGACACACAGCAGGAAGGAGAAGACTTTGAGTCGGTCTGGATGGATCGCGAGCAGGCACTTGCGTCTCTGACCTTCGCCGACGATAGAGAAGTCGCGCAGCTAGCTATACATGCGGCTTTCGGTGTAGACTCTAGCACTGCGCCTCCACCTAGCCATCGTTCACTCTGACTTCGTCGGCCGAGTCTTTCCACGAGAGACCATAGCTGTCTTTGGTTCTATGGAAATGCACAAAGTCGTTCATATCGGAGACTTGTCCGAAGAGGAAATGCAAGGTTAGAGCTCTCTATGGTCCACAGCTATCTCCCAATACCACTGTGCATCCTCACAGCCACTACAGATAGAAGTGTAGCCATGGAAACACCTTGTAGTACGCTAAAGTAAGCTAACCCAATCTAACCACGATGGACGGAAATTTCAAAAGGACAACTTCTTTCGCGACATTCACTCTCCAGAGTAAACAACCGCTTCGAGACAGCTGCCACCTCTAGAAACCATCACACCTACGCTCAAGATGGATACCGATGTAAGCTAAACATACCCGCAGCGCGCGAATATACCTGACCAAGTGTTACGGCAGTCCCTTGAGCAACTGTACGATCACTGCATTGCGCACGACCAAGATGACACCGCCCCGACCGAGAAAGATGTGATGAGGAGATTCTTCGCCCACGTAAACGGCGTCATTTCTGTTGGCGAGGTTCTCGTCGATTCGGGACACGTCTCGGCCGACGGTATCATGTTTCTTCGCAAGGCTCTGAGTTCTGTTCACAATGTTCTTGAAGACGACTCCATCAAGCTGAGCGTGTCTTCATTTACTCCCACCGAGAAAGCTAGCACTCAGACGAAGAAGAGAAAGACGGCTGAGAAGGACGCAATGATCCCTGAATCAATACTGCCTCCTATCCTTCCGACGTCTGAATATGATGTTATTGTCGAATCAACTCCTAACCCCATAGCACCCATATCGCCATCTGGAAGAGGCAATGACTGGCTGCAACGCTGGACTAACATCATCAAGAAGATTCCTTTGAACGCGACTACGGGCAAACCTGCGGTCTGGCCAAGTCTTCTCACAAAGACACTCGTTCATACCTTTGGGTATGATGGAGTCAACAATGTCATCACCATGGCAGAGCAGATCATCAACAACCTCGACATGCTCACCATCGACGCCACCACATCCGCTGATGGCGACGTAGCGTCGCCGCTACGACCCCTCGCTATTCGGTTGAAGCAAGTCTGGGCATCTTCCAGAGGCTCAGCAGTCACCACGGCCAATATCATCTGCTATCACAAACTTATGGCAGAAGACTTCTCCCGTTTGGAGCAAGATACTTACCTTCCCGAGACTGTCATGGGTCAAGAATGGAGTGCAAGAGATTCCGCGCTGGCTCAAACACCACAAGCTCGGTCAAACTTCATCATCTCCCGTGTCTTCGCATATCTCAATCCTCGCTCTTTGACACAGAAAGAGAAAGAGACTGAGTTTTCCAAGTTGAGAAAGGAGCGTACAATGGCTCACAACGTTGGTCTATTCGTCAAGCTTTTCGGGTTCGGGATTGTGCCGTTGATGGGCAAGTCTGCCTGGAAAGAAGCGTGAGTATACTCGGTCTAGTTTCATGTCAGTCTTACTTGCTGACTTAGCGATTTGACAGGTTTCCTTCGTATGCTGCCGCATCCTCGGAGCAGTATCTGGTGCAATTGCTGGAACAGTGCCCAGTACTTCGCGAAATATGCGATCTTACCGACAAAAACTTCTACCAGTATGTCCACAAGAGAGAAAAAATCGGCCAGCTGCCCAAGAACTGCATCAACGGGCTATCTGTGGACGTGAGTCGACGCAACAACCACCCACTCTCGTACCTTCTTGCAGCTCCCGGTGAACTCGAAGAGACAGCTATCCTTGTGAGTGATGGAGCGCGCAAGATGATGACCAAGGAGAAGAACGATAGCAAGAGTAGCGAAGAAAACAATAACAGTGCATCGGGTGTGCAAATGGGTACTGCTGGAGAAGAACACGGTTATCTCGCTTTCTTGGAGGGTTGACACGATATGATTCATTCACCGCGATGAAATATCAACCCTATCCCTCTTTGACTTCACTCTCTTGCGTTCTGCCAACTCGGCCATTGCCCTTTGTATCAGTCGCGCCCTCGGACTGGCTGTTTGGCGACACACTGCGCGTGGATGGTGTGTTGTCCAAGAAAGCGGAAGGATATCCACCCTCTGGAGGTTGCTGGGGCGTACTCGTTACTGCTGGAGTAGATGATGTGAGACTGGCGCAGAGGGCAGTCTGGTCTGAATGTTCTGTCGGTACAGGCGGCTTTTGTAAACCAACTTGAGTGGTTGATCACGCTGAAAAGATGTATGTCTCGCCCATAATTGTAGGCTTGCTCTCGGGCATTCCAAGATAGAGTGCCAAATTTTCGAATCATCCCTGGTCACCGGAGGTTCGTGAAAAGAATTTTGGAATTTCAGACGCGTGAGGTGAAAATTGTGCCTGGAGGAGAGGGAAGGAACGGCTGATCTCCCACAAAATGTAACTTCCTCCTGCCAACAGACCAACACAAGCGCGTTAGTAAGCATGCTTGGATTTCGAGGCAGACGCGACTACTTATTGCTCTCCCTCTCCTCTTTCTTCTTTTCTTTCTTTTTCTCTTCCATACCATCCTCTCCTCTCTGCACACAATTTTCTTTCCCTACCATCTTCCATCCTCCCATCCAATCATCAGCACTCCCTCCCCTCCCATCACTCAACGATCTTGAAACCGTAGAGCCACGAGCTTGCATCGGAGAGACGTTGTAAGAGCCACAGAAGATCTCGAATCGTAGAGCTACAAGCTTGTATCGTAGAGACTTTGAAAGTGAGCTAAGAAGATCTTGAAGCGTAGAGCCGTGAGCTTGCATCGCAGAGACTTCAGAAGAGCGTTGATCCTGGATGCCGTAGAGCCTTGAGCTTGAATCGGTTGGACGCGCGAGGAAGAGAACACAACGCACTCTCAGATTAGCAAATATAGCCAACAAATGAGATGCAATGAACTATCAACAGCGAGTCGTTCTGGGCTGTGGTGACATGATAATCTACTTGACATGGCTGGTTGATCGCTTTACAAAGCTTGTCTCTGGATCTGCCTATCTATCTACATCGATGACATCTGCCTCAATAGTATGATGATCAGATGGGGCGTTTGATGGGTTGAGCTACTTGTTGGTGCTGGAGACCACTTTCTAAGGCTTGCGAGTTAGGTGTAGAATAATACACATGAAGTGTCGTCTTCTTACTGTCAGCACGCTATTGGTCAGTTTTGGCTGTCGCTGGCTTAGTAAGCAAAGCTGTATGGGCGAAGCAGTTCAACCACCTCTCTCTTTGATGATCTCTGCAGTACGACAATCACACCAATGCTATTAGGGACACTACACGAGGGGTGTAAGGAACTGCTGAAATATTGCGGCTGCTTTTAGCAACGACAGGTTCAACAAGGAGAGGAACTGTGGTCGCTGTATTCATCTGTCGGCTATATCTAACAGCCACGCAGGATGAGAAGCTATCTTTCAAGTGCGAATGCATGTATGTCACATCAAATGCCTCAGAAGTAGCACAGTTCTTTCGGTTAGTAGAGAGCCTCCACTAAGTGTTTGGATACCAACAGCTCTCTATGGACCTGCTTACTATCCAGAAAGGATTGTGCATTTACATAGCTGGAAGAGTGCCATACCTCAACACAGAGAATTAGCAAATGGTTGCAAAACATGTGTTCCATGAGGTAGGCGAAACATAGATCAGTGCGAGTGAAGTGACTGAAATAAGTGAAGGCGCTGGTGAAGAAAGGCTATGCTTTGGAGAAGCCCCTCCGACTCACCTCTCTCTCTCTTTCTTCTTTGCGCATCACACAGCTCTTCGTTTCCATCACACAAGCTTATCATCTCCAGCTAAGAGATTTTCTCGCGCAAAACCACACACACATCACACATCACACATCACACATCACACATCACACATCACACATCACACATCACACATCACACATCACACATCACACATCACACATCACA